AGAGAGAGAGAGTTGATATACCTATCGTTCTACTATCTTTCTGAAGTGCCTAGATTCCCGAATGTACTGTTTCACTTTGAGTTTTCAACAGCCCATGTTTAAATGTCGCATCTGTTGTCGAAAATTATAAAATCAAGTACACATAATGTATACTTCCATCCCACTCGCAATTCCAAAAAAAAAGCAGGCGCGCCGCAGCGGCTGATGACGACGGGACTCACCAAAAAAGATTCCCGACGCTGACTGACAATTTGAAATCGTTGCTAGATACCAAACTTTTTCTGCCTTTGATTTTTCTCTTTTGACATACTCTGCTCATTAAATTATTTTTATACATGAATCTCAACCATACTTGAGGTCCTCGATTGAAAGATGAGCAACTTGACGAACGACAAATCAAGTCTTATTCAGGCTTCAAAGTCCAGCACTTCTAACAACCCGCATGTAAATCTGTAAATTCACTTTTAAAGGTCTATTTTCTGTTGACGCAACCTGGCGCCAGAATACCTCATTATATAATCTATGTTATGTGATATAAAACATTCCTGTATCAATCACATTAGCGCGACGGAATTCTCCAAAACCCCACCGGAGAAAGTGATGCATTCATTATCGAGCGCAAGAGGGTCTTCCAGGTATGTGGTGTACAACGTAGAGTTTTCAGGAATTATGTATGTAAAGCCCTTTGAATCTTTGATGGTAACGACATCATCTATAGGCCAAATAATTGCTTCCTTGTAAGTGGCGACGAAATCCCTGACATTCATGCTGAGATTGTATGGAATGTCAGTGCTCGCAGCGGTGTCGGCAGAAATAAATGCCAAAAAGGCAGCTTGAAGCAGTTTTGCGATTCTCATATTTTAATTTGGTTTGAGCTAGTCTATCAACTCGTGTGTTGGTTGTGGTCTATGAATAAGAGGGGAGAAGAAGAACATGCGAAAAGACTCAGAAGTACATCACAAAACCTGGTCCTTTTATACCATTCTGAAGTGGTCCAAGGTCTCAGGCTCGCTTCGATAAAATCCCTCTCCATCGAAAGGGAATATGGCAATTTTCCTAGTTCAACATATCATCCCGCTATCGTTTCTACGCATGTTCACTATTCGATCCGGAAAGTGTGTACCAGGCAAAAGGTCTGCGATCGTTCTACACTGCGCAAAGCGGTTTCCATTAACTCAATGATTTGCATAACCACCCAGTTCCAATTGCGTAACCTGTTCATATGGTCTCAGTAAAATTCCACGTTGCTAAGAATACATCGATCACTATCTTTGTTTTTCAACGACTGTTGGTAGGAGCCGAGACGATTTTCCCAGCGCATAATGCATGATTGAAAATTCATATACCAGTACTTGGCAGGAGTAAATGAATTACGTGCGCTTATACCTGATTGAGAGTGATATAACCAGTGTTTATCGAAACCTGGTTTCTAATAGTCACCATTTCGGATTTTGGCAAATCCAAAAATCGATTATACGCGAGATAGCATATGACCCATTTGCGAGCACCTGAAAAAAGTCTCGGAGCGGGCTTGTCAACTCACAGAACCCTGCAGCTATTCGTCCGCAATTTACAGTGCAACGCAATTACTTGACGTGGGAGAAGTAGGTCGAGCTAACTTGAGAATTTTTGAGTTGGTATATCTAATCATCGAGGCTCGAGAGCTGTAGCTGATTAGACAATTACATGACGCTTGGAACTATGCTGCAAGAACCCTGCTCCCACGTCATCTCTATTCCTTTTGCAAATTTTCTGTTAGGATGGTTGGTTACTGTTACCACGTGAAATATCGAAGATTTGCCGATCGCATTCGTTCCCTGATTAATCTTTGAATTGGCTATTTTTTCGGCTTCGCACAATACAGATCCGTGCTTGTTCAGATCCGGTAGGAGATAAATTGGTGAAATATCGCGATCTCACTCCTCCCGGCGCTTGTTGGATTTACGAAGAAATTTTGACAACTAGCACGAGAGCGTCAGACAACGGCCAAGCATTGCATTGCAATAACGATGAACTGAGGATCATAGCAAGCTGTACGAGGACCACTCCGCCGAGTCGCTTATTTTTTTCTTTATTTCAATTATCTCTCTACTGGCGCAATTGACGAAGCATATCCGATGTAGTCAAGTAAACTCATAGACTAGGGAGGGCCCATTAGAACTCTGAAGAGGATATCCAGCGCTATTCCGAAGTGAATATTGGTGAGGAGTGCACTTCACCATGACGGAGTTTCCATGATCTTGAAATGGTGAGACATCATCACTTTATACTATTACGTCACTTGTGAGTTTCATAACATCACAAATTACGTGACTGATAAAAGTGTCAATTCTTGTTGTGGCCACAAACGTTTTCTCTCAACAGACTTGAACCCTATAGCCCTATCCACCAGATGATGGGATTTGAATCTCTTGTCTTCAGTAAGGGCTTCCCAGGTAGACATTCTTAAACTTACATGAAGCCCAGCACATCGTACAACATGACATCAACACCTAATATAACAAAATTTCTGGTTCCTCGATCTAAAGCGATGAGGCAACCGTGAATCAGTTCAAAACCCAAGCTGACACCACTCATTTCGTAGCTGCTATCCAGGCAATTCAATCATTGAAATGTCGTACGATCGAACTGAGATTTACGCGGCTCCAGTTCTAGCCGGAGAGGAAATCGGTGAGAACGACAATTCTGAAATTATCAAGTCTTTCCACAATTTTATACTAGAGTTCAGATTGGATGCCCATTTTGTATACAGAGAGCAACTTCGAAGCAATCTGCTGGTCAAACGGTATTGTATTACCGTCGATACTGCACACTTGATAGGCTACAACGAGGATCTCTACAAAAAGCTGTGCGATGAGCCCACAGATGTACTCCCGCTGTTCGAGCAAGCAGTGACGTTAGTCGCTCGAAGAATAGCACTTTTGTCCCGCGATATCAGTTTGGATCCCAACAGTACGATAGAAAATGTCAATGGAGACGGTGCCAATGGATCCGAGTTCGCAAATTTAGGATTTGAAATCCCCGTATGTCAAGTCATGGTTGTCTCGAACGCTTCAGAAACCTCTTTGCGGACACTGGGATCAGAAAATGTCTCCAAATTTGTCCGTGTCAGTGGCATCGTGGTCTCTGCTTCAGTGCTTTCGTCGAAGGCAATTTTCCTCACACTCATGTGCAGAAATTGCCGACATGTAACCACAATGCGACTCAACAGTTTTGGATCACTTGGTGGGACCCACATAACGCTTCCAAAAGTATGCATGGCTGACCACTCTCGGGAAACCGGTGGAAACCCATGCGGCCAAGATCCGTACATGATAGTACACGAGTCTTCGCGTTTCGTGGACCAGCAATTTTTGAAGCTACAAGAGATTCCAGAACTGGTACCGGTTGGTGAAATGCCCCGTAACATTTTGATGTCAGCAGATCGCTACTTGACCAATAAGATAGTTCCGGGTACCAGGGCCACGATCGTGGGTGTATACTCTATCTATCAAGCCAAAAGTCGTGGTGTCGGGACGGCTGCAAGTGGAGGAAGAGCCGTAGCCATCAGAAATCCATATATCAAGGTTCTGGGAATTCAGACTGCCCTTGATGGAAACTCTATCAACAGCACCACACACTTTTCTGAGAAAGAGGAAGAGGAGTTTTTGACTCTAAGCAGACGCCCCGATCTGTACGAGGTCTTTTCGAGGTCCATCGCTCCCAGCATTTACGGGAATGAAGACATAAAGAAATCCATAGTATGTCTACTCATGGGAGGATCCAAAAAGCTTCTGCCGGACGGTATGCGCCTAAGAGGTGACATAAATGTGCTATTGCTGGGCGACCCAGGAACTGCCAAGTCTCAACTTCTGAAATTTGTTGAAAAAGTGAGCCCGATTGCCGTTTACACCTCAGGTAAGGGTTCGTCCGCAGCAGGTCTTACAGCGTCTGTTCAACGTGACCCAGCTACTCGCGAGTTTTACTTGGAAGGAGGTGCTATGGTTTTGGCAGACGGCGGTGTGGTTTGTATTGATGAGTTTGACAAGATGAGAGACGAAGATCGAGTTGCCATTCACGAAGCCATGGAACAACAGACTATATCCATCGCGAAAGCCGGTATCACTACGGTCTTGAATTCGAGAACCAGTGTTATGGCTGCAGCCAACCCAATTTACGGACGATATGACGATTTAAAATCGCCCGGTGAGAACATCGACTTTCAGTCCACCATTCTGTCTCGTTTTGACATGATTTTCATCGTGAAAGACCACCACAACGAGGAAAGAGACATTTCTATTGCCAATCACGTCATGAACATACACACCGGGCGAACCGCTGTCCAGGAGGGCGAAGAGGAGCTTGCCGGTGCAGAAATACCCATAGAGCAGATGAAAAGGTACATCACGTACTGTCGCATGAAGTGCGCGCCACGGCTGTCTTCACAAGCTGCTGAAAAGCTTTCTTCACATTTCGTGGGCATTCGCAAGAAATTGCTCATCAACGAGCTGCAGAGCGAGCAGCGCTCGTCCATTCCGATCACAATCCGTCAACTCGAAGCCATCATTCGTATCTCTGAGTCACTGGCCAAGCTGGAGCTCAGTCCAGTTGCCCACGAAAGGCACGTGGACGAGGCTATCCGACTATTTCAGGCGTCCACGATGGACGCGGCATCTCAAGACCCAATCGGCGGTCTGGGTCAGAATCCAGATCAGGTACAAGATGTAAGAAGAATTGAGGAAGAGCTCAAAAGACGTTTGCCCGTTGGCTGGTCCACGAGCTACCACACACTGCGTCGCGAATTTTGCGAGCAGAAAAATTACTCCGCGCCGGCCCTTGACAGAGCTCTCTACATTTTGGAGCGCCACGGCGCTATCCAACTACGCTACCAAGGTCAAAACATATACCGAAGTGGTGCTTGAAGTTGGAGTGATGTGTTTCTGTTGATCTTCCCACAACGTTCTTAATGATGTCCAAAAATTTCGAGAGTTTCCAACTTTAACTAAGGTCAACATCTAATTTGTCTTCAAAATTAAAACACATCGATCCATTGTCGATGTCAAACCGGTGAACTTTCACTGTTGTTTGATCGAGAGTTAATGTCGTATGTGAGATCTGATTTCATCGGTGATTTACGTTTTTACTGGGGAGCTTTAGCGTTACTAACAGTTGAATTATTGGAAGAGAACTAGTGGACCGCCCACGGGCGGATTTGACGCAGGATGAGCTGCAACAATTAGAAGAATTTGAGTTTAAAAATGGTCCTATGTCACTGATAAACGATGCGATGGTTTCCAAAGTGCCGGTTATCATATCACTGAGGAACAATCATAAGATCATAGCTCGAGTGAAGGCTTTTGACAGACACTGTAATATGGTGCTTGAAAACGTCAAAGAACTTTGGACAGAGAAAGTCAACAAGAAAACAGTTAACAGAGAGCGTTTCATCAGCAAGCTTTTTCTGCGGGGTGACTCCGTCATCATTGTTTTAAGAGCGCCAATGTGATAGATGGCCCGAGCGCTGTCAAATTAGTAATGTGTATTATTGGGTAAAGTTAAAAAACGACAAACGAAGAACGAACTTTGATGGATGCCGGAATGGCCGTGTGTGGTCCTAATTTTTGGCCAGTTTTTCAATTACAAATGCAATTTGGGTAGTTGTACGCTATTTAAAGTTCTTGAGCGGGTCAGATTTCCCGCCTCTCTTGTTGCCCTTTTTGTATACCTTATTCTTGCGCTTCAGACTCTTGGCAGTGTGAAAAGGAACGAAGCCGATCTTCTTTTTGTCTTGTCTTGCGGCTTCTGGAAGCAGATAGTCCGGTACCCTCTTCAAATGCTGTTGGACTCTCGCAGGGTGCAGCTCTTTGTCATGTCTCAAACTTTGCAAATCCTGCGGGTTTTCTTCGAAATGTCTTTTCAGTTTGTCACTTGTAAGAATCTCCTGCTTCAGCTCCTTGACACGAGCTTCTCTCACTGCAACTTGAGTAACGGCACGGAACCCGTCCTCCATTCTGTACCGGAATCCTTCTACCTGCTTTAAATCAAATGAATAGGGCAGAATCTCAAAACCTAGCTTGCTTTGCTGCTTTATGATCCTCGAAAGGATCTTTTCGTCTCTTTTCGCGGTTGTGCACATTGAAGGCTTGTGCTTCCCAAACTCTTTGAGTGGGACCACAAATGAAATTGCGGCACCGGACTTTCCGGCACGAGCAGTTCTACCAATTCTGTGAACATACGATTTCGCAGTAGTGGGCAAGTCAAAGTTTAAAACGCACGCGACATTTTGGAAATCTACACCTCTGGACACACCGTAATCCCTATCCTTCTTTACGCGCGACCCGCTTTTCTTGGTTTCGTTCGCAGAAGTATTGGAGGCGGTTTGTTCTGAGCTCTCTGTATCACTTATTTTCTGTTCCTCTTCCTCCTCTTCCTCCTCCCTGATATACTCCGTGTCATCAGTGGCAATGAGGAGCTGGTAAACGTTCTTGTTGAACTCTTCCACAATGTGCTGCCTAGAATTTGCTGGTAACTCGCTGTTCAAAATGCAGGATCTGATACCGAACTGTTCAAGAACCAATTTCAGCCTGTAGCCCCTGTCTATGTTGTTCACGAAGATCAGCGTCTTTCCTTTGATCAGACCCAGTTTGAAGATGACGTAGCACAGCAAAAACTTGTCGAATTCGCTGACCTTGACGTAATACTGGAGCAGCTTGCTTTGGTCCTTGCTGATTTCTTCTTCATTGAGTTTCAGAATGGCTGGCGAGCGACAGAATCGTGTTTTCAAATCCTGGATGTCCTCGTTCAGGGTTGCACTCATTAAAAATGTTTGTAGGTTCTTCTTTAGAGGTAGATAGCCAGATATCTGATTTAGGTCTTCTTGGTAGCCAAATGTCAAAACTAGATCGACCTCGTCGATGACTAGAAACTTCAAGTCTTCCATGGCTAGCACATTAGATTTCGTTTCAAGCACTTTGAGGAGTCTGGAGGGGGTTGAGATCAACACCTCCGGCCCGTCAAGCAGAAGAGACGTAAGCACGTTGTCCGCCAGTTGCGACGACAAATTCAAAGTGTGGACGTCTTTCGAGCAGTATAAAACCAGTTTTGTTAGCACATTTTGCACCTGCTGTGCCAGTTCTCTTGTAGGAACTAGAATGATGCCCAGCGTCTTGGGACCTGCAGACTCACCAGGCTGTGTCTGCTTGAATTGCAGGATCGTCTGAATCACGGGAATGAGATACGCGAGCGTTTTACCAGACCCAGTGGCGGCTTTGGCAATGACATCTCTTTTTTGTTCCAAGGCGAGCGGAATTGCGCTAGACTGGATTAGTGTAGGTTTTTCGAATCCATGGTATTTTATCGCTTGTAACAGTCTTGGATCGAGCTGAAATGATTCGAAGCTCGCCGAATCGTCCATATATGCACTGGAGCTACCGATTTCGCTCATGTTGATATAAGGATTATGAACAGTACAACTCTGATCACTGTTTAACCTTGATGAATGGTTTCGCGATCAGCTGCGATGAGCTGAAATGAGATGAGATGAGATGAGATGAGCTAAATAAAATTTGACTACAGTATGTATGTGCGTATATAGTGACATAAAGAGGTCAAATCAGCACAGCGGTGCTACCAGATCGCTGGCAATGCTTAGTATACTCTCGATTCTGCCTTTAAGAGGATTAGAATCGCATTCTGCGACTTTCATTTGCGACAAATTAATGGTGGCCTTCGTTTTCCCTATGGTGACGTCGCCCATAATATCGCCAGCGGTGTCACTTTCGTGGAATTTATAACTGAAACAATCGCCGAATTGTTCCGTACAGAGTCGGGCAACTTGTTTAATTTTCCACAGGTCGTCGTGTTCGCTGCCAATGCCGTTTCCTTTATAATGCTTGTCTTCTGGGTGGTCGTGATCGTGGCCGTGATCGTGACCGTGATCATGATCGTGATCGTGATCGTGATCGTGATTACAGCTTCGACTGCTCATTTTAACACTTGCAGGCGAAGAGTCAACACTGAGAAGTATAGCCATTACACTGTCTGCGACTGTGTCATTCATTATTCCTTGAGACCACTCTAAAGTCGCGACACTCTTGATAATATTCAGTTTAACGTCGCCCATGATTTTTAACTCGAGCTCACCTGCATTGTTCGCGCTTGGCTTCGCAGGCTCCTGGGTCTTGTGAGTGATGCCCTCGTCGTCGATTAAGACTTCCATGTCTCCAAACATCTGACACAGGTGCCAATAGATCAACTCTTTTTTGCAGTCTATATGGATGGTTTGACGCTCCCGCAGCACGGTGGTTGATAGATCCATGTGGTAATCCCTCAGATCCGAAAGTGATACCAGATTCAAATCGAAATTCTTCTCATCCGAAACCAAAATCCCCGAAACAATTGTTTTCTCGTCCGTCTCCTTCTTCCTGTCTGGTGACCCATTGCTCTCTTCTTGTTCTGCCTTGATTTCACTGCCAAGGTCCGGCTTGACTTGGACACCCAAAGCGCTTGTTACTTCGTCCACAATATTGCCAATGGCCTTTGCGACTTTGATCCCTGAAAACTCCAACTCAACCACAACACAGTTACGCGGGTTGAATACGTGAACCTCGTCCTCTGTTCCCTTCAATGATGCAAAATTCGACAAAAGCGCTGATTTCAGACGGCCCATAGGGTTCGATTCGCCATGCACCAGTATAACATTTCTCGCACCAATCTTTTCCATAAACTCCAGATTTTCACGGAAGTCTACATGCGCTGCGAACGATATCTCCTCGATTTGACAACGTCTTGGTATATTAACTTCCGGATTGTTGACGGAAGGAATCGTATCAGGTTCCAGCATGATATATTTAGCCATCGTCCCTTCCACAGAGTACCCGGTAATAAGAACCAAGTTTTTGTTGTCAGGGCACCATTTTTCCAAAAGGTCCCTTGATATACCGTTTTGCAACATACCGGGAGAAGCCAGCATAACACTAGGCCCAAAATCCTGAAAATCGTCAAGGTTCTTGAGGTAAGAGATATTTTTGAAAATGAAAGGATTGGATTGGGAGTCTCTAAACTTTTTCCTTATGTCGTCGTTCATCATATTCACATACGTTTGGAACACACCCATACACTTTCTAGCCAGATTCGAAGCGTAAAAGATGGGAACTTGGCCGTTGCCCAACTCCTCGGAGTGTTTGGACCAGAATTCGTCTAAGATCAGCATGATCTCCTGAGCTCTTCCCAGTGCAAATACAGGTAACAAAACTCTGCCCCCTCGCAACACTGTTGAGTGTATGAGTTGCGTCAACTTCTTTTCTCGGTTGACTCTAGGTTCGTGAGTGGCAGTGCCAAATGTAGACTCAACGATTAGAATGTCAGAGGAAGATGGAGGAACCTCGGCAGAATTCAAATGCCGATCTATCTCCCGAGAGTAGTCGCCAGTAAATAGTGTTTTCAATCCCGCAATCTCGAGCTGAAACATGGCAGCACCCAGTACGTGGCCGGCATGGAAAGCAGTAAATTTGATCCCATTCACATCGGTGGTGGAATGGAAATCTATAGTTTCGATTCTGTCAAAAGATTTCGCCAGGTCCTCATCCGAGTAAAGGTTTTCGTCTTTGTCTGTTGAACCAGAAGACCCGATGCTGGTGACTTTGACGAAATCACTTAGGAGCCAACGATAGATGGCCTTGGTTGGATGTGTCATGAAAACTCGACCTCGAAAATTGGTCCTCTGCATTACATAGGGCAGAGAAGCAGCGTGATCCAAGTGAAAATGTGAAATGAGGAGTACATCAACTGTGGAAAGGTCAAATTCATCGTAGAAGGGCAGCGAGGCTAATCCTTGATGGGCTGGGTGGATTCCTGCATCGAGCATCACGGTCTTGCCCTTATATTGCAGGATGTGACACGATCTGCCAACTTCGTTGCTACCTCCGAGCCCGAAGAACTTAAAAGACGTCTTGCTGAGCGATTGAGTTTGATCGGAAGACATTTTTACTTTTCTTTGTTTCGATCGATTGTAATCTTGTTGGCTTTGAAGTAAGGTGAAGGAAGTATCGTCTGGAGAACGATGAGGTGTGGATGCGAACTAATACTCTTCTAGGACTGGAGTAAGAGAGCAAAATAGATGGATGTAAGCTTTCCTGAGCTGAAGCCACGAACTGAGAGCACGGAAATTGTAGGGGAAGGAGCAAAGACTTGGGATATTTGGTTTAAAATGAAGTAGATTCAAGTTAGTAAAGTGAACAACTTGACTTCAATATTCAGCAAGAAAAGTCTGCAACAAAAAAGTGTGATACTAACTTCTTTTAGTCCCACAAATGTGTCCTGTACTACCAACAGGTCAACTCAGACGCTCTGTAACTCCCAGGTTGCGAGATAGGTTGTTCTCAGTTCAGGTTGTAATTGTTCAGATTTTACGCTGAATTGAAAAATGGACATCTTCATGTGACTTTTTAAAAGCTGAACATTTGGCAGACAGAGTGACACTCGAAATACAGAAGGTGAGCGGATGAGCACTCGTAATTATTTGGTTACTGGTAGGCAAATATAAATAATGCCGAGCTCTCGTCTCCTTTCTTTAATTTTGGCCATCCTCTGTTACTGATGAAGTAAAGTTACGAAATGGGCAGATATTAAAATCTTCAGATGGGGATGGCAACGTAACAAGACATACATACCGTTTTTACGTTATTTACTACAAGAATTTCACAATTTTAGGCGATATTTGACACTTAGGTTGAAGGTTCAACAAGTTACGGTTATATGAGGTATTGTTATTAAATCTCAAATTATGTAGATGACCAACAAAGCTTAAGTAGTTCTGTGATCAACTACAGAAAGCGCAAAAGATGCCAAAAAAAAGACCATGACTCTTAGGCAGTTTGTGCATTCTCTCAAAACTTCCGCTAAGATTCACTGGGTACTGTACTCATCGCCTGCGACGCACTAGTATAAAGTGATGTGTAGATAAATGACAAAGAACGGGTTCAAGTGACAAAGCAAAGGGCAAGCCAAGGAAACTCCAGTACGGCCAGATATGGTGTTTGCAGTGGAAATACTAAATCTGGTGTATACTCTCAAATAGTATTATATCCTTCTTGATATAAATATGCCGCTAAATTTACAAATTGGGCCGAAAAGAACACCCCAGCCACATGGTATCCCCGACATCGACATTATGAGTCCATTGATTCGAGGCCCGATGCAAATGCTTGAAAATCGCTAGACTAGCCGTATCCGAACTAAGCAAGAAACCCGTAATCGTCGTTTACAGTCCAAAATTCCTCCACAGGTGTTCCTAACAACAGGTCAGACTGAAATTGTCCTCTCACGGGCTGAGAATTGAACCTTCCGAGATGAGATTGTGGTTGCCACCGTTGTTGCTGTTGCTGTTGCTGAGGGTGTGTGATTTGCTGCTGCTGTTGTTGGTAATCGGGTTGTGAATGCAGCTGTGTTTGTTCTCTATGCGCCGGTGGTATTTGATGTTGCCCTGGTATTAGAGGCTTTGCCAATTGTGGCATCGTTGAAGTCGACATGGTGTATTTGGCAGAGTAAGGGTAGGAGCTCGTGGCATCAAAACGGTTGGAAGAGTTTGAATTCATGTTCAAGTTCGAAGATGAACTCTGGTCTGCCTGGTAATTGCTCATCAAGTCCACCACAGAGTCATTTGTCCATGTTGATATGTTATTGATCATGTTGTGCGTTCCATTGTTGAACAAAACTCCATTGAAGTTCGCGTCCGAGCTTGTGAAGCCGTTGACAGATCGACGCTGAACAGATGCAGCCGGGGGGCTCGAAAGTGATGTTCGCATGGCTTGAGACGTCGCAATTGGCACAGGGCCCTTGCTAGTCCCCAAGTATGCAGTTCCCACTGACTGGGTCCACGACGGATCGTTGACTGCAGGCGCATTAACGCCTTTCAAACTCGTTACATTGATGTCAGACGATTGTATCGGACGCTCAACTCCAACGGGGCGCTCTTGTACTTGCTTCGATTCGGGAATGGCCCCACCATTACGATCTTTACCATTGAGTGAGGCCAAATAAGCCTGTAAAGTCTGCTGCGCGTGGTGCTGCTGTAGAAAGGACTTTTGTTGGAAAGCTTTCCAATCAGATTCCGTTATATGCGCTGGCTTCTTCACAAAAAATTTGTCCTTTTCAGATTGATGTCTAGCGTTGCCGTTGGACCTATTCTTCGGGGCAATAGACGAGAGCTTTTCTGTTACCTCACCTTCATCGATGTCGGGTGCCAAAAGATAAGACAGCTTCTGCGGCACGGTAGCCTTTCGAAGATCGCCTTGCTTTTTCTTCAATACCATCCGTTCTTCTAGATCAACCTGAGGTGTATCTACAAAGCCCACATGGTCATCGTTACTGGTACCAAAGGTACGCTTGATGGCCGGCGGCATGCCTGCTTCTGACGATTGAGAACCTGCATCTGGTCCGCTTTTATCCGAAAATTCAGAGCGGCCGTCAATTGAATAATCGCTCTCGCTCAAATTATCTTTGATGTAAATCAGCTCTGAAGAATCGGGTCCACAACGTTCAATTAAATTTCCAATGGTGGCATTCATGAGCTGGTCAAAAGTATCTCTAAAAGTTATGGCAAATTTGGATCTTTCTGCCATGACGTACAGACAGGCAGAACATGCCCTTAGATCGTCCATTGTTGAAAACAGACTTGCACTCACTAACGGCCTGGTGTGCTTCGAGATGTCACCCAGTTTTCTCCGTCTTTCATCGTCCCAATTTCTGGTCAACCACATACAATATATCAAGGTTACTCCGGCAACAAACACCGTATGTACAGCGGGCGTGGAATGCCCATAAACTGTCTTTTGATGGAAAATTTTATAAAGCTGGCATATCTGACCGGCAGCTGCCTGGCATTCTCGAAACAGCCGATTTTCGGGCTCGAGAAGCTCGAGGTAAGGCTGAATCAATAGTCTCACGGATCTGAAATAGTATAACTTCAAAGTTTCATTTTCAAAATTAGGGATGTGAGAAGTTGAACAGTTTGACCTCCATATTTCCAAGTCGTGGAAAAACGTCTTCACTTGTTGTAAATGCTTAGCCAATTCCTTGGTTTCTTTGTAGTTTTCGAGTGTCGTGTTGCAGGTTTGCGGTATAATTTGAAGCCGTTCCACAAACTGAGACTCTATCCGTCTCAATTTTAAAGACTGATTGATAAAATTCAGTCCCCTTTCATGCCTCTTGTCATCGTTCATCAAACCGCTATTAAAGCTGGCCAAGTCGAAAAGAGGCAAGTCAATTTCAGACTCCGGTATCGTATAAGGTTTCCCAACCGCCACGCAGATCATTCTTTCCAATAAGTAAACGCACCAAAATAAACGAAGTTTCTTGCTCGCAAAAAGGTCCTGTGCGTTCCATCTATTGAGATACAGCTTGTTTTTGCAAATTGACATCACGTCTTTGATTATCTCGTAGAGACCACTCGAGTCACGATCGGTCCTTATCATGTACAATACCAGCAAAGTAAGTATCTCGACTTGCTGAATGTATGTCAGGTTCTCCCCGCACTTTGTGATATGGCGAATAGCGGTCGAGAAATAACGGTTAGGTGGCAGTCCCTGGTACTTGCCAGCTGACATATGAAGACACGCGCTAATACTAAAGATCAGCCACAATCTACCGCATGCAAAGTGAAATTCCTTGGTCGAGTAAGAGTGGACGTTGTTGCTAATGTAGTCATCGTGGAAGCTGTAAATTTCCTTTTTATCGAGCAAAGGGTACTTGAACTGAAGTCTTGTGAAATAAGTATCAAGAAAGGCCCTGGACAACTGTTCTTCGAACTCGAAAGCCGGGTCGTACGACAAAAAGTCTCGAAGATTATACTTGGCAAAGATGCAATGAGAAAAATCGATGGATTCCAGCGAGTCCGAGGTCAGCGCAGCAAGCGAGCTTGCCACACGATTGCTAATGCGCACTTTACCACTAGAATGAGTCTCAGGCTGCAGAGGAAAAAATTTGACCGTTTGAGGTGGGGGCAGAATAGGCGACGAGCACGCGGACGACGACAATGGTGGACGAATCGGAAACTGCGGCGTGGGGGCACCTGCACCGCCAGCAGAAAGTGGCGGGGATTGTGATTCTTCTGTTTCGCCCAGTGCTGGGCCCTCCATAAGATGTGCGATCCGCTTGTAGTTGGCAAGTTTTCTTTTGAAAGGCTGTCCTGTAGGAGGCATGTCCAGCATTTTTTCCAGATATCGCAGTTTTTTTTCGAGAAACTTGGTATACTCGTCTGGCCTTGGTGCCTTGACATCGGTCCCACCTGTCCCGTCCAAGGTTGTCGCGCCCTGTCCACACAGATTGCCTGCTGAAGCCTGCAGCAGCGAATCCGACGGCGTGCTCACGTACTTGACTGGCTGCACACACTTCACACCAGCTTTCAAACACGCAGTACAGCTTGGAACCTTGTGATCACACCGTCGTTTTCGTCGCTGGCATAACAGGCATGACCTCGACCGTCCTTTTTTGTCTTTGAGCAGTATCTCTGGATCCTGGCCTGCAAGTTCTAGCTCTAACTGAAACTGCTCTATCTTCTCCTGACTCACAATCTTCGGTGGACGCCCCATCCCAGTCCAGTTTCGTCTCTCTCGGTCTGCTTTCGAACCGTCGACAGGACGGAAGGTAGTTGACAAATCGTGTTCCAATTGTTGATTTATTAGGTTTATCGTCACTATCGACGGCAAGAGCCAGGGCCCTGTCAGGTGATGCAACAATGATGAGGACGATGACGTAAGCATATAGGGCCCTGGGGCCAACGAACAGAGGATGAGATGGGAAAGGGAGTAGAATAGACAGACCGGTGTGCTCCATGGATGCTGTGCCGATGGACGTGAGGGGAGTATCGTGGTGATTGCGAAGGTTTTTTCCTCCGTAAATTTGAGTGATTTTCAAGTTGTCATCGCCGTTATTTCGTCACTTGTGAAATCTTGAACTTTAAGCTTTGTCCGGAGTTGTCGAGGACTCCGAAAGGACAGAGTGACGGTAGAGTATTCGATGTTCTGGGCAACAAAGGCTCGAGTACGTGGTCGCATAGTGATGTTGTGCGTGAGATATTCATCTTGACATCTTTTGGTAGAGCTGAAAGAAGAAGGGCTTCAACTCCGGAATTGTGCGAGATTTTTCACCGATCTCGATCTGAACTTTAGCTGCGCAAGTATATCTTCCCTCCTAATCCACAGCTTACACTCACCCAAGCTCCCTACACCTTGCCCCGCAAAAGACTCTCCAAAAGCTGCTCCTCTTCCTGCACTTCTTTGAGCCGTTCCTGTCTCCGGGCGTCCCCATGTCGGTCATGCTTGTCGCGACTTTTACGTTCTCGGCTGCGTTTACCCTGTTTCTCCCACTCGTGTAGTGCAGTCTGGCGAGCTGTTGGGTTCCCACCATTTTGCCATATGGCCAACTGTAGCGCGAGCTTCTCGCGTGCAATCTTCCTGTTTTGCTCGCGAGATCGCGTTTCTTGGCACTCTACAACAATACCGCTAGGAACGTGCTTCAACTGCACCTTACTGTTGCATTTGTTTATCTTTTGGCCGCCAGGCCCTCTTCCTCCATGCAAGAACTTCTCCTCCAGTTCTGGCTCAATTTCGACCGTCAGTTTTGGCCTCGGAGGCAGCTTATTCTTCTTGACTAGCGTTGTAGTACATGAGTGTAACTGGTGGCGCACAGTTGGTGCTATTCTCAATAGTCTTGGTGTCATTGTAGTGTTGATGTAGCTGAGATGTCCATAAATTTAAATACAATTCTCTAATTATGAAAAGCTACCATAAACTGACGCAACCAAAGGAGTATTGATTGAGTCCTGATATACTTTTATGGATTAAGTAGTTGAACTTGATGTGCATTCTACTCGCATCTTCAGCTCACCCTAAGTATTCTCTGATCTTGATATCTAATAGGGACGAGTTTTACGAACGAGAGACTCAGCATACAAGTTTAGACCAAGATGGATTTGTGCTTTGTCCAATCGATTTGGCTCTCAATAGCGATGGAACTGCCAAACGGGGTACCTGGTGTGGAGCGAACAAAGACGGTAAGATTGCAGTGGTGCTGAACTTAAGGCACAATGGGGCACGCCAAGCTGGGACGTGTGCAAATCCAGTGTTTTCCAGAGGAAGCGTGCCCATGAGGTTTCTGAATGATCGAAGTCCATTCAATGAGTGGAATTCATTTGAAAAATTCGCGCACAAGTATCCTCTGATCCGAAATGGGGATCTCAACCTGTTTGTGGGCGATTGTAAGAACAACAAGTTCACTGCCATGGACTCTTTTGGCCTTAGCCTGCCCGTTCTAACTGCAGAAAATCCATATCTAGTCATCTCTAATGACTTTATCGACTCAGACAACAAATGGCCTAAAAGACAAACGGCAGAGAACTTGCTCCGTCAGCTTGTTACCACTTCTTCGAACGCCTTAGAAGACCAATTAATTGACCAGTGTCTCAAACTCGCTTCCAACTCCGAATGCGACGAAAATGGTGATATTTTGAAGGAGCAGCTAACTACGAATAGCATTTTCATTCCCCCTCTCGCAGCTCAGTCTGACCCCAACGCAGGGGCTACATTACAGTGCGGCAAATACTACGGTACTCGCTCGCAAATTGTGATTTTGGTTTCGAGAAGTGAACCAACGATGACCTTTGTAGAAAGAGTTTTACACGATTCAGACAATGATGCCTCTGCGTTTTCTCCGGCTCATCCGAAGCAACGAGTCATGTTTAAAATGAGTCTTGAGAGCGATCGAAATTCAGGGTCTTTTATCAATTAGGCATAGGCGCCGTACATCGGACGCACCCAACTATATGGAAAAATAGAGCGTGGCAACAATATCTTCATGTCATCGGTCAACTGTTTATTTTCACCAGCATACCTCCCTGTCATAAAAAGCCAGTGGCAAGCGCCTCTTATATCAATAGCGTATCTGCCAGAATGTATATCTTTGGATGATGTACAAGTTCGAGCTGACGCAACGCGTTCGATCTCTCATCGCTCATTTGAAGACAAGCCGAAAGAGTTTTGCAATCATCGGAAGCCACAAAAAGTGGCTCACTCTATTTTTCTTACTTTGAGTGAGCGTGCAGTGCAATGAGTGCTTCTTTTACTGTCGCAAGATAAGATCTACAATAAGAGGGTAGGAAGACGAAGAGCCTTCGGGTAGGAAGTTACATTTCTATCCAGCACAGTGCAGCTAAGACTACGTGGTATGCAATGACTTTGTGATAGCAGTGGAACTCGCACTAGAAACTAATCTGACGAAGTTAAGTGATTTGGAAACCATGATTTAATATTGTCTCAATTCTAAAAGTCGTATAGGCAAAAACGCACCTATTGACTCCGAATTTCTCATAAAATCATTCAAAGTTCTCGTACTAATATCAAAAAGCTGTTGGTGCTCAAAAACGCGGTCTTTACATTCAATTGTCCGTTCATGTAAATAAATGTCAATATTTATATCATCAGTTGATTTCAGCTTTGGAATATTACAATTTATTTTAAAGAACAACTGGTGAAAGTTGACTTTTTCGACCTCAGCCGGCCCGAGCACATATGAAATTTCATGTTAGTCCTCTCTTTGGGTGGGCCAGACAGTCCAGAAGATCTCTCCTTGGTGTCAAACTGGCATATACTCGTTCTAAGACAACAAGTACATTAGATGAGCCAAATAGAGACATTGGGCTCGAACACAGAGCAGCCTTATCTGAAGACTTGGTAGGCAAACTTCCTGAACAGCTGGTTTCTGAGGGGAATGGTTTTGAGTCGACTACTGCGGAAAATCAAATCGACACTTTAAGGTGCTATGAGAAGCTTCTGCGAAGTGGCTTCACACCGAAGCAGAGTTCGCTAGCAATCGAACTACTTCTCCAAACGCTAAACAATGAGTTCTTCGATAACTATAACGACAAGTATCTGCGCAAAACGGAGCTAGAGACCCAATCGCATCTCTTCAACGCTGCTGAGTCAGAGTTGAGATACTCGATTCAGGTCTCAAGAGAATCGGCTCTGAACGAGCAAAACCTGAAGCTTCTGCAGCTTAATCGCAGTCTACATTCGCTACACGATGAGCTGAATGAATTGATGATAAACCTATTGAAAAAGGACTCAAAAGTCGACTTCAATGATCGTAAAATCGAAAACACTCTGTTGCACCGAAACATTCACCTGAAGCTTAAAGACTGCAACAACAAGATTGGCACTCGAATCATTGGTGATACCAAATCCGACATCGAGAACCTGAGGTGGCAGACGACACGCAGTGGTCTCTTTGCAGTTCTGGGGCTGGTCTTCTTCATCATGAGCGGCGTAAGCATATCGAAACGCATGAGCTCAGAAAACGAGAAGCCTGCAGAGGTTGTGCTGCATACCATTGAACCAGAGGAAGACGATCGGGAGGATGACGATGATGAAGAAGACGATGTTTAAGGGAATGACAATGACGAGGACCCAAATTTGCTTCGAGGTTTAAGCAATGGAGTACCCACAAGCATTGTATTGCAAAACATAAGCACGGTGAAAAAAATGAGTTAAAAAAGATACTGGTTGCCATGCATCCAATCCACTTCCTTAAAATTTGTGCTTGCGCTTTTTCATGCCTATTTCCTGGAAGCGCTGCTGGGGGAGACTTTGAACCCAGTATTTCATGGCATCGGCAACCTCATCGATGTTGGCACGCTTGAGCTCTGAAAGAATGGGTCTTTTAAGAAGCTCCTTCATGTTAATAATACTGTCGTGGTGGAGACCCGATGTTTTTTCTTGAAGATCGCTCAGCACCTGAGAGTTGAAAGTTTCCGTGTCGGAAAGCATGTAGTTGCGCACAATCACTTTGTCGATGAGCTGGTGATAGGTGACAGGCTTGGCAAACATGAGAATTTCGTGGGCCACGTTGTACCCGAGTTTCATGGGCAGCGTCACGGAAAGGGCGCCCTCCGTCACCAGGGCCAGGTTCGCGAACGGGAACATCAAGTAAACCTTGTCGTTCATGCTGTATACAATGTCGCACAACATCACGAGTGCTGCAGTAAGCCCCACGGCTGGCCCGTTTAGACAGCACACCAGGATTTTGGAATGCGACGCAAACGTGTGCGTCACGAACACATTGCGACTGGCAAACTCGGCAAGCCATTTCCCAAGCATTCCTGTGGGATCCTGCTGCGCAGCTTTTTGAACTTTACTGATATGCGAGATGTCTGCACCTGCTGAGAAAAACCGACCTGTGCTCTGCAATACGGTAAAACTCACCGACTCACACGTTTCTGCGATTTCCAAAAGCCGTGCCAGGTACAGGAAATCTGTTCCAGAGAGCGAATTGAGCGTTTGAGGGTCCGTGAACGTGATGATGAAGAACTCACCGTCTACGCGGTAAGACATCTTGCGGCTTTCCATCTTGCTGAGGTCCGACATATCTAGATACTTAAAAACGTTTACTTGAACTATAGACTGAAGCCTTCGAAAACTGGGCACTTGTTCGAGATTTGGGAACTATTCTGGAGTGGTTCCGAGCTCTTAAACCTTGGGTTCTTGTAGCTCGATACATGTCTTTATATATATATATATATATATGTCAGTAATAGTAAACTAGTCACACCTCTGTGAAAAACCCTTGAAGCTCGAACCCCGACGGCAGCGGAAAGGTGAATAGAGAAACACCAGCTAATTCGACCGGCTTCGGATGCGAAAGACGTTCAATAATGGTTACTAATTTATTAAGGTCTAATACCACAGGCGACGACTCTCGGTTATCTTCTACAACTCAGCAAAGATGATTATTGTGTGTCAGGAAACATCGAGCGGAGAGAGGTTTAAAAAGATATTAAGAGGGAGCAAAGTGTGGAATTAAGAAAGCTTAGTTCAAGGTCGAATCGGAAAGGGTTTACTATACAACTGAGAGTAGCTATGGTATAGACGACAGACAAGTTAAGAGTTGTTATAATAGTAAATTATGAGGTGTGTGCTCGTACGAGGTGATTAAACATTATCTCAGAGCTGGAAGATACACCGAAGGGCTACGGTTTTGAGATCAGAAAGCGCACTGTAGCGGGTATATAGAGCTCGAAGCTTGGAAGATTGCGAAATTTGGGGTTTTGAGCGTAGCTTTGATACATGATGTCTGAAAAAAGATGCTATAATATTTGAACAGTTTTTGCTGGTCCTAGAATTTAGAAAAGTGATGGAGATAAAGGCGGCTTTTGATTGAGAACTTGGTTTTTTGAAGCCGGAATACGCTAGTTGTGGGATCTTATTTGGCCCGATTTTTATGTGATGACACACTCGTCCAACATGACTAATATCAATATAGATTGCCAGAGAAATTGTTCAGTGGTCGATGGCATGCGATGAGCTAACGGTCGAACTTAAAGACAAAAAAGAGATCGACTTAGGCTCGTGCTGGTGGCCCTAAAACGTTGATAGAAGATACATCTGGCTCTCGTCTTTCTCTCCACGAATTTCTTTTTCTCAGATGTCTGACGCCGAATCCCTGATACAGGTCGATCTGTTCGCAGAGCCCGAGGACTACTATGAACCAGCCCCAGAGGCGCATTTCGCTTATTACGAAAGAACAGAAATCCCAGAATGCTCGGAATCTAAGTCTAAATCTGTCAAACTGCGGCTTGTCGGCTCCTCGCCGCTATGGGGCCATTTGTTGTGGAACGCCGGAATCTATACAGCAAAACATCTCGACAGATTCCCAGAGCTTGTGCGCGACAAGTGCGTCTTGGAACTGGGAGCAGCTGCTGCTCTACCGTCTATCGTTGCCGGTCTCATCGGTACGAAAAAATGCGTCGCCACAGACTATCCTGACGCCGATTTGATCTCCAACATCCAGTACAACGTGGACCATGAGCTTTATAATGGAGAGTCCGATTTTGAACCGGCCAAAAGACCCGTCGTTGTAGAGGGCTACATCTGGGGCAATAGCTACGATCCTATTTCAGCCCATCTGCCTGCGGGACAGTCCAAATTCGATCTCATCATCCTGAGCGATCTGGTCTTCAACCACACCGAGCATTTGAAGCTTCTACAAACAACCAAGGATCTTTTGGCTCCCAATGGTAAAGCCCTGGTGGTATTCTCACCTCACAGACCTTGGCTCTTGGAGAAAGACCTGCAATTTTTCGAGACCGCTAAGGAGTTCGATCTCGTGCCAGAAAAGATTGAACTAGTCAACTGGAAACCCATGTTTGTCGAGGACGAAGAAACCAGTGAAGTCAGATCTAGAGTGTACTCATTCTATTTAACACACAAGTCATGAATGAAATTGTTCTCTTATTAAACTTATCTATAGTACACGTTGTAACGTCCTAGAGGGGTATTATATGCGGAATGATGATGGGGCTGACGTTTCGCTCAATGCAGAAGGTAGGACCAAGTCTGGCACAAAAGTATGGCGCAAGAAGTATGGCGCAAGAGAGTCATACAAAGCTGCTTCTCATATAGGCGAAGTTACAGCTGGTGTAGACAGTGTCGTCAAAATCGTACGCGAAACAAGTGGTACCTACAGCACATTCAGTGTAGACCCAGGAACCATGATCACAAATCGTGATCTGACCGTCACCAGAACAAACAATTTCGCCATCTGAACAGCTAGACTTACCATTTAGCTGGCCAGCAGCGTACTGTGCATTCAATTCGATGGCTCTGGTGTGGGCCCATGAGGTGGCGGTGGGAGCACTTGTAGATGTTGTGGTTGGAACAAATGTGGGAACGTTGGTGGGAGCCAAAATAGTCGTGCTTACACCTGGACCTGAGGAAGAAGTAGGAGTAAGTGTCTCAGAGCCACTAGAAGATGTAGTAGCTGATGTGGAAACAGGGGTAGTTGTTGTGGGTGCCTTGGAAGAAGAAGCGGCAGCTGAGGTAGAGACAGAGGTAGATGACTCAAGTACAACCGAGAAAGCCGAAGCTGAGGTTTTACTGGATGATGAAGATGTTGAAACAAGCAGGGAGGAAACAGCGGAGGAGGTAGACGTGCTGTAGATAACAGCGGGTGCGCTCGATGATGAGGGTTGTGCGTGAGCATGAGAGGAAGGAAGTGTGCTCGACATAGATAATGAAGTGGTCAACGAAGTGAATGAAATGGCACTTACGTCAAAAGCAGATGAAGATGCAAAGGACTGAGAAATCGAGGACGTGGTGGCTGGGGTGGAGCTCACATCAGACGTAGTCGATGCAGAGGCGACGAAAGAAGAGGTGACCGCGGACAATCCAGCAAAGCTTGTACTGCTCGACGCGGAGAGAGTGCTGGAAGCAATAGTAGAGCTGGAAACAAGCGATGAAGCAGTAGAAGACGCAACGGTGCTGCTTTGCAAAGTGGTGCTTTCAGAACTTATAGAGTTCAAAATGCTTTTCATTTGAGCCGCATAAGTTTTACCGTCGACCTTGTTGGTAAAACTCTGAGAGGCGTCCCATAGCATAATACCGCCAAAGTTGGCGCTTTCGCCAATTGAGTTGACAGTGGATTGTACTAAGCTCATATCTGAGAGGTAGCCAGAACCAGCAGCGGAGGAAGAGCCTGGCAATCCTAGATACAGTTTGATGTTAGGGTTTGGAGCACCAGCGGCAAACTCCGTCCAGGTATCCCAATTGAAATGAGTACCGACATTACAGTAGTTGTTGTAAAATTGAATGAAGGCGAAGTCAAGCTCTGCGTTGTTCATCAAATCACCCACGGAAGCATCAGGATAGAAACACTGTGGGGCGGCAGACAGGTAGTACTTCTTGGAAGAGTCAGAGTTAAAGTAGTTTCTGAGTTTCTTGGCCAAAGCAGCATAGCCAGTAGGATTTTGATTTTCGATATCGAAATCGAAACCATCGATAACAGCATCATTGAAAGGACGTTCAGAGGTAGAGCCACCAGCAAAAGTATTCCATAGAGTAGTGGCGAAATCTTCGGCTTCGGAATCGCTGGAGAACCCGTATGAGCCAATGGCACCTCCCATGGAAAGCATCACTTTCTTGCCTTGACTTTGGCATGTTTTAATATCTTGTCCAATTTGGTCGCAGTGCAGAAGACCGTCTCCGAAAGAAGAAGAACAAGCACTGCTGAAGTCAAGCCCAAGGTTTCCGGGGAATGCGTATAGGAAGGATAGAAGTACGATGTCGACATCTGAAGATTGACAGTATGATGCCAGAGACTCCTGAGAGCCGGCGGAGGCCTGGCCCCAGTAGACAGCAACATTTGATTTGGAATCGGCGTTGAAACCAAGCACGAGCGACAGCTTCAGTATTAGAGCAGTGATCAAAATAAGCATTTTCAGGGTGTGCGGTATGGAAAATCTGTGTGTTGAGAATAAAGATATGACTTGTCACCGACTTTTATGATACCTAGCACAGACAGGTTTTCACTTTTTGAAGGCTGATGGACTAGAGTTTCTGAAACAGATACCCATTGAGACCCACATATGAGACAGTGTTTCTGCAGCCCTTTATATATTTGAAACTCTATGGTGTGAACTTGTGAAGCAAAAGCTTCAAAATCTTGACCAACGATGACTGCTGCAGGCTTGCATTGTGGTCCGTGAGTCCAGCTGGTCAGCTCGAGGACCAAACAAACACAGATTCGCGAATCTTGTTTGAAGATTTCCGTTCACTCACGAAAACCTATCATCCTGAAACCATTGCCACGAACGGACAATCACTGCTGGAGTAAACACACCAACTCAAACGCTGAACATTATGACCATTCGAGTCGCGTGCCATTGTTTGTTTTGAAAACATTTTGAAACCCAAAGGTGGTTCGGCAGTGCTTTGCACGATGGATAAACCTGGTCAAGGGCTGAGACCCAGCCATTCCAATTCTCGATGTTCGTAGATGACGATATTTTGCTTAGCTCGTGCCAGCGCTACTGCTGGTAACGTTACGGGCCAAGCTAGCCAGGTCTCGCAAGCTAGTAAGGCTGTGCATTGTGGAGAGGGAGCTGTCACATTGTTTTGTTTCTCATTTTCTTGTTGTTTACAGCATTGTTTGGCGGCGTGTTTTGCAAACATTGGGTCTTGCCGGTCTGCTTGTAGTTTCAGGGCATTTGTTATTGTTTGCTGCTGCTAGTACAAAGTAACTGCCGAGAGTGCAGCTGCGGGAGAGCGCTTTCCTATGATTTTTGTGAGCTTTAAGGTGACAATGACAACAAAGACAGTCTTGACGTGCTTGTGTCATAATGGGGAGTTGCGAGTTGGGGAATTGTGGGTTGATACCAATGAAACGCAGCTTCGTGTCGAGACATAGGAGGAAGAGCGTTTTGGGCACATTTCTGGAGGTGAAAGACGTAGCAATGGGTAAAAGTGTAATTCTACCAGACTTTGAAACCCCCTACTTTTCTTTCTCTGAAATCGTGAGATTTCCATTCCTCTCAGCAACGACAACGACCGGGACCAGTGAGTGACAACTCGACATGTAGGCCACTTTTAATTGCCAATGGAGAGCGCAATGTGTTTTGGTTTGGCGTTTATATTTTTATTAGACAACAAATCACATAGTTCACAGTTTCTGATCACAACCAATTTAAGCCCGCTTTTATCGAGCCACGTTGTAATTCATAAAATTAGACGCTACTATAGGGCTCAAGAGAATACATAGTAGTCTATCTCAGCTCACATTCTTCGATTGGTAGCCATCTTTTGTAGTTTCGCGAATTATGTTGATCATTTAAAAATGACGCCTTAATAAAATGTCAGTAATATACAAATTAACATAAGTAAGGTATATGGGCAAACCGAACCGGCTTGGAGTCTAGTTTTTGAGAGTCAGAAAGGTCATGTGTGTGCATTGTCGTATTTCCTAGATATTAATACGTTATAAGGCGTATTTTGTAGCGAAACCGACCGTGCTAATAGTAGTATGCTGCGAATAGCGTAAGGCAGATGCTTTGGTCAAACCTAATTACTGACTACTCTCACCACATCTTTGAAAATTCTGTTCACAATAAAAAGCTCAGAAACTGCATACGACCGCGGTGTGGAAGGGCGATATAAACCACACTTTACTCATTTGCTTTTACCATCATACTGGCTTCAACCAGGAGGCCATACAAAAGAAAATGAGAAGAAGAAAAGAGCTTCTTTTTCTTTCTTGCGAAACATCGCCAGTGGAAGGAAACAAAGTCTCGGGAAGTAAGATCGTTAGTTTCCATGACTGGGGATAAAGCCCGACCTTGATTCACATTTTCGACATAGATCACCACTCCTTCAGCAATTCGAGGCCCAGAAACTCTGTTGCGAATACAGTAAGATATTGTAATGCTTGCCGAACTGCTAGACTATGTAACGTGTCGGACTGACGTCGCACTCTTCATTGCTGATCTTGTAAAACAGATTATCACTTTATACCAGACAGTCACCCTTCAGTCGCGTGACTTAGAATCAAGAATCATCTAGCTAAAAAGTTCCCGTCTGCACTAAAACATGGCCCCAGAACTCTCTGCTATAATACGCTACATCGAAAGTCTCGACTGAGCTCCAAAAGAATAGGAGAACCAGCACCTACAGCCCGAAACACCGGAAAGAAAATTCATTTTTCCGTTGAGGTTCCATTGAAAACCTACGCAGGAAAAGTCGAGGTAAAAAGCGCAATTGAGAGCACTCGCTCTCCCGTCATGTTAGCTCTCTTGAGCATCTTGCCTGAATATCGTTACACAATATCAGTTTCGAGAATTCTATGTCTGGTGACATAATAGTACAAAGTGATAAAACATCAAAATTAGTTATTGTCTTCAAGCTCTATAATCAATTCCACTTCTCATTTAGCAAGAACTCTACACTTAAAGACTACACGCTTCTTAACTAACCATTGAAGAGGATCGTCTGTTGCTTGTCAGTCACTTTCGCTTTAAACCTCTGATCAGAAGCTGTGTGGCATCTTTTATAAACATCGAAAAGGGGCCGCCATAAAAATTAAGATATTCAAAATTGTATCTTTTCTCTGGTTTTACTCCGAAAGAAATCTGGACAACCTGGAACGATAGAAGCCCTAGAAGCTTTTAAACACTCATTCGCTCATTTTCAGTAACTGAAACACTCTTCGGGCTCAAAAAGTTGGGTTTTTTAGGCCCTTTACAACCCGTTGCATAACCCGTTTAATCCTGTATAATACTATCTTAACTGCATTATCCAATGGGCCTTTTGAACGCCAATGACAAGGAGAAAATCAAGAGAGCACTTCCCAAAAGCTCCAACAAAATTGTGGATGTCACTGTTGCAAGGCTGTATGTGGCATATCCCAATCCCCAAGAGTGGCAGTACACTGGTCTTTCTGGAGCCATTACGCTAGTTGATGATATAGTCGGACACACTTTTTTTTTGAAGCTTGTGGATATTCAGGGCCACAGAGGCGTGTTGTGGGATCAAGAGCTATGCGTGGGGTTCGACTACCACCAGGATCGTACCTTTTTCCACACTTTTGAGCTAGAAGAATGCATGGCGGGCCTGCTCTTCGAAGATCTCGATGAAGCAGCACATCTGCTCAAAAGAGTACAAAAACGCGAGAAATACGCATCCAAGAAGACGTTAGCAAATAAAAACGCCATTGCATTGACTAAGAAATTACAGTCGGAACAAGAATCACAAGTGGTTTTTGGCCCCAGAGGCGAATCACTTATCAGTGATCAAAGACAGCGGTACAAGATACAGGACGAATTCGAGGCTCCAGTAACGAAGAAAAAAGCACCCCCACCACCCCCACCTGCCGCAGCGAGCTTTTCACCACCAAGACAAACATACGATGAACCCACAATTCCAAGTTTTTCGTCACCACAGGCGCATGAGGCTCCATCTCCATTTATTTCCAATGAGATGGACACTGCAGCGTCCGATTACGATAGCTCATCGGCAAGTGAGTCTGTATCTACCACGCCCGTCCCTCAGACGCCCCAACCCGTTCACAAGCTTCCGCCTATGCCTGTCTTTTCCAATCCTCCACCACCACCACCACCACCACAACCACCTGTAGCGCCAGTGTTACCAGCAGATTCAGCCCCTGGGCCACCACAACGTTCTACGCATAATCCATTTCCAATACCGGTGCAAAACGCCGCACCACATGCCCCACCTCCACCATTTCAACAAGCCAGTGGGACGGCTCCAGCTCCCTCTCTTCCCCAGGCTGCTCGTCCAGTGCCTGGCATTCCTCCTCGTTCTAATGGCCCACCTGCACCTCCGCCAAGAAGGGGGCCAGGCCCTCCTCCGCCACCGCGAAGAGTTGCTTCAAACCCAACAGGATACCAAGCGCCCGGACCTATCCAACCTTCTCTCACAGGTCCTGCACAGGGCCGACGTCCAGGTCCACCTCCACCGCCAAGACGCGGAGCTGCTCCTCCTCCACCACCAAGATCTGCCCGCGTATCTTCGGGACCACCACCGCCGCAGCGTAATGTTTCCGTTGCATCGCCACCACCAATGCATACGTTCCCACAACAAAGTGCGGTACTTCTCCCTCCTCCAGCACCAGCAATGCCACAATCGCAATTTAATGTGCAAGAAACTCTGCCTCCACCACCGCCACCACTTCCACCAACGACTCAACCGGCTAGTGGACAGCAACACTTTGCCCCTCCTCCAGCGCCTCCAGCGCCTCCAATGCAACTCTCAGGTCAAAGTGCTATCCCACCACCTCCAGCTATGCCTTCGCATGCTGTCACTGCCCCACCGCCTCCCGCTTTCTTAGCGCAACCTCAGCAAGTTGCACCTGCGCGCGGCGTGAGTGAAGTTACTGGTGACAGTGGACGCGACGCTCTACTTGCCTCCATCAGAGGTGCAGGTGGTATTGGTGCATTGCGCAAGACTGACAAATCACAGCTTGACAAACCAAGCGTAGTATTGCAAGAAGCTCGAGGGGAAAGCACTAGGCAGCCTTCTGGCACTGCGAGCAGTCCAGCCAATGGAGGCGGTGGTGGACCTGCTTCTCTTGCAGACGCACTAGCTGCTGCCCTAAACCAACGGAAGAGCAAAGTGGCACAAGACGACGGCGATTACGACAATGGCGATGATTGGTGAATGCGAATGCAGGTTACCGTCAGGAACTTACGAATCCCAGCAGAAAAACCAAAATCGCACCACTAGCGCAACCTCGAACTACTTGCGACGATGAGTACCTACGAAAAGAGCCTACAACATTAAAAAAGGACCGAATATAGTGATGGCGTTGCAGAATCAATGTTAAGATGGACACTACTGATAGAGGTTTTGACGGCCCAGAGAATCAATTTTTCTCTCGCAAGTATCGAAAAAACCGACGAGAAAAGAAGAAACACATGCAATATATCCCTGGTGCACTTCCAAGCCACTCAACTCCGCCATTGCCCTCCTAGCTTCTCGGAAGACCTGCGATGCCAGTCTGTTGACGTTACGGATCATTACACACGAACAAGTCATTGCATCGTCATACACATTCCAATGGATGGAATTGCCACGCTAGCGTGTCTACCTGCCTCATGATGGTCCCAATTTCCACGGTTTTGAGGCTTAGTTCATAGCAATAAAAGGTTTGGACATGATGTTCAATTTTCACGGTTCTTCGTTAATTTTAATGAAATTACAAGACCAATCTCACAAGGCTAAATAGTAACAGCATTTAACCTTTGAAATGGTAATAAACTAGCTCATTCTCATCTCAGAGTTCTCTATCCTCAAACTTCCTGGCGAAGCGTGTTGAGCACACCCTTTATGTTAGCTTACCCTTCTGTCGAATTTTCTAGCATATATATGAGAAATTTATATAAGATTAAGATATTGAACAATCAGTAAACTTCAACTAAATCTTGAGTTAAGAAATTCGCAATTTTAGCCGAAAGCAGTCGCGTAGCAAAGAATTACTTGAGTGGGACTTCAAATCTTTCAACCACCCGCTTGTTTCAACGTTTCCGATTCCAATTCCCGTTTAGTTTGCTCAATTTACAATGTCTACACTTATCAAATCTGCCAAATCGATTGTACCTTTGATGGACCGTGTTTTGGTGCAGAGAGCCAAGGCCGAGGCCAAGACGGCTTCTGGCTTGTACTTGCCTGAAAAAAACGTTCAAAAAATGAACCAGGCCACCGTTTTGGCCGTTGGTCCTGGCTTCACCGATGCTAACGGAAACAAGGTAGTTCCTCAGGTCGCTGTGGGTGACAACGTGCTAATTCCTCAATTTGGTGGCTCGAGCATTAAGCTCAAGGACGACGACGAGGTGGTTTTGTTTCGCGACAGCGAGATTCTAGCCAAACTCAACGAATAAGCGTTGGAACGTCGTCTGTTCCAATCACTCGACCACTGCCCACCGCATCTTGTAAATAGGAATGTTCACTGCGTGTGCAGCAGTGTTGGCTGAAGAACTTAGGTGCCGGGTTCATCCCTTTGTCGAAAGTGCCAAGCCAAAACTCGAAATATACGTCTATCTAGCTAAAGTACTTGTTATACCAAACTTGTATCCACTTGCCCTTCTTTTCGTCATCCTTGTTCAAGGCCTTGATGATTATGGCCATCTCTCGCACAGCGGTGTTCAGTTGCAACTTCAAGTCCTGAATCTCCTCGTCTTCGGCGTCGAAATCTTGACCTGCCATAAAAGTGGAGGACACCAATTCGTCGATCTCCGCCACAATGCGTTTGTGAAGCTCGTTGAGTTTATCGAGCTGCGAAGCCGTGGGCTCCTTGTTTTTGTAGTCATTCGAGGCAATCGATTTGGAAAACGACTGCAGCAGCAGACGAATCATCTTTAATTTTGATTGCCAGTCTTGAACAAATTGTATCATTTCCTTGGGTGCCTCTTGAGGCTCAGTTTCGCTAGTGCTGCCGCTTTCGTCGTTGTCAGAGTCACTGTCCAGTCCAAACGGATCATCGGATTCAACTCGCGGTTCTAAGAGCCATTCTTCTACCTCAGATAAAGTGTCACCCACAAGCTTGGCGCTTACTTGAATTTTCTGGTTCAGCAGACCCAGATTTCCCATGGTGGCCAGTTCCAGCATCGAGTCGCATGCAGCCCATATTTTGCCAATTGAGATCAGTCTTGCTGGAGTAGAATTTGAATCTTCTGTGCTGTCACCGGAGGCATCACTTGCTAATTTATCGAACGGTGTGGCTAAAAGCTGGCTTAAGTCGTCACACAAACCACTAATGCCATTTAAAAGGCCGAGAATATTCGCATCAAGCAGACTTGTGAAATATTGTGTGAATTGGCCCTGGTAGAATAGTGGTAATAGACTGATTAAGAAAAACACAGCATTAGCGAAAAGCTGGAGTTCTTTGAAAGCCGCGTCTAGGTTGTTGTGGAATTTGTCAGGATGCGAGACGATCCCGATTTTGGTGGAATGGGCCTTAAGTATCTGTGATAGTTTTTTCAGTTCAGCGATCGGATTTGAGTCTTGAAGCTTGATCTTGGGCTTCAACCCGTGCAGTTTTTCATAATAGTCGAAATTCTGAACAAAATCGGTTTGCAAAGTGGCAATCAATATCTTGATGTTGGCTGCAGAGTCAGACATTATAGGTCGATTTGAGAGAGCTTGAGTTCCGGGTCTTTTTAGTTTTATATCTTTCCGATGCCCAACTGGAAATTTATTCAACTTGAACAGAACATAGAATAATCAAACTACCATTCACTATTTGAACATGTGTATATACAAACGTATACAAAAACCGTAAAGCGATGGGGGAGCTGTTAACGAACGCCGAGCTCTCACGTTCACGTACTTGAAATAGTGTTTAAAAGAGATGTTTTTTTGCCAAGTTACTTAAAGACAAAGGAAAATAGTATGGTAAACATATTAATTAGAGTGAACATGACCTTGCACCGCTTAAGAGGATGGAGATGGGTTCATCTTTCTCTTACCGTTGGTCAAGGTGACGTTGACGAATCTTCTGGTGTACAAAATTCTCTTGCGAGCGCGGCCCTTAGGGGACTTTGGCTTTTCTTGCTTTTCAACCTTTGGGGTCTGAGACTTGACCTTACCAGCACGAGCTAGGGAACCGTGAACTTTACCCTGTAACGGAGGTTAGTATATGAGGAGGCGGGACGTTGGAGCGTCGAAGACCGGAAAAACGGGACGAAACGCAGGAAACGCAGGAAACGATGGAAATGGAATGTGGGAGGACCTCGTGAAATTGTCAGCAGCAGGTTGTTCCCACTACCCACTACTCTAAGCTCCACTTCAACGAGTTGGGACCTTTGAAGGCCATTAGACTTGAACAAACTTTATCCAGCTCAAAAGTGATCATGAAAACTTCATTTTGGGCTCATTTTGACCGCGTTTTTCACTCGTGTATTCTCAAACTCATCGTTGCTGTTCCCCCGTCTTCACAACAGTCTTCAGCGCATTTAGTTGTCATTTAAACGTACCATTTTGATTTGGTTTGTATGGAAAGTTCTTGTAACAAAAGAACGTGTTAGAAAGAAGAGTCTGTTATATGGGATAAGCTTTTTTTTGCCCCCATCACCACCCAAACTACCGTTGTACGGCGTAGCTTTCAAAAAAATTGAGAGTTGAAAAAACATTAAGAAAAACTGGGAAAAGCGACCCACGCGCGCGGTTTAAAGTGCGACCGTGCACAGACGAGGCCGTGGAGAGTTCCAAAATGGACCCATTTTAGTCACGTGCGTAGCAAAATGTGTTTTGATAGTGAGGTGTATGGGTGTAGACTTTCAAAAAAGCAGTCCAATGATGGACGACAGATTGTCAGTGGTCAACGATAGTGATTTCGACTAGAGTAATCGTCTTTGAGTGAGCATCGTGGGTAGAAGTGGAGGTGGAATTGGTTTAAAGTAGCTTTACGGATCTTTCAGAGTGCGATTGGATATTGGTGTTCTATTCGAGTGAGAGGTGGTAAACAAAAAATAGTTTTAGCATTTGTTCGCAATAAAATTGGCGATTTCGATTGTCCCTTGTATTATGGAATGTCTCTGGCTACTGGCTCTGGATTGTATTTTGACGGTCAACAAGAAACACGGTAAACAAGAAACCCGGTAAACTACACTGTCCGAGTTATCTATATTTAAGACGACAGGTAGACCTATCATATCACTTTGCACTAAGGTGTCGCTACAGTAGTCAGACGACTCGGGCGGAAGACAAACCGTTGCATGCGAATTCAAGTCTCTGTTTTAACTGTGATAAATCACCACATCCAGGAAGGTAGGCTGGCAGTGGAGACGTTCACGAAACAGTTTCTACAAGGACGAAGTACCCGTGGTGACAGAATAGTACGAAGTGATCTAGCGATACTGCAATTCTTAACAATCTGTAGTTTTACGCCGTGATGCCCTGGTCGAGGGCCCATTATTAACCTATAGCATCTAATTCCGCGTAGCTTCATTTCGCCATCTTTGGCTAGCAAAGTTAGGTCCACAACGGCCGACTCTCTGTCGCAATACCGAGAAAATTGACATTAATATTAAATTCATTTCCAATTTGGCAACGAACTTCATATTTGAGCTAACGGCACGATCAAAAGGTGTACAAAAAGCCCCTCCCCACTGTTCAAACTCATTCATGATAGCACGAAAATTCTACTCAAGGCTCAGCACTGCTTCGAATGGAATCGACCAACTCTTGGCTTCACATGCTGACTCGAACCCGTCACGTGATCCATTTAATTATTCAACTAAGCTATCATACTTATATACATCTTGAGTCACTGATCAACTATATATCTAGCATTGTTACGTTCAAAAGAGCTTCATATCTCCCCTAACAGTGCCCCTCAGCTATCAATAAATTACCAATGTCTCTAGAAAGAGAAGAACCTAGCCATTTTGGCGCTGGTCCAGCCCAATTGCCCACCAAAGTCTTGCAACAAGCTGCCCAAGATTTAGTAAATTACAACGGCATTGGCCTTGGAATCGGCGAGATTTCTCACCGTTCTGGCGACGCTAGTAATGTAATTGACAGTGCCAAGGCAAATTTACGTAAATTGATGAAAATTCCCGACACTCACGAGGTTTTCTTTATGCAGGGCGGTGGTACAACCGGGTTCTCATCTTTGGCTACCAACCTCACAGCTGCGCATGTCGGTAAAACGGGTTCTACTGGCACGGCTGGCTATCTCGTCACCGGGTCCTGGTCTGCAAAATCCCTGGAGGAGGCTCAAAGACTAGGGATCAAAAGCGAGGCCATCTTCAACGCCAAGGACTTCAACAATGGCAAATTCGGTGTGATTCCACCAGAATCGGCCTGGGCGGACAAATTGAAGGCCAAGGAATATTCCTACATTTACCTATGTGAAAACGAAACTGTCCACGGTATCGAGTGGCCAAAGCTACCAACAGCTTTGACAGATTCCGATGTTGATATCGTGGCAGATTTGTCCAGTGACATTCTCTCACGCGAAATCGACGTGTCGCAGTACAGTGTAATTATGGCTGGCGCGCAAAAGAACATTGGACTTGCCGGTCTAACCATTTACATCATGAAGAAATCAATTCTAGAAAACATCTCTGCCACTTCCCTAGACCAACTTCGCCAATTGGGAGTTCCTATCACCCCTATCGCCTTCGACTACCCCACTGTCGTGAAAAACAACTCTGCTTATAACACCATTCCCATCTTCACGCTTCATGTTATAGATTTGGTTTTACGTCAAATCCTTGAAAAGGGCGGGGTCGCTGTTCAACAAAAGGATAATGAGCTCAAAGCTGAGTTGCTTTACAAAGCGTTGAGTAAGTACCCTGATTTCTACGCGCTGCCAGTGGCCAAAGATTGTAGATCAAAAATGAACGTTGTGTTTACTCTGAAAAAAGAGGGGCTCGACAAGAAGTTCTTGGACGGCGCTGCGGCTATCAAGTTGACCGGATTGAAGGGTCACAGATCTGTAGGTGGATTTAGAGCTTCCCTTTACAATGCCGTTTCAGTGGAAAGTACCAAGAAGCTTGCGCAGTTTGTTGAAGCATTCGCGTCTAAAAACGCTTGATGAAGTTTCCATTGTTGGCGTCAGTATGTACATTACATTTGAGAGCTTATACGTGTTCTATTTTATGCGTCGTAAAGGTTTTAGGAAATGTGCTCCAAAAACTGAGTCGTAGCAGAAGAATCTATAGAGAAGCCCAAAAAAAATCCGAAACCCATTGAAATTCGGCAAGCCCATTCTTGAAATTGTGTTTGTTGATGATAGGCACGACTTCTCGACAGGAATCGAAATTTTGACAACTGCTCTCAAGAACTCCCATCACGCCCCAAAGATCGAAATATCCCTGAAAGCAATCAACAGCATTATACCCTTTTAACCCTCGCCATGTAATAAATGACTTGACCGTGCTCACGCGGCCTTTCTCCATCCTCGTCTTCGACGCTCCCTCGCGGAAGTGTGCAATGAAAAACGCACGACTCGTCGTGCGAGATGGCAAGCACAACCTCTTCAAACGCCTCATAGAGCTTAGAGCATACTTTCCAATCTCTACTGCGTATCACAACTTCGTGTTTAGACCGGGAGTCCGCCTGCATAGAAGCAGCACCACTGTGCGCGTTATGCATTTGTTCCGTTGCGGCTGTGTTTTCGGTGTCTAGCGACTCACTTTCCTCGATAAATAGACTTTGATCTCGACTCGCTTCCACGTCGACCTCGACGTTCCCACCGTCGCGGTCCGCTCGAGACTCGTCGGGGGCAACAGCGACTTCGTTTTCTGCTTGTGGTTGGATCATAGCGTCTAGGGGTCCGTTCCAGCAGATTTCAAGCGACCAGTCGAGCTCATCGACGATGATCTTGAGCTCGTGATCGCTTGCTCGGCTGTCTTGAAGTTGCCAGAACTTCATGCCGCTGAGCTTTATATTATGAACGTTAGAATACCGTTCTATGCGTCGTATGAAGCTCTGAAATCCGGCTCCCCACTCTCCCTGTGGTGTCGGGAGCCTATACATCATTAGCTGAGTGTAATTGATCATGGGTTCCTGGATTTTAGCATCCTGGGCTCGAAAAAGCAGCTTAGTGGGTACTTTGAAAGAATGCGATATTACCTTGGTTGTATTGCCATGGGCTGGTCCTCCCATTCGCGCCACAGCGTTAGCGTCGGAATTCGTGTTGATAGCTTCCTCGAATGTGACGCCCAGCGCGCACACCGGATTGACCTTCAATGGTGCTTTTCCGTCCGCGTTAGAAGTCACGCTAACGTTCCACTCCGGCATACTCTGCAATTTGATGGTCAAGTTGCTGTCATTCCCCTGGTTTATGCTGCGATCGTATTTTTTGAAGATGTTCTGTAACGCATCGCAGCTGCATTCCATCGCGATGGTGTTGAGATCTCGAGCACTGACCACTTCGTAAGCAGCGAAAACATCTCTCGGGATTGTGCACCACAGTTGGCCGTTATCACCGTGTAGAATTGAGCTGTTGGACGTTGAGGAGTTCGGCGTGGACACTACCACCAACCGCTCGCTGCTGAACCTTAAAACGGCCGTTTTTCGCAGCGCCGCCACCGTTGAAATCGTGGATTTCAGCAGTTTATAGTCTTCTGGCGACTCGGATCCATTAATCACCAGCTTGAGCTTCATAAGGTGGATATAAACACGACTTGAAGCTCATCTTGTGGAAACGCGATGAGCTTGGCATCTGGTCGATTCTTAATTAGACAAACGCGTTATAAATTCAGGACTTAACGTACAGTGTGACCAAACATTACCTAATCAAGATGACTAAGCAAAGTTCGTATAAGGGTATATAAAATAGTTCTGTGAGGTGCACATGACTAAAAATATGCTTAATTGTCCCTAAATATATTTAAATTGAGCGGCTAACTGAAACTAAAAGACCAACCACTCCCAAGACGCGACTAAACAGCCCCAAGATGCTATGTTTAAGTGTGCTTAGGTAGCTGCTAAAGCTTAAGAGCAGCTTGTCATGGTCTGTATTTTTTTTCCGGAGGGAAAAAGACGCGTAATGAGGTATAAACAAGTTGAGAAAGACGCGTCAAGATGCTCGGGACTTGAGCTACGATCACGTCCTTCAGACGGCGCGAGACACGAACCTTACGACGGCTTGTGAAGTGAAAATTACTGAACTCATAATATTGGCGCTTATTTGCGACCACTGAGGAGTACTGCGAGCTTAGGGTCATTTGTTCTCGAGGAAGATTGCGATTCCCAATCACGCTCGAAAGACAAGAAATGGCTTTTCTGAGTGTCCTAGGGGAGGGCAGAGAGTACTCAAGAATGTAAATTGATCCAGGGTGGTCTCACTGTTACTGGTTCTCGCATGACAACTGAAAAGCCCAGAAATGCGATTCTTTAGCAGAGTACTATATCCTAAATCAAAATGGTACGAATGACGGCAAACAAACTAGTAAATGCAGCCACATTAGCAGCAGTAGATGCAGTGACAATGAAAATGTGAGCAAAACTGCGGAAATGGTCAACAATAACGCAATTCGGGCCTTGAGAGAGAAAGAACCCAAATCATAAGATTTCGAAATATAAAGAAGAATCACAAACACCCCAGGCCATGTTATAAGAGCTTTTGAAGTTGCCACGATAAACTGGCTTTCAATGACCTTGACTGGCTTGCCAAATTTCAGGTCACGTGACAATATAATAAGAATTACAGGCTAGTCAAATTGTATTCGATCTTGGCTCATCGAAAACATGCAAAGCTCAAAGCACATTTCAGTGGCCATATCGCCTACTCATGAGACCATGGAAATCTCTTTTGGTACCGTCGTTGCAATTTTTCCGACGTTACAACCAGATTACGTCCAAAACAACAGAGTCTCTGCAGAAAAGACTGGACCAGATCCCGCTGGAGAACTATAGGAATTTCTCGATTGTGGCACACGTAGACCACGGGAAATCTACCCTCAGCGATCGTCTGCTAGAATTGACAGGCGTAATTAAAGCTGATGACGCAAGCAAACAGTTTCTGGATAGATTGGAAGTCGAGCGCGAGCGTGGCATAACAATCAAAGCTCAAACGTGCACCATGTTTTACTACGACAAACGCAGCAAAAAGGACTATTTGTTGCACTTAGTCGACACGCCGGGCCACGTCGATTTCCGTGCAGAGGTGTCTCGGTCATATGCGTCTTGTGGAGGCGCCTTATTGCTCGTGGATGCTTCTCAGGGCGTCCAGGCTCAGACTGTAGCTAACTTCTATCTGGCTTACAGCATGAACCTCAAACTCATACCGGTCATCAACAAGATTGATCTTGATAGTGCAAATATCCCGCAGGCAGAGGCGCAAATTGAGAGTACATTTGAGCTGCCGAAAGACGAGATTGTGCGCGTCAGCGCCAAGACCGGTGTCAATGTCAAAAAGGAACTTTTACCCGCGATTGTCGATCGAATTCCACCTCCCACGGGACTAATTATAAAACCGTTCCGTGCCCTGCTGGTAGATTCATGGTACGATTCGTATCTAGGTGTGGTGCTTCTTGTCAACATAGTGGATGGCTTGGTCAAAAAGGGCGACAAGGTAATAAGCGCTCAAACTGGCAAAAAATACGAAGTCAAAGAATTGGGAATTATGTATCCTGATAAGGTTCCCATGGATAGACTCAAGACTGGCCAAGTCGGATATCTTGTGCTGGGAATGAAGGCTTCCAAAGATGCTAAAATTGGTGACACAATCATGCATCTGGGAAAGGAAAACGTCACTGAGGTATTGGATGGATTTGAAGAGCTTAAACCAATGGTTTTTGTTGGTGCTTTTCCCGCTGATGGCACGGAATTCAAGAGCTTGGATGACGATATCAGTCGGCTGATTTTAAACGACAGATCTGTGTCACTGCAGCGAGAGTCATCTAATGCTTTGGGTCAAGGCTGGAGACTAGGTTTTCTTGGATCACTTCATGCCTCGGTTTTCAAAGACCGTTTGGAGAAAGAGTATGGGTCTAAATTAATTATTACTCAACCGACTGTGCCCTACGTCATTAAGTTTACGGACGGTCAAGAGAAGACTATCACAAATCCTGACGACTTCCCAGATCTGTCTCTAAGAAAGACTCGAATTCATTCGCTACAAGAGCCTTATGTTGAGGCTATAATCACGCTTCCTCAAGAGTATCTTGGTCCAGTCATCAAACTGTGCGACCACAATCGAGGGATTCAAAAGGAGATCACTTACTTGAATGTTACAGGGCAGGTGCTGTTAAAGTATGAGCTACCCTTAGCTCATTTGGTAGACGACTTTTTTGGCAAGCTGAAGTCCGTTTCCAGAGGGTACGGCTCTTTGGATTATGAAGACATTGGCTACAAGCCTTCTGATATCGTCAAACTGGAATTGGTGCTGAACGGGAAAAGCGTAGACGCTCTGGCACAGGTCATGCATAGGAGTCAGGTCGATAAGGTAGGTCGAGAATGGGCCAAAAAATTCAAGGAATACGTCAAGTCCCAGCTATACGAAGTAATCATCCAAGCGAAAGCCAATAACAAAGTGATTGCCAGAGAAACCATCAAGGCCAGGAGGAAAGACGTACTTGCCAAATTGCACGCAGCAGATGTATCTCGAAGGAAAAAGCTGCTGGTGAGACAGAAGGAGGGGAAAAAACAGATGAAAAGCGTTGGTAACATCCAAATCAACCAGGAGGCCTACCAAGCTTTTTTGAAAAGATAATATTGACTTAGCATAAACAAAATGGAATAGTAACTTATAAGCATCGTGTACATAGTAAGAGCGTTACATTACGTAGCTTCCACTCTCTCACCCCTTGATTATCTGCTCCAGGCTGACCACACCTTCGAATATAGGATCTTCGATTTTCTGCAGTAAGGCCCTACTCACTTGTTGGGTCGAGACAGTGGGTCTGAAAAGCTGATTGACACATTCTATGCGACGACCCAGTATCTTACTATTGCTCCAATTGGCAAGGTCGAGCAAGTTTTTCACTTGCGACCTGAATTCTAGTTTTCCCAAGGATGTGTCTAGCTCATCGAACATGAACCCCGGACGTAATAGAATAGGTCTTAGTTCTTGCTCTAGTCTCATGATTCCAGCTTCAGCTGCTCTTTTAGACTCAATGTACCCATTTGGAATGCCAGGAAACGACCTGTCTGCCGAAACATAAGTCATGGTTCTCCTAAGACCAGTGCCCGCGTTGCGATGAATTTTGGCAAATTCCTGAGCCAGGGTCAAGGCACTTTGCTTGTTCATAACTTCGTAGGTGAAGTTGGGGTTATTCTTCATTGGATTAGATCCCCATTGTAGCATTTTTTTGGCATCAAAGGCCACTTTCCCGTTTAGCTGAGCTTTGTAGCTGGAGTCTTCTAACAAGATACCAATGCTATGGACGACATTGTCGGCACTTTCTAAACACTGAGAGTAGGTCTTAGGGTTCAACACATCGCAATGACGCCATTTAACTTGTCCAATCCATTCTTTCTCCCACGAAGCCTTTGCCCTAGGAGCTGTTCCTGACCGAGTTAGAGATGTAACTTCATAACCATTTTCGACAGCAGTCTGGCAGATGCGACGGCCCAGGAAACCGCTACCTCCGAACACCAATAGATTCTTAACCATTCTTAGGATTATCAGGTCTTATTAACAACGTATATAACTCGAGTTTGGCGTTAGCTTGAGGTTTTGCTTCTATACTTATAGGTAGTTAAATTTAAAGGTCAGCAATGACAATGAGGACAGGCAATCAGAGCTACAACCGCAAAGCTGAATTTACGTCAATTGACGTTACGACTACGCTCAAGAGATACAACTACTGTGTGAATGATATGTATGACATTCTAATTACGAAGTTTGCCATCTGTGACAGCGAGGTCTTGGCAGATTCGTACTCAAAAGAAGTCCTAAGAATTGTTATAGCCCATTAGAAATCAGTTTCACAGAGTGATATCGAGAACTATCCAGCTCAAGATCGAGTTACAGGGAATACTCAACCGAGCAAGGCACAGGGCGTCTAAAGAAGAAAATGGGATACTCATACGACAGTATTAGGAATTTTACTCTTTGGCACCAATGATGATATTTTCTTGTTATTCGTTTGCAAAATACAGATTCTTGGTTATGACGGGATTGCATGCATATTATTAGTCGTTCTCCTTCTCTCTTTCTTTCTCCATCTTGTTCATTCAGTCTTCCAGGTTCACATCCTGTTGTTTGTAGTTGTCCCAAACCACACGGTAGATGAAGCTGGGAGCGAACCCACCAATATTGGTGATGTAGATGTCAATGTTCTCAGGCGGCACGTAGTCAGCAATAGGATTCACGGTATCTAGCCTGTTGTGGTTTCCGACACGGTGATTCTCCATGGTGGGCAAAACGCGCTGCGAGCCACCCACTTCAACAAACTTCTCGATGTCGAAGGGGTACAGAGGTGAGAGCTTGTATAGACCAGCTACAGCGAAAACAGGCGTTTTGAACTCACGGGCACACTCGCAAACTGAAGAAACACCAGCAGTGGACGAGATGGTCCCACCGTTGGTGAAAACTGTCTTTGCGCCAATGATGACTTTACCCACTCGACTCATGAGCGCGAACACCGCAGTGTCCGGAATGACAGTTGTTTCCACACCGTGTTCAGAGAGCTTTTTCGCAAATTGATGAGCGACCTGCGTGTTATTGGGATATCCTTCCGTCACGAGCACGGTAAAGTTTCTATTGTTGCGCTCACGGGCCTTGATAAGGAATTTGAGAACCGTTTTCGAGTCTGGAGTTGGTGTCAGCAGAATTTCGCGGTCGTGAATGAGATCGATGGCGATCTGTTGGATGCCGTCGTCGATGTTTGTGATTTCGTCTATGAGATCTTTGATGCCCTGGATAATGATCTGACGCATGTCTGCCTTTGGGTGCTCGTTTGAAGACGAGCTCTGCTGATGCTGCTGCTGTCCAGTGCTCCCAGCGGCATCAGATGGCGACGATGACGACGAAGAGGACGACGACGACAACGACGTCGACGATGCTACGACTGGTTTTTGCAGCAAACTGAACATCGACGAGATCATAGGTTCAGCTGTTTTGCGCAGCTGGTTCTGCAGAGCCGCCTCATCTTCCACTTCGTCTCTGATCAGCGCCAGCACTCTTCTGATGATGTTTCCGCAGGTGAACTCTGTGGGCTGGGCTTTGCCCAATCTAGTGCCCAGCTCTCGGAGCTGTGCAATCAAGTCGTCAATACCTGACCATCTTGCAGCAGAGACAAACCGTTTCAGCAACTGAAGTGTCTCCAAAGAAACTTGGTAAGATCCGTAAACTTGTCGTCTCTTCAATCGATCGATGAATGACGCAACTGCAACATTAATGTCCCCAGACATCGCACAACTTGGGCTTTATAAGTAAATGCTGAGTAGAACAGCCACTGCTAAGTCAACGGCAGCCTCAATTGGGAGGTAAGCCAATTATAGGAAGTGGTTGGTAAATGAATAAGTTGTCATGAGCTAGTAGTAAAATTTTCCAGTATTGAAAATGCATCTCTATATATCTGAAAAATACACTGGAAATCGTAAAAAAGAGGGCAGAATGGTTCGGGACGATCTCGAATCTGGCTCAGGACATGATAAACTGCTAGAAGAGAGTTTTAGAAATTCATGTATAATTTTTCTTGAATCGCTAGCGTTCACTGGGATGGATTTCACGAGTCGCCGTTGTATTCAGCTAGTCTGCGAGTATTTTCCATGTGTAGGACCCTTAGTTTGGCATTGGTGGGATCGAGACTTAGTCCACGCTCGACTTCGGCGCGGGCTTGATCGTACTGTTTCAATTTCATGAGTGCGTCTGTTTTGCGGATGAAAACGTCGGACGTCGTCAGACCCGTATTCTGCAAAAAATCGAGGTCCTGTAGTGCGTCCATGAACTTGCCCTGTACCAGACAGAGGTCAACCCTGTTTTTCATCATAAACTGTAGTTCTTGCAATTGCACGGCAAAGGCCTCCCAGGGCGCGCGTTTGCGCTGGGCCATCTCCACGGCCAAGTTGACGGACTTGAGGGCATCTGCCATCTTTTGCTGCTGCAACTGTTTGAGACCGTTTTCGAATAGCTTCTTGATCATTGCGGTAGAGTCTTCGCGCGGCTGAGGTGTGAAATTGGGATTACTCTCGGCCACCAGATCCTGGGTCAGCTTATTGATCTGTTTGACGTTCATTTCGACGTCTTCAGAGGCATCTGGAACGTCCAGAAGCTTGGAGTTGGAGTCATATTGAAGCGTGGGTAGATATGTGGCCATTTGTAGACGTATATGGAGGGTTTACAGGCTGCGGGTTGGCTGGTAAGTGCTCGAACGAGGACGTGCTGATGTGGTCTACTTTACAGGATGGCATTTGAACTTTGATGACTTCTACGTATATAATGACGTTTCTAACGAAAACATGCTAGAACCAATGGAATTACAGGCTAAAAGATGACGCCAGGACTTATTGGTGTTTGGAATTGAATCTTTCTACGTTGTGGCGAGTTTCGGCTCTTCAAACATATTTATGGCTATGAAATTGATTGACTTTTACGCTGTTTTTGGATATTTTCATTGAGTGCTGTCGCGACACGATATTCTGAAATTTGACATACTGAGACCAGGGAAGAAGGGCATATCGGAGACGCCAACGAATGAATTTGAAAGGCCCTTAGCTGGCCAATTTATCTTCTTTCAATGGTAATTCTTCAAGTCAGAGAGTTGTACATTTTTCAAGTTTAATTTGCGTCAAAATGTTCTCGACTTCTGCTTATTGCAGTCCAAGAGAAGCTGGCGGTGGGCCACAACATGGCTCCAAAATCCAAAGCTCAGAAGCCAATGCCGGTTATACTAAATACCATGAATTCTATGGGCCATACATTTTGTTTTCCGTCTCCATTTAGTTAAACGACATGGAATTCTTTGAAAAACTGCACCGCAGGACAAAACGCAATTAAGACTTGGCTTACGGTGATATTAAATCAACTTTTCCCGCGCCTCACTCACACCACTTTGTTCTCTCAAGTTTTCGCACACACCGGGCTATGACAGATTATTATTATATACCACCGAGGTCTCTCGTAGGGACAGAGCCCCCTTTACATACAAACAGCAAAGGCCAAAAAAGAGTCGAAATCGCAATTGTGTGCCACGTAGCTCGCCCCCCCGAGGCTTTGGGTTTTTTCTCTCCTCGCTGTCGACACTTACAAGTCAGCGTCGTCTTCATCAGGCAAGGGCAAGGCGGTGGCTTGCTCCATTTCCTGCTGGTACTGGTGCATCAAGGCTTCGTCGACTTGGACCTCTGGAGGGGCCAAGGCGGGCGAGGCCACGAATTCCAGCTGTGGATTGCCTGCTAGCTTACGGGCTAGCCACAAGAAGGGCTTCTCGAAGTTGTAGTTGGACTTGGCAGAGATGTCGTAGTACTGCAGGTTCTTCTTCCGGTGGAACGTAATGGTCTTGGCCTTGACTTTACGCTCCTTGACGTCGACCTTGTTACCACACAGCACGATGGGGATGTTTTCACAAACACGCACCAAATCACGGTGCCAGTTGGGCACGTTCTTGTAGGTGATACGCGACGTCACGTCGAACATAATCACACCGCATTGCGCGTTGATGTAGTAACCGTCTCTGAGACCACCGAATTTCTCTTGGCCAGCGGTGTCCCACACGTCGAACTTGATCTCACCAAAGTTGGTGTAGAACGCCAAAGGGTGCACTTCCACACCGATCGTGGCAATGTACTTTTTCTCGAACTCACCAGTCAAATGTCTCTTGACAAATGTGGTCTTACCAGTACCACCGTCACCGACGAGTACCAATTTGAAAGTAGGAACTTCTGCAGACATTTTTGAATACGATAGAGCTTGATAAACGATGCTAAAACGATCAACAACCCGTGCGTTCGAAACGTTTTAAGGCTTCCTAAAAAGTGATGATTAAGTTTGTAGAATCTTGATTCAGACATCGATTTTTTTTCAGGCTGGTGATGCTGGGTTCTTAGGAGACGGACGAGGGCAAAAAAAAATCAGTTCGACGTGTGGAGTGATGATATTTTAAGATAGAGAAGTAAGATCGTAAATAGTGATGATAGTTGAGAGATTGGATCTTATTTAACCAGATTTTTCACCGTGAATGGTCTGGTGTAGTGGCTTGGGAGTGTCGTGTTTAGAGTGGTTAGTTTGGCCTGTAGAAATGATGTGTTTTTCTGATTTTTCGCATTTGTTTTGGGTAGGAAAGAAAAACAACCAATTTAGGCCCCGTGCGATTGAGGAAAGACGGATCAAGACAGAGCGCGCGTGTGTGGGGTTGCGTTACTAGACACTTCGTGCGACCGAGGCACGAATTTGGCTCCCCGGGGGGTTTGCAGTAGGATTATTTTTAGATCACTTTGTACTTTTAAGACACGAGGTCATATGACTTGGGATAATGGCTCGACAGCGACAGCGACACACACACACACACACACACAGATATACCTAGTGCTGGGAGAGTCATAGGATTGTACACCCAGTGTGTGTGCTGTTCAAAGGCTGGTTGTCTGGTGTAAAGTGTCATTGGTATGTGGTGAGTAAACATTAGCTGGCATTGGAGTGTCTTCATACTTCGAATTGGTCAATTGTTTTAATTCCTTTCCCATTCCCAGGTCCTCGAACATCCACGATCGTCCCATTTTTGAGTGATCTGTTGGCTTGCATGTCAGACTGTATTGGCTATAATGCTAGGTTTCAAATGCGTACTGCTCTTAGAAGGTAATCCCCGAACTATTTCTCACTTGGCTCGTACGCATCCCATTTGCTGGCGAATTCTTAAAATCCCTCAATATGAACATGGTCATAATAGATCCATGATGAGCGTACGCTTATCCAGGTAATTCAATTTTAGTCCTCGTTCATCAGACACATGTTTACAACACGGCGAGTTCAAGCCCCGTTCGTTCAATTGCCAAAAACAACCATCAGGTTCTTAAATTCCTGGCTTTAGATCTACCAAAAATCAAACTGCGCAGTCCACTTATTTCTCCTCGAGGCCAACGTCAGCTAATTGAGTAAAACTACCTTCTATGTTTTCGAATAACATTTCACACTCATGAGGCATGTCAATAAGCGGACTAAGATGAGTCTCTAGGTCAACAAACTCTATTCTATATACGCCTGGTCCATTTTTTCACGTCTCAGAATTTAGAACTAGCTGCTGTTTAGACAAAAATAGCCGTTTCCCAAGAACTCAAATCGACCAGACAAACATCGTCTCTGACCCACACTTTTCCTCCACAACAATCCCCCCTCCAAGACGTATACTGCCAATGAATTATCAAAGTTGTGGAAGTTAAGCTGAAAATAGTCATCATCAGCGTCAGGTCTTGGAAAATGAAGCTGAACAAATGCACGAACGTCCATGCTTCGTTTTTTGTCAATACAATCAATACCAGCGTCAGTGTCACGAACTTCGAGCTCAGCTCCATCAAAGCAACACTGTGTAATCAAAAGTTGTTCTACCAACTGTCAAGTCCAGCTGCCTCTAATCTCACAAAAAAGTATCGTCCCCTCATCACGAAGGACCGTCTTTCTCTAGCAATTGTGCAATGTCATACCAATCATTCATTAGCTCCTGTAGTTTATCGAGAGTGTGCCGAAGTTCTGGCTCTGAATTATGGAGCTCTTGATCCGGACTGTCCTCTTCTACTCTCAGCTGAACTTTGAGAGGAACCTGGCATTCGCAATTGTGAACACACCGTGTATAGAGGTAACCATTGCAATTGTGCAAAAATTCAACTGTTTGCAGAAGCGCAGCCGACGACTCGGACTTGTGCATTGCCAGCGCTTTAAGCAGCACAGTGAGAGAATCATTAGTGGCCTCTTTGGACTGCGATTCATCAGCTTCTGGCACAGGGCGAGTAGACCAAGTAAGGTCTGGACCATCGAGCTTCAACCGGGCTCTCAATTGCTCGAGCATTACTTCGTTACGGCGTGCAGATACTTGCGGCTGTCTGGACCACGGTTTGGCGATTTTCTTTTCCAGAATTGGCTTTGTTCGAGAGCCAATAGAGCTTTTGAGTAGTGGTGATGAATCTCTCGGGACATCAATGGCCACATCGCGCGATTCGAGCTCTTCAAGCCTTTTCAGAAGCTTGTGGAAAGTGTTTATGATCAGTTTATCGTTGTTTATGCGAGCCAGGTGCGGTTCTAGCGTTACTTCATCGATCGTCTGAAACTGAAGTTTTCGAGACGCGGGCAAAAGCGACCTGCGCTGAAGCTCTTCGTTCACGTACTGAGCTGCATCCCGAATGCTCGAGAACTTTGACGGCGCCCCCATTGCAGATATTACGGACGCTGTGCGGGCTCTTGTTTTCAAAAGGAGCAGGTGCAAGTGGCATGTGTTTACCGCATTTGACCTGAAGCTGCTCAAAATCCGAGCATATAAGTCCGTTTTTGAGGGCTCTTATGTAGTATAATCTAGTATACACGCCGCGTATTGCTCGTAACTCATGAATATATATGGACGATACCTCGTTTTTCGCTATGATTGTGAATGTAAATGTTGGTGTAATTTTTGTTTGAACCTTGAGTGGGTTACAGTCTCTCCCGGAGGTTGCACCGAGTAGGTGTCAAATCAATGATGGGTCTCCTCCTCGATCTCCTCTAGAACCAACCAGTCTTGCTCCTCAGATTCGGCAGCAGACTCTTCCTTGGTTTTGGAGACTTGCACGTCTTCTTCAGCGTACGCCTTCAAAGCCTCTGGGCCCTGGCCCTCCAAATCAGGCACCTGGGGAGCCTTTGGGGCGCTCCATGGCTTGACGTTCGCCTCAGCGTCCTTGGCACTCAGTGGCTGCAGTTTGACGTTCTTGATCTCTCTTAGGTACAGATCTTGGATAGCATTGGCAGTAACACGAGTTGAGGCAAAAGAACGGGTAGTTCTTGGAACAGCAACCTTCAAAGCTTGAAGAAACATTATTTCTAGAGTCAGATAAAGGAGCTAGCTAGTCACAAGGGCGATTAAAACGAACTCTTAGGCTTGGGCTTGAGCTGGAGTGGTGTTGTAGAACATGTTTTCCAATATACAGTTGAACAATTATAATCTTGGAAATTTTTAGGTTGTATGATTGGTTCGTCGTGCATGATGAGAGTCGAAACCCGGGGCAAAACGGGCGTTGCGAAACATCTGAAAGCTGGTACGATATTCAGTGAATTGGGACGTAATCAAGATGGCGAAAACCCGGTTTCACTGTGGTAGTTTTGGGTGCTCGAAGGGTTCACTCGTGCATAGTGATGTATTTGCTAGTATGTAAATGACGCTGTCATCGGTGCGATTGTTTCGTAGTGTTTTTGGACGGTATCACTGGTTTGTGTGTTGATGCTTGAACTCTTACTGCTACCTCGTTGTCAATTTTTCTGTGGCGCTAGAAAGGTGTTCTTTGTCCAATTCGAAAACTCAGAGGTTATCACTTTATACAAGACTGACGCTCAAAATCAACTCTGACCTGCCAGGATCGTCGGGCTCTAAATGATCCGACCGAACACCACAACACAGACAGGCTGGCTTACCCATTCTTCGCTTGACATTTCTTATTCCAAGGCCTCAGTGTATTTTATTCAAAGCATATACATAATATAAAATTTACGAACTAGATAGCTCAAGCTACAGGGTGCGCACACTGTTGCTTAGTGGTCGGGAAAGAAATTTGGTAAAGAGTCGGTGGTTAGATCAGCAAGTTGAAGTTCCACGGGTATTCGGAAGGAACAGACGCCCAAAAGTGAGTCAAAAAATCGATTCGGTCTTTTTTTCATTAAGCGTCGTGCCGTGTCATGTCATGATAATTAGACAATGACGCATTGAGGGTCCCAAGCATAGCCCTTGTGGATCCAGTTGTCTTTGTTTTCAGAGTTGTCTTTCTTGGTGGCTTGGGCGATAGGCTGCATTGTCTGTTGAGATTTGTTTTGTTTGTTTTGATTGATGATGTGTTTTCTAGTCTTGAAGTTAGCGTTCATTAATTACATGCCAAATGGTCGTGTTTTTATACCAAAAACTTCCACACTGGCGCTCAAAGATTGAAACAGTTCTGGGGTGACTGGGGTTAAGCTACAATTGGCCCGCATGGGGTTATCGAGCCTCTCCAGGAAACAGGATATGTCAACTTTTTATTAGTATCGAGTTCTCAATTTACCTTTTCGAGCGAGTACAATTAACACTTAAAATGACACTACTGTTAGACCCGAATGATTAGAGAAAGTTAAGCATAGATATGGTGACTAGTGGGGATAGGAATCGCCGCATGATCTCCCGGTGTCGAAAGCACCTCAAGTGTGATTGGAAAATCCACTCTATGCAAGTAACGCAAGTCAAGTGCCTGATGCAGAAAATAACCAGATAATCAGCACTACACTGGTCTTGAGGTTGCCCTGAGACGTTCATTCACACCTGCATTGTATCGGTGTTTTTGCATGCTGTCGTGTTACTGTCTAATCAAATTTCCCGGATCATTAACCTACCATTTTCCGACTGGTCAATGTGTTAACACACTCACATCTGAGGCCCTAATAGTGTGACCGCAAGAGGTCTTGGTACGCTTAGCGGGCTGTAAAGTGAAGACTCAATTTGAACCGATGCGGTTGTGAGAAGACCACAAACCTTCAACTAGTCTAGAGACTCGAGCAGCGTGTGTGTGGTTCATCGATTTCAATTACTCTAGGGTCAAAAGTGCTCAAAAAAAGAAGCCAGAAAATGCTCCGATATCAACAAAAAATCCTGGAGCTGGAAAGGACCTAAGAGATACCTACTTCTGGGTAAAAAGGCCAGGTCTGGAGAGAGAGACACCTTGCTTCATTTTGATGGCTCACGTCTTGAAGGCGATGAGCCGTATATAATTATCTCGAAAGTGAAAAATTGAGCTCATCGCTAATGTAGAAGAGCAGCTAGCTAGCTCATCGCAGCGTCAACACCACCAACTGGAAGCCATAAAACTAGCGAGAATATCAGTATGGCCCTATTTCAAGTCGAAGGCTGGGATTTGAAGACCAAGGATGTGTCCTACGACAGTGCAAATGCCAAAAAAGAGCACAAAAAAAAGGAGAGAAAGGCCAGAGCCAAGAAAGATGAGCAGAGGAGACTGAAGGAAACTGAAGACGAGTATTCAAACTACGATTTGGAAAACGAGCAGGAAGAGGGCTCCAAGGATGCTCTTGCTCCGGTTGAAAAAAAACAAATCGATGGCTCAAAAAAAGAGACGAAAAAAGACACAAAAAAAGCTGACAAGCCTGTGAGTAAAAAACGGTCATTGGACGAGGTAGATTCCAAGCCCAAGGATAGGGATGCTCAGGTAGAAAGTGCGGCCAAAAAACCACTCACAGCACTCCAGCAAAAAATGCTGGCGAAATTGAGTGGTTCGCGTTTTAGATGGATCAATGAGCAATTGTACACCACCTCGTCCGCCAGTGCGCTCGATCTAATCAAGAAACAGCCACAACTATTTGACGAATATCACGAAGGGTTTAGGTCTCAGGTTCAGTCTTGGCCCGAAAATCCGGTAGATGTGTTCGTTGACCAGTTCCGTATCAGATCTCAAAAACCTGTGAATGCTCCTGGTGGACTGCCAGGCCTACCGTCAGACAAAACAATAGTGGTCGCAGATATGGGATGTGGTGAAGCTCAACTGGCACAAGACTTGAACACTTTTTACGCCCAGTACAATCGCAAGCAAAAGAAGCACTTTAAGAAGAAGTGCGTTGTCCACAGTTTCGATTTGAAGAAAGCCAACAAATTAATCACTGTTGCCGACATAAAAAACGTACCGCTCGCCAACGAATCTTGCACAGTGGTGGTTTTCTGCTTGGCATTGATGGGTACAAATTTCCTAGATTTCATCAAAGAAGCTTACAGACTACTTGCGCCTCGCGGTGAGCTTTGGATTGCAGAGATCAAATCCCGTTTCGCGGACCGTCAAGGAGACGAGTTTGTGAATGCAATCAAGCTCATGGGATTCTTTCACAAAAAAACCGACGACTCCAATAAGATGTTTACTCGATTCGAGTTTTTCAAGCCTCCACAAGATATCATCGAAGAGAGAAAAGCCAAGCTTGAGCGTAAGCAGAAGTTCATCGAGGTTGAAACTGAGAAGGAGGAGTTGGAAACAAAACGGACCAAAGCTCCAGAGGGTAAATGGCTACTGAAACCTTGCATCTATAAAAGAAGGTGATTGATGCAAGCACAGCCAAATGTGGAAAAAGCTTCACGGTAAGATGGTTTTGATTAGAGTGTATAGTATACCTGGCAAAGACCTAAAGGCAAAGTCAACTTTTAATATCTTGTAGAATAACAGACGTTCGCTAACTTGAACGAAACATGCTTTGAAGCTTTGCAAGGTTTCCTAAATTCTCAAAACTGGTGATGTTGGGAAATTGTAGCCAAGAATCTGATTGACCACTCTTCGCGGATGGATCCCACTGGTTGCACTTTCTGAAACCATGTGCGTTCCAGCCCGTGAGACAAATCGCCATCGCAATGAGAATCAGATATAAAACTTTTGCTTGAAGCAAGCACATCACTCCAAAGACAATCCACACCACAGGGGCAGCGTAAGTGGAAAGCCAGAAAAGCTTCGAATCGATTGGGTTGACTGGAGGGCCCGGAGCGTACTGCTTATATGATTCAAATGACAGAGGTCCCTCCTCAGAGTCCACAGAATCATACCACCATCGTAACTGAACTAGTTTACGGCCGGTGATGTTTTTTGTTATGTAGAAGTCTCCGGCCAGGAGTAACAATACCGTAATGAATTGAGCTGTGAAACTCATAAACCATGAGCCTATAAGATAAAACACAATCGGCATCGCCTTTCCTGTTAAATGCAAGCCCATCGCTATCGGATGCGACGACTTTAAAATCATCTGGTAGAAGTTCTTGACTTGTTCCATTTTAAAGTTGTAAGGTTGTCAAAATTTCTCTATACTCTTCTTCTGAGCTGCGAGGAAGAACGCGATCGGCTCGTGTAATCAAAGTGACTGCTAACTAGCGTACGGACACGGAGGTTTGCTAGCCAATCCTTAGCTTTAGTTCTCAAGGAATATCTACAAAGACAACTGTTTGACTTCCTACTTTAATATATAAATGTGTGGGACAAATATCAACAAAAATGTCAAATCACCCAAGAGAGAACAATTTGAGCCCATTGCTGAACACTGTAGATACTTATTCCCATGAGGTTTAGCTCAGCTCGATCAGATGTTAGTTTGGTTAAAAATGCACGAAGCTTTAGTTGATTTACATTAGAAAACTTCTCATAATATTAGTGACAGATACTCTATACGTGTCTTTAGGGGGATTTAGCTAGAGGAAGTAGTGTGTGTTTTTCAGACTTTCGCCATGAACCTTCATCTCTTCTTTTTTGAATTCATTGAGCTGATGTTTGACCGCGTCTATAAAGGCTGTGTCGTGGGTCTGCATCATTCGGCGACGAGCACGAATGAACCTCTTGTCACTTCTCTCGTAGTCGCCGGCCGCATACGTGTCTTTGACGTACACGGCGTGCCCGAATCTGAGTTTCTTCGTCTGGACGCCACTGATCGGTTCCTGATCGACATCAACTATAGTAATTACTGTGTCGTAATAAATGTTTTTCCAGTCTCGCTTAAGGTTGACGTCTAGTCTAGCATCAGGGTCTGCGATCTTGTTTTGAGATACATGTTGGCGGTAGAATCCCACCATTGATTCTTTGTTGGCTAAAAGTGGCCGCTTGAGAGATCGGGCTGGAGGCAGAACCATCGACAGCTTCTGGGGCTGTGATTCATCCGTAATAAAGCTTCCCAGCCGCGAAAACTCTTCTATGAGCCCATAATCGATGTTGCTCTCCTCGGCTTTGGTTTTATCTCTATTCACCGGCGTCAGAGCCTGATTATCGGGGTTGGGCTTGTGAGATGATATCTTGAGTGGAGTTGATGGAATGGTGACCGGATGATCAGTTTTGAGTAATAAACTGTCGAAAACCAAATCTATATCCAAAAGTTGATCGTCGTCATCATCAAAATCATCCACTTCATTATCGCCATCATTGATGTCGTCTGGGTCAGAACAATTATTTCCAGTTCTCTCCGAGACAGTGATCTGGTCTTGCGAAGACGAATGACTTGGACGCGAAACCGAAATTTTTGGTGTTTCAATGGGAATGGCCTCAGTCTTGTTATACACCGCTTTAGTGGATATTGAGCGAGGAGATTCGCTTTTTACAATGGCGTTTTTGTTTTTTTTAGATGGTAACAGCTTTCTAAAAAATGATCCTATCCGAGATGAATAAGATCTTTTGATCCCCTTAGCAGGAGGTGGTGTGCTTGCCTGTGCAACTTTTGTATTCTGAACTGGCTTTAGCGGTATCCGCGCCTTGTCAGACATAGAAGAGGTTTTAGATTCAGAGTATTTGCTTGGCGCTGAATGTGCTTGCAAGTTTGATGAGGTTTTGGGAGTATAAGCATGCACAGCACTTGGCACAATATGCTTTGCAGCGGCCATTGGCTTTAGATGAGTTTCGCTTGCATCAGTACTGGTATTACTGCTCACAACATTTTCACTTTTTAGACTGTTGCTACTATTAGTTGAATTATTACTGGAAACGGCCTGCGTTCTTGATGAGTTGTTGTTGATGTCACGGATGGGATGCGGTGAAAATGCCTTCGAGTTTGTGGCTCCTGAGGGTTTGCTGCTCGGGTTAAAAGGAAGCGGCGAAAGACTTCTCCTGTACCTACCCTCCAGGGGCAATTTGGAAGTGCTCGCGGACTTGTGAAAACGACTTGGAATGGGTGTGGGCGAGCTGGGAACGCTGGCAGCAGTGAGACTGCCACTGCGAATAGAATGCCTTGACGCCCCTGATGTCCGCAAAAGACTTGTCCTATCATGACCGGTATGAAAGTTACTGCAGCTTGCGGACTTAGGTAACCCACGAGTATGAGCGGACACCACATTGTTATCATAGCTATTGCCGTCACTGGGGAAAGCTTTCAGCGGTTTTTGCTTTGGCGTGAAGTTTTCGCCATTGGGGAATTGAAAGCTGCTTTTCATGCGTCTTCTTTGTTTCTGATATGGCGTCAACATGTTCGGGAGGTTAGGTGGCATTTGTACTTGCTCAGGAATCAACGACAGATTCTGTCGAGAGTGCTGAGAGGCTGGTGCGAGGTATGTAGCATGTGGTGCTGAAGAGCGTTTGTAGGGTTTTGGTTTGATTCGACTGGCCGGGACCTCGAATAAGTCCGACGTCGACCTCGCTCTGGGGTCAAGTCCAATGCGCGGGCTCGAGTCTATAAAAGAGGATCCAAAAGAGTTAACACTCACGTCATCACCTATAGTAGAACCCGGGTGATTCATAGCCGACACAAAAAATGCAGAGAGCCAAATGGAAGTATCAAATAGTGAACTCTAACTAGAGTACTTGGAGAAACAAAAACCTTGACAGATGGGTAGCGAACGTGCAGATGCGATTAAAAAAGCTCCTGGAGTGTCAAAGGAAGCACCATATAGGCAGTAGAAGGGTGAAAATGATGAAACGTCAAGATACGCGTGTGCTGTTAATTCAAAGCCTCTGGAGAGAATGAGAAACCTTTTTAGCAGCGTTCTTGAGCCAAAATCTAGCTCGAAACTTCTAATTTTTATATGCCAAAGAACAGCAGTGAATATGATCTAAAAGTGACTATTTTGGCTGGTATAGAGCCAGTCAGTGTCTTGTCCCGGTACCAGTTCTTAAAAACTGTTGGATGGCTTGCAAGGGAACAAGTGTTTAAAGTTTATAAAAATATCCAAATTTTACATTCGCGTCACATAATGAAAAAGTGATCATGATACAGCGCAGCGTCAGGATAGTTAAATGTGACATGAAATAATCTCGAACCACCTAACAGCAGCAGAAGTGTCTACCCGACCCGCACCTGTGCACTACGGCTGACGTACTAGTTTTTTATGGTCTTACTATATTCTGTGCGGTTTTACTTAGTTAGGCTGTTGGAGGCCGTTCCCGCCACTTCCAGAGTATTAGTTGTGTAGTTAGTTTTGGATTGAGTGTCGAATAGACTACCGCTCTCTTCCTGGTCTTTCTTATAAGTATGCTTGGCTTTGAAAACTTCAAAGTCGGTGTTATTATAGCGGCATCTGAAGTATACTATGGCACATCTGACAGCTAGCACAGCGAGGCCAAAAATAATACCTCCAAAAGGTGCGACGACAAAAGCGCCAAAGGCGCCCCAGTCGTCGTTGTAGAGACCGTTTGATATCAGCAGCAATCTGCCACCTTCCTTGGTGGAATTGTAGTAAACTGAGCCAAAAATCCACACTGACAGTATACCACCCAAACCACCTCCGATCACCTCCCACGCGGTCATGAAATCACAGTATTTGAATAGTCCCAGCATTAGCACTGGAACCACAGAGCTCGAGAGTAGGTCGACGATTAAGTAGATACTCAACACGTCCTGTGCGATCAATCCCACCACCACAACGGGAACCATGATAACTGCTACCATGCCGCGAACGTACAGTAGCGGCAGCTTGTTGCGGAAGATGTCGTTGGAAATGGTGGAGACCAGAGCGCTTTGCAGTGTGTCTAGTGTGCAGGTGGACAAGACGGCGACGAATACTAGCACGAACCCCATCACCCATGAGGGCATCTGTGCCAGGAGAACGAAAAAACAGGAATCTGAAAGCTCTGGGTCGTAAACCTGGACGAGACCAGCCCAAACTGCAATAAACCCAGTGACACCGATGACCGTTAGCACTGCGGTGATGAGGAAAAACGAGATAGAGCAACCGATAAGAAGATCCTTGTCAGTTCTTGCTGCGAACGTACGTAGCCAGAGACCGCTCATGAAAAAGTCGTTGGTGAAGACGGCAACCACGAGGATGTAGATTAGCTGATACCCGAGTTTACTGCCTTTCAGCAAGCCAGAAGGACCGATTTTGGAAGTGTCGACCTCCACATATTTCCCCATGGCGCTGGCGACAATGATCAACAGAACGAAAACAATAGAGACTTGCAACGTATCTGTCAAGAAAGAGATGCGAAACCCACCGAAAGATGTATAGATCGTTGTCACCACACATTCCACGATGATAACGGGCAAAGCCTTAATGCTGGTCAGCGTCTCAATACAGTATTTCAAAGACGCAATTTCGCTGACCATGAACAAAAACAAGGTCAAAATAGTGCATGCGCTCATATACAGCCCACAAACATACCCATAGCGCTGGAAAACCCATTCTGTCAAAACAAAGCCGTCGGGAACTTTCTTGCGGATTCGTGGCCCAAGAAACGCAAACAAAAACATGGGCAGACCACACGAAAGTGCGTATACCAACAGACCTTGTAATCCGTCCACATTCGCAATTTTGGGAAACGTCGAGAGAGCTCCCACACCCACAGACGACGCTAAAAAATTGAAAGCCAGCGGAATGGCTTTTTGGGTCCTATTGGCCGACAAAAAAGTCTTGGAATCGCTGCACCAGTAAGCTACAGCCAACGCAGAAATCAAGACCACCACATAAGTTGGCCACAGAATGCCATGCGCCGCCTGAACAGAAAGATGGCCCATTTTATTCACAAGCCTGTGTAACTGTGATTAAGTACAATTTTCGCACTGATGCTCATTTCACCAGACGTTATTGAAAATTATCCGCTGGCTTTATATACACAAACAAAACGAAACGCATCTCCTCTTGACGAGGCGCATCCAAAGTAGGACCCTGACGCACAATTCTTTTGATGTGGGTCGAGGGAAGTTTTCACTTGGGACCGGAGTCTGATTAGAGTATAATTATGTTGAAGAAGCTCTCTGAATTTGGACCTGACGCACTAGAGAGAACCGTAGAAACTGAAAAATTTTTGATGAGCTATGGGCACAACGAGATCATCTTAGTAACTGTCTTGAGATCAGCCTTTTAGCTTTGAAGGTAGGTCTTAGAGCTGAAAATAGTCAATGCTAAGACTACCGATGGCTTCTGGGTGGCTTTTAATGGTGAGTGATGTGAACGCGGCGTTAGCGAAAGAATAAATTAAAATAAGAGAATTTCAAGGAAAGATGATGGAGGACAATTGCACCAGGAGATCACTAGCCACTGACGAGGAAACAGTGGGTGTAGCCGGCATAAAATCCTGGAGACGAAATTGAACGCATCTTCGAAGAGAGGAAAACTGCAGAAATATGCTGTTAAATTGATATTCAGCGCATAATGAGTTTTTGAGAGAACACACACGTAGTGTGTGGATCTGACGCAAGCCTCGGACGAACGAGAAAGAGGGAGAGAGACGACAATGGGCAGTGCAACTGTCGTGCTGGCCTTGTTTTCATGGGATGTCACACCCCATCGCACCTTTCGGCGACGGACAAGTACAAAGTGATATGGAACATCAATTGACACACGCCTGTATAGCGTCGCGTGTGGCCATCGTAGACAGCATAGCCGTAGCAGTAACCAATAATTCGTTAAACTGAGCACTGAGCATTACAGTTTTCCCCATTTCTACTATACAAATTCATTACAGATACAGTGGTGTGGCATTCTGCTTCATTCTTCATCCTCCACGGTAGCAGCAGCAGCAGCACCACTGGCACCAGCACCCTCGACGTTTTTGGCGTTTTCCCCGCATATCAGTTCTCGCAGAAAATCAAACTTCTCGTCTGACATAATGGTTTTCTTCATCACGTCGCCGCTGATCCTTCGACACCCCATTTCCTTGGCCACAAGCCCGCTGCGACTCACCAGCATGGCGATGAAAAACTCCAGCGACCGACCCGTGATCACCGGCGTGGCCTGCGACACTTTACCGATGTCCTCGTCCGTCTGCATGATTTTCTTGATTTTGGCAGGCGGAAAATGTGTTTTGATCTTGCCGAAAACCTCGTTTCCGGTATCTTCGCTCATGTTTTCGCTCATGTTTTCTTATTCAGCTTGTAAGTGGTGTAATTGTTTCGGTTGAAAAAGCGCTGTTGTGGGGTGAACAAGACGTTTCTAGTAAAATGCAAAATGTATAGATCCGACTTGAAGATGCCTCCGATTCTCAAAGGTTTCTGTTTCGTTCGTTTAAGCTGGGATTAATTTCAGATCTGAGCACATCATCTTCGACTTTATTATGAGTGTGTCGCATCGGATGAAATTTAGCTTGTTTATATACACACACCGTCGCCCGGCCTAAAAAAATAGTGTATATAATAAATAGCGTGGAAAAAAGCACGAAAATTTGGGCTTAAAGGCGGGAAGGATAATTTAGCTTAAAAACGCGTCCCGCGGGGTTCGAATGGGGCAGCAATGGACAAAAACGGGTCGATCGCCACCGAAACATGATGCCATTTGTAACATTGGTGGCCCAGGCCCGATGGCCTAGCGGCTTTGAATCTCCAAGAGCAATCCCCTCATACCCTTTTTCGTGTTTTTTAGACTCTCCACATCTCTCGTTAACTTCTTGTTTTAAAATTTACTAGATTACAACAAACTACATATCAGTGTGCGACGGCATGAGTGGGCTTCCAAGTTCAACTTCAAGAAACCCCGTCATTGGCCTCGCTCTGTGCAGCGGCCGTTTCAGCCCCGAGCATTTCACACAATCAAGTAGCGGATTGGAATGTGCACGAGCTTGATCGCGTAGCCAATGATACCCACGGCCACGAAACCGATACCCACGGCACGCACGATCTTCAAAAAGTCTTTGTTGCCAGGTTTCTTGCACTTCTGGATAAAAGCAGTACCGTCTCTGACGAACTCCACTGGTGCTTCCGCGAGTCTCTCGAATTGGTTGGTACCCTTGGCCATTTTTTTTGCAATTGGATGATTAAGTCGCGAAGAGGAAGGTCTGATACGGTCTGCCCACGAGTAGAGTGTTGTGTATCGAAGGTTTAGTTGATGCTAACGTGTACAGTATATACTAAAAGTTTTCGATATGAAGATCGGGCGGGTCCACGCTAGAGGGTTACCCGGGCACATCAGCTAAGGTAAGACTTGAATTTACGGTTTATCAACCAAAGATAATGGTCATCAGAACCCGGTCCATTCTTCTTCAGCATCGTCTCTGTCGTTATCTTGACCGAGAACACCCCAACTCTGAAATCTGGTGTCCTTTAAGATGTCTTCCTTGATCTTGTCGCGCATAGTCTTGACATTGTTCGTGTCGGATGATAGGTCTCTGAAGATATCGATGAACTGCGCTAGCGGAGTCTCTGCGATCTTGGCTTGCTGGGTCTTGGCCTTGGCCTCTGGGTCGTTCATTTCTTCGGCGTCGGTGTCCTCCTCTTCATCCTCCTCGGCTTCGTCGGCGCCGAAAACCAGTTTTTCCCACTCGTCGCCAAAAATGTCGATGATGTGGAATGGGATCCCATTGTAAATCTTCTTGTCGCCACTCAAAGGCAGTTTACGGAGAACCGCACGAATGTAGTTCGATACCACAGCGGCGTTCCACTCTCTCAGCTGCAAGTATCGCAGCTGGCTCGCCAGCACTCGTCTTACCAGCAGCAGGTATTTGTCGAGGCGGTGGTGGTCGATGTTGTACCACTCTAAACACATCACACGCCAGAAGGCCTTGCTAAATTTCAAAAAAGCCTTGTCGTTCAGCGTCAGCCGCTTCACGTCGTCCACATCTTCCTCTCCGTCTTTATTGTCGTCGACCGCCGCGCGTTGCGTGTTATCTTTAGCGTCAAAATACAGCTCGTGAAACCCGGCCAAAGCAGAAGCCAGTCTTTGCTGTGGTCTCGGTCTGTCACTGAACCACATGGCATAGTACAGTCCCTTCCATAACTTGTCGAATTGTAGCTGTCTGCTGTCTTTGAACTGTCTGGTGGTCAGGTATTTCTTTAACGACTCTAAAGCCTCCTCTCTCACGGTTCTGGTATTTGACGCCAGCTGTTTCACGAAGGTAGATGTCTCCATGCTGCTATTGTTGCTCGTTTTATGCTCTTTTGATTTTTGGCGATGAGATGAGATGAGATGTTGAATGTCAATTTTTTTTCATTATGCTTAGCGACAGCCATCAACCGAAAGAAAAATCGCTTCAGCTATAGACAAATCCTGGCAAGAAATTGAAAGAGCCGGGCTTCATCGTTTCAAGCTGCCAGATACTTCAAATGTGATTTGAGCTCCAGTGTTTATTTAATTGTGGGGAAAATCCGGTGCACGCGCAACTTAGAGCAGAGGTGAGTAAAACGCACCGAGCTTTTGGTGTCCAGTCCTAGGACCGATGAAGTTCGATTAAGTTGGCACCAGCGCAAATTCAAAAAATCTGAAGACCGAAACGCTTAAATGTAATTGTTCGAGTAAAGGACTCACAATTTCAATATTGTCTAATTGCACGAACTTTTTTGTCCCTAGCTATTCAGCCATACTTCTTAAGCAATTGTGCCTTCTCTTCCTGTGTCTGTTTCGTGCCGCTGATTTTTTTGGCACTACCACTGGTGGGCAACTGCTCACCAGAAGCTGGGGTTTTGATGCTGCCCTCTTGCTTCATGAGAAGTTCGTATTTAGTAGGATTGGCCACCAAAACATGCTTTGTCTTTGCAGCATTTTCGATCTCGTCCCTAATGCCCGACCTCAGCGTTTGCTCGCGAGCAAATCGGTTCAACTGTGATAGCTCCAGCGATTCGCCAGTCAGATGCCGATGGAACATCTTGGACTCAGGATCAATCTCGCCAAGGTCATCGGTTTTGTACAACCGGGACTTGGGATCGTAGTTGAGAGTATCTGAACCAATATCTTTCAGGTATGCTGCGCGATCTTCTCTTAGTCTCACTGAAGCTCTGAGTTTGGAGCCCTGCGCGTCATCTTGTGCAACGTTTCCGCTAGTCTCCTGTTTGTAGAGCCCTAATTTAGACAGTTCAATCTCTTCATCCGTATCCACTTCGTCTGCAGCTCGCTTTGTCTCAGCTTCCTTGCGCTTTAGCTCCTCCTGTTTCTGTCGGAGAACCGTGTCGTATTCTTTGCCTTCGTACCCATACCAGCGGTCTTTCCTCGCATCCCAATTGTCATTAAACTCTACACGTCTTTCGACCTGCTTTTCAGAAGCTGTTTTGGCGTACAATCCACGCTTTTTGGGAGGTTCCAGACAATCTCTCGCTACATGTCCAGGAACTCCACAATTAGCACAATTCTCACGTCTGAAAATGTAACGATTTGATGGTTCTACGCTTGAAATTCGTTCATATTCGTCTTTAATTCCGCGTCCCACTTTAGGTTCTGCGTTGTTATCGATATCGAGGTCTGTGTCTGCTATTTTCGACCTGCGATGATGTGCCAAATAGTCTTCATTTTTCGGGGAATCGTTTGAATCTTTGTAAAACCAAGGTTGGTCTTTGATATATTTCGGAATGTGTGCGTTTTCTTGTTTCTTGCTCATGTTTCCAGCGAGCTTCATGGCCTTTCGATTGACTTGACATTGATGTCTTGATTTTACAAGAGAGAGTTCATTGTATAGTTATTAAGTAATATCTCAGATTTTTGTCAGACATCGCCATCTACAAAAAAAAAGCCAGCCGTTAAAAAGCGTTAGCGGGCTTCAATTTGATCACCAATGATTAGCGTTGACGCTTGTTGATCTCAGGTGAGAACGGTATGTGTCTCAGTATCAGTCTTGTTTGATTGTGATACGGCATTGTAAAGCTTGATTCTCAAGATATTCTCACGGAAACATACATGGATAATTCCTGCACTCTGAGAAATATCCAAGCTCAGCACATTCCATTTTTTCGCAATTCCCACCTTATTATTCACTCTCCTGCCCAAGTGTGGGCCCAGCATGTCCTTATATCTATCCTTAGGGGTTCGAGCCCTCAATGGCACACCAGATCTAACTCCATCGCAGCACCATCAAAAGCTGCGTTCAATGCACATCTTTTAAACCTACTTCTTGAGCGTAAGTTGTCGCTTAAGCCTCGCGGCATCCATGGAGGCTTTCAGATCCCACAGAAGCATCAGAAACTCCGCGACCACCAACACAACTATTTAGTTTACTCCATTCACTTAACAATAGCTCTGAGCTCAAAAACGACGAAAATTCAAGCTAAAATCTTGGTCAAGATGCTCTTTCTTGAGCTTTTTACGCCACAGCTACCAACAAGACCTTAAAGTAGGACCACAATCCTTCTTCAAATATTCAAACCTCGTTTTTTGCACTTTTCCCTGTTGAAGCTCTTGTCTTTAAGAAAAATATCAGTTTTGTTCACTTTTGTTATAGCCGCCAACTACATTTTGAAAACATTTGACAAGACTTTTCGACCATCAAAGTGTGTTTGATGAGCTTGAATGGAGTCAGTACTTGCCCGTTAGAGCTTTGCACTACTGAAGATCAACTTATGGGCGCTTTGACGTGCTTCATGGATACAGAGGCTCGGAAAGGGTGTTGTGGTATTTTCACCACTCCAAAGGCGTTACAAATGCGACAAGTGCAAGTATCAGAGCCCACAATTGTGTGTCTGCCTTAAATCCGTCGTAAACCTGGCAATTGTGTGCGTTTGACTTGGGTTTCAGGTCCTGACAATTGAGACAGAAAATTCAAGCGCCGATCAAGCTACTTCGAGCGCCATGAACGCTCAAAAAGTTCTAAGCACCGCCCATGTGTACACACAATTTACATTCCTTTATGAGATTCACAAAGGTTTCCTGAGACGCCGTCTTGGCACTGAAGAAGAAGTCGCATACACCATTAGAGCCGTTTATTCCATATTGTCGGGGTGGTAAGTCCCGTCCGTCGTTCTAATAACTAGGATCTCACTGCTCCATTGGCAACTGGTCAAAATATCTGCAAGTCGCGACCCAACCTGCGCTACACACATATGCCCTACATGTTAGCATTTATCGCCGAGAATGAGCTCAAAAAAAGCTGCACTGGAAAAATAAGAATTCTCGCACAGCGCTAAAAACTGCATTTCCTCCCTCCAGAACGTCACACAGCTACCAAATTCACCGTGCCAACTAACTAAACAGCTTGTCGGCGCTTTGCGGAGCCCTACTGCACTCATCAAATTTTTACTGTGGAATTATCTATTAGTGAGGCGAAAGCAGGGCTCAGGGATAGAAAAACCTGTACGCCAAGTATTCGTGCATTGTGGGTGATGATGGTTCAATTACCAGGTGAAGATTGTGGCTGTTCGTAAGGGGTTTAATTGAGCCAGCGTTATGACTTCACTATCGAATCTTGATTTTAATTAATGCTTTAACGGCGTATTTTGGGCTGTGGGCAGAACTTCAAGATTGAACATATAAGCATTAAAAAAACACAAGCGGTGTCAAAAGAGTCTTCAAAAAGGTTCCTAAGGATTCTTTCGAGCCGCAAAACAGGAAGTTTTTGTGAAAAAAGGACAGCCACGACTTTTCACGCAATCTCAGACGGAGTTTTTCAAGATAATTCAGTACTTGAGCATTTGCGAAATAGAGAGCCGTTGAACGCACCTAAAGACCACCACATATCATGAAATTTGGATCGCAAATCCAAGACCGCTCTGTACCGGAATGGCGTTTGAACAACATAGACTACAAAGGCCTGAAAGAGGCGGTCAAGAAAGTAACCACATTCAGGCCAGATAAGGATATTAGCGGCAGTTGGGAGACTGACAAAGAGTTGCAATGGCTCCGAAAGGCGTTTTTGCAACAGTTTCGTAACATTAACGCTTTTGTGAGTCTTAAAATCAAAGAGGCTTCAACGAGGCTGGTCTCCGTGCAGTCGTCGATTGTCAGACTCCAGCGTACTGCAGGCGGCCCAACTAAGAGAAATTTACACAGACAAATGGGGCTGATCCATCTGCATCTTAACAGCTCCAACACAGAGCTTCTCAGAATATGTCGTTTTTTGATCTTACAAAAAATTGCACTACGCAAGCTGTTCAAAAAGTTTCTAAAATACTATCCCTACGATCACGGCAGGGCTCAAGACTTCGTGCAGGCATTGAAGTCTTGCCCTGATCTCACAGAGGGCGAAGACGGCATTTCTTTCACTACGATCGACCTTGATCCCTATCTGCTCGAGATCTCACTGATAGTAGACGTTATGCGAGAGCTAGAACAAGCCCGGAAACCCTCTGAGACTGATCGTGAAGATGTTCAGACCGGTTCGCAAGAGTTTATCTCACAAACAGCTGCCCCCAAACCTTACTCACAGGCAGTTTTTGATGCATCATTTTTGGGCAAAGCCACTCGGCTCCAGTCTCTTTTGATATCTGAAGAAAGTATCTCCCAAGCGAAATTTTTGCTGTTACAGCTTGGGTTTCATGTTGTAGACGACGACATGATTACCGCCTCCCAGCAAAGTGTTCAAAACGCGAATCCCACTAACCTCGCAAGTTTGGCGGCCTCGGGCAAGTCACCCCGCTCATTCCAAGACCTGCGTGCAGCTTTGGAACCCGATCAGTCGAACACTCCGTTCAGCGCTCTTACCGAAATTAAAAGCTCTGAGACAGTTTCCATTATACTGTTTGACAGAGAACCCATTCCTAAATTTCTTGAGGACGACGCCGCAAATCAGTATCCCAATATTGCAATCAAAGAAGAAGGTGAAGACAACTGTACTTTGATGTGCCATGTTGGGGGACTAAGAAATTATGTCATATCCGACAAGGTGCCCTATAAGGCGTTTCAGGAAGCATTGTACAGCCACCAAGCTACAAACTCTCAAGAGCTTTCTGCTACACTGTCCCCCAAGAATAAGTTATGTTTAGATTGGTTGAAGTCACATTCTATGGACTTCTGTAAGCCAGAGATTATCACCAAAAGAACTCGATTTATAAAGCCGCCTGTAGATGGTGAGGAAATTGAATATTTGGTGTGCGTGGACGAAGAGATTCTGTTGAACGGATCGCAAAACGTTCCTCACGCTTTACTTGAGATCAGAAGACTATCTCCTAGGAAGGTCTTTGACAAGAAGCCCAAAAGTGATAAGTTCATCATGTCCTTGATCTGCAAATTATTGGACTTTAATATTCATTGTTATCCGCTCGCAAAAGACTTGACACTATGGAAGCTACTTTACTCGATCCAGGAATCAAATTCTACTGAATCTACGCTGCTGTCAACTATCTGCCGCAGCACAGATTCACCAACCAGGGATTCATTTTTCACAGATGGTGCTGTTGAGCTTTCCACCATGATTTCGATGAAAGAGGGCAATAAACCAGCTTTGAGTCACAAAAAGATTGCAAATGCACGGAGGAAAAGTCGATCCTCATCCCCAGATTCAACTCCTCGAAAAATAAGGTACTGGAATGAGTTTGATGACGGTGACGAAGCCGATCAAAATGCCGACTGCTTTTATCTCGATCAAGAGGCGAACGTGAATGATGACGGCGCCCGTGGTTTCATTTCGTTAAACCGAAGCGTTGTCAATGCTGTATATGATTTTTCCGAAAATTTACGACGCGTACTCGTATGTGCACAAGTCATTCCTGAGGAGAGGCCTCTACTTGCGGACAGTCTTCGCGGGCCTTCGCTAGGAAGTGTCACCACATTTGGTACCATGGACACATCACAAAGTGCAAAAAGAGATTTCGATCGTTACATGGGATATTCAGCTCGACAAGACGAAGGTGACTATGCTTACGCGTTAAAGCACGACCATGTTGTCACTTTATTTTATATGACGTCGTTGTTGATTTCCTGCATTACGTCTGGCATTTCATTGGGTATTGTGGTGTCTATTTTCCGAGAACTGAATGATGATGACATTGTTCTAGGCCCCAGCACAGGAGTAGCCAGCGTTATTATTATGTCGTTGCTATTTTCGCTATTATTGAGTTGCATAAGTCTCTTGCTGCTCTTCACTCGACTTCACATGGCACCATGGTGGCACTACGTGAGTTGTTCATTTATCTTTCTCATTGTTGCATGTACCGTATGCTACGGTTTAATAGAAATATTTCTGTAATCAAGTTAGCATTTTGAAGATTGAAGATGATTTTTCTTATTAGAGACACTTCTACGAAGTTGTTGTTGCGATCTTTTAAGACTTTGTGAACCTTTTTTTCTTCTGTTCTTCGTGTTTTTTCAGCCATTCCTCTTCCTTTCTATCTTCCAATCTGGCCATTTTCGTTGCCCTTTCTTCTTCTTCAAGAATTTCCATCTCATTAGCCTCCATGTCAGATTCGTCTTCACTCTCAAAGTCTCTTCTTCTCTTGCCTTTATTGAACATGGCCCAGATTTCATCACGGTTGTATTCTGGTTCTTCTTCATCATCTTCTATAAAATCGTCCATATCTTCTTCTTCCTCCTCGTAATCATTGCGTTTGGGCCGCCTGCTTTTCTTGAGCGTGTCCAATTTTCTCCGTAAATTCGCATTTGGCTGTGCTACAGATGGTATGGGAGCTGGAAGGTGAGAAGGTATTGGAGCTTTACGCCTCGCGTGTTCGGTGTGATGTGTTGGCATGTTATTCAGTTTTTTTACCGGGCCATTCCTTTTGGGTTTTTCCAGCTGTACGGGTCTTGTCTTGGGTTTATTGCCAACCGATGATACACTCTTAGAGGTAAAGCTACTATCTAGCGTCGCTGTTTTAGCGCTTTCTTCCGCTTGCTTCATGAGTTCTTCAAAACTCAATTTCTTCATAGGAGCACGTTGAACGCTTGAAGAAGGCTTTTCAGTTCTGCTGGAATCGCCAACCTTTCGGCGAAACTTGGTTTCTGTATTATTCATATTTGACACTTCCTTCTTCTTCCTGTTAGAAGATGGCGCTGGTATTTGTTTGCCTGACTTCGTAGCAATTTTCATCTGCTCTTTCCGTCGCAGCTCTTTGAGACGCTTTACAGCAGGGTCTTCTTGACGCACGTAGCTTTGTGGCAGCAGAGAACTCTCAAGTTTGAGCGAGTCAGTTTGCTTATTACCATTGATTTTGCTTCCTTCGTTTGTCAGTTTTTGGCCGTTTTTTTCTAGCTGCAAGCGCCCACTTGGCTTTTTCAATTGCGAAAGCTTCGCCAGGAAGCTCATTAGTTTATACTGGACTCTATCGCGATAGTGTTGCGTATCTTCATTCGTGTTCTCTTGGCTTCAACTAAACAGAGTAGAATTATCGAAAACTTCGTTATTAAGAGTCATTTTACACGACATTGGAAGATCTTAACAGTAACAGTGATGCCAGTGAGAGTTCTCAACATCGCATTTCTCAGTTCACGGGTCCTAGTCCAAATATCTACTCTGGTAACTTGGGCTTTAAATTACTCAACCTACTCTGATTCGTAGTTAAAATCTGAGTCCGTGTGTGTGGAGGATTCAGCCTGACTTTCTTCTTTTTCAAGATCTTTCATGAAGGCTTCGTAGTCCTCGAGCTGGTCATCGGCTTCTTTGGCTGATGAACTTTGTGCAGGTTCTGACAAGGTTGAGTCTTGATATGAATTTTCTGAATTTTCGGCCTCTAGCTCAAAGCCTCCAGCTTGCATCCCGGCAGACTCTGCATCACTCTCGCGAGCAGCAGTTTCAGGGACAAATCCGCTGGCATCTGGTACAAACCCACCAGCTTCGAACCCCATGTCACTGTCGTCATCATTGGCATCATCCAAAACTGAAGTTTCTCCGGCATCATCGGCAACGTTAACAGCATCACTTCCACCCCAAGCGCTATTCATTCGAGCGTCTCTGACAAGACCATGATCTGTAATGAGCCTTTGCTTGATTCTCAGCTTGGCTAGAAGTAGGTTCCAGTGTCGTAACGATTCTAACTCACACTCTTGTCTTTTATCTTCTTCATTGGCATACTCAATCCCATCGATCATGGCTTCGACGGCTTCGCGATATCTTTGAGCAGTTACAATACCAGTGATTTGCGGTTTAGCCACCCTTTTCTTCTCGAATTTGAAGCCTGTGACCGCTTTTGCAAATTCGATTCTTAGAAACGACGCCGCTTTGACCGCTACGTGACTTTCGATGAGACAGGCACCTGCAGGTATCATACTACTAACGTAGATGTCAATATTCCCATAGACATTTGTTGGTACTTCATCGTTGGGACCCAAAGGTTGCGCAACAAATAAATCTGTTTCATCGAAAGGGTAAAGCCTCTCTTCTGTGGCTTCGCCGGTTCTAAACTCTCTCGACTTCGTGATTTTGAGAGCTTTGGCACCAGGCTTGAGTATTCGACCCTCTGTATACCACGACCGTGCCGTCTTCAGAACCAAAAGATCTTTGCGGTGATAAACTTTTAGACTGGCACTATTATTCTTGGTTCTAATGAAACCACATTCTTTGCAATTTGCCTTTAACACCTCATTCCATTTAACATCGTTCTCAAGCACATAGTGCGGATGCCCCTTGAGATCTTGCATATTATCTGGAATTCCCTCGTTCTCATCTCTTTGTTTGAAGTACATGTCCTCCATATCATCAGTGCGGGTTCTTTTCCGACCTTGAAGACGCCGCAACACCTTTTGAAACCATTCTTCGCCTTCAGGATATTTTGTCACACGCCGTTTGCGGGTCTTTGAGTTGAAATGCGTGGTGTATCTTCTCGTAACGTCTCTGCAACCTTCTTTACGGTCATATGCAATGACGTATCTGAAAATGTTGGATTGACGTGCTTTCCCTCGAGGTTCCAACGCCGTGTGATGCCGTATTTGTTCGATGATTCGCTGGCCCATTGGATCAACAGTGATCCATTTTTTGGATATCTTGTCCCAAACCTCACACCAAAATATGGAATATCGTTCGGTATCTTCGTCTTTTTTTTTCGAAACTGGCTTTTTACGCCTTCGCGGCAGAGATTTGGCGCCAGGGTCTGCCAAATATTCGTTTGGGGCCTTCGCGCCCTGGGGATTTGAAGCTCTGTTGTTTGTAAAATCGGGCGGTTGAGCGTTGAAAACTAAGCGGGCGTTTACCCCGCATGCTCTGAGCATCGCGACAAAACCTTGGGAAGCAACCTCTAGACTGCCCCTCCCGTGTGTGACCTTTTTGTTAAAGAGCTTTTGGGACATGTAGCGAGCTGGTTGTTCCCATGGGCCGTCTAGTTCGTCCCAATCTATCATGTACAAGCCGCGAGTTTCGACTCGAGTGATCTGTTTGAAGTGCTTCTGCCATATTTCCATGCATTTCTTAAGCCCATCCAGCAGTTTCCTAGTGCTTCTTAGCGGAAGTTCGTCATCCTTCTTGGGGTGCAGCAGCTCAAAGACACTGTCAGGCACTAGTTTTGAGAGCTTCGCGTGTAGTTTAGGGTCGTTCAGCCACTTGTTGCGAACTGATCCATGGACCATGAAAGTGAGTAGATGAAACATGTGGTAAAACTTACGAAATTTGCGCTCGTCATTTGAAATCATGTTTTTGGACTTGGACTTAGGTCTTGAATCTGCTAGTTTGGCGTCCAGCGTGACAGATACATCCTCGTTAGCGGGTTGCTCGGAGTTTTCCAAATCTGAGATATCTTCAAAATCGTCCGAATCATAGTCCTCATCGTCGTCTTGAGAAAAATTGTCCTGTGAGTCTTCTGCAATTTGCCGGTTGTCTTTTTCCTTGTCTGAACTATCGGAGTCCAAGTTTATGACTATCTTGGCTTCTTCTGGAACTGCCTTCGATTCGTACCGGGGCAGTCTCCTTTTTTTGCGCTTCGGCGCTTGCTTGTCTTCCCTAACAGCCTGTCGTACTAAATCAAAGTACTCTTCGCTCAGCTTGGGCATCTCGGTGCTACCGTGTTAGTCATTGGATATGGTTAGCGATGACATGCACAGTTTGACTCAACGATGTGAAATATCGATATTGGATTCGTATCGCGTGATCTTTCTAAAAGACAGACGGTTCGATGCTCTGAACAGAAACAGGTCTCTCTCTTCCCCGGATTTCTGATGGCTGGTAAAGGTCAGTTTACTTTTCGTGGATTTCGTAAGTCTGATCGTTCATTTCTTCACCTTGGCTTTTAGTCCTTTCCATAGCCTGGTGCTGTGACTCCATGTCCTGGGCCACCGATCCGTTTCTAAACCACTTAAAACGACAGCACCAAATAAAATGGGACGCGAAAATCCCAATCTCGAGTGCTGCCACGACACCGTACAGGACAATACCCATAATGTCCATATTTCCCACGATCACACTGGCAATCGAGAGCCAAGCTCCCAGCGAGTCCACGAACAAAAACACGAAATTGATGCCAACAACGCGGCCCTGACGCTTGGCCAGCTCGAAATAAGGCGGAATCAAGCCCAGTGCCAACAGAACCGACGCCAGAATCCCAAAAATCAGTGACGGCCAGTGCACGCCTCGTGAGTACAGGGGACGCAGCCATAAGGTGAAGCCAATTTCCATGCCGACGCCTACGAAAATCAGCGTCAGCACCGACGCTGCAATTTTCCTCCGGGGCCACTGTACTGGTGGATAGTATAGCGATTGCACATAGCTCACGCCGCAGAACATCATGAACAGATGTGGCTGAATCTGCAAAATAATGTTTCCCTTCGTAACCATGAAGTATATGGCAAACGGAATACCACTCGTCACCCACAACAGCATCATTAGTGGGGGGAGACCCTCGCAATCCTTTTTCCTGTAATTGAAGATAATCTGTGGGATCAACTGAATGCACCAGCACACCGTTCCGACAGTCGCCAAAGCTGTTGCCGCTTTTTCAGAAATCATTACGCCTGCGTATCGACAAAGATGACTATATTGAAGTGCTTAAACACGCTAACAGAGGCCTGGAGTTTACTAGTATTATATGGAGGAAATGCCCTTCATAGCGCTTATCTACAAATATGTCGATAGCTATTATATTCTTCCGAAATTGTTCACAGCGCCTAATATTTAGGTCACTCCGAACGGACGAGGAATTACAACAAATGCGTCGTCAATTCATGAGCACGTGCTATTTTTGAGGTGACAGCTCGAATAGTCGAGATGACAGTGTCGATAGATGTTTATTTGAAAGGTGAAGAAGAGTTTGAAACACAAGCCTGTAGTATTTATATAGGTGGTTTAGAGATTTTGCATCGTTGGAAAGAAAATTTGTGATATTTTAGCATGATTTTGAGAATCTTTAGCACAATTTTTGAGAATCACAGTCGTGGTCTAGTTTATCTGTTTTTAAGAGAGTACTTTGATGTTCAATAGTACAAGAGATACCCAAGATATCCACCGATTTCATTTCCTCTCAATGTTGTCATCTATGCAACTCTATTTCTCATTTTATCTTTGGTTTTGTTTTTTGACCATGAACATTTGACCAGTGTTTTGGGATCTTACCGGACTTCATGAATTACTTTACTTGACCTTTCCGCGCAGCCTCGTGTAGAATAAGCACGACAACTTACTGGACACTTTGAATGAGCAGGAATTTACAGAAAAGACGTTCGTCGCAGCGAACGAAAGTAGAACATTAATGGACAAGATGTCTCCTTGATTTACAAGCGTGTCTTGATCAATACTATGGTGATTCCTTCAATCTCAGCTCTTCGACTTTAATGTTGAAGCTCATTATTCGTATGTGTCTAAACATGTATGTTCAATATATATTGCATATACCCAGAAATCAATTCAAACAAAAACTTGAACTCAACTTTGACTTCGACCCCATACAGACGCCTTCAATCGTGTATTTTACACTCTAAATTATGATCTATAGACGGAAAGTATAAATAGGGAGGACAAAGAACTATTTTACATGCCAATTTGTTGCAGAAAATGAATCAAAATGCGGATTTCGATAATTCACACGCCGGTGTTATCCAAGAAGAAAAAGTTTCCGCTCAACTTCTGTTCCTTGTCCATTTGGGAATCCAGCTTGTTGATTCTTGGTCTGAAAGAGTTGGGGTCCCTTCTGAATGTAACGTTCAAGTTCTTCAAGAAACGGTTGCAACCAGTCAGCAAACTCTCTGGAGCTCCAGCGCGCGAGTCCTGCGAAGGTGTACCTTCGAACACAATGACTTTGTCTGCCAAATAAGTAGCCATGATGAAATCGTGCTCTACAATGAAAGCAGTCTTTTTGTTGTGCAAAATGAATCTTCTAATGACCTTCGAACAGATGATACGTTGCTCGGAGTCCAAGTAGGCAGATGGCTCATCGATCAAGTAGATGTCTGCGGGTAGACCTAACGACAGTACAATAGCCACTCTTTGCAGCTCACCACCGGACAAGTGCTGCACTTCTTGGTCGATGATGTCGTCAATTCGCAAAGGCTTTACGACGTCAGTTTGAAACTGAGGGTTCAAGAATTGGCCCCTGATTCTCTTGAAGAACAGTTGTCTCACAGTACCAGGAAATTTAGGAGCAATCGTTTGAGGCTTCATGGAAACGTTCAATTTGGGCACCGCAGTACCGTCATCGGCGGGCAAAGCACCAGCTAGTAATTTGATCAAAGTGGTCTTACCAGTACCGTTTTCTCCCATCATGACCAAAATTTCGGAATCAGAGAAGCTACCGGATTCAACTTGCAGCTTGAAATCGCCCTGAGTACGTTTCATCTTCGGGTAGGTGAAGGCACGAGTGGCGTCAGTTTTTTCGAGTTGGTCCTGGGCGTCCACCATTCTGAACTGTAGCGCTTCATTTCTAAATCTCATGTTTTCACTTGGAATGTGACCATCCAAAAAGATGTTGATACCCTCTCTCACGGATGCAGGCAAAGTGACCACACCGTACACCGATGGAACACCGTAAAGGATACACACGAAGTCAGACAAGTAATCCAGCACCGACAAATCGTGCTCGACACAGATGACATAGGTGGTGGCGTTCAATAGCGATCTGATCACCAACGCAGCATTTAGACGTTGTTTCACATCCAGATATGAAGATGGCTCGTCAAACATGTACACTTGTGCGCTCTGAACGCAGGACATACCGATTGCAAATCTTTGCAGTTCACCACCCGACAGAGCATGGACGTCTCTTTTCAGCAGATTCTGCAGATCTAGAGCCTTGATGACATATCTGGCGTCCTCCTGGGTTCTCTCCAATCTTAGTTTCAATAGTTCGCCCACCTTTTGGATGGATCCCTTGATGGCTCTGGGCAAGTTGTCCACGTATTGAGGCTTGATAACAGCCTTGATGTCGTCTTCTAGCATCTTTGTGAAGTAGTTCTGCAATTCAGACCCACGGAAATGCTTGATAATGTCCTGCCATTCTGGAGGGTCGTCGTAACGGCCCAAGTTGGGCTTTTGTTTACCGGCCAGAATTTTCAAAGCTGTCGATTTCCCGATACCGTTGGTACCGACCAACCCCAGAACCTGGCCTGGTCTTGGGGTAGGCAATCTGTGGAGCTTGAAACTGTTGGCGGAGTAACGATGGGTCACCTCGGCCTCTAGGTTGGTGGGCAAGTTAATGATCTGGATAGCATCAAATGGACATTTCTTGACACAGATACCACAACCAATACACAGGTTTTCAGAGATAAAAGCGATTTTCGATGTTGGTGCCACTTCGATACACAGTTTACCTGTTTTCACCACGGGACACGAACGCTTACATTCTTGACGGCACTTCTTGGGTTTACACCTATCGTCGTTGATAATTGCGATACGGGTATTTTTGGAGCTCATTTCCGGGTTGTTGCAAAGGGGAGAGTCGCTCTACTGTCGCTGTTTGCAGGTCAATTGCATTCATGAATAGCAGTAGGAGCACTTTCACTTGACTTGAATTTTTCATGAGCAAGCGATGAGCTGAAAAATTTTACGCGAGTACAATCACGAGTACGGGCGTCAACCAGTACTGTCGCAGGGCGAAATGCCTACGAGGCAATGACCATACGCTACATTGACCATCTCGAACGGCATGCACACACTTAATGTTTGATCGATCAGTTCATTTGTGATGTTCCACTGAAAACTTATATCGACCTGTTTAAGCTCCGAAATCAAATATCATTTGTGAGACACATTTATCTAAGAAAGCGTTCGATTAAAGGAAAACCAAAACCCAACTGTGCTGATCAAACTTCTCCAGCACTTTCCCAGATGTCTGCTGTATTAGTTGTAGTTGCATATAATTAATTTTCAAAATCAACACAGACAACGAAGAATCGGGTATCAAGACACGCCTTTTTTTTCGCAGTTGAGATTCGGACCTCGAGAGCTACGCAAGCGACATTAACTGTTCGCATCATTGGTCTCCACATCCAAACAAACTACGTCGCGGGACGAGCATTGGTCTATAATCATTATACTCTACAATGTGTTGCCATAGATTCGAGATATGGCAGATTGTTACCCGGTCCATCTTTGGAAGTATATAAGAAGCGAAAAAAAGTGAGTTTCCTAAAGATATCTTCTTCCATGACACACTACTTTTATTTGCCGTACCTGAGGGGACGGTAATTTTTTTAAGTCATAGTGTAAGCCGAGATTTGCGGTTTTTTGCTTGCAACGGCAGGAACTTCACACTTTTGAGGGCATGCGTGGTGCCATGTGGCTGAGAAACACTGGTTGAGAAGGTTGACGCTCTGTCAAGACTGATTTTTTGCCTGGAATTTGTTGCAGAAGACTCTTTCTAAAAGAGGGCCGCTTTGATACATTTAATTTTACTGCTCCCTTTTGTTTGCAGGCCCGGGAATAGCGGTGTGGTAAGGGTTGTTTGAGCTTGGAGTGAAGTGAGTGGCTCTGGAGATTCATTTTTCTTGTTTTGGAGGACTATCAGAAAAATGTTGGAGTCTGGAGAGAATGAGTGGAATGAGTGGAATAAAATTGGTTTTCGTGCATCCTTTTTAACTCTGCACTGCAGAGATATAGAGCGTTTGGCGTGGGTAGAACTCTCTCTTTGACCAAAATTCGGGTTTGGCTAGTACCGATCTTGTTTCTAGACTTTCGCTACGCTTGTTGGGCTGGGCCCGTCCCATCTACGTGTGTTGCTGATGATTTTGACTTGCTTCAAATGTCACGCTTTGGTATTGCAGCTACAAGTCGAGCCAACCCATACAGGAGGCTATCCGGCTTGGAATTTTTTCCATTCGCATCGTGCTCCAGTGTATGGTAGCACACGTCATAAAACCTCGCGGTCTTACACTATTGTCGCAACGTCTGTTTTTCGATGCACCCATTGTCAAACCTTTTTTTGCGTTCCTGCTTACTGGAAATTGAGAATATTGATATCAAGTGTCTCACTAGAACCGCCTTGCACCAAAAGTGTTTCCACTTACAGCCAATAGAATTTATTTATTCGGCTGGAAACTGACTCAAACGTGCAGTATATGCTTTCCCCGCAAAACGCTTTTGGAAGTCTGCAAAGGGTGTCGCTACTGATAGTTTTTGGGTCCTATTGGATGGTCGATCTGTCGCAGAAATTAACAAAGAAATTGTAAGACACGTCTTTCGTGGCATAAGGTTATGCCATTTGGTAATTTCAGAAGACGGAGCAACCGGCCAAATGTTTGTGAAAGATATGGCGGGAGCCCAAAAAAAAAAAAGACAAATGGCGTCTACTGATTGTCCATCACATCACCATCAACACGTCCTACGGACTCTGCCTTCTTGCTGTCAACGAGTGCCGTCGTGATTGAGATGCCGCCTAGGATCTTGGTTACCCTCCAGTGTTTGTAAATTTTCATAAAATTTTTCTCCCTTGAATAACGTGGGAACGTTCGAGTAATGGGGACAGGTGCTGAATCAACATTCATATCAGACCGTTTAGTTTAGTGTGGGCCGCTGGCAGTTACAGACGGAGCTACGAATCCAAGGTTCTTGACGGTCATTGTTCTGAGATCACTCGGTTAATTTGCGGACTGCTTTCTGTCGAAATTACGCGAATTATTTGTTGTCTCACAGTTCTCTCTGCTACTGGTACAACTGGGAAGAAAACTTGAGTTCGCACACTAACAAGAAAAATGGTGGCAGAGGAAATATCGCCTGAGATGCTGGACAATCCAGAACTGTATGGATTGCGCAGATCAGGAAGAGCCGCTGCCTCCAATCGCACGCACTATTTTTCGGACGACGAAGAAGACGATGAAGTTGTGGTTAGTAGACGTGGAAGAGAAGACAAGGCCCAGGATGTGGAGTCTGATAATGAAGTTACAGAGTCCAGCAGTGATGATGAGGATGAAAGCATGGCAGAAGACGATGATGAGGTTGCTTATGGGAGGCCCAAGGCCAAGAAGAACAGAAAAGTCACGAAAACTGCAAGAAAGCCAAAAAAATCCAATTCAGAAGAGTTCGAAGTGCCCACGAGGTTCTCGTCAAGACAAAGCAAATCGGTCAATTACAACATCGACTATTCTGATGAGGATTTGCTCGAGTCTGAGGACCAGGAAGAGAACGATGGAAGCGAAGATGACGAGGCTGACACCCTAGAGCAGAGTTCTGCGTCGCCTCAGACTGGGCGTGGTATCGATATGGTAGTAACGCACAGGCTTAAAGCAGACTTCGGTGAATACCAGGGAGTGCCAGACCTATCCATATGTAAAAACAACTACGAATTCCTGGTTAAATGGACAGACGAGTCGCACCTGCATAACTCCTGGGAATCCTACGCTGATATAGCCCAATTTCGCGGTGCGAAGAAAGTGGACAACTACATCAAACAGTTCATTATCTTGGACAAGCAAATTCGAGAAGATTCGTACACAACAGCCGAGGACCTCGAAGTTATGGACTTGGAGCACGAGCGTCGCTTGGATGAATTTGAAGAATTCAAAATTCCGGAAAGAGTTGTGGATAACGACCGTGTCACTTTAGAAGATGGCACATCGCAGTTACAGTACCTCGTTAAGTGGCGTCGTTTGAACTATGACGAGGCCACCTGGGAGAACGCCGGCGTTGTTGTCAAAATGGCACCGGAGCAGGTCAAGCATTTTCAAAATAGAATAAACTCCAAGATACTGCCGCAATATTCAAGCAATTATGGATCTTCGAGACCTCGATTCGAGAAGCTGAACGAACAACCATCTTTCGTACAAGGAGGCGAGCTTCGAGATTTCCAACTTACAGGTATTAACTGGATGGCATTCCTCTGGTCGAAAAATGACAACGGCATTCTTGCCGACGAAATGGGTCTCGGAAAAACCGTCCAAACTGTAGCTTTCATCAGTTGGCTGATATATGCTCGCAGACAGAATGGGCCACATCTAGTTGTGGTGCCGTTATCAACAATGCCTGCATGGCAAGAAACCTTCGAAAAGTGGGCACCAGACCTCAACTGCATTTATTTCATGGGTAACCAGAAGTCCAGAGACGCAATCAGAGAAAGTGAATTCTACACAAATCCACAAGCAAAGGGGAAAAAGCATACCAAATTTAATGTTCTTCTGACAACATACGAATACATTTTGAAGGATCGCGCAGACCTAAGCGCTATTAAGTGGCAGTTTCTAGCTGTTGACGAAGCACATCGTCTGAAAAATGCAGAGTCGTCTCTTTACGAGTCACTCAATAGTTTCAAGGTCGCGAATCGACTCCTGATTACCGGTACACCTTTACAGAACAACATCAAGGAGCTGGCGGCACTTGTGAATTTCTTGATGCCGGGCAGATTTACCATTGATCAAGAAATTGACTTTGAGGTTCAAGATGAAGATCAAGAGAAATACATTAGAGACCTTCACAGTAGGCTACAACCGTTTATTTTACGTCGTCTGAAAAAAGACGTGGAGAAGTCTCTTCCCTCTAAGACTGAAAGGATTCTAAGAGTAGAATTGTCCGATGTTCAAACTGATTATTACAAGAATATTTTGACTAAAAACTACAGCGCACTTTCGGCAGGCTCGAAAGGCGTACATTTCTCATTGCTCAACATCATGAACGAACTAAAAAAGGCTTCCAATCACCCTTACCTGTTTGACACTGCTGAAGATCGTGTCTTGGCGAAGTTTGGAGACGGGAGAATGTCCCGAGAAAACATTCTTCGTGGTCTCATCATGTCATCCGGTAAAATGGTGCTTTTGGATCAGCTTTTGACCAGATTGAAAAAAGATGGGCATAGAGTTTTAATTTTTTCTCAGATGGTCAGAATGCTTGATATCTTAGGTGACTACCTGAATATCAAAGGAGTTAATTATCAACGTCTAGATGGTACAGTACCCTCTGCTCAAAGACGTATCGCAATAGACCACTTTAACGCCCCCGACTCTAATGATTTTGTGTTCTTGCTTTCCACGAGAGCTGGTGGTCTTGGTATCAATTTGATGACTGCAGACACGGTCATTATTTTCGACTCAGATTGGAATCCGCAAGCGGACTTGCAGGCAATGGCGCGTGCTCATCGTATCGGGCAGAAAAATCACGTCATGGTCTACAGGTTTGTTTCAAAAGACACTGTAGAAGAAGAAGTTTTGGAAAGAGCTCGGAAAAAGATGATTCTCGAGTACGCTATCATTTCCTTAGGTGTTACAGATGGAAGTAGTTTCTCGCAGAGCAAGAAAAGTGATCCCTCAGCGGGAGAACTTTCGGAGATTCTTAAGTTTGGTGCTGGAAATATGTTCAAAGCTAACGATAATCAAAAGAAGCTTGAGGACCTAAATCTTGATGACGTTTTGAATCATGCAGAGGACCATGTTACTACACCTGATTTGGGTGAGTCGCATTTGGGCGGTGAAGAGTTTTTGAGACAGTTCGAAGTCACGGATTATAAGGCAGACGTTGAGTGGGATGATATCATTCCAGAAGAAGAGCTAAAGAAATTAAAGGACGACGAACAAAAGCGGAAGGATGAAGAGTACGTTCAAGAACAATTACAGCTGATGAATAGAAGAAACAATGCGTTGAACAAAATCAAAGCATCAGTGAACGGAAATGGTAGTAACTATAACGATGAGGAAGAGAAGAGCCCACGGCCTGAAAAACGGAAAGTTAAAGCTGAAAGCTTGGACTCCTTTGGAGAAAGAGAAATTCGTGCACTCTACAAGTGCGTGCTTAGATACGGGTCTTTGGACGATAAGTTCGAAGAGCTAATTGGAGATGGCTCACTTCCTATGAAAACAATTGAACTTTACTCTAGACTGTACCGTGAAATGATTGCAACAGCCAAGAAAGTTTTTAAGGAAGAGGACGAAAATCGCACGCAAATGTTTGCCGCTCTTGAGGCCAGTGCGAAAGCTTACAAGGAAAAGCTCAAGGCTAGCGGTCAACAGCTAGATGAAAAAGATAAAAGCACTCCTGTTGGTAAGCTCGCAGCTAAGAGAAAGGAGAAAAAAGCTATCTTGTTTGAGATGTATGATGTGAAGTCGCTCAATGCAGAGAATGTCATAACAAGACCTGAGGAGATGCACTTTCTTGCTTCTTTTTTGCGGAAGAACTATCCGGACGATCCACTACAATTTAAGTTCGTAAACAAGGCACCCAAGCCGGTCACGAATTGGAACTGTTCTTGGAATAAGGAAGATGATGAAAAGCTTATGGTTGGAGTCAATAAGTATGGTTACGGCTCTTGGGCCCAGATAAGAGATGATCCTTTTCTGGGACTCACCGAAAAGATATTTCTCAATGAACCTCAAAGCTCAGGCTCGAAGACTGACTCGAGCTCGACAAATGGTGAAAAGAAGCCGAAGAATGGCTCTACCGGCGGTTCAAAAAAGGTTCCGGGCTCAGTGCACTTGGGTAGAAGAGTGGACTATCTATTCTCGGTTATGCGCGATGAAATCAAGCCGCTGACATCGTCAGGAACAAACAGTGGGAACTCCACCCCGTCAGGATCTTTATCTGCAGGTTCCAAAAAACGTCCCAGAAAACCCATCAACAGCAGAGCTGGTACTCCCGATGTAAAAAAGGAAGAAACTCGCTCTGGAGCTGTTAAGCGTTCCAAGAAAAACGAGGAATCGCGTAAAAGTCCCCCACCCTTGGGTAGTGCTGCCAAAAAGCAGCAACAGCCCACGAAAAATGTTGGCCATGAAAGGAATTCTCACCATGTTTCTGAGAAGGAATACGAAAGTATGGAAGAAATGGAATGTAAACACACCATGCAAGCTATGAAGGGCTCATTCAGAAACCTCAGTCGCGGTGGTAAGGGTCTGGATCGGAAAGAATGGGCACGTATTTTGAAGACGGAGCTAAGAGCGATTGGGGATCACATAGAAGCTCAAAAAGCCTCATCAAAAAAGCATCCTGCCCAGAAATTTCGCAAGCACCTATGGGCCTTCAGCGCTCACTACTGGCCTGCTAAAGTTAAGAGCTCCAAACTTCTGGCCATGTATGATAAAATTGTTGCCAGTAACGAATCCTAAACTGCAAAAGTGTATATATAAGAATGGCACATAGTTGAACGGTGCAATAGCATGCAAGAACTTGACGACATGTTAACATCTATGGTACTATACAATGTCAACCCCCCTGATCAATGCGACACAATGAGATCACCGACGTCCCTGCCCAGTTTGCAAAGAGCTTAATCCATGAGACATGTGAGATCTTGCATCTCGATATATCACGTTTACGGCTGGAGGCGTAGAACTTCGCTATCAAATAAGAAACACCACAGGTCGATAAAAATACAGCGCCTAAGTAAGCTCTAGAACTTCTTCTTTGGCGATCAAATTGGATACATTGTTTCGCATTACAATAAAGTATATCGAAAGAGCAGAGTGTATTCAAAATCGCCAATTTTTCGCATTAAAGTCGCTAAAACTATGAGCAATAAGTGTAAGCACTTGGAAAAATCTAGCACATCCAAAATGATTCTCCCGAGTGCAAATCCATTAGTCCCAAAACTCGATAGCGAGAAGCCTTCACTCGTTCCTCATCGTTATCACTTTGTACTGATACGTCGCTAGCATCTTTCACCGTGAACAATACGACCTCTCCCTTCAAAGAGAGCCTATTCCCCTTACATTTATACACATTCTCTGCTAAGCTTAACTTTCACTTCCTCTTACACTATCGAACTGCTCCTCGATGATCAAATTGTCTGCTCTCGACGACATCCCAAGTCGCGTAAACAGCTTAGTTTTTTTAATTTATTTACGCGTTTGCCAAATGTTATAAAGTGACATATATAAAAGCGAAACGAATTGTAACTGTCAACATCATCACCCAACAAACAAAGCTCCAAACGCCAGCCGATCATTGAAATTGGGTCTCACCAGCTATGGCAGTGCCATCTACGCCCAGGAACGCCAAGAAAACGGCTCCTTTCAAATCCTCCCCGCAATCCTCAGGGAAGAAGAACTTCAAACAGGCATCTTTACTTTCGTTCTTTAGTAAGAACAAACCGGCAGCAAGCACGCCGTTGAAGAAACCTAATCGTGAATCTCTGTTTGTGAACGATGATGATTCCACTGATATGGGGTCGGAATTCGTCACCGCGATGGACGACGCCGGTGACAATTCAGCCACTCCCAAAACGGAGACAAGTGTTGCTGACAAGAACAACAAAGAAAGGCAAGATGACTACAATGTGTCCCAAATACTGGATGGAGATACAGACGGTGAAATTAGAAGCAGCCCGGTCGCTACCGAGTTGCTTGGAAATACTTTAGACGACGTGAACAACAAAGAATCGCAGCCGGAGATAGTAGCTGACGAGAATGTAAAACGCGGTAACAGAGGCCAAGTAAGATATGTCGAATCTAGCGACGAGGAAGAGGATAGCTCAGTAACGCGTACAAATAAAAGGAGAAGAAAACAGCTATCAAGTGATGACGAGGAAGACGAATATGTTCCACCGAAGGAAGGGCACGAAAGTGATCATGATGATGCTGAACACGACACTGATGCTTCAGAGGCTAAAAATGAACTTGCAGATGTGAAAAGCGATTTCTCGCAAGGCAGTGCAGACGACGATGACGACGATGACGACATACTCAGGCTGTCCAGCAAAAAGCCCAGATCTATAAAAAGTGGAGGCTCCGTCGCACCAAAAGCTCCGTCACAATCGCTTGTTAAACCCAAAATTAGTCCTCGCGGCAGCGCGATGAATCAGGCGAACAAGGGCAAACACTCATCTTTCAACAAGGAGAACGAAGAACGGTACCAATGGTTGGTAAACGAACGAGATGCACAAGGAAGAGCACCTGGTGATCCAGATTATGACCCCAGGTCTCTTTATATTCCCCCCTCAGCATGGACTAAGTTTACGCCATTCGAGAAACAATACTGGGAAATAAAGTCAAAGATGTGGGACTGCATCGTCTTTTTCAAGAAAGGTAAGTTTTTCGAGATGTACGAGAAAGACGCCATGCTTGGGAACCATTTGTTTGATCTCAAGATTGCTGGAGGCGGTCGCGCAAATATGCAGTTGGCCGGTATACCAGAGATGTCCTTCGACTACTGGGCGATGCAATTTATACAGCATGGCTATAAGGTTGCCAAAGTTGATCAAAGAGAGTCAATGCTTGCGAAGGAGATGAGAGATGGGAATAAAGGTATTGTGAAGCGTGACCTTCAAAGTGTTCTAACGTCTGGAACGTTAACTGACGCTGGAATGCTCCAATCTGATCAAGCTACATACTGCATGGCCATTCGCGAAGAGCCCGGAGATTTTTACGACGTCGATAACGGCGTTGTGAACTCATCCAACAATGACAACAAGATATTTGGTATTGCATTTATAGACACCGCAACCGGTGCCATTGAGCTATTAGAAATAGAGGACGACGCTGAATGCACAAAGTTGGACACCATTTTATCTCAGGTTAGACCAAAAGAAATCATAATGGAGAAAAACAATTTATCCAACTTGGCTCATAAAATCTTGAAGTTCAATGCACAACCACAGGCACTCTACAATTATTTTAAGCCCATTGATGAATTTTATGACTCAAATAAAACATTCGATGAGCTAACATCCACGGAAAATTCCTACTTTTCAGATATGGATCACTGGCCTGAAGTTTTGACAAGGTTTTATGAGGTGGGGAAGAAGATTGGATTTTCTGCTTTCGGGGGGCTGCTTTCATATTTGAAGTGGCTGAAATTGGACAAATCACTGATATCTATGAAGAATATCAGCGAATATAATCCAATAAGATCACAAACATCTTTGGTTTTGGACGGTATTACACTACAGAATCTCGAGATTTTCGGGAATTCCTTCGACAACACTGACAAGGGGACCTTATTCAAACTCTTGAATCGAGCTATAACTCCCATGGGTAAGCGGATGCTCAAAAAGTGGGTGATTCATCCACTTTTGCAAAAATATGAAATTGAACAGCGCTTAGATAGCGTAGACCTTCTGCTGAATAACATTGACCTACGAGAAACTTTAGAGGACAGCTTGAGTGTTTTACCTGATCTCGAACGTTTATTGGCACGCATACACTCCGGCAATTTAAAGATCAGGGATTTCAACAAGGTTATAGAGGGATATGAAACGATCGTCGCGCTTGCGGAGAAAATGCGAAAACAAGAAATTACTGGCTCACTCGACAGTTTCATTCAGCACATACCAGATAAGTTAGGTAACACGGTGAGCAGTTGGGGGAATGCTTTTGATAGGAAAAGGGCAATTGAAGACGGAGTTATCGTTCCTAAACTTGGTGTTGAGCCCGACTTTGATGAGTCGCTAAGAAATATTGAAAGCATTGAGAAAGAACTGGCTGATCACCTTAGATCCTACAAGAAACGCTTCAAAACATCCAACATTCAATACAAGGATTCTGGTAAGGAAATCTTTACCATTGAAATACCAGTAACAGCTACGAAATTGATTCCATCAGACTGGATTCAGATGGGAGCCAACAAAAACACCAAGAGATACTACTCCCCTGAAGTTGCAAAACTGGCGAGGACAATGGCCGAAGCTCGTGAGTCGCATAAAGTTTTAGAAGAGAGTTTGAAGAGCCGACTATATCAAAAATTCGACTCTAGCTACCAAGACATCTGGATGCCGACTTTGAACGCAGTCTCTCAAATTGATTGCATTCTCTCAATGGCAAGAACCTCGGAATCACTTGGTTTCCCGTGCTGCAGACCTCAATTCGTTGATGAAACAGATCCCACAACAGGCCATAAGTTAAACGGTTTCGTAAACTTTAAAGAGCTGCGACACCCTTGCTTCAATTTGGGAACGGCCACAGTAAAAGACTTTATACCAAATGATGTCTCTCTTGGTCGGGACAGTCCGCAGGTTGGTCTATTGACCGGTGCGAACGCTGCTGGAAAATCAACAGTTCTAAGAATGACCTGCATAGCGGTAATAATGGCTCAGATTGGTTGTTATGTACCTGCTGCAAGTGCAATTTTGACCCCCATTGACAGAATTATGACTAGACTTGGAGCTAATGATAACATCATGCAAGGAAAATCTACGTTCTTTGTGGAATTATCAGAAACCAAGAAAATCTTGGACACAGCAACTAATAGGTCACTATTGATCTTGGATGAGCTGGGTAGAGGAGGGTCTTCTAGTGACGGATTTGCCATAGCAGAAAGCGTCTTGCATCACGTTGCCACACATATTCAGAGTCTTGGTTTCTTTGCGACTCACTATGGTGGGTTGAGCTTGGGATTCAAACATCACCCCAAGGTTATGCCGCTCAAAATGAACATCCTGGCGGATGAAAACTCTCGCGAAATTACCTTTTTATACAAGCTCACTGAGGGTCAGAGCGAGGGCAGTTTTGGTATGCATGTCGCTTCAATGTGTGGAATATCTAAAGACATTGTCAACAGGGCTCAGGTAGCTGCAGACAATCAAGAGCACACTTCTCTTCTAGCAAAGGAACGTTATAAATCGATGAATGGCAAGGAAGACAATTTAATACCACTTGGTTTGCAGAGTGACTTTGTCAGGTTAGCTTATGGAGACGGCCTCACTGCTGGAAAAAAGGGCTGTGGTGAGGGAGTGGCATTTTACGACAGCAGAATCAAGGCCAACGTTTTGAAAAGCATCTTTTCGATGATAGATGGGCTTGAATAATTGATAACTTCTATCAGAACACCATGTAACGCTTTCAATTGACACTAACGAATCTAAAAAATCAAAATCTATATACATCACACCCTTCTTACAGCCTGAGTAATAACCTACAAACATCAATATCCTTGAGAAGCCTAAACATTTCGCAGAGCGGTGTCACTGAAGGACTCTACATACCGCTCTCCGCCACTTTCAACCATAAGTTCCCTACTATCCGCGGACTTGAGTGGTGGACTCTCACCGCCATCGGCCGTGCAAGGTATCTTTTTGTTCAGATGCTGTAGTACATGATCGCGCCTCTTAAACTTTTTTCCACACTTGGGACAAGAGTGGGGTTTTTCTCCAGAATGAACCGATTTCTTGTGCCGTGTGAGATGGTGGCCAGAAGAAAATTGACGTTTGCACTCTTGACAAACGTATACTTTGCCCTTATCAGATACTATGATCTCATCCGAGCTTATTTTCGACTGAGTGACCGGCCTCTTGGGTGAATCTGGAATTGGTGGCTTTGACTCCGCAGGTGAAGAGGGAGATGACCTATCTATCGTGGTTGTCTGACTCAGATTGGAGTTCATTGCCGTTGCTCCATTTGTGGGTAGTTTAGTTGATAGTGGAGACTTGAATTCGCCATTCAACGAAACCGGGCTTCTTGAAGATTCTCGCGAGATATTGAGAGTAACCCTGTTGGGACTTTTGAGCCTTTTTATGAAAGGAAGGTTTGAAAGGCCTGGAGAACTCGGTTGTGGTGAGTTAACTGCACTTTTAAAAGACGAGTAGTAGCTGAATGGGTTGCTCTGTTCGTAAATTGGTCCTGATGCCAACATGGTGTCCCCAGCCCCAGCCGGAGAGTACGGCCTTGGTTGTATTGGAGGCAGAGGGTATCGGGGAGAAGAAGCGCCACTCGCCATAGAGGCCAGGCTTAGTGCTAGCATGTTGTCATCGTGGTCATCTAGCATTTGGGGTGTTTGAGACGAGTGTGCGCCCTGGGTTTGAACTGAAATGTTTTTTTTGAATTTCAATGTCGGATCCTCTAGCGTTGGCTCTACAATATTGGATAAATCCATCATGCGAGAAAGGAGTGGTGACGAGATTCGGCTTAGTGATTGACTGAGTCCACTGTAGTACTGGCCAGGGTTGGGGGTTGTTGACCGTAGAGCGCTCTGTTGAGCGTTATCTTCCATACTCTGTAGCTCATAAGAGCTGTGATGTAGTAATTCATTGAAGCCCTTCATTTTTGTTGTTTCCCGGTCGGAAAGTCTGTTAAACGCCAAGGAACGTGCAGGTGTAGGGCAAACAACCTCAAAATTAGACTTTTCCTTCTTTAAATCATCAGGTTTCACGGGCCTTTCTCGTTTCAAGACATCATCCCTTGACTGGCCTTCAGTCCTGAGTTTCTTGACGATATCCTTCGAGGAGCCGTCATTTTCGGCACATTCCTCCTTAATGTCGTTGATTCTCCTTTTGTTTTTGGTAGAGGTCCAGTCGTCCTTCAGTTTTTCAACGTCTATGCCCACTGCGTCATCAACGCACAGACATTTTTTGGCTTTCGACCCTATGTCGAGCCAATCCTCTAATGCAAAATTGACAGATTCTGCTAGATTGTAGCCGTAATTGAATCCCGCGTGGTATCCATAGGGATACGTAATGATAAACTCGTTTTGATAATGGACGATCTTGTTGCACGGTATCCCATTTTTCTCCAGCATTTTGGGCGATACCAGGAAAGTCTTATGTCTCAAAAACTCGTCACATTTCGCCGCATGCTCAGGGAACTGCTCCTGCATAAATTTGTAGAATTTGTCCGACTTCTCCTGCGGTATCGCGTACCACTGCTTGGGTGCCCCGAAGTGAATATAGTTAATAGAATACAGGTCCTGATCTTCTAGATGCCAGGCAAATGACGCTTTCCACAGACCCGCGTAGAGGTAAGAGTCGTTGACACCAGGGACTTTTGTGCGCACATGATCCAGCAGGCTGGGCAACTTGGAAACGTTCCAAACGTCCAGATCGTCTTGGAACAGCGACCCCAGGGTGTCGGCACCGTACATGGGCGGTGTGAAGGCGAGGGTTTTCCAGAAATACGACTCCAGAAACTGCAGTCTGTTGCGGTCGTTAAACTCGCCCAGATTGTCGTGGTTGTAGTGGGTTGCAAACTTTTCGTAGTCTTCTCTAGAAAAGCTTTCGTGGTTCTTTAGCTTTACCTTCGACGACTTCAGCGGTGAGGGCGACTTCCGTACGCCGTCAGACTCTTCGTGCTGCTCGCCAGAGGACGAGTCGTTATATTTTTCACCAGCCTCCACCGAGGGCTCACTGGTTCCGCCTGGAAGTCGGTAGTCGTATGACAGATCTTTCCACTGTATGATGTTGTAGGTCTTGGATTTCTCCACGTTTTGCACCACGAAAACGCCTTTGGAGCCGTTAAAATGCTGCTGGATGGGCGACCTGATGCGAATTTTCTGAAGCGTGTCGGCCCCCATTGGTTTTTCCAGCCGCTCTAACCACTCTTGTGGCGGAACTACCTTCGCTATACCGCTTTTCCTGCCATACTTGTTGACCTTTTCCATATACTCGTGGAAATCCCTAAATTCGTCGTAATTTGGCCGAAAAACCGGCACCCCGTTCTCCCAGTGGTGAGGCTCTGTTCGACTCATATTAAAACGTCGTACTCCACCAGGTTGCGCCTTGAAATTGGTTGTTGTTGGCCACTTCAGAACCCTTTTATGTTGATTTGGTGTTGAACTGTGATTTACACATGGGGAAGAGATGAGCTCGATTGTTCAGGCTGGGCCCCCTAGAAATTTTTATAGACGAACGTTTCGTTTACAGTGATATTTTCATTTTTTGAGAGTTATTGACGAGAAAATGTGACGAAATGAGACGTTTGGGGAGCGAGAGCTTAGTATTCGGAGTATTCATTAGTGGTAGAGTTAAGTGAGAGATTATGCGTTTTTCTGGCAGTTTTTTCATTTTCATAGGACATGTTTTCGTTATTTTTACGAAAATAGTTTTTATTCGAAAAAAAAAGGTTTCGCTTCCGCTTTCGCCCTGATTTTGGCTCCCAGTGGGTGTAGTTGTATAATTCACGCTGGGAGTAGCCGTCTGCGAGTTTTGGAAACGAAGTGTTTTAGGCATAGGACTTGATGACATGATATTTCAGATCACTTTGTCCGAAACTGACGTGTGGTGAGAGACCATGGCGCAGGGTTCAATGAAGAGCTGACATCTGTGTTGGAGGCTCGAGGAATGATTAGCTGGTAGGTTTGTATCGTTTCCAGAGGTATGCAATGGTGAATGCTTGAGAAAAGACTTCTTTTCATATTGAGGAGCCCCGTTTTGATATTGAAGCCTTGAAGGGAAAGTTGCTGAAAGACCGGGAACTAAAACCAATTTGGGCCCAATGTATTTCAAATTCTTTGTAATCGGAACTTTTATGTCCTTGAGATGTCAAAACGAGTCTCTCCACGTCCAAAGCTGATCTCAATGGGGCCAAATTTGTCGAAAATCCGGTGCGCATCTGTGTATATAAAAAAGCAGTTTCTCAATTTAAGTCATTCAAAGGATGCAAAAAGGGTCCAATAACTTCAGATTTGTCCTCTGCCTTCCGTGGTGTAGTGTCTAAATGTCCGCAACCGGAAGTGTTTTCCATTCCCGAAGCTTCTCAACGACGCTTCAAGGTACAAAAATCGATTGCCATCGAAGCTGAATAGTATTTCAGTGTGATTGACAAGACAGCAGCATTTAGATGGTACTTCATCGAACAATGGCCCGCATTACCTTCGGCAAAGGCATGTCGCCTAATTTTCTTATCACTTTGTACCAGCCTGTCGCAGGCGACAATGATGTCAATTTTACGGCGTTGAACACTCATAATGACGATGTTCTTTATTCTGCCCGTCAAATAAGAGCACCAATAAACCAACTTGGCTTGTTACTCTTTGCGGCACAGCGTCTGAATTCGAAAATGATTGAGATCAGATCTCCCACCTTTTCAAACCGCGAATTCGAGGCGTACCACGTTTCTGCGTATTGTTCGTAGCCGGAAACTCCAAATTCCGAGCGTAGCATCTCATAACACTCTTCAACATAATATCTTACATTATTTGTAAGCCCATCAATCCAAAGTATGCCCATGCCGTGTATATCGCTCCTCATTTGAGCTTCTCATAATGATATTCAAGAAGCTTGAATTTTCGAAAGGCGCGAGCATCGGAAATCGGGCTAAGGAAGTATGGTGATAAATTAAATTGTGAAAAATTGAACTTGAGTCTAAGGCTTGTGCCGAGAGTTGGCAATATCCGAGCGATTAGTACTTTGTCATAACGCTGTCTCGAACCAATTGCAATACTAATAAGGTAAAATTTTTGGCAGAAAAAAGGCACATCGAATGCTCTCAAATAGCCACTCTAGGACCACCTTTTGGCGATCTAAACCTCCCTTGTCGTTTTTGATATACTACTGAGCCTCTCGAAACACAATGCAAATCTCATGACTGAATAGTACAAAGCGACAAAAAAAGCTAATATATTTCACGGTCGTTTGTTCAACACCTGTGGTGGCACCATAAAGACGTATACACTTCAACCCGATGATTTCTTATTTGAAGCAACGTACTCTATATTTCCCCCCAGCTTCAAACCACAGGGCAAGTCGAATAAGTTTTCATCATTGATTCACGATCAAATCTGATATTTTCAAATACAACTTGTTATTTACAATCTTTTGATATTCAGTATCAATACAGTTGTCGACCAAACGAGTCTTCCCTTCCCGAATAATTCATCAACAGACGATATACGCGAATTAAGCTAAAAAGAGCAGAAATCCGATGCCCACACTCGCCAGGAAATATCGTTGCCGTTTTGCCAAACAATTTTATCATCGATGAGAAAGTAACATCATGCCAGAGGGCATAAAATGGCCATAAAATACTTGAAACATTACTTTCAGCGGAATCCGTGGTTACAAATTAGATATCCATCATGAACAATCAATTGACCCAATAAAAACACTCTTAATTCCTATTTTAAAACCTTCAATTTTAAACAAAATTCGTAAGTAAAAAAGCTCTCGATCAACTTTGAACAGCAGTGCCACAGCAGTGCCACAGCAAGGGCAATGGGCGACTCAAGGCCAGCCTCAGACCGGGTCCTTTTGGTTCTGTCACCAGGGGAAAAGATCTAACACGTGATCATCTAATAAGCTCATCGAATCTATCTTTTAAATAGCCGTTACTCTCTACATCAGTAGTTTTAATTCCAAGGTCAACGTCAGTCAGCATCCCGGTCTTACCCAGTAGACATTCGAAATATCCGATCTACCCCCTAAGGATTACTGCCATTTCGAGAAATGCTCAACAGAGCAGCAAGTACGTTGGTGAAAAGGAAAATGGCGACGAAACTTACTCTTACCAAAGTCGAACAAGATGTGTGCTCCCTACTTAAGGATTACAGCCATGAATATAACCAAGCTAATAAGTTCAAAGAACCGCTTACACTTCGAATTACAGGCGGATGGGTTCGTGACAAATTGTTAGGCTTGAATTCTCACGATTTGGACATCGCAGTGAACACCATGTCCGGAGAACAATTCGCGCTCGGATTAAGCGATTTCCTGATTCGCAACCATCAGGTTTATGGAATCACGCCACATTCAATTCACAAGATTGACAGAAATCCAGAAAGGTCGAAACATTTGGAAACGGCCACCACAAAACTGTTTGGTATCGAGGTCGACTTTGTGAATCTGAGATCGGAGGAATACTCCACTGACTCTCGAATTCCAATCGTTGAATTCGGCACTCCGGAACAAGACGCTCTTCGACGTGACGCCACATTAAACGCGCTGTTTTACAACATCCAATGCGACCAGATTGAAGATTTCACGGGCACAGGACTCGAGGATTTAGAAAGAGGTGTCTTACGTACGCCTTTGCCTCCTTTACAGACCTTTCTGGACGATCCCCTGCGCGTTCTTCGTTTGATTAGGTTTGCATCGCGGTTTGGGTTCTCAATCGACCCTGAAACTTATGAAGCGATGCAAGACCCCGAGATCAATAGTGCTCTGGAGCTGAAAATTTCCCGTGAGAGAGTCGGGATAGAGATTCAAAAAATCTTACAGGGACCTAGTCCCTTGTTAGGCTTGAAACTTATACAAGAGGCGGGTCTGGATAACGTCATATTTTACTGGCACAGTGATCCTGCTATTATAGCATACAACACTGAGATGACTGAAATGAGCGAACATAACCAAGCCTATGCGAACTTGAACAAACATATTGCCCTAGTGCTTGCAAAATTGCCGGCCGTCCTCGAAGGCCTTCCACGATTGACCGAACGATGGAATAAGAGCCCAGCTTTCAAACAAGATTTTATTCTTAGCGTCATACTAGCCCCATTTAAAGGCATCAAAATCATTTGGAATCCTCAAAAAGCTCTCAAGCGCGAGCTATCTCTTTCCGAGAGTATTGTAAAAGATGGTTTGAAGCTGGGAAAGAACGATTCCGATTTGATCGGCAAATGTGTGGAGTCGCTTTCTGTGTATCACAGGATGGTGCTAGAATATCAGGATATGTCAAGAAGTGACATTGGTATGATCTTGCGAGACTACAAGGGTCAGTGGGAACTGGCTCATCTGGCAAATTTGACTTTAGCATATTGTGACGACGAAACGCATTTGGAGCGATACCAACTTTTTTTCAAGTTCGTTATTGACCAGAACTTGGAAAACTCTCATTCTTTGAGACCATTGATAGACGGAAAGACTTTATCGAAACAACTGGGTGTTAAACCGGGACCTTGGATGAGTCGCGTTGTTGCAGATATGATCAAATGGCAATTCGATAACCCCACCGGAAACGAAGATGAAATTATGGAATTTGTCCGAGAGATCTTACCTAGGTATACCTCCCAGTAAAGAAGTATTCATGAAGTAAATGAGAGATATTATCCTGTATAAATGCTTGAAAAAGTTTATAGATAACCGATTTTATCTTACCAAGTCGCTTGGCCATTTGGTTGCCTTTGACTTAATTTTTTTTGGGTGGGTTTTGACTGGGCGTCTTTACTGTATCTTGGTATTTTCGTAAAATGCTCAAAGATGTGAATTGTTCCACTCATTTGTGAGACCGCCATGGCCTTCGCCATTGGTTATGGAATTGGCGATCTGGTCGATGTCATGCATTATGCGGCTGGAGAAATTTGTATATGGAATTTGTTCATGATGAGAAGTATCTTCAGCCGCTTCAATTCTAGCGTTATTGCCTGCCTGATTCGTCACAGTGGCAGGGGAATTATTCATCACGGAATGTATGGTGGATGCATCTCCTTGGAATAAGGCGTTCGAATATGACATGTCGTTTTCCGGCAAAGCGTGCCTTTCTTGCTCATCTGCTGTTAGAGACTCAACAGCACAACCCAGATCCAATTCCATATACAGATTCAAAAAATTGTCATTTTGAGCGTCTTGGAAATTTAGTGAAGTGTGTCGTTGATTGTTGTGAGTGTCGATACCAAATCTGTGTGGAATGTTCGAAAGCTGAACATCATTTTGAGCGGAACTTTTAGTCGACGGGACAGTACTCTCCAAAGTCGAGTGGGAGTTGACCATGGATGAAAACATTGTGACACTGCTGCGACTGGTATTGGGGAAAGAAGCGGCATCGAAATCTCGTTCTTCTGTGCCTTCGAGTGCAGTCTTCGAAACTCCCTCGAGAGCCGAGGCTTCATGAGGGGAATAAGAGGTCTCTTCGTTTTCTTCCAAAATTTCATTCTCCAGCGAGCTCTCACGATCCAGAGACAGTAAAACGCTATTCTGTCTCTCGTGTCCGACGCCAATATTGAGGTGACCGGTGTCAAAGAAGCAAGGCGTCGAAGCGGAAGACAAAGAAGACACGGTGCTCGGCCCGCGAAGCTCTGAAAAGGATTCTTGCTTTTTCTTGTGCGTGTGTCGCTGTTGCTTGGCCTGGGTATCCAAAAACGAGTCCATTCCGATATTGAGATCGGCTGCGTAGTTTTGATTGCTGTGAAAAGACGAGAAATCGCGAGAAAACCGATGAGAGTTGGATCTTCTCAAAGATGCGGGTTTTCCCGGAGACGCAGTGCGTATGGGCGAGTATTTATGCGCTAACGAAGAAATGGAGTTGTTAGACATGTTTCTCTGCAAGCCGGGATGGTTGTTGGATGTTGCGCTGGAAACGAGTGAACTCATGGACCCGCCTGTGTTGGCACGTTTCCGAGTGAACATCTTACTGAATGCAATGGAGGCGTCGTTTTCGTCTCCCAGACGCGGGGAGAACGACGAATGCAGACTACTGGAATGGGGGCGGGTTTTGGCAGCCGGGTAGACCGAGTAGTCGTTGTACTGGTCGGCGTAATGGTGGTCAAAATGCGTCGTTTGGCTTTGGCTTTGGCTTAAATATGGGTTGCTCCTTTCCTTGGAGGGCGAGTGCCGGGCCATAAAAGACGGTTCCGAGCAAGAAGCAGCCGATGCACCGAGCGTGAGCGATGCCTTGCCATTGTTGTTGACGAGTGCGACGTTGGAACTCAAAGACCGGTTCAAACCCATACGACGGTCTGCTGAGGTTGGCACAACCTCTTCTGTGGGCGATGTGATGGTGGATGCAGACCCTCTGATACCGCCATATTTCAGAAACGAGCTGTAGGACCGTTTGGTGACCTGCGACGACGGTGTGGACGCCGAGGACCGCTCAAACGCACCGCTAGTGGTATCTAGCGGTGCCAGAGACGTCTGAGACGCCTGAGACGCCTGAGACGAATGGGGATGCCCTGAATGGCTGCTATGGTGGTTGCCCGAGCCATGCACCGCACTGAAAATCTTGAGCATTCGACTTTTTGACGATTTTTTTTTGTTATTGGTGATATTAGCAGACTGTTCTTGCTGCTGCTGCTGTTGCACCTGCAAACCTGGCTCCTGTGTGTCCGAATCCTTCACCGTGTAATTGACAAAAACCATCTCGCCCTTCCGCGTCTTGGCCTTTGCACTGCGTCGTCCGCTGCCCTCCATTTGAACGTGCTGTGGTGTGGTCATGATGTTGATGTTGCCGTGGTCCTTACTGGACCCGTTTGCGCTGCCATTGGCCGCGCCAGAGTGCGTGGGCTCGCCCTGCGCGAGCCCCACGGCACTCGTGTTCGCCTTGCGGTAGTAATGCGGGATCTTCCACTTGCTAACGGTCTCCACTGGCGTGGTGGACGCGTTACTCGTTCTTCTGGTGCTTCGCATCCCCGCGTGTACAGTGATCCGCGATATAACGGAGCCCTATGGGCTGTCTCAAACGAAGGCCTAAATCCGCCCAAAAACGCCCCAAAACGCGCTCTGAACACGCCAATTCAATGTCCACTGACCCAGCGGCGCGTCGCGCTACCTGCTGCGATTTCCAGCGCGCGAAAACAACCTTCTTTGGCCCTGAAAGCGATTTAAAAAACGCTAGACACCCGATTTACACCGCTGTTGCGGGACAAATTCCAGATCTCCGGTATAGCGAACCTTGACAGCAGTGGAACGACTCCAAATTGTGTTTTTTCGGGGCCCTGGGTCGTCGTTTTCGTCCACAATCGATGTCTCGAATGTGCGGGCTGGGAAGAGAGAGAGAGAGAGAGTTATATAGTGTGGGATCTAAAAAATCGAGAGACGGCGAGAACGGTGCGTGATTGGGCTGATGGGTCGTTTTGCACGGGCTGAGCAGTGAAGGAGACAGACGAAAGACAGAGCGATGAGACGAGAATATGATGAGAATTGAGGACGCCAGAGGGTGGAATAATGTTCGTGAGTGTGCTAGAAAATGCGACTGTTACTTTGGGCTTGCCAGTTTTGCATGGAAAATTGGAAAAAAATCGGGTTTCCAAAAACTCATTTTGAAGCCTGTGAAAGGGAAGCTGGCGGTGTGGCAGTAGCGTAGATTTCGAGGGCACCGCAATTAGATCTTGGACGAGACCTTTTGCGGTGTATTATGGACTGAAGCTTCTAATCTTTTATTTAGTGACGCGCGTGGGTCCTGGCGTCACATACGTACAAAGTGATAATCCGGACAACAAATTGGATTAACAAGCTTTTAGATGGGTGGTGGAGCCGGGCAAGTGTGTGCCAGATATGACGCAGGGAGTTGAAAGCTAACGGTGGTACGTTTGAGGGCGCGGCGAGTGGTGAAATTGTTGGAAATACAAAAGTAGCACGTGCCCTGGAATCGCGAGCTGGTTTGCGGACCTGTACACAACGCTCAGTGAAGCAAAAGCGCTAATACTATAGATATCATCTCACCGGAGCGGTCTCAACAGTCTCAATTACCTACTCTCACGAATGCCTTCAAGCACTGAATTGTCGTTGTTTGGGTCATGTGATTAAATGACAGACGACAATATAGTACAAAGTGACACGCTATTTTCTGACATCGAAGTAAAAACTGTATTCATCAGACACCATCCACAATGCCGGCGACCCTCAGCCATGCCGGGTGCCATCTTTTTGCTTGCCTTGCACTTCTTTCCAAATCCAGGGATCAGCTATTGAACGCGAGGTTTCATATATTATACATTAGTATCGCAAGAGATGAAATTCCCAAGTTCGAGAGCTACCGGTAAACATCACACTGTGCAATTGTTTTCCCGAAACAAAACAAGCAAAACAATTATTATCACGCCCGCCGCAAGAATTCTGTCACCTAGATTCAAACTTTGACTTGCCCAAAGTGAGCATTTCTCAGATCCGAAAACAAGCCTCTCGGTGTTTACAGTTCAGAACTTTATAATTGGCCCTCTATCAAAAACCACATTTGTGTCTATTCTGGAACTCAAATGCCCCTCTTGCTCGGTTTCTGCCATACCCTCCTCAGATGTTATAAACACACCCTCTAGCAACACATCGTGACAAAATGACCTTTCCCATCCCCAGCATGAGAAACAGTACGCAACACACGCTCTCTCCAAGCCGTGTCCCAACTTCAATCACTGCTCGAGACTGCGTTCTGACCTTGCATTGAAGCCCGAACTTGTCTTTCCAAGCATCCTCCTGCGCTCACAAAATTGGTCTTCACGTCTCGAAAATCCATGTTAAATAGTCCTTGAGCTGCATGGCGTCGTCTAATTGTTCACATAGCTCCATGCCACCCAGCACTAAATTATAAAGCCCTAACTTCTAGTCATCCACAATCCATTCCAATTTTAACGTTTCAACCCTCTATCTTGCCCACCCTTCTCACTCGAGCTGCTCCTACACCGCTGTGTAACATCACCTATCACTTAAGTTTACACATGAATATTATACAACAGGTCTCATTATCTACTCGTGACGCATCAAAACCTCAGCTCTCGTGACACCTGGTAGCTCGTGAGAAGTTCTGGCTCTTTCCACAGAGTAACGTACATCCAACTCATTTGACTTACGCATTTGCTGCCGCGTTCTATCAAGCGATGTTCTAGGAGCAGATGAACGGCGGTACCTACCCGGCGACGTCTCCGTGCTAGCGATGAAGCTCATAGGGATGTCCTCAGTAACCACAGTGTCGCGAGATACTGCATTTTCATTGACTGCGGCATCGAGGTGGTTCAAATGCTCGTTTTGCGCATTGCCAGAAAGTTTGGTTCTGATACTACCGACGTTAGGTCTATCCGGATCGGTGGGGTCATAACCTTCTGGATATTGATCGAAATGACCCTTCAACCAGTATTCACGTATGATATCCACATCCCTGGGGAAAAACAATTTCTGAACAACGTCAAACGTAAACCGAGGCATCATACAAAACAAAACACCGACAAAAAGGACAGCCCAGTACATTGGGGACCCAAAGACTCTCGCTGCACTTTTGTAAAATTCTCCGCTTGTAGTGAAAGTAGACCATATACCCGTCCATCCATAAAGGACCAAACACGAAAGCGCATTGAAAAGTGCAGAAAACCAATCCCATCTGTAGAGGTGCATGAAAAGGTAGAGATTGCATGAGATCACAGCAATGCTGACTACAACAACACCCACAAAATATCTGTGATCCAAAGGAAGCCCAGTGTTGGTGACAAGGCCGGTCTTGTAGTACACCAAATATGGGAAGAAAAAGCAGATGACGGACTGGTACATGCCATCAATCATATAACACCAGAATTTTTTTTGGCCCCATTCGCTTCTCAAAATACCAACGCGGTAAAGCTGTGGTACCAGTAACGATACCACGTCATTGACATCTTGGTCGAAGATACCCATCAGGATAACTGGCACAGAAGTGAAGGCTAAATTGTAGAACATAAGGTAAGTGTACTCGAACAGATAGGAGCCGTCATAGTTGTTGTAGATTCCATACCAGAACAGCGCCAGAGTGAAAATTGCGTTCTTGTAGAAAAAAGAAGGAATCGTTTCCGAGAGTCGTTTGTACGACCATCTTCCGTGAACCAGAAGTAGTCTCGTCAAGTATCTGAACTGCCCAATGGCGTAATCCGAGGACATGACAGCCTGTCTTCCTTCTTCACCTGCAATACCCACCCCAACGTCGGCGGATTGAATCATGGCCACATCATTAGAACCGTCTCCAATTGCCAGAGTCATAACATCTAGGGAATTTTTGACCAGCTTTACAATAGCTGCCTTTTGAGAAGGAGACACTCTGCAACACAGCACAGCTCTGCAGTGTTTGCATAGAATCAAAAATCTACGAGAAATATCGTCGTTTTCCAAGGCCAATTTTAAGGCATCTCCGTCAATGATAACACCACGATTTCCAGTTGGAGGCTCATGTTGTTTTTTAGCCTCTTCAAGCTCTTCGATGGATCCGGTGAGGCCAAAGCTTTCGCGCAAGTGTTTTTCAATCATGGACTCGACAATCTCAAATGGCGTTCTACCTTCTGCTTCAACGTCGTCGCCAGCAGTCTTAATAACAAGAAGTTCCATTTCACTGTTTAGTAGATTACAGGAGAACCCAATGTTGATGGCTGTTTCGACCTTGTCACCAGTCAATACCCAAAGCTTGATTCCTGCCTCTCCTAAAATTGCGATAGAGTCAGGAACACCATCCTGAAGACGATCTTCAATGGCTGTACCACCCAACAGTGTAAGTTCTCTCTCAATAACATCAGCCATTTTTTCCATTTCTTCTTCTCTTTCCGTTAAAGAACTGGCAGCAATTTCGTAGGAGCGATTCCAGCCTTCGTACTCTTCCCATGAAATCTCTCTCTGACCAATACACAGAGTTCTCAAACCCTCTGTTGCGTATTGCTCCAAATGTAGAGCCGTCTTTTCAAGCAGTTGCACCTCTTTTTGTCCACCATTCCTTTTGAGCCTCGAGTAAATGACCGAGTCAGCACCCTTGCAGATCAAAAGTGCTCTTGGTTTAGAATTTGGTGTAACACCTGGCAATTTCACGATGCAGCTCATTCTTTTTCTTGTGGAATTGAATTCCAGTATATTGAGAATTTGAAACTCCTTCTTAGCGCCCTGGACTTCCACAATCAAACCCGTCTTGGTCTTTCCAGCAAAAGAAAATCCCATTTCTTTTGCCGTACCCACCAAGGCAGCTTCATCAGGAGACTGAGCCATGAGTTCCAGCTTGTCTGGGTTTGTCTTAGACTTCTCAACAAGCACGGAATGACAAAGCGCCAAAGCAAGCATGAAATGCTCGTTACAACTTTTCTGGTATTCACCACTCTCACCTTTGAGATCTTGAACGATCTCTTTCGACACAAAAGTGAGAGCCTGTTCATCGATCTCTTGACCTGGACTCAAAGCCATCAACCCTTTGATCATGGCTCTTTTGTCTTCTTGGATAACAGCACGCTCTACAGCAGCCTCTGTTTCAACATCAATTCCTTGCCGTTTACGGAGACCTGCTAAAGCCTCGGTGTAAGCTCTACCGTATGAGACCCCGTTGATGGTACATTTCTTAAACTCCATGACATTTTGGGTCAAGGTACCCGTTTTATCAGAAAAAACATACTCAATCTGGCCCAAATCATCAGAAATGTTCCATGTCTTTGGTGTACAAGGATAGTCCAGCTTTCTATTGTATAATAAAACATCCCCGTAGATAAATGCTGCTTGGGCAGTCCGCACAATTTCCAAAGTAATGTATAAACTGATTGGGACCAACGATTGGTACAGGATGACTGCAACCCAAAATGCCAACACACCATTAGCGGCCGGAGATCCAGCAACCGTTCCCCACTCAAAGAATTTTCTAGATTCATTTTTCCAGCGGTAGTAAATGCCGTTAACTATACCTGATGCCAAACACAGGACAAATAGCAGTACGAAATTCATGACGACGGAAAAGTTTAGCTCTCTTGCAATTCTAGATTTTTTGGTAGGAGTGACACCCGAGTTGAGCATAATCTTTGTATCTTGACCAGTAAAGACAACCATACCCATAGCCCACTTAGTATTCCTTAGCGAGCATCCTCTCAAGAGAAGGTTATTGATGTTAACGGGTTCATTTTTCAGCTGGTTATCCTCGCTATCCACCCACTTCAAGTTCCCTTGATATGAGTATAAATTGTTGTGGGGACCTTCACTTTCTAGCCAGAATTTGGTTCTAGTGACATCACGAGAGTTTCTGATGTGGTGTGAGCAACGAAGTGATTGCCGAACTTTTAAGTTGGTTTCTCCATCCAAGTTCTTTGTTTCGACGTAACAAGCACCATCCGCGTCAGAGGAAGACAACAAAACAATATCTGCAGGAATCTCATCGTCGTTATGTATACGCACGATGTCTCCGACCTTTACACTTTTCCAATAATCTTTTGCAAACTTGCAATCCGTTCTAGCAGTCATGGTTTTATCGATAACATTTGCCTCATCTGACGTCACCAATTGACCTACATCGTCGTAATCCAGAGATTCGCGTCCAAAGACTCCTGAGGGCCTGTAACTACCAACGGTGTCTAAAGAATTACGAGGTGTTCCAGGAGCCATTCTGTGATGTTGCTCTCTCCGGCGTTGCGCTGCGGCACGACGACCCTCTTTACTTAAGGTTGCCTTGCAGAACTCGATAAAGCTAAAAAGAACTCTAGAATTGGCCTTTTTGAACTTTCTCCACGCCGAAACGTTGTCTTCGGACACGTTTGGATTTGGAATACCCGAAAGAATGTGAGTGATTGTATTATTAACCTCCATGTCCAGAATTGTACGTTGGGAGTCTTCAATGGCATCTTTGATTGCTGTTAGCACCACGATGACAATCAGGGGCACTGTTTGCAGCCCAGGGTTCGTGACACCAAAGATGTCGACGAAACCGAGGATAATCAACACCAAGAAATAAACGTTGGCTACGTTTTTGAACTGGAAAGACAAGTTTTTGGGGAAAAACGAAAGCGCAGTGTACTTCGTTGTTCTGATCTTGTTACGGGCGTAGTCGATGGCGGGCTTTCCATCCTCGTCGAGATACTCCGCGGGCAAGGGCATGTTATAGTAGATGAATCGCAGTTCTGACGCGCGATTACTGCTGTCGGCGTCCTCGCTGTTTCTGGAGCTGTCTGCGTCGTTTTCGTGCTTTTTGTCGTCCTCAAACGGGTTGTGTAAGTTTTTCTTGGCCCACCGGAGTGTTCTTGCGCGCCCCACACTGGGGGTGCCCTTTTTGGTCCTTTTGGTACCCCAACGCATCCGCTTCATGCCCTGCGCATGCGATTCTGGGACTTCATTGTCATCATTGTTGAGTTCTGGTCTCGGGTCCTCGAATCCTGCCAACTGAGTCACTCTGGGTGTGCCCGTGAAAGAGTGGGAATCGTCTCCATCCGATTCCAGCGATAGCTCTTGAAACTCCTGGGGCTTGTCGCTTTCGGCGAATGCTAGTTTGGCGGATGGCTTCCTTTTAATCTGACCTTTGCGTTTGAGAATCGAACCTGCTCTGGATGCCGTTGAAGGTGCTGATACTGCACCGTTTCGGCTGTTGTCGAACATGCTTGCGTCCGTGTCCAGTGTCATCTCTTCTGTATTTTCGAACTGAAACCGGTCGTGAAATGGCGAGGAAAAATTTTGTTTATCGTTGGCGTTGTTTCCATCGCGGCTGTGGAAAGAAGGACCCGGCCGAAACGGCTCCTCATCACCGCCAGACATCTTCCAATTCCGCTAAAAAAAGTGCTCTGTTGTTTCAACTAAAGCGTGTTGGCAGTGGAAGATCGCCTGCTAAACAAGCTAAGTTCACAGAGGTTAAGAATCTACAACGAGCCTCTCAACTCTTGAAACGGAGACGTTGAACAGGTTTGAGCTATTTGCTTAATTTGTCATTTTAGGTGGTATTTCGGTGAAAATTTCATGATTATGAACCTTAATATATATAAAGAGCTGAGAATATATATAATAGGAACCCGCCTTGCCGAATTAAGTAATATAGTGGTACACACGCGGTTTTTAAAGAGTTTGTAGTAGTAGGTCGGTTAGTAAAATTAAGAGAATTCTTGAAGGGTTAGAAGGGTAAATATGGGCACAAAACGAGTGGCTTTCCGGAACGTTGAGTATATAACAAGGTGTTTGTCGCTTTGTACGAACACATAGTTTGAATATCACAACCTTTAAGTAATGAGTTGGGAAAACTGAAAGTGATAGATAGCAAGATGGCAAGGGTTTGTGTGTGCGAAGTGCGGTACTGTCACAGTTGTAGCTTATCTCGATCCTTTTTTTGGTTGAAAAATCGTATATCATTAGATACGGATCATCAAATCTTCAATTTGGACAGGTGCGAAACGGAGCGAGATGGGATATTTTGTTTGTCTCTTTGGAGCACGGAATTACTATGAGGCTGGGTGGCGAGGTCAATGGTAAACTCTCAGCGCCGCCTGGCACGGGGAACGTTCCGCCGAGTGAGAGAAAAAAAAAAAAGTACCACGTGACCAAATGAGAACGACTCATTAGTACAAAGTGACTAGAAGCTGGAAGGTTTCCACCGCTTTCACGATTACGATGGCTATCCCTGCCTCCCTCTCACCTCCCGTGTGTGCAAGCGCACCTGGAGATATACTATTGAGTTCCAGTACATTGCAGGGGGCAGCTGAAACCGCCTCCCCCAATCATTTCACCAACATCGGCACGTATATATATCTAGGAACTGAAAAACCCCCTCCCTCACTGCCGCGTCGCATACAATTTGGTCCACTCACGTGCCTTCGCAATCGCCGCGTCCTCGTGCTGGAGCCAGTCTTCGGCCACATCGTTCGCCAGCGGGTCGTTCGGATTGGGGCTTGCCAGCAGCGCCTGCACCGACAAGAGCACGGTACGGATCTGCAACGCAGGCGACCAGTTGGTCTTCAGCACGTCCAAGCAGATCCGGCCCAGTCGGTCGATGTTGGGGTGGTATATCTTGGTCAAAAATCGCACTTTAGGGGCCTCCATCGGGTAGTCATCGGGCAAGAACAACTCCAGTCCGAACACTCCGTTTTCGTATGGCGACTGCTCTGGGCCCTCGATCGTGACTTCAAAGTATCTAAGGTTGTCCTCGTGCGGTATAGCTGTGATTCCCGGCACTGGGTCACTGACCAGCCGTTCTGTCTCCTACGTTGGAAAAAACTCCACTGTTAGCATCGCTACTGCTGCAAAAAAGCCCGTTTTTGTTCGTGACATACTTTAATGATTCTCTTGGGAAGCGAAGCCATGGTGTCGTTGGCTATTTGGTCGGTTATAGCTGCTTACCGAGTCTTTTGTAGCTCGAATTTTAAGTAACAGTTTCGATCAATTGTAAGTAACTTGGATTTATATCCTAGATGAGCTTAATTTACTATCATATTCAGACTACGAAATGTAGGGTCACGTGACTCCTTCTTGGCATAACTGGAACCACGAGAACCTGGAGAACCGCTACAAATAGCCAGTACCGGCTCAATCGAAGCCTGCTCTAACACACCTCAGTCCGGGCCTCTAGATTTACAAAAAAACGTTACTTTCCCACAATTTTATTTAAAAAAAATACACGACATCGTCGCCCAATTTGCCGACTTACTCGTTGGCGTCGGCGGTGCTGGTGGCTCCAGCAGCAGCAGGAGCAGCAGCAGGGGCACCAGTAGCAGGTTCGGCCTGGGTTTGGGCGTCCTGGTCCTTCTTGAAGGAGTCGTAGGCAGCAAAGGCCTCCTTGAAGTGCTGCTCGAATAGTTCGTCGTTTTCAAGCAATGGCACCACTTCCTGAGGAGGTAGATCCAAAATCATACCGGTGATCTTTCCGGCGGCCTCTTCGTCCTGAGTCTTGGCAAACACTCTCTTGTACAATTGTTCACCCAAAGCTTGTCTCTGCTTTTGGTGGAAAAACTGGTTGCCGTTTCTTGGAAATCCACCTTGAGGACCCTGAGGAGGCATGCCGTACATTGGAGCACCTGGTCTACCGAACTGCTGAGGAGGAACACCGTTCTTTGGCATACCACCCATGGCAGCCATCTGAGGAGGGTTAGGACCGTTGAAAGGCACGCCTCTTGGAGGCATGACACCGTAGAACATAGGTTGCATGAATTGGCCTGGCATACCGGCAGCGGCGGCAGCAGCAGCAGTGGCTTGCTGGAATCTCATCTGGTTTCTGGCCTGGATTTGTTGGGCCAATTGGGAGCGTCTCACTTCCTTTCTTTGAGCAATAGCCACGTACAATGGCTTACCAGCAACGATCTGCTGGTTCTTCTCGGTGATGGCCTTGGTGGCTTCCTCTGGGGCAGAGAAACACACGAAACCGAAACCCTTGGAGGCACCGGCGTCATCTCTCATAACTTTGACGGAGGTGATGGTACCGAAAGGAGCGAATTCCTCTTGCAACTTCTCGTCGTCGACGGAGTCGTCCAAGTTCTTGACGAACAAGTTAACGCCCTGGTACTTGGCAAGTTTTTCGAGTCTGGAGGATTCGTATTGCTTCTTCAACTCTTGCAAACGCTCGTACTTCTTCTGAGCACGGCCAACGTAAAGCTTTTGGCCTCTGAAGTCGGTGTCGTTCAACTGTTCGACAGCCTGTAGGGCGGCGGTGTGGTCTTCAAAGTTCACGAAACCGAAACCTCTGAGCTTACCCTCGGAGTCGGTTTCCAAGACAGCGGAGGTGACAGGACCGAACTGAGTGAATAGCTTTTCGAACTCTTCCTGGGAGGTTTCCTGGTCCACGTTCTTGACGTAAACGTTGGTGAAGTTGGACTTGACCTCGTCAAGCTTGGATTGACGGTCCTTTCTGGAAACGTGAGGAGCGACGTAGACCTCGAGTCCGTTTAGCAACATACCGTTGATGGCGTCGATGGCTTCCTTGGCGGCCTCTTCCTCTTCGAAATGCACGAAACCGAACTTTCTGGATTTTCCGGTCTCATCGGTGGCGATTTTGCAGGAAAGGATGTTACCGAACACGGAGAAAGTGTCGTGAAGGGCCTTGTTGTCGATGGCAGGGTGCAAGTTCTTAATAAAGACGTTGCCGGAGCCCTTCTTTCTGAGCGAAGGGTCGCGCTGCGACCACATGATACGGCAAGGTCTGCCCTTGATTGGGGTGTAGTTTAGCTTTTCAATGGCAATTCTGCCGGCGCCGCTGTCGTGGAAGTTGACGTAAGCATAGCCCAACGAGGTCTTGGTGATGGCGTCGCGACAGACACGGATCGACGACACGGAGCCGATGGGGGAGAAGATGTCGTACAACAGAGCCTCGGTGACGCTGGGGTCTAGCTCGCCCACGTAGAGGGAGGCAGAGGTCGATTCCACTTTGCTGGACTCGGCTTCACCGGCGCCAGAGGCAGCGGCAGCAGAGCCGGCTGGGGACTCCGCACCAGGCTGCTGCTGGTCCTGGATGTTTAGCTGTTCAAGCTGCTCGGCAGTTTTGTCGGTAACGTCAGACATAGCTCGAGTGTGCTGGTGGGAGGATGGTGATTTTTCGTTGACTGAAAAGGTGTCTGCGTGTGTGCTAATAAAAACAGCTACAATGGACACTCAGACGACAAAAAACAAGCAAAATGATCCTGGGAAAGAGCACTACAACTATAGGGGCAAAAGTTGGTGCTGCGACAGGCAAGTTGCAAGTGTACAGACTATTTTTTCAAGGCTTTTTGGGCTTTTTTTCAAAAATAAACCGGTGGGAAAACTAGGTTTTTTTTGGGCGAGTTTTTTGGATTTTTTGGGGGGGTTTTTTGAGTACTGTAACGGACCAAACTGTGCTGGGGCTCAAGTTGACTCAAATACAAAAAACGGGCGGTGTTTTAGGTGGCTTTAAAGGATCGCTGACTTTCTTTCAAAACTAAGAATCTAACACTTTTTGGTGAAAGATGAGTTTGGTTTTCTAATTTTCATATATCATCGCCATCATCATCATAGTAACGAACGAGAGAGCTCATCGGGGGCGCCCACAGTGAAGAAAAAAAATTTTTTTTCACCACAAAGAGAAAAAAAAGTGAGTGGAGCGAGAGAAGTGCTTGGTCATTTGGTACGGGTGATGGTGAGAGTTGGGACAAAATGGACCAGGAAGACCAAAATGGATCAGAAGGATCGAGTAGTTAAAGGACAATGGGAAGGGTTTGGCGTGGTGAGGTTGGTAGTTATTTATGGTTCATTTTGGGGTCTTTTTTGGTGGTTTTTTATGGTGTTTTTTTTTTTTGGGAGACGGTAGGGGGATTGTAGAGTAGGTTTAGACTAGATAAGTATTATCTAGAGCTTTCGAATATCTAATGGAAAGGGGTGGCCTCTGGGGAGGATGCTGAGGAAGGATGATGGGGGGGAATGGGATAAGATAGTCATTGATCATTTTGTACTATACAGACACTGACACATGTCACGTGAGCAGGCGCCAGCCTTGCGTTAGAAGAGAGCTGGTATGCCAGGACGAGGAGGCGAAGATCGTCGCGATTTCTCTCTGTGTGTAATTTATATTAAACAAGCTTCTACTTGTTATCAACGTCACTTAAACCTCCCACGCTGACGCCTGCACTTCCAATGGCGAAATTTAAACCCTGTCTTCTTTGAACCCAGCCCGTCTGGTAGAGTCTTCAACATTCCAGCGAGCTCGAAATGCTGCCGTCCGCCAGACTCTAGGACTGCGAACGGATAGCCTTTGGTAGCCGTTTTTCTGCCGAAAGTAGATCACGTGTTCCACAGCTTCTGCATTTCTCAGCGTCAGTTAATTGACTAATCCTCCTGATACAACGTTGTGTTCACGTATATCAAGTATTTTGGCTAATAATCAATGTCAATGGCGCCCTTCACACTGGCTTCATCATTCCTGGTATCCAAATCTTAATCTACAGCTTGTCTCGTCTCAAAATAATAACTTCTTGAGCCCAAAATACCAGTTTCAAACTCCCAAAATTTACTCGTTCTTCACAAAAATATACAGACGTTTTATTCATAACACATAGCTTAGAAATTGACGATGAACTAATAAGTTATTGTAAAGCTCTAACCACTTGTTTTCAATTCCGCTGAGTGCTGGCTCGTGCGTCTGATTTCCTTGAACGACAATTCCCTCAATTACAAATCAGATTCACCTGCACTGACTCGCGATGGTACTTGTCTTGGAAAACGGACTACTCGCGAGCCTACTCCTCCTCGCTCTGGTCCCAAACTATTCACAAATGTCACTTATTCTCAGAACAGCGCACGAGTAGCTTCAGATATATCACGTGCTTTATCCTGTTCATTCTCTGTGTCAGTGAATTGAGTGGTTCAGACGATCCCACGTCAAGCCTATCCATAACCGCTCCCTCTCAACTCGAACCCAGCTGGTCTCGTCCATCAAAAATAATGTCTTTAGCGTTCCAGAAAATTCGAAAGACCTGTTCCCCTTTTCCAAAATCTGTTTCATACTTTAAATAAATTATCGACCTATCGTTAGCGACACTGAACTCTCGGAACGGTTTCGAAGCCAACACGACTTCTTTTTGACCGCTGACTTACAGTTTGTGATGTTACTTTAAGTCGTGCCCAAAGCACAACTAATTAATTGAAAGCATCACAAACCCTCTAGCGATACTGGCTTACTTGTGTGAATCTTCATGGTGGATTTTACTGTACATTCCAAAGACATGGCATTCTGACAAAATCTGTTCCCATGTCACAAGGCAATAGGCTAAATACCTGCATTTATTTACACGCGCTCTTTGAAATGGGGCAGGGGTAGCGCTCCCCCCGTGACAAAAGCGATTCGTTCCACACTCTCAAACACCATGCTCATCTTTTCACTGCTAGTTTCAATAGTTCGACAAAATGTAACGCCGGCCTAGTGTAGTTTTCGATGTCACATAACCTGTGATTTCCATGCCGGTAGATTTGCAACTATCTTGTATGCACCTCTTAGTGCTAGATTTCATGCTTATCGTTATTTAACGTGCCAATCATGATTGCGTGACATGAAAACAAAACCTACTGAAATATGCATAGTCAGGACACGTAATATATTGCGTTGATATTGCGTTGAAACTTATGTTTATTAGACTTAAATTTCACGAAAGGACATCTAAAGTCACTTTAATCATACCATTTTCATGAGAATACTATGTCACCCGCTCGATAACAGTGGCCATTAACTGAAAGCGCAACCTGTCCAGTTAAGCTTTGTCAATGCTACCCTGGCAAATGTCCCGCTGTATCTCACATTATGCTTGTCACTTTGTTCTATACTGTCATCTGTCATCTGTCATCATGTCACTTTCATGTAAATGGACGACTGATACAGGTTGAGAGGCCTAAACCCTAGGAGGGTACATAGTAGCCATATTATTAGCCCCTTTACCTGATTAAATTCAAGATTACATTAAGCAACTGTCGACCGTCACTTCACTTACTACAGCCATTGAAATGCCGTCCTTTGTTTCAAATTTTGCAACAGCAGCATTGCTCTGAATTTGTTTAATACTGAATGGATGGCAAGTTCTCCAGAATCAAAGTACTTAGGAGCGATATTACCATCTCTGGCCGAGCTCGCAACCTTCCTCTGAAACATTGTTGCTGAAGCTGTTATTATGTCACGTGTTTTCTTTAGGCTAGACGTACACGTTTTACGACTGAGTATCGCACACTCTGATCCCACATACATGCGAGCACCGCTGTGAACACATTGAGCTCTTTCCATGCTCGGTTTTGGCTAGTTCCGAACCTGCTGTGCAATTGGAACGACAGGCTTGCGACAAAATAGTACGAAGTGATGTCATTTTTTAAGCGGGAGAAGTCGAACACCAAGAAAAGCTGCAGTCATAAGGATATCACCAGTAGTTTAAATGCTTTAGTGCTCTTTATAGCTTGTAAATCATCAATCCTGGCTTTAGGGGATCTGATGAACGTTTGGCGCTTATTCATTGATATTAAACTCTCGCATAAAGTGAATCGTACTGTGTTTTACATGAATCCGACCCATTTGCCTCCAAAACGCTGCGCCATACCTGGAAGTATTCTTTCAGTGCGTTCAAAAGCAAACACTGGGAAAGTTAAGAAGCTAATTATAATTCCCAATGCTTCTAAATTACCCAGCTGAAAACTAATACCAGTGACAAGGATAATACAATCTAAAAACGCATGGAAAGGTAATCGGCGCCATTCAAATCGCAATAAAATAATAGCTTCAAAATTGCTTTTTAATATACCTGAGACCGCTATTTGGAATTCTGCGATATTACTACCAAAGCAGTCCATAAATGTTGATTAACCTACAAGTTCTCGGAAATTTTAGATCTGACAATCCTTGTCGAGTAATTATATTACCTCGCATCATCAAACCCTCTAATATTCTTCTCTAAGTCAAGATACCCTTTTTTAGCCGATATTGAAACACTGGCACATTTCGTTACCCACCTTGATCGTGAAATACACTAAGATCACCAAAATTAATGAGCTTTATGCGTATTTGGACTTTCGTAACCTTTAACTCCATCACATCCACAAGCAAATTGACAAATCGCTATAAACAATCTTTGTTTTGGATTCTGGTTTCTTCTTAAATGTGGAATTGGTGACGACAAGACTCTCTGCGTAGATGAAATACAGAAAGATACCTTCTTAAAATAAGATGTAAAGCCATTTCAAGCTGAATATTCGCTAATAAAATAGTTTGAACCACTGGATTCGAGCCTAGCTGCAGTAACTCTCTCCAAGCATCTATTTCAATATTCAACAAATTCCAATCTACTTTAAACACACACCGAGCTAAATTGCCAACTGACCATTTCCCAAAAATCGACCATCACCAAAAAATCGGTTTGACATCGAACAACCAAAAACCACCATCTATCTGCCTAAGAATTCTCTTTCTTTAAGTTGTTGAACTTTGTATGTCTGTTAATAAAATAGTTAATACTCCGAGCATTATAAACACAAGATAAGTAACTAACGGTTCGGGACCTCTCCTGTCTTAAACACCACAAATATGAATCCCATCAGGCTTCTACTGCTTGGGGCTCCAGGATCTGGCAAGGGAACTCAAACTTCGAGGCTTCTAGCTCATTTCAAGCATATTCAATCGGTCTCATCTGGAGATTTATTACGACTTCAGATCCAACGGAAAACAGAACTAGGCAAAATTGCAGCTCAATACATCTCCAAAGGAGCACTTCTGCCAGATGCATTCGTCACAGAGCTAGTACACAATGAATTGAGCTCCAGGGGATGGCTATCGCCTAGCTCCAGCTTCTTGCTCGACGGTTTCCCAAGAACATTAAAACAGGCAAAAACATTACGATCCAAGCTCGCACCACACAAAGCAGCCCTCACTATGGTTTTCGAGCTAGATGTCCCAGAAAGCGTTATCCTGGAACGCATTGAGAACCGATACGTCCACGTTCCCAGTGGCAGAGTCTACAATTTGACATACAACCCTCCAAAAGTAGCAGGCAAAGATGACGTGACCGGCGAACCCCTTACCAAGCGCCCAGACGATACTGTTGAGGTGTTCGGACGAAGACTCGACAACTACAGAGAAACTTCAGCACCATTGAAGGAATTTTATGCGAAATTAGGCATTCTGCACCGCGTTTCGGGCGAGACGTCGGATATCATATTCCCTAAGCTTCTCAGCCTTGTGGAAAACAGTTTGAATGGCTCTGGGACCCCAGAAACCTCCGAAAAGTCTACGACGCGCGATGCTTGAATTTTTCAATAATGATATATTTTTGACAGAACTTACAAAGAGAACGAGATGGTTTCAGCGGTTATAGGCCAGATACACTATCTAGACAGTCCCGGCGCCGGTGAAGGACCACTAACGCTGCCGTGAGCCATCCTTGTCATCGTCCACCGGTTCAAACACCTATATCTGATGTCACGTGCCAAAGTATCATAACTATTAAGCCTATGTTTAAATGATCTTAAAGAACAGTGATGCGATGAACTCATCCCAACCACTTCCAGATCCAGCATTATAAGACCCTTGACGCTATGAAGTTCTATATCGATGACTTGCCCGTCATTTTTCCCTATCCGAAAATATATCCGGAGCAGTACCAGTACATGTGCGACATCAAGAAAACTCTCGATGCCGGAGGAAACAGTATACTAGAGATGCCTTCCGGGACTGGTAAGACAGTCTCTCTACTTTCCTTGGCCGTAGCATATCAAACGCACTATTCAGAGCATCGCAAAGTTATCTACTGCTCCCGTACAATGTCGGAAATCGAGAAGGCATTGGTAGAATTGGAATCGTTGATGGACTATAGGGCCAAAGAACTGGGACATAGAGAGCATTTCCGAGGCCTGGGTTTGACCAGTAGAAAGAACCTGTGCTTGCATCCAAAGGTACGTAAAGAGAGAAAGGGCACGGTGGTAGATGAAAAATGTCGGCGTATGACCAATGGCCAGCAAAAACGTAAACTTGAGCAGGACCCTAATGCCAACGTCGAGCTTTGCGACTTCCACGAAAATCTCTACAGCATGGAGCCCGAAAACTACGTTCCTGTCGGTGTGTTCTCGTTTGAAAAACTGATAAAATACTGTGAAGAAAGGACAATGTGCCCGTATTTCACAGTCCGTAGGATGATCTCCATGTGCAATATCATGATCTACTCATACCACTATCTACTTGATCCCAAGATCTCTGAGAGGGTATCTAGAGAAGTTTCCAAGGATGCAATTGTGATCTTCGACGAAGCCCACAACATCGATAACGTTTGCATTGAGTCTCTCTCGCTGGATCTGACGAATGACGTTCTGAAACGTGCCACCAAAGGTGCGAATGACTTGACGGATAAAATTCACGAGGTAAGGCAAGTTGACTCTCAGAAGCTCCAAGACGAATATGAAAAACTAGTAAATGGCCTCCGTGCCCCCGACATGTTGGACGAATCGGAAGAGCCACCAGTAGAATCGCCAGTTCTTTCTCAAGATTTACTGAAAGAGGCTATTCCAGGTAATATACGAAGAGCAGAGCATTTTGTTTCGTTTTTGAAGAGATTCATTGAGTATCTAAAGACCAGGATGAAAGTTCTACACGTCATTTCCGAAACCCCGAACTCTTTCTTGCAACATTTGAAGCAACTAACGTTCATCGAGAAGAAACCTCTACGATTTTGTTCTGAGCGTTTGTCGCTTTTGGTTAGAACTTTGGAAGTCTCGGACATCGAGGAGTTTAACGCTCTCAAAGATATCGCGACATTCGCCACCTTGATTTCGACGTACGAAGATGGGTTTACGCTTATCATCGAGCCGTACGAAATTGAAAATGCCGCCGTCCCCAATCCCATCATGAGATTTACATGTCTCGATGCATCCATCGCAATCAAACCCGTATTTGAGAAGTTTTCATCTGTCATTATCACGTCCGGAACTATATCGCCGCTGGACATGTATCCAAAAATGCTCGATTTCGAGACCGTTCTGCAGGAGTCTTATGCTATGACATTAGCAAAAAAGTCATTTTTACCGATGATTGTTACGAAAGGGTCCGATCAAGTTGCAATCTCCTCGCGATTCGAAATAAGAAACGACCCCAGTATTGTAAGGAATTACGGATCGATGTTGGTGGAATTCGCAAAGATTACTCCTGACGGCATGGTTGTTTTCTTTCCTTCCTATTTGTACATGGAAAGTATCATTTCGATGTGGCAGACTATGGGTATACTGGACGAAGTTTGGAAATATAAACTTATTTTGGTAGAGACACCAGATGCGCAAGAAACATCGTTAGCTCTAGAAACATATCGAAAAGCCTGTTCCAATGGGCGTGGTGCTATTTTGCTATCAGTCGCGAGAGGGAAAGTCTCGGAGGGTATCGATTTTGACCACCATTTTGGCAGGACTGTACTCATGATAGGTATACCATTTCAGTACACAGAATCGCGTATTTTGAAGGCTCGGCTTGAGTTTTTGAGAGAACATTATCAAATAAGGGAGAACGACTTTCTTTCTTTCGACGCCATGAGACATGCAGCGCAGTGTCTAGGTAGAGTTTTGAGAGGTAAGGACGACTACGGAGTTATGGTGCTGGCAGATCGAAGATTTGCGAGGAAGAAAAACCAACTACCAAAATGGATAGCGCAAGGATTGTCGGATGCTGACCTAAATCTATCGACAGATATGGCCATTGCCAACACAAAACAGTTCTTAAGGACTATGGCTCAACCTACAGACCCCAAGGACCAAGAGGGTGTTTCGCTTTGGAATTATGAGCAACTCATAAAGTACCAGAACGAACATCAGAAAAAAGGAGACGGTTTTGTCGTAACTTCAGAGGAGAAGAAGGATAGTGAGGGAGATGTTGCAATGATGTGAAAACACCATGATTTTTCAAGCCCACGTACATCGAATGCTGATGCAACTAAAAAGCATTGCATACATATTCACTTGACTAAACTCTTAATAGTTCTACCTATTGAATGAGCACTTCGAAAGAAACTTCCTTGTCCGCATCGATGTATGCATCGCTCACACACCATAATGTGAGCTTGTGACTGCCTTCCTCATTCAATGATATTTCTAGATCGTAAGTTTGGGTTTCTTTAGACAACGAGACCTTCTTGATAAAGTAGAGCTCCTTCGTAGTTGTCTCGCCTGCTACAAGCCACCAGCTTTCGTTTTTCGCCTGGGGGAATTTGTCTGCGACGACTTGGAGACTCTCTGGTTCCTCATCCCTCGTCAGTGTAACTGATATATTGATAGGCGCGCCTGGTTTGTATACTGAAGAATCCTCCGACAGAGCGTATGCCAATTCCACATTAGGGTAGGCATTGACGAATGTTGCGATAGATGTTAGTTCCCTATCGTCGAAAACCAATATCTCATCCCGCTCATCATCCTCAAGCGCCATTATATCGTAGACCGTCTCGATGCCCTTTTTCTTGCATCTGTCAATCATACCGGAATCAAAGTACGGCACCTGTAGCAATGGACTGTCTGTATCCCACATGCCCTGAATCAGCATTTGAGACAAATCCATAGCTATCGTAGCATTCAGATTGCCCTCCCCGGCCATGAAATCGACCAATGCGTTGACTACTGCCGTAACTCTTTTCAAGATGAAGACCAAATCATTTTTAAGCTCGTTCCTGAGTTGCAACCTTGAAAAATGGCACTGTAGTAGAACAAAGACTTTGAATGCTGCCGACTCGACGTCCGTAATCTGTGCGCTTTTAACAGGAAGTCTATTGTAAAGTAATTTTAAAGTATCAACATCGGACTCACGGAGTGCCACGGAGCCTAGTTCGAATGAGCTTGCAATGGCCTCTAGAAGACTTTTCAGACCCGAAGCTCTAGACAAATTTTGATGGAAGACCTGAATGCTAGCGAACGAGACGTTATGATACGCACTTATCATGCAACCATTCAAAGGACTCATGATGGAATCTTTTTCTTCTGCATCAATGATCTCTTCATTTTGTTCGTCATTGTCTATCTCAATCATAGAGTACTTGGTCAAATCCGCTGTGACTTCCTCCACCAGCTCTGTCAAGTAAGCAGAAACTCCTAGAGATGAGATATTCTTCACTCCGTAAAAGCTCGGGTTACCGTGGATTCTCCTGTAAAACAGCGTAAATGTGAGCCAATCAATACAGTCTTGTTTTGACTCTATCACGCCGGTGCTTATCTCACGAGAGATAGCATCTGGAAGATAATAGTACATGAAGCTTTCTACAGGCAGGGGCTCAGTGAGAAACTTCCTGTAATGTTCTTTCTTGACCTCGCTCGTCATAATGAAAGCTTCATTGAGCTTTGAACTCAAACTTGCCGTGCTGAGCATTTTTTGGATTTCATTGACAGTATAGTCGACATACCGGTGTTCGTTTCCCTCATAATAGCTCGTTCCGAAAAGCACCACAGTGCTACTTCTTAGGTCGTATAACTCAACACCTCTGCAGACAAAAAGAAGCTTTAAAGCTCCTGTTTTGAACAGTTTCTTAACTATTGTGCAATCCTCCACGGTAAGGTCCGAGTTTAAGGCACCAAAACCCCACCTCAAAGACGCTCGCAGAAGTTCATTGCTTAATGGGGAGCGATCACAGTCAGTTGGTTCGATGTTCGATTGCGTTCCCACCAACTTGTTTTCTGTGCACAGTCTGATAAGCTCAGTCATCAACTTCGTAGCCTGCGCTCTTGAAGGAACAAATACAACTGCTCTTTCGTAATCGGAGCCCGATCGTAGAATATTTGTGCAAAGCGGCCACAGCGACTCGCAAATGTCTGTATTGCGATCCTCGGGGCGAGGGCCTGCTTGAAATTTGATCTGTAGGGGTGAGACCCTATCCGCGGGTGTGAAGTTAAAAATGTTTTCTTTTCTTACGCTCATCCATTCTCCAAAGTCTCTACTATTGGCCACGCAGTTGGATAGTCCGACAATACGAAGACCAGTCTCAAGTTGGGCGGCAATGAAATTCATTCTAGATATGATGTTTTCATAGATCGCTCCAGTCAGGCCGTCGCCAACCATGTGAGCTTCGTCTAGTATTAAAAGTGCGATGCTTTGGATGTTTTTTCTTTGCTTCCATTTTCTTGATGCAACATCGAATTGTTCAGGTGTGCATAATATCAAATGACTTTTAGCCAGCAACTTGAGATTGCTTACATTGTTGTCGGTGAACTTATTAATGATTTTCCCACCCGCGACTCCACGAAACCTTTTGGTCCAGTTATCTGTAATCGAGTCGACTTTCTCTTGGGATGGGCAAACAAACACAGACCGACCGCCACCTTGACGCCATAAGTTTAGTAGAGCTATCTCCGCCATCGTGATTCTACCACTACCTGTTGCACTGCCGATCAATATGCTGTCGTTGGTATCGAAAAGAGTCGGGAATACTTGACTTTGTATTCTGTTGAAATTCTCGAAGTCGAAAAGTTGAGAAAACTCGACCCCTACCTCAGAAACAGGTACTCTCTCTACATTAAGTAAAGGAGTTGGCGCTGGAAATTTACGCGGTAATCGAACGTTGTCCAGTAGAACAGGAATTTTGAACTCGCTATGAAGCCATCTGTCTGATATGAGCGAGATGAAAAAGTTTGACGGTAGCATCTGCTGTTGAGCTGGAGTCAAAAAGATAGAAAAGTCAAGGTAATGCTCCTTATTAGCATATTTTTGCTTCACAATCAACATATTGTCATATAGAAGCTTGTCGCCCATCTCATTCTCAACCATCACAACAAACCTTTCACTAGTGCCGTGAATTTTCGAGTCCCACGTCCACTTTGGTGAAATCTCTAAGTCAAAGTGTAAGACACTAGGCGTCAAGGGCTGTATTGAGCATCTAACATCCAGGCGAGGAAACTTCTGCAGTATATCATAGACGAGCTTCCCATTTCCTTCCGAACGTATTGCCTCACCAACTTCCCGAGGTGAAGATAGCAGAAAGTAGTCTTGCCATGGAAGAAACGATGCTTCAGTGTGTCTGATGACTTCCGACGGGCAATCTTTGAATTGTCTCAACGCCGAACTTGTTATCCACATCCTTTTTTCAATTGATTTGCAAAGATTGAGCAACAATTTTGCTAGCCTAGGCAGTTTCTTTGCGTACGCTAGCTCATAAAGAGCTCTTGTAAGCCTACCAGCACTTTGTGTGATGTAAAGCATATCAGACTTTAGGGCGAAACCATCTAATTTGGTTCGAGAAATGTAAGACTGTAATAGAACGTTGACTTTCGCGATTGGTTCATTCCAAGGTTCTTGAATTGGAATTGGAGCTTTTTCCAGAAGCTTTTGTACCTCAAGCTTTTCTTCTTGTCTCACTGGAATATACTTGAACTCGTCAGACTTGGAAAAAATGCGCAGAATATCAATGGATGTTAAATGTTCGTTGATGTTCTGGTTGTACATCGAAACCGAGTGGTACTTGATGTAAAAGTGAGATGCAATCTTACCAAGGCCTGTTGGTAAAACCGAAGCTGTGTTAACATCATATACCACAAGGTTATGTTCGTGAAGAAGCTCGAGAGCAGAGTGCGATAGCTGATCGCGATACTCAAGAAGGAAGTCGTCACCATTGTCATTAGAAGGACATTTGTACAGATCAGGATTCTCTAGCATTCTGACAAACAAGTACGTGAAGCCAAGCCACTCGACGGCCTCTTTTCTATTCTTTATGTTTCCCAAAACAATCTCCGCGTTCATATTATCGGCGAGCTTCGATACAAGCTGCGATTCGATTGGAAGCTGTTGGTTTAGCATTGCTAGGTAATATTGAATGCTGGACTGTTGGGTAATGATGATACCTTCTCCAAAAGTGTCATAGCGAGGCCGACCGGCCCTACCAAGCATCTGTAGCACATCCTGAGGAGAAAGTCGAGTCCAAGTACCTTTTATTGGGGAATATACGTCAGTTCCTTTGATTATAACGGCGTGTGCCGGTAAATTGACACCCCAAGCAAGGGTAGCAGTCGAAACAAGCACTGATAAGAGACCGTCAGCAAACAGATCCTCTGATAATGAGCGGTCAGACTTCGTCAGCCCCGCGTGGTGGATACCAAAGCCATACTGTATTAATTCCGCCAGTGGTCTGTCAGAAATATTTTCTGTCTCTCTTTTTATGATTTCTTTAGAGCCTGGTTCCGATTTTATAAAACGATCAAGCTTGTCCTCCTCTGAAAGCTTATTTTTCAGCCAAAGAGCTGTTCTAGCAGTATCTTTCCGGGAGTGAACAAATACAATTACCTGATGGCCTTGTTCCACTAATTCCAATAGTTTGTCGTAACAAGCCTGATTCATGGCATTTACCTTCTTCACGGCATTTGTTTCTGTAACACCGCAAAACTGTTGCGCTAGAGGACAAGGTCTGAAAGAGGAATCGAAATAAAACAAATTTTTCTTAGGTACCCGCAAAAACCGGCCGACATCTGAGTAATTGGGAAGTGTAGCTGAAAGTGCCACTATCCTCATCTTGTCCGCCGCAGTCTTATCACGCAGACTTCTTGCAACGATACTCTCAAGTACAGGACCACGTTCATCGTGCAAAAGATGAACTTCATCAATGATCAATAATTCAACTGAACTAGTGAATTTTCCATCCTCTCTTTTTCTTGTTATTATGTCCCATTTTTCCGGGGTCGCAATGAGTACAGTTGAATCCACAATTTGCTGCCTTGTTATATTGGAGTCTCCAGTGAGTTCCCCTACCTTAATGCCGTAAGTCATAAGTCTTCTTTGAAACTCCCGCACCTGCTCCTGTACAAGCGCCTTGAGCGGAGCGATATAGACAACTTTGAAGTTTTTCAAATTAAACGTCCCCCGGTTTTGATCTAGATGATGAGACAAAACTCTTAATATTGTCAGCATGGCAATATTTGTCTTCCCTGAACCCGTTGGTGCGCATATCAGTAAGTTGTCATCGTTTCCGAAGGCCGAAGGAAAAACCTCCGACTGAATTCTGTTCAAATGGGTAGTTTCATTCAAAGGAAAGGCGTTCTTGGCCCACTTTGGGAGAGTGGTTATAGGCACTAGCTCTAGCTCCGCGGATGGTGGCGAAGGTGGGGGGATATGAATTTCTTCGTAAGATGGTTTTACCCTTTTAAAGGAGTTTGCAGGTAGAGTAATTCTCTCGGCAGTAAACACCTCTGATCCTTGATCAAAAGCTAGCTGTTGTAGATCAAGAGTATTTGGCAATGAAATTTTCGCTTGCTTTTTCGCTCTTCCATCAGCTTTATGGTCTGTGCTCAGCCTTCGTTTGAGTGAAATTGAGTAGGTTTCATATTCCTCAACTAGATCTGTAAGGTTGAGCTGGCGCATTTGGCTAAAAATCAAAACCTTTTCTTCCGCCGGCGCATTTGACAATTTTGTTCCCCAAAAAATTCGTGCGCCATTCTTGACCAAGAATTTAACTAGCCATTCATCCCGCAGCTCTACCGGACCTGAAAGCTCGGCTTCTAAATCAGCTTCGCCTAGGTTTGCCCCAAGAACCTGTAGTATTCTCTCGCATAAATCCTGGAGTTTCCGTTCCTCTATCTCTTCCGTTGCTGCCGAAACCGATCGCAGCAAAAAGCGATCGTCGACTTCGCCAATTGTAACGATTCTATCAGACTTGCCTTCTTTGCGTTCTTTCGCTTGAACGAATGTCAAAGTGTCGCCATCGTTTTTCGTGTCGTCGTTCGTTGCTGATTCCGCTGGCCACTTTTGATGATCTAAGCCCGTGCTTCTTCGCAGTGCTTCATTTTCGTTTCTAACGTCCTGTGCCTCTTCATCATCTGAACCTTCCCCCATCTCTTCAAGTTCATTTAGTAAAGTGTTCTGACCTTCATCACCGTCCAATCCGTCCATTTCGTCTTCACTGGCCAGAATTGCTACACCCTCTTCTACTGCTCGCTGTTGTTGAGTTGATTGATAGTAATCCGTTATATCTTTGCTCAAGTCCACAATTTGGTGGAAGGTGGATTGCGAGATAGGAACCGCGAGATTTTCTTGAATTTCGGATAATTTCCGATCCAAATACAGACCTTCTTCGTCTGGTTTACCCTTCAGGGTGTTCAGGACATAGTCTGTCGCCGACCGTATAATATCATGAGGCATATCGTCGCCCAAAAGCACCGATACACTATGCACAATTTCGTCGTAACGATCTGCGTTGGCGTCGTCAGACGGATAGTATTTCAACTTCTGCATCGAGTCGCCACTGAGTACAGTAGAGTTTGCAGCGTTGCGGCTTGTTTGAGTGTTTGTTCTGGGTTTGACTTTTGAGATTTCTCGTCCTGCAGCTTCGGTCTGATATATATTTCTATCCGCATCTGTCAATTGAGATCGAGGCGCTGACGCCCCCATTTCTTTCACGGAGATTCTGCCTAGCATAGATTTTGGTTGTGATTCTGCAGCATCTTTGAGAGGATCGGTTCGCTGGGAATACAGAGATCTATCAGCCCGAAGCACCTTATTTGACATCTCATCATATCTGTATAGTTCTCGTATTTTCTTGTCTTTTTCATCACAGTTTTGCTGGGACATTTTTTGAATCGCTAACTCCACTATTTGTAACCTCACGAATAGTCAGGAGGTAGCTATTGTACAGCTGAAGGACTCTCTGAGTTGTCTTGAACAAGACTTATCTTGGGTTGGATTGATGCTCTTCGTCACAGTTTAGTTTAATTAGTATTTTGGAGAATTATATAACTTAGAACGGGCGATGCCTGCAGAGACAGAACTGTATTCTCTCGAGTATACATAAGCTCCGGGGTCTTTTATCTCATTCTTACGGGCTAATATTGCTTGTTCACTTTCCCTGAGAATCAAAACGATTGTGTAAGACAGTGGAAGGTGTTCTCCGTTCTACCTCTTTTACGCGGATTGATTTACATTAATAGAACGATTTTGAGAAAGCTGATGAGAACTAGGCCATTACAGCGAAATTTGAGCTCTTTAACATCGCAAATCAACGAGTTACGTGAGACTTCGTATTCTCCAGACGTGCCTTCCCTGGGATTCAAAAAAAGACGGCTAGATCCAAAATCGATAGACACTTTAAGTTCGCCTGATGCCCCACAAGAGCTAGAAGAATGGTGCCAAAAATACGAGCCCCATCAAACTTCAAGCCTTGTGCTCCATCAAAGAAAACTACAAGATGTGAGAAATGTACTGAAACCTATGGTCACTGGAGAAAGTCCCTACCGGATTCTGCTGCTGACAGGACCTGCTGGTTGCTCTAAAAGTACCTGCGTCAAAACCCTGGCTGACGAACTTATATCTGACAAGCCTGAATACTTGTCTGCCTCATCCTTGACCCTGGGAAATTCTCAAGGACGTCAAGCCTGCATAGAGTACGATGGCAGTGACTTGCCATCCGGTGTTTCAAAGGTGGATCATTTCAACGAGTTCCTCACGCAATCGAAATATAGAACGGGCTCAAATGCTAGCATATTACTAGTGGAAGACCTTCCGAATCTTTTCCATCAAAACACCAGACTCCAATTTCAAAAGTCATTACTCCGATGGCTTTGCAACCCTCAATCGCGGATGCCGCCATTAGTGATATGTCTGACAGAATGCGAGATCCGTGGCACCGAGGATACATCGCCTCGCTTTAGCATCGACACTCAATTCATAGCAGAAACAGTGCTGGGATTTGATGTGCTCAATCACCCACGTCTGCGACGCACACAGTTTAACCCTATTAACAAGACTCTGCTCAGAAAGCACCTGAACTCAATATGCGATCGAGAAAGAAAGGTCTTCAAACCAGGGAAGTGGGAGCAGAAAGACGAGTTCATAAGTGCTCTCACTGAGAGTTGTGGGGATCTGAGGTCCGGGATCTCTGCATTGCAATTATGGGCCACATCCTCGAGCTCGAAGTTCGCAAGCAGTAGTGTTAGAGAACAATCTATTTCCTATTTTCAAGGGCTTGGGCGGATTATACACGGTTCCAAAGATATTTCCAATGACAATGAAATGTTTAATGACCTGATATTGTCTAATAGCACTAGCAGGGGAGAGTTGCTAAAATTGGGAGTACTGGAGAATTACGCGACGTTTTGCAAAAGTCAATTTTCCCTGTCGTGCGCAGCGGATATTGTAGATTCTCTGAGTCTGGCAGATGGAATGTCGGCTGAGAACGCAACACGTCCTCTCACCGAATCGATAGAATACCCTATGCGGACTGTCCGACATGTATTTGCCGGCCTCAGCAAAGAATCTAAATCATCTCACAATAAACCCAATTTTCCTCGAGAGTCCAAAGTTCGCAAGCTGCGCAGTCGGTTTGTCGCTGAGGCCGACAAGTATTCTTACGTCACAATACAAAAATACAAGAGCTGGCACAGCATGAGTGACATTGCACTATACTTCGGCTTCTTCGCACCACTGATAAGAAAGCGTCGCAACTTCAAACAGAAATCCTTACAACAATATGTGAGTACGCTTAGCTCGCAAAGCGAGCGGGAAAAAATCATTGCTGCAAACTCAAGTTTACTGGCCGTGGAAGACGGGATGGATGTGTTAGAACGTGTCGGCGGGGAGCTGGGTTCTGTTAGCGCCACTTCTGAGGTTGTCCTAGAGGAGAAAGACGAGAGCTTTGGCATTCTTTTGAGTTCTAAAAGCCCGGTATTCAATTACCTTCACACTCAAGATGTCGTTTCTGAAGCAAAAATCGACCCAGGTGAATATGACAACCCTAGTGATGATGATTTCTTGGACCCGATTGTTGAGAGCGGAAGCGAAAACGATAGTTTCAGCTTCAGCGATGAGGACGACACAATCTACGATGCGCTTGCATCCCAATCGCCACGCAAGCCCGCGCTTCCCTGATACAAGCGGGCCTTCGACTTCTAAGAATAAAGCTGCATTAAATAATAAAAGATAGGGAGGTCGGTTCCGCAAACAACCTATTATTTCCAATTTCTGGCACCTATTGAATGTCCTTGACTTTAAAGACCATTTGGTCTTTCTTTCTCTAGTGGCCTACACAGCTCAAGCGTTCATGGCATGCTGGAAAAATTCCGAGTCTTCTTCGAGCGATTCTTTTATGATATCGAGGCCGCCTTGAAACTCACCGCTGATGTACAATTGTGGGAACGTTGGCCAGTCAGAGAACTTTTTTAGACCCTGTCTGACCGAATCGTCCTTTAAAATATCGAAAAACCCAAATCTCACCTGGTACTCACGGAGTATGCCCACCATTTGTCTGGAAAACCCGCACTTGGGCTCGGAGGGAGTGCCCTTCATAAACATCATCACTGGAGCAGCCTGTGTGAGCTTCTTTAGTCGTTCTATGAGTTCTTCTTCGGTTTCTTCGTCCTCTTCCTCCTCTTCTGCTGCTTCGTCCTCGCCGTTATCCATTCCCATAGCTTTATCGCCCTGGGACACACCACTCTGTGAATTGGACGCAGCGAGACTGCCGTTAAATCTGCTTAACGCCTTGACAAATGCCTTGGGGTCTGCTCCGGAGACCTCGTGCAAAATCGTGCCGTTTCTGATCAACACGAAGTACGGCACTGACGACACCTCGAACAGTTCAGCGATTTCCGAGTGATCATCGGCGTTCACGGCCAAAAATACCACTTCCTTGTTGACGGGCTCTTCGCTCAAAGCGCTCACCACGGCACTCATAGTTTTGCAAGGCTCTGCCCATGATGTGTGGAAGTAAATTGTTATAAGCTTGTCTGCCACGTTTTCCGTGGTAAGCTCAGTGAATTGGTCTTGGGATGTGATGTCAATAACTGGCATGTTGTTCGTTGATGGCGTTCTATACTGCTGAATATATACTAAAACGGTGCTGCGCGTTAAAGATCTTAATGAAAAATGGTCCAAAATTTAGCCTGAAAAGCGGTGTCGAGGTCAAATTTTAGCGAGTTCAACACTGTGAGATTTGATCTTGAAAACTAGCCAAAAACCACCTATTTGGCTTCGTTTTTGAAGGTACTTTGTGGTCTGTAATGAGATCAAAAGATTAACAGCCGTGTCCTGATCAAGCCAGAGGCTATAATCAAATGTCTGGGCGAAATCTCAAAATCTGAAAAACTATAGTGGGCGGTGGGTCGCGTGATCTGTGTCCAATAAGAGCCGCTCGCATTAGTAAAAGACTACTAGAACCCAGCTTTTACACGTATATCTAAAGCTTATCGACTCGCAATTTTTGCTCGCTCAGTCGTCGTAATTGTCGCTACTGGAGTCGTCAAAACTGTGTGTTTTTAGCTCTTGTTTCTATGACTTTTTGCGAGCAAATTTGTAGATGGTCTTCCAAGTGACATTCATCGTAGACTGGGACGACGACAGTCCCGTGTGAGTTCTCAATTTACGCATGAAGTGCTGGCGAATGTCAGTTTTTGCCTTGTTTGTGCGTTTCCAGGCGTTGTAGGCACTCCAACTCTCGATATAGTGGTCGAATTCGGCAACGGTCATCTGGCGATCGACTTTTAGCGGGATTTGTAGGGTAGACTGGGTTTCCGGGTTTCGAGGGTCGTACTCGACCTGTAAAACATCATCAAATCGTGAGTTGTCGAGTTTCTGCGTTCGTAACAAGTCCCGTAAAATAACTCGACCCGGCTTTTCCCAGTAGGGCCCCAATTGGTCTTCTCCGTATTGGAAATTGAATAGAACGCGGTCAAGCTCGGGATAGTCTGCGAAATGTGGGTCCACGTACCCCCAGATGGCAAGTGTGCCCCCTTTCCTAAGCGTGCGGAAAACAGCGTTCTGAAAAACGCCAAAGTCCAGCCAGTGGCAGCACTGGGCCGCCGTCACCATGTCTGCAGCGTTGGGCGCCACCCAGTCCAGGTCTTCTGCGGCGTGCACGCTGAACTGGACGTTGTCGGCGCTAAATTCGCCGTTCGAGAGCTCCTTCTGCGTCTTGGCAGTCTCGATCATACCGGGAGACACGTCCGAGCCCCAAACCTGCTCGAAGCCCAGATATTTGGCTAGTTCCAAAGTAGAATTTCCAGGACCGCATCCCACGTCGATTAGCAAGCTTCGCTTGCCCTTGTGATATTGGCTGAGCAGGTGCAGAAATCCGGCTGGGTAGGTTGGTCTTGTTTTGAAGTAATTGGCAGACCCGAAATCTTGAGACGAGAACTCCATTCTGTGTGGGCTCGGAATTGGGAAAATCGTTTGTTTCGTGAACTAATAATGAATTATCGTTAGGTCTCTGATCTGTCTTAAATAGTGGTAACAACCTTGTGAAATCAGAGAATACGACTTAATCATAGGATTTCCACCGGTCAAGGCTGACTAGTAACTTATTATTGATAAACTCTTGACATTTTTTAGCCTAACATTAGATACACACCTTACACTGAGAAACACTCTTCCACTTTATAGAGGTTTCATCATCGTTGAAGCTTGCTGTTCTCTCATATGTGGTTTATTCTACTCTAGTTCTGTAGGCAATTTTTTGAACTCAGTAAATATATTCAAATCTCAAAACTAATTCATATTCTCCTAAAGCGCAGCCCATGTATTAGCCCAAAAAATTTCACTCGCCTCCAGTCCACTCACGAACGTTGCAGTACAAAGTATAGAAACCATCCCAAACAATTCGTTTCAGAATTCCACCGACACTTTGAACCTCAGATCGTTGCTGACATCGATAAACAATTTTCCCGCAACGCTATCAATATGTAAAAAATTGCCAAAATGACGAATCAATTGGAATAGACCAGAATGCTACGCTACGCTGGATACTGCCATAGCCAAGCTTCCTATTAACGTGTCATCACCGTGGTAAACAGACATTTGTATGCTTATATCAGTCTAGTTGATCACGTTTTCAAATCGGCTCTCGAAAATAATCACTTGAATATGACAAGCTTCAACTTTTGCTACCTTCTCTTAGATCTCTTTCTCTCTCATTCATAACTATGACAAGAGTCTGAACCATTCAAACGACCAGTGCTTTCGTATGAGTGACAGCAAACCAAGAAGCGGTGGAAGGGGCAAATCCAGCTCCCGCAAACCCAAGGCCAAAAAGCCTCTTACTCGTCTGGAAGAGATGGCTAAACAGGCTTACGAAACGAAAAAGGTCAACAGCACGATAAATAGCGAGGCAAACGTGAGTTTGCGGTCTTTTAAAGGTGTCAGAGCCTCCGACAGTGGACCAGGGACTGCTTCGAGTCTGAAGAAGAAAGACGGCGGCAAACCCAAGTCTCAAAAGACGACAGGGTCCAAAACTGGGAAACCACCGATGAAGGGCTCACCAGCCCTTGGCGTCAAGGGAAAACCTCAGAAACCACAGCCCAAAAACGGTGCCAAACAAACTCCGCCAAATAATGAATCTAAAAGCCCGCAAAAAAGCATTGCTGTGGCCAATGCTAGCTCGAACGGCACTGCTCCTGAGGTTCACACAGTCGTGGGCGATAACGGCAAACAAAAGGCTGCAAAAACTCCAAATGGGCCCTCCAATTCGTCCAACGCTTGTAAAACACAAAAGCCTCGTAATGGTAGCAAAGCTGGGTCTGCTAAAAACAAGCCTAAGACCAGTGCAAGCAAGCCCGAAATTAAACAAAAATCTAAGCTCTCAGGTGCAGCGAAAACAGCGCTTGTCAAAAGTGCTAAAATCGCCCCCACAAAGTCCGTTAAAGTTGTGAGCAAATCAGAGCCCAAATCTTCGGCAAAAACGACCGTTGATGCCAGCGAATACAGCACCGAGAGCTTTGAAGAAGGCGAACCTTTGAAACGCTTCAACCGGTACGTGCCCAAGAAATCGTACGCAAGCCTAGAGGAGTACTTCAATGAATTTTCGTTTGCGCTTTTCCTCGAGGAACGGCTAGAGAACGACTTCTTACAGAACTTCGATATTACGTGGCCTAAAAATCCAAACGACAGAGCCTTGGTGGTCAAAATGAAAGCCGATAGTGATGAAGTGAAAAAACTTCTTCCTCTTCATCTCGTCAAGCTTGGGCGTAGTCCATTCACTAATCAGCAGCCTTTGATACTGACAAGTCAGGACGAATCAAAGGTCTGGTATACTTTTGTTAGAGAGCAGGATTCGAAGAAAAACAATATCACCATCCTTCTGGAGCTCTACTCTTGGAACAAAATTCCTCTGCCGATCAAAGAGGGCAATAAGCATTTCAAGCTTCTGCCCTGCTCTGCCCAAGTAAATAGAATTCTGTTTGCTATGACTCGGGTACAAAACCCGAAATTTATCAAATTGATTCTAGGTCATGAACGCATCAAACAATTCAACTTCAACAACCGCTTGCAGTTCTCCAAAGATACTTTCAATGACTCGCAAAAAGCGGCAATTCAGCATGTCTTGAACAACAGCATTACTGTTCTTCAGGGACCACCAGGCACAGGTAAGACATCCACTATCGAAGAGATCATTTTGCAAGTCATGGACAATTTCCACACCCTGCCGATTCTGTGCGTCGCTGCATCAAACATTGCCATTGATAATATTGCAGAGAAATTCATGGTTAATAGACCGGACATCAAGATTTTGCGTATCCTGTCGCAAGCTAAGGAAGCGCAATACAATAATGACCACATGTTGGGTAAGATTTGCCTTCACAACATCGTTTACGATCAGTTGCCCGCGGATATGAAGGACAATATCGGGAAGCTAAGAACGGGTATCCCGGGTCTTGTTTCCAAAAATCAGTACAACAAACTGCTAACCACTCAGAACGCTATTTCCGACAGACACATCGCACAGGCTCAGATCATTTTTACCACTAACATTGCCTCTGGTGGACGTCAATTGAAAGCTATCAAAGAGCTGCCAGTTGTTATCATGGATGAGTCTACCCAATCGTCGGAGGTGTCTACTCTAGTCCCATTGTCGCTGCCGGGAATCAAGAGATTCGTGTTTGTGGGAGATGAAAAGCAACTGTCAAGCTTTAGTAACGTTCCACAATTGGAGATGTCTCTTTTCGAAAGGATTTTGACCAATGGCACTTACGACAGCCCTCATTTGCTAGACACACAGTACAGAATGCATCCTGCGATCAGTGAGTTCCCGATCAAGACTTTTTACGATGGAAAACTGAAGGATGGTGTTACCGCAGAACAAAAGAGCTGGCCAGGTCTTCCGCACCCTTTGTTTTTCTATCACTATAATAAGGGACCAGAATCAAAAGTGTTCAACTTGAAACGTGGAATGAGAGGGTTCACTTATAACAATGCCCACGAAGCCGAGGCCATTGTCGCGGTGCTGCACAAACTCATAATCGAGAAGAAAGTCGACAGGGAAGAAATAGGTGTCATAACGCCATACTCTTCTCAAAGGGACTTGGTCTCAGAGATGTTGGTGCGCGATCCTGTTGTGAATCCGACGGGCAAGGCGATGGAGCAGGAGATGGACAAAGATGACCTAGTGGGGAGTGGGGAGTCTGTTGGCGGTGGAGCGAACAAGGCCACCATCAACATTGTGAATGACATATTTGTTGCCACGGTCGACTCGTTCCAGGGCCACGAGAAACAATTTATTGTATTTTCATGTGTGCGTAACAATGCAGAGAACAAGATTGGGTTTGTCAGGGACCGCAGACGTATGAACGTTGCCTTGACGAGAGCGAAGAACGGTTTAGTGGTGGTTGGAAACAAAGACGTGATGAGACAAGGCGATCCGCTATGGCAAGAGTACGTGGACTACCTCGAGCAGAAGGGCGTCATTTACGACTCTTTGGATGGCTACTAAGTACGAAGGACACATAAACATCAGATACAATTGATAGACCAAGACTTCAATGACTTCGGCGTAGCGCTAATCGTCAATGTCAATGTGAATGTCTGTCTATTAGCAGTTTATAGATACACAGGTACACACATCGTTGCAGGTGACAGCCAAATAAAGTGCCGAAGAAAAAATTCATCATTCCACGTGATGAGCACATTAAGTATTTTCCAAAAATAAGGTCCTACCCGGATTCGAACCGGGGTTGTTCGGATCAGAACCGAAAGTGATAACCACTACACTATAGGACCAATTAACTGAAAGCCTAAAAGTTTAGGCTAGGTTTCATTGAGCCTTTTCTGACATATGACCTCAGGACTCTTACGACTTTTGCACCGTCTTTCTTATTGTTTGGCATCATTCATTAGCCTTCACTTTACCCCCATCATAGCCGCTTCTTTAACCTGTCGCTGAGACACTGCTAACCTGAGTCCCCCACACCCTCCTCGTTCAAAGTGCTCTCTTGCCTACTTTCCTCCTATTTCGGGGGGGCTAAATTTCATCTCATAAAAAGTCGTTCTCACACATACAAAACAATGCTTTCAACTATCTCACTACTACTTTTTTGAACAGAAATAGGAGAAACAACCCATTCAAATAGTATGTAAACAAGTGTCAGGCGCTGTTCGCAGTGCTGGAATTAGCGTTTTACACCAGTGAGAGTGCAAGAAAGCCGTTCCAAGATCCTCAATTGCCCCGAATCACACACCGGGAGTTCGCCCCTGATTTGTTATGTTTTGTGAGTCCCACAGTCGTGTTATGACTACACCGGAAACTGAAGGGTTGATTACAGAAATTAAGTACTCGTTTGAGAAATATGTGGAGCAGGACGAGCCCAGAGCTAGCATGTTTGTCTGGCGCTGAAGGCTCACCTGCCAAGCTTGTTAGAGCTCTTTTCTCTCTACTTGTACGTGTTTATTCTTCCCGCTCGGTGGCAAAAAAAAACCTAAACGTAGGGTAAAAAGTGCCGGAAGAAGCACGAAGTTTACCCGGGTCTGTGCACGTGATACGACCACGGATGGGCGGGGGTTCGAAACTGAAGAGAGGCTTTTTGTTTTTTGGTTTTCGTCTTTCGTTGTCGAATAAGATAGGAGGGGAATGGAATGGAATGGAATGATATGGATTGGAATACATCCGGGCTTTGTGCTCGGATTTCGAGTCGTTCAGCGACTTGTTCCACGTTGAGACTGGCTCGCCTCATCGAATTTAGTGTTGCCATTGTTTGGTGGTAGCGTGTGAGGTTGTGTGCTTATGTGTCATGATTTCGCTCCTTCGTACTTGGCAGTGTGCACGTCGCACGCGTTGCGATACATGAGCATTGCCGAGTCATTCGGGTATATCGTGCGTGCAAGACACATTGCACATGAAAGTCACATACATCGCCTCACATGGATAACGAACATCCTGTCAAACTTCATCCCACAATCGTGATCGTTTTGGTGCGATCCCGTCCCCTTTTTGTTGCAACACAGAGTGTCTATACAACGTGCATTTCGCCTGTATTCGGCGGTGCAGAGGGGGGAAAGGGAAAAAAAAGCACAAACAGAAGGGAGAATGAGGGAAAAAGTAAAAAAAAAAAAAAATATTAGCCCTATCTCTAACTTTTCCGGATGTGACAGCAGTATATTACTACTAAGACTCGTCTGTGGTCGGTCGGTACGTCGGACGTCTTACCGTACGTTAGTTAGGTCGTAGAAGTACTACCACCACCTAACTACTACTAGTATATCTCTCTCTCTCTCTCTCTCTCTCTCTCTCTCTCTCTCTCTCTCTCTCTCACTGGGTGTGTCTTTCCGACCAAATACTAACTTTGCATTGCAGAACACTTTCCTACCCCAATGTCACAAAGTCGCGAAGATTCCGTTTACTTGGCCAAGCTGGCTGAACAGGCCGAGCGTTACGAGGAAATGGTGGACAGCATGAAGGCCGTAGCGTCTTCTGGCCAGGAACTCTCTGTAGAAGAGCGTAACTTGCTGTCGGTCGCCTACAAGAACGTAATCGGTGCCCGCCGTGCGTCGTGGAGAATTGTCTCCTCGATCGAGCAGAAAGAAGAAGCCAAAGAGAAGTCCGAACACCAGGTCAAACTCATTCGCAACTACCGTTCCAAGATCGAGTCCGAGCTCACCAAGATTTGCGACGACATTCTATCCGTGCTCGACACTCATTTGATCCCCTCTGCCACCACCGGCGAGTCCAAGGTGTTTTACTACAAGATGAAGGGTGATTACCACCGTTACTTGGCTGAGTTCTCCTCCGGCGAAGTCAGAGACGGCGCCACCAACGCCTCTCTAGAAGCTTACAAGACCGCCTCCGAAATTGCCACCACTGAACTGCCTCCAACCCACCCAATCCGCTTGGGTTTGGCTTTGAACTTCTCTGTGTTCTACTACGAAATCCAGAACTCTCCAGACAAAGCTTGCCATTTGGCCAAGCAGGCCTTTGACGACGCCATTGCCGAACTTGACACACTGTCTGAAGAATCTTACAAAGATAGCACATTGATCATGCAATTGTTGAGGGATAACCTAACTTTGTGGACCTCCGACATGTCCGAAGCCGGCCAGGACGAGCAACAGCATGCTGAAGGTGCTCAGGAGTAAACTTGTGTGTGATATACCCTTTCTTCCTTCTCTCTTTTTTCTTTTTTGTTTGCTTGTGCTGCGCGTACAAATCGTAAGTTTTCAATGCTAACATTAGGTTTTTTTCCTAGCGTTTTCATATCACGATTTCATTTATCAAGCTGTCCACCCACCTTGGTTGGATTTAAGCCCTTCTTCCTTTAACAGAGCTCTACAAGTACTGCTTACCCCATTCAAAGTTACTTCCTTCGTGAACTTGCGAAATCCCCCAAAAAAAAAAAAATCCTCCAAAACCCGCACAATTTGTTCCACGCAAATACACATACGCGCACACACAACTTACGCACCACCCAATTTATCCATCAGAACCCAAACACACAACTTACGCACCACCAAGTATCAACTCCCAACCTCTTCAAATGACGTCCTAACCTTCTAGCACGCACCCTATTTTTGAATTAATCCCTTTTTCTCCTTCAAAATTTGAAAGCGCTGGGCATATTAACGATGATGTATAGGGGAGAATTTCAAAATCAACCTGCCTCTATAATTTTCTATACTGCGAATATATCTTTGAAAGAAATTCGATCAATTGTAACCTAACATTCGTGGTGAGACGATTCTTGTTTACGCCACGACGCTTGAGGCGCATTATCACCTAAAAATTAAATTGAAATGTTTTTTTCGGTTTAAAATCGAAAATAACCTAGTTCAGGGGAGAACCTAAATATCATCTACTGAAGTGCTACCGTGAATACAGTACTTACCAGCACAAGCCAATTCAGCTTATCTCAAACACCTCCCTCTTACTTAGCAATGTCCAACGTTTCTCCCCAAATTTTCAAAATGGCGAACCTCGCAGCAGGCTCGCTGGCAAGTTTGTCTGCATTGAGCCAAATGTCATATTTGTTCAGCAATTTTCCTGCATTTTTGATGGCACTCTACGCCTTAGGGTTGTCGATCCCAATCGTGTATCTGGAATTTAGAGTGCCACCAAATCTGTACCGATTCGCTTCGTTCTATTTTAGCTTTATCGGCAGAGGTGTCTGTCTGATTCTGCTGTCTCTGCTGCTGAGCTTTGGGGGCGCCCTTAAGATATTTTTATCGCTACTTCTGTTCATCGGGGGCGTCGCATACACCATTGTGGAATTCGTACCTAGCGTGCAGGAACCTGACAACTTTAGGCCCGAAGGCAGCTCCATAGCAGTTGGTGAAGATGCAGATGACATCATTTGAAAAGGTGTCACTCTAAATGCTACTGAATCTACATATATATACTAAGTCGAGCATAATAAATATTCACGACATCTTAAGTCCAGTCCTCGGGTCCCGACAGGCAGCTGTTAGACTTCACCCTAACCTACAAAACACGTCATTCTTCAATGTTAAGTATCTTGATAAAATCACAAATTTCGTGACATTTCCAGTCGAAAACCAAAAAAATAAAAATTGATTTTTTGTCTTGATACAAGCAGCCGAAACGTCAGTGAAATCTCGTCACTAAATAAATAGATCCTACAGAATGCTAAGAGTACATCAATTGACTGTTTCAGCGTTTATTGAGATCTCTACTTTCTATTGACGTTTTAACTATGGCATGTATCACTCTACACGAATATAAACATATCAAAAGTTTCAAAATATCACCATGGACGAAGAAATGACACTAAATATTCAAGCTTTAGAGTAAGATGAGCCCTCTGCCAACTCTGCGGCTTAACCAACACAACACAACTCAACCAACACAACTCAACCACAGAGAATCAACACACCCGCTGTGAACCTATTTTAACACATCATTTCTGCTCTGGTAGTATGAGTAATGAGGGTCCTCGTGATTACAGAAATATAGCGTTGGATGAGGAGGCGTATGCGAGATATGTTTGTGAAAACACAATCCAGTCGATGCCTCAAACTGGCAAAATCCCAGTGTTGTCGATCCCTAGGTATTCTTTCACTGCATTCAGACTCACGTATGCATCGCCAGTGGAAATATCGCTAAGTGGCAGGTCCATTCTTCTCGGTGGTGTACCTAACCTATGGTACATCCAGCACAAAAACAGCTTTCTGAGTTCACTTTATCGATTTGCCCACAAAAACGTGAGTTATAAGGCACAAAAGGCTGGAAGAAAAGCCAGTTTCATGAAGTATCGGTCTAGTCGAAAATCTCGGCGTGCAGGTGGCATTACGGCGCGAAATATACGTCTTCGAAAAGAGCGGGAACAAAAAAAGCAGAACGAGACCGACCTTGACTTTAACGACCTTCAAGGGGTGTTAGATCTGGCCCCTTCCACCAGACAGTCATCGAGGAGGAGCTCTCTATCATCCGTAAGTGACGCAAACAGTATTACTGTCGCTGCAATCGAGGAGCACCCCAGAGTTCGGCATTTAACATCCGAAGAAGCCAGTTCCCAGCAATCCCAGCATTCTCAGCAAGCTCGGCACTCTCAGCAAGCTCAGCACTCTCAGCAATCTCAGCAATCTCAGCATTTCCAACAATCGCAGCAATTTAATAATTCTCAGCATTTTCAACAATCGCAGCATTCTTTGATCATCTCAGAAACTCGAAGTGAGTCGTCAGCATATGAGCGTCCGAAACTTGACTCACACCACACAGACGACCCATCAAAACACCATCGAGCTACTTTGAATGATGTTCGAACACCTTTCAAGAAGGAACTTCAAAATGATCACAAAGCTGGTAAGACCACAGTGAAATCGGTTTCTCAAATCGCGTTAAGCACGCGTTCAAGTTTCCAAAGTAGCATGACGTCCGAAAAGTACTACTCGGCAGACGAAGGCTACGGTTTGACCGACGGAGAGTACAATTTGGACAATGAGAGACAATACGCGGCTTCACAGCAATACAATTCAGTGGACGAGAAATCTAGCTCAGAAGACGAATTGTCGAACCCAACGCACGGCAAGTGCTTGATATCAAACCGAGCAGGCCGATCCAATTCTCCTAGCTCTGGACTCGAAACAGACACCTTATCAGACAGCTCCCCAGAAACCATCAAATGCGGCCAAAATATCAATGCTCCTCACTTTCAAATGGGTAGTGCTCAACTTATACAGCCTACAGTGGAAACCAGAAAGGCTTCTGCCGTAAAATTCGAAGAGGAACAAAGTTTCAAAAACCTTCGGCAACTTTCTGCGCGAAACGCGACCTCGGAACTCGACGATATCGACTTTAGTGACGCACGCTCGAGTTCTTATCCTCTAAGTTCCGCCGAAGAAGATTCGACCTCTTCCACTATCCTGCGGGGCTCTAATAGAAAAAATGGCCTAAAGTTATTAAGTGCAACTCCATACGTTTTGAGTCGACAAGAATGCGCAGATCTACAGGCCCTCGACAATAATCGCAAGATGCTTAAAGAAGTCAAGAACTTTGTCAGCAAGACTGGTAAAAAAATCCACTTAGACAAGCTCGACAAGCTGCACTTCAATGTAAGCGGTGTCCTAGGTAGAGATCTAGCTTGGTCTCAAAAGCTCTTCAGAAAATATCGAGCCGGTGAAGTAATAAAGATGGAAAAAATGCTTGTTTTTGTAAAGTCATCAAAATCTGCCCGAGGTCCATTACTTCATTTTTCGGATGTTGAACCAATAGACACAAGGGTCGTGGAAAGATGGAAGGAATATATCGTGGTAGCGCGAGCTACAGGACGACCAGATGCCCCACTGTATCTACAATTTTATCACGATCGGAATATACCTTATGTTGACACGAGCAACAGCTACAATGAACAATTCAGAGCGAACTCAATGGACTTCATGCTTGACTCCTCCTGCATGGTCGATTTCTACAATACTCTGGATAAAACTATTCATGTAATAAAGTCTTCCCGCTCAAGTCTACAAGAAAGCAGGGGAACAAAAGGCCAATCCTCTGAAGACGTGGGAAAACTAAAGATTTACATATTCAGGTGTGTTTCTTTCGCTGCGGCTGAAAAATGGCTTTGGTTCTTGCGAAGATCAATGGGCCATGTCAATAGATCACAAACTGTTACTATCAGTATTCCAGAAGTGGAAGTATCGCTTGAGATTCCGATGTCGACAGAATTACGCCACACATTTGATAGGAGAGGTTATGCTGAAGAGGATGATTTTAAGGTTCTGATTATGCCAAGAGGTTATAAACCCCTTGGCCTTCCATTGGCAAGGTACCTGGAAATCATGATTCTAAGCAAGCTTTTGGAATGCGGGTTTGACATGGCTTCCGTAGGATGGATACAAGCCAACACTATTACTGGCTTCTGCTGGAAACACTATGACAGACTCGAGTGGTGTCCGGGATTTCAGTATGACTCGGTTGTTGGCGGAATTTCACTGCTAACGTCCCATTTACTAGAGTATCGAACTTTGACCCATTATCCAAGATGCGTGAAACTAACACCGACATGGACATTGACTGAGCCTCCTGGGGTTGAAGGATTTTTGATGAAGTGCACGGATCGATATGGAAGGGAAACTGAGAAAGTTCTCCACACCGCGTACTATCGCTTCTTATACTTTTTCACGTCAGATGGACTTCTATTCTTCATGAATTCCTTCAAGGGACTGCCTCCTCTTCCTGATGAAATGATCAGCAAAAGCGGACCGTGTGCTTACGACATCGATCAGATGAAGAAGAAGATAACATCGGTGCCGAAAGTCTTTGAACACAACCCTTATCCTTTGAATTTGGACAGTCACATAGAATGGCTAAATGAAGATATCACACCTAGCGCATTTGAAGAAAAAGACAATGCTGCTTTTGCAGCAATGTGGAGAAAGATTGCTCTTGTTTTGAAGGCAGAGAAGATAATCGATTTAACTGAGATTAAATCGGTTTTCAGATTAAATTCCAACAACGAGTATAAAAATACACTAAGATACAAAATTCTGACTAGGGCCAACAACTTTGTTTGGAAAGCCTCTAGTTCTGTCGATGACACTGTGAATTCAACAATCGTTCTTTCGATGAGAAACGGATTGGAAGTTAAGCTTTTAGCACCTTCCCCTGAGTCTGCAGAAGAGTGGGTGTCAAGGCTCGGCTCTTTGAGCAAGTACTGGAAATACAGGAAGGCAGAGGATGTCAAAAGTATGTGGTCAGCCAAAGTCGGGAACCTTTGCACCTTGAAAATTCCGGAATCGGAAGAATCCAATATCAGTCAAGATACGCCAAAATGGGTAACAGACCGAGGAGTTGCAAATGAAGAAGTGCACAATATAAGCTCACAAGCATTGACTCGGCCGCTGATGCAAAGTGGGGTTCTGTACCAAAAGCGTCACAAGCATTCGAGCTTCAAGAAATTTTTTGTTATCCTGACACCGGGCTTCTTGATACTGTACAAGTACTTCAAAAGTGCAAAAGTCAACCACTCTAAAGCAGTCGTTGACCACCGTCATTACTTGACAATCCCAATCGAGGAATGTTACGTATATAGCGGTAATTTGACTTCGCTCGATCTGTTGCAACGAGACAAACAATTTGACCTCCTAAATCCGGGCAATAATTCTCTTCCTAGGGTCTACCCAGACGGCTGGAGATCCAGTGAAGACGAATCTACAAGATGCTTCACACTTTGGTTCGGTACCAAGAGAGCAGTTTCGAATTATAACTCCTTATTCAAACACTCTGGTGAAAGCCGTCCCCACACTGCTGGTTCTATGAATTCGACAGAAGAGTCAGATTTAACAGAAAGCAAAAACAGACCAAATACAAGTTCCTCTGGTGCTGGCGAACTAAGCATGGAGGAAAATCTTCAGAAAAAAACTGGCGCTTTTCGGCTAGCCAGCAGGCTTGGCGTTGCAGGTAAGTCGCTAGTTTTCATGGCTCGCTCTCGGCAGGAGAGGGATCAATGGGCGCTAAAAATTCATTATGAACTAGGAAGACTGAGGACTAATAACGAAGATATGTAATTTTAAAGTTTAGCACATCTAGTTGAAGATTTGTTTCTAGCAGATGAGAGCTACATGTAGTTGTAGCTTGATTGTCGTAATAAAGATGAGCTCCTAACGTCCCCTCTTTCATCCTCAGAATCAATGGCTTCGTCTAATGCCCTGTTGAATCCTTCAACAAAACAAGCCCATCCAGGAACAGCCTCATGTGGAACAGTCTGAATTGGCGGGAGGGGACTTTCGCAATTTCCAAAAAGGTACGGATTTTCAAATTGCAGAGATCGTATTTCAGATCGACGGTGATTGATTTCACTACACTGCTCGTCCCGCGAGCTCATTTCTTGAGTGCGAATTGGCGCGTAAAACGAGTTTATTGCGCTCCGAGGAGTATTCAAAGTGTTTGTCGTTTTCTTTGAGCAATTAGAATACGCCCCAGCGCTCTCACATATTGTTCCATTACTAGGAGCAAGCGGTGATGAAAGACTTGATTGTGAACTATCCCGGTATGCACTATAGTCCACCAATTCACTTTTGAGGTCTTCATCTCTTTCAGTTCGACCACTAATGGCACTTGCCACGCTGTCTAAGGCTTCACGTTCCAGTAAGTTCTCAATTCCATGTTCTCCCTTAAGAGTAAGAGAGTTGTTACCTCCAGCAAAAGAAGCACATTCCTCATTATCATCATCTTCGTCGTCATCATCTTCACCGAAAGTTAAATTGAATCCGTAACACACAGTTTCAAGTATATCATGGAATGAAGAAACCTCTACGAGTTCTGAAACGCGGTCTGTATGATCAAAATTCAGAAAACCAACGTGAACTTTAAGTTCTTGAGGCCTACTTCGATTTGAGCTTGAGAAACAATTGTAATCCTCGTAGAGGCAGGTCTTGCCGTCTTCAACAGGTGTATTGGAGAAAACTGCGATTCCAACATTGTCAGTCATGTCAGGGCAGCATTTTTCTCTAAACTCTCGCGACGAAAAGCGCGGCCTACTGACAGAAGCAGCCTTATTTGTCCCAGTATTTAATTTTTGCAGGCTGAAGATTTGATCTTCGACGGGGCCCTGACTTATTATCCCTCCATCGGAGTCCACAAGACAAAACTTCGTTTCTTGCATCTTCATAGAAAGAGCACGTAAGCTGTTGATGAGAGCGACAAACTCTGCATTTTTCAACTTAGAAAGATCAAGCTGTAGGACGACGGCGAGGTTCTTGGGACGATCGCGTTTCAGCGAAAGAAGAGATGTAATAGTGGTTCTGCGAGACCTTCCATTTGAAACAGCCAGACTATTGCGAACTATGATGTCTGCATTGCTCAGATCGTCTTTGAATTCCATGTCAAGGCTTTTTCTACCTGTTCTTCGCAGTGAAAGCCTCGATGAAGATACATCTGTTGTAACTGGCAGAGGCGGCAAGGTGGAGGAGAAGTTGGAACTTCTAAAAACCATTTCCCGGTTTAAAAGTGCTGTGATCCATTTCTCGACGACCTGGCTCTTATCTGACTCAAGAGACTCTGTCAAGTAAAAGGTGGAACCTTGCATTATCGCTGAGTTTTTCATCGCGCTCAGAATTGTACACTTCAACACCGACGAGTTGAGTGAATCGACACTTGTATTAGATAATGGATGATGAATTAGAAATTTGTCGAATCTCAAACCTGCGAAGTTCTTCGGGTCGAACGTTGGTGATACTAGTGCAATCAGAAAAGCGTCGGCGAAAAGGTAACAGCAAGCATCGTGATAGGTTTTGCCGTCCTCGGAAAACATTAGTCGGTCAACGATTCGCAAAAGACCGAATTTTGCATCTAGTTCCCACCCTCGCAGAGTTTGGGGGAAGTTTTCCAGAAGGGTGTGTGAGTAGTAGGACCTGAGCACCGTCAAGGGTAGTCTAGGAGCATTGTTAATACCCGAGCTGTCTGATCGGCCTGCCAAGTCAATGGGTGTTTGAGTCGGTACGGAAGACACGATTGAGGAAATACCAGATATAAGGCTTCCCCTTCCAATGGTATTGAGCGAGCTCACAAATGGAGACAGCTGAAGAGAAAGTTCTTTGACGTTTTTCTTGGAGCCAGATGCACTTCTGGCAACGCCGAATTGGAACTTTCGCAGACCGGCTCCAGTAGGATTGACTGGGGTGGTGATGTCTTTCTCGGTGACAGAAGACTCAGAGAGCATGTTAGGGAACTTTTTCGATACAGGACTTGCCTTCATCAAAATCCGCGAAATACACTTATCTCGAAGGCCCGGCTCGGACGGTACGCACCGTACATCGTTCCCACACTTGTGACACAGCGGAAACATGTCGTCAACGTTGCGACACGTTGAAGAAGTCTCAAAATAAGCCATAAGACACTCTTCGTGCGTCAAATGGCCACATTCCAAAGCAATGACTTTCTCACCCAGGGCTCGACATGAGATGACCTCCTGGCACAAGCAACACGGCTCGTTGAGATAAGATTTCTTACTTGTGGAGTAGCTCGGATGATCAAACGGTTTGACTCTTGGTGGAGTACTTTTGACACTATACTGAGGCGGAGAAGTGGCAGTGTTCGGGGTGTTCCACTCACCGTAAGGCACACTTGTACTCTTGAGCATGACGGGCTTAGCCGGCTTGACCTCAGGGTGAGGAATCGTCGTCAATCTCGATGGCACTTCCAACAGGCTAAGGGACCTACTACTGGGGCTGGACGGGGAGTTTGAGACCCAAGAGGGGGTGCTTTCGAGGTTTATGCAGGCGCCATCCGACGTCTTGCGCGCCATTCGAAAGCTGGTAGGGCTAATTTGGTGGTGGTGCTGGCTCTTGGGCTTGGTCAACTTTTGAAATTTGCTCTGTCCCCATTTTCTGGATCGCGATGAGCCTGGCGTAACTGTTGCGTCCGACGATGTTGTTGTCTTGGGTGGTGCTGTATACCCTCCGATATTTGCCAATTGAAACACCAGTTCTTCCTGGCTGACTTCTTGTGCAAGCATTTTGTTTAACTGCTGCTTTTACTCATGAGAGGACTTGAAGAAGACTTGGAAATCCCAAAAATCGAAGTTCCCTGTGACAGCACATCCAAAAGGTTCTGCCACTTATAGTCCCCGATTGAGCAATGTTCCCTCATAATGGTTTCATCGCTTATTCGAACTCATTTTGAGGTTTCAGGTGTGGTGACTGACCTTAAGGATTCCGTAAGGTCTGCGGTCAGAGAGCTTAGAAGAATCATCAAACCTCACAAACTTCAAGAAGCGCAGGTGATCAGGGATGGTCGATAATGAGCATCCTGAGCGAGCCCAATGATGTAGAAGGTTGACAATAGTTAAATTTATAGAAGTTAAGTCCAAAACCCGTATAAAACACCACATTGCCCGTTCCTTCTTGAGTTCACGCATTACCGCAGCATCGGGGAGAAGTCAGTAGAAGAGTAAGTAGAAAGGGTAGTCACCAAGGTTTGCTTGCCATCGATGGATTCATCCAATCTCGCGGCGCTATATGGTTGAAAAATATCAGTTCTGGGATACAATTCGCTGGAGAGAGATTGTGCGAAGAGGAAACCAGAAATCTGACAAAAATCCATAAAGCAAGAGAATTGGGTTGCCCAGCAAACTCAGTGGAGGAGTGTAGAGGAGTTTGCTGGAATTGTGGGCGATAGAGTAAGAGAGAGATTTCTTATCTTGTCCACCACTAGTCTTTCTGGATCCTGAATCTTCTCTTTCCGTAGGTAATTTGAAGTCGTAGTTATTTTTTCAGGTAAGGAATATATTCTCGAGAGCCAACAACGAGCATTTGTAGCATACAATGCATGGGCCCGAGGTTGATCATTTCATTCGCAGTTGTATTGTGGTTTTTTTGTTGTTTTTTTTTCGGTCTTTTTTCTAAGTTCTTGGTATCGAAATCTTGGTTTACCAGCTTGTGAGACCCGTCCTGTAACGGTGGTATTTAATCTCTGAAAGCAAAGCCATTCTTCTTGAAATCCCAGGTGTCCTCAGGGACTCTGCCTCTGAGTGTTGGGGTCTCGGAGCCTGGAATGTAGACGTCTTCGAACAAAATAGACATCTTTGCCTCTGGAGCAGGGGACGCATCGGCAAGTTCCACCTGTTCGTCCACGTATTTTCTCGCAGCCTTGTCGTAGGCCTTGATTTCCTCCTCGGTGGCAATGTTCAAGTCCATCAGGTACATCTTCAAGCCGGCGATTGGGTCGTTCTTGGATCTCATGTGCTGGATCTCGTCTCTGGTTCTGTAAGTAGTACCTGGGTCAGACATGGAGTGGCCACCGTATCTGTAGGTTTCGTACTCGAGCACTAGAGGTCCCTTACCGGAGACACACCAGTCCTTGGCGAATTTGGAAGCTTGGTAAACGGCCAAAATATCCATACCGTTGACTTTGAGACCTGGGATGTATTGACCACGCTTGAAGTATTCGGTCATGGCGGAGGATCTGGAGGCAGCAGTCCCCATACCGTACTTGTTGTTTTCGCACGCAAACACGCATGGCAAGTTGTATAGCTTCGCCATGTTGAAGGCTTCAAAGACCTGACCCTGGTTGGAGGCACCGTCACCGTACAAGTCGAAAGTGCAGGCATCTTCGTTTTTGTATTGGTGAGCAAAGGACAGACCCGCTCCCAATGGAACTTGGGCACCCACAATACCATTACCACCGTAGAAACCGGGCGCGTACAAGTGCATGGAACCACCCTTACCATAGGACACACCTGAACGACGGCCCATTAGCTCCGCTAGCACCGCCTGGACAGAGGCACCACGCATGTAAGTGAAACTGTGGCAACGGTACGATGTAATCACGGTGTCCTTCTTGGTGATGGCGTTTTCAATTCCCACCGCGATGGCCTCTTGACCCACGGTCAAGTGACAGAAACCACGAATTTTCTTGGCCTTGTAAAGCGCGTCACACGCCATTTCCATACGTCTTACCACCACCATGTCCTTGTACATTTGCAAAAGACCAGCCTTGGTTGTAGTGTAGGAGAGAGAGGGTGGCTCGAGCATGTAGCCTTCAAACGATGACTCTGGAAGGTTAATCTCCACGGTTTCGTCGGCAGTGGAGTCTTGTGCAGCAGTGGCCATCCCACGACTGACTTGACCCACTGCGGAAAGCTGTTTTCTGGCCACAGAGGCGATGCCAGGGTTCAATCTAACGGCTCTGATCATCGTAGAAGTTGAAATATCTCAGTAAATCAAGTGAGGGTCCAAGCGTCACGTCCGTGGTTAAAAAACAACAACAAAAATCGGTTGTTGGCAATAATTTCGATCCGACTCGCGGTGTGGATTTCTAAGACCTGAGTGTTTCTCCTTCTTGAAATGTGGTTCTTGTAGGACAGGGAACGACTTGTCAAGGGACCAATTTTGTTGGGAGTATTTATACTGGGAAAAAAATCACTGTAATGAGATGCGCCTAGCCAATGAGAAACGAGAACAGAAAGGCGGGGAAGAAACAGACGCTGAGAAGAGAAGAGAGAACACAAGTGATGTTTGATGATGAACTTGTGATCGATTTGTGAGCGGCTGGGAGTGGCAATTTTAAAGCGTCTTTTTACGACAATTTTAGAGAATTTTTTGAGTGACAATTGAGCATTTCGTGATTATTTAGAGTTTAGTTTAGATGAGAACGAGATTTGATTTGGTGTCAGCTTTGGAAATTGTACCATTATGGACAGGGCTGGTAGCTTAGTTTGAGGGAAAGATGGAGGTGGATTGGAATGGAGACTGTTCGGGAATTTCTTCGCAAAATCACTTTATACTTTCATGTCACTCTTTTGAGTTGAAAGCGGTGTCACTCTGCCGAACCACATTTAGAGGGGTTGTGATGTGGTTGAGTGTGCGAGTCAACTGCGTGAGTCGGTTGATGATTAGTGCAAGAGTTAGAAGATGCGATTGACAGATGAAGAAGGTAAAGGTCACAGTAGTGCGAAATGATAATCATGACAATGTCGAAACGTTACACGAGAGATATGAGGAAGCGGAAAAAAAACGCTGTGAAGAGTGTAAGACGCTGTCACGAACACAGATTTCAAGGCAGACAAGACCAACTGGATGGTGGGAGCGTGTGCTTTGATTGTTTTTGCTAAGAGATGATTGAGGTTTATGAAGTTTAGGACGTGGAAAATCTTATAGCACCAAAGATCTTGAGAGTTTTGGTACAGCAGCAGCAGCAGCAGCAGTGGTAGTAATAGTAGTAGTAGTAGTAGTAGTAGTAGTAGTAGTAGTAGTAGTAATACTAAAGTTTCCAAACAGTATCATATTCCATATAAAAGCTGCTTCATTCACCGACGCTCGGGGAGAAATGCCACTCTAGAAGATACATCTGGCGTCGGATCACGTGACATTCCCATCTCAGTAATGTTCGTAAACTCTCCTACGCTCACCGTAAGGAATCAAATGATGGCTCTCCACCACGTTTAGACTTCTCGAGAAGTATCGCTCATCAAAAATATGTGTTTCCGCAAATCCTCAATGTCAGCAACAGTACATATCTCTCAGTTGAAAATAAAGTTTCTCACCGCCTGAAAAAACCGGCAAAAATCTGTACCAGAACACTAGACCCTGATAATTAAGTAGATGCTCAAACTCTCTCCCGCACCGCCTTCAAAGTTCGCCAGGATCGTTCATTTCCCACTAGTGACGTTCCATATTATCACTTTGTCCCAAACTGACAATCATAGTTTTCTTTTCCAGTGTTTGAAAAAGTTTTCCGCCTAGTTCGAGATGAGCATCTCATCGCATCTCTCAATCGTTCTAACTACAGCTTTGATCGAACCATAGAAAGCTTCTTGGTTGACTTGGAATATTTACTCCTCCAGAACCAGTCGACGAAATGGCTTTAGCAATTTCTCGCGAAGACACGCAGGTCTTACTGCACCAGAAAAATGTTTTGCAAGAGTCCACTCTTGATAAGTACAGAAGCGCTGGTCAGATCACGCAAACGGGACTGAAGTTTGTCACCAAGTTGATCAATGACTCATACCACACTGGAAACTCGCGTCGTTTGGCCATACATGAAATTTGTTTGCTTTCCGACAGTTTTTTGGCCGCGTGCTTGGAATCGAGCTATAAGAATAAGGTTGCAGAGAGAGGAATTTCCCACCCAACAACTATCGACGTGGATGAAGTGGCTTCTGGCTGGTGTCCAGAGGTGGACGATGTCGAACAATTGCGCTCTGCGAACAAAAACCTCTCTGAATCGGGCTCCACCACCGCGGGTTGCCAAAGATGTGTTGAAGGATACTTGGCTCCAGGCGATGTCGTGAAAATTACTCTAGGTGTCCACATTGACGGATACACTGCGCAAGTTTCGCATTCGGTGGTTATCTACCCGACCGAAGACAGCGAAAACGGCAGCAAGAAACCTGCAGGTCCCCTCTTGGGAGGAAAAGCCGATGCCTACGCAGCTGTTCACATCGCAATGGAAACAGTCGTGTCGCTTCTAGCCTGTGCTTTGACCCCAGAAAAGATCCCTCGTTTCCTCACTAACAATGATCAGGTCACAGGCCATCTGATCCGTACCGTCGTCGACACCATTGCAGCCTCTTATCACTGTACTGTTGTTCCAGGATCCAAAGTTCGTCGTGTAAGAAGGTTTTTGGCGGGTCAAAACGAGGGTATTGTTGCGGAAAGAGAATACAAAGGTGTTGCGTGGTACGAATCGCACCAGGAGCTGGCCCTGTTGCAGAAATCCGCCGAGTCCACGCAAGATTTGGTCAAAGTACAACCCTCGAACCGTCACAACTCCACTGCTGTGCCGACCGATGAGTTTGCTGTTACTCCGGGCGAAGCATACGCGATCGACATTCAGATGGCGCCTTTGGACGGTGTTTCTGCTGGACTAGTAACGCTGGAAAACGCCGACAATTTCTCCGGAAAATCGCACAGATCTGACCAGTTAATTGCCAGACCTGGTGCCTACGTCAGAGACTTTGCCCACTCATATACTTTGAAGCTGAAAACGTCTCGACAACTTCTGGGAAAGATCGACAGACAGGGTGTGTACCCAGTCAAACTCTCATACATGAGTGACACTTTCCCCATCGATGTGACATCCGCAGAAACCTCTCAGATGGAAGCCATCTCAAAGGATCTAAAATCTTATAGACTCGGAATGAGCGAAATCTCCAACAACTTCCTTGCCATTCCAAACCCCATCCGTATTGCCAAATGTATTCCTTGGGAGAAAATTCTAAACACAGCCAACCCAGCCGGCTCGCACGGAATCGACGCCACCGAACGTACTCTACCTGGACAGGAGCTTCCTCTGCCCCGCTTAGGAATATCATCTCTAAAGCTTAAATCACTGCTGAAGCATGCAGTTTCGGTACCAGTTGCTCGCCAAAGTGCAACAGTTGTGCTTTGTACGGCCGATGTTGTTTCCACTGGCAAGTCGGAGCTTCTGAGACTAACGGGTGGCAACAAAACTTGCCAGCCCAGCTGGATCCATTCCGCCTATCAATTAAACAAAGAAGACTCTATCGTGCAAGGTATTTTCCAGCTAGCCGAGCTTTCAAAGGACAAGAGATTCGGTCTTTCGATCAGAGAGACTCAACCTCTCAAGAAAGAAACCGCCACATCGGGATTCATGTCGGCTCCTTCTACACAAGATGTAGAAATGGCATAGCGGAGTAGATTGAACTACAACCACAAAATATGTACATTATACTTTAGATCGAATGGGGTTTCTGAGCATCACTCGCACAAGGACTAAATCTCGTTAGCACTACCGCGAGGTTCAGCCGCTATGAACTATTAAAATTACACCTTGCCTCGAGCCCCGAATGCTGCAAACCCCACAAAACGAGTTGAAGTCAAAGGAGTTGATAGTATATTTATAACTCTACGTGCTGTTGTCATTCTCGCTTATATGTTTGTATGTATATAAAAAGTCTCGAAAAAACAATGTAATTCTAAACTTCTACATACAACTTTTTACTGACAAACAAGACTTTTGATTAGACAAAAGCGACTCCAGAACTCATATATAAACCTCATATAAGCTCTTCAACAACGGACTACGGTTTCAACAGACGTCGTGCCCGCTGAACTTTTAAATACTACATAATCATATATTAGCCGCCGAGAGATGTCAACCACAACCGAGATCGAGGCCACAGGCCCATCAGCGATCATAAATGTGGACGAGCTACAAAGCTACGGAATCAACGCTTCTGACTTACAAAAGCTAAAAGGAGCCGGTATTTACAGCGTTAACGTACGATGAACTAAACAAAACCCCTGTTCCCGCCAGACAGTTGAAAGGTCTGATCAAAATCCATATCAATACTAACAGCTCTAACGTACAACTACAGACAGTACTCTCTACCACAAGACGAAACCTGCTCAAAATCAAGGGCTTGAGTGAAGTAAAGGTGGAAAAGGTCAAAGAGGCCGCAGGCAAGATCATTCAAATTGGCTTCATACCAGCCACCATACAAGCCGATATAAGACGGAGGGTGTTTGGTATTTCGACAGGGTCCAAGCAACTCGACAGCATCCTGGGGGGCGGCGTCATGACTATGAGTATCACTGAGGTTTTCGGAGAATTTAGATGTGGTAAAACGCAAATGTCCCACACCCTGTGTGTCACAGCACAGCTGCCCCGCGAGCTGGGAGGCGGAGAAGGGAAAGTCGCGTACATCGACACCGAGGGAACGTTTCGTCCAGAGAGAATCAAACAAATAGCTGAGAGGTACGAGCTGGACCCAGAGGCGTGTTTGGAAAATGTTTCGTACGCGCGTGCTCTGAACAGCGAGCACCAAATGGAACTTACTGAACAGCTTGGAGCAGAGCTATCATTAGGCGAATACCGATTGCTGATTGTGGACTCGATCATGGCGAATTTCAGGGTCGATTACTGCGGAAGAGGTGAGTTGAATGAGCGACAACAAAAACTTAACCAGCACCTATCGCGGCTAAATCGAATCGCTGAAGAATACAACGTCGCAGTGTTCATGACAAATCAAGTACAGTCTGACCCAGGTGCGTCTGCACTTTTCGCCGGAGCAGACGGTAGGAAACCCGTGGGTGGACATGTTTTGGCTCACGCCAGCGCGACCAGAATATTGCTGAGAAAGGGACGTGGCGACGAAAGGGTTGCAAAGCTTCAAGATAGTCCAGATATGCCCGAAAGAGAGTGCGTGTACACAATTGGGGAACAGGGAATTACAGATGCAGCTGATTGATGCGAAGTTCTTCTGCTTGAGTTCAAATTGTGACCTGCTTTTTGCTTTCGTACCGTTCAAAAATCGTCGTACCCGAACCTGTCAGGCAAAACCATTGGCGCCACAAGGGTCCAACCATACAGACCATAGCATATCCAGGCGCTAATTATTTTGACCCATGAGTAGAAATAGGTTCTTCCAACAGGAATGAAGTCTCCTACATCATCCTTGGTGACGTTGACGGTCAATAGGATAGCTATCCATTGTGTAGCCAGGAAAAATATTACGTGGAATAATGAGTAATTGTACTTTGTCGAGATTCTTTCGTCGTCACCGTTCTCGCCGTTTTCGTCAGAGGTGTTGCCCCAGACCGTATCATTTAGAGCGCTCTCGGGCAAAACACCCTCATTGACGGCTTGTCTGATGGCCTCGATCCTGAGCTGACTTCTGCTCTGTCCTACGCCTTCGTAGGCGATATCATCGTCCCCGTCTAGAAAGATATGCTGGTCACTTGAGTTAAAGGCAGAATTGGCAGCGGCGCGCGTCGTAGTATACGCGATGGCGACGAACGTAAAGAGAGATCCGAGGACGACGCTAAACTTACGAGTCTTGTCTGATCTCACAAAAGGGTTACACTGGCGATCATCAGGCTCTGACGCCAGTGCGCTCATAGTCAAATAAGTTCCGTAAATGGCCACCATACTGCTCTGAGCCAATCCACATTTTGGATTGTATTCCTGAACCTTAGGATGTACGGACAACCCAGTTGTTATGATGCTCAGCAGCATATTCACGGTGACAGATATTTGATTCATCGTGCAGTTGTTCTGACAGAACATGACATACATGGTGATGGTCATGGCCAGCGATCCCAGGTACATGGCACTTGTGCCAATGATTAAAAACTTCTGCCATTTGGAAGAGTTCTCGTCGTCCATTTCAACGTGCTGGATACATTTTTCCGCCCATTCGTGAGCGAAATCCACCAACAGAATGAGTCCAATGAGAATGAACAGCGATCCAGATGGAACCGAGACCCATTTAGAGAAAGACACGAAAAACTGATTGGGGATTGTGAACGACAGCACCACGAGTAGAACGTAAGCCACCAGTTTCATGAGCCACCACGAGTTTTGTAGCGAAGCTCGACGGTCTGTTGTAGACTTTACGTTTACCATAACGGATGAAAGTATAAGGTGAAGCAAGCCCAGCGCGAAGTTTAGGCGATGGACCGTGAAAAACCCACACTCTCCAGTTGAAGTGCAAGTTTTCCGTCGCCACAAAAACGCATAGTTCGACGACATAGAAATCCAGGATGCTAGAGAGTTTATGAGCAACAAAGCGGCATAGTTTAATCTCGTTGCTAAAGAGCTGGACCCACCACTTAAGGACTTGAAAGATGACACTAAGACAGTCGAAGAAAGCGAGCCAAAAAGGGATGCAAAAAAGGAAGCCGCAGCCGTTGAAGCCGCTATTGGCAAAGATAACAGAACTCCCATCTTGGTTTGGCTGGTTTCCGTTAGAGTTGAATTCTGGAAATGTATCTACACCTATATATATATATATATATAGCGGTTTAGATTATTATATAAATGGTCCTCGTATATGATGATAGTGAATATTGCCAAGATTTAAAGATTTGAGAACTTGAGCGGCTATTCTTCTAAAAGTGTCAACTATTATGATCAAACAACTGTGTCTAGCGACATCCACATGGTGAATGGTATCTAAAAGCGTATTCTGTATGACCAAGGTAGAATCTGGGTTTTCAAGCGGTCAAGAACCGGCTTTCTATGTTAAAAAAACGTTCACAGGAGACGAACAGAAGGGGAATGTGTTTGATTCATGGTTTTGCGACTAAGTATCAAAAATGTGCTGACCTCATGGTGCTTAAATGCCCTTTTAGAATTTTGTAATCAATCTACATGGAAACTTGAGGTTTGAACTAGTTTTAGTTGTGTCTTTACTTATCGGGGTACACAGCAGTCAGGGTGGTTTTGAAAGCTTACAAGATGGTAAGTTATTGTTTTACTCCATCAGTGGGCATTGTAACTTGAAACTCAATCAGGCCACCGTGAGAAATTCGAATACGAAGTCTATTCGAGTTTCTGACTGTGCTCCTGCTATAAAGCGAGGATGGAAAATGACATGCCAGGTTGAAACATGTGCCGTCGCTATTTGCAACCTGAAGTGAATCTCATTGGAGACGCAGTCAAAGTTTTCCAGTTGACTTCAGATTCAGAACGTTAGGTCAAGTTTTTCAGACCACGCTAATGCCTTACAAGCATGTAGATCTCCTGAAAGATCTGGTTCATATGATTGATTAGAGGTTCAAAACATGAAGGTGAAAGAACACTTAAGATACGGGCATTAAAGGTTGGTTTAAGCCCACCAGTAAGCATCAAAAGCACATCGACTTAGCAAAACACCAAACCTGGGCCATCGTTCATTGAAATTCCATATCAGCGGCCAGGTGGTAATTACAGCTCTACTGAATCAACGGCAACGATCAAAGAACGGAATACTGCTTTTTCGGGCATTAGCGAAGAAATACTGCAATCGGAAGAAATTTCAAATAATAAGTTACCACTAGCCATTTAACAGCTGGAAATCAAGGCGCCAGCTTGTGCTTGAAACTGTGACCAAGGCCTCGAAATCAAGCAGGTGGAAGATCGAAGGCGAATCATTCACTGATTGGGAATCAAAACTTTGAGAAATCCCAGAATACCACAATATCCAAAACGACACATTGAAAACTTGCTTCGGCCTCCATTTTGACACTCAGCGTCCTCAAGAAGAGAAACGACGTTTTCGCAAAGACGTCTGCTTTGAGCTGCGTTACGGAGAAATATGACGTTGATCTTGCCAAGACTGTCTTGAAAGCTCCCACCTAGCAGATGAAACTTTCAAGAGCATGGCACCTCGAGACAACGAACGCGAGTGTTTTGGAACTTGTCAAAGGTTACATTAGTAAAGCTTGACGCGCAACTAAAAATGCGAACCCACTGGATGTGCCTTCTCAGCACGTGAGGCACAGTTTCCCTCTTTCCTTCACAGTACACTCTTCATTGGCTGAATATACTACAAAAATGAAGCCCGTTCGCTGCCTTTTTGAATTTGAGTTTAACGGAATTTATTCGACTATGTCATGAGAAAGAGCCATCTGGTGGTTCAGATAGGATCTAAAGTAGTTCGCATTGGGAATTGCGGTGATCATGAGCCCCTTTTGACACATTTTTGGTCTCCGGAAGATGCTTTTGACGAGTCTCTCATTACGCGCCTTTTTCGGGTATGGCTCCAGAACCCGCTGATGGTAGACTGCAGCAAAACAGAAATTCTAGTGGTGGAGAACTTACTGCTTCCTATGGCGAAAAAAATGCTGATTTATCGCGTTTTCACCCAAAACTTGGGCATCGCTAAGGTTACTTTTGTTCCTGATGCATTGATGTCTTTGGTAGCGAGTGGACTTAGAAATGGGCTAATAGTAGATGTTGGTTGGGAGCACCTCATGGTAATTCCAGTTTTCGATTTGAGAATTATAGACCATGGGTTGCAAATAAGCACCAAGGGCGGCAGCTGGCTGGCCGACCAAATATCCACAGTCCTGTCTACTGGCGCAGAAAGCACGTCAGAAAAAGTGATCGAACGGTTACTGTGCCAGGCTGTTGAACTCACCGACAAGGATATATTGCTACGAAATGTAATTGACCAGGAATTTGTTGGAGAAAAAGCTGCGGACAATTTTGACTTAGACGACTTCCCTATCATTCCACTGATCATGAGGGCCTATGATAGCTTGGCCGTGGATGTTCGCGAGTCTTTGAAAAAGCAAGTGGTATTTTCAGGATTAGCTTTTTGGACACCTGCTCTTAGGACTCATTGTGAGCTACTTCTCCCGGAATTTCGTGTGGTGGAATCGCTAGGTCCTTGGACAGGTGGCAGCCTATATTTCGAGCAACTGATAAGGAGCGATTCACTTGAAAGATTCGAGAAGAGCAAGCCTGCTCCGAATGATTGGCACTTGCAGAAATTTGAAGTTTATAAGTAGTTTCTATGTTTCCTACATACAAAAGCGAGGAAAGTCCATCTCTGCAGTCCATGTCCCTATCAGTACACTACGCAAAGCACTTCATTTAATCGGAAAATTCAGATTCATCGCAGTTGGCTGCGTAGCTGTCCATTTGCAAAAACCGTTCCCAAGGCCTATCGGCAAACTCGTTGCTGTCATGCAGCAGAGTAAAATAGCCGGACCTGTCATATCCAAAAACAAAGTACAGAGCTCGGTCAAATACAGTGGTTTGCTGCTCTTTCTCTCTTAAATCTAAAGCTCTATCGAATACGGGACCTTGGTTGTGCACAATCCGGGACACCTCATCTTGAAGCACGGCAAGACATATCCCCTCGTAATCGTCTCTCTCAAGCTGCCTTTCGGCCTCGTATTCACGAAAAATGGGAGGGTAGTTAACGCTTCTAGGTACTTCTTTCTCAAGAGGTGTCAAATCGAGTACTTGTTCGTCTGGTAAAAGTCTGATGTCTCTTAAATGAATTGGAACGAAAACATCGAGGTTGTCAGGTTCCAGCAATTTAGCAAAAGGTTGCACTAAACTTGCTTTTACGCCGTGGCTGTTTGAGATTCCATCGGGCGACAAAAATCTAGCTCGATGATGTGAGGGTTCGGGTTGTCTCAAAAAGGCAACCAAATCTTGGACATCCAAATCCATTTTAGTTCGCTTGGAAGACAAGTTTGGGTGCATTGCTTGCAGTTCATGCTCTGCCTTTTTTGAGCCATTGAGATCCGATTTTGAACTGGACTTGGCGCTCAGTTTAGGCTTCGCATGGAGCGATGCGTTCTCATCGTGAACCAAATCACAGCGATGTTGCCGATTGTACGTTAGACTCATGATCAAATCGATTCCTTTTTGTGTTGTGATGATCTAGTGGTGACAAACCACCAACGGTGGAGCTCTTTACCTTAAAAACCACAATCAGCGTTACATCGTTTCGTCGCTGTTATGTTGACGTTTTACGTCGAGGTCCCGATGATATTGAACATGGAAAGCTATACCCTGATGGCAACAAGAAAAGAGCATGAAAAGTATAGCTTTGATAAACCAGAGCGTTCAAACACTTCTATTTGTCCAGAACATTGCCCTGTGACATCAGATTTTCAATGTAGTCCTGCAAATACCGGTTTTCATGCGAAAGTTGATCGCATTGTTTCCTCTGTTCCTCAGATCTATCAAGCAGTAGCTCCAAAGTATCACGCAGCAACTTAGTCTTATCTAAAAGTTCTTTATTGGAACTAACGGGGGTGTCGTTACTCGGAGATCTCGTATCATTAACGTCTGGAGAATTTGATTCCTGGCCGTTCATTTCGGCAGTTTGCTGCTAGAGGTAAAGCAATATTTGAAAAAATCAAATTGAGTCAAGAGAACACTAAAGCAGTTTGTTTCGTGACTCGAAGATGCTAAAACAATGGTTACTTCATCGATTCCAAACATTGTCATGTTAGCAGAGTTATTCAGCATGGTTTAGATTTTGAATATGATTTTAGAAAAATTGAAAAAATATGGTCTCTAGCGGGATCGAACCGCTGATCCCCGCGTTATTAGCACGGTGCCTTAACCAACTGGGCCAAGAGACCATTGGATGAAAGGGGGAAATGAAGTTCAAGATATATAGCGCATGAATGATCATGACAGAACGCACACATGAGTTGAACAAGACTCTGACATCGCTTAAATGGTAGGTTGACTATCCTAAAAGATGGTGCGCTCATTTCATTTGATGACACTAACTTCTGTACAAAATATTTAATCACTATTTGTCACCCTTGTAAGTCAATTCTCAGTCAACTTTGATAGATGAGTAGATTCTTCTCACAAACCACAGACTGCTGAGGAAGCCAATAGTGCCTGTGATTAGGCATGATAAGAGCGAAATCAACAGAGAGTAGCCCAAGTAGAGAACTATCGTAGTCAAACCACCTAATTTGAATTTCGTGAAGAGAATGGAATGCACAAATATGTAGCTGGCGCAACCAACACCCCCAATGTAGAAGCCTCTCCATTGCCACTTCCAGTTCTCCAGACACAATGAATAGTATGTTAACAGAACGGTAACCAAGGAAGTTGTCAAAGTCAACAATAAAAATGACACGAACAGAAAGCCAAACATGTAGAAGATTTTGTTAAACCACAGACTGGAGTATATGAAATAGAGTTCCACAGCAATTGAGCCAAATGGGAAAATGCCTGCGATTAGAGCAGCTGGAATGGTTTTAAGATACCACGGCTGGAAAGGTATTTGTCTGGGAATTTGTTTTGTTTTGGTGGGGTGTTCATCCCAATGGCATTTCTTGCGAGCAACAAAGGACCCTACAGCAGACAGGGGCAGAGAAAAGAAAAACCATAGCGCGACTATGGCACACATCGTTCCGAATGGAAGAGCACCTGCGGAGTCGACGAAAATCAAAAAGAAGTTCAATGCTAGCATCACACAGAAAATGGAACCAGGAACTAGCAAAGGCGTCAAAAGCATGTTCACTTTCCAGTACTGACCTCCAAAAAACTTGTAAGTGGCCATAGACGTATAAGAACCGAACAGACCAAAAAGCGCATATAGGATGAACATCACGGTAGTTAATGACCCTCTCGATGATGGAGACAAGAGTCCGAACAAAGCAAACGCAATTGTGCAGGCAGCCATCAAAAATAGTTGAGCACCTGAGCCAATGAGAACCGACAGCAAAAGGGACCTCGAGGGAGTGCGGAAAACATCACCATGAACCAACTTCCAGCCAGTCTCCTCTTGGAAGTCGTCGTCTAAGTTTAGCTGGTTGTAGCGCGACAAATCGTCCTTCAGAGTACGATACAGACTGTGGATCATTACCGAGGACAGCAGAATCACCACGAGCGAAAAGTTGATTAGTGAGTACCACTGAATCTTGGGATCATAAACGTGCAAGTACTTATCCCATCTAGTAGCCCATGCGGTGGGCGATGACACGAAGTGCACCGAGTACGAGAAATTGACCTCGGTTTCTTGCTCTTCCGATAGTTCTAATAGCTTGCCAGTCACAGCACAGGAATCAGTGGTTGCTCTGTCTATAGAGACAGGGTTGACTGTGACACCTACCACTCTGTAGTCTCCGTTCCCGCGATCGTGGTACTCAATTTGGATGTCGAAATGGTTTACGAAATATGGCGTTTCGAGTTGCTTTACCATTTTTTCGGGGTTGACAACATTCTTTCTCTTTGTGAGACCGGATTTCTTGGAAGAGGGTTCGTCGAGGAAGTCGCTCTCGCTCACTGGATTGGTGTGCGCTTGAGACTCAGGTTCAGTTTGACCCTGACCTTGGCCTCCCATTCTCAGTTTTGAACCACCCACGTCAACCAATCCAAGCTCAAAGCCAGGTGTATAGAAATCGGAGTTAGTTCTCCCGTCGTGGGAGACACGAGCTGCTGGAAGACCGTCAATGAGCCAGTTTTGGAAAAAACCGTTGTAGATCAGTTTGTTCACGAATTTGGCGTCTTCGGCTGGAATTTTCTGTGTACACAAGGGAACACACTCTTGCTCTTTCAGCATCTGGATATGGAACGGAGAGTTGTAGATTCTGTCCCCGAATATGATGGATCCAAGAGATTCCCTCTGCTTCTCCAGTTTTTCGGGACGGCAAAAATGAAGCTTGTCGTAGTAGTAGTCATAAGAATATAAAAACGATTCCTTGTCACCAGTGTCCTTATTATTTTCATCTTTATGCTGGAAGTACATGGACGGCGTTAGATGGTTCACCAACAATGGAATTTCGTCACCTTCATGATAAGTGGTAGGAGCCACGCCCGGCAAATAAAAGGCGTCTACCACGGACAAAAGCCAAGCTACCGCTGTCGCACACGTTACAAATACTCTCATTGAGACGAATGCTGCGAAGATGGCGTGTTAGAGCTGCTCTTGACGAGACCGTTTCGCTACTTGGCAGAGCCGGTAGAAACACTCATTGTTTTGGAAAAGTGAGTATACAGGCTGAAAATCGCTCCGTGATTAATGATGAGTGACGGATTAAAATCACGTCTCTTGCGAGAATCGAATGCGAGACCGGCGTTGTGTCGCGAAATATGTCTAGAGAATTATTAAGGGGATGAGCATGGCGAATCATACCACGTCGCAGTGCGCTAGCTTGATACCAGGTCAATTGTTCCTGTATCCTATTCTTTCCCTATTTGGATTACCTTTTTCTATCAAATATCAGAACTTTCAGGTTTGTCACAGCCTGTTTTTCTTTCCTGCAAACATTGTGTTGTTGGTCGAAATACCGGTTCAAATACATTTGTAGTTCTCAAAACTCTGACTGAAACTGTAAACTTTTCTTATTGCCAAGACTCTGTTTATTTACAAGTATCTATGACATATAACTCATTGTGTGCCATGTCACTTTGTACTTATGTGGCATTGACTGGATATCATCACTCGACTACATATAGTCCTGGGATTTAGTCGCTTCGTTACCTAAAACCTATCAAAAACATACTGAGCTCTCTCATTTTGATGCGCGGACCTTTTCATTGCTGAATGAGTCCACACAGTGTTTCAATCATACCTGAAAACTCGACCTGCAATATTTGTACTCATAAGCAGCAAAACAAAGCCTATCTTCATTTGATGTTTTGACTTCTCAGTTGTTCACTCACACAGTTTTTCAATGCTATAATGGGTCTCAGCCATTTTCCCTCTCTGACTCCTCCCTCGTTCACCCATCCCACATTTTCATCTGCCAATCACCATGGATTTGACACAAGAAAATAATCAAAAGCCACCTGTTCCGGAGCTGCTTGGGCCTAAGACTCATTCACAAGTGACCATCATGTCCAGAAGAATCTCGGACGACCTTGAATAACGTAGGTATTGAAGTACATGTTAGGGCTTCACGATTAGGGCTAAAATCTTCAATTTGTGTCACGTGCTCCATTGACAATCTGAAATTTGGTTAAATCACGACTCAGCCTAACACGGCCAGTTCATCTGATTTCATGAAAAGTGCTTCTTCAAAGCGACTCACCCACTCCATGCCGTTGTCTTATGAGCGGTATATGAACCTGGTGTTCCACCTGGATTCTGCAAAAGAGCCGGTCCCGCAAGAAATCTCACGAAAAATCGTCTCCGGGGCTATATCACCTGTGGTCACTGTGACATCAAATGAGGTCTTGGACCAACACATACAAGAGCGTTTTGATCTCGACAGTCTCTACATGCTGCTGCGACACTTTGGGGACTGTATTTCGGATCGAGCACAGGCCGATAATGACAACGATCCGGTGAGCCAACCAGAAGAAACGCAAGACGCGGACTCTTTGTTGAAGCCAAACGTGAAGACAAGAGCTCGCAGTCGCTCAAATAGCCTATTTCAACGCTCTTCTTCGCAGTTTCTGCGATTCACAAGACCACTTACAGACCTCATCGGCACTCGAGAATCACACGACTTACTCTTCGACTACCACTCTCTCGAGGTTTTTCTACAGCACTATTTGAAATTGATCGAGCAGAAAACAACGACGGGGACTCCTCATGTTCTACTGCAACACTCTCTATATCACAAATTTTTCACAACTGCAATATCCTCCACCACCCACTTATCACCTTACGAATCTTTTAACCACCCAATAGCATCCCTGTTAGCTTTAGATGTATCTAAAGGTCAAGACTATGAAACCGCACGAGAACTATTGGTCACATTCAAAAACATGCATAATAGCACGCCTCATTTTCCAGCTTTCATCAACATAAATGATGTCCTGCCCGTATTTTTACTATGCTATAAGGAAGATTCCCGCGAGCAATTCGAGGCGTGTCAAACTCTGGTCAAAATGCTCAAAAAGCAGCTTTTCGTCGAAAGCCTTCTGTTGCCCATCTGGAATGACAACGAGGAAGCTCCCAAAAGCCGACTACACCAGCCTGTTATGTCTTCGCTCGAAGAAACGATGCTATCAACAATGAGCAACCGGCATTTTGAACTTCCTCTCCCTCTCATTGAAAGCATTTATGATCAACTGTCAACCTTATCGCATAAATTAATAATACCCTTCATGAAGCGTAAGATATCGTTCTGGGAAGAAACAATACTGCAGCCTCGGAAGTCCATTTTCCCTAACTCAAAGTTTTTTCGGAGGCTCATGGCCAAGAACCCAGCACCGACAGCGAACAATGATTCTGCCACTCATAATCTTCAGGGACTGGCTTACTTTGCTGCTACCTCGAATGAATTCTTGTTGAGAAAACTAGCAGATTGGTCATTCATGCTATCAGACTTTAAGACTGCATATTCCACTTATGAATTAGTTTCCAAAGATTTTGAAGCCAATCCTGAGTACCTGGCTCCTTGTTTAGAATGGTGTGCACTGTCGGTACTCATGGGCGCTCAGAGCATAGTCACCGTGAAAATGATCAAAAACGACATTGATCCACTGATCACTAGAGCACTGAAATCCTACGAGCTTTCAGCGAACCGAGCCAAGGAAAAAAATGCATTTCTTACCAAAAATCGCAATCCTAGTAACGACAGTTCTACACTATCCAAGAACGGGCCGACCACTCAGGGTGATTTTCCTTCTGAAGACTTTGCTGTCTCCACACCACATCAGTCAGCTCAAAGCTACGAGACTAGATGTATGCTTTTGGCCGCAGAGCTCTTTTTAAGTCTAAGTGATACTTGGACCGCAACGCCCTATGCCATTAAGTATTTAGAAACGATTCTGGACGATTGCACTGTGGGTTCGTTATCGGAAGTGGTCATTTGGGAAAGACTAGCGCATTGTTATGCATTAAGAATTGACCCCAGGATAAAAAGTAAGATAACCTCGATGGAAACGCGCGGTGTTGATGATTCAGAGAAGGCTAATGAAGAGGCAGATATTTCCGACGTGGAGTCTGACGATGATAGCCAGCCTTATAAACACAAGATTGAACAAGATTGTATCGCCTCCATTGGACTTACCAGAAGACGCAAATCGAATTTATTTCGATTGATCGCTGCGAAAAAATGGGCTGAGGCCAAGCAATGGCGACAGGCTGCTTGGACTTACAACGATGTGAAAGTCATGTACTCCGACGCGAAATTTGCACATAGACAGAACTCAATATTGGAGCGCCTGCGAAATGATATCCAAAGTCATGAGCCATAAAATTTCAAGTTCACATCAATGAAGAAAGGCGGAACTTTATGATAGATTATTAGTATTATTACAGACTTCTGTTATTTTTATATAGAATGCAGAAGGGCCATAGGCCTGATTTAATGCAAAACGTCATAACGTTATATGAATTTCATGAGCTGTTCCGGTGGAACACTGTCTATCATATCGTTTTCATCGATACGTGGTTTCAGTGACTGGTAGCTGTCAGTACTATCCCCGAAAAAGTAGGAAAATGCTACTCCCAGTGTCCCCAGGACGGCTACTGTTCCCATAGATAGCGCAAGACCAATCAGCACAACGAATCCCCGATCTACAAGCTTTTTACCACCTCGTTGATGCGTGTCTGATGAGGGAGCGGGACTAGATGGATTTTCGCCAGAATTGGAGGAATTACTTGCAAACGCACTCTGAAAGAACCCTTGGTAGTTGTCAACTGATGTCAGGTCTCTGTTTGTGAATATGCGAGGTGGCTGGTCCAAGTTTGAAGCAGCTGCCGAGAATGACGTGGTAAAATATGGAGTCCACTTTCGAGATTGATAGATTATGGCGTTCAAGAAGCCGTATTGTTCATGATAAAGATCACCAGTAATTACTACGGCTTCGGTCTCGTTGTCCTTCTCCTGACCTGAGGAGAGATTGGCTGATGGGAAGTTGCGAGCCTCTTCGAAGCGAGAAGATGATTTAAACATCGAGGAAATTTTTATCCAGCTGCCATTCGTGAGCTGGTAAACATTGCGCTCTGACAGCGCAATAATATTGTCCTGAGAGTCTCCCAAATAAATGAAGTCTCTAATTGTTTCATTTCCCGCTTTTATGACTTGGGACGTGCCGTTTGCCAAGGATATAGCGGCAAGACTGGCACTTTGAGTGCCGTTTAGCTGCAAAGAGCCTGCGACGGCGACGGAAGTTTCGTTCAAAAGTCTCATGCTGCTGATGATACCAGTCAGCGAATTGTTCATGAAAGATGACCAGGTATTTTTGCTGTAATCAAAGAGACAGAGTCCTGAACAGTTCGATTTTTCATCAGTATAGTTTCCACCTACCAAAATAGACGTATTTTTCTCGAGGAAAATGAAAGAGCTTATAGATCCTCCACTGGCCCAAGATGTGTTGGCGATGTTTTCGTTCGTACTGAGATTTGTTAAGGCGAATTGCGGGCCGGATATTTGGTTATCTAACCCGATTGCCAAAAGAGAGTCGTTCTTCAAGTACGCCAGGGCAGAAATTGCAGCAGGCCATTTATATGGCAGGCTCTGAATACGACTTGCGTTTTCAACCTTCATTAAACTGTGAGGATCTGAGGAGGCTTCTGTATCAAAACATGCATAGATTGATTTGCTATTATCAACGAAAACGGCGTCATACGGAATTTTGGACTCAAATGCATTAGTCTGGTTTGAGGGTATGATAGTTCCCGTAGAAATAGAGAAAAGCCCATTTAGCGATGTGAAGTCATTGTGAATCAATGTTCCTTGCATCAAGGTATCATTCAAAGAGTTCGAACCTGCACTTAGAGCCGAAATCGTCAGCTTGGAGTTATTGAGCATGACTTCATTCAAAGTAACATTGAAGGCTGCATTCTCATTGAAAAAAAGGATTTCGTCACCATCTAAGGTAATGTTGGTGACGCGAGTCGCTTGGGTATCCAGCAGCGGGAATTCAGAAAGCGTTCCATTGTTATCGAAAGTTTGTGCTGTCGAAGAGCCATTGAATGCTCCTATTATTGCCAGGCCATTAGAGTAGGCTCTCACACCCTCGATTTTGTTGCCAATGGTATTCACGCGAATATCAGAGATTTCAAGGTTTTCCCCTAGACTTCCTGTGACCATTTCGCCGGACGATGTCAGTAATACGAATGTGTTCTGAAGTCTGTCGACAAATATGTTGGCGCCCTTCGAGAGTTCTACAATCGAGAAGGCTCTTAGATCCGATGTTGAGTTGGAAGTTGTATTTGACATAACTGCTGTTGAGTTCGCCAAATTGTACTGCAAAAAACCATTCAAGAGACCCGACTTCCTCGTTGTGTCGAAAACAGAGTCATCAAAGTCCTGAATGACAACCTCGATCTTATCGGCAACCATAACATAATCCTCTGAGCTGCTTGGAATGGGAGTTTGGTAAATAACTCTTACAACTATGCTGTCACTGAGAGGTCCAGAGTAAAGGGTATCATACTTTTCGTAGTCATTGTTCTGGTAAATTTGAAATGTGGATAATACCGTATTGTTCTTTTTGTCAAGTACCGTAGCATTGACTATACCTCTTGCTCCACAAGTATCATCAGACAAACATCCCGGGGTTAGTAGGTTGACCGTGTATGTGCCAGGATAATCAATCTCGACCGAATAGTTCACAGAAGGTGATTCTTGACTACTGTCAAAAGAAGTATAAATGTAGCGTTCGCCTGTTGAACTGGAGTTCCATAAAGTGGTCTCGGAAATTTCTGATTGGGACTTGTACACTGTATTGTCGCAGTTAGGCACATTGAGTGTGTTATTAGCGAAGATTGAGATCTGACCTTCGAAGAGTTCTAGTGACTTAATTCCAACACTCGAGCCGTATGAGTCTAGGGCTATAAAAGTGAGAGTAGAGATGGGTACTTCATCGACAAAGGCGAAGTCTTGGTACGAACTGGACCATTCGAGTGTGGTTTGATTGTTCAGGAAAGAAACTCTGTCAGCGTTTGCTGTCTGTAAACTAGCAACACTCAAATTGGCCGTAGCATAAAGCGGGCACCATGCGTCACAGGAGGTTAGTGATCCTGTCGAGGGATCCAGATAAGTAAGATTCATTATGCTGTTGGAGGGTGACGTGATTACACGGAATAACGAAACCTGTTCATCTGCAACCGGCGAGTTGAAAAGACGAAGCTTTGAGGCCTTCGTTTGAACTGCAAATGTGAGCTCGAATTCGCCATTGGTATTACCACTTTCTAGCCATCCAGCGTCCTGTGAAGACGAAGGGCATATGAGTTGATTTGCATTCAAACTTCCAGCGGAGTCAAACTGCGCACTTCTCAGAGATATTGGGTTGCCAAGCTCGGGAGCAGTTTCGTTGAATTTACTGGAGTTCGTGTAATTCTCGAACATCGTGATGTTATCGATTGTGGAGAAATTACCGGCAAAGAAAAGGGTCTCATCATTCCATGGCAAGATGGAGTTGACTGTCGAGTCTGAACCAAACCCACCGAAGGGCACAGTCTCAATCTGATTTTTTGTATAGTCCCAAGAGATAACTGAATGAACAGTTGAGTTTGAGTGTTTGTATTCGAATGACCCACCAAAATAAACGATGTCATCTACAACTTCAATTGCATTGACTTTTGACAATGCTTGTGGGAATATCTGTTTATACTCAAGCGTTGATAGGTTAAGCACAACTTGATGATCTAATTGTAGGCCTGACAGGGAGCCCGATCCACTGAGAATGAAGGAATCGGATGCTAGCGGAACAATCTGATTGATATTAAAGCTGTCGTTGTTCTGTGGAGTGTAGAGCTCTATAAAAGTTCCGTCTGAAATGTAGATTAGTCGTTGATCAGTCGTCGTGTTGCTGACATTACCAGTGAAGTTGCTTTGACCGGTATACCTGTAGTAGTTCAGGTCTTGGTAGTTGCCCAGCAGTTGAGCCCCACCATTGCTGCTTTGCGAAAAGTCTAATTGAGGCACTTCAAAGTTCTCAATGCCCAGCTTACGCTCGATTTGTTCTAATTGAGCTGCATTGCATAGTTTGGCACCCGCGAGAACAGTTGAAATCCAAGCTGATTTAGACCAAAGCATGTTTGACTATACCAGACTGCAATCAATGCGCCAGGGAGGCCTTCAGAAGAGCTTAAAGGCTACTTAGAGTCGAAAAACCTGATTTCAAGCCCAGCAAAAAAGGTGAATGGTTTATGTCAACGAAGAACGATGAAATTCCACTTGGACAAGATCAAATTTCTCTACCAGAGACGAATTCGAGGAAAATAACAGGATGCTTTTTCAAGTGAAGTCTCGAGCAGGGAATGCTAATCTCGAGTTCTTGACCAACGGTTCTTCGATGGGTTTACCTGGCCAGTAGTGCATTCTTGAAAAAAAATACGTTGGTGCCAGATCCACCGAAACGGGAAATTCCCAAATAAGACCCCGGACGGTGACAGAAAAGGACAAAAAGAGATACCGTTTGTTGAGTTGTAGGGAGTGCTTTGTGATTAACTAGGAATATGTGTATGTGTATTGGAATTGAGTGTTTTTGGCTTACTTCAGTTTATATTTCTCTGTAATTTCGAATGCGTGTCTAGATGTTGTTCACGAACGAGAACTGGAAAACGGTTTTGAAGTGTGATCTTAAGGAGATAATGTTGCTAAATTACTAGAGGATCAATAATTGCTTATAGTAAATGCCATTCAGTCCATGGCTCACAACTTACTGTTTCTCAAGATTCTGTTAGAACACGCTCGCGACAGCGTAGTTCAAAGTGATAAGTAAAAAATGGTGTATATGATTATGATGTGTCAAGACTTCGTAAGGTTTTCTAGCGCACGTCTTTCGTGTTTCTGACTCCTGCCATTCCTTGATGTAATAGAATCAACTCTCCTAAAAATCTCAGCAGTCTAATAGCTTTTTTTATTTTCAAAGTGAAAGGTCTGAGTTTTGGACGTTTCAATAAATTACGATAAACGTGCATTTACGATAACACATGAAATTCAGGAAGAGTAGCTTCAGTGGAAGACTCGGATAAAACCAACGTACCACTCTTCATAATATTGTTTTTTGTTGTTGTTTTTTTTCTTCGACTCTTGCTAGATATTGAATTACTTGAAAAAACTGACCGGTCATCTCAATACATTACGAACATCAGAAATCTGACGACCAATGACATCTTCAAGTAGAACTAACGACCAATTTCAGTTCAGCAAGCCAGGAAAATTGAACAAGACTCTAAATGTCGAATATGTGCCATTTCAAAAAGTAGTTCTTCGTTACTTGTAGTCAAAATTGTGATTAAAAGTCGTTAAATATCGCTACCAATACTTAACTCATTAACGTATGAGCACCTTTTAGAATTCTGGTATCTGCCTCGCTCGCACTAGACTTGTAGACGTACCTTTTTTGCCATTCGTAGATATTATCAACATTTGATTTTGGTGACATCATCGAACGGTTCGATATGACTGGCTACACAGCGCTGGATGCGAATATTAATCTTATTAAACAAATACAACTTTTTTCGGTAACGAATAATCCGGTTATTAGTTGTTACCTCTGGATAGTGTCTGGCCATGCTCTATGGCAATACTTTTCTGTCCGCTTTATTCCGTGTCGGACATCGCGATCTCGCGGAAGTCGGGCCTATGCTTCACAAATGCTTCTTTCATGCTACTCAGGTTATTGCAGGACCATACTACAGATCTATTCTCTTTCTGTCGAACGTCGTTAATAAGGTCGAGCACGCTTTCCGGACTCATGCCCTTAGCGTAGGAAATACGCTCGACCCATTGAACAAACGCCTTCTTTTTCTGGAATGTACGCTTTTTCCGGAAGTGCACCAAATTTCGTTTACCAAAGTCGTTGACAAATGAATCGATCTGCGGTCGCAGAGACTGGTAGTATTCGTTATACATGCCGTAAATGGAGTCCTGGTCGCTGGTCATCACAATGGCTAATTTTCCACCTTCGTCTACAAAATAGTGCTTGCCCTCTGCTGTTATTGGAGGCTGGTACTTTTCGCCTTTCGTCAAAGTAGTCCCCATAAACTCTCGAAATTTATTTCGGGGCTTATTGATCGCTAGTCTATTGCCACCTCCCGTATTTGGGCTGCCAGACGTTCCGCTTGCCATCATGACGGCTACTGGTGGCACTGGTGATGTGATCGATCTTCCTTCACCACTGAAAATAGTGGCACCGTCATCAGCGGTCATGGGCTCATTTGGCTTAAGCTCATTTCCAAAGCGGAAGGCAGCCGCTGATGAATTATACGGTAGCTCTGCGTCGTATGTTGTGGCAGGGTGATGAGAAAGATCCAGATCCAGTTTAGAGCTGGGAGCTATCTCAACATTCGTAGTGTCCATGGGGTCTGGCTGGCTCAGAACCATATTGCTAGATATGCCTTCCTGAAACTGGGCCGAACCGAGTCTAGGTGATGCTGGTGATGGGGTTTTGGGAAACACTTTCTCCACACTGTTTTTGAGAAATATGAACTGGTATTTGAGACTTCTCAGGCTCTCAGATAAAACATTGTTTTGCCGACGAAGGTCGTCGTTTGCGGCTCCTAGAGCATTAAGCTTCTGAGAAATGACTGGAAGCGTGTGGGAAAAGAGATGCTCCAGACGTTGTTGTTGGTCCACGTCATTATGTGATATCTGCGGCGGCATCACAAATGGCTCTTGAAATTCAGTAAAGTTTGAGGGGAGTGGAGACTGATGTACACCGTAAAATTGATGTGATGCTTGTTGTTTTGGCATTACCGGAATCGACGGTGACTGATTTGAGTGGTCTAATGGCATATAGTCTGAAACGCCAACGTTTGCCTGATTCAGATATTCTGTTGACATGAAGGGCAACGAGGTGGTCATGTTGGAGGTGGTGCCTTTATTAACAGAAGCGATCAGACCCTCAAGCTGGCTATCGTCGAGCGGTGTCCAATTGGGGTTCTCGGCTTCCTCGTCGTTTTGATTTGCGATAGCAGGCTTTTGTGGGAAGAAGATCATTTCCAGATCTTGCAACAGCTTGAGAGCCTTGAAAGCTTGGTAAATGGTAGCCGTGTTGTAACAATATTCGCTCCAGTTTGCCTTCAGGAATGCAATGCCCTTCTTGGTGGTTATGATGAATCGACTCCTCAACGCATCCCGGGGAATATGCTCCGAAGAAAAGCACCATTTGAAGAATCGCAGTATTACCGGGATGTACATGGCCGAGAGAACCTCTGCTGGGTACCCCATGAGAACCTTGAAGATATTGTCGATATGCAGGAGACATGTGTACTGAGTTTGGTAGCGGGATTTAGCTGCCGTGTAGCAGTCGTAGACGCTTTCACGGTTGCGCATTTGCACCAGTGTGTTCCAAAGCGTTTCTTGCAAGAGAAAGAGCGTGGAATCCATCAGTTCCGGAGAACGAGTCGGCAGCTCAGTGGCTGACGGATGCGATGATTCTGCCGGTACAAGATGACTGATTTCTGGCCCAGTTTCGAGAACTGCTGGCTCTGGAGGTGCCGTCGTGACCTCTGAGGATAATGCATTTTGGGTGCTACCGTGGTTGTTGTTGTTGTGGCCCGTATTTCTGGTAGCAAGTGGCGAAGGCCCTGGAGGGGACTGTTTGAGAGGAGCATTCTGCGGTAGCGGTGAGTGTGTCTGGGACAGGTTTTCGAGCTGTGGGTCCTTTTGCATGGCAGGATCCGGTCCAGTAAGACGCCCGATGTTACAAGCTGTTTAAAAACAAACAAACTGGGCTATGCCACACTACCTATGCTGCTCAGTTTGTGCACTCGTTGAACCCCCAAATAATAGTTGCAAAGTCTCTGAAACTCTCTCAAGCTGCTTGCCAAATGTCAGTTCTAGACAAAACGCAACTTGTAATTAAAGATACACTAATGACGCTGAAAAACCGTTATTCTAGCTATTTTAACAATTCAGATATGTCAACCTCACCGGCAACCGCAACTTCAAGTCTTTATGGTCTATTGGATGTGTTATGGATTAAGAATTTGTGGGTTCAGTCCATTGTCCTGAGTCCGGAGCTAGCTTGTATTTTTTTTGTGTGCCGCGCTGACGGTGACCGTTACATAATCTTTTATATAAAAGGGTCCCACGATACAAAGCATGCCTGATTACACGACTTATAGCATCTGGGTTCGAATCAAGCAAGGTATTACATGATACTCCTTACTGTATCTTGAAATGCGAGTATTGGCACTTGAATGCTGGCTTCCAAGCTTTATTTCGGCCGCTATTGCCTAATTGTTTCTATGCGTTTATAGAAAGTTAAATTTTGTCCAAATCTCAATAGTGCGGAAAAGCGAGCTGAAAGCGAAAGCGAGAAGCCTTCAAAGGCTGGGAGCGCTGAGAATTGGTTGGGTATTGTAAGTTACGTAGGGAAGGTTGGAAATATTACGATAAGCTCAAATCATTAGCGTCAGCGTCAGCGCCAGCGTGGAAAAGAGGATTATTATAATTATTGTTATTGTCATTATTATTTGGCATTTATGTGTGAAGCCCGTCTTTTCGCAACTGCCAAAACCAAGCAGAAGGGAAAGAACCAGAAAAAATAGGACAGGAGCGGATGTTGATCAATATCGTCTTGACTCTTATAGGATCTACGCAAATGCAAATGTAAAAAAAATTCCACGTGACCTCAGCGACAGTTTGTTACAGAGTGACAGTATAGCCGTTGCAATGCCAACCAAACACTTACATGCACGCACCCACCCAAGCACGAAGCGAAAAGTGATGATAACTCGCGATTTAAGCGCTGCTTTCTTAGTTGTGTGTGGATGTTTGCAGCTTCATGCTCAAAGATTATTCAAAGTCCGCAACTTATCGTCATTTTATCTTCGTTATCATGAGTTCGCTTACTCGCTAAGTAGTTCTGTAGGCTCCGGCCCCATAATATCAGCATCATTTTTCGGCATCGTCGACCATCTTTCTGTACTTTCTCTGGGTGTCGGCCATGTCGAGGAAAATTTGGTACTTGGTGTTCAGCAGCACGCGGTCGGGATGAGTCTCCGAACATGGCTGGACAACCTTACCGCTGCCAGTCATGGTGTACATAACATTCCACATGGTGTCTCCGTTGTCTGAAGATCTACCCTTCATGCGGTCTTCCATGTCTTTCTTCCACTTCGATTGTGCTTTGAAGTTCAACCCTGTTCCGCTCTCTTCGCCTTCATCGATCTGATCATCGGTGTCCTGGTCTTCGTCCGAAGTTGGGAATGGGAACCCAACAGTGGCAATCTGAGAGGTGCTCGCAGTGGCAGAAGGAGCAGTGTATGGCGATGGCAAATCGTCACCACCAAGGCCACTTAGTTTAGACAAACCCAATTTCGACTTGTGTGACATGTCACCAGCAATTGAGGACTTACGGCTCACGGACAATGCTGATTTAGTGCCGCTTTTGTCGAAACTCTCACTAGCAATAGCTCCCAACAAGGCAGAACCGAACACAACAGCGGCATCGATGTATCTTGGAATAACAATTGGCAACCCCGTACAGTCGGCCAAAAGTCTCATCAACAGACCATTACGACATTGACCACCAGACATGAAAATAGTCGACAAATCGTGTCCTGAAGCTGTCATTTTCTCGACAATCTGTCTAGTTTGCTGTGCAATGAACTCACAAGCTCCCAGATACATAAGAGCCAGATCGTCAATGGAGTTATCCATGGATTGACCGATGATAGCAGCACGCATGGACGCATCAGCGATTGGAGATCTGTTACCGTGGTAGTCACCGTAGAAAAATAGATGTTTGGCCAAATGAACCACAGAGCGTGCCTTTTGCTGTTGTGCCAGAGTCTCCAACCTGGAGTTCAGGTAGTCGAACTTGGAAACACTTGCGGCATCAGCCAATTGCGACAGTTCAGTATATGCGGGGTGTGTGGTTAGAACATGTGCTAGTAAAGCACCAGTGCAACTCTGACCACCTTCAGCACACCAAAACTGGTTGGCCATTACGTCTCTGTAAGGACCCCAAACACCGTCGACAAAAACAGGGTCTCGAGACATGGCGATGTGGCAGGTTGAGGTACCGGCGACAGCAGCAAGTCGACCTGTTGCACGGTCAATACCGGTCTTTTCGCGGTCACTTTTAGTCAAGGCCGGTAGCGCGACGTCGGTTCTCGCAGCTACAGTTCCGACCCATCCAGCGTAGGCGTCGATGACACCGGAACCTACGACACAGTGGTTTGAGAGGCCTAGCTCTTCCGCCACTGACTCATCGATGGCACCAATGAACTCACCAGCACTCAAGAAGTTCTTGCCGTGGTTGTCGTTTTTTATCGAGCCACCAATTCTGCGGAAGTCGTCTTCGACCAGTTCTTCCAGACCGATCTGAGTGAAAAAGTCGCGAGACCATCCTTCCTTGGAGCCCTCAACACCCACTGGCAACAAACCCTGCTTGCACGCGGTGGAGCAGAAACTACGCGTCTCTTTGCCGGAGGCTTTAAACGTGAGATAGTCGGCAAGATCGAAAAACTTGCAGTCTTTGAACTTGCCGTCAGGCAAATGGCCCTTGAGCCACTTTATCTTTGGGATTTCCATTTCTACCGACATTTGGCCACCGACGTATTTCAGACACTTGTCACCCGTAGCATTGATCTCTGCGGTTTCCTCCATGGCTCTATGGTCCATCCACAGAATGATGTTCTGGTCTGTGTTGCTGAAGTCTGGGCCCACTGCCACTTCTTTGTTGGAGCCTTCTTCGACCACCACAAGCGAGCAAGTGGCGTCGAAACCGATACCGTGGATTTTCTCGCTTGGAACGCCCGAGTCGCGCACCACTGATTTCACACAGTGGCACACCGACTGCCAGATTTCCTGCGACGATTGTGTTATGAAGTTGGGTTTCAACTGCTCCCTTTGAATGGGTCTTTCGGCCAGCGATAAAATATTACCCATGCTGTCGATGATGCACGCTCTGGCAGAGCCAGTACCAACGTCCACACCAACGTAGTATAGCATTTTCTGTTGTTCCAGCGATAGGCCGGCCATAGAGTGAGACATCATTCTCTGCTGCGAGATGGAAATGGAAGCTCTGGATCTTCTCGACTGCATTGTGATGATTTTGAAATCTGTGTGTGCGTGTGTGTGTAAAGTTCGATGTTAAGAAACTTTCTTGTATGCTTGAATCTGTAACGGTAAACTGTTCAAACTAGTGGTGAAACTAATTGTACTGTTAGTTATCGTAGTTGTTCACCCTTTTATTTGAGATATAATCTCTTAATATGACAAAAACATATTGAAGTTCGATGCAACCCCTATTGCCAACAACCAGGGCTACTTATATTGTTCGAACCCATTTCACACGGATTACCCTAAAAACGTTGCATTCCGACAGTCAATGTTGCCAACGTTGTTGTGCTGATTACGTTTTTTGCTGTTTAGGCAACATCCACGATGAGCATTCGTGAATGTACGCGAAACTTCTCATTGGCTTTCTGCTGTCGCTGAACACAAGCTTTGCTCATTGTGTGGGTAAGCTAGCGTCACACACAATTTTAACGATGGGCTCAGACACTGGAAAGGCAATTTCTAGTGGAGCCCAGTGCAGAGCGAGCAGAAGAACGTCATAGCAAAAGGAAAGATGGAAAGAACGAGCGAGAAAAATGATGTTGCGACCAGAGGAAATGGGAGTGGACTGGAGGAATGCGTGTAGGTTCGAGTAGAGGCCGGTGGCAGGTGGGAAGTGAAGCGGTCAGGATGTATCTTGTAAGAGCCAATATGGTGTGTGCAATGTAGTGCGTGGCGTGTGTGTTGTAGTGTGATGAGCCGGGTGCGAAGTGCGTAATGTGCAATGGATAGTGTGCGTTGTGTAATACGTGCGTTGTGCAGTGTGGTGTGCGTTCAGTGGTGTCAGCTTTGCACTGAGATAACGAATGGGATAGACAATGATGGATTCCCATGTGGAGTGAAAACGCTCAGATCTCGCATCCAATTCCTCTTAGACGCGAGCCATTGCTGTCTGTGTAGTGGATTCTGTCTACTGAAAGCTTGGCATGTGACTTGTAATTTCGTAGTACGGGGTGTACTCTCCTTAAAGTTTTGAAAAAGCTCGTAAGAACAAAGAATCAGTCAGAAAAACGTCCCCAAAGCTATGAGATCGCGTACATCGATTGAAACATCACGTCAAACCAGTTCAGACACTACCAGAAGTGCTAACTCAGCATACAAATTGGAAATTGCCATATCATTTCATACGAAGAGTTGTTTTTTGGGCGGCAAATCCAGTTAAAATCGCCAAATATATACTCCATGAGATACTAAATTCGCACCAAAGCTTGGGTTTGACGATTTCTTAGCCTGTATAAGAGGAACACGGGACAGCTTTGAACCAATGAATTGAACGACACCGTTGTTGAAGATTTGTTATCTTTTTCTAAAAGTCATTAGGAAGAAACACTATTTGAAGTGACAGATCGATAAATACAGCGTTGTGGCAGATTTTATCGTTTTCGACGGAGGTACCAAAACTGACCAGTGCTGGAAGCCATAACGAGCCCAACCGATCTAGAATGCTCTTCGTTATCGAGTAGAATGCATTTTTTTGGTGATTCATGATTGTAAGCTTTTATCCGTTTCTTGGCTTCTTTCATTTGGGTTTGCCCAAATTATGGCACATTTTGAAGGCCTCTTGCCCATTTCATAAAAGTTCTTCGAATACCCATCGGCTACAGCCAGGCCTGGTAGCCGAACCTTTTTGCCGTGCACCACTCTACGCCGTGTTCGTAATATTCGTCCCTCGTTACCCGCGAATCCAGATAACTTTGAGTGCTGGAAAACTGTTTCATGCAGTGCCATCCGTAAGTAGTCTTGTCGCCACGAGGAACAAACAATCGACAAGACCAGTCTGTTGGACATTGTCTTTGTAATTCGGTCGCCAGTCGCGAAGCAAAATTTGGAATGTTAAAATTTCCCCCAGTCACCACAATGTTACTGATCATCAGCGGGCGAAGGGCCTCAGGAAGCATCGAGACACTCTCCAGTATTGTTTCAATTATTCCGGGACTCAGCAACGATGCAATTTCAGGGTGTAAAAACGTCTCTGGAACGGAAAACAACTCGTCTTGCAAAACAATAGTTTGCGAGTCTTCCGGTATTTTTTGCCCTGGTTGTCTGACATAGCCCTTGAAGCTGGTATTGAAATCCGGAAGCACATATTCTTTTGCTGTTTTGAGCTTTGACTGGAAGCTGTCGAAATACGAGTTCGGGCTCATGAAAAGACAGGTTTCCTTTATGTTATTGACCAGAATAGTCTCATCCATGACGTTGTAGTGGCGAAATGAAAGCGTCTCTCGCAAGAAGCCGTTTAAAAAACGACCCCCAATGTCTAGTTTCTTGACGGCCTTGTAGTACGGAACTCCTTTGATTACCGGTACGATCCACGTACAATTGAATCCGGAGTCTATGACCAATTCGAAATCCTTGTAGTTTTTGTCTGCTTTTGAATCTTCTTCCACTATCTGTGGGTTCTTCTCGCTGCTATTATCGCTGTCGTTATCACTTTTGGCTTGTAAGACATGTGCCGTCGCATCGTTGACAGCAAAGGGTACAAAGGTGGGTACAGGAGCCTTGAACATTGTGGCGAACTCGCATTCTTCAAAAACTACTTGATCCATGTTCTTGCTCAGCTCAGGCATGGTCATACACGATTCAGAGGCCACCAAGTGTTTCCCTCTGGTAGAGTCCATGGTCCATCCATAAAACTCGTCGGGATTGTAAAAGCAGTAGTCCCAAATTTGACTCTCAAGCTCCCATGATACTAGCTGACCTAGTTCATGTGGCCTCTTGAATGATACCGATGAGATGTCTTTGATTGAATTGATTTGGTTCGAAAGATGAAAATTGCCATACTTATCTCTCGCGATAGCGTTTAAAGCTCTGTAGGGCTCATCAGCACCAGCAAGCCCAAATTTGATTTCATACGAGCCATTGTCGATTATTAGTGGCGTCTCCTCCATCGATCTGCGAAGATGAACGTTGTGTAGGAACAGTGAATGAATTGGAAGCGTTTTCGCCTAAAATTATATATATTACCATTTTCCTGGATAGATAAAAGGCGAGTATTCAGAGGCAAGGGAAAGCATACTTAAAGGCGCTTCTTTTCACTATAAATATGCTCAAGAGGCCACAGTTGTAATCTCAAGCTAGCCAAAGTGCTTAGGTGGTTTGTTAATGTTGCTTCGTGAATTGAAAGGGCGCTAGTAAGATTTAGTGAGAAAATCTGAGTGCGAAATGGCTATGGTTCACCATTAGTAAATACGACCACATACATGGGCAAAACGTAGTAGCTTGTGTTACATCATTCTGAGCTGCTAGCAAATGCCTAAATATCTGTAGTACTGGGAAAACCATGAAATCGAAATGGGAATCTAGACGGCCAGGGAGTTGCCGAGCTTTCGGAATCATAGCATTATTGACTGTTTAACAGTGTCGTTTTACCTTTAGAGGTACTGCAGCAAGAAATTGAAGGGCAGAAATCTGTGATTTACGTGTTTGCATGTTTTTGGCATAACCAGACACTATCCATATCCACGACGGGCCAACGCAATCAGCCCTAAATTGAAGCTAAGACCTAGCACTTGAGAGATGGGTCTCAGTTCAGCTAAATCATTGGAAAATGCATCTCTTTATCGCATTATTCTACATGATTTGTCTCTTCGGTGTGAAAACTCAATTGATTGATTTAGCGGCACAGAACCATGCAGAGACTGAGGACTCATCACCAGACTTTGTGATTCAAAGACTAACATTAACCGGCAATTCTAGATAATTTCAAATGACTTCGCTTGACGCAAGCAATTTCTTCACCGTCTTCCTGAAAACTGGTGTTGTAGTGGATAGCCAGTTTTTACTGTCCAGGCAAAAGTACACGCCTTGATTACGGATTATAAAATCGATAGCATGCTTTTAGAATCATGTATCGATCAGAGTCCGGACACCAACTCCTAGGTCTGTCATACGGTCGCTTACAGTTGAAATCAATTTCGCGGGCTCCTCTTTGAGTATCCAGTGAAATCTTTGGCACTTTCCAAAACGATCACATCTTAACTGCTTTAAACTAAGCTCGGTTGTTCAAGTTTTTACCAAAGGTCGTGCCCACAGGGAAAGTAAAAACGGGCAAGGTGAGGCAACAAATCGTTATGACAAGAAGTCACTACAAGTAAGCCGTTATTTCAAGTTGAATAAACCAAATCGCAAGGCCAAGGTCCTATAACATTGTCAGAGCTTTGGCCGAGTCTCAATATCGCCGTGTCGCGCTCATAGTTTTAAGGCTCGTGGCACGTGATCTTTAAATCCATAAATTGGTGCCCTCGAGGCGATGAGGATGATCTAAACAACTTAATCCTAACAACAAAACACCCGAGAATTGCTCCTCCGTACCGCCAAATAACCCCCATCGTACCACCATTCTAATGGACAGTCCTCTGTCCAAGAAGCAGAAAACCCATGTAAGTCAAAACGAGGACTCTTCGTTCGAAGAAGACTCGGTTGACGTCACAAGAGCCTCGAGATCAAGGACGCCTCGGAAGCTCGTTTTGGGATCTCCCAGTAAGCAATTTGCGGTCTCACAGCCTGGGAATTCTTCGTCTTCTAATGTGCCGTTCTTGCAACCCTTGAGAGACGACTTCCTAAGCTCTAGAAGCTGTGTTTATTCGCAATCGCCGCCTAGATCGCCAAATAGGTCCCCAACTCGAAAATTAGAGCTCATACAATTGTCACCGACCAAAAAGACGAGACTGGAAATACAAAAACTGCAAGAAACTCAAAATGGGCTGCAGCCGGTCCAACGCCTCTGCATTAGCCGTTTGGTGCTAACGAATTTCAAATCTTATGCGGGTACGCAGGTCGTGGGGCCTTTCGACACCTCGTTCTCCGCTGTTGTAGGCCCCAACGGTTCGGGTAAATCAAATGTTATCGATTCGCTGCTTTTTGTGTTTGGATTTCGCGCAAACAAAATGCGGCAAGGAAGACTTTCCGACCTGATCCATAAGTCGGAAGCATTTCCCGCCCTAAGCTTCTGTCAGGTCGATATCTTCTTCCAGTATGTTCAAGATGAGCCAGATGGAAAGACCACTGTAAATAAGACCAAGCAAGAACTCGTCGTTAGTCGGAAGGCTTGGAGAAACAGCTCATCGAAATACTACGTCAATTGTACAGAGAGCAGCTTTACACAGGTCACGCAACTCCTGCGAAAGGAAGGCATTGACATGGATCATAAAAGATTCTTGATTTTGCAGGGAGAAGTTGAAAGCATAGCACAAATGAAGCCGAAAGCTGAAAAGGAAAGTGATGATGGACTACTAGAGTATCTTGAAGATATCATTGGTACAGCACACTATAAACAGCTAATAGAACAGACGCTTGTTGAGATTGAGCAATTAAATGAGACGTGCCAAGAAAAAGAAAATCGATACGAGATTGTCGAGCGAGAGAAGAGCTCATTAGAATCTGGTAAAGATGAGGCTCTTGAGTTTCTCAGGAAAGAAAAAGAACTGACAATTTTGCGAAGTAAATTGCTTCAACATAGCTTGTGGCAGAGTGATACAAAGCTCACAAACGTCAAACAAAAAAAAATCACACTAGAGGAAAAGCTAACCCGTGAGAGAGAAACTTACATTCATCATCAACAAGAAGTCAAGGAACTAGAAGATCATTCTCGAAGTTTAAAGTCAAAGCTTGCAGATTTGAAGGAAAAAGAACGAGCTCTCAGGCTAAAGAAACGAGACTGCGATCGGGACAAGATCTCAGCGGAAGAGAGGCTTAAGAATCTAAATCAAAAAAGAGTGAAGTCTGAAAAATCTCAAAATCTAACACAGGCCTCGATTGGGAAAATTGAGACAAAACTTAACGAACTGCTTAAAGGCCAAGAACAGTACGGTGGTGAGCTTGCAGAGCTAAATGTCAATTTGTGTGAAGAAAAGGGCAAATTGGATGAAATCAAGCTTTCGCTGAAGGATAAAACCGGTGCCATTTCGGACGAAATTGCGAAGATCCAAAGAGATCTTGAACCTTGGAACGCTCGCCTTCAGGCGAAAACATCTCAGCTTAAACTCGAAGAGACCACGATATCAGTGTTGAAAGAATCGCATGTGAAGATAATACAAGAAATAAAAGACGCTGAGAATCAAGTTGTGTCTCTCAACGAAAGAACCGCCGAGCTCCGTGAGACAATCTCATCTCTCAATAAAGAGGGAGTTAGTGTAAAAACACAGTTAAAGATGGGTCAAAGCGAATGCGACAACGCTACTGTCAAAATAAAAGAAATGAAAGCTGTTCTCACTGCCCACCGACAGCGAAGCGTAGATGCCCGGTCATCACTTTCCACTTTCGAGAATAAAAACAAAGTTCTTGCGGCGCTAATACGGCTCAAAAAATCGGGTCGCATTTCTGGATTCTATGGTCGTCTGGGGGACCTTGGTGTAATTGACGACAAGTTTGATGTTGCGATATCGACTGCTTGCCCGAGACTGGACGATATTGTTGTTGACACCGTAGAATGCGCCCAACAATGCATAGAGTATCTCAGAAAAAACAAACTTGGTTATGCGAGATTCATTTTACTTGACAAGCTCAGAAATTTCAACTTGAGACCGATCCCGACGCCAAACAACGTCCCCAGACTTTATGACCTGGTAAGGCCACACGACGAGAAATTCAAAAATGCATTCTACAGTGTTTTGAGAGATACACTGGTGGCAAAAGATCTAGGAGAAGCAAACCGTGTGGCCTATGGGAAACAGAGATTTAGAGTTGTGACGTTAGACGGAAAGATGATCGATCTATCGGGAGCAATGAGTGGTGGTGGTAACTATAGAGCAAGCGGAATGATGAAATCAGAACGGCAAGACGGCGCGAACACTTTCACAGCGGAAGAAGTTCATCGCATTGACGCTGAACTTGTTGAAAGGGAGAAGAACTTTCAGGTGGCAAGCGAAACTCTTCGTGAAATGGAAGAAGCATTGCAGAAGCTGAAAGATAGGGAGCCGGAAATTGAGCTGGACATTTCCAAAAGGGAAATGGATATCGAGTCTCTGCTCCTGGAAATCAAGTCAAGTGAACAAAAACTGGCAAACCTTCGTAAGGAAGATGTGCAGAAAAACTCCTCAAATAATGATTTATGTGTGGCAGAGGCCAATGCGGCGACGCTAAGAAACGAATGCAAAGAACTCAAGGAAGAGATGAGGACCAAGAATTGCGCTTTAAAAGATCTTCAAGAACAAATCATGAAGATAGGTGGTACAGGCCTCCAAATGCAAAACTCAAAAGTTGAGTCTATCACCCAGCATATTGAAATCATACTTGGAAAGCAAAAGACTGACAAGGCTGCCATCCGGAAAGCGGAGAGCGATTTGCGGCGCTTCAAGCGGCAAGACGAAGATCTTACTAGAGATGCTGCCAGTTTTAAGGAAGAGCTTCACGAAATGGAAAGCGCACTTTCTGAGGCCAGTGAACGGCTTTGCGAGCTTGATACAGAGCTTGAAAAACTGAGCGATGAATGTGCAAGTTTGGACGAGGAGTTTAAAGGGATGGAGGAACTATTGGAGCAGAAATCGAATGAAGACAATGGATTCAAAGTTCTAGAAGTTGACATCAATAATCAATTGGAGAAACTTCAGGAAGTAATTGGGGTGGTGCAAAGAGAGCATGCGTCACTTCAGCGCCAGATCGATGCATTAAGGATACGTGATGTCACGACAATACTGGAAAAGCTGGACGAAAATATCCTTCCAGATGACTATATGCAATCAGCACCAGATGTATCAGAAAAATCACGAGGAAGCGAGGTTGGTGGTGGTGATGAAGACATGATGGATGTCGATATGTTGGAGAAAACCGAAGAACAGTCTTCGAATGCGCCTGACGGTGCAGAAGCTCCTACTGGAATGGAAATTGATAGCGGTTGTGATGGGTCGTCCAGCCAATTGATCAAGTTGTCTTTGTCAGAGCTTGAATTACTGGATGTTGAGAGTATTGCACTTGAAATAGACCAGCTCAAAGACTTCATTGATAATGCGCACATCGATATTGAGGTCTTGGACGAGTACGCAAAAAGTCTGGCAGACTTCCGTGCCCGCAAATTAGACCTGAACTCGGCAGTCGATAAAAGGGAGCAGGTACGTCAAGTCTGCGAAGACTTGAAGAAAAAGAGGCTCGACGAATTCATGGATGGCTTTAATGCAATTTCCATGACTTTGAAAGAAATGTATCAAATGATAACTATGGGAGGTAATGCGGAGCTAGAACTTGTTGATAGCTTAGATCCGTTCTCAGAAGGCGTACTTTTCAGTGTTATGCCTCCAAAAAAAAGCTGGAGAAACATATCCAATTTAAGTGGTGGAGAAAAGACGTTGAGCTCTTTAGCACTTGTGTTTGCTCTCCATAAGTACAAACCGACGCCTTTGTATGTTATGGATGAGATTGATGCCGCGCTTGACTTCAGGAACGTATCCATTGTTGCGAACTACATCAAGGAACGTACAAAAAATGCCCAGTTTATCGTGATTTCTCTCCGAAACAATATGTTTGAGCTAGCGCAACAGCTGGTAGGTATTTACAAAAACAGCAACATGACGAAAAGCGTCGCGTTGCAAAACAAAGACTTGATTGACAGGTCTTGAGAGCCAATACATGTAGGTACAACCATTGTATTTATGATTAGGCACTACCAAATATCCTGGTCCACTCCACCTCGCCCAAGTGTGCGAGCTTTTGTAACGGAATGATGATGCCCTGATGAGTCATTCCGGGAAAATGCTTTCTATTAACCCCAAACCACTCTATAGGAGGTGTTGCGTTGCCAAGATCTTTTGTTTTCGGAATCTCTATATGAGGATCTTCCAGCGGAACGTAGGTGTATTTAGCTCCTAAGTCCACATCCCTCAACTTGTCTTCCAAATGTTCGTCCTCAAAAAAGCTTCTTGGTTGCTGGTTGTGTGACCTTCTGAGCGCCAGCGCCCTTACGTGTGTAGCCCACATCTCTCGAAGAAAATTAATGGACCCCAAGTTCCACCGCACGCTGATCTTTCCTCCAAAACTGTTACTGTACAGTAGCTCGACCGTATTTGTGGCCACATCATGCCAAGTTGTCATCCCCACCAGAATGGCGGGAATCACTAAAATTGTCCCACCGTGCGCTTTCGCGGCATGTTCAATATATTCTTTGACCCCGATTTCTGAAGAATCCTTTTCATGTAGTTGACTCTTATAAGTAGAAAGAGCAAATTTGACATTATGGACTTGCCAGTTAAGTTGAGTTTTGAGTTTCTCATACCCCTCAATTTGGGAGCGAGTAACGAGATCAGCAGCTCTGAACGTTAGAACCTCCATATCAAATAAAGTATTCGGGAAAATTTGAGTGTTGATAAAATCTAGTCTTACCTCCAGGTCTGTCCGCAAGAAACTGAGCGAGTCTAGAATCTCACGGCTGCTACTAATGTGCTTTGTATCTCTGGTGTTTGAATCTCCCAAGGTCTCAAAATAAGACTTCTTGTTTTCTTTCCGCATTCTTAGTATTGTGTTGTACACATCCAAGATGTTTGCAGGTGCTAGTGCTGTCGCGAAAATATTTGTACTTCCGCAGTGGAGTGACACCGCGAGAAGATTTTTGAATAATCCTTTGGCCTCCCTTTTGTTGAAGATGATCAGTTTGAAACGTTCAAGACTTGCAATCAGAATTAAATGATAGTCAAAGGATAGTTTGACAGCAAATTCAGCAAGCCCGACGTCAAGAGCTATCAATGGATTTTGAAATTTACCATTGTGAATTGGCCAACATATTTGCGAGATCCAATTGAAATCACGCAACAGCACCGTTCCACCTAGTCTTCCATTCGAAGAAAGGAAGACTCTTTCAAGCTGCAAAGAAAGTCTCTGAGTCCAGTTTCTAAAATGATCAGTGACTGCCCGAAGTGATTCGGTCGATAGGCTGATAACTCCCAGAGACACTCCCAAATCAATTTCGCCTTTGATTTTCGAGATGATCATAACGAAATTCCAAGGGAAGGAGCTGTTGGAAGAGATTTTTCTGTGCTTAGCCGCTAAGGATTTCTCTGGATTCGCGATAAACGATCCTTTATCTTCAGACTCTGGTTGAGAGAGAACTTTACTGTCTACCTTCCAGATATTGAGGAAGACATTCAAATCCTGAAGTTGTTTAAAATTGAAGAAGACGTCGATGTTCGGAACGAGGACAACTCCATACGTGCGTATTAAGTCAGTGTGAGTCAAGATAAAAACAAAGCTCGAGCGGTCGATTTTGATGGATGTACTGATTTCCCTCGAAAAAATGTGTCTGGAAGTCGCCGTGACATTTTTGATGTCAAGCGACAAACTTAAGGGCTCTTGGGTATCCAAATTGTTTGTGAAGATCTTGATCACCAAGTTTTCAAACCCTACATCAGCCTGAACCTTCGCTTTGGGGTCGCAGCTCAGACTGATTAGTTGCTGGTCGATATGAGTCTGAAAGGAAATGTCGAAATCCTTCAGCAAGTTCTTGTAGTTGACGCTTTCTTGCACTTGAGACCTTGGAACGGAAACGGGGCTTGCGTTGAAGCTTTTCATCATACGGCTAGTGTCTCGCGCAATTTCTCCCAAAATAGGAACACAGGTGGGAAATATGGTGTTATGAGACTTCTCGACGTTCACAAAAGACCTAACAACGTGTCGGCGATCTTGGGAAGGGCAAAATCTGTAATCAATCACAACCTCCACTGAAGGACTCTCCATTTGAAAAGAAGGGTCGAGGCCTAAATCTAAGTCTTTTTCCGAATACAATTTGAAGACTCCACCAGCATAGCGTGCTTTGCAGTTTACACTTCCTAGGCGCGAAATACCAGGGAATCGAATCACTTTAGAAGTAGTCGAGATTATCACGTCTTCTGACGCTGATCCGGAAGCGAGATGCTTTTTCTTCAATTCGTCAAAGGCGTGAAGAGACTTGGTTAGTCCATCTGCAACCGAAGTAGAAGTGGACAAAAAGCTCACATCAAGCTGTTCTCCGTTCACTCTCACAAAGAGGTCCTCAGTTGAACCATTATTTTCAAACCAGTAACCAAGTTGCGTGCTTGGTAGGAAACTTCTATTAGGCTTGTTAAGCTCGCTTTCTAATGCGAAGAAGTCGTGAGCTGCATGACCCCTGGCGATTGAAAAGTACGCATCTAAAATGGTCAATTTTCCAAAAGGCCACTCATGAGCAGCAAACAAACGTTGATAACCCCATATGAGACCAGGATGAGTGGCACCCTCCACATCAAACATCCAGCCCAAACAAACGTTGTAAGAAAGGATATGAACTGATTGGAAAGTTTTTGGTAAATTGATAGCCCCAGCGAATACTCCGGTGTCTTCGTTCGTAGCCTGCTTGCTTTGTGCATACTTCGAGGCCAACTTAGAAGATTCGCTGACCAAGACCAACAACCTAGTAAGAGACTGAGGGCAGAATACTAACCTTAAATGAGAGCTCTCAATCTCGAGAGACTTGACAATTTTACCTGATCCCTGAGCTATCTTCACGCTAACACCGAAGTCCACGAGCTTGGACAGCTTTTCAGACAGCGCAGAATCGTTGATCAAAAAGGCAATGCTGGCGACAGAGGCCTTACCTTGTACATGTTCGCTCGGTCCTTTTCCATTCTCAGATGCGTTTTCGTCGCTCGATGCGGCAAAGCACAGCTCGTTCAGCTCGCAAATATAGCTGACTGAGCGTAAGGGAAGAAGTAGCCCAATGTACTTCGCTTTCAACGCAAAAGCCCACTGTCCAGAAAAGAGTTTCGGCTGAGAGTCAGTAGAGGTCTCGGCTTCCTCGTTTATAACGTTCAGTGCTTTGATAGTTTTAAGCATGTCCCCCAAGCTTTTTCTGGCGACATCGAGATCTTCTACCAGAAGGCGCAACAAATTGACAGGCTCACATAGCTTCAACTTGGTAATCTCTGAGTCTATTGATATGGAGCACCTTTTGCTAGATTTGGAATCCCACCCACTTATAGTTGAATCGAATTTGGACTGCGAGAACTTGAAATATTGGTTAGCGCCTGACACAGGTCCAACATCGAAATCTAGTCCCTCAAAGATGAGGTGGAGCAGTCTCTCCGAACGCATGTCCAACAGAAGATTCAAGCCATGTACACGCTTTGAAAACACGAATGGTGAAATAGCGGACATTTCAAAAGACAGGTCTTCGATTTTGACCTCGGCCTTTGATTCTGAAGTATCATATCGTGGAGAGAAGGACTTGCGGGGCTTACCCATTGCTTCTGCGGTTCTTTTAAACCTGGCCTTGGTGGTTTTGTGCAAGTCTTTTGCTGATTTGGCAAATGCAATGTACGAGGCAGACGCAGATGGCAGTTTTATGCGCAGCTTTTGTAATTGCAGATTGACGACTTTAGGCAGAATTTCGCTTTGGAGAGTGAAGAGCGTGCCCAAAGTTCCACTCCTGGAAAACACGTCCAACAGAATTGCATCTCTATGTCGTATACCTAATTCGAACCACGACCAAGATGCTGTGGCAGAGTTCATTTGTGACTCTTCGGATGAAGCAAATGCCAAACTGTTCCCGAAAGACTTGAAGTTGATTTTTTTTGTCCCTGAAAGAAGCTGTAACTCGCAGCGATCAATCAACAATACAGCTTGAAAGATAGCTGGAACTGATTTGCCTTTGTCGTTGGAAATTCCATCACTCTCTTGTGATTTTGAAAGCAAGTCTCCTAGTGTAAGCAGGGCCAGGCTTGATTCACTTACGGAGATTCTGGCCACCTTCACCGACCCAATAAGGTTCTTTTCGCTGACTTTCCCGTCAGATTTGATGGCATAATCTGGGCGATCGTCATCGATTTTTCGACTTTGAGACCGCCGAGTCTCGATGTTTTTCAAAATGATTGTGTCTCCATCCTCATCAATACCGCTTGATAATGTGAAGGACAACACGCCTATTTTTAACCGAACGTCAAAATCACTCAAACTCAATCTAGACAATTTTCTTCCCGTGAACGACTGCTGATAAAAGAAACCATTCTCAAAATCTGAAAACTCCCAGCTTCTCCATTTGGAGAATAATATGAGGAACCTTTCACCAGCATTTTTGGGAGCTTCGAAATGAAACTTCTTGATGTTATCGTAAATTTCTGATATTAAAGGTGATGGCAGGTAGTTTAATATATGGCGTAAGCGTGTGACAATTTTCCAGCTTCGGTCTTCCCGCACATGTTGACTGGGAAGTCGTGTAATGTACGCAGGTTTTGTAATAACAGGTGGATCATGAATAATTTGATACTCCTCACTAGCCCGAGCTATTTGATAGAAGAACTCCTTCTGCGCATTCTTCGTCAAATAGCCGTGATGCATAATTACTTGGGATAGAGCATCAAAATAATGTGTCAGTTTCTGCAAATAGGCACATAGTTGATCGAGTGTTCTAGGGTTTATTGACGTATCGCTTGCATGAGTATTAACGGAAACAAGGCCGTACGTGGACGAAGAAACCCACAATTCAAGGTCTTTGGTGCACGAAAATAAGAGAAATTCGTTCGCAACATGCTGAGATTTACCAGGATTATGCACGATGCCCAACTCAGCGGATTTGAATTTCATATAAGTCGTTTGTTGGCCATCTTCTTCTGTACTAATGCCCCCCTCTCTTTCATTCTGCTGCACATTTTCCATGAAGCTTGTGTTCACAATCAGCTCCTTTACCGAAATTTCGACTTTCTTTGGACATTCAGATTTACGGTACAGTTCACCGAGCACTAATTCGAAGTCGGGGCAAAACAGCTCAAGATTTAGAAGACACTTTTCACCTAGCTTGGTCTTGATAAAGTGCCAAACAATTTCGACTTCCGTGCAGTCAATTAGATGATCAACGAAATTTGAAAATACCTGGTTCATCAAACTTTCTATAAGCACGAAGCATTCTGGATCCAGTTGCAAGGTGACCTTTGGAATATTTGCAATCATACTGTTTTTTTTAGAGGGCTCATCGTATTCTAAGAATGTATTCTCAGAGATCAAAGGAATTCGTGTGTCTTGATGACCCCGCCTTCTAACGAGTGTGGTGCTGATTTTGGAAGAGGAGCTCATGGTCAAGGTCTCGATAGTAGATTCCTCCTCACCATCTAGAAACCCTTCTATAAACTCGTCACAGCTATTTCCCTGCAAAGGCATTGTTAAGGAAGGTATTGAAACCCCCGGTGGAATGCAACCGAGTAGCTCGTTATATGGCTCAGAGTTTTGAATGGAAAACGGCAATAGAAAGGGACAGCGATGAAACGGCGCGTCATTTGCTGCAATATGGGCTTTTTGTTGTCGAGTATGTGTTTGAAAATCTTTAACTTGGGCAAAGTTGGTCACTTTGAAAGATGTGTCAAATAGGGCAACCGGGCATTCTTCATTACCCCCCTCCAGTATTTTTATGGACAAATTAGGTGCCTCGATGTCGGCCCGGCTTGTGTATGAAGCATTTTCTAGATCAACAAAAGTTGCCATCACTTGATCAGCGCGGATTTCTATCGTATGATTGGTAGCAGTGTTCTGTATTTCGACTTCAATCGTCCCAATCACAAATGTTATAGAGGTCAAATCGAGGACGTCAGCAAATTTGTAGTTCATTATATTTTCGAAGTCCTTAAACCCAAATACAAGTTTCTTCATGGCTGCTGCTAATTGTAAAGGAAATAGCAAATCAGAAGAAGTTTTTAACTGACCAACAGTGAAGTCCCACTTACAAACATATGTTTCTTCATTTGGTGGCAGCCCGTACAACCGATGGGCGTGTATCTGTACGTCAGTTATATGACCTTCGGGTTTTTTTTCATCATGCTTGTCTATTCCATGATTGAAATGTGTGTCAAAATCAAACCCAGCTTGTCGCCTTATCTTGACTGGAGAGAAAGAAGTCTGTAGGTCCATATAGTAGTTCAAATCGCGGATGTCAATATTGAGGGAGTCAAACTGAAACGCGAAACAGCTTTCGCAGTCGTAAAGGTAGTGGGGGACAACTAAGCAACCATCATCCACAATGAATGTGAACCAGACGTCTTTCTCATTAATCAGTCTCTTAAAAGAGAATTTCCTCGACGGGGAAGCGTCCCTCGGGAGAGCCTGCGGTGAACCTGAACCTTTTCCACTTCTGGGGTCAATTACGTGCAAAAAATCTTCAACAGCAGCTGAGGCAGTCTTCGTCCCTTTTTCATCCCCTTTTAATTCTTCCATATACTCTTCCGTGGTTTTGAAATGAACAAAATCTCCAAAGTAGTTCATCTTCACACCAATCAGATATCTGACCACAAACCCATAGCACTTCAACGTCGTTTTTCTACAGTGGCAATTGATTAGTATTGTGTCAATATTGTCGACATCCAAGTTGGTGTGAAATAGGTAGGAACCTGCCATCGTGAAATCGTGAGATCTGCCTACTTCCTGATCATTCATGAACTCGTGAAGGGTATTCCACGATGGTGTATTGATGCGAAGACGAAATAACGAAGTTTGCAATTTATAATCGATGTTCGTGCTATTACCAGCAATGCTTGTTTGTGGAACAGTTAAGTCCACTCTAAGATCGTCACCGTGAAATGACAGATAACAATTTTCGTTGAAGTCGACGGGGTTGTTCACGATATTTGCGTCATTAACATTCAAATAAATAGAGTATCCTCTGAACTCCCATTTGATGTTGTAGATAAATGGGCGAAATAATTCGTAAGAGAAGTTTTGACCGGTTCCAAAGTCTGATATGAGATCAGCTAGTAAGCTTACATGATCTTTCAGAATGAAAAGCTGCGCTTGGGTAGAAGTGAGAGCAAAGTTCCATATGGCCATTTGGTTCCACCCCAGCGGGTATCCGATTTCGGCATGAAGATCATTTGTGTCAGCACTGAATAGAATGTCATGGTTAACGCTTGTTCGTAGTTCTGGTTTAACAAGGTGAAGGTCTAAGAAGTTCTCAAATCCTGAAGAGGTTGGACTCATCGCAAAGTCAAACGTTAGTTCGGAGTCTCTCGATAAGACAATCTCAAGCCAACCAAAAGATCTAGAATCGTCTTGAGTTTCCCGATATCGTTTCAAAAAGTCCAAGTCTTTGCTGGGCTCTCTGGTCGGTAACCTCCATATAGTAGAACTCATTATTGTTATTGAAAACTTTGCTCGCATGTAAATTCTTTCCGAGCCAGCTCTTGCGTTTGGGAAGGGCTCGCTGTCCTTCGAAACAATCGGCGAAAACATTCTCTGAATTGGCATCACTTCGTGATGAGCCCAAGGCCCGTAATGTATGGTGGCACCGAACAACTGGATATCTATTGAATAGTCAGGAGGTGACTCGCTCTGATCGACAATACTCTGTGCTTGACTTGTAGACCCTCCTGAAGGTGAGGGTATCCGTGGCGTGACTCCAGGGACATCGAATGAATAGTCAAGAACGAGTTTTTCACACTTCATTATCTTAGTGTACCGCGCATATTGATGTTTCGATACATCGAATTTGAAAGTGTCGTCCCATGCTGCATCATCTGTTTTACGGTACAGTCCGAGGCCTTTCCAGTCCTCCAATGGATTTTGTAGAGTCTGGAAAGCGTGCTGTTTTGCATGGTAGATGTCGTGAAACTTGCCACTTTTGGCTTTCAGTAGAATTTCAATAGACTTGTGCCATAATCTGGTAACCTTGTCTGGCTTCACAAGGTTTTTGAGAGGAGCATCGACGCGGAACCCCAAATTTGGCTTGAGACGAATGCAAAAATTGTCGAAGTCACATCGTGTTTGCAGCTTGTATAAATCAAGTTTAGAATTCGATTTCCCAACTTCAACAATTCCAGCTAGTTTGTCGTAGCTTAGAATCAAGATAGAGGATGTGCTTTTATTCCCTACCACAACGGCACCTCTCTGAACTGCAACCTCTAGAGGCAGAACTTTCAAAAATGAAGGCAGAGAAGCCGAGGATCGAGTAGAGGACTTAAGAGAAGAATCGGAATTGGAGTTTTCGTTGGAATTCTCTGAGATAGAGAACAATGAGGAAGAAGTAGTGCTGTGGAAGGATTTCTGGTCGTCTTCACTGAACGCTTCAAATTGTTTGAAGCGTGCCTGCTCCGATTTGGATAGAGACTTCCATAGCTGGCTAAAAGCCTGTGTTTTGTTGTAAACAAAGTGTTCTAAGCCCTGGCACTCGAGCTTGAAGCGACAGGGCCTTGAGTCTTCTCCAGACACCCCACACTTTTGTCGCTCATACGAAGTCTGTCTAGAGCTAAAAAGCCAGTACCGCCAAGTCAAGCTACCATTAACAAACGATACGGTTTGGTTTTGCGTGATAATGGTGAGATTTTTGAAGAACACACGTCCGCCCAAGAATGATATTTTGAGGGACTGTATCTGTATTTTAACGGAGCAGCGCCTCCATAAGAACCATTCTAGTAAAGTGGTGATGGTAAATCCAAACGCTCTTCCGAAATAGAAAGCTGCCAAAAGAGATATAGACAGGATTAATATCCAATCTATCAGGAATACCCAACTGAAGTCCCGGTTTGAATTGAGCGGCACTTTTTTGAACTCATTTCGCATTCTGAAAACTCGTCCGAAAAATCAGAATAGCGTTAGTATCAAAACCTGTAAGTGCCGCCTCAAGAATCTTGGAATAGTATACTATAGTTTATCTGTTGCTGAATTACAAAAGATCCGGCTCTTCTCATCTCTGCGTTAGCCCGTATATTCTAATGCTAATTACAATTCTTACTAGTCACTATTGACGAAGGAGTTTGGGATAAACGACAGAATGAGCTCCAGTTCGCCCACTGTTAGATCCTTAATACCATCAATTTCCCTGTGCCAAGAGTTTGAAACTATCTGAATACATCCCTGGGTTTTTACAGCCTTTTTTCTGGTCAAAATCGGATAAAAAATGGCGTGCTGACTTTGACATTAGCTATGAGGGTATTCGAGCTAAAATATATCCTCAGACACTACCGGCTGGGAGTTTTGCAATGAGCTTGATCAGATTTTAAGTGCTGAAACGCGTCATGACAAGATCAAAATGTTATGGAGAACAATTGAATTCCAGTACTGTCTTCTTTTAATACCACACCTTCTGTAGTCATAAAGTGCCTTTCGGAAAAATCTCAAATCTCGCGCGTCACTTCCGCTTCATGTAAGTCCAACATGTGTGACTTTTAGATCAAACTAATTTCTATTGTACAAATACATCAAGCTCTATGATTTTCAGCTCGTCTGGCTGCCACTGATTCTCACTCGATTTCGATACAAATTAGATCGAAGCTGTACCTTAGCCGTGCTTGAGGCATCTGCAGTTGCGAGTTACCAGGCAAAATTAAGCTGTATTAATTTACTCAACTATTCGGAGCCAGAGAATGAGATGATTCGATCGCAGTTCACCGATTTCATGCAAGCGACAAGATTAGTTACGAAATATGCTATATAATAAACTGACGCTAACTCTTCTAGATGATAAAAACAAATAGCCCAAGGAACACCAGGTTTTACCGATTTTCCAGACATATGTCCTGTCTAAGGTACCATTCGGTGAAATCAGAGGCACCAAGCAATGTCAACAGCTTTACAGCTTTTCAACTTTCACCTTTACTGTTCACCGCTGTCGCTGCTCATTTATATAGTGTATTGAAAAACAATTAATCTTGACGGATGGGCAAGCTCAAAGAACATAGATCAACCTTTTACCATTCTATCTATTGGTTTCTAGGCTCTGATTGTATCGATAAATTATGGCATTGATCGAGAGACTCCAAAGACGAGCTTCAAATTGGGGTTTGTTGCCCAGGCTCTTGCAATTGCTGCCGAGACTAGCCATTTTAAGTGGTATCATCGGATTGGGATGGCTGGCTATATATCTTCCGTTGGAAGGTGAATTCAGACATACATATATCTCTGAGAATGCTTTGATGCCATCACAGGCCTACAGTTACTTCAGGGAAACAGAATGGAACTTGTTGCGTGGCTATAGGACTCAAATTAAACAACTTGCAGATGAGAGTTCTGACCAGAGAAATGCGGTTTTGGGCTCGTGGCTGGAGGAAGTTGGCGTTAAAACAGCGATCTACCGCGACCCTGTGAACGGGGACTCGTTGTATGGGGTTTGGCACGCGCCTCGAGGCGATGGCACCGAGGCAATGGTGCTGGCCGCTCCGTGGTACAACGGAGACGGCGATTTCAACGTTGGAGGTACGGCCCTGGCCACTGCCTTGACGAAATTCTTCTCACGTTGGCCGTTGTGGTCCAAAAACATCATTGTGGTCTTCAGTGAGGACACTCGGGCTAGTCTTCGGTCGTGGTGCCATGCCTATCACAACAATCTGGACCTTACTGGTGGATCTATTGAATCCGCTATTGTTTTGGATTACCCAGGTAGCAACGATTACTTCAAATACATGGAAATCTACTACGCGGGTCTCAATGGCGAGCTCCCAAACTTGGATCTCGTTAACGTCGCTGTTCACGTCACAGAGCATGAAGGCATGAGAGTGTCGCTCAATGGAATACCGGAATCAGAGGTCGACGAGGAGGATTACTATGGGAGGATGCGAAAGATGCTACTGGGCGTTCGGAAAATGGCGCTTGCCGGTGTTCAAACTTGCTACGGTAACGAGGCCTTCAGTGGATATAGAATCCAGTCGGTTGTTCTAAGGGCACGTGGAACGGATGGCCCCTTCGATATAACCACCTTTGGGAGAGTACCTGAAGCCGTGATCCGGTCGGTCAACAATCTTCTCGAAAAGTTCCACCAGTCTTTCTTCTTTTACCTGCTTCTAGCTCCTCGTTACTTCGTGTCGATCGCCAGCTACTTGCCAGCAGCAATTGCATTTTCGGCGGCCTTCATTCTTGCAGGTCTCGATAATTATCTTAAGAGCAGCATGAAAACTTCTGCTGGCCCCAATGCATCTTCCTACACTCTGGCGACCATCTTTGTATTTGTTGCGTCGCTCGTGGCTTCGTTTGGCGTGTTCCAAATCTTCGTGCAGTGGGTCAAGCCTGCAATACTAGTGTTGAGCTCTGTTATGGCCTCATTGGCTCCAATTTACCCTCTGAAAAACCGCGTTTCTTCCGCGCATGCTCAACAGCTCAAGGCCATTGCATTTTTTTACCTCAGTGTGGTTTTAACGTCACTTCTAGTAGTGAATTTCGCTTTGGCCTTTGGAATCGGTCTTCTAGCTTTCCCAATGATATTTTTGAAAACCACAACAAACCCAAGGCTTGCAATAAAGAATAGTATCTTACTGACTGCTACCAACCCGTTTATTTGCAGCTGTCTTTTTGCCAATGTCTTTGAATCACAGTTACCCAATCTCGAACTAATTCCCCGGTTAGTTTCCGCCTGGAAAGAGCTTGGATGTTGGACGTGGGTTTTAATTTCCATTGGGTGGCTCCCTTCATGGCTAACGATGGCCATCTCGAGCTTACCGACCACTGACACCGTCTCTACAACTCAGAAGCCCACAACTCTCGATACAGACGTCAAGAAACTCCAGTGATCTCGTGACCTTTATATTACGAAATTCGGAAGATTTTTAGACCCATGACGACGAACTTAGAAGAGATGAGCTCGAAAGACGTTGATAACGTACATCTCCCGAAGGATAGCTTACTTGGCCTCCAAAATTTTGAAGCGGCTACTTGTCGATTGAAGGTTTATGGATAAATTGAGTGGGAAAACGTCCGATGCTCGGAAAAAATCGAAAAGCGTTGAATTCCATATGCCCATGGTGGGCGAGTCGCTGGGAAAACATCAAAAGCGACTCGACTCTGATTTGCTAGCACAGGGGAAACTGGATTTTATAAAATACCTGGAGTCTGTCAAGGGTCAATTGACACAGGAGCAATTCGAATTGATACGGTCTTCTGCATTGGATCAGAATAATCTCATGGCGACTAGTGACAAGCTGCATGCCAAAAATATTGAAACCAAGTTTCTTCTGCTAAAAAGAAGATTTTACCTAGATGCAGACAATGTGGTACGCGACCATAAAAATAGTGACAAAACTGTTTGTGAGCCGGACATGATATTTGATCTGGTAATCTGCGGGCATGTAAAAAACGAACACATGCACTGGCGTCGTCTACACCGTTTTTTGAAAATGCAGTACGCAAATGTCACTCGGGACTTTACGCAGTTGTGTTTGCGGTATTGTTCGAAATGCAACACAGACAGAAAAATGCTGCCTCAGCAGAAATATCGTCACTACAACATTTACAGCGGGCTGCTGCCACTGGAAAGAGTCCATGTTGAAATAATTACACCATTCTCAACCCCCATTGAGAGCATGTATTCCCACCTTTTGTACTTCAGAGATTACCACTCGCGATTTGTATGGATGCAACCTTTAAAAGGCGATGACGTTGGAAATTTGAACGATGCGCTCTTGACTTTCCTCCTCTCTTTACCTCGAATCCCCATGTTTATTGAGACCAGCACTCTAAACAGACAGGGCCTTTTTGAGATATGCGAGAGGATTGCTAGCGAATATGCTCTCACAATTGGTCTAGGAATGAGTCGTTCGCGAACTTTTCAGAGAAACGGTATTACAAGACTGCGACAGCAGCTCAGAGAACACTCAGACCAATGTCTGGCGGCTTGGCCCATGTGCTTGAAACGTGGCGCAACTGACCAAAATCTAGCCTACAACACCAGAGTGCTAGCGATACCGGGAAATTTACTGCATAACACAATAAGCGATTACGCACGTCAATTCGAACTAAAGCGTGAGAAGCTAATCGAAAATCTCTCCGCAAGTAACGTTGTGGAATTGAGATACAATGGGCGACGGCAAGGCTTACTGTATCTTGAAGACGAAACGACTGCTTTCCAGATGCCCGACGAGGAATACATTTCGACTGAGTACGAAACAGATGGGAAATGTGACACCCCAGTAGACCAAATAACGCCAATAAACTCTTCGCCGCAACCGCACAAGCTCACTGAGCCCTTATCGTCGGTATTGAAGACTCGTATGTTACTGTCGGACAAACCTGACCTGAATCGAAGTCCAGAAATCAGCAGGCAACTCTCATTTGGCCGTGGGGTACAAGAAGAGAATACCGAAACGTTGTGTAATGCATCGATTGAACTGTAAAACTAGATATGATACTTAGATGAGCTCGCATGAACTGGACTCTTAAATTTAATCGCGGTGAGCATCCCAGAATTTCTCGTGGAATTCCTTCCAAGATTCGATCCATTCGGTGCCAGGAGCCAGGAAAGTCGTTCTCACATGGAATGTTCCAGGAACTTGATGAAACCCGCTGCCAGGAACCGTGCATATACCAGTTGCCTCCAGTAATTCCTTGCAGTAGTATTCGTCAGGGGTCATGCCCAAAGATCCGGCTTTAGCAATAGCCTTTTTCGATAGGTCGATCTTGGGGAATAAGTACATGGCGCCCAGTGGCTTTTGACAAGAGACGCCCTCTAGACTCTGGAATGCACGGTGCAAAAGGGACGCTCTTTCCTTGAGAGCTTCATGAATTGCGTTACGTTCTTTTTGATCTTGCTCATAAGATGGTTCGCCTTCCTTGGGTGGAGAAACCATCAAATCAACCAATGCTTGTCCCGTCACGACTGGACACAGTGAAATAGAAGCTAGCTTTAAAATGACTTGCTTCACTTCCTCTGAAAAGCCGACAAGCTCCATGTAACCACCTCTTTGGCCACATTCACCAGAAACACCCTTAGAAATGGAATGCAAAGAAACCAGTTGCACGTTGTCGTAAGCACCAGGCTGAGTCTTTTGTAGAACTCTGAGTACCTTTTTCATGGAAATAAACTCAACATCGTCGAAGCCATTCTCTTGGTAGACTTCATCTGCGATGACGACCAAACCGTATCTGGCGGCGACTTCGAAGATAGCCTCAATATTTTCCGCAGACAAAATAGCACCGGTAGGGTTTCCTGGGTTGATAACGACGATGGTGGTGGGGGTCACACCTCTTTTGATAGCATCCTTGACCACGTCTTCGATCTGTTGTGGGTCTGTAGACCACCCTGATTCCTCGTCAAGGAAGTATGGCAAAGCACTGGCATTGTTCAAAGCAAGTGTGGCTGTGTATAGAGGGTATTGAGGAATTGGAATCAGACACCCGTTTTCAGGGCTCGAGCAAAAGAGCTGTAGGATGTGAGCCACGGAGCCTGAGGCACCTGAGGTGAGAAAAATGTCGTTGGCGTTGGCAGGTTCTCCGTCACGGTTGGCGATGAAGTCGGCGACGGTTTCACGGTACCCAGCCACACCTTGCGACTGCGAGTAAGCACCCACGGAGCCGCCGGCGTCTTTCAGCAGTCTCTGAGCACGCTCGATGACATCGGGCTTGTATAATTTCGACAATTCTGCTGGGGATAACTGGTTCAAGATGTCTGGGTTCTGTATGAGGGAGATTACCTGACGGTAGAACGAGAGTGGTTTCTGGTCCAATTGCTGTGGGTTGCCGATATTGGCGTTGATGATTTTGGAAAAGGGCAGAGACTCTGGATTTTCCGCTAGTTGCGTTTTTAGTGCCTCAGCAAGCAGTGGGATCCGGCCTCTGACTGCGTACTTGGCGTTGAGCACACACTTGTTGATGTCGTCTACAGTTTTGGAGCGTCCTTTGGGTGGAACGGGTTGCTTAAACAGCGCTGCTTGGACGCTGAATTGGCGTAAAACGCTGCATCCGGTGCTTCTTTTGAGCGCAGTGCGCTGGACGTTTCTTACAATTGCAATTCTTCCCAGCATCGGTGGATTTAGTAGTAGCGTGTTGCTTAGTTCTTCCTGCTAGCGTGTGCGTGTGCGTGTGCGTGCTTATTATGCGACCAGGATACAAATTCACACCAGTCTAAATTGTTCAATTTTCCAGCTTTTCCCTGCTGAAATTTTTAACACTGTTGTTCCGTGAGTCACACGCAAGCAAATTTGGATTGAATAATGTTTGTCTTGACGATCTTGACCGTCTTAACTGTCATTTAGCCAGCTTTTCCCACCCGCTTCTTATATACAAATTTCGTCCTTTTTCGTTGTCGATACCAGCGGCAAATTGTAGCTTCGAAACCGCCAACACACGCTCAGATAAGCGCGACTCGTAAAGTTTCCCTTCAGGGAAGATACTCGGTGTGTAGCGGAAGGGTGCGTGGGTCGGACTTCAATGTGCGCGCGGCGTGAGTAATGGTTTTTGGCCTGATGTCACGTGATGCGGGTGGATATGATTCTCCGCAGAAAATGTGGTATGGGTGGAGGTGGAGATACAAGTCCGCAAATTATATGGCCCGTGGTGAGTGGATGTGGGACGACTAGAAGCGAGAAGGTGGAAGAGTGGGTGTTTCAGAGTGGGTGTTTCAGAGCGGGTGTAGCATCGCACTCAAGAAAACTTGTCTCACCAGTGTTCGTCATTTGTAGTTTCTTGGCCTTCGTTTAGTCGCCGTAAACATACTCCTGGGCAATTTGTTCTTGCGATTCACGCTTTACCGTCCGAACGAGCTCTCAAACACGTCGCAACTGTGTCTCTGCGAGTATGAACGCTCTATCTGGGGAGTCACAGCTCTCTAGGGGGGTCACACCCTCTGAGTTGTAGTTCTCAATCGTTCGCTGAGTACTCTAACGACTTTCTTGTGGTGGGCACACATTTACTCCAGGTCCCCAGTGAATGGCTTTCTAGGCACAATCGTCGACACTCCTAGTCCTTCTTAGCCACAGCTCGATTCCACTAGAGACACAACACTCAAATCTGGCTTCCTTTGTGTTTGTAGACAAGTAAACAGGTGGACAAAAAGCTGGGCGGCAAATCTTAAATCTGACATCTATATACCCTGCCGTGCGTGGTGATTTGTGGTAAAATATATGGACTTCGCCATAAGGAAGCATTTTTAAGTTATTAAAAGGCGCGTACTATAGCAGGAATAAGGTTTCTGTTTACATGTAACGGATGAGTTTATCCATATTTAGTGTGCGTGACCACTTGTAATCGTTTCGTACCTCGTCCTTTTTTTCTGTCATCTAGTCAAACAAATGACAGCTTTTTCGACCTAAATATTTAAAACACACATCTCAACGCCCACATACCGTCATCGTACGTGTAGACACAATAAATCACAATAGGCGCTCAACACGTATCTCACAAGCTTATTTGCAATTGTCCAGGCAGCTCAGAAACCTCTTGCCTACCATATCACTTTGTACTATTATGCCACTTCAATTTCCCACAAGGCTATTGTTACGACATGAGTTCGGGCCCTGATGCGATGTCTCTAACGTTTCTTCTCAAGGCTAAACAGCTTCTCCACTGCTATATCGGGGTTCCAATTTCAACGCTTGGCGTCGCGTCGCGTGGGGAAAAAGTGATCTGAAAGTTTCCGTGAGAACCTTCCCACGGTTAACCAACGCTTCAACGTCAACACCATAACTCCCTCATATCCACAACTTACACATCGAATACCAGCTATGTATTCAACGCCAAATCAAGGTGCCAAATTTGCTGCCGCTCCCGCCGCCTCGTGGATCTTCTTCAAAATACTCATCTATCACGAATACTCAACTTTTCACTAGTATTACGTATTCATGGCCGTGCCAAGCTCATCTCCTCAAACAAGTCTGCTCCAAAATAGCAATTGCTGCCCAATGGACCCCTACGAAACCCTGGGAATAGCATCTGACGCTTCCCAGGATGATATCAGGAAAGCATACAGACGTTTGGCCCTCCAGCACCACCCGGACAAGGTTGCAGACAAATCCTTGAGAGAAGAAAGCGAGATCAAGTTTAAAGAAATAGCAGCCGCATACGAGCTTCTGAGCGATGAAGAAAAGAGATCCAACTACGACAAATACGGGGAGACCAACGGGTTTTCAAACGGATTCGGTGATGACTTCAACGATGGAGATTTCGCCAGTTTTTTCGGTAATTTCTCAAACAATCGCTACAATGACGAATACAACGAAGGCTCACCCAATGGTGCTTCGCACACGCCCGACGCTCACGTACCCTTGCGTCTATCAATGCAGGACTTATACAACGGCAGAACTGTGAGATTCCAGTCTAAGCGTAATATCGTTTGCCATCGGTGCGACGCAACAGGTATACGGAAGAAGGCTCGACATGCCCCAGTTTGCCCTCAATGCGATGGATCCGGTATAAAACAGAGACTCAGAAGAGTGAGTCCCGGATTTGTAACGCGCGAAATGGTGCAATGTGATCACTGTAAGGGCTTGGGTAAAATTGTCCGGCCTGAAGACCTGTGCAAGAAGTGTCACGGGAAGAGGGTCGTTTCAGAGACAAAAGAACTAAAGGTTTACATTCCCCGTGGAACTCGTCATAACGACAGGATTGTTCTGAAGGGTGAAGCAGACGAAGAGCCAGGCAAGCTTCCAGGCGATCTGGTGTTCGATATAGATGAAAACAGCACTACGAGCAGTCTTGAGCGCCGGGGACTCGATTTGCATACCAAGATGACAATCTCTTTATCTGACGCGCTTTGCGGTTTCGAAAAAGACGTTTGCGTTCATTTGGATGAGCGTGTAATAAGGCTGAAAATACCGACGGGCCAAGTATTGAGACCAGGAAATTTCATACGCCTTCCAAATGAAGGCTGGCCTTTGAACAGCCAAGGAAGCAATTTCGGAGACATGTACGTGCAGCTCGATATTCAATTTCCTCCGGACAACTGGTTTAGTGAGAGATGTGACCTCCAAACGTTGCGAAATTTGTTGCCACAGGCTGGTTCAGCTTCGAGCGCTTCAAGTTCCCAAAAAATAACAGATCACGTCAATACAGAGTATCCTTCCAGTTTTACGGTGGTAAAAAGCTCAGAAGAGCTGCCTACGTATTTGTCGGAAGAGCCTGAGCCGGAGGGCCCACAATGCGCACAACAGTAATGATCGTTATGAATTGAATGACTAAAAGCTACTCTGCAAATAGCTTCCCTAAATATTAAACCCTGTACATACAAATGATTTGAAAAATCATATTAATCCTTAGAGGCCGAAAACCTATTCCAAAAGCGATTCAAGCTCCTTCACAGTAAGCCCCTCACCACCGTATGAGGGTTCCAGTTCGAATGCGTCATTATCATCTTCCTCATGCTGTGGTGGTAAGTGAGACCGCAGCAAGCTATCTCCAGGCCCATGGTACCGTTTGCGCTCATGATTGCTTCCGTCTTCTTCGTCATCATCGCTGAAGTCAAACTTCAGGTCCAAAAGTTGAGAAGCCTTGGACTTGGCGTTTGCATCGTGAGTGAGGCCGTCATCTTGATTTTCTTCGTCATCGCTAAAGTGCAGCCGCAGCGTGGGAGCCGCAGGTGATCTTAGTTTCTCGATATCTTCATTTGTAAAAGGTGTGTACGCACTGGGAACATAGGGCAGAGGCTCCGGTCTTGGCGGTATGGTCTCGACTTCACGATCGCTGTCGCTGTCGCTATCGCTGTGTGAGTGTTTGTAAGCCGGGCCAAGTTCCGGTTTGGCACCCAGAAGACCTTGCAGACCCTGGAGACCACCATTGGTGCCTTGAAGACGGCCCAAAAGACCCGATTGAGCCTCCATATCGTCCTTCTCTGTATCTTGTTCGTCCTGCTCTCGGCCTAACAAGTTCTCATCACGTGCCGCCAATTTCTCACGAAGTTTTGCAGCTATCGAGTTCGGATCCAGCTCGTCGATGCCATCGGACTCGTCACTGTGCTCCTTAGGTCCCTCCGCCACCGAATCTCGCAAAACGAGACTCTTGAGACGAGGTGCACCCGTTGTATGTAAGGACGGCACGTGAGCAAGCCGTGCCGGTCCGATGAAGCTACCAGCGTGGTTTACGGCTGGTCTGACCCTCTTTTTATGCAGAGGTTCCTTCTGCGTCAGAAAACTCGCCGTTCGATTATTATCCTTGCTTGCCAGTGGTCTACGAGAGGCTTCACGACGCTGGGGTGACTTTTTGACATCTTTTAAAAAGGAGGGTTGAGACCGGCTCAACAGGTGCGTTGGCGTCACAGGCGCGTTGGAAGACGACCAAACGGTGTTTTCTTTGTCTTCACGCGTGACCATGGCACAATTCAGCCTGTACGAATCCTGTGGAGAGCGATGTGTGCTTATGTTTGTAGGCCGAGAGTTGACCTTGAAGTTTGTTATGATTTATGTTTATGGTTTGTGTTTTGCCTAAAATTTCGTGAAGAATGCCCTCAGGGTAAATTAAGATCATAAATATTCTCACGTGATCCAAGCTCATCGTTATAAGTACAGTGTGTTTTGACTGAATGAGTAAGTGAGTGGGATTAGAAGTAGAAGGAATTTTTACTGTCTTAAACCTGGGCGGTCTTGTCGCGATTCAATCGCTTTTTATGACTTCGGATTTTTTACGTTTCTGTTGTTTTTATCACTTTGTACCTTTCTGTCGTGAGCGGCAGAGACGTGTCAGTTGGAACAGCAGGTCTCAAACTACATTTCTCTGAGCATCAAGCACATCTTAAGTCATTTATATGTGATCTGCAATCCTCTATTGTGTGTCTTCTTTAAATATGACCATTTCCTGACGTACTCGCGTTAGCTCTTCAAAACAGTACTCATCTCATCTCAATATATATCGAGCTCGATCTATGAAAGTCAATTGGCCGGCGAGAAACCAAAACGCGATGAGCAAACCATGCCTCGACGTGCTCAAAGCATTGCCTCTGGATGTACGAACGCTTAAAACTCTTTCTGAAAAACTACGAAGCTCTTCAAAACCAGAAGAGCTCGTTTCACTTCTACGTCAATATGAGCTAACAAGAGACACCAAAACCCTGGAAAACATCATCCATCGCACGTACTTCCAGTGGTCCAGTACGCTGCCGCCACACCTTCACTCTTTTCGCAAACACTACGTGGAGTTACGAAACCACTGGCCCTACGAGTGCCACCGAAGCATTTTGTTCATGGAGTCCCCAAAGTCACAGTCGCTGCGATTCATGTGGAGCAACGACAGCCCAAGAGCTCTAACGACAATGCACTACAACCTTCATTCCTGGGCTTCACATGAAGAACAACAACCAGCGCCGTTAGCCAATCTGCAGCGGACTGTTCTCTTCCACGAACTGTTCCAACACTACATGTTCCTCAAGAGAAACCCTCATCTCTGCAAAAACCGCAAGACGCTTGCCATCCCAATCGTAGAAATCCCAATGAAACCTCTGGGACAGACGATCCCGGACTCAAGAATACGAAACCTGTTCAAACGGAAGGTGGCATACGTGTGGAAGGTGCTGGCGCAAGAAAACCCACCACTGTCGACCTCGCAAGAACAGTGTCTTGCCGAAATAGTCGATTCGCCCCTGCCGTCGTCAACGGTCGAAAGTCGGAGGTCTTTGCAGAGGATGTATCGACGCGCTTGTAAGGGAGCCTATGTGATACGGCCCCATTCAGATCTCGGGCTGGATATCGCGGAAAGTAGTCTTCTCAAAAAACTGTAGTGGTTGAAAAGTAGCCAACAGCTCTCTACGCCTCCTCAACATCCGAATGCTGTGAAGATGAATAATTTCGAATTTTTAATGGCTCATTCTTAAGCAATGTGGGCAGGTTTTCAAGAAAACAAGCAAATAACACAAGAGATTGCTGGTCATCAAAACCAGAGCTATAAAATAGGAGGACCGCAACAGCTCCAGGACTTCGATTGTCTTGACTTTTCACTCTTTGAGAACGACATTGACACTGACTCTTCATACCGACACGTGACGCGATCGAATGATATACAAATTAAGCATCTTCTAAAATTTTCCAAGCTAGAACTCGATGTCTAAAGTCAACTGTAAAAGCGAAGCTTCTTGCCCTGACGATCCGCTGTTGGCACTCACGGAGATGTCTTTCATTACCAGAAATATACTAGGATTTTCAAGCAGGCGAAATCTGACGACGTTGACGTCTTTCTCGCCTCTCAAAACAGGCCTCATTTGTCCATCCGTGTTGCAGGTCAAAAACACAACAGGTGTGGAAACGGCTGGATCTGCTTTCCCCGGTTATCTCAGCATGTTATTTGGCTTAACACAGAGAAGATGGAAAAGTAGGGGTAACACTTACCAGCCGAGCACGCTGAAAAGGAAAAGAAGAGTAGGATTCCTCGCCAGAGCCAAGAGTAAGCAGGGCTACAAGATCTTAAAAAAAAGGCGTGAGAAGGGCAGATGGTATTTGACGCATTAGCCAGGAAGACAAACGGTTGGATTTTTGAACAATCAGTACATTTCGATCGCTGACAGTAATCCCACGAAATAGCATACATCTGTAAATAGATACACACTAGAGCAAAATGCAAATATATCAGCTCAGTCGTCGAATTTAGCGGTTTTTTGAGAAGGTCAGAGATTGCCAAATGTTTTGTTCAGTACTGCGTATTACGCTTAAAATATTGTTTATGTACAAGGAGCACCAAGAGGCTCGGAAATCATGCAAAATCGATCACAATTCCAGGACCGTGGGTGGACGTGAGAATGGTTTGACCCAGAAGACTGGGTTTTTTGGTCTTCTGGTTGGCCAATGCGGCCTTGACTCCTCTTTGGGCTGCTACTAGATTTTCCAGCATCTGCTTGTCCGTGAATGAACACTTTCCTACAGCGATGCTGACGCTGTTGCCCCGTTGTCTGAAGGGCAAAGATGCCATGCTGCCCTCCAGCAGCGAATCCAAATTGTCCGAAACAGTGCCTTTTTTGGCGGCTGGAAGAAGGCCGCGAGGGCCAAGAATACGACCCAGCTGCGAGGCTAGCATGGGAGCAATGTCAGGCGTGGCAAAACTTTTGTCAAAATCGATAGCCACTTCCCCTGTTTTTATTTGTTCTACCAGTTCCGCACCACCAACAACGTGACAATTGTATTTGTCGCGTGCCAGCTTCACTTGTTGCTCGTCGTTTGTGAATACAGCCACCTTGACCTCTTTCAGAGCGTTTGGAAACGACAAGTTCCCGCTCAAAGGAGGAGCTCCTCTTTCGGATATCACAGCTGTCGTTACGCTCAGCGTTTGTTGTGAGTGTGGCTGGCCAACTTCAGCGGCCCTCAGGAATCGAAGCGCCTTGTTCACAGACATATACAACGGATGGTCACTTGCAGGCCGTCTTGCAGCGGCCTTACGCTGTGCTAGTCTTCTAATTTCTCGTTTCTTCAACTGATCTTTGCTTAATTTCGACACTGTTGCATTGGCCGTTTCTTCAGCGGAAAGACGAGGAAAGGCATGTAAAAACCTCGCCTGATTCCTGCTCACCAGTACATTGGCTTTAGATCCGAGCCTGGATAGCATTTGGAAGCGTAATGTGACCTATCTGAGCGTGCTTTTGTTCGAGATAACTCATCTTTATGCTTAAATATAAGCTGTGAATTTTACAGTTTTTTTCTGATACAGGATATGTGAATTTGATCGATGTACTCGTGGTAGATTTGAAGAGGAAAGTACTCGAAACTCTGGTAGCTAGCTAATCCAGAGACTCAATGACGCTCACAAATCGGAAGCGCGAGGTGTCAACAGTTTGATGCTATCTTATTTTATAGTATATAAGAAACTCGGCTAGCTTCTCTTTTTAGTCTTTTTCAACTTATTGACAAAATTGATCCACTTGGTGGGGATGCCTTGATCGTTGAGTAGATCAATAACAGCCGGCCCATGAGGGCCCTGTACGGTGACTTCGAGTGTCTTAGGTGAAGTAGTCTTCTCCCCAATAGTGGTAGAGCCACTGCATTTCTTCCGAAGCATTTCAGCCAATTCTTGTTCATCGATTTGGAATTTCTCGAAATTAGAGACCTTAGTGACGACCTTGCGTCCAATCTTCATCTCAGTGACAATCTCTACGGTTGGAATACTACCCTTCAAAGGGTTCTTGAATAGCGGGGAACCGTCTGGCTTGAGGATGACGAAATGCTCTGAAAAGTTGCCCTTCAAAATGGCAGCTATTATTTGAGCCCTGGGAATGGTGCGGACGGCGTTCTCTTTCTTGGCAGCACGGTTGACCGCGGTGTATAGCAGGTCATCAAGTCGAACAGCAGCTCTGTTGTCCGGGCTCATGAGTTTTTTTTCGGCGATGTAGCGGTCCACACCGGTCTTGAGTTCTTGTTGAGTGAAGAGATGGTCTATTTTCAAGTCCAGAGCTCTCAAAAAGTCTTTGGCACTGCTAATGGGCTTATACAGTGTCACAGCAGTCATCATAGGACGCTGGGGCTGATCCTGCGATTGCTTAGCTCCCGAATGGCTGCCACCAGCCATGCCACCCACACGGTAGGGAACAAAATTGGCGAGCTCTGGTTTGGACGCTTTGGTAGCAACGCCTACTACAACCAAATCATCACCTTTGCCCTTCAGTTTCAAGAAGCCCTCTTTTTCAAAATGCTTGAGAAACTTAGCAGTTTTGCGCCAGGATGTCTTTTTGATGTTGACCTGCTGAAGGTCCACAGAAGGGAGGTTGCGCAAGATGTGGTTGGACACGAAATTCGAGCTGGTTACCGGGACGCTGAAGTTGGCATCTTGAGTCAGCGTATAGTACAGCGATCTCGTGAAAAAGTGGTCCACGTCCTCGGTATGTAACTGTGCCAGTTGCTCGGCCACGTTTTCAAGATCTGTGGCGAGATCTGCGCCCGGGGTGGGATCTGTTTTCGGCGTTTCTGACTGCACTTGTTCCTCGGTGTCTAGTTCGGATTCCGACACCTGCTCGTCACTGTCAGACTCCACAGAGACTCCTGGTTCTGGAGGCTCGACTTTGGCTTTAAAGGTTTTGCATAGACCGTCGTCAAAAACATGGACGATCTCGACTGCAACCCCAGTTTCGCCAATGACGCGCGAGTATGCTGGAAGGTCGAGCTGAACGATTCCTACGGCCTTCACGATATTCGGGGAGCGCGTGCTGGCTACTCCTACCATCTGATACCTGACACATCTGGGATCGAAAGGCGGCACTGTGCCAGGTAGCATCAGATTGGCGCCCTTGACGACTTTCTCCTCCACCACGTACTCATGAGCCAGTACAACAGGCAATAAGTCGGGCCAGTTCCAGCATGTGTACACCGTGGGGAACAGCAGATCGATGAACTTCTCTTTAAACCATATGGGAACGTTGGCCTCGTCTGTGAACACAGTGCCAGCAGTAAATTGGGTCTTGAACGTAGTTTGTTTGACCACCTGGGAGGGGAACACATAGCTGGTTAACCCGGTTTGCGTTTGGCACTGGCTCTGAATCCTCTTGCGCTCTGAGTTCTTCAGGTTGCTTAGAGCCTTGATTTGTGGATCTTTCTTGAACATTGGATGGCACAATAGAGTTAGAAGAGTCTGGTTGGTTAACCTGAGGTGCTTTTTCTGCGTGTAGATTGAATTCGTTTAGTTAATTCCTGTGAATTGAGTCCAGCAGTCTTGTTGCTGGCTTACTCTTTAAGAGTCTCGTTGGTTCAAAAGTCTTGTCGTTGAAGCTTTAACGAGCAATGTTCACCAATTCAAAGGTATAATCGCTTTTGAGCTTTCAAGTTCAGTTCAGTTACTCAAGTTTGGTGCTACAGATTGAACAAATTTCACGTAGCGCTGAACTGATGGTGAGAAATCAAAGAGAGATATTCAACGTTATTAGCGTTCTAATAACTTAATGAAGATATAAATTGTTGTTCCATTGATGGGATAAGTTGTTGAAGTATTTTGATCTAGTAAGTTGTGATAACTTCGTGAAGCTGTGAGTACATAACTCGAGTTTCAAATTGAAGATCAGGGCGGTAAAGTTGATAGACACAGCTATTTGGTCCATTGAGAAGCTTGTAGGTTGAAAGCTATCCTGTCGAAGAGTGCACAGAGGGAACTTTAACTGCCAGTGGAGCTTGCAAGAAAGGCTTGTCAGAAGGTATATAATCAGCTTACGATGAACACAAACACAGGCGAGACAGACGTATTACGTTTGAAAGCCATAACACAAGTTGGTTCGCATCAGCAAGTCGTTTGGAACCCACAATTGGCGCTATATCTGGTGGTTGCTGGGAAAAGTATCGCAGTCAACAGAGCAACCGACGATCAGCGAGTGGGAGCGGTGGTGCTGAAAGATCCCGAGCAGGCCATAGGATACCAATGGGAGCAGAAAACTGGCAAAAAGTTTGCAGTCTTCTACCGCAATGGTCTGGTGCGGGTCTACGATTGCACGACGACGGGCGGGCATCTGCAAAAAGTGGTCAACATGGCAGACGCGCAAAAAGGGCTAGAAACGAAAAACGCGAATCTGAGCTCCGCTGTGTGGGCTACAGTCGTTTGGGAGCAGTTTTCCGAGACGTACACCGCGCTGGATGTTGATCTTACCGCTTTGATGCCAGAAATGGTTCGCATTGTGCGGGACTCCAAACAGATCACCATGGCGCCTCTGGAGTGCTGGGGCCCCGACATGCGTCACCCAGAGGCCTCACTGATCCTAGCACACAGTGAGGACGACCACAATTACCTACTTACGATCGACGGTCTCGTCAGTGTGCGTTTTAGTAGTAAGATTGCCCATATGTGCAAGATTTTGCCGCCCAGCTACAAAGGAGGCCCGTTCGTAGGCGTGGCGCGCGATGGATCGCTAGAACACGTTTGTGTTTCGTTCACAAAGGCCCCGCTGATGCGCGAACTAATCAACAGCTCGGGCCAAGTCCGTATGTTGTGCGATTATCTCGTGGAGAACATCGCAGTGTGCAGATCGGATCTGATAGATCCCTACATCCAGTTTTTGACCCGCATCTCTGATGCTTACAGCGGCCAAGACCTGTACACACAGCTGTGCGAAATCTTAGTTTCTGGCTGCGTGGATCCAGCTTTGGAAGACTGGCTGTGTAACAGCATTGGCGACAAGAATTTCAAGCGTTGGAAACAACTGTCGACTCGCATGTACCGGGATCTCAGCAACGTTCTGACCTTGGCTATAGTGCCAGCCTGTGAGCGCTTGATTCTGGAGTGCGAAAAGCTGCAAGGTATCCATAAAAGCATAAAACTACACAAAATGAAGGATAAGTGCGAGTTTGAGACAGCGAGCTGGGCCAGCCCAAAGCTCGACACACTACTGCATGTGTGCCAGGAGATACTCCAAAGTACGCTGCGGTGGATCTCGGATTTGAATCTCGAGGCCGCACTACACACGCTTTTCGCAGATTGGTTTTTCGACGTGGTGATGGAATGCGTAGATGAAGACTACAAAATACCGGCAACCCACGAAACACGCAGCGCCCTACGACTTGAACAATACCTGGCAGCGTGCTGGAGGAACCAGTCGGCTACAGCGGGGGTCCTGCCACTTGAGACGCTGGTAAGCGACCAGCTGGTCACGTGCGCAGCCAATGTCGACGAGCTGTATACCAAACCCTGGATTTCGAAGCTTATAGAGGTATCTGTGGCAGCACCAACGATACCAAACGTGCATGTGTGGGATGCGGTTGTCGATGATACCGGCACTGTTTTCACGGCGAGCCAGTCTGCGACAGATCGCCCAAGTACTATCAGAATCACCGAACACGGGCGTGCCACGCACAAAGCGTCCACACAAGCGTGGGATCTGGAAACTGGCACGCAGATAAACACCACCACCACCACCAAAACTACTGGCGATTCCAGTTTGTCGCATCCTGAGTTTGGCGGCGTGCGCGTGCGCGTGCGCGATGCGGCGTTCGTCACGTGCCCACAATCTGTCGCCATCTCAGCCGCACTCGTCGTTTTGCACGGCAACAGCGACAACGACAACGCTGCGCTCACCACGCTCCAAGTGCGTCCGTCCACGTTGCTCGCGGGAAATTACACGCTGACTGGGTTGCAACAGCAACTGCCGCGAGCTTTAGCACCATCCGGATCCAGACGTCGTCTCCATGCCTGTTCGTCGAGTTCGCTGCTTTCGGTCCACGATTCTACGGTGATGGCAGTCTACGAAATGTCATGTGACCAAGTTTAATGTGGTGGGATAGCGTGCTGTCACCGCTAAAGGCATGCCTTTGTACGTGCCACACCCACATATCTGAGCCGGCTTTGGCTCAACGATAGTGTCTTTAGGCAGATGTGGTGGTGGTGTTCGTTATTTTTGTTGTGGTGGTGGTTGAAGCTTATGAATCAAGTTACGCTGATGGCGTTTGCGAACGAAAGGAAGCACAAACGAGCACTATATATGGGGCCCCGGTTGACAGACAATTTGGGATGAAATTTGGGTTTGGTTTCGTTTTGCTTAGTTCTCGCCCCAGGATATCTGATTTTTCTCGAGCTGCTTTGGCTAATACACTATAAGCATTATTACTATACACAACATACACAGCCAGTGTCTACCCGAGAGAAGTTGGGAAAAGGAGATCACGTGCACCACTATTATTCAACATAAATGTCAGATCTGGATGCTCTAGAGGCCGAGTTCGGGCGTGGGAAAGAGGAGGAAACGCGCACCACGGCTGCACGCGCAGACGCCGAAAGTTTCGAGCTCGAAGACGGCGCCATAAAGCCTAAAAAAACCGACAAAGATGGGAAAAATAGAGGCTACAATAATTACAACAATCACAACAATTACGGCAGCTACGGCCATCCCGGCCTGGACAATATCACACAAATTTCAGCATACGAAGAACCAACGGTGGGCCTTGCAGACTGGTTCAATGCTAAACTAAAACCGTACCTGTCGTCAGGTCACGTGGCAACGTATCTGCGCAGTCTGTTCCCAGTCCTAGGGTGGATCCACCACTATAATCTGCGCTGGTTATACCAAGACGTGGTGGCCGGAATCACAGTCGGATGCGTGCTGGTCCCGCAATCGATGTCATATGCCCAAATTGCAACGCTGCCACCACAGTTCGGGCTGTACTCGTCGTTCGTCGGTGCGTTCATCTACTCGTTCTTCGCTACCAGTAAAGACGTGTGCATCGGGCCTGTCGCCGTGATGTCGCTGCAGACGGCGAAGGTCGTCAGTGCTGTATTGGCAAAACTACCGGATGACTCGGGCATTACGGGCCCTGTGATTGCCACGGCGCTGGCGCTGCTTTGTGGGATCATTTCCACCGGTTTGGGTCTGCTCAGACTTGGGTTTTTGGTCGAATTAATTTCGACGACAGCAGTTGGCGGGTTTATGACCGGTTCGGCCGTCAACATCATCGCAGGCCAGGTGCCAGCGCTAATGGGCTACAATAAAAAGGTTAACACACGCACAAGCACTTACAAAGTGATTATTTCGACGCTCAAGCATCTGCCGGACACCAAGTTGGACGCCGCTTTTGGGCTCGTGCCGTTGATCATCCTGTACGCGTGGAAGTGGATCTGCAACTCTGGCGGGCCCAGACTGGTAGAGCGCTACTGTCGGCGTCAGCGGACTGCTAAGGCGTGGGGAGGTTTCTTCTTTTACGCTCAAGCACTTCGGAACGCTGTAGTGATTATTGTTTGCACCGCGATCGCTTGGGGCATCAGTCACAAGCGCATGAAGAACCCACCCATCTCGCTCCTGGGCAAGGTACCTTCTGGTCTGAAAGACGTGGGTGTGATGGAGTTGCCAGACGGACTACTGGCCAAGATCGCGCCAGAATTGCCTGCTTCTGTAATTGTGCTGCTACTGGAGCATATCGCCATTTCCAAAGCCTTTGGCAGAGTCAACGACTACCGTGTGGTGCCAGACCAGGAGCTGATTGCCATTGGAGCCACCAATTTGATCGGAACATTTTTCAACGCGTACCCAGCCACAGGCTCGTTTTCGAGATCTGCTTTGAAGGCAAAATGCAATGTCAGCACCCCATTGTCCGGTCTCTTTTCGGGCGCCTGCGTTTTGGTGGCAATCTACTGTTTAACGTCTGCATTCAGATTTATTCCTAAAGCCACATTGAGTGCGGTCATCATCCATGCCGTCAGCGACTTGGTTGCGTCATACCAAACCACTTGGAGCTTTTATCGCACAAACCCGCTTGATTTCATCTGCTTCTTGGTGACCGTTTTGATCTCTGTGTTCAGCAGCATCGAAAATGGTATTTACTTTGCCATGTGTTGGTCCGTTGCCGCTTTGTTGTGGAAAGTGGCTTTCCCCAGCGGCCAGTTCTTGGGTCGCGTGGAAGTCGCAGAAGTGGTCAACCCCGTTGTTTCCAGCGACGAGAACAGCAGTTTGAATGATGGGCGTCTAGATAGTCTTTCGGGCTCATATTCGGATGTTTGGCCCGACGCTAAGCTCCAAGTGAAAACCGATATCGAAGCGGCAGGGTCGGGGTCTTTGACGGACGAATTAGCCAAGCACAATACCACGCTACGCAACAGTTCTAATCCTGGTGTCAAATTTCACACCAAATGGGTTCCCTTTGACGCATACAACAGAGAGACCAACCCCGGCGTCAGCGTTCTACCTCCTCCTCCAGGAGTCATTGTGTTCCGCCCTAGCGAGAGTTGGACCTACGTGAACTGCTCGCGCCAGTACAATGTGATCTTTGACGAAGTAACCCGCGTAACGCGCCGAGGTCGGGTCGCGGTTGCCCGCTCGAACAGCAACAAGAAGTGGAACGACCCTGGCGAGTGGACGCCCCCACGGTTTCTGCAAAAGTTCCTAAAAAACAAGAAACGGAACACTGCTGATGGCTATGACGACAATGGTGCGTTTGTTGAGAGAGACGAGCGTCCAGTGTTACGTGTTATAGCCATGGACTGGTCGCAAGTGGCTCAAGCTGATTCTACGGGTCTGCAGACGCTGGTAGATCTGCGTAAAGCCGTGAGCAAGTACGCAGACCGCCAGGTGGAGTTCCATTTCAGCGGTATCATCTCGCCATGGATCAAGCGTGGGCTAATAAACGTCGGATTTGGCACGGTAAACGCTGAATACGCCGACGAGTCGTTGCTAGCGGGCCATTCCAGCTACCATGTGTTGAGAGCTGCTCCAACTACAGCAACCGATCCAATTGACCAAGACCAGACCGACCAAAATGCCATTTTCACCGCAACAGGCACCAACACTCCATTTTTCCATCTGGAGATGCCAGATTTTTCGCAGTGGGACTTGGCAGAAGCGTCTTTGTGAGGAATTGTCAGAAATACTTCGCAGTCGTCCCAAGTAAATAGATTTTAGCTCAAAGTAAGCGTTTAATACTAATCATTACAATGTATTCTATCGTACCCGTCGTTCTTAACCAAATATTGAAATCTACATCACTACACAAACTCTTAATAAGGTTTTATATGTCAACGGTGACAGAAAGTCTCCAAGAGCCACAACGGCAACCGAGTCAAATGTCTTCAACTGACGTATTTTAGAGTCGAGTGATGGTGTTGAAGTTCGATTTCGCCGGATTTATAGTTCACCGTCTGTTTTGTTATCATAAATTTATACCGATAGTTGATATATAAGATAACAACGTTTTTACATTTAGATATCTTGGGAAAAGAATACAACAACAGTTGAGATTTCTTCGAGACCAGTCGTTCAAGCTTTGTTTGTAGATAGTATATATAGTGAACCAATACTACAGGAACTACAAGCTCTTTTGTTTGGTAGTATTCCCGCAAGATTTGACCCATTCTCTAAAGAATAACAGCTAGATCACGATCGCCATCATGACAGGTTCAATAGCACCGCTGTCGGAAGATATAGCACAAACTAATGATGCGTTTACTGGGCTAGCCGGAGTCGCTGCTTCTGAAATCGAAGAGCAGCAACAGGATCTCAAAAGATCGCCATATGGGTCTACAACGTTTACTTCGAAACCTAGCGACAGCAATGTCCAGGTCGTCACGAATGTGGTTCTAGAGGAGAACGAAAATGAGAACACGGCACTGAGAGGTGGCCAGAAGCCAGTACTTTCAAACGCCAAAATTCAGATTATCATGACATCCATGTATCTTGGCATTTTTTTGGCTGCGCTCGACGGAACAATCGTTTCGACGCTGATGACACACATTGCATCCGAATTTCAGGCTTTGCCAAACATCTCGTGGATCGCCACAGGTTATTTACTGTCTACGACATGTTTTCAACCGCTTTACGGCAAAATATCTGACGTGCTCGGTCGTAAACCATTGCTTGTCTTCAGCAACGTCGTTTTCGGCCTGGGATGTCTACTTTGTGGATTTAGCAACAACTTGTGGTTTTTGGTTGCCGGTCGTTTCGTGACCGGAATTGGGGGCGGCGGTTTAACTTCTTTGGCCAGCATCACGACTAGTGACATTGTGCCTTTGCGTGATCGTGCGTTGTATCAGGGAATGTGTAACGTGTTCTTCGCCATAGGCACTAGTTGTGGTGGACTGGTGGGAGGTTTTTTTGGCGAACACGGTGGCGGATGGAGATTAGCCTTTTTGATTCAAATCCCAGTCTGCATAATAAGTTGCGTGCTGATAATCACATACCTGGATCTACCACCATTGCGTTCGTATGAGGCCAGCTGCCAATCCTACGCGCAAAGGTTGAAAAATTTAGACTGGCAGGGAGCTGTAACGTTGGTTACATTTCTGTTTCTCTTCATGCTCACCTCGTCTCTAGGTGGCAAAGAGATTCCATACGACTCGAAACTTTTCTCCCTGATGTGCGTATTCACAGTCATCTCCGGAGCTTTGTTTGTTATTGTCGAAATTTATATGACGTCCGATCCTATTTTGCCTGTGTCGTTTTTGAAAGATAGATCAGTGTCTGCTGGCAGCTTGGCAAATTTCTTCTGCGTCATGGGTATGATCACAGTCAACTTTTACTTGCCCGTTTACTGGTCAAGTGTGCTGAACATAGGTCCGACCGATGTAGGCAAAAGAGCGTTACCAAGTTTTTTCAGCATTGCTTTTGGGTCCTTGGGTGCTGGCTATTACATGAAACGTACGGGAAAGTACTATTGTTTTACACTAGGAGGTTGTTTGATAGCAGTTTTGGGCCTCATCCAGGTAAACTCTGTGAGCGCTTCGATGCCGGTATGGCAACAATACATGTTGCAAGTGGTTCCTGGGCTCGGGGTGTCTATTTTAATCACAGTAACATTACTGGCTATGATTGCTGCGGTGCCACATGAGCACCAAGCTGCGACTACCTCAATCTCCTATGCTTTCAGATCGACAGGATGTACACTGGGTGTTTCCATTGGCGCAGCTATATTCCGCAACACTTTGAACACTTTATTGAATTCCAAAGTGTTGAAGCTAGTCTCTGAACAACATTCTGAAGCGGAGTTGAGAAGCATTATTTCCAATGCAGCCCACTCTGCAGAATGGATTCATAAAGGTGCTCCAGTATTTGTGCGCGCCACTTTGGTAGAATGTTACCACTTTGCATGCAGAGCTACTTTCAAGTTTTGTCTATTTGTGACTATACTGGCCACGATTAGTTGCTGCTTCATTAAGGAGCACAGGTTGCACACGTCTATTGAACGGGACTAGAGAGCGAGATTGAGACATAGCGGTGGTTTGCAGTCTGCACAGCTTGTGTAGAACTACGTTCGTCGACAACAGGTTGATTTAGTAGATTTATAGAAAACGGTAAGGTGAACGTTAAGAACAGTGAACAATGAGACGAAGCTGAGAACAGCGATAGAAGTCGTAGCACAATTGGGTAATTGAGAGTGTAGCGAAGTATGGCTGAAAAACAGCTGAGAATAATCAAAGGTCTTTTGGTTCAATAGTTGATAAGGTCAGCGATTAATTGAAATTTAAATAGAGAGGATTTCATAAAGGCGTTAGCTGTTATTTGTGAAGAAAACGATGGCTACGATCGAACAACGAGTTCACGATTTCCATGACAGTAACTCGTCGCCTTTTCGATTTTTTAGATGGCTAAAATTAGCGCGGCAATTCGCATTTTTGATCAAGATAGGTTGCATTTATAGTTGGGATGTTTTAACTGTTGATAATCATCTTGATTATTCCTAATTGATCGGCAGTGCTCGCTGTTGCTGCCCATAGCGCAACAGTTCTACTACTTCTCCTTTTATTCTTTGCAAGTCGCTGTCACAGTCGCTGCAGATCGTCCAGTAGTGCACGAAACTGGGCCCTATGTACGAGTATCAAATAGCTTAAGCTGTGAGCTATCGATCGAGTGTGTAGCGACGATGCGTTCGAACCAGGGTTGTTTTAAGGCATTTTAGGCAGGGAATTAGTTTGGTTTCCACCGTCTCCCTCTCTCTCTTGTTTTTTAAACTCTGGTCTGTCACCCATGTTTCGACAGGCGAGTAGAACTTTTGAACGTCATGACCCATTAGAATATCGTCAACAGTATCTCTGCTACATTCTTGCGATAACTCTCCAAGCTTCTACTCAAGAATACGCGTTGAAATTATATGTCTTGAATTATATTTGACATTTGTGATCACTAGCGTGGACCTTCATGCTTCGTTCAGCGTACAAAGCTTTGGAGCGTTCAGAAACTGTTCAAAAAATAGGACACAATGCTCTGTTCAGTACCATCAATACTCATAACACATTAATGTAGCTCTGGAAATCCATTTTATAATTTCTACCTCTTTTTCTGAAGCCCAAGGACCAGACATAAATCTGTCATTTAAGTCGAGAGTCAAGACTACTACGAATAATATGCCCATACTCTGGTAAGATTTTACAATGCGGTAGATTTGTTTAGCGGATTGGTGGAGGTTTCTGTTGTTTAATTGGACTTATAGTCACCCTGAATGCTCTCAATGATCGCTGACGCTCTCGATTGTTCAATCGAGCTTAAAAACACAGGTCTGGGTTCGAGAAAGAGTAAAATTTACTAGCAGCCCGATTTCGAAGATGAGCACCGTTGCAAGTAGCTTTGATGAACTCGGCTGTCGGCGAATGGGCAAATATGAACTGTTGTTAAAAAATGCTACACATACGAGGCTAACTAGAGCTATTACAACTCATAGACTAGGCTCCGTTTTATGGGTGAGATAAAGCACGAGACGGGTTTTATGAATGGAATCTAGTTCTTCTCACTCGCTAAACAAGCTCAAGAGCGACACAAGGGCTAGATGACGCCCGCGTGGGGAATTCCATCAACATCGATAATCAAGTGAGAGTGTCTTGCTTCATATACGTAAACATCATTTTGGTGTCAGGAAAAAGATCTAGCGACAGAAAAATAAAAGAAGGATTTGCCCAGCTTTAGTAGTGTGGCAGCGGCTGGCAACAGTCGAGAAGGCCATTTGTTTCATTTACGCTGCAAATAAGAGTGGTTTGTGTCTTTGTCTATATTATTTCCCATTTGTTTCCAGTCTGACAGGTTTTCAGAGTTGAAATGTAAAAAGATGCCTGGACACTTGCTCGACAAACGAGCTGCGCTCGCAACGCTACCAGGTTCTCAAACAAACTAGATATTCGAAGGAAGTTAGAACAGTAAAGAGAGGGCTGATGGTAGAGTGTGGTTGGTATAAACTGGAGTACGCAGTATCATGAGAGAGCCTGTCAGTGAGACCTAAATTTGAGTGTAACAGAAGCCACTTTCTATGAATCCAGCGCGTGATAAATTTACGATTAGAGAATGGAGTGTGGCAGTCTATTTGAGAATTCGGTAAAACTGACGCAAACTAACCATACCACTGTGTATTACAATGTCGTCGTGTGGGTTGCCTCAACTTTCTGTCTCTCTTATAATAGAGACCAACGGTATAATTTGTGTTTGAGGTGCTTTGATACTGTGGCCGAGTATGGATCCCACTCCCAGCTTAGCAAGCGATCTGCTGAACTTTTTTGAGAGACCAGGCCGAATAAAAATTGCGAAGCTTGATCCCGCTGTGATGGTCAGATGTCTAGCTAAAAAGCGAAATTGAATGGGCAATTTTGCATTTCAAGTTTCACATGTTACTGCAGGTCGTGTGCCTATAGGACTGGACTCATCCCATAAACTCTCACTATTCTTGTCATTTTTCCTTCTCGCTTGCGAATTCTGTTTTATTTACTGACGCCGAGAGCACGTGATCCGGACGACACCATAAAGCGACTTACAACAGCCCGCCTGTGAAATCGTAATTCGCCGAGGAAAGTGGGCTATGACGTCTCCTTACACTGCCCAGAGTGCAAGTGTGCCGGAACAGTTGCTGATGCTTATAATTCCATAGTCACATGACCAACGACACACCCATTAACGACACACCCGTCAAAAATGATATCAGTGATATCGTGAACCAAAAGGAGGCGTACCCACTACCACTAGTATTAGCACTCTACAAACAACACAGAGATCTCCCATCAATGAGCATACTCAACCGAAACAAATACCTTGTATAGTGTACATCCTTGCTCACACACTCTTGTCCCTGTCCCTGTCCTGTCCTCATAGGAGCGACAGCCACAACAGAAAAATAAACACGACCAGGTAGGTCGTCTCAGCGTCTGCTATGCTTAAGTAATCAAATACACCTCTCACGTGTCCATGAATAGTAATAAGCTTACATAATCAATTACCGTACACAATGTCACTTTCTTACCTAATCTGCTATTCTTCACTCACGTGCCCGGAAAAACTCTTTTTCTCCCTCTTCAAAGTTTTTCCAGCGGTCGGACTTTTTCCCCTCTTATTGTTCCGACCGTGCATATCACACCACTCGCCATGATTTATCGGCTCACCTTGATATCCCACAAGAAGAAACACCAACTTCCACACACCACAAGCCGTTTGTTCCCCTGTTCATCTGAATCACTCCACTTCTTCTCTTCACAAACGTAACTATAGTCGTCCCATAGCAGTCGGTGTCAAAATCAAACATAACGCCATTTTTGAGTCTTGTATACCCCGGAATAATGCTTGGAGGTCGGTGTATATAAAGGACCATAGTAGTGGTCTTAGTTGGACCAGAGTTTTTGAGCAGCTCACTTAAACCATCAAGTAATCAACACTACACAACTTCTAATATTACTCTCTCATCCATCGCCATGCTATCCTCGCAAATTCTAAGAAACTCAGCTGCAACCGTTGGCCGCTCTTTGGGCGCTGCCGCGCCCAAGAGCGCCAGCAGAATTCTATTGAGAGCGTCGCCAAAGAGAATCGGCCAGTCGTGGGTCGCCATCGAAACTAGAAGATTGGTGCCCGCTGTGCTGGGATGGACCGCTTTTATCACCAGTATGTTGGGATGGCCCTTTGCCGTGAGAGCATTCATGCTTCCTCAAAAATTGGACTAGATGGGCCTACCCCTCCCTTAATATAGTCTGTATTTGTGTGCAAAGCACTGTTTATTTAGATATTCAATTGCAACGATTTAATGAAGAGAATAAAATATTTGTGAGGTAGGTAGTAGTAGTAGTAGTAGTAGTAGTAGTAGTAGTAGTAGTAGTAGTAGTAGTAGTAGTAGTAGTAGTAGTGGTTGAATAACAATTTCTCTATGTTGGCCGCGCCTTGGGCCCCCAGTTGCGCTCCGGATTCTCCTGGAACCGCACGATCTTCAGTTTGCGCAGGTTCTCGACCCGAGCGCTCTCGTCGTTGGGCGCAAAGCTCAGTTTCTCGTTGTTATCGCCATCACGACCAATCCTAGCATTCGTCAAGATCTTGTAGCCGAACGAGTTCGCATTCATCTTCTCCAAATTGCACAGCTTGTTATCCTCGCAGTAACGCTTCATTACGTACCAAATGGCGTCCCAGGGCGCATCGGTCTTCAGCGACGACGGCTGCGCGTGTGTGAGAGAGCTGGCATACCCTAGAGACCCAAGACCAGCCACCACTGTCTTTAGACTGGGCACTTGGAACTTCAAAATCGACGAAACTCGGTTGGGCGTAAAGTAGAACGGCGTGTCTAGTTCATTCTGTGCCAGCGTCAACATCCCCTCGATCCGCTTCCGGGTCTTGTAAACCTCGTCTGTGTGTTCCTCGCGGTTGATCCGCAACACTTCTTGGATAAACTCTTTGTTGTGCAGCGGGCCTGCGTACATGGGGCCCGTCAAATGGTGTGCTCCTCCGCAGTGCGGACATCTTTGGCTCACAGGCGGTCCCTGCGCCAGCGAGTACTTCACGAACTTGTTGCCCTTTTTGGTTTCGCGTTCGCTCTGGCGACCCATACGCTGGTTGTGGTACGCACCACACCCGCTGCACATGTATGTGATCATGGTGTTGTTTTGCAGGTTTTTGACCTCGAGTGGGTTCGTTCTCACCTTCACAAACACCCGCACGTAGAAGTCGATGCTCAGCGACAAAACGGGCTCGATGCTCTTGCGGTACTTGGCCGCACTCTGGCCCAAAAGATTCAGCACCAATCGAAGCGCACTTTCGTGCGTCGCATCGTGCCCGGCCATGTTCACACCGCCGTATAGCGCAAAACACTTCTCAGGGTACCCGTTCCCCGCCAACACCGACAAATCTGTACAAGTGACCAACATCAGCCCGTCGTCCTCGATGTTCTGCAATGCAGCGTCCACGAACGGCGTCACCGTGCCGTAAGGGTCCAGATCTATGACGTGGTACCGCTTATGCTGTGCCTTGTTGCGGTACATCAGCACATTGGCGTCGTCAATGTTGGGTTTCACCAGATGTCCCACTCCGTTGTGGTCCACGTTTCTTTGAATCGCTTCCACTGCTGCAGGAAGCAGATCATTGGCCACTATTTCCTTCACATGTGGAATTTCGTGCGCGTATCTGATGGCACGAAGCCCCGTGGCCGACAGGGCCTCTAGAATCCGAATGTAAGACCTCGGTTGTTGCTGGTGCTTGACAGTTTCTTCACTTCCATCGCTGAGCTTACGTTTCTTGGAGCTTTCCTGCGACCGTCCTTCGGATGTGCGTTTTTTGTTTTGTTTTCTAGCCCGGGCCTGCTCCTGCTTGGGCTGACCATACAAGTTGTCCCACGCCTTGATACAAGTGACGCTCAGATCTCTGTTGAACTGCTGGATCGGATTGTAGAAAACCGTCTCTTTCTCGGGGAACAAGATGTGTCCTTTGCCCTCAGTTACCACATTAAATTTCTCGGCGCTGGGCTTACTAGCAGGACTCAAGAATCGGTTCCTGACCCGATTGATAGCTGCTTTTATCATCGTTGAATTATTTCAGCGATGAGCTTGATGCGATGCGATGAGATGAGTAGATATAAAGTCTTGGAAAATTTTCAATCAACTACTATCTACAACAACATCAAAAGATGATGATGGAACGACCAAAAGAGGGCCAATTGTGTCTTCTACGTGGAGTTTACGCCTACAAAAGTGTTTCTGTCGTTCTTGTCGTGGTTGAAGCGTCAAAATGATGCCAGTTTCGGCCAAAAATGGGCCGAAGACGCTTCTCAAATGTAGATCTTGAAGAATAGCTAGCACCGGATATGTTGTGCTTTGAGGTTTATCTTGGACTATAAAACAGCGTCTTAACGATCGAGTTGAATTTGAAAGACGGAATAAGGGATCTTTTACATACCGGTGAGGGCTATTTTGACGTCTTGATAGTTCAGTATTATAGTAATTTATCAGTATAGAGCTTTTTGGCATGTAAGCCAGAAGAGCGTCTCATTTTTGCGTGCGTGTTCAGACTTGCCGAGTGCGATACTACGCTCACAATTGACTTTCTTCTGGCGCTCCTTCAGTATGTGTCAGAATGTTCTCTTTTGTTTATGACCAGAAAGCGTGTTGGTCGAATAATAGTGGTAAATATTGAATCTTTGGGTTAAAGGCTTCAAGGCTTACTGACAAGCTAAAAAAATGCCTCCAAAGGGTCCCAAAATACCTGCGTCTTCGCACGCTAAAGAGCAACAAAACGTCTCGATAGAAGACCTGCTTTTCCCCAGAAGTACAATCGTAAATTTGGCCAAAGATACGGCCCTGGTAGGTGCAGATGCTAATGCTGCAAACGAAGAAGAACAGAAAAAGGTAATCTTGTCAAAAGATGCGGTCACAGCGCTCCAGCGCGCGGCCACGGTCTTTGTGAACTATTTGATGCTAGTTTCTCGCGAAGGTGCGACTTCTCAGATTCGGAAAAGCTGCAACGTCGACGATGTGCTGGCAGCTCTGGACTATTGTGGGCTCGAGGGTCTCAAAGCCGTCGTGCGAGCTAGACTTGACGAGTACAGCAGAGCTCTCGAGCTGCGGAAACTGAAAAAACAGCAAGAAACCGGGAGTGTGCCGGAAGCAGGCCCGGAAGCAGATGAACCAGAAACTCAGGAGGACGTGGAGATATCTGAACCCATAGATACTTTCGCCAAAAAGCCCAGACTGGAAGGATGAAGAAAGCCGATCTTGCGCAAGGAAGCAATCTCGCAACATAGCCTAGCCTAGCCCTTTTTACGCAAAGAAATCAAGAGACTAAACACTACCCTACATATAGAAACATTTTGTGTTTGAGCCAAAGTTGTTTGTTTCAGCAAGATACATTTGTAACTTCGTGCGCCTTGAACCGTTATCGCACTCAACAGATTAGCAGCTACTTGCGCTCCACGTAGTGCAGCCTCTGCTGAGAATATAACCACCCGATTGCCCTTTCTCTTTATCTTCAAACTACACATAATGCACCGCAAGAAAAACAGTGGTCCCGACCAATGCAGTCACAGCGGTGATTGCAGAGCACATCTTGACGTTTTGCCACCACATTTTGGTCTTGATTCGTACTGCTTTGCGCTTGAAGTTGTAACTCGACTGGTTCAGCTTCGAGGTCCGGTCTACCAGCAGCGACACACGTTCCTGTCGCTGCAGAAATTTGTCTATATTGTCGTTCATGAGCTGAATAATTTCCTGCATGTCTTGCTCAGTTGCCTCTGCGGTTGAAGAGTCGTGGTAAGACAGCAGCTCCTCGTGGAAATTCTGGACAATGGCACGGACGTGAGAATCCAGCTCCTGGTCCGATTCGTTCGTCATCGACTTCAACTCCGTCAGTATGCGTAATGGCAAAATCTTGGGCACGTTCACGGGTGAGAAGCAAACATAAACCATGTTGCCAGCCTCCGTGCCATAGTAACACTCGAATCCGTCCAACAGTGCACTGGACAATTTCGTCACTTTGTTGCCCTCGAGAGGAACCACTTTGGGTATAACCAATTCATCTACAAGTTTCCGAAACACTTTCGGCGTGGCAGTTAATCCGACTTTGCCCAAAGATCCATATCCATTTGATGAGTTGTCATAAAAACTGGCTATTACTCTATTGTCTCGTAAAGCCTCCACGTAAGTCACTGAATTGAGCGTTAGTGAATGAAAATTATGCCATTGAAAAGCTGAAAGCTAGAACTTCATTGGCGTGGCCAGACATACCGTTAAATTGTTTCATTTTCATGCCTTTTTGGCTATTGAATGTTTAAGGATGTCCGTATAGGATGGTTGACTGCCATATACGCTCATTCATGGCTATATTGTCCGTGTATGTAAAGATATCCAAGTCACGTGCTAAAAACAAATCATCTATTTTCCAAGTATACGGATCCAAAGGCAGGTGGTCAAGCTGGTTATAATTCAGCAGCTTCGAGCGGTTGGTTTTAAAGCTCAAATTGGGCGATTTTAGGGTGATTTTTGGATGACTTTGGCGCTATTGAAATATTCCAGTTTTGGCATTCGAAATGAGGATGAAAAAGCGGGGCGTTTCGCTTCAAAGAAAAGTGTAGAGAGAGTTTTAAAGTGAGCAGAGAGTACTACAGCTTCCAAAATGACAGCGTCTGATGCCATTCGTCAGGTTCGTAGGATTATCGATGATAGTCATTATCTACGTAATGAACTCTCGCGAAACATCGGGGGCCTTTTACTGTTCTTGAAGCGTTTCCACGAGTTATGTACGCATCAATATATGGTGTAAGAACTAGTTGACAGTCTATTAATTAGTTTGGTGTATTTTACAGCTTGTTTAAATTATATATTTATATTCGAAATGTTTATGTGACACACGGCAATTGGTCAGTTTTGAACGCCTTCAAATGGAGGCAGCCATCGTTGAGAGCTGCACTTCCACACTTGGTTCTTCTCAGTGTATACAAATCTTCGCGGGTGGTTCCGTGGCCATGCTGTATTTTGATCAACCAGAAAATGACAGTGATCTACAAAGTGACATGGTCAATAAATTGAATCATAGTGACACTTGGGACATGGACATAGATACAGACCCACAAACTTAAGGTTCGGGGCCACCTAAAGATTGGCATTCTCAGTGAATTTGCGTCGAGTCGAAATTACCGAGATGTTTTGAAGTCGGCTTTTATTCGTAAACAAATCGATAGAAAAGACATATTTCGAACCGGCGCGCGCAGCGTTAAAAGACCCCATCAACTCAAGCAGAAACAATTTCGAACGCCCAAGGCTTTCGTCAAAACAATAGTAGATCTTCTTCCGGAGACGATACATGTTCTCAAAATACATGGTGTGTTGGTAAAGACATGTCACGTGATACATCGTCGTCATCTAAGCACTCTGCTTTGCCTAAGGACAACGCGCTTGCGATACGTCTCGTAGCTCAGTTCCCTAGCTTCGAGTCGACTAGAACAATCCCTACCATCACCGGTCAAGCTTTTCGTTATGTCTGGAAATATCTTCACCACCTCCGTGGCAGTCAACTACCTACCTATTAGAATATTATTATACCTGTAATACGAGCATCTACGGAAAAAAAGTGCTAAGGAACTATTTGAGGAACCTGCACTGTGGTCAATGCGTCGTGAGGCCACTCAAAATATCCCTTTTCAATTAACTCTTTCACGGTCATCGCTCTCGTGCCCGTCTCTTTGAAATATGCAAGATACCCTTCCTTCAAAGGCTTTATAGAGCTTCTGAGCTTTATCTGGTCGCCCGTCCACTCGACCCCGAAGTAACCACCATTGCCAGCGCGACGAATTTCACTGTTGAGTCTTTGAGAGTACTGGACGTCCATGGGAAAATTCAAATCATGGTATTTCCCGTTATTGCCATTGTTCTCGACAAACCAGTTGTCGTAGTATTTCATCACCTCTAGGGACGGCAGCTCAATGCGTCCACTCCATACTCTCGCAAGCCACGCTCCCTGAGTCTCGCTCAGACGTGTGGGAAGCACATATTTGGGCAAGCCTAGGATGCCCATTGTGGGCAAATGGTACGGTACGATATGATTGTACAGATTGTGTAAACGGGTTCCATCTGTTATAAGTCCACTTAAGATAGAGTCTCCATGAGACTCTACCTCCGAAGGTTTCGGCAGAAACGGCAGCGATTTCAAATAGCCTGTACAGTAAATTACTTTTTCGACATTCTCGATTGTGGTACCGTTTACCAACTCAATGCGTTTGTTTTGTCTGTCAAAACTTGAGATGTCGGGCACTTCGCAGATGTGAGAGTCATACCCAGATGGTAGTGCAGATTCTGATCTCTTGGACTTGTAGATAGGCCTTTTTAAGTGTGTCGCTAGTTCGAACGCCAGATCCGAGCCCGAGGCGCTGTTGCCAACGATAACAATGGCACCGTCGATGTTTTCAAAATCCTCGGGGCAGTCAAAGTCCTTGGCGTGCATGACCGAGCTCGGAAATTCTTGATGCCACTCTTTGAGGCCGGGACGATTGGGCACGAACGGCAGATCGTAGAACCCTGTGGCAATGGCTACTGCGTCAAACTGTTCCGTTTGGGAGTGACCCGTGAGCAAATCTGTCGTTGAAACGGCATATGTCTGAGTTGAGTCATTGTAGCGCAGTTTGACCACTTCGCGATTGAACTGCACCAGATTTTCGATATCTTTTGAGTACTTGACCACGTAGTCCCACACTTGGTTTCGCAGCGGGAACAACGGCGCGTTTGACGGAAACGGCTCGTTGTCGTATTCCATTAGATATTTAGGCACATTGGTGTCCAAGTACTTGTAAACGGGAGTCTGGAAAACCGGGCCGTGTTGATGATGCAGATGCGCCTGATTGCGTGCGTGAGGTCTTTCACACGGAATTTCTGGGCACGACGTGATATTTTTGGTCTTCAACATGGGTTTGGTATAGTTCCACACACCACCAAAACTGCTTCTTTTTTCGAACACTTTGATGTGCTGAAAGCGTTTTTCGTGTAGAAGAGCCTTCGTAAGCCCAGCACCCACGGGTCCAGCACCAATGACCGCTATGGAGTTGATTTTCTTGCCAATGGCGTCCCACACAATTGCAGAGGCTCTCATCGCAGAGGAAGTGACTTATTGAAGAGCACCAGACGCCGAACTGTGGCAAGAGAGGGCGGGTTCAAAGCTTGGAAAAAGGTAGCGCTGACATTATATATACGCATTTTGCATTGCCGGAAAAGATGCCATCAATTCATGGCTGGAGAACTCAAGTTTGATGTTTTTTTTCTCAGTTCTCGAATGTGGCTCGGAGTGGTAGGTTATAGAGAGAGTTGAAATTCGAGATGAGATGGCGAAAGACGAGACATATCATGTGACTCGACTCGATTTTCGAATTTCGATTATTAATATAGTGCTTATGTAATCATAGACACAACAAAAAGAAACGAAAAACGGCAACTACGTACGGCAAACCACATCATACCGCACGAGTCATGTGACCAACAAAGGTATCACGTGTATTGATAGTCACGTGTAAAAAGGCACATCACTGTGTACGCGTTCGATTTACTTATTTCATAATTCACGAACGTCTGTCTATACACCCAATGAGCCCTCCAAATCAACCAACAATCGGTTGCCGAGGCTTCACCTTCGATTTCAATCATGTCTACACCTTAGAATCACTCACCCGAACTGCTCAATCGCCAGCTTTGAAAATCTCCCAGATTCGAAGAACTTCTTGGGGAATACCCTGTGCACTTTGGCCAACGGGAACGCTGTGACAGACATCAAGCTGCTTAGCGGAACAATTGAATGAGTATTGAGTGGAAAAGAAAGGTTCAGAAACTAATGGCTATTTCTGAGTTTGTTTTGGGACTTTTATCAATCGGTGTTTAAACCCAGTGTGTCGTCGACATCCCAAGAACTTAGTATTGAGAACATACCAACCTGTGAGATTTCAAGGAGCTGAAACTTTCATAGTTGGAAGTATGTTAGGCTTCAATACTTTGGACCCGGTGAAGCCATGAAGTTGCGAGACGTACAATTTTGTATCCGAACGAGGAAAAGTTTCCAAAAACAAGCCAGCTAAACGCTTCAAATAGCCGTGTTGCACTGATTTAAGAGGAATCAGATCAAAATGAAGCGTCGAATAGCCATGTTCGATGCATTAGAACAGAGTCCAGCTTCTAAGTACCTTGTTGGGACTATTGAGTGTCCGAATTGTGAAGTTTCTAAAAACCACGCCCTGACTATTTGAGCATCAAAGTAAGGTGCACTGGATACCAGGACAAATTGAAGCTTCAGATAACCACGGTACACTGGCTATTAGATGAAGCTTCAAAAGCCGATGTTGATCGCACTTTTTAAGCTTCGAAAGCACGGTGCACTGGCTGTTCGAGCATCAAAATGAGCTGAAGCTGTAATTGGCCATTGGTCGCACTATTCGCATTATTCGCGTATTAGGACAGGGTGAAACTACAAACAACCATGTTGGGCGTTTTCTTTGAGTATCAAACTTCAAATTACCACGTCGAACTGACCATTCGAGCACTAGAATAGACTCAAGCTTCAAAAGACCATGTTGGGCGCACAATCCAAGCTTCAAAATAGACTGAAGCTCTGATTAACTACGATGCACCTACTATTCAAAGACCACGACTATTTAAACTCCCACACATGCCTCGACCATTCAAGCGTCAGACCAAAATCCACAAACTGGCTCGAATTGCAGCGAATTATCGTCCCATAAAGCGCAACTGTATATAAATGCTTCTGGTATGGTTTAAATGCTAGGATATGTACATAATGCTAAGTAGATGTGTTGGTCATGCTAAATTCAACTGGATACGAAACGCGCATCGCACCAGCCTTTTACCACGTAGTGCAATTCGCGAAGCGGTCTGCCAGAGCTGGCGCGCGTCAATGGTATTTTTCCTGAGGGCCTCAGCATCAGATTGGATGTGGGTCCCATCCAAGGCTTTATATCGGAGTTGACACGCACCAGAGACGTTGTGATTGGGTTGGAAGACGTCTCTTGCTCGGGAGAAACCACGAATCGCAGATTCCAGGGCGCATGGTCGCCATGCAGGTCGTGTCGAGGCTCGCACATCATGTCTGACCACAGTTTTTTGCGAGTTATGAGGGCGAGCTTGATGTCGTGGGCGCTGACGCCGCGAGCTTGAGAGGTAGGTGGGACCTCCAGGTTCCAGATGTCGCGGTAGCTCAGTCGGCGCAACACTTGTTCGTCAACGTTGAGGTCCGGAATCAGATTCTGGGTCTTGGATGCAGTTTCCCAAGCATACAGCTTGAGGAAGTGTGGGTTGAAGGTTTGTTGACGTATGCGACGGTTGGGCACAGGTGCGGTGTGCGTGGTAGAGACAGGATGAGTCTGTGAACGGGGCTCCTGCCGTTGATGGTTTCGTGGCCAGTTTTCGAGTTCGACGACGTCGGAGTCGTACAGAAGACACGACGAGGAACGGCGACGCCGCGATTGAGAAGCTGACGCAACAGTTGTGTCTAGATACTGGGCGGTGCCGATGTTGGTGTCTGTGTCGATGGTGAGGTCCACGGAGGTGCGACGACGGGGCCAATGCGAGGGACGATTGGTGGCCTTTGGTCGTTGGTAAACGGGCTCACAAAGTTGCAGCGAGTTGAATGAGAACGCGTGGTCGGCCAAGTCGAGATCCTGTGGGTTGACGAGTTTCAGTCGAGGCAGAGTGGCGGTGGGCGTGATGATCGCTGTTTCGAGAGGATGGTTGTGGGCCTTGGTGGCAGTCCACGAGGAACGGTCTGACGCAACGGACTCGAGAGACGATGTTGTGGAGACCGACCGGGCCGAGTCGACGCTGCTGAGCCGGTTTTCGAGGTCGCTGTGTTCGTCCAGCGACAGCGTGGCTACGCTGCAGCCGTCGTCGTGGTGGTCGTGGGACGAGGACAAGTGTGGGAAACTGGCCAAACGCTGGGATTTGAGCTGGGACAGCACTGAGCTCATGGACGGTGTGACAAGCTTGTGTGACGACACGTTGAGCGACGACGCTCCGGCCACACGCATGGATCTGGCGATGCGGGATCTGGTTTTGAGTCTAAAGGACCGGGCAGCATCGACACGTTCGTCGAGGTCCAGGTATCGTTTCAGGCGGAACGCGGGCAGTTCGTGTGCGCTCGACGCCATGCAAACGGGAATGTGCGATGCGGGTGGTCTCTCCAAGATGCTACTTTCCCTCAAGAAACCTCTCTGTATCTCGAACACTCAACACCAACCTCCTGCTTTTACCTCAAGTATCTATACCATCTACCACCAACGTTATCTATACTCTTAACGCTACTACCAACGCTACAAAAAAACCCGCTCGCTTCTACGTCAACCGTCGCTGTCGCTACTTTCCAAGTCATCAACTCTTGTCGTCCATTGCCATCGCCAACGCCTGCCAGCGGTGATGCCGTGTGGACACAAGGTTGCCGTATTCTACCTAAGTAAAAAATGTCACTTGCGGAATGACTCGTTGTCTAAACTATCGTCACCATGCACTGCTATGTTCATTGCGTCAAGCCTGTAGCGATTCTAGCATGCCTAACCAGTAGCGACAACAATCGACAACGAACGACAGCGCCGTGTTTGGTAAAATTTTACATAGCGACGGACACCGGTCGAGCGTCAGCAGAGGACAATGGCGATGGCGGAGAACCACGCTGGCTGGTAGCGGAATAAGCTCAGCTCGACGGACAACTTAGTTCGTAGACTCTAAATAAGGTATCTTGACCGGTCACTTGGTGGCCGTGGCGACGACTAGAGTGAGTGAGTGGGACGGGCTTCTTCGTGTAGGGTAGGGCGAGGAATAACGCCTCTAGTGTATAGTGTATATTCGTTTACTTGGCAACATTAACCTACAGTTGTGACGGAAGCACCACGGTGCACAGCACAACTGGAGCCTGGACGTCTTTGCGTGGTTTGGCTGGAGACCTGGTGGGTGGAGCGTTCGAGGGCTTGGCCTGAGTCTTTGAAGGCTTGGGCTGGGAACTCAAGGACTTCGCACTGGTTGCGGCTGCGGCTTGTATCTTACGCTCTTCTTTGGCCCGTTTGCGTCGTTCGCGTTCCTCATGTATCCTGCGCTGTTCGGCTCGTGTCTCGCTCAACTCGCGTTTAAACACCCCACGCAGCTCGTCCTCTAACGATTGCATGCACCACCCGCACACGAACGTCTCTGGAAGCGAACTGGGCGCATTGCTAGCCGTTGAGGGCCGTTGTGCAGATGCGGGCGACTCGGTCTCTGCCCGACGTGCACTGCGTCTTTGGCTGCGCTCCATGCCTCCCAGCGTGGCCGTGGCAAAGTCTCTCTTGTTCAACGGTCTCTGCCGTGCCTCGCCCAGCAGCGCAATCCATTCGTCGTGTTGACACTCTAGGTGCTGCCACCGCAAACACATGTCGCAGCACACCAGCGTGTGCTGCTTTACCGCATCGTTGTCATTTAGATTCACACCACTAACCACGTTGCAAGGACACTGGAACACCCAGTCCTGCGAGTCCGGGCTATAATCGGCCACAGACACGCCATGATTCGCCAGCTCTTGCAACTCCTCCTGCGAGATCACCAGCTTGTCCGGCAGCTCCAACGAAGTGGCTTCCAAAGTGCCTGCAACAGGCGCATCGATTTCGATCAAGCGTTTTTGGAACCTCTCTCCATTCTCCAGCACTTGTGCGTCCACTGCGGCCATTTGTACATCGTACTCAGCTGTGTCCGTGGTTCTGCGTCTGAGCTTTTCCACTCTAACGTCCTGTTCAAATTTCTCCCACAGTTGCGGCCACATCGAATCTTTGATGGCTTTGCTCACTTTGGCAACGGCCCGTTGGCGTGTTCTTAAGTATTGGTCGCGCTCGTCCAGCTTTTCCAACCACCGTGCCTCTAAATCGCGACGTCGAGTGTCTTCTTCTCGTGCTACCAGTCTCGACGACCGTTTACGTCTCACCAGCAGTTCTGCCATTGACCGATCCCGCTCTCGGTTCGCCAAAAGACGACGTCCGTTCAGTTCCACTTCGACAATCACCGGCAACTGCTGCGCTAAAAAGTCCTGTAATCCGGCATCTGTAGTTTGGTTCAAATATTCCAGATATTCTTCCCATGTCCCGGCCACAACAGTAAATTGGAGAGAGATATGTGCCAAAAAATCCTCAATGTCGGGCCCAAAGTCCAATTGAACCACTTCCACGCTGCTTTCGTCTTCGTACCGCACTGAACAGTTCTTGAATTTTATGGGAACCCGCAGCTCAGCACTTTCGGTAGCAACCATTTTCTTTTCTATAATTTTACCGCCGGGCAGAACCAGCAGCGAGATACGGTCTTCTAGCACACACTCTGGGAATTGAAACAGCGGTAAATGCGATCCTAGGTACATTCTAAAGCCCTGGTTCCGCCGTTCGATGAATTTGATGCACGCGTATAAAATTTCGAATTGCTGTTGCAAACTAAGATCTGCAAATCGCACGTCTGAGTCCTGTGAATACCACGGCACAGCGTCTCGCTGCGCTAGATTGTATTTGACGGCCACGTCCCATTCTTTTAGCTGGATAGTCTTATTCTGAGTCACAGTTTTTAAAATGCGACTCCGAATTTGCGTGTACAGACTGTCATCGTAATACGCATGCAAGTCCTGGAGCAGTAGTTTTTCATCGAACGCGATTCCCGAGAAAAAAGCTTTGCCCTGGTCTGCTGTATAGCTTGTGTCGCACACGATTTCGAGCCAGCCCACGACGTACTGGAAATGCCAATTGTGGACCAAATCAGGGTCTACAGCAGGCCCAGAAATGAGTTTGGACAACTGATGCAGCTGTTCCGCTGAGAGGTAATCTTCCAGTACCACGGGCTCGATCTCCAGCTCTCTTTTCATATGGTTCGGATGTAATTGGTGACTTTGAGATGTCCTAATTTGAATGAGACGGTACGGTCTGAGTTCGAAGCGTAAAAATTAGAAAAAAAGACCAGCAGAATCCCAGCGTTTTGCACTTAATCTAGAGTGACGGTTGGAAGACAGAGATAGGTATGGCAACGGTGTGGGGAGGGTTTAACGCGCTTAGTCGATGCCGATGTATTTCGCGATTTCATGGTTAGAATCGTCAATATTGAAATTTGAGCTGTTGTGAAGGTGGGAGAGAAGAAAAAAAGAGGTCATGTGACAGGAAAACAATGGATTTCCAAAATCACGTGCTTTGTATTACATAAGATTGGTCCCGTGATCTTTTACCCTTATTTAGTGGTGCCCACAAGAAAAAAGAAAAAAGAAGAGGAAAAGAAGAACAATAGTAGAGAATGCGAAATGGCACAGACTCGCAAACTCAAGCTCAAGCGCGGGCAAGGCCGACTTGCCAGAGTTCGGGAATACTAGTCACTAAGGCTCTTTGATGTCTTTTTCCCAGGAAAGTACATCATTATTTGCCATTCCCGCGCTCTTTTCTGGGATGACGCATAAGACATGCACAATTTATGCACAATTCATGCATAGAAGCAAGTCACGTTTTGCATGGTGCTGAAAAAGAAATTCCCTCTTTCGTCGTCGTCAGTGACCTATAATTATGTAATCTTAATGGCTCGTTAGCTCATACGGCTTCAAACGCTACCACGTAAATTTACAATACTGGACACTCGTATTTGGGTGTAAGGCGTCACGGCAACAAAGAAAGAATATACACGCCAAAGTAGGCGTTAAGTAGGCGTGTAGAAAAATGCCGCTTTGGCTTCCCCGTATTTTCTTTAAGATTCCGGTTCCGGGGCTAACCTTGGGCCACGAAAAAAAAAAATCCGAAATCCGATACAGCGTGAAAATGGTGGTTTTGAAGGCTTGAAATGAGTGCATTGGATCGTTGAGCTTTGTTGGGTTGAATTGAACTGTTTTTTCCTCGATGCAATAGACTGGCTGAACTCCTATGCATGTGCCGGGAACCAGCTTTCCAAAAGAATTTCGTAAACGCTCTGGTGAAAAATGATTTTCAATGGGCTACGAGACGTGGTAACGCAGCCTTGCCATCGCTCCCTTGGATGTGCGGTGTCTTTAGCAAATTCGTGTCGTTGTTTTGTAGTCTGTCACCTGGTCACGAGACTGGCGTTCGTGAAGGTGACGGCTCAGCTGTATTATAAATAATGGTTGACTGCGTAGTCTTCATTTGAACGAGAGAAGGCACAACTGTCCAAGTAGATGTCCTTGCGTTGCCAAAATAAGGCCATCAAGCAACAATGAAATAGAAAATGGGCATTGATTTTCTAGGTGTATCTTACAACCCCATATCCATCAAAATTTGTCTGTATCGAATTTCATTCTCTGAAATCCCAGAACTGACATTTCCTCCACAACACACATGCCACACTTCAAAAGGCGTCTCTCTTTGCCTGGTTTCCTCTTACCATGAATGCCGTCTTGTCCTACCTCTTAATTTCCATACTACTCAATTATCTAGTCGTTTCTCTACTCGAAATATCTTCCCAATTTCTGCACATAATACCGACTATACCACAGATCTCCACAACAAGATTCATTCCTTCACTTCGGAGCTCACCATCACAGCTACAGATACCTAAAATCACCTTTCACCGACTTTGCTTTGAATCCCGTTAATATCTTCTAAAACACACACCTTGCTCACGCCAGCTTTTTTAAATCAATGGGCTAATCAAAATGCTATTTTTCTCCTCTCCCCTGTAACATCTTGGCATTATTATCTCTATATCAGCCTCGTTTCCGTCACTCTCAGGCTCAAAACTAGCTCCAAGCATGTAAAAACGAAAAAATAAAAAACTATCTAACCCACCTAACGGAGAAATCCATTGAAGCTCTTTAAACATTTAATATCAACATTAAAAACACCTCTCACTCATCAAACTGCTCTCAACAGGCTCTCAAAGCTCTCTTAAACGTTTCTTGAACGCCCTGTTCCATTAGCTCGCTCGCTCGGTGTCACACGCGTCGAAAGTGATATCCCCATATATAGGGATAACATATAATTCACGAATTGAACTATAAGTAAACTCTCATCATCATCTTCAACACACAACACAGACCCAAAAACTGCCCGTTTGCCATTCCCTATGCCTTCCAATACCGACTACCACATTAATAGGGAGTTTCAGATGGGTGGGACCACCAATTCCATGGCCATGGCGCCGGCTACGCCACGAATGATGGGCAGACCGAGTAATCACGGCAGCACGTCCAGTCACGGAAACAATGACGGGACATCCAAGCTAATGCCCGCAGTAGAGGTTTCCAACGCTTCGCAAAGTGTGTCGAAGGGAAGTGGACTGGGCCAGGATAATTCCGGTGCACCAGCTAGGCAGTTTCACCGCAAAAGCCTCGGAGACTGGGATTTCCTAGAAACCGTTGGTGCTGGGTCGATGGGCAAAGTGAAGCTAGCTCGACACCGGACAACGCACGAAGTGTGCGCCATTAAAATCGTTAATCGCGCTACTAAGGCATTCGTGCACAAAGAGTCCCATATGGCGCCTCCCAGGACCCAAGAAGAGGTTCTGGAGCGCGAACACAAGCTTGAAAAGGAAATCTCGCGCGACAAACGCACTATCCGAGAGTCTTCTCTTGGCCAGATCTTTTACCATCCACATATATGCCGCCTTTTCGAGATGTGCACGATGAGCAACCATTTTTACATGCTATTCGAGTATGTCTCCGGTGGGCAGCTTCTCGACTATATTATTCAGCACGGGTCGTTACGTGAGCGCAGCGCTCGAAAATTCGCCCGTGGAATCGCCTCTGCTCTACAGTACTTGCACATGAACAACATTGTGCACCGAGACCTCAAGATTGAGAACATCATGATATCCACGTCCGGGGAAATCAAAATCATCGATTTCGGTCTTTCGAACATGTACAACCCGAAGAAACAATTGCACACTTTCTGTGGGTCGCTTTACTTTGCCGCGCCGGAGCTTTTGAAAGCGTGCCCGTATACAGGGCCAGAAGTGGACGTCTGGTCTTTCGGAGTCGTTTTGTATGTGTTGGTGTGCGGTAAAGTGCCCTTCGATGATGAGAACTCTAGTGTGCTACACGAAAAAATAAAGCAAGGACGCGTTGAATATCCACAGCATCTGTCTATTGAAGTCATTTCTTTGTTGTCCAAGATGCTCGTGGTTGATCCCAACAAACGTGCCACTTTGAAGCAGGTGGTCAACCATCAATGGATGCAAAGAGGCTACGATTTTCCGTCTCCATCATATTTGCCTCACCGTACGCCTCTAACGCCAGATGCACTAGACTCTACTGTGATAAAAGAAATGTACCGTCTTGAATTTGTTGACGATGTTATTGAAGCTACTGCTTGGCTAACCAAGATACTCACAAGTCCTGAATACGAGAGCTTAGTAAAACAGTTTTGGGCCAATGTTAGTAAAGGCGGTGTGCATGAAGATCCTACTCGCGCATTCCACCCATTGTTGTCAATATATCAATTGGTTGATGAGACGGTCAAGAGAAAGCTGGCCAAGCAACAGAAAAGGGCAGCACTTTTGGCTGCAAACCAAATACCTCAAGCTCTGGATGTACCGACTTCTGGCGCTCCAGTGGGGACACCTATGACTCCTGGTACAACACCTGTGTCGACACCCGCTATGGCCGCTCAACCGTCAATGCAGCACAAGAGAGAACTCTCTGTCAACACCAGACCGCTCAACGCCGTTTCACCTTACCCAGTGATCAGCGCGGTTCCTACCACCTCGCCCTCGAAGCCAAGACCTACCGTGATGATTCCACCCAAGCTTGCTGTTCCAGAGCAGGCACATACCTCTCCAACTGGCAGAAAGCCATCAAACACCAACTATCCCTCTGCAGATCTTGACGTTGTCTTGTCTCCAACTCCTCAATCTCATGACTATGACCAAGCAACAGCAGCCCTACAAAAGAAGGCCGAAGCCGACAACATTACTTCCTCTTCAGTAATCAACCCTCTAACTGACAAGTCCAAATTTGGCACAATGTTCAGACGCTTCTCGCAAAAGCGTCATGGCCATCACCAATCACAACAACAACAGCAGCAGCAGCAGCAGCAGCAGCAGAAACAACAACAACAACAGCAACAGCAACAATTAGCAACACAACGCTTGACACCACAAGCTGTTCCAAAGACAACGATGAAAAAGACTCACACTAGAACTGTTTCAGAAAACGTACCATTCACCAGGCTCGACACATTTGGCGCCCCACCTTTACCCAATGATGTCACCAATGCAAAACAACGTACAGAGTTGCCCGCACTGCCCTCTAATGCTGCAAACATGGTCAAAGATCAACAGTTGGCATCAGAAGGAGTTCAAAGACTACAAATCGCCGACGAGGATGAACCTATATCCACGCTCAGCGTTCCAAAGGGTAGAAAGATGCACCCCTCGGCTAGAGCCAAATCCGTTGGACATGCTCGTCGTGAATCTCTGAAATTTATGAGACCACCTGTGTCCAATAATATGGATCAACAAGTCATGAACATGAACGATGATGGATTCTTGGAAAGCAGCGATGATGGCAAGTCTGACTACATCAACAGTGTTGAAGTGACCTCTTCACAGGGTGAACGTGAGCTCACAGATCAAGAAATTCTCAACATTGCATCCAAAGCACCAATGGGTTCGATGCCATCTATCGATTATCCTCGCTCCTTGTTCTTAAAAGGGTTTTTTAGTGTCCAAACAACGTCGTCAAAACCTCTACCAATTGTGCGTTACAAAATTATCTCTGTTCTAAAAAAGCTGAGCATCGATTTCAAGGAAGTGAAAGGTGGGTTTGTTTGCCTGCATAAACAGTCTTACATTACTCCCGCTTCTCAGCCACCGCAACAACCTGTAATAATAGTCAATGATGCCTCCTCAACGGGCAGCAATAATAGTTGGGGTGCAGCCTCTCACAGGAGGAACTTTTCTATCCCACCCGTACAGCAATCAACGGTTTCGCGTAATAGTTCGCTACGACGTCAACCATCAATGGGCAAATCTCAACAGCCAGGCATTGCAGCCACTCCACAGGCTGCCAGTACGCATGAAAGAAACTTATCCATCATTTCACCAAGCAATGGCAATGGTAGTATCCCTGAAGTTTCTAGCGCTTCTTTGGAGTCCTTCCACCATGACGATATTCTAACAACTTCTAAAGCCCATAATCTGAATAACGCAGAACATCCCGCAACTGCCGGCGATTCGAAAGAGAGGCCTCCGCTCAAGTTCGAAATTCATATTGTTAAAGTTCGCATTGTCGGCTTGGCCGGTATTCATTTCAAGAAAGTATCTGGTAATACTTGGATGTACAAAGAATTGGCTTCTCACATTTTAACGGAATTGAACTTGTGACGTTTATAATATGGATAACAATGTAAATTGACAGACCTTTAATACTCTTAAATAAATTATTCTATGAGTGAACAAATGATAGTGAACAATTGATGACTGAATGAAAGTCTGATGATCGAAGTTTTCGTTTTGTAAAGTGTTCATGTCAAGAAGACGACCTTTCTTGTTTTCTGTGAACTATTAACCCCTTTATCTCGTCAATGCATTTGTTGTGACATTATGCGGCTTGACTCAGCTTGTGGGACTTGAGTGTCTCCTCCAAACTCCTATTTGCCTGGAGGACGGAGTTCATGTCTTCGATCAGGTAATTCAGAAGAACATGTTTCGGTATTCTTTTGTCGGTGGGTCTATCTTTCTTGATTCTCTTCTTGCGGTCTGATTTGAACCCTTCCTCCGTGTCTTCTGATTGAGAAGTTATGGATTCGCCCGCTGCAGGTCTTGGGAACTGAATGAGCTCCACCAGATCGTCAAAATATTCTTTGATGGCATTTCGGCGCTTCTTCTCCAGAGCAACGTGTTTCCATTTCTTTCGCTTTACGGGGTTGTTTCGTACCTCTGAAGGGATCTCAGAGTCTAAAACAATAATTTCGGGGGATTTTAGAATGGCAGGAGCATATGTTAGTAAGGCTGGAGCATTCTTATCGGCAACTTGCCCGGTGGTTGTGATGCTTATTTCCTTATTGGCCGTAGCTGAGGAATGCACGGCCGTGACTGGCACATTAGCGTGAGGATCTCGAGAAACTTCGTGGTTTGGTCGACACGTGTTTGCACCAGCAGATGGCATTGCGCTGTTCCCGAAATGAGTGGAATGTCCTGACGATTCCAGATCATCGAGACCTCCAAGTGCCTTCTGTAGATGATTATTTTCCTCGTGCTTACCCCAGGGGAAAGTCGGGAGCCTTGGCCAGCTCGAGTCGTTTTTTTCGCCTATACTTATCAAACTGTCCAAGAAGTTCTCGATCGCACTAGACTCGAATTCGCTCAGCAGACCCGCGCTGCGTGTATGTTCCAAACTTGCCAGCCCCACAGATTCCGTTGGTGCACCGTTTGTTCTATCTTCAGCATTTCGCTTTTGGCCACGAGTTTCTGAGGTATTCCAACGTTCCATTTCCGACTCAAATGGCATATTGTGGTTATGGTTATGGTGTATTTTGTCTAGCTGATCATCATTATTGATCATTTCGTATGCAGTTTCAAAGTCTATGTCCAGATCATAGTCTAAAACGTTCAAAAGATTGTCAGAGTCCATTGCCGAGTTCCAACACTCGTTGTTCTATCGATTGGGCCGCCAAAGGCTGCTCAAACCTTGTCTTCTGGCTCTATCAAGGTCCGAACGGCTAGGTACAGTTTAGTCATCGAGTAGTCTTTTCACATGGACAAAAAAAGTGTTGATAGCACTTTGAACGAAGGGACAGTTGGACGTCAAGTTGAGGGAACTTGACCGGCAAAATACATCATTTGAGTTTAGTTCTCACAGCATTGTTTGACAGCTATAGGTACTAGCTAGCCTGATTGTCGCATTATTTGTAAACCGGTGTTGTAGCTTTCGAAGGAGCCTTGAAACATCAAATTTGGTTGATTTCCTGAAAATTCACGCCAAGTAGCGTGCCAAGAGTTCTTACTCGTGTGTGTGTGGTTTCTCGAGGGCTTTCCAACTGGAAGCCCAGAATTAAGTGTAAATTTATTACCCAATTGGTTCACGTAGTTGATATTACTTGAACTCAAGAAAAAACCAGCTCTTGTCTGCGTCATTCCATTCTCATGCTGCAGTCTCATGTCTATAAGTGTTCACACGAGAAAAGGAAAATGGCTTTTCACTGTGCATGGAGAACTCGACTCGGTCACCAGTGTCCTTGAAAGCCTCTGAGCGAACCCAATTCAGCCTGTGGTACAAGCGACGACCATGCGAGCTGATCTGCAAAGTTTCCACAAATTGGTATTTCTCGTTGCGACGCTTGATCGTAAGCACAGAAAAGTCATCGTCGATCGAGCACGACCAGCGACAAAGCTCTGTGTTTTTGAGTAGATGCTCGCATTTGAAGTGACGCACTACCACTGACGGTTCGTCCGTCGACACGAGCCGCAGACAAGTGCCATCGGGGTAAAACCGTAGATACCGGTAATAGGTAATCATGTGTACCGGGCTAATCAACGAATTTGAGCCCTCGGGGTTGGCTCCATGCCGCAGGTAGTTTACGACGCTGATATAGCAGCCCTGAAACTTTATAAAGGCCCGCTCCCGCAGCATGCGTCGATAATCGCTGCCCCAAAGTGCCTGTTCGAGTACCTGGAGATTACTGAGCCCGTTAAGCGTCAAAGACGCTTCGTCGTACTGTTGTAGTGGGTAAATGTGAGTTGCAAACGCACGATACGGGTCAGGTTGCTGAAAACACAGTTTGTGGAACTTCTTGCACGTCAAGGATAGATTAACCCAAGACTCGCCCGAACTTGCCACGATGTGCAGCACAATTTGCTGCAGAATGTCCTCGGATAGTAGTTGTAGAATCCAACACGGCAAGGGCTCCGATATTTCCTCCTGAGGGGCGACGATCTCATCGTGGCCCTTTGAAACATGGGAAGTCTCTGTTGCTGGCGTTGAAACCGCTGTTGGAGCACTTTTTTTCACCATACTCTGGCGAACCAGTTTTCGATAAGTATTCTCTACGTTGTCGTCTATCTTCAAAGCTCTTCTGTAACATCCAATCGCGTCCATCATCAAACCGTCCTTCTCCTTCAAAACTCCTAGTTTCCACAATTCGACAGCGTCAGAACTAACTTTTACCGCATCTTGTACCATCGTTCGAATCTCTGAAAAGCCGCCGAAAACTGTGCGTCAGGTTTGAGAGTTCAGCCGCCCTTCCTATCTCGAAACACTTTTGATTCACTTTTAAAACTAAACTAAAGTTTGACATATTTGTTAATTATTCAACTCATCGCCAATTCTTAACAAACTCGAAACTAACAGATGATGGTAAAACCCTCTTGAAACGACTAGATTTGACATATATAGTGGGATTATACACACTACGATGGCAAGTTTTGGTTAGACTATGCCTTCTGGTCGAGAATCAGGTTCTTTCCTGGTGTTTTGAAGTGTTGAAGTTATAACAAAGAGACATGGAATTACTGCTGAAGGCTGTTCAAAACCTCGAGAACGACGGATACAAGGTGGCAGCTTTAGTACAGTCCCCGGGTGAGACGACGTCATCGCAGCTTGTGTGCTCAAAGACCCTCGATACACGCGTGGAGACGACGCTGACGAAAGTACTAGAAACGCAGCAGCACCAACAGCACCCGCAGCACCAGCAACACCAGCAGCATCAGCAGCCTGCTGGTCCTCCGAAAAAAGATGTGACAGCGCATCATGACCTTCGATTGTGTGATCTAGACTTGAACAATCCTTATGCTGTGGAAAACTATCTCAAAAACGTGTTTTCTATGCTCCGGCAGTTGCATTGCAAAGCTATTGCCAAGGCGTGGATCAAGGTTGTTGAACCCAGAAAAAAGGCCAGACATCCTTATATTAAAGGCGAACTTTTCAGGCCATATTGGTGGCCAACTAGCGTGGAACACCGTGAACCCGACCATTTGCGCAAACCACAGAGAATAATGCTCATGATCGCCATTTTGACACAGCTGGTACCGCAATGCAACGATCCTAATTTACTGCATCAACTCAAAAAATCGACAATGTCAATTCACTTCCCTAAGAATTCGGGCCATCACCAAATTGCCCTCGACTACGTGTACAAAATTTGTGGAGCGCTTTGCATGGGTCTGCCCACCATTGCGGCCTTCGATTGCACAACGGTCCCTACGGGCAAAATGACCTCCAAAAGCAGAAAAAAGGTGATGAAAATGGATCCAGCGCTAGAACATCTCACGTTGCTTGGTACCTTGAGTCCTGATAGTCTTGATGGTGCCGAAAGCAGACCTGTGAGTGGACCGTTTCCTTCCATGTGTCACTCTTCTTCCGAGTACAAATCCAATGTATATCACACAGGCGCACAAAAGCAGCAAAATGCTCTCTATTCCTCAAACGCAACCCACACGAGAGTATCAAGCACAATCACTCAACCATTTCTATCTTCGATAAGCGGTGAAGGTGCAAATTCAAATCATTTCAGTGATCTCGGCAGTGCGTTTGTCAATTTTGGCGGACCTGATCCTGTCTTTGACTACTGAGTAGTGCAATACCTAATCAATGTTTAAATACTCCAAATGACGTTTAAAAACCTCTCCTTTAGCCACGCTTGCCCTGCGAATTTCCTATTAGCGTATCTATTTCGTTCAGCAGTGTGAAATCGAAATTGTACTCCAGTGCAAAATCATTGCCGTGTAAAAGAGTATCGAACAGATCTGTGGACTCGTCGCCTACTTCTTTTTCCACAAACTTCTTGCCCAGTTCATAGTTCAATGTTGGACATACCAAAAAATCTTTGAGTTCAGGCAAAAGACTGTTACCGGCACCGCCTGATTTGCCGCATTGTATGGCCAAAATAGCACAATACACCATGTAAACGGTACTCTTTTCGTAGGTGCCGCACTTCTTCTTGAAAGCTCGCAAGGTGAAGCAGATCTCCTCAATTGTCTCTTCTACGATTTTTTTACTTTCGGTAAGCTCTTCGACAAAAGGCTTGTTGTAGGACAACAGCACCACGTAGTAATGATACCATAGGTATGCAATTGTAGGGTTAAAATCAGACACGGTGCTTATCGAATCCTTAGACCAATGGAGATCCTTGGGCAGTTTTGTGCGCCACAGGTTTATCTCAGAATTGAAGCTTAGTAAAAATTCACTTCGGCGTGCCATAGACTCTGAATGGATGAATACCTTGCTTGCAAACAATTCCGTGATTCTGGAGAGAACTATCAGCTGTTTGAGTGGCTTGGCCATAGACAATGTAGCACGGGCATCGTACAAGTAATCTTCGATGCCGGTTTCGACATCGGGCAGCTCATCAGTTTCGGGAACAGTGGAATTCGACAGTCTGAGACTGGTGGATCGACCGAACAACACACAGATCAAATGGTCAGCGATGTAGCAGCCCCAATAAATCCTACTGCGCACCTCGATATCTAGATTTGACAACTCGTCTTCGTAAACATTGCTCCAGGACTCGAAGTTCAAATGAAGCCCGATTTCATGCGCTATCCGAAAGGCAAGTCCTGATAAGTACCAGGCCAGTGGGTTTTCACCATTTCCAATGTCGTAGAATGCAAGACATAGCAGAGTTTGTATAATAGCGAGTTTTGCAGAGGACGTAGACCCTACCAGAGAGCTGTCGTTGAGTTGGAATATTTTCTGCAGTGCGATGGTCTTGGCAATGTTGTAGTACTGCGGACCATGCTGGTGGAGCTCTTCAGATTTGTCGGACAAAACAGAACCCAGAGCAGCGATGGCATATACCAACTCTTCGGAACAATAGTAGCCCTTGGTTGCAGGATCACCGAAAAACGCACTCAGAAACGTCTCACGATGGATGAAGCTGTAGTGGCCCGGATAGAGCCACTTGAAAAATAACGATAAAGCACGCAAAACCAGTGGGCTTCGTGACATGTTTTTCAGACGCACGCGTGGGGTCTCAGTCGTTGTGCCGTCGCCCACAGGAGACGACGCCGTTGTTGCGACTCGATTTGTGGGCAACGTGAGCGAGTTAGTTGGATATATGCTTCCACGGGCTTGCAAACACTGCACTGTGCGCGGTATCCTAGTGTCTGCAACGTTAGAGGCTGATTTTTCGCCGTTAGTTTCGGCGCCAGCTCTGAGGTCTTCCACTAGGGCTTCCAAATGCGCAATCTGCGACTCTAGCGACTTCAAATACCCGACGGAATGGCGTCTACGCCTCAAATCTTTATCGCTCGGGATACACTCGATGCCCAGTCGCACGCAATTCGAGCATGGTGACTCGAAGTCGCACTTTCTTCTGCGTTTCCGACAGCTTTGACAGCTAGAAATGTGAAGTTAGTCACTATTTCGATGACAGGAGCTTTCATGACAACATTGTACATACGCCAGACCACGGTTCTCGGCTGACGATGGCCTTTCGACACTCATTGCGCTGGATTCAGTCCCTGCTTTCGCAGTTTTGCCCTTTTTGGTTGTAGCGAGTGATGAGATGAGATGAAATGAGAGTTAAAATTTGTGAAAAGTGTCAACTTCGAGCAGAACCGTTATTTTTCCAGCCCAAAGGTCTTTTAAGTTGATTCGGGACCCTTTGATTGTCAATTGAGGTTTTCAAGCAATCAACTAGCGAATTTTGAGCTTGTGAATAGCATGTTTTTTGCGGTTTTGAGAGGTTATGGGTCTTGTTCGATACTGATGGCTACAACCAAGTCCCAAGAAGGACGCACTTGAGGTGTATTTTGAAAATTGACAGCGTCAGTGAACTGTTGCAGATGTGATAAGTGTCGTCGAAATACCGAGTGTCAGCGACCAATCACGAACAATATGATCTCTTATGGCACAATTGAACAGCTGAGAGCATTAGAGACCCATTCGTGAATGAAGTACATAACTTGTGGTGATTGGGAACTTCTTGGTATTCTTGAGTAGTTGAAAGCATCAGCAATACATTGCGAACGAGTAGGCTACAGCGATCTTTTCGATATATAACACAACGTTTCCGCTATAAAGTAGAAGAAAGCTGTAACGATACTAGAAAAATGTTCTGCAAATAGACCATTGAGGAGCCTAAGGGACGATTGGGAATTTGAAGAATGTCTGCGGTCTTTCTTCTGTGACTGTCAGGCTATTTCTCGCCCTTGACTATTTGAACACTGTAGGGTTTTAATCACTGAGGCTTTATAATGAGTAGAGATAAATATCATAGGTAAGACTGGGCAATTGGTTACTAGCACATTCAATGTGATGTTGTGCGTCGTCCTCGCTTTTTTGTTGCTGCTGTTGTTAATGTGTCTTACGACTTCTAATCTTTCGCTGTCGTTCGCTGTCGTTCGCAGTCGTTCCAATACTGACGCTCTTAATTGTAAATAAGAGATCTTCACGCCTGGCTCAAGAATTGGGTTTTCATTTTCTGCAGATTGTTTAGATTTGCACTAGTGCTTGGCATACCTGAATCTTTCGATGCTTGGCATATCAGTATGAGAATTGGGTCTTCACTGCTAATATTGCAGACCGAATGCTTCCGTACAATTGACAAACGCTCAAGTTTCGGCAAACATCTTGGCTGTCGTAACAATCAACCATATCGCTAATGTTGCTCCTTGTAATGCTCATTGTCGTTGTCGGTATTCGAGAAATGATTGTAGATATCGCCGCTCTCGAACTTCGCTCGCACACGCCACCAATTGATTGACGGTTCGTATCGATCGAGCCCTCAATATCAGCCCTCAATTAACTATACTGCACGCCTCTTCCCTACTCATCCAAAAACTGAACCACTCGTTGGTTGAACTCCTCCGGATTATCCAGAAACAAGTTGTGACCCGAGCTCGACACCTCGTTGTAATCAGCAGTGATCCCAATCGAATTGGCCTCCTGTGCCAATTGTTGTCCCGCAGTCCGATTCATCCAATCGCGGTCCCCATACAACAGCATCAAGTCTTTGACACGCAAATGTTCCAAACAATTCAAAAGTGGATCGCGCGCCAGTAAACGGTTGGTAAATAGACCCGTAAAAATGTCCCTGCTGGTCTGGCTCAGTCCATCCTTGCCGTAGAACATCTCAAACACATACTGCTTGTACGTAACACTGGGCACACGCGAATATGCGGCAGCGATGTAGTTCCAGCACAATTTGGCCCCCAACGGGCCCAGCGCCCGCAGTAGACGCGTTTGAGACTCGAATATGAGCTTGGGGATCGCAGGCCGTGACGGGATGTAGTATTTCGATGCTGGATCTGTGTAATTCGTAGGATACGCGGTGTTGCTGCTCCATCGATTGTCAACGGCGAAAGCGTTGCGTTCCACGCCCAGTGGTGACACCAGACAGAGCTTTGCCACTGCGTGAGGATACTTGGCAGCGTATTTGAACGACAGGTACCCTCCGTACGAGTGTGCCACGACGTTGATGCGGCCCAGCTTGTTGTCGAGACGCCACTGCTCCAGGGCGTCCAGATAGTAATTCTCGAACCCCTGCACCACGGCACGCTGGTGTAAGGGCTCTATGGTGTATGGGAGCTTGAAAGTGTCGTTTTGCAGCTGAATGCGCAGCGGGAGCGGTGGGGGCAGCTCGAGCTCAAGCGGGAGTTCCACTGAAAGCCCATTGGAAGGCAAATCGACCGCGTACAGGTCCTGAACGGCACTGGAAAGCCCTGCAAAGTTGCGGTGGAACGCCATGGCGGACGCTGCGTGGCCGTGCACCAACAGCGTCGGTGTCTTGATGTCTGCTTGTGGGTTGTGGAAATGCAACTGGTGGAGCTCGTTTTGGACCATAGAACGAGTGACACGGTCGGTCAGACCCAACTCCCGCACCAGGGCGTCCTGGAGCCGCGCCATGCGCGGCTTGGAGGACCCAAACAGGCGCTGAGCCCACAGTTTCCAGCCCGAGGCGTGCGGAGCGCCCTCGGGCAATCTGGCGAGCCTGGTGGCCAATCGGCGCGGAAAGGAGCGCGTTTGAGAGCTGTAGTAGCGCACGCCGATCATGATCTTAATGAGAGCAGTCGTGGAGCGCCCCAGCAGCTTTTAAACCGGTTTGCGTTTGGCTTTTTATTTCACAACAGTTGTTTCGTGAACCTTGGAAGTTTACCAACTGGGTTGACATGTTGACATCTTGGGTGAATTCGTGGTGGAAACCAAGCCAAAACCAGCATTTTCGAGGTCACCGAGGCATGAACGATGTGTCTAGCGTTTGGGAGAGCATCAGGGAGGAGCAAGAGTCCGCTGTGGACGCTGTGGACGCGGTGAGCGACAGTTTTGACGGCTACGACGACGACGACGATCTTGAGTCCCTCAGCTCGCTGGACTACCACGAAAACCTGCTTTCCGCGCAGCAGCAGTGGCAGGAGTCGCTCGAACAGCTCAGCCAGGTGTTCAATTGGGTCCTGCTGCCTCTGGTTGGCAAATACCTGGGACGTCGCACGGCTCTGGCCGCGTGGAAACGCGTTCTCCAGTACGTGTGGAGGACGAGCTAGTCGGAGCACGAAACAAGCACTGAGAACCCTCTACGTACGTATATAGACTGACATACTCACACATTGAAATACTGTACACTCCCCGTTGTGCCCATCTCACTCGTCCAGGACGTCCCAGAGGGCCCTGATGTACTCGGCGATGAACTGGGTTCGAATCGCTGTTGCGACCGATCGCTGCAACGAGGGCCGCACCTTGGAGTCCAGCGTGTCGGTGCCCACCACGTTGCAAATGCGAATCAGCAGTTTCAGCAGGGCCACCGTCAATGCCCGGGCGTCCAGCACCTGTGGTTCTTCCCAACGCGGACCTCGCGAAAACAGAAGGTTTAGCTTCTCCAGCAAAGCGTACAACGCCAGGTCCGACACGGGCGTGTCGGCCTGCATCACGTCGCTCAGCTCGTACAGCACCCGAAGTTTGTCGAGGGCGCGAAACGCCCAAACGGCCGCGTTGCAGCGTCGCAGTTGGTCGCGTTTGAGTATAAAGCTGTTGAACAACGGCTGGTGGTCGCGATTGACCCGCAACAAGTGTTCCAGGAGCGCTACATTTTCCATGCCAAGGTCGTTCGCCATAGGTGTGAGTGTGTGGGCCTGGCGTGTGTTGGTGAGAGCGATGAGATGAGCACAGCACCAGGTTCGCGATGAGTTAGTGGGAAATTTGTCACTGTAGAAAGACGAACTCTAGAGCGAGCACCCAGCTAGCTACCCAGCTAGCTACCCAGCGTGAAGCACACTATGATGAAGGTTCTCTTGCTGGGCGTGGTGCTGGTACAGCTGGTGTTGCTGCTGTTCTCGCCGGTTTTGAAGACGAGGCCGGTTTTCCAATGGTACTACACACAGGTGTTCTATCCAGTGTTCGTGGACGTGGACCGGCTACGCTGGAAGTTTTGGGCTGTGCCCGTGCTGTATGCCAGCGTTTACGGCTACTGTGCCGTGCTGTTCTTGCAAGACGTGGAGCCCGTCGTGCGGACTCGGTTGACGGCTCTGGAGCGATGGGTCGTGGTTCCAGCGGCGCTGGCCGCGCCGCTGGTCTCGGGTGCGCTGGCAATGGCAGTCAAGCCTCGCACGTCGCGTGGTGCGTGGTCTGCGCCGCGCTACGACGAATTGATCTTCCATGCTGGACTGGAGTGTCGAACTTGTCGACTGCCCAAGTACGCACGGTCGCGACATTGCGCGATCTGTGGCCAGTGCACGCTGTTGGCAGACCACCACTGTGTGTGGGTCAACAACTGCATCGGGCAGGACAACTACCAGTACTTTTACGGGTTTTTGGCAGCGAATGTGATTGTGACGAGCTACGGGAGCATCCGTTTGGCGTGGGTGCGACGCGCTGGTGGCGACGAACGGTCGCTTTTGGTGCTGTGCGCACTGCTGGGGTGCTTTGCAGTGATTCTGACGGTGTTTGCGTACTTCCAGGTGGCTCTGGTGCGCGACGGGATGACTACGGGCGAGGAGACCAAGTGGTTGGTAGTGCACGACATGCTGCGTCAGGGCAAGCTGGTGGTGGACGGCTCAGGCCGGTATTTCTACCGTTTAGACCGGGAAGACGACGCTGGCGCGTTTGAGTTCTACTCTACAAATATGTACGATTCGCGCGTTTACCCAGTGCAGAACTACCGCACGGTGCGGGACCCTGCTGAGATCACCAACATCTACGACCGGGGCGGGTTTTGGGCCAATCTGCGCGAACGCGTTGGGTATGGAGTGTGAAGTTGATGTTTGAAGCATGGAAGGCGAGAAGATGAGTGTTTTGGCTGTCAGTTCGTACTGCACTGCTTTGGATGCTAAGATAGGTCAAGTGGCCAAATCACTCTTCTCTACAAACTGTTACTTGAACTGTGATCTACAATTGGGTTCTACAGTTTGCTGTTTTACCATCACTGCTATGCCTGCAATTCCTGCACTAGCATGACAATCATCATATTGGAACACTGACAGCTACCGCTCAACTATCTTTACACTAACTATTGAATACCTAGAGGTGGTGGATTCAGGAAGGTCCGTCTTTTAGGACAGAATTCACAGTGCAATATGCTTTCTGCAGGGCTGTGGATGATCAAATTCGTGGGTAAAGTAAGCATTGAAATTTATCGTCTGTCGTCTGCCGTCTGTTGAATGTCGGAAGTGCTTTCCTGTTCACACTTCTCCACACATTTCAGTCTAGCATTGAGCCTGAATTCATCGAAAGTGACGCACGCTTCTACCATTGTCAAACTGCAACCCTGTCATCCTGTAAAATATCACAATTTGGTTGAACAACGTCAAAGTCTTGGATGTGACCTTCAGTCTCTACACTCCCCATTGTGCTTAAACCTCACTCATGGCCTCGACTCACACTCTTTTTTGAGCGCTTCATTCATTCTTTCAAATCCTTTGGAGGTTCCGCTCAAAAAGGGCCTTAACAAGGGCAATGCGACCCCGCTGAACTGCTCCGACTGGCGAAACTCGCAAGTGCGTCCGTCCTCGCTGGTTTTACACTCGAATCGATGTGTTCCTGCGAAAAACCACGATCCCACCAACGTTCCTTGCCATTCCAATTTTTCCACATCGTTAGCCAACACAACGGGCTGGAAACTCGAGGTATTACCACTCTGCGCGTCTTTCATGCTCACGTCCAAACGAGTGCCCGGGCCAACCTTGGTTTTCGAATTTTGGGTGTCTTCAATAACCTTGATAGAAGTAAAGAATGGATTCCAACTGCTGTAATTGCCAAAATCCAGGATCTTCTCGCGAACCATATACGCGGGGGCGTTGATGAGAATTCCAGTGTCGATTTTCATAGCTGATGGTGTTTTTTGTAAAGCCTAGTTTCGGTGCCAGACGTAAGAATAATGTATAACAATATGTCCACTTCTTTACTGTTCGAGACTCAACATGACTTAGGTTTATATATTCACTCACAGCTTGTTTTGATTTACTGGAATTTTCAAGATGCCAGTCAAGATCCAAAGCGGGGCTCCTGAAAGACAATGACAAATGTGACAACGATTGAAAGTCAGCTGAGGGTGCGATAACCTTGAGTGTAGAGAAGTTGAAATTGGAATGAGTCTTGATAAAAACAATTTCAAATGCCAAGAGATTCATCAAGAGGGAATTTAAAGGGCTTGAAAGTGGGATAGTGCTGTTTTGATTGGGGGCAGTGGGGGTGCTAGTTTCTTTCGAAGAACAACGAAACGCCTGTTGTCTCCCGTTCATAGATATATTGTCAATTCCATCGACGAACGACGGCACCGCACGGCCCTAAAAATCGTTAGTGAGAAATCGATACTTGTGTTTTGTGAAGTATCCAAATCATGGTTTACTTTTTTGATTGGCCTTCGAGTAGTTTCTCTAAGATGGCATTTCGCTGTAATTAAATTAAACAATATACCAAAACGTCCCCATTTTTGAGAAACTCCTAAACACAGACTGACGAACCACAAATCTTGGCCAGTTGAAAATCCTCCCTGGATGATGAACGATACTCTATTGTGACGAAGACTCCTAGCCATGCCAATGCCATCGTCCTATCATTATGAGCCAACCCGGCACCTGTCGTTTGGTCACATGACTTATCTATTTGGCTAACGTTAAGCTCGCTACCGCGAAAGTGCTCTCCATAATCGCTATCCAGGATTAATATTTCCTTCCAGTTGAGATATCAATCCGCTTTTTAAGCCTGGAATCTCACTTCTCGGTTTCCCCGGCGTTCGTAGAACACCAAAACCTCTAGCCCCCGATAAACTCGGAAACAAGAGAAAGAGTTACCAATTTCAAGACACGGCATCCCCATACTGTAGCATATTCATAACGACTAGCTGTTCAAAACCGCTCTAACAACATCTACCAAACCAGTTAGCGAGCTCCTTCTCATATTAGTACTCGTATTCGTACTCGTACTCGTACTCGTAATCAAATATTTATCAAATGATGACTATGACTCTAATGGTCGAAAACTTTTAGTACTCTTCCCCAGTTATAACTGTACTCATAGAAGCGTTCAATTGACGACAATAAGCTCAGTCTTAGCTACCTTGCCACCACTGCTTTGAGCCATTGAGTTTTCTAAATTCAAGTTTCTAGTAGTTCGGCAATGGAGCTCTCAAAAGTGCCTATTTTAGGCAAGGAAATTATCCATGTCGGATACAACATAGCAGACCACATTGTGAAAACTATAGTCGAAGGTTGTTCCTCCTCGACTTACGTTGTGGTCAATGACACGAACATCGAAAAAGTCCCATACTATCATGATTTGGTGCAAGCCTTAGGCTCGACCGTAGAGGAATTAGGCTCTCGATTGCTGAGATACTCTGTCAAGCCCGGTGAAGCGCACAAGACCAGAGAACAGAAGGCAGAGATCGAAGACTACTTGCTGAGTGAGGGATGTACTAGGGACACTGTCATCATCGCCATTGGTGGTGGTGTCATCGGCGACATGGTTGGTTTCGTGGCAGCGACTTTTATGAGAGGTGTCAGAGTCGTGCAAGTTCCCACATCACTGCTGGCCATGGTCGATTCCTCCATTGGCGGTAAAACTGCAGTCGACACTGCACTCGGGAAAAACTTTATCGGTGCTTTCTGGCAACCCCAGTTCGTCCTGGTCGATATCAAATGGCTTGAAACGCTTCCCAGAAGAGAGTTCATTAACGGTATTGCAGAAGTCATCAAAACCGCAGCCATCTGGAATGGGGACGAATTTGCGCGCCTTGAGGAAAACGCAGACAGCTTTTTGCAGGTCGTGAACGGAGCCAAGACCACGCGTGTTTCCGTGGCAGGCCAAACTCACCAGGTTTCCGTCACAAATATCGGACACATCCTCGATCACGTCTTCAAACTAGTTCTAGAAAGCATCAAGGTCAAGGCCCACGTTGTCTCCTCCGATGAGAGAGAGTCCGGACTAAGAAACCTACTGAACTTCGGACATACCATCGGACACGCCTACGAAGCAATCTTGACTCCACAGGCTTTGCACGGCGAGTGTGTGTCAATCGGTATGATCAAAGAAGCTGAGTTGTCTCGCTATCTGAACATTTTGTCGCCCACCCAGGTTGCGCGTCTAACTAAGATTTTGGCGGCTTACGGACTTCCTATTTCTCCTGATGAGAAATGGTTCAAAGATCTTACGCTGCACAAGAAAACTCCATTGGACGTTTTGCTCAAAAAAATGAGTATAGACAAGAAAAACGATGGTTCAAAGAAGAAGGCGGTTCTTCTAGAGACCATTGGTAAGTGCTACGGTACCTCTGCTCACAACGTCTCTGATGAAGATTTGCGTTTTGTGCTGACCGATGAAGTTTTGGTTAAGACTTTCACAAAATTGGAAAATGGACAGTCCAAAACCATCATTCCACCTGGTTCAAAGTCCATTTCTAATCGTGCCCTGATTCTAGCAGCTCTAGGAGAGGGTACATGTAGGGTTAAAAATCTGCTTCATTCTGATGACACCAAGCACATGTTACATGCCGTCCAGCAGCTCAAGGGAGCATCCATTTCCTTTGAGGACAACGGTGAAACTGTGGTTGTCAAAGGTCATGGGGGTAAAACTTTAGAAGCAACCTCTGAGCCTTTGTATTTGGGTAACGCTGGTACTGCCTCCAGATTTTTAACATCTGTTGCTGCCCTTGTTAAGTCCTCCTCGACCCATAACAGCGTTGTTCTTACCGGTAATGCTAGAATGCAGGAAAGACCAGTCGGCCCCCTTGTGGACTCTTTGCGTGAAAACGGAACGAAGATCGAATACCTCAATAAGGAAGGTTCATTGCCACTCAAAATCGACACTGACTCGCATTTCAAAGGTGGCAAAATTGAGCTCGCCGCCACCGTCTCATCTCAATATGTTTCCTCTATCCTTATGTGTGCTCCATACGCGGATGAGCCTGTGACGCTTTCTCTAGTCGGAGGCAAGCCGATCTCCAAGCTTTACATTGATATGACCATCAAAATGATGGAAAAGTTTGGTGTGAAAGTGGAAGTTTCTACCATTGAGCCTCATACCTATCATATTCCAAAAGCGAGCTATGTCAACCCACCTGAGTATGTGATCGAGAGTGATGCATCCTCTGCTACCTACCCCTTGGCTTACGCAGCTATGACAGGTACCACCGTCACAGTTCCTAACATTGGTTTTGAGTCATTGCAGGGCGACGCTAGATTCGCGCGCGACGTATTAAAGCCAATGGGATGTGTGGTTGAGCAAACTGAGACCTCAACAACCGTTACAGGGCCTCCCGTAGGTACTTTGAAACCTCTAAAACATGTGGACATGGAGCCTATGACAGATGCATTCCTAACGGCATGTGTAGTTGCCGCCGTCGCTCATAGCGATGGTACAGAGACTCCTAACGTTACTACAATTGAAGGTATCGCAAACCAGCGTGTGAAAGAATGTAACAGAATTTTGGCGATGGTCACTGAACTAGCAAAATTCGGTGTAAAAGCTAACGAGTTGCCAGATGGAATCCAAGTTCACGGTGTTGACTCTTTGGCAGATTTGAAGGTTCCTACTTCTGTCGATTCTTACGATGACCATCGTGTCGCGATGAGTTTCTCGCTTTTAGCAGGAATGATTAAGCCTAAGGACAAGGGCGAAAGTACTTCTGTCAGAATCTTAGAAAGACACTGTACAGGTAAAACTTGGCCAGGTTGGTGGGATGTTTTGCACACTGAACTGGGCGCCTCTTTGGACGGTGCTGAGCCCTTAGAGGACACGTTGCAGACTCGGAAGACTAGCGTTGTGATCATTGGTATGAGAGCTGCTGGTAAGTCCACTGTAAGCAGCTGGTGTTCTAGCGCGTTAAACTACAAGTTCTTGGATCTAGATACTGTTTTCGAGGAGCAGTACCAAAAGGGTACGGTGAAGGACTTTGTTGCAGAGAAGGGTTGGGAAGCATTCCGCAAAACGGAGGCTGAAATCTTCAACACTATCATTTCGACCCACAGTGAGGGTTACGTTCTGTCAACTGGAGGCGGAATTGTTGAAAGCGCTGAATCGAGAAAGGCGTTGAAGGCCTTCGCCGCTCAAGGTGGTATCGTTTTGCATCTACATCGTGATATAGATGAGACGATCAACTTTCTGCGCAGCGATCCAACTAGACCAGCTTATGCTGAAGAAATCAGAGACGTCTGGGAGAGAAGAGAGCAATGGTACCGCGAGTGTTCGAATTTTGTTTTCTTCGCTCCTCACTGTGGCACTCCAACCGAGTTTGGTCAACTAAGAAGGTCGTTCGCATCATACATCAAAACCATTACTGGTAATTGCGAGGTCGCTATTCCAAAGAACAGGTCAGCTTTTGTGTGTTTGACATTCGAGGATTTGACGCAGAATAAGGATACCCTTGTGGACGTGACTTACGGCTGTGATGCTGTCGAACTTCGGGTTGATCACTTGAAGAGCTTTGACTTGTCCTTCGTCGCTAAGCAATTGAGTCTGCTGCGTGCTGGTACTAATTCTCTGCCAGTCATCTTCACTGTGAGAACCCAAAGCCAGGGCGGTAAATTCCCAGATGAACGCCAAGACGAACTTTTCAAGCTTTTCGACCTTGCCTTGAAAGCTGGCGTAGAATATATTGATCTTGAATTGACTTTGCCAACCGAATTGCAATATAAGGTTGTTAACAGGAAAAACAATACCAAGATTATTGGTTCTCACCACGATTTTAGTGCCTCATTTGATTGGGAAGACTCTGAATGGGAAAACAGATACAACCAGGCCCTATCTCTGGATCTCGATGTCATCAAGTTTGTCGGCACCGCCAAGAGCTTCGAGGACAACATTAAACTGGAACAATTTAGATCGACTCACACCAGCAAGCCCTTGATTGCAATCAACATGACTGATGCGGGCAAAATGTCTAGAGTGATGAACACCGTTCTAACTCCCGTGACGTCGAGCTTGCTGCCTTCTGCGTCAGCACCTGGCCAGCTGACTTTGGCTCAAATTAACCAGATTTACTCATCTTTAGGAGGTATTTCCGCCAAAGAGCTTTTCGTTGTTGGATCGCCCGTCGGGCACTCCAGGTCACCGGACATGCACAACCTAGGCTTTGAGATCTTGGGTCTTCCTCACACTTTTTGCAAGTTCGAAACAACATCAGTGGAAGAAGTTAAGAAGACCATACTTTCCAAGCCAAACCTGGGTGGACTGGCCGTGACTATCCCACTAAAGCTGGATATTATGCAGTACATGGACGAGCTTTCTGAGTCTGCTAAGCTGGTTGGAGCCGTAAACACTGTTGTCCCAGTGGAGGGCAAGTTGGTGGGCGACAACACGGACTGGATTGGCATCTATGACTCTTTTGTGGCGCAAGGTGTTCCAGAAAACGTACAGTCGGCATCAGGTTTTGTCGTTGGTGCTGGTGGCGCTTCCCGTGCAGCTATTTATGCGCTCCACAAGCTGGGATGTTCCACCATCTACAGCATCAATAGAACCGTGCAGAAATCTTATGAGATGAAGGAACAATTTCCCGCGCATTTCAATGTTAAAGTGCTTGAAATCCCCGAGCAAATCGATGAGATCGCTGAGAACAACGTAGGGTTGGCCGTAAGCTGCGTACCAGCCGATAAACCACTGGATGCCAGTTTGCTCGCGAGAGTTGAGAAATTGTTTGCTAAATCTCAAAGTGTCGGTTTCACTCCAACACTTTTGGAAGCTGCCTACAAACCCAGTGTGACGCCTCTTATGACCATCGCTGAGACCAAGTTCAACTGGCAGGTTATTCCTGGTGTGGAGATGCTCGTTTACCAGGGTGTGGCGCAATTTAAGCTGTGGACTGGTTTCAAAGCTCCTTTGAAAGCTATTCATGAAGCTCTCACTCAGTAATGTAAGCAAAACGCGCTATCAAGCCTGTCTAATGTCCTGCAACGTTGCTCACCCCAGTATGAAAGATATCGCAGAGATGGACCTAGATAAACATGAGCCAAAGTTGGCACTCTCTTTGAATCGAACTATACATAAAAATTATTTAATACCTGTCAAATATGCGTTTAGACGCTATATTCGGGCTTCTCATCGCCCGCGAGCCATGGCTACTACGAGCTCTCACGGACTCACTGTCATTGCTGACGTTATTTAACAATTATGTAGGAACTTACAGTGATGTTCAATGCCGCTTGCGCTACAGATACTGAATACTTTGACCTATAGCACGCTCAATACGCATGCCTGTATAGCAGTTTCCGGATGACAAGCTATTCTCAAGGCGAAAATGCATATAATTCGAACACTTTTGGTAAATCGCTGTCTCTGAGGGTTGACGGTGGGTTCAACGCAGTTTCCATAAGTCCCTCGGGAAGGGACGTTGTATTGGCCAGCAGACAGGGATTATTCATTGTGGACTTAGATGATCCGTTTTCTGCTCCCCGTTGGTTGCACCATCTTACTTCGTGGGAAGTAGCAGACGTGCAATGGTCGCCACACCCGTCGAAATCATCGTGGGTTGTCTCGACGTCAAATCAAAAAGCACTGGTGTGGAATTTGTCAAAAAGCTCGTCCAACGCCGTCGAGCATGTGTTACATGGCCATTTCCGTGCTATAACAGATATTAATTTCCATCCTCAGCATCCAGAAATACTGGCTACTTGTTCGATCGATGCGTATGTGCACTCCTGGGACATGCGTTCACCAAAAAGGGCGTATTATAGCGCGAGCGTATGGTCTGCTGGCGCGTCGCAAGTGAAATGGAACTATCAGAACCCAAATGTTATGGCATCGGCACATGCAAACGACATTTACATCTGGGATCTGCGAAAAGGTTGTACGCCGCTGCATGTTCTTAAGGGCCACGCAAATAACGTCAACAGTATTGATTTTAGTCGTACCAGTGAGACAGAGATTATGACAAGTGCCAACGATGGCACCGTCAAGTTTTGGGATTATTCAAAAAGCTTTCAAGAACCACAGCGAACCGTGGTAACGGACTTCCCCGTGGCCAAAGGACGGTATCTGCCATTTGGAAAAGGTTTTTGCGTTATGCCTCTAGTTGGTGGTAACAATTCGGTTTATTTATCCAGTAGCGTAACAGAGGGCGAACCCGGAGCAATGTCTAAATTTCAACCAATCTATGTTTTCAAGGGCCACAACGATCGAGTTTCGGACTTTTTATGGAGAGTACGACATAGCACTGATACTAATGTTGACGACCGAGAATTTCAGCTGGTGACTTGGTCCAAAGATAACGATCTTCGCTTATGGCCAGTCAACGAAACTACCTACGATAAAGTCGACTTCCAACGATTCCAACCTGTTGATCACCCGCCTGTCAATCACGAATATCGTACATTTCGTCAAGAACCTCTAGAATCGCAGAGCTTACCCAGCTTTGCACATTATCCCAGAGAACACTTTGTAACGAACTCCGGCTTCGAAGATTCTCACGACAAGAATAAGATCAATCATCTGGCTTGGGTTTCAGGTGTAAGGATGCACCATGCTGATTCCCCACGCAGCCTATTTGATTTGGACAAACTACAAAACTTAGGGGAAGAAGTCAGCATGATTGGCCACAAGTTTCCCAAAGTCATCTTTGAGAAGATCTCGGTGTCCACTGGGACTTTGACACTGACATTATGCGGTCCTTGGTCTGAGCAAAATCCAGAAGATTTTGTGTTTCTAAGGATCGAAACAGTTTTTCCTCCAAACTATCCTCGTAAGAGCGCTCCACGATTCAAAATAGAGGAAAATCGTGAATTGGACTCTTCGAGAATCAAGGAGATCACGGAGCAGCTTCAAGAGATAGCACGCGGGTACACAAATCTTGGGAAATACTGTTTAGAACCATGCTTGCGCTTCCTATTGGGCGAGAAGATAAACCTTGATACGCTGCAAGAAGAAGAACAATTGCTGAACTTAGATGTCGTTGACTATTTGGGTTTGAATGATCTCTCTTCTCTGGAAAGCTCGGATATGAGGTCTGGTGCCATCTCAGAGGAGTCAAGGACATCTGATGAAAATGAAGAGGATCTCGATAATAAGAGTAGCAACGACGGGTTCGTTTCTCACTCTGCGCAGACCTTGGAAATTGATTCAACTCCAATACCAAAGGGTTGTGGCGCTACTTGGGCTCCTTCAGGTAAGCTCGTTTGCTTCTTTACCCTTGAAGGAAAATCCGATAAGAAGCAACAAAGCATGTTGAGGCTAGGTCAACGTGGCCCTACTAGCCTAAAGGTCAAAAATACACCGGAACAGCTATATGATGAGAAAACAGAGGTAGCCTCTAGGCGTCCTAAGCGCTATGTCGAAACACTTTCAGCATCTTCCGCCCACAATAGTGAAACAGGAGTCTCTGGGAGCGACACCGATAGTGACACCAGCTCTGACAGTTTTGGAGACGATTGGGATGATATTATGCGCACAGATATTACTTTGCGGACAAAGATGCCAATGCTTTCCAACTTTGGCAGGTCACTGGCGTCTGCGCCGTCTGATGACGGGAAAAGCAACGTGTCTCCGCCGAAAGCTAAAAACGTTGTTTATGTTCACGATTATAGCCACTTGATCGCAGACAGGAGGCAACTTGCGGTTGACTACAAGTTCACTGGGGAATCTTTAGAGGCGGTTTGCAAGCACAACGCTCAGGTCGCAGATTCTAATGGGCTAGAAGATATTGCTCATTGTTGGAGAATGGTCGGGAATTTACTCATAGACCGTGAAGAGAGGTACAATGCCAATTTTGGGTGGCATCATACCGCTCGAGGTGATAAATGGTTTGTCAAAGAGGCAATGAATTACTTCGAAAGGTCCAAAAACGTGCAGATGCTGGCCATGTTTAGTTGCATACTAATGAACCCGTCACTAGAGAAACTAACCAGGGGAACGGGTCGATCGAGTCTAGGTGAAAAGAATGTCATCACCTTTGAGTGTGATGATCAAAGTAACTTCTCGCGATCTCGTCATCAATCAGTGACGTCATCCTTGAGGTCCGAGGACTACTTTTCGCCGCACCACTCCAGTGTTAGGCCGCTGCGATCACGACTGTCAAATTCACACACTCCTTCGGAGATCGTTGGGCAGCATTCGTTTTTGCCGGACATTAAAATCGAAATTTTGAACAACGATGGACTTGACTATATGGATGGAAAAGCACTCGCGCTTTTGGATCCTGCTGACGAACCCAAGTATCGGTCATACCGATACCAGTATGCGGAGCTTCTTTTCTACTGGGGTCTTCTCATTAACAGAGCAGAGCTTTTGCAATTTAACAACACAAACGAGCACTTTCCACCAGAATTGTGGCACCACTCTTCGAGCTGTGAGCTGGATACCTGTGGCGAAACCAACTACACCGGAGTTTCCTACAAAACGCTGGAAAACGACTCAGATTTCCTGACAACGCGCATCTGCAATTTCTGCGAGCTACAAGTCTCGGGAAGAGGTTTTGTATGCGGCAATTGTCAGCATATAATGCACGCACACTGTGCCAAGCTATGGTGGGAGCAGAGTGACGAATGTTCCTCTGGCTGTGGTTGTAGGTGTATTGAGATGTTCGATGTCGTGTGATCGCCAGTGTGTCGCTCTTAAAGAGTAGCCCATCGATTAGGTAAGAATCTCGAACCCTTTTGGGAATATTACCATATTGGGAAAAACATGAGAATATTACCTCTTTGGATTATACCTGAAATTTCGTTTAGCTGAACTCTAAGCTAGTGAACAGACTCTTCGCACAACAAACATCACCAAGAAACACAATCGTTGACTATACTCAACTTAATCTAGTGCGTTTGAACTATGTCTGAACCCAGGAAAGTTGCCGTCATTACTGGCACCAATAGGTATGGTTTCTTTGCCGTTCTTTTGAGCCATTTTGAGCATCAAAAACTAACTTAATGATCAGTAACTTGGGACTGAATACAGCCTATCGCTTGATAGAACAAGTTGACAGGGATGTGCGATTGACTATCGTGGTGACCTCACGAACTCTTCCTAGAGCTCGAGAAGTTATCGATCAAATTCAGAAATTCGTGGAAGACAGCAAGCGGCCAGGTCCAGTCGATTACGACTATCTTCTGGTTGATTTCACTAACATGGTAAGCGTCCTGGGCGCATATTATGATCTCAACAAGCAGTACAAAGATATTCACTATTTTTTTGTGAACGCAGCTCAGGGTGTGTATAGCGGCATCGACTGGATGGGTTCTGTTAAAGAGGTGTTGAAAAATCCAATAGAAGCGGTGACAAACCCGACTTACAAGATACAACGCGTCGGGGTAAAGTCCGAGGATGGGTTGGGTCTCGTTTTCCAGGCTAATGTGTTTGGCCCCTACTATCTCATTCAGAAAATATTGCCTCAGTTGCAAGCAGGTGGGGCCGTCGTGGTGTGGATTTCTAGTATCATGTCAGATCCAAAGTACCTCTCGCTCAACGATATTGAACTCATTAAGAGTCCAGCCTCTTATGAAGGATCCAAAAGACTGGTCGATTTGCTGCATTTGGCAACCTACAAGAGCTTGAGTGAGCGTGGGGTGAAGCAATTTGTGGTGCAACCTGGTATCTTTATCAGCCACTCTTTTTTCCAGTATTTGAACGTTTTCAGCTACTATGGAATGCTTTTTTTGTTTTATATGGCCAGATTTTTAGGCTCGCCATGGCATAATGTGGACGGCTACCGTGCGGCCAATGCCCCTGTTTACGTTGCGACGCTAGCAAATCCAGCCTTCGAGCAACAAAATGTTAAGTACGGGTCTGCGACTTACAAAAATGGTATGGAATACGTTCGCACAGAAGAAATAGAACCCACAGGAACGCAAGACGTTTACGCTTATATCAAGAAGTTAAAGGAAGAATGGGATGAGAAGTTGAAAGATCAGATTACCAATTCGAGGCAGGTGTAACAGGAATGTCGAGCCTCTTGGCTCTTTTTTCTACACATAGAATACAGGGTTAGTTAAGTAAGCAGTTCAAAATCAATGTTTTAAGGCCATCAAAGAGGCAACGAAGGTTAGGATCAATCTGGACCGTACTTCGTTGATATCCTCAGGTACTAGCCAGATTAGAGCGCCCAACTTTCTGGCAATGGAAATAGCCAATCTAGCGTTTGCGTATCTGTCATCGTCCGTCTTACCGGGGGTCACTAAGTCGTAATCGACGTAGCCAGGAGCGATTCCATTCAACACGTCCAAGAGGAAATGACCACTGGACAAAGCAGAGTCGCCAAAGGATCTAACGTGCGAGGATTTGCCGCCCTTGGTGACTTGCTCCTGGGCCCATTTTAGAATTTGCGCATCGCTCAGCTCCTTACCGTTAGCGGCCAGCGTTTTCATAGTGTTTACAATGTTTCTTCTCATCAACTGCCATACCAGACCAAGCGTGAGCAACTTGTTACCATCAGTGATGTCAGAACCCTCGATACCAACCAAAGAAAACCCACGGGACTTTCCGAGTTCGACGGCATAGTTCGTGTTCTCCAAAGCCTTAAATCTGGACAGCTCATTACCTGATGTAGGGCGTTTATTGACGACTCTTTGTTCAACGGCCCCTGGCATTACTTTATCGTAAGCCTGTAATAAAATTAGGCCATCCTTCAAGTCCTCGAACAAAGAAACCACAGCAGGGTCGACATCTAAGGAATTTAGCCATAGAGTAAAAACACGAGCTTCTCTCTCACCTTCAGCATCAAACTCCTCGATCTCGGGTTTTTCAGATTCTTCAATTGGTTGCAACCCTGGGTGTGTATTGAACAAGTGTGCGACGAAAGCCAAGTTTAACTTAGGATTACCGGCAACCAAAGAGCTGGGAGTTAGGTATTTTCTGCAGTCTAGCTTCTCCGAGTTCTGGAGTACTTGTTCGGCTCTTTGCAATAGGTCCGTAGTTTGTAGAGGTGCACGAGAGCACAACTCTGGCGCCAATTGGTTTAGAAGAATTGTGTAGTTTTCCGCGTCAGACACGTCTTTGGAGAAATTAGTCACTCTTCTCTCCCAGCCTGCCTGTTTCAAATGGTAGTTGAACCAACGAAGCAGAATTTGCTCTGGTGGGAGTCTCAAAAATTGTTCGAGGGTCTCGTCATCTTCAAGCAAGCGGTACAGCTCTGGATGATGTTTAATGTCGATTTTGCTCAGCAGTCCCCTACGAATAATCTGCCAAATAAGACCCAAGATCAAATGCTCTTTACCCTCGATAATGTCTTCCGAATGCACGTTGACAACAACACACCCAATAGCCTTTGCAGAGTTGATGACAATGTTGGCGTTTTCGCTCGCGGTGAAGTTGTTGAGACGCTTCCCGTTTTTGGGCCAATTCAACACTCTGGTGTCGATGGTGTCTGGAACCGAGTCATTGATCAATTTGGACAGCACCAGCCCATCTCTACACTCGTCGAACAGCTGGAATGTGTCGGTTGCAAAGGGCAGTTTGTAGCCGATTTCTGCGTCGCCAGCCAGGACGCTATTGATGTGTTTTGTGAACTCAGTTCTCTCTTCTTCGTTGATGGTATGCGTACTGCTGGTGGTAGAGCCACCCACGATAATCTTTGCTTGTGCACCCGAGCCCTTGTGCTGTAGTCCAGCAAACGCTGGCGTTACTGGGACATTCGCTGGTGCAGCGCCAGTTTGGAAAGAGGTTGCTGGTGGCGGACCAGCCCTGGCGTCTTTGAGCTTGGCAATAAGCTCGACGTAGTCTTCGAGTTCCACACGACCCGATGCATCTACACCCACCTGTTTGAGTGTTTCTCTGGCCTCGTCGTACGACGCCTCGCCTGACTTCGACACGGCTGCCAACAGCTGGCCCTTTTCCACCCATCCGTTGTCCTCGAGGTCAATTTCTCTGAATTTTTCTACCATTTGGAAGATGTCTTCCTGGGTTAAGATGGGGAACTTTCGCTGTTGATTGTGTCTTGTTAGTCTAAAGGTCCGTAAGGTTCAATTGGTCACTGGAGATCTCAAATGACGTCTTTTTCGCTCGTTCGAATCGGAAAACATACCTGTAACTTGATGATATTCATTTTCAATGGTGCCAGTCGCTTTCAGGCCTCTCTTAGACTGCTTATCGAGTTGATTGGCTTTGAAACAAGCTTGGTTTGGTTTTATGACTTGAGTTGACTAAAGGGCAAGGCTTGTTTTCCATGGTCCAAAAATTGGCGGGCGGCGGCCCCCTTCCAGTTTTCGTATTTAGTGATTCTGGGACCTGCTGCTGATGTAATCAAAAATCAAGAGTAAGTTTTGATCACGTGGTGTTGGCGCCAGCCGCGACGTAATCGGCGCTGGTACTACTACTAGGAACACCACCACCACCGCCCGTGCGCGCACCGCTCAGGTCTGGTTCTGTCCACATCCAAGCGTCCCTGGCCGAGACCACTTGGCAATATTTTCGAAGCCATTTGTAAGAATCCACCTCGGTTCCTGGCGAAACATGCTCGTTTTGCTGGATCTGTCGTTCGCATTTGTGAATAAGCTCCTGTTCCTGCTGCAGAACCGAGTAAATATCGTGAAGTTGACTTGGTTCCAGCACGTCCATCGCGTCCGAGCCATTCCAGAACCGTCGGAGTGCGATTTTTTCCGTAGACACACCTGTGTCCAGTCTGCGCACGTTGGGACGCTCTGTAGGCAATAGATGGCCAGTTGTGGAACCTAGGTGGCTGTCGCTTTCGCTCAACGACACTTGCTCGTCCTCGTCCTCGGAGCTATCGCAGCACCACAGATTCAGGTCCGGCCTGAAATCCTGGCGCGCGCATTTGTGTTTGTGTTTGTCTTTATGGAAGACCAGGCAATGCGTCGCACTTTCGGAGCTCAGCATTTGGTCGGTTTTGCTGACTGCCAGCATTCTCTTGTCACTGAACGGTGCGAAATCGTACACGTCTGTGTTTTTAGGCTGCTGGTTTGGCGTTTCAGGGTCCTTGGCAGGCTCGTTAGGCGAGTCGAAGATGTCGCGGTCGTCTAGCAGCGAGCGCCCTTTGCTGGGAGTATGGTGTAATATTTTGATTTTGGGCGTCCTCCATGGGGGTAAAGACGGCAGTTCGAAACTTGCTTGTTCTGGTGATCCCAGGTGCTTCCTCGGCATTCTTTAAAGGCTCTATTTGGTGGGTTTTATCGTTTTTTCGAGAAGTTGGTTAAAGTTAGATCTAGTATGGTAATTGATGAGTTTCCTATATATATATATATACTCAAGCCGCTATGTAAAAGGTAAACAGAGAAGAAAACAACAGAAGTCAGGCTCTAGACTGTTGTCGATTAGTAGGTCGCTGTCCCGATGGGAACTTCTAGTTTTCTGCTCTTCTACGCTTTTTTCGGGAGCGTTTTTGATGAAATTTCGATAGACTAAGTAGCCTTGTGAAGAATCATCTCAATTGAGTCTTGGACTCGCTGTGGAGAGCCATTGGTGAGATATTTCTCGGACAAGTTGAATTTAGAGCAGCTGGATTAGACAAATGTCAGATTTTTGGTCTTTTTTCGAGGTCTTGTAGGTCAAAGGTGCCCTGGCACCACAGATAAACTGGAAAGACATGCAGATCTTCACGCTAAAACGCGGGAGTCGTTCTGAAAAGTCTAGAGTCTCGTACAGCGAGTATATGACAGCGGGGTTGGTAGATTTAAGAAATGATACAGTAATCACCAGCCTTTCTATCCTCTCTATCCTCTCGAGATTCTTTTAAAAGTTTTGTCATTTCGCTTGGACTAATGAAAAAACAGTGCTGAGACTTGCAGCAAGAGCACCAAATTCACTGAATGCTGGAGGACGCATCTTTTGCCAACGCTTACAGCAGGCCGCTGAGGGTCAATTTCTCGAGGAACGAAGACAAATCGTCCCGCTGCACCTCAATTATTGAGCTCTCGAAGTTGTCGATCCTCACCTTGGCTCCGGTTTCGGCAGCTATTTGGTGGAACGCAACGCTGAAGTTGTTCAACAGCGGCTTCCGGGCCTCCAGCTTGTCCATGCCTCTGGGGTACCGTGGTGCCATTCCTGCAACCAAATAATTGTCCGTCGACGTATCTAAACTGCTAAGCACCAGCGGCAGCAGTTGGCGATGGTCTGTTTCAGCGCAACACTCCAAAATCCAGTTCCCGAGTCGCATTAAAGTAAGTGGGTTTCTGTACAGATCCAAGTCAGGACCGTGCTGCAAAACGCACAGTCGATACAATCGCAGATTTTTGATTAAACGTTTTTCAAGAATGGCCACCCCAGTGTTGAAAACTGAGCGTTGCAAGTACTGAGCGTGCTTGATACCGCGACGCATTAGTTGTATATCATCGTCCAGTGCATCCCAGCTCAGCCAAAAGTTACTTACCCATTTTCTTTCACGACGGGTAGTGAGTTCCTCTACATCGGCTTCTAGACCCTCTGCGGCCGCAGGGCCGCTGCCTTTTGTAATATCCTCAGGATCTACAGCTTGACCGACCTCCAAAAGTGCTGTTATTGACTCAACGAACTCGCTCGCGCTGATAGCCCCACGGTAGCCGAATGTGCGAACAAATCCGTCTCGTACAATCTCTTGAAGCCCGTATCTCTCCAAATTTTTGTCAAAAATGGTGCCTAGCTCTCTTTTAATTCTGTTATCCATGTAGAGCCAGTTTTCTTGTGCTGTAGACAGTGAAATCCCCATACGTGCGAATATCTTGTGTAGCCGTTTCTTACCGTTTTCATTCCAGAGCGACAGTTTGGCATTCACATAGTTGGAATAGAAGAAACTGTCGTACAGTGACGAATGTCTCAACATGAAAAGATAGTAATCGGGCTGAATCTCCAGCGATAGGGTATCAGGAGTTTTGAACGATTCGTGTGGTGACAGACGTTTGACTTCGTCTTGCAACAACGGCAGTATCTGGTTGTATATTTGAGGATGGGCAGCATCCAACGAAGAAACGCCTAATATTGTTAGCCACAGATATGCTATGCTCGTTTCACCAAGTGCAGACAAAAGGGAGTAAACCTGAGCGGAAAGGGAGTTTGAAATGGACGTTCCCTGAGCGTAGTATTCTTCTAGGATGTCCTCATACTGATTTATAAGCTTTTTGCGCGCCTTTCTATCCCTTTTTGAGCCACTTCGAGAATTTCGTCTTTTGGACGAGCCCGTGTTGCCTTCGTCTTCATCTTCATCTTCGTTTTTTCTGTCCTCGTCGTCCTCGTCGTTTTCAGTATCGTCTTGTCCCTCATCGTCGTCGTCAGAGTCTTCAGCGGTCGAGCCCTCCTGTTCGTCCAAACCGGGCTGGTTCTCGAGCTCTATAAGCTTGAGATATGCGTCCTGCTGTGTTTTCAGCGTTTCCTCCACAGTTCCATCATCAAAACAGGTTACCATTCGCGAGCCGAACAGATTATGCAAATTCCATGGTCGATGGGTATCCAGCACGTAAATTTTGCGTCCCGTTCTAGTGTCCTGCTCTTCATCTTGATCTTCGATTTCCAGATACGCTTCTATATCTATCATCCCACCGCATCCTATAAAGATGACACTATTGATGTTATCGTCCAGTTTCTGGTAAAATGTCTTCAGCTCTGCGTACCCAAACACTGGAACCAACTGTAATTGAATCAACTCCTTTTTAAACAGTTTGGCAAGCACTTTGCTTGCACATAACGCGTCGATGTTCAAACACGATACAAATATCACCAATTGACACGCTGAGTGCGATGAAGAGTACCTCAAAATTCGATCGTACGCATCCTGGAACTGTCTAACTTTTAAAAACATGCTTTGGAGTGTTCTAGCTGGGCTTGAGGACGCAGTTTAAGCTGTTTTGCTGGTACTCATCGAGGCGATGAGTACGATCTATAATGTAGAATTCATAATTTACTGTTCTTATTCGAAGTGAACACGACAACTAATCCATAATACAAGCGTTTTGAACAGGCAAGTGAGTGTTTCGCTTCAGCTGTTAATAAATTTATAAATATCAGAAGTATGCTAGCTATCTGGGCGCTTCTTTTGACATCTGTGTCGGGTTTCTTCTTTGATTTCAATCAAAATGGGCATCAACAACATCAACAGAACCCACCGGCGTCTTATGAAGAGCAGGTTTTGAACAACGCATGCGGCGATTACCTGTGTCCCGACACACTGGCTTGTGTCAAAAACTCCTGGGAATGTCCTTGTCCGTTCCCGAAATCACAGCTGAGATGTGAGCTTCCTAAAGGCCAGTATATTTGCATTTCGAAACCCGCCACGCAGGACGAAGCTTTGAACGCACTATATGACGACCCTGCTAAGGGCCCTAGGATCCGATCGAGTGGTTTAAGAGATTGTGGCTGGGTGGAAAATGCGTACAAAGGCTCTCTGTGAGAGTGGCCAGCCTGCGACCGCGCTCTCTTTTCGATATAATGATTTTGCATCTGTAGCTACGTCTATAGGAAACCCTCAACATTGGTTTAGTCTCTATTTTTCCCCGGTATCCACCGTCTATACATGATTTCGCCTACTTTATAGCTGCTGAAGAGCTGTGAGAACTTGCCTTGCTGCCACATGAGAAGCGCTTCGTGTTGCGGTCTCTGCAACTCCACGTAGCACAGAATAAAGCTTTTCTTGGCGCCTCCAACGACCCTTGCAGAGCTGGCATACCAAGTATAGTCCATGGAAGCGTCGCTGTTGAGAACCATGATCCCGAACTCAGCGTGCTGGAATGGCGGCCCACGTTTGTAGAGTAGAAAGTCGCAGCCAAACTTGATGCCCGATCGTACGCACCAGCCGTGAGATCTGTAATGGTGATAGGCAACATACTTGATGCACAGCTCGTTGATATCTGCATATGAGGGATGGTCTCCCACTAACGTTCGAGTCAGCGTGAGCGGAGATATGTCCAGGACCGGCAATGCGAAAGTGAGAAAAATGGCTTCTACAGGCATGAGTTCCAGGACTTCTAGGTTTACTAGCTCATTGCTATCATTGAACAACTTCTCGTCGGCGGTTCGGGACTGGACGTCGCTATTTTGTTGCAGCTGAGTTTCTCGGTCTCTTAGCGATTTTAGAAATTCTCGCTCTTGCTGAGCTATTTCAGTTTCTGCAACGCCTTGTCGTCTTAGATCGAGTCTAACAGCCTCAAAGTTGGCCCTCTCGCGTTTGAACTCCAGTCTTTCTAATCTTCTTTGCTCGGTAACATGCTCTAATGCCACTAACGATTTCTGGAGTCCGAGACGGTCTAACGTTCTCTGCTTCCACGTTGGCTCGCTTCGGGACAATTGTGCGGTGCCAAAAAACCCGTTGCGCCACAAATACAGCATTTCATTCGGGTCCGCAACCGTTATGTGCTTACCATTTGAAAACCTGACATGGATTTTAGATGGCAGCAGGTTTGTTCGCGAGACATAGCTATAGAGCCAGTACAGCCATGAAACTGGGTTGTGTGGAATTAACTCTGGCAGGTCGTCCAATGGGTGGATCGGCAGCGGGTACTTGTAGTGTTTTGCATTAGGCACGAACTTTGGCATCTTGGGTGATGAGCTGCGATGAGCTGCGACGACAAACCTGGAACATGAGTTAAGAATAGTATCTTTACCGTTGAAAAAGAGTCGATGAGCGGTTCTCGAGCACGCCAGCCGAGAGAAAGAGCGCGTCACAGGACTTGTCAAAGGTTAAGACACGACTGTGTGACCGTTGCTCGGCAGCATGATTTGGTGTTTTTAGTTCTACTGCGATTATACATATGCATTAAAATTACGATCAAGACGAAAAATATCAGATACCGTTGTAGTCTATTGAGAAATCATAATGCTCACAGTGATTTTACTCTTCAAGCATTGATTTGTATCATCATTATAATCCGTAGTCCCTAACTGTAGCTTGAGTAACTTACGTTACGTCGAGGTTCCAGTGAGAGCATTGATAAGACTTTGAAAGCCCCGCAAAACGCCAGGAAAACGCTACAAAGCACACCTTACTATCTAGTTTAATGTCCTTTGAATCGTTCGATAGTTTAGGAGACTTATTCAGCTTGTCGCGCAAGAAATGATTGTTGATTTGATTTTGAATAGTGGTTAAGGCTGGGTTAAATTGCACTTAGTGTTCTCAATTTTATAGTCCATTCATTTCGTCCTTGGTGATATATAAGCCAGTTCTCAACTATACAGGGTAAATTAAACGGCGTGGGTTAGGTCTTGACGACCTACAAAAAGGATTTTGGATGTATTCAGCAATGATCGATTTTGGACGAGACGTTGTTAATTCTTACAGGCCGCAATCCTGAGTTTATTGGAATGTGTGGTTTTCGAAACCAACAGTTTAAATATTTTGATATTCTTGTGAGATAAATAGTCGTGAAACGGCTACGTTTTGTTACTCTGAAAGAATACACCTGTGATAATACAAGCTATGGGCCGAGTGGATTTGGAATTGTTTGTGCTCACGAACAGCTACAGGATCTGAAATCTACAAACCAGTAGTTATAATGCTTGCAGCGACATATTAGTACAAAGTGATATATCTAGAGTAGACGGACTTGAAGGACAATTGGATACACCACAGTCTCTGGATAGAAAGAGGTCGATTACGGATCTCCTAAGTTATCTTAGATAATATCGTTTCTTATTGATATATACTTATCTTTATCAAGCCGAGGCAAGCTCGGAAAAGTATTGACGTAAGATGACAGACAGCATTTCTGGTAGTTCCGAGATGTCGCGAACAAGCACGTAGAACTCAAATGGGAAAGTGTCGAGATATCTCTCCACCTTTAATTGTACGTTTCCAAAGGTATCTGGAACATATTTGACTTGGCTCATATCCATTATCGATTCTGACGAGTTAATACCATCGACAATGACAAATACCAACATAATCTTGTTATCGCGAGCACGACGAACCAGTCTCTCGATAGTGTCGTGATCTTCACACACACCATCTGAGATAATGATCTGCAGCTGCCACAAGTCGGCATTATTGAGAGAGCGGCCCCGATCGAAAATACGAATGGACTCGGCCACCAACTTCTTGACATCGGTGCGAGTGTCTTGGAAATCAAACCATTGGAATATCTTTGCACCAGCATCATTACCGAAAGGTTTATCAAACTGATGAACCTCTTGGGTGGTATCGCCGAACTTCACAATCGAGAGTCCACCAGATTCTAGCTGTGTTAGTGCTTTCGAGACTAAGCAAATACTTTGGAATGCGAGATTGACGGATTTCGATTCGCTCATAGATTTTGAGTCGTCCACGGCAATCATGATTTGGTACTGGCGTTTGCTGGGTTTGGTTCTTCTCAACCAGATTTTATCCTTGCGGAATTGAGACGCGATGTATGGTATGATACGTTTCATATTGAGCCTCTTACCTGTTTTGTAATCGCCTCTCAGCTTTGTAGCCAGAGTTGGCTCCAAAATGAGACGCAATTGTTCACCCAACCCAGCAGCTAAGTCAGCAGTTTCAATTTCACTCTTCCGCCACAATTTACGAGCTTCTTCCAGACTTCTGGGAGGTTCAGCATCGGCCTCTTCAATTATCACCTTTTGGTCGATTGCGTCGATAATCTCGTCCAGATCATTCCTGTCTAACTCAAGTAACTCGGAGTTGGTAACAGGATTTTGGTTGGCCGCTGTTTCTTGCTCGTCCAATAATGATCCGGTCGCCTTACCTTGACTATCCCGATCTTGGACTTGTTCTGGAGTCACATTTTCTTCGCTCTTTTCCTCTACCGGACCTTCGTTTTCAGCAACAAGCTCCTCTGGATTTTGAATGTCGTCGTTGACATCTTCTGCTTCATCGTCAATTGCCATTTCTTCGTTAATAGCAGTGGTTTGATCTTTGTTAGCAGAGCCAAGGGCTTGAGTATCGTGATCGGTATTTGCGCCATCGGTGTGCTCGAACTCGTCGGGACGCTGGTTTGCACTGGGGCCTTCATCCATAGCGTCATCAGTGTTGGACGCTTCTTTAATGTCTTGATGGCGCCTGTGAAATTCTTTCAGACTATCTCCCAGTTGCTTCAGACTCTCTTTCGCTTCTTGTCGAGAAATCTCATTTACGTTTTCTGAGTCTTCTTGTCGTTCTTGCTGGGCATTGCCGAAGCTTCCGACATTGTCGTCTTCTTCGTCATTGGTGGCATCGGCTCCTTGGCCCTGAGCTCCACTCTGCTTTTGGACACTTGGCTCGAAGTCGTCGTTGTTAACATTCATCGCGTCATCAGCTCCATCTAGTCCCTCCAAATTGTCATCTGTGCCATTTTCTTCGCCAGCTTCTTTGCTTCCCATCTCTTCATCTTTATCATTAGAGAGTGTTTCAGGGTTTTCTTCTACAGGATTTGGCTCCGAGTCTGATTTCTCGTCACCTTCTTCCTCGTTAGATTTATTTTCATCTGTCTCGGGTTCAGCCTCTTCGCCATCCATCATGTCGACGTCAGCATCGTCTTCAGGCATTTCATCCCCATCTTCAGCTTCTTCTGATTCGTCATCTGCGCCTGTTTGACCGTCAGCACCTTGTTCACCGGTCTCTTCCTCATCTTCGCCACCAGATACGTCCTCCACTTCGCTTTCACTTCCGCTTTTCCCGGACTCATCATCTCCAGAATCCAAATTCATGTCTTCTGGTAAATCCATTGTTTCGACTTCTGGTACAGCGGTTTCCAGCTCAGTGCCCTCGTCGTTTCGAACTTCATCGTCCTGTCCCGTGGCCTCGTTCTCTTCATCTGATTCTGACCCGGACTGCTGATCCTCTTCATCCTCTTCATTATTACTATGTTTGGCGTCCTCGGCTTCTTCGTCCTGAGGTTTCTGATTGTCAGCTTGTTTCTCATCTTGTTCATTCTCCGCGGCTTGAACATCGTCATCTGCTGAATTTCCCGGAGCTTCATCGGCCTGTTTCTCCTTTTTAGAATCATCAGATTCCTCATTCCACATCTTTTCATCAATAGCGTTAGGATCGTCTTCGTCTAAATTGTCTATCTCTTCGTCTAACTCCTCGTTCCCTTCTTCTTCCTCTTCATGCTCATCGTCATCGCCGCCACTTGCATTTTCCAAGTCGCCCGCCATGTCACCCTCCATATCAACAGCATCGTCTTCGTCGTTTTCTTGGTCTTCATCTTTATTTTGATCTTCATTCGGCTTTTGAGCATTTTCCAGAAGGTCCTCATCCTCTTCAACATCCTTTGAGTTGTTCTGTGCTCCTTCTCCATCGCCTAGACCAGTACCATCCTGGAGATTATTGTCCTCGGTTTGCTCGTCTGGTGGGGTGGGAGAGCAGAATCCATTCTTGCCCAGATTATAGAGAATTGATGCCAATGTAAACGTACCATGCGAAAGTGAATCGTATTCGACTTTCATTTTGTTCATTAGAGATACCAAAAGCTGGAAATATCTCGACACCATCGGTAAGGAAAGCTTAATGACAGCTAGAATAACTCTAGATTGTTCTTTAGAGAAGTTCAGGGACTTGATCATTTCAACAGCATCGTTTAAGTTGGAAGAAACTCTCGAAGTAATAACTCTTTTTGACACATTGATAACTCTTTTGTGCGAGCTCACCAACCAATTATCGTCTTCCATTGTTATTTCCTCTGGTCGGGTTTCTACTAGATGTTGTATTGTAAGCATAATCGAAGTGCTCACTTTGCGGAAAGTATTTTCAATGTGCTCCAAGCTACCAGCATCGGCTGTGCTATCAGGTAAGTGGTGAGAAAGCTTCTGCTCATTTATCCACTCAACCACAACTCGAGAGATGAAAGCAGTCTTTGATGAACCATTAGAGGACAGCTTGTTCGACAATTGTAGACTAAATTCATTAAAGTCCTCTAGAAGATTCCGGGCCCCACCGTCTAAAATTTGCCTCTCAGGAGACAAAGGCTTGAACTGCAGCACCTTCTCAATACCTTCCGAGAAAATCGTTGCTAGCCATTTGCTTTCTGGGCCTGGGGCGGTGAGGTTCAGTGTTTCAAGCGCGTAGCGCAAAATCTCTGGAAGCCACCTACACATGTAGGCGAATTTTTCAGAGGTTATCTCGAGAGATTGATGAAGCAAGGGATCTGTTGATCTCGAGACTTGATCTAGATTCTCTTGAAGCATCTTTATGCGCATGAAGTTATCTGAGAAGTCACGCAACGTTTTCCGACTTGTAATCGAAAAGTAGAGAAGATTCTCTACAACAGCCAAGCCTTTCTCGATAGCAACAAGAGGAGCATCGGCGGCTGGACTCGATATAGCAAAACGGAGGCGAGGCATCAGATCCAAAGTCCTGTAAAAGTAGGAATCGCATTTCTCGAGTGGAGAGCCTTCAAAGGTCTCCACACAGCTGAGAATAGATGTCACTGATTCTTGAACCTTCCGAATGTCTTCTCTAAATCCAGTTTTTAGACCCATTCTCCTCAGCTCTTTGAGCGAATCATTCAACAATTTTGATTTCTGGACTCTTAAAGCGGCTAGCAGTTTCTTGTCCTTTTTATTGTAGACCTTGGGCGTCTCGTTACGCAAACGGTCTGCTTCTGCGCTCAGTTCGTCAACAAACATTTTTAGATGAGGGTACTCCTCAGCTTCAATCAACAAACAGTGGCTGGACATCTTCCTTGAGCTCGACTCCAAGTTTTTTAGCGGTGCAGGCCTGCTTTCCCAACTGGCGATCTTGGTGACCAATTCATTGATCTCCGAGACAACATATTGATGTTTGTTAGACGCCACAAAATGTTCGAGCTCAAATCTCTCTCGTGCTAGGCCGTGTAGACCACTTTCGATGATTGGGGACACGTTTTGAGATAGTAAACTACGGTATTTTCTGACCAGCTTGTAAAGGTTATTGTGCGAGCGATGTGAGCTCTGCTTCAGTGCATCTATGTTCACATCTTTCCAACTAGCAAGCAAAATCACTTCAGAGACATCTTTCTCTAGCTTCTTCCTTCCATCTTTGAGGCTGACCTCGATGACTGCAGAAAACTGGTGGTAGAATGTTAACAGATTGAATAGAGCCTGTGTAATCTTTGAATTTGGTCCCGTCAGAGCCTTCGTGTGATTCGCAAAGGCTTTCAGGAGAGCGAGACGACCACTAAACTCCCCGTAGCTGCATTTACTCAAAAAGACATTCAGAGATCCAAGGAGTTTTGCAATTGCATCGTAATCGTTTCCACTCTCTGATTCTTCCTTCGAAACCGTTAGTGTAATGGTCTCATATAGATAAAACCACCACTTACCCATGCTCTTGTTAAGGGCGAGATTTTCGTATTCAAACAGACTATTCCAGGTTCGCAGCTCCAATTTTCTCCACGAGACTACCAGATCAGTGAGCTCTCGCAATGAGGCTTGCATAGAAACCGCAACCGAGGCATATTTCTCCCACTCCGTAACAATTGTGAATATCTGCTCGATTTTTTGCAGTAGACGTGCAATGGGCGTATTTCCTGAGTATTCCATGAATTCTTGGCATACTCTAAACAAGTCGTTGAGCGTTGAGTGCTCAGGCCATTGCATTAATAAGCTATTCGTTGAGACCCACACTTTTTCGACGACTGATACTGCCCTTTTAGTCTCGTAAAGTGAGGACTCGCGGTAGAAGTCCAGGTTTGCAGATTCCTTTGGACTCTTAAAGCTGCTCAGCAGCTGTGCGAGCTGATTTAAAGCTGGGGTTAAGTTGCTTGGCTTAGGAGCGCATGTTTTGAACGTGACACCGACCTGTACCAACGCATCACTCACACTTGAACCGTCATTTATCAAATCAGATAGTCCGACAGGCGCTTCGTCGCCAAAAATTGTGAGGTATGTTCTGGCAATATTGTAGTAGACGTCATCCAAACAAGTCTCCTCTGACAGCTTAGGGGCGCTTTCATTTTCAACTGACAAAACTTCCTGATAGTCGGGGAACATTCTCTTGAAATCTGACTCGACATCGACCTCCGCATCATCAAATTTGTAAACGCCCACTTTAGACTGAGCTTCCTTTTCGTCTCTTAGACGGCGCATGGACCATCTGTAGTAAAGGGTTTGAAGAGCGCTTTCAAATGTGTTCGAGAGCTGGGCATCTCTACTGTGGAAACTGAACGCCTTGAGATAAAACGTCGCGATGCGCTCGACGGAGAGGGACTCTACAGTAGCTCTTTTTAAAAGGGTTTGCACCTGATCGTATGAGTCGTTCAACTTTTGAGAGCTGGTCAATATGTGCAAATCAATGGTCCACAACGGGGCTAGAGTTGTGGATTTGTGTTGTTCGATCTTCCCTTGCTTGACTACATCGAAGCCAAACTTCAGGCCGAGAATGTATCCCCGAAAAATATCGTTCAAGTCGGAGTAGACACTGTAGTTCGAAAGCAGACGTTCCATAAATTGGGATGAGTTTTGCTGGAATAAGTTTAGTTGGCCCTCTGACAGAGAGTCTAGCCTTTCTAATGCAGTCAGTAGTCTCTCGACGGGCTCGATACCAATCGTAGATTTCATGAGTGCCCCCCACTCTTCGAATAATGGGTCGATGGCCTTTTGGGGTCTGTAAACTCTGGGCTTTGCAGGAGGGCCAGTTGGACGTAACTCTTTTAGCGATCCTTCAACTGTCATGGGTTCATCGCCGCTTAGTACCGTTCTACAGCATTCCCAACTGCGCAGAAGTTCCTCTGACAATGACTGTCTAGTCATGTAATTGTCGTACAAAACATAATCGTTGATAGCGGGATCAAACGAAGTACTTGGAACAAACAACTGTAAAGCGCCAGCTGAAAAGAGTACCCAAGCTTTTCCCAGTGATGTTAAAGAGTCAGACTCTAGGGCAGATACCACGGCAGCTAGTAGAAATTGATCATGAATTCCTTTAAACCATGGATCTTCATAAGTGGAGATGGCTTCCTGGATTTCACCCAATGTCGCCAAGGGCTTAACTTCCACATGAAGTGAGACTATTTTTCTGTACCATTCAAAAAGAGAGTCTCTGTAAAGGTTGACTTTATCCACCGTGATCGACTGTGAAGACTCTATCAAGTTCTCCTGAAGAACCGCAGCGTCTTCCAAGGCTTGTGTCATTTGACAACCACTAATTTGCTTAAATGAAACCACTTTCGCAACGATATTTTCCAAAATCGAGCTATCAAATATAGAAGCGGTGAAGGACTCGAATTGGCCCCGATTCTTCTTCCACAACAAATCAAACACAGCTGGGTGACTGAGTGATTCTTGCTTCAGATTTAGCAACAATTCCGTAGAAAGGGAAGTGTATGAAGCAATTCTGGACACTACGTGACCGGTGCCACAACCCTGGTGACAAACCAAACGTAGTAGAGAATCAAAATCAGATTTGAAGTAATGTTCTCTTTGAATCAAAAAGCGCTTTGAGATTTCGTCCAGTTGATCTACACCCTTTTGCAATGTGAATATAACCGCATCGAAATCAGAGGCTTCGCCTGATATAATGCCCGTTCTGAGTCCCAAAATTATTTCTCTTAGGTGAGTAATGAGTTCGTAGGAGTCGGAAAACTGCTTTTCCGCGACGTCATCAAATTTATCAGAGACGCTCAATAGCTTTTTAAGTTTGTCCCATGCGGATTTTGAACTTGGCTGTGATTGCCTGAAGGCGTTCCAAATCGTGGTCATCGACCTACCAGTATCCATCAACAAAGCGCCACCCAAATGATTGGCGATACTCGAAACTTCTAGAGTTAAACGGTCGTCCAGTGGTGTTTCTTGTTGCCATGATTCTAGTAGATCTTGATAAGCCCTTAATTTGGCGTTGTCGTGGGCCTTGGATGTCTCAAAGGCGCCGAGCCAAATGCTACAAAGATCAAAATAGCTTTTGTAAAAGCCAGGGATAGCAAACAAATCTGCCGATGTCATTCTTTCTGCGATATGCTCTCTCAAGAGTGTGAGCACCTCAAATATTGGAATCTGAGGGGCTTTTTTCATTGTACGACCTTGAGATTGAGCCGCACTTAGCTCCAGGTAACTGAGATCGCTCAACCTAGCATTTTGTGCCCTTCTTGTAGCATTGCCAAGAATGCTTGAAAAGTTGGAAAGAAGCCTCGCAATATCAAAGAGGTAAGCGGGCTCCGACGTTTCAATGGTTGGATGATTCTCCAGTAAGCTTCTTGTAACATAAGCATTCACTGAAGGCATCAATCGTTGACATCTGCAGAAGGAAACTGGGTTCTTCAGCACATTTGAAGCAAGTTTTTCATATTCAACTGATAGAGTAGCAAGCTGTTTGAAAATTCCACTTTCCTGCAAATATTCGGCCAAATTAACGAACTTTGAGATTATTCGACTGTCTCCGTAATATCTCGCCTGAAGCGCGTTTTTTTCCCAATCCTTAAGTTTGGGGAAAGACGACATAGGAAGGATGGAGATAACTGACTCTAAGACGCTGAAACCCGATAGTGAAGCTATGTCATGTAAGCTAGCAAACTGCGAAGCAAACGAATTGTCGGCCATTATAAAGCGCGACAGTGGTATGGCATCAACTCTTTTTGAGTCTTCCTTGATGATATCAGGTTGAGAACTCTGCGATGTTGCCAACTCCGATTCTTCAATATTTGCCGCATCAAATAATGTTGCCCTTGATGACAGCTCATCCACGTATATCTCGATACTTCTGTTTCTCATGGCTCTGGAAAGTTCTCCAAATTTAGGATCTACAGTCAAGAAGAGCCTAAAGTCGGGGTGGGGATTTATGACTCTGGGCTGTCCATCTTCGTGACTGCACTCATTAATGATAAGAGAACCATCGGTTTCCAAAAGAGAGTTCAATCTGTCTAAAACAGAAGGAGAGCACAGATTGGCGTTCTCCAAGACAAGCCAGGACCCTTCTTCCATGGCTTTGAGCAGCAACCCATCAAACCACTCAAAAGTGACCGAAGATGGCTGATCTTGTTTGTCTTGAATTCTGTGAAGATCTTCGAAAACCTGCGAGATCGTCTCATTGTCCACAAACTGTTTCAAATTTTCAATGAGTTGCAGTAAAGACACCAAATTAGAGGCGTCCATTGAATTTGTCGATATGAAGTGGAAAAGACCTAGTGCGACGACTTTTGCGTCATCACCACCACACTCTTCGGATCCAATATTGATAGCAATCAATTCCCTCAGCGTAGTTACAATGCGTTCCACTGCTTGTGCTATTTTTCTGTTAACATCGACTTGCTCGTAGCCACCCAAAATATCCATACTGTCAGTGTCAGAGTTCATAGGAAAGCTGATTACCTTTGTACCTAGAATTCCGGAAACGTACCGAATAATTTCGGATTTCCCAGAATTTGTGGGCCCGCAAAGAACGAGTGGCCAGTTCTGCTTAACACATCTCAGTACAGATTCGTAAATCTTAAAATTGCATTGCAAAGGCACTAATCCTTTGAGCGGACAATGCTTCACAAAAGGGGCCCTAGGGACAACTTCGCTGTTTACCTGTAAATAATCAGGCGAAATCTGTAAGTAATTCGGCCGTTCTTCTTTTTTGCCGAAAAATCGTTCGAATATTTTTCTCACTTTGTTGCGATCTTCCTCCGTTCTAAATCTTTGGGTCAATATCATATCTAAGTAATCGACTGCACCCATTCCAACAGCCAAAGTAGGAGATTTGAGCAGCTTTAGCCATCTCAAGGTATCTCTCAAATTAAATTCCCAGGGAGATCCGGCGTGGCCCCATAACTTTTGATTTGAAACCTCTTCCTCTAATGTGGAGATAATCTCGATGAGCTGGGCACACGATTTCGAGTCCACATCGGGGTAAAGGTGGGCTGCAATCAAAAACAAATCTTCAGAGGACAAAACGTCCACGTAGACGACACTGAATCTGTTAACAAATGATTTTGGAAGGCCCTTTCTGCCACCACCCTGATTCTGTGGATTTTGGGCAGCAAAGACTGTGAAGTTCGGATGTTTTGTAAACGCCTTATCCAGTTCTGGGACATAAGCCTCTCCTCTGTGATCCAAACACGCGTTTAATCCTTCTAGTACAGACTGGGAAGCAAGATTCATTTCATCCAAGAGAACCCATTCCCCCAGCTGCATTGCTCTGAGAAATGGTGCATCGCGCCATACAAACTCACCGGTCTTCTCTCCAGGTGCGTCTGATCCAAAAAGATCTACCAGGTCTGTTTGTTCTGACAAGTTAATACGTGTCAGCTTGTTACCAGTGCATTCGGCCAAAGCTGACACTAAACTTGTTTTACCAACACCCGGACTTCCCTCCAATAAAATTGGTTTTTGTACCTGCATAGCTCTGGCAACTCTCATGAGGTTGCTCAAAGTTGTGGGTGCATTGAGATTAAATTTTGGCTTTGTAGCCGTCAATCCTCTGTCAAGTACAAACATTCCCACTTGGACACTTTGATCCTCAATCGTCAATGAAGGCGGCTGTAGATAATGGGAACGAAGATCATCTCCAAAGAATTTTTCTAAGACCTCCAAACAGTCCAGTTTTTGAGCTTTGAGAGTTTCTGCATTTTCTGATAGATATGCAGTGTTGTTAGTACCAAGAGTGTCAATGAAGACCATTGCAGCACCTTGCACCAGCGAAGCCGCTTTGTTTTGCAATCTCTCGGTCGTCACGTTCACAAACTGGACCCAGCTGAGAATATCACGCAAAGAAATTACACCATTGCTGGCCGTTCCACCACCAAATCTCTCGCCGAACCATTTCGAGAACTGAACGATAGGCTCAACTAAAGAGGAGAGTTGCGGCAAAAGCTTGGACGAAACAATCAAGCGCACATCATCAAAATCCTCCATAGATGGAACCCAGATTTCAGTAAATCTGTTTCTTAGTGCCGGCGACAGCTCCTTTTTACCATAGTCGCCACCGGGATTCATTGTTGCAAAGAACTGGAACCCATCGGCAGCTTGTACTAAGCTGTCCGAGCCACCTTTCTCAGCAAGCAAAAGATTTCTCTCTGGTTCTAAAACACTGTTGAGCCTTTCAAGCACTGAATCATCGGCTAATGATATTTCATCTAGCAAAAAGAAATCTCCGCTGTTAAGAGCTTGTACCAAGGGACCATCGCACCATTCAAAAAGAACGTTTAGCTTGTCTTTGAGATTTTCAACTTTCTCAACATCTGCCGGCTCTAGCGACGCCTTTTCTGTCTTTTTGTATTGTTGTAACAGTTCCTCTACAGTGTACGCATCGCTCTCCAGACCCAGAACTTTTATCAACAGGTCAGTCAACTCACTTTGAATATCCGAGCGGTGTCTATTGGGACGTTGTGCACCAAGAATATCGCCAGTTTCTGTATTTTGATGGGCGTTTACGGTTATAAGTTGACGACCAACAAATTGCGCGATGAGTTGGCATACTGTCGTCTTACCACAACCCGTCTCTCCTACTAAAAGAACCGGTTCATTATTTTTCAGACAGTTGGTAACTAGAACAGCAAGTCTACGCATAGCTTTTGTCCATATGATAGAGCTTGGCATCGACTGCAGATTTGCGTTTTCTAAAGTCTCGTAATAATTGTCCATATCTACTTTGACTTTCATCACTTTTTCGAGAACTGCCTTAACCACATCTTTCTCTTCCGTGGTTCTGCACCTTTCTGCGAGCAACATATAACCGTTGGCCGCTAAGTTCTCATAACCGACAGCATCTCTCAACGCCCAGCGAAAGAGATCACGTAGTGTCGCAAAACTGTTCTTTTGTTCGAAGAGACGCATAGCAGAGCGTTGAACTGATAATTGGCGGTATACCTCCACGATTTTCTGAGCGTAGGATGGCGCAATTTTACACCGTTCTCTCAAAATGATTTCAAGCTCATCCTGTGGAATATCATCAAAATGCAGCTCAAGAAAACGGTTGCGGAAGGCCCGGGATAAGACCTTACGACCACCATATATACCTGGAGGATTCTGTGTTGCAAAAAGCATGAAATCAGGATGCGGATGAATCACTTCTTGGGTCTCAGGAATGAAAAGCTCTCGATTGTCATCTAGCAATCTGTTCAACGCTTCCAAAACGTCGGTTGGTGCCAAGTTAAGTTCATCTAAAACAATCCAATGTCCTTTTCTCAAAGCTTCCACCAACACACCTTCGCGAAACGATAGCTTCCCTGTCTCGTCGGCCATATACGTGCCGAGGTACTCTTGAAGATCGGTGTGCTCGTGATTGTTAATACGAACAAATTCATGACCAGTAATATCAGCAAGATACTTGATCATACTAGTTTTACCGGCTGATGTTGGACCTTGAACGAGAACAGGAAATCTGCGACCTGAGGTTGCTCTCACGAGGTTTAACATGTTTTTCTCAACAAAAGGCGTTATAATATAGTGTGGCTGCTCCTGCAGTTCATGGAGACCTTTTTTCATCCAGTAGTGTCTGAACTGTACGTATTCAGGACCAGGACAAGCTGGTGATTGAGAAATGACAGATTTTGGATTTTTCAGTCTTCCTAGCGTAAACTTTTCGATAAGCGGCCGTAGCAGACCCTCGGACTTTTCGTTCAACAAAGTGAGGAAGGACATGCAAAAACCTTCGTACAGCGATCTTCGCAAACCATAGATCTTAACAATGTCCCTAACATATATCAAAGTTCGAGTCAGGGTACGAATACTGAAGTGAGGCCTCTGATTGGTACCATCCACGAGCTTGTTAGCCTCTGCAAGTTTTTTCGCCTCAAGATACAGCTCAGCGACATCGTTGCCGACCCACTCGTCGCTAACGCTGTACACTCCGATGTATTTATCAATGATCGCCAAAAGGTCAGTTATATCGCGGTCGGGAGAATGCACATAAATTTCGGTAAACCTAGAACGGACACCAACGGGTAAGTCTCTTTTTCCGACATCTGTGGCAGGATTCATACAAGCGAAAATTCTGAAATCAGGATGGGCCTTGACTGGTTCAGCTTGTCCCTTTTCTGATAATAGCACGCTACGGGAGGATGGTTCTGACAATAGGTCTGAAATACTCTCCAGGGTGTCTGACGACGCCAGATTGACCTCGTCTAGTAAAAGCCACTCGCCGTTTCGGACAGCCTTGACCAGTGAGCCTTCAACGAAATTGAACACGAAGGAATTCTCTATAGACGAGTACTGGGCTTCGAAGTTTGCGACATTTTGTTGAAATTCAGACCATCTGTCCATCAGTATTTTGTTATCATGAGAATTGAGCTTTCTCTTCTTTTTTTGGCTTTCGGGAGAAACACCATCATCCTGTTGCATCAAAAGATTCTTGGCCAATTTGTAAGCTTCGTTCAGTAGTTTGACAACATTTTTCCATTGGCCCTTATTGAAACACTTGTGAAGCATTGTGTAGAAGCGCTCGTTCTTTTTCATGGAGAAAGTAGCAGGAAATAAGCTTTCAAAATCCTCTAATAGCGGAACAGCAATTGTCTTGGTGTTCACAGGTTTGAAGCCTCCCAGCAGGTCTCCACTCTCAGTTTGTTGAGATACATTGATAACGGTCAACTTCTGATTTAGAACTTTAGCCATATGCTGTACCACTGTCGTTTTACCAGTACCCGTTTCACCAACAAGAAGAACAGGTTCGCACATCTGAATGGCCGTCCCCACTTGTTCCATCAATCTCAGGGAATGATTTGTCCGCGCGAAAGAAGTAGTGTTCATCGATTTTTTAACTAATTTTGCTCGACTTTTGGTTAGAACTGCCCTGCCAATTTTCAAGAGAGCACTGTCCTCTTCCAATGCCGGAACATGTTTCGAAAGATAGAGATTGATTCTTGAGGCCGGAATTTCTAGCGCAATCCCTATAGTTTCGATTATAGGTTTAAGAGCGCTCAGTTCACCAATTGCACACGCAAAGCAATCGGCCGCTTCGAAGAAAATACTGTCGTAGACATGAGAAGGGATAAGTTCTCCTGAATGCTGAATGTTATTGTTTTTGAAGATTGCCTCGACCCGGCTACAAAATTTGACCAAATCACGCACCGTGACGGCTCTGGGATGAATACCTCTATTCATAGAGATAAACTGAGGGTTGGAATACACGCTTTGCACCAGGTTATAGCTTGTGATAAACCTCTCAATCAAGTGTGACAATGCTGGAAACTTAAAAATCAAAATCTCCTTGAGTTCCTTCTCGTCCGGTTCCTTCAAGCCAACTATGTCCCATAAACGTATTCCAATCAAGTCTGGTTTGAAGGCGCGTTCATCTTTGTGATTGTCGTCAGGAGTTCTGATGGTCGATATCAGCTGGAACCCGTTAGCCGCTTTGATGGTCTCACCTCTTGAAGGGATACTCAGCTGGCGTTGTTCCAGCAAGGTCAGCAGAACTGATATTACTTCCGTTGGGGCTTTATCGATATCCTCAATCAAAACCCATCTTCCTTCTTTAACTGCGGTCGTTAAAACTCCTGCCCTCCACTCGAAAGTACCTGGTTTTTCGCCTGAGGTGTAAGTTCCCAGTAACAGTTTTGCATCTGTTTGTTCTCCAAGATGGATTTTCACCATGGTTTCGTGGGCACCGGTGTACTTGCTGAGTTGATTTATGAGAAATGTTTTACCAGAACCAGCTTTCCCGACGAGCATGACAGGCTTAGAAAGCTGTATAGACCTGCTCAATGCTCGTATGGAAGAAAGAGCTTCTTGTGTGGGTACGAACTCGTGTTTTGAGTTCGGCTCGTAACGTTGAGAGCTTGCATTGATTCTGGGAACTATTACTCCATAGATAGCCACGACATGAGCGCTCAAGTCATGCGGATTAATTGTCAAGAAGTCCTTCCCAATTGGTTTCTGCGTAGCCAGTTGACTTGGCCTGTAGTTCCTCAGCAATGTGTGGTATTGGGACAGTTTTTGCGCTTCGTTAAGCTCCAGAAAGCGGTAATCAACATCGAGGTCGCCGTCGTAAACCGCTAAAGTACCCTCAGCGTCTTCAGGCACATGTTTTTCAACAAGATCAATAGTGGCCTGCTCGGCGAGATTCAAGTACATAGAGAGGACCTGGACTGCAAGTAGCTTGATGGCTTGGTTGGTGAGCTCGTTTTGCAAGACTTTGTAAAGAGCGTTAGGAGCAATGAAGTGCGCAAAACGGTCCCGATCGTGGCGCAACAAGCGGTAATATGCCAGCAGTATCTCGTGCAGCAGAGTTTCGGGCTGCGACCCGCACATTTCCAGGATCAAGTTGAGGTGCTGATGATGCGTCTGGAAGAAGTAGTCACACAGAGAGGTAGTCTCGGGATAAATGGCAATCACTTGTCCTAGTCTGTCGGCAACCAATCCTATGTTATTTTGGTTTTTGGAATCGGCCCATCTGGCTACCAAATCGAGCATGATCGGACCATAGATGAAGGTATACGCCAGAGGGAAATCGCTCGAGAGCGCTGCTGCGGCCAGATCTTTCAGATTTTCGCCAGCACTCTTGTTTAGGTCGATCTTCACGTATTCCAACACCTGTTTTCGTTTGAATTGAGAATTATACAGTTCAGCACGTTTTTCGCTCAGCGTAACGCTGAGCAAAAGTTGATTCTGGTCTTCAACCATCGTGAACCTTGTAGTTTAGTAAAGTCTCCTAAGAACTCTCAAATAAGGTTTGACTGGCTTTGGAACCAGCTTTGACCTTTACTTTGGATCTTTCTCGTGAGCTCCAGGTTGAGTCGAGTATACTATGTTTAGTCCAAAATTTTTCAGAACTCATCGCGATGAGCCGTATGAAATGCTTTTTTGAGAACGGGCATCGTAGGAGCCTGGTGAAATAAAGATTGAAATCTCAAGATTGAAATCAAGATCTCACTGATCTTTACTCAAGGAAGCGTCTTTGAATCTCAGCAACTATATGGTGACGATCAGACCTGTGGACTTGAAAGTCCAACCAGCACCATATCAGATAAGATACAATGTTCTGCAGAAAGTTGTGAAAACCTTGGAAAAGTTCGAAGCCACCTCTGGTAACGCTGGTAGCCGGGCGATGGAACTGGAGGGAAATGTTGCTCGTAAAAGTGGGTCCAGTCAGAGCTATCGATTCAATTCAAGTGTATTGTTGCGAGATTTGATCAAAACAAAGGGTAAGCTGGAAGAAATCGAAGCACCTGGCGTGCGAGCTGTGAATAAAAGGTCCGGGAGCAGGGAAACCATGGCCAGGAGCAATGCGATAAAGCTTCTAGGAAAAGTTCTCATTGAAAAGTCGGTACTGGCTGCTAACGGGTATAACACAGGGGCGGCAGACCTGAACTCGAACCCGGATCGAACTTTGGATTTGCTCACAAATTCCGATCATAATTATATCAGCTGCATACGCTGCAACACGAAATTTGACAAACTGCAGATCCTCAGCCCTGCAACTTGCCGTTTTCACGTCCAGCGTAAACGCTACAACCGTGAAACGCGCGAGGGAGAATATGTCTGTTGCGGCGAAACAACGTCTTCTACTTCTTTCTTGGCCTTGGGATGCAAAACCATGCCTCATCATGTGTTTCGTGCTGAAACCTTCGAAGAAATGGCCACGATTTCAGTGTTCAGGGACACTAGCTACATTGATGGCGACCATAACGTTCTGGCGCTCGATTGTGAAATGGCTTTTACTTCGCTGGGCTATGAAATGATTAGATTGACAATCGTGGATTTTTTTACGAGCAAGATCGTATTTGACAGTATTGTTCAGCCATTTGGGCAAGTGATCGACTTGAACTCTGAGTTTAGTGGTGTTCACGCAATAGAGAAAAGCGAATCAATGACCTTTGACAAGATGCTATCTCAAGTTCTCTGCAAGAACATGATAAACGCCAACAGCGTGTTGATCGGCCACGGTATGGAGAATGATTTGAACGTTTTGCGTCTCATTCACAAAAAAATCATTGACACGGCTATTCTGTACCCCAGAGGGAAGTTCAAATCGTCTTTGAAAGACCTGGCTTTCGAGGTTGTAAGCAAGCGAATACAAAATGGTGAACACGACAGTTCAGAAGATGCAATAGCCACTATGTGTGTTCTCAAAGCTAAGCTGGGAATTCCATTGCATCAGACTGTGTGGTCTTGAGTTTATTAACAACTTTTTGAGAGTTACCCGCGATCTATCGAACTCAACTTTGCCTCAAGCCGGTCTTGTCGCTCCATAAGTTGGGTCAACATAGCTGTTATTCTAGATAGTTGCTCTTGGACGTCGTTACTTGCATCCAAGTCGGTCTCAAACTTGACGCTTTTTTTCCGATTAAAATTTCTAGGTTTTTTGATCCTGAAGCCATCACTCACTGAGTCCTTAGGCATGGCCGACTTCTGTATAATAACACTGTGATTATTGATAGAGCTAGTTCTGTTGGTTTCATCTTGTTCTTGGAGCTCAGGCAAAAGATTTCGAGCAGATGTGACCGATCTCGGAAGTGCATTTAGTATTGCATTTGGTGTTTTGTGGGGTGACCGTTGACCCCCACCAAACCTAGTTCGAATTCTGCTCAGCGAACCATCACCACCAGGTGCCGCGAAATTGCTATATGTCGTTCTTACGGGGGACGTGGGGAAAGAAAGCTGTATAGACTTATCCTTTGGATCATTTTTGAAATGTACGCGATCTACGCTTACCGTTCCAGCGGGCGATTTGAACTCTTTCAGATGAGGTGGTGACTGAAGTCTTTTTGGAGTGGCATGATAGCCAGTGGTCTGCTCCCAATTGCGTAGTGGCCGCTCTGGCGAAAGTCTCATTGCATTCTTTTTGTTTGTGTTCATGGGTATCTTCTTGATCGGCGATGTGCTGAGTCTCTTAAATACATTCTTAGATGGAGAGCCACGTAATTGGCTATCGATGCTGTTCTCATTCATCATCAACTAAGGTGTGGTGAGTCGTTAGGGAGCGCGATGACTTCGTCCCTCAACTCGATACCTAAGGCTAGTTTGTTTATACATTTGTTAATCACTTTGTACTTATTTGGCACGTCTATGAATTTCATCGAGCGTCACGAATTTAACGTCATGAAGCTGGCATATAGGCCAACTTTGAGTGGTTACGACATTCAGCGTTCGTAGCTTCTCCACTCACTTTCAAACGTTCACCATTTAGACTGGGTAACAAGTTTCTATCGCTTTGACAGGAAATCATGCATTATGGATTGTTCCACTTTGCGGAACACCCGAGTTGAAGACGATTAAGATAACTGTCTCGACCGATCATCCGAACAAATTATCGTAATCAACTACTTCATAAACTTGATTGTTTTGATAGCCCTGATTATGGTAAATTGGTTGATTGTATTTCTGACCACCTGGGCCTTCTTCAACCGATGTAGGAACGTCATTTACAGTCAAAAATTTGAGATTAGGAAACCTCTGCAAAAAATAGGTGAAAGTTCGCTTCAGAGAGTGTAAATGGGCATGGTAGACTTTTACAATGTCCTCTGCGACCAGCATATTTTTTCCCAGTGCTTTGTTCAAAATCCTGGCAACATCCTCAGCGGGACTTTCAATAAATGAGAGGCCGGGCCGCGTATCGACGAATAGTGCGTATGGAACAATCGGTGACACTGAGACGATCCTGGTGATAATGTCTCTCTTGGGGATGTCCTCGAGGCTTCTGATATGCAAGGAAGAGTGCGTTGGAAAGAACTTTTTGCGAATTATATCCTGTGCAACATCACGACATGTGGGGCATATACAGGTTTCAGCGATTTCGAAACGGGACGCATTGCCACGCAAAACAGTTACCAAATAAGGATCTAACGGCGCGCACTTCAGATCAAGGTATTGTAAGGAAAGATGGGCTGGGCTTCGGGCAAGTAGAGCTAAAGTTTCCTGTTCGATCCTGTGGCCAAGCATGAAGTCAAGTTTCAGGCGACGTAGCTGGGTGAAGGATCTTATACATTCTCTGAGAAAGCTTTCGTTTGCGTAAAGTGACAGCAGAGTTAGTTCCTTCAAGTTTTTAAACTCAAGTAGCTCTCTCAAATGATATTTCTCGTAAACATCAACCCGTTCCGCTTCGTACCATGATAAAATGGTCACCATCTCCAAGTAGCGCACGTCAAAAATTTCGCTGTATGTGTACCTTGCGGCTTGAAAAGAAGCCGGGTCGTAGTTGTCGTTTCTTAAGCTCAATCCCAGTTCTCTCAGTCGCAGTTTTGGCGCAGAAGCTGCATAATTGCTGAAAAATTGACCAGGATCCATGTATATGTTCAAAGATGTGATGTTGTCAAATGAATAAAATTGCACCAGGTCTTTCATATTCGGTAGGTATGAGCTGCTCACCTCTTGTTGTGGTAAAACACCTGGGGGAGGAATATCCACTGACTGAAGCTGAGGGGCGATTTTCTTTAGATCATCGACGAGTTCTGTAGTCAAATAATTGCGAAAGTGTCGTAAATGGGATGCTTGCGAGACCAATACTCCCAACAGCTCCTGCAAAAGAGCATTGTTCAAATGCCAGGTGCACTGTACGTTTTCTACGTACGAGCTTAGCAAGGCTGATTCGCGTAGGGTTTGGATTAACGCACTCAGTTTCTGGTCTGCATCTTCAATTTTGAGCCCGCGTACGTTAAGAGCTGACCAGAAATTGCCCAAAAGCGGGTCAGAGTCACTGTAAATGCACGGTTTCTCATTCAAGAATATGTTGCGGTACAGGATCGGCAAGATAGATGACCTGACCGACGAGCTAACGTACGTCAGCGAAACTCTGTCCCTTTGAGTTAGAAACTTGGCGAGTCCGTCCCACGTCTCAAAAGCTAATCGATCAAGCATTAACTATTAGGAACACCTGGAAACCTGTTCTTGTTGAACATGGACAACTGCTCCAGGACCTCAGATATACTGATGAGCTGGCGCTGAATTCAAATTGAAGATCTCGAAGTGTTATTACATAATACTGGTCTCTATGATAAAAGCCCTTTTAGGCCACATGACCGGTTTTTGATATATAATGTACATTTTTTTTATATTCATCGTCCAGGCCGTTTTGGCGGACTGGACATTTGGTCAATTTGAAACAATACAGAGATGATCAGCAGTTCCCCTGCATAAGGATGAACCGTTTTACAAAGAGATTTACAAGTTTTTTTTTGCCGATTGAAGCAAGCATTCTCTTCTAACCCGAGCGTTATACTACAGTTTGCAATTTGGTATTTCTGGCCGACGACAGTCTGCAAAAGACAGTCGTTTGAAGGAATTGGATATTGCCTCGGGTTCGAAACTCTTGGGGGACAGAGAATTTAAAAATTATACATAGCCCAGTGTCTTGTTGTATTCTTTGAGACCTGAGATGGCTTCGGCCTTCACAGCGATCATGAGTAGTTTATTGTCACTTATGCCAAGCTTCCAGAGCGATTTGGTCAATTCCAGCTTGAGCCCAGGGACCAGTTGATTGATATTATTTGGATTGTTGAAATCAAGCACCTGCTCGTTGAAATGCATCTCGTCGACGAGTGCGCTGACATTTCTACATGGCACTGTGTTCACACGCATACAGCACAGCGACAGAGACGCAGGAAGAACTAAAAGCGAGTTTTGTTTCTCGTATGTGTTCAAATTGATCTTGTTTTCAGCCAGGACTTTTTGGAAAACAGACCGAAACCTGACCAGGGTCTGGCCCGATATCGCGACGTGAATGGTCTTGGCGTTCTTAATGAAAAACAAGGTTGCCTCTGAGTTGCAAAATTGGAAGATTAATTCTCGCGCGCGCGGGAGGTCGGCGTCCACGTACGGCCTTCTGTAACGAACGGCGGTCCAGGAGATATTGCTGATCAAGCGGCGTTTCTTGGGGGTTGGTTCTTCTTCTTGTGATGGATCTGGGCTACGCAGTGGGATGGACACAAACTTACACTTGATGTCTTTTAATTGGAGTACAACCTCTTCTGTTTGCAGCACGGGGTTCCAGCTTATCTGCGCCGGGACCAATTGCTGCTCGAGACGCAAAAACCGGTAGTAACGGCACTCTTGGATCAATGATTGACGCCGTTCCGGCGTCAGATCTAAAACGCCGCCCTGCAGAAGCGTGACGAGGTCCGACAGGAAGACCGGGGAGCGATTGACGTAAGGAGGCGATTGTGGGGGCGGCCGCGCTAGGTTCATTGTAAGATAAACGGACCGCACATCATCGAACAGCGACCGGCACGTCATGTCGAAGTAGTTGGGCGAGTTTCCCGGCTGCGCCAGAAGCGTTTTGGCGAGTTTGAAGTGTTGTCCGCCCACGCATACGTAGTGGTACTCGGAGTTTTTAATGAGGTCCTGGAGCCGAGGCAGCTTGAAATACAGGGCATCCAGGAAACAGAACGTGAATTGACTTTCATTCTCGATGTTGAGACTATAGCCCTGGAGATGGTCCATGATCAGTTTGAAAACCTGTGGCGAACGGTCAATGAAAAGCGTTGCCGACTCGTTTTCTATGAAAAAGTCAGTGAACAAGTTGGGCGAGTCTGAATTGAGCGAGTATCCCGAAATCTGAAACAGCTTAGTGCCCACTTGGAGCGAGAACATCTGTTCTGGCGGCAAAAGCGAGGTTGGCGGTACTAAAGACATTGAGGTTGTAATATGTAAAACATAGACTTGTATGTTAGCTTTGAAAATGGGTGAAAACAAAAAGCGAAAAGCGCGACAGATAGCTCAATGTATAGTTTCTAGCAAGTAGTGATGGAGACAGATGGTGACCAACAAAGATACTGTGTGGTTTTGGTTAAACTTGGGTTTTTGATCTTCTACCGCTCAAGGCTGGCGATGCCCATATCAATTAATAATGTAGAAATATAGACAGTGCTGATCACATGAGAGAAAGAGAGAGAGAGAAGGAGAGGAATTTCAGCTAGCGAGACTAACCCAAGCTCAAGTTTTAGTGGCACTGGATACGTGGGGATACACTGAAAATTCTCACGGTAACATTTTTGGCTGTGGGAACATATTACGATTTCTCTTGAAGTAGAGCACTCTTCGCACTCGCTCGCTAAGTTTTTATAGCGTTAGTCCATGCTCCAAATCTTTTGCTAACGCGTTTGATTATATGAAGTTCAAGACACAATCTCTAGTTGTCAATGTTTGTTTTATATTATTCGCTTGTATGAGGAGTCCTTTACAGGTTCGCGATTGAGAATTGAAATACGTTTTACTTCCCCATCTACGTTTTCTGCGAGTACAAAAGTAGATAGCTAGCGCTCTTCTTTCTTGTAGAGAGCTCTTTAGTGCTCTTAATTGTGGTCCCACTTACAACACAACCGTTCAGCGGGTTTGCAGTACCAAGAGTTTTGCACATTCTCACACTTGATTGCTGGCGCTCTTGATTGTTGAACTGTACTAAGAGTTCTCTGCTTATTCACAATTGCTCGCTGACGCTCTCAATAGATCAATAATGTTTGTAGCACCTTTTTTTATTCACAGTTGATCGCTAACGCTCTCAACTGTTGTTTTGTGCTTCCTTCTGAGCGACTTTGTTTAAATCTGTTTTTACCAATTCAATTGATTAATTAACGAACTATAAACACCCAAAATTGTACAAAAAAACTTTCCTCTCGCGGACGAGTAAAGAGTGAAGGGCGGCGATGTGTAGTGGTGAAACAAGCTCAAAGGTGTTTAATGGATTTGAAATGTGTGTTTGCAGAACAAGTGACTGGACGAGATTATGTATCAAACACATCTCAAGTCTATACATCACAAGTACAGCACAGCACAACACAACACAACCAAAAAAAAACACCAACCCGCAAAACAAACACAACCACATCAAAACCAAAACTTATCCGTGTTATGCAAGAAAATCATCTTTCTCGACAAAAAAGGGTTCCTTTTCTAAATGAGCTCTCTTTCAAACTTGTGAAATTTGCACTTTTTTTTGCTTTGAACACACGCGCGCACATACATTCGCATGCGTGCACACACACGCACCAACAACCAAAACCTTTTTCTGTCAAAAGTTTTCTTTATTATTTGCGAAAGAAGAAACTATTTGCTGTTATTGTAAACGGAAACAAAGTGGATCCATCTGCTTACAACAACAAGGCAGCGGCACCGGCAACCAAGGCACCAGCAGCTGGCAAAGCCTTAGCGGCAGCACCAGTGTAAGAGGAGACGGAGACGGTGGAAGACTTGGAGACAACAGCGGTACCGTTGGTGGAGGCTGGGGCAGCGGAGGTGGTCTTGGCAGCGCTGGAGCTGGCGACAGAGCCGGAGGTGGTTGGCAATGGGCACCAGGTGGTGTACTGGGTGACAACGTCGTTGATGGTGACGGTGGCAGTGGACACCAAGGCTGGGGAGACAGACTCGGAGCAAGCGTGGGACTCGCAAGAGGTGATGGTCACCAAGGTGGTGGAGTCCTTCTTGACGGTGGTGGTGTTGGTGGCGGCGACAACGGCGGCGGCGGTGGCGACAACGGCGGCGGAAGAGAATTGCATTTTTAGAATTTAAGCGAGTGACTGGTAGATGTGGAGATGATCTATGGGAAAGAGAAGAAAAAAAACGAAAAGTCTTAAAAAAATAGTGTGTACAAGAGATCTCTTCGAGGCTGAGGTCGGTGGCCTTTTATACATAGGGAAAAAAAAGGACGAAAAAACTGGGCCGTGCGAAAAGCAGGCAGCCGGCTGGCCGGGTGACCCTGAATGTTGCTTGTTTGTTTATTGGTTTCTTTTTTGTTGCCCACTGTTGTTGTGCGGCTAAGAAAAATTTTCGGGCTCAGATGAGGCCGGAGAGAGCTCGACAACGGCGCATCTCGATTATTAGCGCGCTGCCACGGCAGTTTATGAGAGAGACAAAGCGCGGCCGAGCAGCAAGCCAAAAGGTCCTTTTTAGATAGACGGATAGATAGAAAGTAAAATAGACACACACTACGCCATTTGCCATGACGGTGTTTCGCCTGCTGTTTGTTTTGCTCGGTGGGTGGTGTGGTGTGGTGTTAAGCTCTGGGTAGGTACGTTTAAGTGTCGCGTCCTCCTAAGCGTCTACTTCGCGCCTCCCTTTGTGCCCTGCGCACACACACCCACACGCGAGATACAGGGCTGCATCCTCTTTTTTTTTCCTTTCTTGTTATGGTTTCGGCCACGGAGTTTGTTTTTGTTTTTGGAAACGGGCTTGCCTATTTCGGCGTGCGTGGGTGTGTGCTAAAAATAGCAGCGTGGTTGAGTCAACATGGACCGTGGGTTCCAGGCCCCCGGGGCGCCCGATCTAAAGATGGAAGGAGCACGCGGGTGGGGGTGGGCAGAGTCAGAGTAAGAGTCGGACATATGTGGTTGGTGTGTTTGTTCCGGGGGAGCCCGAGGGAGCTTGGAACTTGAGGGAGCCTGGCGGTGTTCTTATAGTTGGATGGGTCTAGTAAGGCATAGCTGTCCTTTTCAAGAGCGTGGGGAGCGTGGAGGGAAGAAGAGAGGAATACAGTTACGATTACATTGTTAAAGAAGCGTCAGCTTGTTTAGAATGGAGTGTCTGGTAGTGTGTTTTAGTGTGTTTTAGTGTCTTGCAGTGTTTTGTTGTGTCTTGTAGTATTTTGCAGTGTCTTGTAGCGTGTCGCCGCCTGTGAATTAAATAGTTCACCCTGTATATTTGTCGTTGCGATGAAAACAATAATTTCGTACAATAGAGGACCAGACTTGGTGGTAAACATGGTAGAAAGAGATACGAACAGTGGGAGGAGGAGGAGCGTAATGAAGGATTGCTTGAGAAATGCTGGTTTGAGCGTACGAATCGCTGTCACAATTGAAGAAACACGATTTGTGATGCAACGACAGACCCGTATATAGTGACGAGTGACAACGTCATTAGAACAATATATAACAATCACTCACTTACTCACTCCAGTAACAAAAGCTTCTGGTCTTGAACCCATACTCCCTCCCCTTTCATCAACCGTCCAAAGCACGCCTCCGCTCTCACTCTTGTTTCTCTGCTGGCCCCATCCCGTACATAGCGACCCCAAACCCTCAGTTTCTCTGTAGCAGCCTATTATTCAAGGCCCCCCCCCCATCATAATTCATTTTACAAATTTCATAGCACACACACTCTCGCCAGATTCAAAAACTCAGCATCCTGAAAACGACATCTTCCCGTTCACGATCGTCCCCCCCCCCCCACCCCTCCCCCTTTCCCAAAATAGCCGAATTCTGTTTCTGTGACCCAGTTTATCCCTAATACCCACCAAAAAGCAGCCGAAACGGACTCCTAAAACCATTGATTCTTGCAAAAGATCCATTCCCCTTGAAAACATTGCAATACCACTCCAAAAATGGCGGCCCAGGAAGAATTCATAAGAACCCAGATCTTCGGCACCGTGTTCGAGATCACCAACCGGTACACCGACCTCAACCCGGTCGGAATGGGTGCCTTCGGGCTCGTATGTTCCGCCACGGACACCTACACCAACCAGCCCGTTGCCATCAAGAAAATCATGAAACCTTTCTCCACGGCAGTTCTGGCAAAAAGAACGTACCGTGAACTGAAACTACTCAAACACCTCAGACACGAGAACCTCATCTGTCTTGAAGACATCTTTCTGTCACCTTTGGAAGACATCTACTTCGTCACCGAACTGCAAGGCACAGATTTGCACCGACTATTGCAAACTCGGCCTCTGGAAAAACAGTTTGTGCAGTACTTCCTCTACCAAATCCTAAGAGGTCTCAAATATGTACATTCAGCAGGTGTCATTCACAGAGACTTGAAACCCAGCAACATTTTGATAAACGAGAATTGTGATTTGAAAATCTGCGATTTTGGATTGGCCAGAATCCAAGATCCACAAATGACCGGTTACGTGTCTACTCGGTACTATCGTGCCCCAGAAATCATGCTTACATGGCAGAAATATAATGTGGAAGTCGACATCTGGTCTGCCGGCTGTATCTTTGCAGAGATGATAGAGGGCAAACCACTTTTCCCCGGCAAAGATCACGTTCACCAATTCTCCATTATCACAGATCTTTTGGGCTCTCCTCCAGAGGACGTCATAAACACAATCTGTTCCGTTAACACTCTTAAGTTCGTCACTTCTTTGCCCCACAGAGACCCCATTCCCTTCTCAGAACGCTTCAAAAGTGTCGAGCCCGATGCTGTGGATCTTTTAGAAAAGATGCTAGTCTTTGATCCAAAGAAGAGAATTACGGCAGCTGACGCTTTAACCCACCCATACTTGGCTCCTTACCACGACCCATCTGATGAGCCCGAGGCGGAAGCCATCTTTGATTGGCACTTTAATGATGCAGACCTACCTGTTGATACCTGGAGAGTTATGATGTACTCTGAAATATTGGACTTCCACCAAATTGGGGAGAACCAGATAGATCCGAATGCTACTTTTGATGACCAAGTTGCTGCCGCTACTGCAGCCGCTCAGGCCGCTCAAGCAGCTCAACAACAGCAAGATTTATCGCAGTCACAACCAAGCAGTCAAGCAGATGCAGGTCAAAAGACAACACATCAGTCAGCCAAAACTAGCCATCAGGAAAACGTCAACGATACCAACCACAGCGATACTCTGAACTCGTATGGGAATCAAGCCGCGCAGTATGCATCAGATTTCCAATAGAGCTTACATCAATACCGACTATCGGTTAATCTATATAGTTAAATAGTATACTTCAGTCCTTTGTTAAACCCGCTTCATGACAAAGGGCGTAAAACAGACTTTCAGAATTTTTCAGCAAGTTTTGGGGTGAATCGATCTCGGCAACTCTACCTTGGTCCAAAACGATGATTCTATCACTGTCGAGAATAGTGTTTATTCTGTGAGCTATGGTCAAAATGGTTCGATTTTTGAATGCTGTGCGAATTGTTTCCTGAATGACCTGATCAGTCTCGACGTCTACCGCTGCCGTAGCTTCATCCAACACCAGAATCTTAGATGGGACCAACAGTGCTCTCGCCAAACACATGAGCTGTCTTTGACCAACAGATAGATTACTACCACCTTCAGTCAACATCGATTCGAGTTCATCTTTGCCTAAGCTCTTGACGTGGTCCTTAAGATGCGAAAGCTCTAGAGCGTGCCATATCTGTTCGTCAGTAAATTGGCGAGTGGGGTCAATATTGTCTCTGACAGTACCTTCGAAAACCTGGGAGTCTTGAGGAATGATTGACAGGTGCCGTCTCAAATCTTGTAGGCCAATCTCATTTATCGGTTGTCCGTCAATAGAAATATGACCACTAGCCGCCTCTATGATTCTGAAAAGCGCCAAGGTCAAAGATGACTTACCGGCACCAGTACGTCCCACAATTCCAATTTTCTCTTGCGGCTTAATTTCGAGATTGATGTCTTTTAGAATTAGATCCAACTCCGGTCTGTAACGAGTGGAATAGTTTTCGAACTTGATGGAACCCTCACTGGGCCAGTTTTCCGATGGTCTGCTATCTTCAATAACGGCAGGAGCTTCAGAGGGCAAGCTCGAATATTCTTTAATCCTTTCCACTGACACAATATTGGTCTCGACTTCCACAGTCATGCGAACAATCCAATTTAGAGACTGGGTAATTTGCAGGGCATAACTTAAAGATAGACCGATCATACCGGCGCTTAAAGTTCCCTGCTTCAAACGGAAAACTCCCAAAACTGCAGCACCAAAAATAATCACAGATCCGATAAATTCTAGTCTGAAAGCCAACCAGCGGTTAGCGTTAACCGATGGATAATACGCGCTCATATTATTGTCCACACGGGCTTGATTGATATGAATGAAACGGTTTTGTTGGCCGTACCCTCTGATGGTGCTAATTCCGCCCAGAGACTCCTGGAAGTGGGCGTAGATCGGCGATCTAGTGACTGAATCCAAACGACGAAGCTCTCGAGACGTTCTCAGGTAGTATTGCTGGTAGTAAATGTACAGGGTGCTCAAAGGCGCAATAATAAAGATGAACTGCCAAGTTGAGTAACAGATCACCAAAATTGTGAATGAAACCTTAATGGTGTTGATGAAAAATTGTGCAAAAGTTCTTCCCAGTAGCTCATCGACTTTGTATATGTCATTTGAAAACCTGTTTAGAATTCTTCCAATAGGTGTTGTCTCAAAAAATGACATAGGGGCCCTTAAAACAGATGCCGTCATTGCATCGTGCAAGTAGCGCGATCCGTGGATGGTGCAGTAAACCCATAAGATGACTGTTTGCACCAGGGTTGAGAGGGCAGAACCTGCTCCCAGCAGGAAGTAGATACCCAGGTACATACCAACATGAGGGTTGGCACCATACTTGGTGTTTACCTCCGACCAATGCTTCAACCACACGCTACCGGCAACAGACAAAAACATAGAGAGGACAGCAAAACACATGAACACCACAACATGTCTGGGGTTACACGCCTTGGCGTATTCCAAGTAAATGTCCCACTTGACTTTACCTTGTTCACGATGTTCTTTCATAGAAGGTTGCTCTTCATCTCCAAATCCTAAACTTCCCAAAGTGGCGTCACTTGCTCTGCGTAAACTGCGTTTATCAAAATCAACAACGTCTTCATCGAGTTTCTGTATGTCAATATTATCCTCGACAACGAGCCCGCTTTCCGGAGTAGATGATTTCGAAGAGCTTTCTTTTGTTTTCTTCGTTTTACCGAAGCTGTTGATGATCTTGAATAGAGCAGAGGTTTTGTCACTGGTAACCTCTTGGTAAGAACCTTGTTGAATAATCTCACCATTTTCCAAAAGTGTGATGTTATCAGCGATCGACAAGACTGTTATTTTGTTTGTGACTAAAACCTTCGTCTTGGTGCTCAAAAGACCACTTGAACCCAAGACGTGCTCGATCAAATGCTTGGCAACATGCTCATCAACGGCTGCTAGTGGATCATCCAATAAATAAGTGTCTGCTCTGGCGTACACAGCTCTGGCTAAGGAAAGACGCGCTTTTTGACCACCTGACAATGAAATTCCCTTCTCACCCACCAATGTTTGATCACCCTTAGGAAGTGTGGCGAGATCTGCGCTCAAAGCGCACGCTTTGATAGTTTTGTCGTAAAAGGCTGCATCGTACCTGTGGCCGAAAATAATGTTCTCTTTAACGGTTCCGTTCATGATCCATGGAACTTGAGATACGTAAGCAACGCTACCGTGAACTGTAGCAAAGCCCTTCACCCTGAAAAGATCACCAAGGATTCCTTGAATAAGAGCACTTTTACCGCTCCCAACCTTTCCAACAATACATGTCAATTCACCTTTCTTAGCTTGGAAGTTGATATTTTTCAGCGCTACCTTGTATTCGGGCTTTCTTTGCCATAGGAAAGTAGCGTCAGCGCCAACACTCACGGCAACTTGGCCATTGGAAGTCACTTTAGGCTCCCGCTGGACAGAATCGCCCTGTAATTCTTCGCTGGTCAGGAACTTGTGCAAACGAGTGACAGAAACCGACGCCTCAATGAAGGAGGTTATAGCAGTTGGGATCACTGCTAGCGGGAAGGACAACAAGTTGAATAAAGTAAGAGCTGGGAACACCAAATCTGTAGTGAGTGGACGACCATTTTGAGTCAATACAAAAACCGCGAAAGTGGAGCAAGAAACCAGAAATGGGACGATGTTGAACTGAAAGTTAGCCAAGGCAACAGTGCAACCCATTTTGGTTAAGTTTTTGAGCTCCTTCTCGTTTCTAACATGCTCCAATTTTTCCTTATAAGGATTTTCCCATGCGTAAAGCTTGAGAGATTTGATGTTGTTCAGGATTTCGCTGATAACACGAGTCCTCTCATCCTTGTTTCTCATCTGAATCTTTTGAAGTTTCTTTTGGAACCTTACAATAACTGAGTTCATTGGAATCATGATAATCATAATGATCACACCAACCCACATAGATGGACCTAACAGTTTGTACAAGGAAACCAAGCACAGAATGAGTTGGAAGGGTCCTGACCATATGATTTGTCCCCACTGTGTTAAATCTTGCAAACGTTGCACATCAACACTCATAAGGTTTACAATATCACCCGTAGAGGAAGTTGCAGAAGCCTCATTCGATAAAAGTAGAGACTTCTGGTAGATCACAGAAGTGAGCCCACTCTTAATGTTCATACCAGTGTCAAAAGCACGTAGGAAGTACTGATGCAAAACAGAAGTTTGAATCACACTCACCAAAAACATACCTATGCCGATCATGAACCCTTTTATTATTGGGATTTCGGTAAGAGCACTTTTCTCGGTGTATTCGCCCACAAATTTAATCAAGATTCTGAGAAGCTGTGGTTGCGTGAACGCAAGGATATCGAAAGAAGCTTTGAATAAAGCTCCAACGATCATTTTCCCACCAAAAGTAATCAAAAGTGCCCATGTTAGGGATGGTTTGGTCCTGTGTTTCACCTCGTAATCCCAGTATCTGCCAAATGACTCGGAGATCTCAGCACTACCAAAACTTTTAGGTAGCTTGTACAAATCGTTTTCAGTCAAGTACTTTTCGTAGCCAGTTTTCATCATTAGTGTCATCCACGAGAAAGAGATGCGAGAAAAGATGTTAGCAGTGTCGTATGGATTCCCTTTGCGTTTAGTTTGGCTCGCCAAGTCTCCACGGCCTTGTAAGGGCTTCGTGAACATGGCTTCCAACGCCAAAATTAGGAAACTTGTAATACAATGAACAGTGAGTAGTTTGAAAGCGATTTCGGATACGGGCATGACATTTTCGTACGTCAATCTAATTTGTAGGTTCACAATTGCACAGAGACTGAACAGAGCTTGGAACAACCAGTAAAATAGCAAAATTCCGTTGGAGACATTGGACCGGAAATATTCGACCCAGTGCAGCGCTAATGCCACCAAAATCGACAGAAAGCCCAAAACTCGCTGTGTCTGCGATGCCCACTGCTTCTCTACTGCTGTTTTGTCGTGAAATAGCGCCACGGTGGCAAACACCAGCTGGAGGGTCACTAAGGACATTCTAGAGATAAGTAGCCAGTTTTTTCTGTATTTGACGCCAGGATGAGGCTTTCGGCACAGCTGAACCAGCTCCTTGGAGCCGAAAAGTAGCATGAGCAGTGCAGTACCATTCAGCAAGCAGCCATCCATAAAACAAAGCGTGAAATCGCCATATCTGGAAGAGATGGGCCCCAGTCCTTCATGGTCTTCGCAAAAATTACACCAAAGACCCAAAGACATGCTTGAATCGCTACTTCAAAAATTGTAAAAGCAGCAAACAGCGACAAGATGCGGACTATCCACAGCCTGGGCCCTATATTTACAATTTTACAGCCCTTTTTAAAAAATCTTGAAACGCTACTGGAAGGACTATAGAAAAGATGTGGGTTATCATTACCACATATATATATGAACAAATAAATTAAAGCGGTGCTACACGCTGACAAACAAAAAGATTTTTGGCAGATCTCAGGTATAAAAGGCGATAGATTGATCTTGGTTAGTCTAGCGTTTAGCGAGCTGGTGAAGGTAGCCAAGAGGCCTAGAAATAGGTAAATTATGATGAGTACGCTGAGAAATGGTTGTTTTAGCAAGAATAGTTGGCTTCGAAACAACTCTTGCTTGGCTGGCTAGGTCTGAAGCGAATGTTTAAAGGTAGGATTGGCAATGGCCGATTTCTGGGTTTTCAGAGGATTTTTCAGACAATGAGTTTGTCTCCTGCATTGTCCAGTTTCTTATCAAGAAATTGTACATACGGTGTCGGTGTTTAAATAATTGCAAATGGATATTAGAGTGACGTTGAGGTCTTTTGAGTGAGCATTTGATGGTGACGTGAAGCAGGTGATTACAAGATAGTAAGAGACTCGATGACTTGACTCACACCGGCAGTTCTCTCATCGTAACGGCAAAATACTCTACTAGTTGACACTCTGCCCGATTCTCGACGTGTGTGGTGCTTTGTTGTTGAATATATACAATGTGTTTTCTTAATCTTCCATCAAAGTTCTTATTCCTCGTGGCCCAATGGTCACGGCGTCTGGCTACGATTGTATCCACTTCTGAAACCAGGAGATTCCAGGTTCGAGTCCTGGCGGGGAAGAACTTAATTTTTTGGAAGTTTCTGCTTCTAATATTTTTTATTTGGGTTTTTGGCCAGCCGTAGATCTAAAGCTCATAGTTTGAGCTTATGCACGGTATTTGAGTGAATGGCCGGACCTTTATGCTGATTCTTAGACTTGTTTTCTGTCGACTTCTGAAACTCCATTTCATGTTTATGTCTTGCTGATTGAATTTGATAGCTCCAACTCGAAAATCTTGGTAAACATACTTTGAAAGCTTACAAGAAATAAACAATGGAACAAAATTGTGTCATTGTGAAGCTACCAATACTGGCACCCCAATACTTCAGTACATAACCCACCATTCCTCAGTACAAGACAAATCTGGCTACAGAAATGAATTGAACAGATAGAAAATCACTTGTTTTTTATGCGTCGCTGCTTGTTCTCCATTCGAACCCCTAAGGACGCAGGTTTATCTCGTTGAAAGAATAAAACCTGCCAAGTAGAGACCTACGGATGTTAAGGCACTCCCATAATTTCTGCTAATACTGTTGTGATCATTCATGCTGATTTTAAGTCTTCTGGCGTCTTTTTCACACACGGGAATTGTTTACCTTTTTATTTGTAGTATTATATTCTTAATATTGGTTTTTTGTATAGAGATGAAATTAAAGCAGGTTGAAAAGCCCGTAACACCTTTATCCGTAAGTCCCGTCTCATACCGCTTTACAGAGCCAATTGACCCTTCTCAATTGCCACTAAGCTACTAGTGGCTCCAAAATCGCAATCTGCCATGCGAAACCATCGTGTGGACACTCAAAAAGTGGCAGAAAATGTCAAACTAGAGGTGGTTTACGAATCTAATCCATATTTTGCAGGCGAAAGTGTACAGGTTCTAATCCGCCTCAGACATCTGGGATCTTTGCAGACTCATGAACAGCTGGATCTGAGTTTGCAAGCATTGAAACAGCAACAGGAAGATCAGGAGAAAGAAACTGCGAATGGGAAAAGGAAATCTTGGACGGTGCAATCACTATGGGGGTCCATTAATAGCGAAAAAAAGGCTCTCAGCGAGAAGAATCAGGCAACCATAGCGCGTGTAGAGAAAGATCTACAATTCCACAGTCCCGTCAGACTGGCATCTTGCTACGCTCAGATATATGGCTCTTTCCAGTACGATCCAGAGGCCATTAATTCTCGTGGATTCGAGCAGCAAGCGCACCATAGGCTCGCCGGGGTAGGGTCCTTGAAGCTGTCTGAGGGGAAAAACTCGATTGCAGAAAGCTTTGCAGGACTCCTTTTCTCCAACTTAGAAGATGTGGCGCGCGAGTCCGTCGCTGAGCCCACCACTGAGCTGGTCAAAGTGCCCTTCTTTCTGATCCCACAAACTCTAGTGTTTTCCGAAACTATATTGGAACCTGGACAGACCCGGACTTATCATTTCAAATCCCCTCGACTTCCTCAAGATCTGGCTCCCTCTTACCAGACTTCCAAACAGCTGAAAATTCAGTATTTTCTAAACTTTGGGTTAACGGAAATAAAGGCCAATCAAGTCGTTCCCTTCAATGCCGACTACAACATTCATATTTGTCCCTTCATTGACGTTCATGGCCGTCAGCAAACGTCAAAATTGGACAATGATATATTCATCGCAGCGCCTGGACGAGTCAAGGAGATCAAAGAAAGTGTACAGTCTCGTAGGAAATCAAGTCCTTCGATATTGATGAGGCGAAAAAGCTCTTTGATCTCCATCAACACTCCTGAAAGTAAACAAGAAGCTAACCTTGAATGCAAGGCCCTATTCAAACAGTTGATGAGCGATCAAGATTCTTCCGCTAAGTTAGCCAACGATATCGAGGGTTTGGTCGATCAAGTAATGGAATGCCAGTTCGGTACTGACAATACAGAAACGTCAGAGGAGGACGAAGGCGAAACCACCTTGGATCAAAGTCAGCTATCAGTACGGAAGGAAAGTGTTTCTGTGCGAAACAATTTGACCACTCTCTTCCGAAACCTGACGAAAGCATCGTCTACTACAGAGGATGTAGATAATTCGGATACACCTGAAACGGTCGATTTTATATCTCAGGTAAAGAAGCTACAGAGGGAGTATATTATAAACCGAGATGGAGTTTTCGTCGCCAAAGTAACTTTGTCAAATCTCTTTTACACAACCTCTGATGATATTGATCTAACGATCCAGCTTGGTGTTGATGAGCCCCACAAAGTTTCTGCTGTGACCACATCTCTTAAGTCATTCGAGCTGATAAACCCGAAATACTGCACAGAGATCACTTCAGGAAGCAGCAGGCGACAGGGAAATACATTCGACGAATCTCGAGCAATTTGCTTCGAAGATACATCTACGATACACACGAAGTTGTTGCCCCAAAGATCTCCAACCAAACAAATGACTAGTCAATTCAAGTCTGACATATTCCAGTTCAAATGGATGCTATGCCTAAAATTCGTCCTCATTAATCGTGCCGAGATGCCGGAGTTGATGCAAAAATACTACGAGGATAAAAACGGCTCTCTACTACATGCAAAGCAATCTTTGGACGGTGAGGAGTTCGTTTGTCATTTACCCTTGACAATACTGCCCACCGCCAAAAATTTCGCGGGCTGGTAACTGAGCAGCGACTTCGATTGATCTATTTTCACCGTTCCTCGAGAAGCGCCAGTATATAATTCAATTTTTACTCTGCCCAAACGTTTGATTTTTCGATGTCAGCGCCAGGCTCAACATCTTCTATCGAGTGCTCACCGCGTCTCTCAGACGGGGATGGAGAAGATTTACTTTGTTCTTCAGCATCGCTTTGATCATTACTATGACCGCTCGGAGTGTCCACCTCCTCGAAATCCTCTTGAGTAATGGTACGCGGAAATCCTAAGCTGAGAAGAGCGTTTCCAATGGCCGCGTGCGTTGAACCGGAACTTATTGTATGCGTAGATGGTATGGGCGTCGAAGGGTTCTCGTGCCCTTTGACTTTCTTTTTTTTGCCAAAGTAGTCTTTCCAGGATGTCCATTCATTCTCTCGTGAAGTTTCCGTAATGGGAATTGGTTTTGAACTATCAGCGTTTTCAGGCGTACCCACCTTATTGTCAGTACTCTGTGGTTTATCGCGTTGAAGGGTAGACTCTTTTCGTCTAAAGGCCTGAAATGATTTGCTTAATTTCTGTTGCAAACTGGCTGATGTGTCTGCCGTGTTAAACACATGTTTTGGCGGGAAGAGGTCAAAAATTCTATCATCGGTTGAAAGATTGAATGCCTTGTAATTCTGCGTTTCGCGCCATTTTTCTACCCAGACGGAGCCGTAAAAATCGATCGGGCTAGAAGAAGCCCATTCATCTGAAATTGACTTCATGGCCATTTCATTGTTCCTGTTGTTCTCGAGGTAAGAGTGTAGTTTTTCGCAAGATATCAGACCTGTCAAATAATCTTCAAATTGCCACCTCAAAAAATCTTCGCTGCCTTCAAATTGCAAGTTCTTGGGGGTTGTGAAGTCGTTTTCATTCCAGGTTTCTGCCACTATGGATACGATCGAGTCCATCCATCTTTTGTCGTGAGATGTTAATTGCAAAGCACCATGCAAATCTCGAGCTGCTGTGACAACCTCTACTGTAAATGTGTTCACGTTTACGAGGACCTCACACACCTGGTCTTTCTGTTCTAGGAGCAAGGAATTTGACGTCCCTGCAACAAAATGCGTCGTTTTTTTAGAGTCTAAGTCTTCAAGCTGTTGAAGCGGACTATACGGCGAAAACAAGCCTCCATCACCGAAAACTTGAAGTGGGAAACCCAAAAATTTAAGAACCGACTGTCGATCGCTGGATTTGAAGGAGTCCACGACTTTTAGATTGTCGAAGTAGCTATGCAGCATAGGTGAGCCACAGTCTTGTAAGTGTGAAATGAGATTTGGGATGAGTCCAATGAAACCGAACTGAACGTTGCACAATGCCTCGACATCACTGCCATAAAATAAAACTTTACGCTCTAAAAGGATCGCCTTTAGGATGGTCAAAACCTCCTTCCCAAAGTCGTGTATCACGCGACGCAAACAGAGTCCCACATACATGTGCGACTCGTCTGTAGCACCAGAAAGTTTGTACATGGCACTTAAGTTTCCGTAAAGAGTATCCAAAATCGACTTGTTGGTGAAATCTCGCTGCATAAAGTATGCATTGGTCACTATACTGAGTTTGTCCTTTATCTGGCCGAAGATGGGTCTTCGCGCCACCACGACAATGGCCTTCTGCACTGTTGAACGCGTTACCTCACAGCCCTTCTGCAGCAGCTCTTTGGACCGGATCTGTCGCGAGCACGATATCGCGAAGAACGTGGTGTAGTTGTCGACCTCATCTGCAGGGATGGCCGCAGCGCCCTCTACTGGGGAACCACAACGCTCAGTCTCGTTGTATACCAGCGTGAAGTACGTAAAAGTCTCCTCGAACGAGTGCGAGCCATCTGGAAGAGCTTGAAACGGCAGATATGGCCATATTTTTGAGGCTTCCATGCCTTCCGGTAACCCATAAGAGTATTCCACTTCCGGGCCCTTAGAATGGTGAAAATTCACTAAAAATACTCCGAAAACAACATTGTGTTCTACGTGCTCGACCATAATCTCACATAAACAGTTTCTGGCTAGAAAACTGTATAGTAAGGGTCTGATCACTTGTGTTCATATCTCGCCATCTGTTGAAGATAAGTTCTTAAAAGTTCAGATTTCTTAGATCCGTCGTACAAAGTGACATCAACACTTTTTTACAAATAATTTGTAGCTGTACAAGCGGGACAATGCTGAATATCTGCCATGGAATAAAATAGAATGGGACACAGGAAGACCTATAATGACAAAGGAAGATCCCAGACTGCTAGAATGCCTTGAATTGGTAAGAGATAGGTTATTTTCGGTAAAAAAATGGGACGAAACGGTGCTTTCAAGCACAAGTAAGAGTGGTGAGTTTCCCATGGATATCATTGAAGCGCTTTCCTCGAGAGAAGCGGTGGGACTGAGCGGGGAGATCGTGGTCAAGAAATTGTTTACAGAAGCAGGGCAAGAAGTAGATGAAACCGTGAAAATCATGCGGTTTGCGATACTTATGGACCTCTGTCATCACATGAAATGTACCGCAGGCAGCACCAGCAACGAGGAGAACGTGAGGATCTGGACATTAGCTTTCTTCGACCTATTCAAGATGAGCCTGAGCCTTCTACAGCTTCCGGGGGGCCATTTGCGTTTTTGGACCTATATCGAGTCTCGCACGCACTGGTTCAGAGCAGGATTTTCAAGCGAAGAGTCGTTGCAGCATGGACAGACCTCGCTGAGCGCTATCAAGGCCCCTTTCGCAAAAGTAACATTTCAGATCAATAAAATGCTTCTGGCATTGCGAGTAAACTCTAAGCTCGCTACTCCTGCTCACCATGAGCTCAGCATGAAGATCAATCTATTCCTGTGCCAATGTCTGTCTCCAATGGAACAAGCAAATACAAACAAACGTGGTAACATCGCAAAAGGTGCTCCAGACCAATTATGGGATGCCAAGAAGGGCGACAAACGCGGCTCAGCGTTCTACTCCGACTTTCAGAAAGTAAAACAGGAATTTATCGAAAATTCGGTACTGTGGGCATTTTCGGATGCCCACCAGAGGCTAAGCTTACAGGACTACCTTCTGCCTGTGATGGATGAGATTTTGATCCACGAGTCTGATTTCTACAATCATATCAAGACGAGGAAGGTGCGGCTGGACCGACTGAACCAAAAAGCACATCAACACCCACTTAATACCTTTGAGGCTTCCGAAAGAGAATCGAAAAAACACTTTTCAGAATGGCCAACTAACCCTTTGGCACTTCGGTCTCTCATGCTCGACCAACCGGACTGGGATCCAGAGCTAACGGTTTCGCAACTTCAAGATCCATTTAACGACTTTTTCCGGAAAAAGTTCGTTACGGAACTAGCCATTGCTTCCAACCTTGTCCATAAAATATTAACAGATGAAGCAACGAGAAATTTCTATCGAATTCACTGTGACAGAAGTAGCGGAATGAGGACAAACGAAGAAGATGACAGAAGTACTGCTGCTGCATTGCGGGATATATCTCAACTGATAACGACTAGGGTCAAACAATTCTACATCAACAGAGATACCAAATTCCAGAGGCTTCTCTCCGACCTGATCGAAGGAGACAATTCCTTGATAGATTTGAAGGTTAAAAAGGGGTTCAAGATTTTCAGCGACTTCAAGTTTCCAAGCGGTGATGAAGAATCATACTCCATTCCTGACTTCTCGTTCAAAAGTTTTGGTTGGATTAAGCTAGGCAATAAGAAGTTGGATAATGCTTGGAAAATAAAAACCGGTCTAGAATCAATCGAAAGCAGTGTTTGCAGCTCACAAGAGATCTATGATCAATTGCAGAATAGATATCGAGAGGAAACTTTTGAAGAATCAGATTTGTCCAATGGAGATAAGACTGTCGAACAGTGGAAGCAAATACGCCGCCTGCGGCCAAAATTCCTTTTTCAATTGAGCAATGTTGATGAAAAAACCGGTATCAATGGGCTATTCGACTCCAGGTTAATTCAGAAATCTCGGGAAAATAAAAACCAATTAGCTTCGAAAGTACAGGTTGCCCAAGAATACTTCGAAGCGCAAAAGAAGCGCAAGCTAGAATCCGTGGAGAATTCCGATGAACCTCCAACCAAGAAGCAGGATTTGGGAAAAACGACTAACATATCGACTGAACAAAAATCAGATATCGAGGCAACTTTTTCCACCCACATAACCCCTGAATCAAAAAAAGGTGAAGACACTGAGATTAAGACAGAAGAACCTCATTCGCACACTGAGGATGAAACGAAAGCGGAAAATAAGCAAACATCACCATCGGCTGAACTTTCAAGCGTAGAGGAGAATGAGCATCCCAAAGACAACACAGCAAGCCAAGCGAAGAGTGAGCTTCAAAACACAGATAGCATCGTTCATGCAGAGAGAGAGGATTCACTTAAACTGTCCAAAGAAGAAGAAAAAATCTTAGATCTAGAGCTCGGTGACAAAAAGACACTACAAACAGGGCCCTGAAACAGCCATATAATGACCAACTCAAATATTTGAGGAAGTCATCGTTGAGCCATAGCGAAGCAGTGACAAGTCTTCCTCTTACGCTAGCAAAGCGGAAAGGTACATTTTCAGCTATGCAGCAAAAAGTTAATGATTGAATAATAGATGCATAAATAATGTCCGATTCTCACTTTAATTTTAATAGAATGCCTGAATGATCAGCTAGAGTTTCCAATTCTACAGTTTCTGACTTTCTTTGATTTTCGATGGCTGACAATTCTTAAATTTCGCTTGCTAAGTCATCTTTGAAGTTCAGATCATGATAGGTGGCAGTTGACACAGAATATTCTAATCGGTCTATACTGGGGTAGTTGTTCTTTAGATTTAGTAGCCTTTCAAAATCTTTCCTGACTAAAGCAAAACAACCTGAGTCTACACTGGTATCTACCTTGCTGCGATGAAAGACCTGCTTCGAAACTATTTTTAAGGTTGAAATCAGCAGAAATCCAGGACTGTTCTCGATACAGTGATCAACAATACTTCCGTTCACTTCCAATAATAGAATCTGGCCCCCGGAGGTCGCTAAAATAAGTGATTGACGCCGGAATTGACCTTGCTCCACTTTCTGAAAGAGAGAAGGCAATGATGAGCCATCGTCGAGATTGGGACATTTACCGCTTTCTGACGGTATGTGTAAATATGCGGGACTGTTAAAAGTCACGATACTGTTACGACGCGCGGTATCGCTGTCGCTACCCGCCAAGCTGTTCCTGCGGAATTCTGACGGTGATATTGGATCTTGCAAATTACTGACGCCTGTACGAATCGTTGATTTGAACCACACATCGTTCACGTTTGACCGTTCCTCTACGGCAGAGAACTGTGCACTTTTGACAGAGGTAACATCAAGGAGTATAATACGTTTAGCTTGAGGGAGTACAAGCTGCAAAATTCCATTCTTAGAAGGAAGGTTCATCATGCCGAAAAGTTCATCACGCGCAATGTTGTTGATGTGGCACTGATGCTGGATGTCGTTTTGGAGTAATTCGAAATTGATTTTGACACAGAGTGTCGCAGTCTCTGCAATATACGGACAAATCACGAAAAAAAACAGGGCGTATTGCCAAATGCTACCCAAGGTGATACTGATGTATGAGCAGTGAATCAAGAGATTCTTCATGCGACAATCAGCGGTGAGTTTTGAAAGTTCATCCTTGACTGAAAGAATTTTCTCGCCCTTTAGTTTCGAAGTGACTTCCAATGTTCCTTTAAGTGTGAATGGACAACGCATCAAGGCCGAAAGATCGCTGCAGCAATCAACAGAAGCCTTGACTGAGTCGATCTTCGCATTGGAAGCGATAAGACTACCCCATTTAGTGGGCCCAAAAGAATTCGACTCATCATAACTTTGCAACTTTTCAAAGTTGCAATCTTGGAAATCCACTTCATCGACCGAGGAAACAAGAGATGTGATACAGAGGTTTTTGACCTGAGGAAAATTCATGTTCTTGAGAACACCTCCTTCGCTTTTTAACGACGTAGCTATCGTGAGACTTTCCCGCACATCTTTTCCTTCTAATAATGGATACGCAATCTTAGGGTTATAGTTCACAAGACCTAAGTGGTCACAAGCGGGAAGCTGATAGCGAGTTTGAGAACCAAGACCAGTTGGAAGACGAAAGCGCTGGATAGTAGAGAGTAATGGAGCATGAGCCAACGACCTCGACGGGTTGACATCCGCGTTGAGTTCAAGCTCCCGAATCGACACTAGGCTTGGAGCTCTCAGTACATGCGAAGCGTTTTGGATATTCAAGCTGAACACGCGTTTGACGTTGTAAAGATTTGTTGTCTCAAAAACAAGATCCAAATCGATATTGTCGTTCTCTGCCAAATCGGAGCCACTCAAGAGGTGGAGTTCACACAGACGGATCAGTCGTGGACTGAGTAAAAGTTGACGGAAATAAATTTTGCTGAGAAAGTTGTGAACTGTCTTGTAGACCATACAGATGTTTTTACGGTGATTGGCATTGATGCCAGCGATTTGGTCAACAATACAAGTCAACAGTGCCAGAAGCGATTCGCTGAAATGTTTGTCCGTGACAATGACAAATAATAGATTTTGATACTTTTGTAGAAACTGTCGTAATGACACTTTGTCAAACTCCGCAGTGTCTATTATCGTTGTATTAGCCCCATCGCTTAGCGACATATAGTCCAGCAGACTATTTCCTGCAAAAAGCTGTTTCGGTTGCTGTTCGTAGCCATTAGCACAGTCCGAGATGACCAAAATGCCCAAGTTTCGAGTAACTTGGGTTTGAAAGCTTGGAGATAACTTGCACCAGGCTTTGGCAGTCTCGAAACTATCAAGACCGCTCGTCACAATTTGTTCTAAGATTTCCATAGGAAGGATCATGATTAGTAGTCACTTTTGAATATCGTGTAATCGCCTACAGGTTCTGGTGGTCTAGATGTCAACAGCTGCTGTCCAGCATGTCTCGACCCTTTAAGCATATAAATCTGGGGATAAGCTCAACCGTGCATGATGCACGTTATCACGTGAACAGGTGCTCGGGTTCGTTCCTGAGATCTTTAGCGTGTTCGTTGACGACGCTTCGCACCGTTCTTCCACAAGGTCGGGAGAGTTTTGTATCATTTGAATGAGCAAGCGGTCTTTTCGTTCCTGATTTGAAAGGCTCAAAGGGTTAATTAGCACCTGTAGGCTCCGAGTGTATAAGCCTTGGTTCCCCCCCCCCCCCCCCTATCCCAGAGAGAACACGAACCGAGGTTCAGCTATTTAGGTATCGCTAGCTTCCGGTTTGCCCATGGCAATCCTGACAGATCTCGATGTCACTACTCTTTTCATCGATGTGCATCGACTTTTTTCTGAGAATGCATTTTTACCAGAAAGTAGCCGTTGTTCACAACCTGGGCAAGTTTAAAACCCTTCAGTGAGGACTGTGCAAAGTATAAGCTCTGTAGAGCTCCTCATATTTCACCATTCTGCTGCTAACATCAAATTTGGTCTCGAAAACCCAAAAGCCGCGAGACGACCCTCAGAGGATGAGAAAGACACAGCATTAAATGCTGTTTCTATGAAACTTGCGATGCGTAAAATAGATGAAAAAACTTCAGATCGTATTGCACCATTAGTGAAAGAGTTTCTTGATCAAATGTTTGCCCGCTGCGCATACCCGCTCAATTCACAATTTGCCAAGAAATCTGCAGGAACCAATACTGGAAAAAGTCCTAAAGTTTATACACTTATCGAACAGTCTTATAGGCATGAAACGAAGACTTTTGGACATTTAAAAAGGGCCTCTTGACCTTGCAATGGTTTGAAGTAAATGTTGTGTTAAAGAAGTTCATTTATGAGCTAATTTAAATGGTGAGAGTATTGACATTTGGTCATGTTACCACTTAAGCGACGGGAAATAACAGAGTGAGGTAAGGCCGTTGGCTAAGACCCTAGCCAGAGAGACAAGGCTTAATCAAGACAACAGTTGGCCACGACGTGCGGCTTACCAGAAGCTATAGATCGGACCTTAGATCAAATTTTGTCGCTCTGAACGCCAGCAACTAATAAAATCCGATTTTTTTTTCATGCTGGCAACTGACACCCATGTGTGTTTTATTTCAAAGAGACTGCGCAGGTGTGTCGAGGCAGCAAAAAGCTAGCTTGCAACGACTGCTCCTGTTAATCTCTGGGCTATAACGAAAACTAGTTCAAAGCCCGTTTATGGCGTCACTGTGAAATTTCAGTTCTAGTAAAATTCCGATGACGGTGTAGAAAAAAAATACTTCGAAATCCCACATAATTATACCATAACGAATGAAGCCCTGCTGATATTGCCAACGGCCATTATCTACTCGTTCACAGCTTGATTATATGCCATTTTCGTCAATGCTCGCTTGATAATATAATCAAATCAATATTAAAATCAATATTACGGAAACACATCACTACACACGGATGATTTAGAGATATTGAAAACTTAAAGAACATGCACCAGCATCGCGAACTCTCATTGACCCAATCGCTAAAGCTTCGATTTTACCCAACCCACGCGTTTAAAGTTTTTGTATGACTTACACCTTTACTTGTCATTCGGATCGGTCGGGAAACCACAGATGTGCTGTTTTAAAATTCGAAAATGTCACGATAATGATGGACCCGGCCTGGAACGGTAGCACTGCAGACCGGGACGAAGCAACTGAGTTTTGGGCTCAATTGATAGCACAAACGGACATAGTGCTGCTGAGCCAGCCGACAGCAGAATCGTTGGGTGCATATGCGTCGTTGTACATTGGGTTTTTGGCGCATTTCCACTCACGAATTGCAGTATACGCTACATTGCCCGTGGCCAATTTGGGAAGAGTCACCACACTCGATCTCTATGCATCACAGGGACTGGTAGGACCAGTGGAAAGCAATATGCTTGACGTGGCAGATATCGAGGAAGCCTTTGACCACATCATATCAGTCAAACACTCTCAGATATTGGACCTCAAAGCGAAATTCGAAGGGCTTACAGTCGTACCGTACAACTCGGGCTATGCTCCTGGTGGATCGATTTTCAGCATAACTACTTTTTCAGACAAGGTTATTTATGCACCACGCTGGAATCATACCAAGGACACAATTTTGAATAGCGCCGCGGTTCTAGACGTTTCTGGGAAACCTATATCTTCGCTGATGAGACCATCGGCAATTGTCACCACTACGTCTCATTTAGGCTCTCCATTGCCATACAGAAGACGAGCCTCACAGTTCAAAGAGCTTTTGAGAGGCATAATTTCTAAAAACGGAACAGCTGTTATTCCCTGTCAAATTGGTGGCAAGTTTCTAGATCTGCTTGTGCTTGTCAATGACATGATTTTCGAGCAGAGGAGATATAGAAATCAGTTCGATGTGCCAATTTTGCTGGTTTCCTATTCTCGGGGCAGGTCCCTCACTTACGCGAAGAGTATGCTGGAATGGCTGTCAGCCTCAGTGGTCAAAACTTGGGAGGGCCGGAACAACCGGTCGCCTTTCGACTTAGGTTCACGCTTTGCCATAGTGACCCCCGATGAGCTTAAAAATTACTCAGGGAGTAAGATGTGTTTTGTTTCCGAGGTCGACAGGCTCATAAACGATTCAATGTTAGCGCTAGGACAATCAGATAAAACGACTGTCATATTGACTGAACCAGATGCCACATCTCAAGCCTCCAACAAGGTCTTATCAAGCATGTTCGCCAGCTGGGCGAAGGCAACTAAAGGCCGCGACAATAAGTCTTTGGATGTAAGGCCAGTCCTGTTTGCGCAATCGGTAAAGATGGACCTTGTGAAAAATCAACAGCTGGAAGGTCAAGATCTAGAAAACTTCACAACTAAAATTCAAAAGAGAAGTGTTGAGCGCACAGAGCTTGCAGAGAGACTCAAAAAAGAGTCACGAGCCGATGGAGCCTCTGATGCTGCTGGGTTGCTGAATGCAAAAGCCGAGGAAGAAGATGACGATGACGACGACCTGCCAGACTTTATTACGGCCGCTAGTCGAAAGGCCAACGCCGTTGCCAAACCAATAGATGTACCCGTCGACGTGTACATCAACCCTGAAGCACCAGCAAGGCATAAAATGTTCGCATTTCAACCGGTAAAGATCAAGCGAGACGACTACGGCGATGTTGTAGACTTTTCACAGTTTGTCCCTAAGGATCAGTTGGAAGAAAACGATAAAAGGTCTGCGGCAGATGCCTTTGACGAAGATGAAGATCCTTACGAAATAGAGCTCACTTCAAAGACTACGAAGAAACGACGTGGCGGAGGTTCTGGCAAGGGCAGCAATAAAAAAAAGGAGGAAAACATTGATGATGTTTCCTACTTGAACACACTCAACAAGCCTTGTCGCAGGTCAGTGAACGAGACGAGCTTCAACATGAGATGCTCGCTATCTGTCGTAGATCTCACGAGTTTGGTTGACCAACGGTCGATGTCAGTGATCTGGCCAGCTTTGAAACCTCGAAACATTTTGCTGATGGCTCCCAAGGAGTTACAGAGTGCCACAGCCATAAAAGCATTGAAAAGCAAGCTTTTGGAAGTCACAAATCTCGAATTCAACAAATCAACGACATTTGAGACCTTGATCAGATCAATGGATATCTCAGTCGATCCAGAACTCGACCAACGGCTCAGGTGGCAAAGTATCAGCGACGGATACACAATTGCACACGTTGTTGGACGTCTAATGCGTGACACAACGCCCTTCGCAGACGCAAAGCAGCAGCATCGTGACAAATGGGTGCTTAAACCAATTTCCAATGGCTCAAAGCTGTACCCCAAAGTCTCTCTGGCTATCGGGGACGTGAAGCTGGCCGAGGTCAAGCGACGCATGACTCAGAAGAACCATATTGCTGAGTTCAAAGGTGAAGGGTCTCTGGTTATTGATGGAAAAGTCGTCGTCAGGAAAATTAGCGATGGCGAAACGGTCGTTGACGGGGCACCCTCAGAACTTTTCTATGAAGTTAAAGCAGCTGTTGCCGACATGCTAGCCAAGGTGTGAGCTTCAATCAGCACCATTCATTGCCGAAACTGCCCTGAGCATCGATAATCTCATTAATTATCACCACAGACGAAGACCAAAGTTGATTAAAACTCTGATATTAAGCTGCAAGATTGAACCGAAGAGCTCAGTTGACAAACATTAAAATCAATGACAGACCCAGCAATTAGCGTCAGAGGACGTTCAACAACACTCCAAGATGGACTTTGGGGTCACGCAGAGAGAAACGGCCGTTCGAATTTTCAAAATACGCTTCCCACGAGGATAAGTGGGGCGTTGAGCCAAGAACAGATCGTGGCCTACCAGGTCATGTTTCGGATCCAGGAAATCACCACGAAGCTGAGACTGAATCTCCTGAATCCTCCTGCCCGTCGTAGTCGATCTCCGTCGCCTCCACCTGTTTACGATGCCCGTGGTAAGAGAACCAATACACGAGAACAGCGCTACAAGAGACAGTTAGAGGACGAAAGACATCGTTTAGTCGAAATAGCGCTGAAAATGATCCCACATTTCGTTGCACCCGACGACTATAAAAGGCCTACAAAGTTTCAGGACAAATACTATATTCCGGTTCAGAACTATCCGGAAATCAACTTTATGGGCCTTCTTTTAGGACCGAGAGGAAACACTTTGAGAAAGTTACAGGAAGATTCAGGCTGTAAAATAGCAATCAGAGGTCAAGGTTCCGTCAAAGAGGGAAAAAATGCGTCTGAGCTACCTAAGGGAGCAATGAATTTCGAAGAACCTCTGCACTGTATTATCAGTGCTGATAGCGAAGACAAGATCCAAAAAGGAATCAAAGCCTGTGAAGGTGTTGTTATAAGAGCGGTCACTTCTCCAGAGGGGCAAAATGAACTAAAAAGAGGCCAGCTTCGAGAACTTGCGGAGCTGAATGGTACTCTGCGTGAAGATAGCAGACCTTGTCCGACATGCGGCCTGCGCGGTCATCGCCGATTCGAGTGCCCAGATAGAACAACTTTCGTTCAACAAATAATCTGTCAGAAATGTGGGCAAGCTGGCCACGCTACCAGAGATTGCACTTTGGGTCAATCGGAAACTAAAATGCGTAGAGAGTTTGCTAGCCCAGCCATGCTGTACCAAAAGAGTGCGGAGACGGCTATCAAAAGGTCTTATATATCGGATGAGACTGAGAATCGCAACGATTGGAAAAGACGCGATACCGATTTCAACGAGGGATCTTACAACGATGTATCTCGAAGGTCTCAGTATCGATCAAGGCAAGAAAGAGACTCGAGTGTTGAAGGTGCAATGAGCCCACTGCCCAACACAGTGCACAGAGGCCCTCCTGGACTCGAAAACTACTCATCCTCTTCTTGTTCTCCTACTTTTGAGGCGCCTGCCGCCATTGGCAAGGTAGGCACAGGTGACATCGGTACAGCTATCAACGATGCCCCAGGACCACTTCCCAACCAAAACACTAGCAACAGCTCCACAGATACGTCCACGACGAATGAACCATACGTTGAAGGACCTCCTGGTGCTTCAGTACATGTGCCTGTCAATATAAGCGGTCCTCCGGGCGCGTCAATGACTGATGCCCTAAGTTACGATGCACCACCCGGCTTTCCAGCTGACGCTCTGTCGGCAGGAGGTCCTCCGGGCATATCTTTAGCTTCACAGCCTCAGTTTCATAGCCCAGGGCCGATGCCAACGTTGGCACCAGTGCCTAGTGGTCCTCCAGGTCTTTCTGGGCTGACTCATATCAGTGCTCCTCCTGGACTCGGAGCACCTTTAGCAGCACCACCCGCACCAAAAGACAAAGAGAACGAATCCAAAGCCATCACAGGTCCTCCAGGTCTTGGCATATAGTAATGTTAGCATATAATACCAAAAACTTCAATTAATCACTATTTAATCATCACAAGCTAAGAGGACTTTTTCTCTTGCTGCCATTTTTGGGCCATAGCAAGTAATTTCGACTTTTTATCTGTCGCTAGATGGTTCTCGCTATCATCAGGGAATTCTAAGTCGAGATACTCTACTTCGATACCCCCTTCGAGTTTCGTTTTGTATTTTACCACTGGTAGCCTTTCCTTGACCTTACGTTGACTTTCAGCCGTACCGTGCACCTCTTCGTAGTTGCTCAAAGCCCTTAGGACAGCCTGTCTACCCTGTTTATCGGACTTATTTCTATAATAGGAGATAGCCTGCTCGAAAACTTGCCTGGTACTTTGCTTGTGCTTCTCTGTAACTTCCAGTGTTCCTTCTTCTTCATCTGATGCTGAAGAAGCATCAACTTCCATGAGAAGTTGTTCTTCAGTCGGTATTGAACTTTCATAAAGAGCCATTTCTATCCACACACCTGAATCGTAAGAGCTCAGCTGCAAGAGGTCTTTGTAAGCACTTGAAGCCCTAGCAAACTCGCCCTCGGTGGTCTCATAGCTGATAAGCTTCCTCATTACCTCGATGCGTTTCTCATGACCGAGACCAACCTCTTCTGAAGCAGCTAAGCGGTAAATCGCCCGAGCTCTTTCGTCGTCACCAAGATTCTCTTCAAGTTCAGCATAGTTCACCCAGGTTTCAACAGCTGTAGGGTCATAGGCAATGTATTGCTCATAGAGTTTTCTTACGCGATCAAACTCTTTCAAGCGTATTTCGAGCTCAATGTAGTTTTTGTATATTCTGTTTTTTGGACAAGTCCCCAGCGCATATCCCAGGAGCTTACGAGCTGCTGTCAGATGTCCCTGCCGCAGTTCAAACTTGGCATATAAATTCCACACCTTGGCAAATGTAAATCGCTTGTTTGGTATAATCTCCTTTGTGAGTTTTTCAAATAGGTCTTTAGTCTTCCCTAGATCTCTCATATGTAGTTCAAAGTAGGTGAGCACCCGAATCCATAGGAAGATATACCTTCGCCAACTCAGGCTCTTATTTTGGTCTTCAGGATTATTGTCTATTACTGACCTTTCAAGTTCGTCCGGGAGTTCATGAGGAAAGTGTTTTTGAAGCAGGTCAAGGTAAAGCCACCAAAGGTCGTAGTCACTCGAGTTTTCGGCCAGGGAGCTTCTGTACTCCCTTTTACGCTTATCCATGATAGACTCGTCCAACGCAGAGCTTGTGCTGTACATTTTTGCGAACTGGACGTGCGCCGAGGCTAACAATTCGTTACTAGGCCATTTATTCATTGCCAATTGATACAAAGCGCTGGCACGTTCATGTTCCTGTTGGGTAGCTTCCCATTCAGCGAAAGCACTAACGAACGTTGCAATATCTCTTTCGGGAGTGGATTCATACAGAGCAAGGGTGTCTAGCCCGAGGGACAGGGCTTGTCGTGTAGTAATCAGCGTTCCATGCTTCTTTTCGAAATTGACCCATTTGAGCCACGTCTCGACGCCGGGATACACCAAGACGTAGCGAGCGTACACTTTTCGCGCATTTTCAAACTCTTGGTACCGGATTTCAAATTCTACAAAAGCATCGAACGCATTTCTGCCTGGTTGTAAAGAGCACCACTTTCCATACAGTCTTCTCACGACAGCGACATTTCCTAACGATTCCTCAACAATCACATATTTGAGCCACAGCTTATCAACCCGCGGCAGTAGATTTGTAGCTCGCTCAAGTAAGTTTCTGGCGTGGTTTACGTTCTTTGATTTTAATTCGCAATCGATGTATCTCAACCATAACGGCACATGGCTATTATTGACCAGCAAAGCCCGTTCAAACACAGATCTGGCTCTTCGCAGATCATGCTGCTCGATCTCAAATTGTGCGTATCGAATCCACTGCTTGATATCGAGTCTTTTGACTTTCAGCACATTTTCGAATTCGCTTCTCTTGCGTCCTTGGAAGTCTTTAAGTTCCTCCAGATCCAGAATTTCGACCTGTGAGTCTGGCTTGGTGACTGGTTTACGTTGGAAAGTATCTTTGAGCACATCTTGATGCGCTATTTGGCGGGTTTCTGGTTCCATAGTGGCATTTGTTTGGCTGAGACTGATTGAATAACTCGATGGTTTGAGCGCTTGATTTTGAACAGAACTAATCCCCACCTCTGACTTAATAAGAGCTTCTAGCGACTGGTGTTTGTCGCAGCTGTACTGATTCTCAAACCTCTTCGGGAGCCTGCTTTTCGTGGTCAAAAGATGAAGTTGATGATGTCAACGAAATGGCGAAGATTTGACTTCAATGAATTTGTTAAAACCATCGATAGCGAACATGATGAGAAATGATATACAAAAGAGACCTTAAGGCCTTGTTATCTAGTTCAATATACTCGATAAATTTTTAGCTACGTAACAAGCCCAAACTCGATTGCCTTCCTTGTCCCAATCTTCGTATTGACTGGTTTGGCAGGTGAGCCATGTCTCTTAAAAGTAACTGAAGCTCTCGATTTTCAATGCATCATCAAGACACTTGTATGTAGCTGAAACTTGTGAGACTTCAACCTCTCACTATTTCTACCTTTAAAATCCGCCCCGCAGAGTCAAAACCAGATGCAGCTGCATACCAGAGGTCAAATTAGCAGAAGTTACTGTCATTTCATCATCACTGTGAAAGGAGTTTTACCTCCTCCTATAACGTTAGTAGCTGGAAACTGATACAACTACGCAAAATAGTCTCAACAATAGCTGCTGATCCTACATACATTTGTTTGCCCTGGAAAATCAATCGCTGCTGAGTTGGAGGAATGCCCTCTTTTTCCTCTAAATATTCTTTGATTCTGGAAACCTTGTCTTGAGGATCCACTAAAACCTCAATCTCCTTACCAGTAAGCGTCTTGACAGTGAGTTTCATCGCTTTCGGTGGTGCTTTTAATGGTTGATTTAACTAGATATATAACTTGACTGAAATTTGATGATATTCACTACTGTAGACGCTTTGGTTAAAAAATGGTCAAAAATGCTTCCAACTCCCCATGTCTCTTGCGACTACGACAAAGTTTACGAACCGTCAGAAGATAGTTTTCTTCTACTAGATGCTCTGGAAAAAGACCGGGCGTTCTTATCGCAGTTTTTGGGCTCTAAAGCTGCACTAGTATGTGAATTGGGATGTGGGTCCGGAATCGTGACGACATTCATGATGCAAAACGATATACCTAGTAAATATGCTATATACGTTCCAACAGACTTGAATCCGTGGGCTATTGAATCTACGGTCAGTACGGCACAACGTAATGAATGCGACCAACAGATTTTTAGCCCAGTGCGCATGAACTTGGCGCACTCAGTACGCTCCAGACAGATCGACCTGCTAGTTTTCAATCCACCTTATGTGCCAGCAGAGTCGGTACCGAAAGTGCCCAGTGACCTGGATACATCACCGGCAGCAGGCCAGGAGGACGACTCAACTTCCGATTGGCTGGATCTGGCGCTTTTGGGAGGTGACGATGGAATGGTGGTAACTTGGAAAGTGCTTGAAAATCTCGACGACTTTTTGGCGCCCGAGGGCATCGCTTATGTCCTGTTTTGTGCGAGAAATAAACCTCTGGAGGTCGTCAAGCACATGCAGCTTCAGGGCTGGAAAAGTGAGCTGGTCGAACATCGCAAGGCTGGCTGGGAAGTACTCAGCATCTATAAGTTTTATCGGTGAAATGTGGGTGCATTGCGTTTCGGGTAAGAGCTGCATGGATTGTTAATATTGTTACGTTTAGTCTTTTATAAATGCAAACACGTCCGCGAATAAATCATCGCAACAAGCTTTCTTGTCCAAAGCCTTCAAAGAGTACATTTCCTCGTAATGCGCATAGCTGACAGTGTGGAAAAACTTTCTCAGCTGCGAGTGTTCCCGAATGGTATGGATACCTTGTAACAAGGGATTTCTGAACTCAGAATACTCCACTACATCGAACTCGCTAGCCTCGCTTTTTGTAAAATCCTTGCAGTCGCTTATTTCGTCAGCCAAACTGATATAAGGTTCTGATTTGTAGATACAGTTCATTGTATCAATCACGAAAAGCCATTCATAGCTCGCCGAAAATTCTTCGAAGTTCAAAGTCAAGATCAAATCCACACACTTAGCAATCTGGAAGATCACATTGGGTTCCGTGTTTTGTTGCATTTGCAAACACTCATAGAATTTTTGTAATCCTGTTTGCAAGCTGTAAGACAACATACTCCAATGCTCAGCGAAATGCATTGCCGAAAATTGCAACAGGACGCACCTTAGTAGTAAAAAGCAGCAGGATTGGATCTTGGGTTCCTCCGAAACCAAGTTTTGCTCCAGCTGATTCATCAAACTTTTGAACTGTAACAGGTAGTGATCTTGAGGAGAGATCAGTAGAAGGTAGCTAATGCGGATTATGTTGTGACATTTGGTTTCAATCTCAGAATCACTCCATGCAGTGAATGGATTGATATTTGGACTTATTGCATTCCCTTTCACACCGATAGAAGCAACTAAGTCACCCACCAGCTTCTCCCTATTTTCGGAATAGTTGGACCACTGAAAAATGATTGCACTCCACAAAGAGTTTAGCTTCAGTAAACCAAACTTTTTATCGCTGAAGAAAATGTCATTGATTAATGTTTTGAAGGGTTTTACCTTGCCACCAACTTCAGAAATTGTGAGAAGTAGCTTTAAAACATGCGGTGGAATCGGGTTTTCATGTTGTTTCTTAAAGCAGGAAATAATCGCTGACTGGACAATCGTCGAGATAGCAGAGGTGCATTTATCGCCCGCGGGGTAATCAATGACAATGGATTGCAGCCTCGAGCAAAGATAATCCAGGTCATTGTAGGTACTAACATCAGATGCGTTGACATCCTCGGCCAGCGCGCTCTGAAGAAACTTGATGAAAATGTCGGAAAGCTCCCTCTTCACTTTTTTCTCATCACCATATCTGGAGTTGTAAACCTTATCGCAAACAAGAGCCATTGTTTTGAGGAGAAGAGATGATATCTTTTTGTAGTGGTGAGGATTGTTCGAAGTTTCCTTCATGAAAAGCACAAAGTCATTGTAGAAGTCTTCAACCGCGGCGTTCTCTAAAGTGGCCAAATATTCCAAAATAAAGTTTAGTATCGATCGAGAATTGAGCTGATTCATCAAAAGAGGGCCGGGTGCGCTTTTTGAAGTAGTCGTGTTCGAAAATGTCACCGTTGAAAATTTGTTACAGCGGTAGACGATACTTTGAAGCAAATATGGTATTGTTAAAGCAGGCTTATTACCGTCAAGTGCGTGTATGAGGGTCAAACTAACGTTATCAGGATGTTCTGATATAAACTCCTCCAAGACTTCTAAGGGCTCGAGCACGAAAACCGAAACCAGGAGTTTTTTGGACTGCGACTTATACTTGTACGCTTGATGATGCAATGAGTCTTCAAATATCTTAAATTCAGTTCCGGCACCTTCATTTTCCTTAGATTTGGAATGTTGGTGTGCCCACGTCCAGATTTCCAAGCAACAAGAAACAACCAGCTTGAACGACTGTATAACAATTTCGCGCTCGTGCTTTAGCTTTGATTCCAGGCCCCCGGTGTCGTTTGAAAAAACGTTCGCCACCATGCTTTGTAGGAATTCGTTTCTTGATGAAATTGTATTAGAAACTCCTCCGCTTTCTTCTGCAGCTAAGTAACTGTGTGAAACTTCCATAAGCTCTTGCAATCCACCAATAAGGTATGCAATTGATTGGTATCTTAGACCCTTTTCAGCATCGTTGCCAAACAGCTTTTTGATACGCTCTGTGATCGACGTCGTTAGCGGCAAAATTATTGAGAAGATGGAGTTTTGAAAATACACCAAACTTTCTGATAGAAGTTTAACATATGAGTGTATGATCAAAGGACTTCTCATGTTCAAAACACCAGTGACCAGAAAGTCGATGTATCGTAAATGTGATTTGTCGTCATCAAAGATCCCCAATTCGATATGCTCGCTATGCGAAAGCTTTAAAACTTTCGAAATGATATGCAGTAAAGACACTGAAATCAACTCCGATTCCTGAGTACCAACATTAAAGTGTCTGTTTGTGAGCTCCAGAAGAAAAGTTACGATGAACTGGAAATTTCGCTCCGTGCCATCCAAGAGAACATCCAGTAAGACCAATACAGTCCGGACGCTTTTACCGTTATGGTTTTCGTTTGCGCCCAGGAACTTGATCGCAATGGCAATGGCGAGGTTTTTATAATTCGAAATGTCCTCGCCTTTCCACGTATCTATAGACTGAACCGACGTTTGTTCTGCCTTGAAAGACTTTTGTACAATCGGCCGTTCAACGTTAAGGACGTTGATTAGAAGCTGGCAATAATAAACAAAAGAGTCAATGTCATCCAGTTCATCTAGGGTGTCTTTGTGAATCAGTTTATTATTGAGCAGATTTTCACAAAGTATGTGATATAACTTATTGGCAGAGCCCTGTTTCACAACTCCGGATACCCATCTTGACGTGCTGAGGTAGTTTGGGTGTTGGTCATCAAAAAGCTCATCCAGAACCAATTCTAAAGACCTTCGCGCAATTGACGCTGTGTTTTCAGAGTGGACCCAAATTGCATCAAGTGCACTTACCTTAGAATTTATGTCGTTTTCTTCAACAAATGCAAACGAGAGGGCACTTTCGACATATTTAGACCCCACAGCAGCATCCAATTGATCCAAGTATTTGATAGATTCGATTTGGGTGTCAGGGTTAACAAGGAGGGCCCAAAGGCCCGTTACCAGTGCTTTGGAAAGTTTTGCGGTCTCCATTACACAGAGTTTAGGAGCCAAATACTCGGCGTAAAGCTTGACCCATCCAAGAATAGAGTCGTTGCCTCCGAGATTTGAATCTGCTTTCAATTTGAATAACTTTTCGGTTAGCGGCCTCGACAAATCAAGTTGGCGCTCTTCAATTTTGTTACTCTCTAAAACCTGAGCTGAAGAGGTGTCTTCTAAGTCTTGCGGAATTTTATCAACTAGCTGCAGGAACAAATCAACTACTCTGTTAAACCGGGCACCTTTATTTGAGAAGTCAAGTAGACAATCTCGCATTCTGACGAAGATTAAACACGTCACGTCTTCCGCCGAGTACGGAGGGGAAATATCTGACGAGTATTCCACACTCAAGGTCCTAGTGGCGTTGAGAAATCCCGAGTAATACTCTGTCACCGACGCACAGCTGTCCACACCTTCGAAAGCTGAATCCGTGTAAATCTTTGAATGCTCGATAGGCAAGTAAGCTCTTTCCGGTGTCAAAGATACTACAATTTCACAAATGGCTTCGAACTCGTCATCACCGAAGCTCTTTTGCTTGCAGAGGATTGCGAGTAAAATAAGCGGCAGATGGCGCACAATAATTTCTTCGTCGTTCCCGATTCTGAAGCGGGATAAAACGAAAGATAAGAGGCTCAGGTTATTATTCACCACAGTAGCTTCAAACAAATGACTGCAGATTATATGCGTTTCAACCGAGTCAATGAATTCAGATGCGTTTTTCATGACCGTGTCGTTTTTTTGGAACTTAAAGGCCGCCATCATTAGCGGTACAAACAGTTTCGGTATAATATGAGATGCGATTTCCCAGCGATCCATGATTTCCAAGCAAATTTTAAAGGCATCTGGAGCCTGCTGCTCATCCTTTATCATATCAGTGAGCCCTGAAAGCAAGCTTGCCTCCCCGTAGCGTGGGAAATACTCATCCCCGATGGCCTGATCCGAAGTATTCCCGGCGAGCGAGTTCGGTCCCAGCAACCAATTCCAGATTCGTCTACTGATGGACATGTCTCTAGTGAGCATGGTTCTGCAGCAGCTCATCATCAGTAAGGTGCGGTCCGACTCTGAGGCTAGATACTGGATTATGGGGGAGCTTAAGTTAATGCGCTGCAGAAGTAAATCCAAGATACCTCTCTTTATGAGAAGCTCACTGTCGTCTGCCAAGCAGCTCACTAAAAACCGAATAAGCAGACCAGGTTCGGGATGCACCACATCTTTTGCTACCGGTAGCAGAAGTTTGAGCGCTGACTGGCGTCTATTCCGAAGATTGTCATCGGTAGCTCCCTCAGACAATTCTTCCTCCTTGCGCTGGCGCAATTTGTGTGGGATGGCATTTAAAGACGGGAGAAATTTCGTAAGCCAGGTGAGACCGCCAGAACGTCTTTCTTTATTATTGATCATGATCATAAAACAGCTTTGCCAGAACAATGGCTCATCGGCCGCGTTTTCTCGCAGCGTTTCTATGAGACTGAGCGTTGCAGGCTGCGACTCGCTGCTTTCGTCATCGATGTCCGGCATTAAACTGGCCAGCAGCGGCTTCAAGATTAAACGCAGCGTCGAGGGAGGCAGCTGCACTAGATATTGCTCGTATAGCTCGATTAAGGGTCCCTTGACCGAAATAGAAGCGTATGACATCAAAGGCAAAATGCCAGGAACCCAAATATTGCACTCTTTACTCAACGTGTCCACTCCGATCTTATTGAAAATGATGCTGTACACCTCGATGGTTTTCAAATGAACTCCCGAGGGTAAGTTAGGGGACAGAGACGATGCCAATCGCCGGCTGACTTGGTAAGGGAAGGGGACACAATAACGTACATTTTGGAACTGCGGCGTCCAGCTTTGCAGCGCTTTCAGCAGCTTGCCCAAACTGGCGATATAATCTGCCCATTCAGTGACAGAATCGAAATGTTGCAAGGCCCGCTCGATGCTGGCATGGAATTTCTTCTGTTTGGCATCCAGCTGGCGGTTGTTGAAGTCAATGGAAATCGGTTTGAGCGGCACCGACATGCTGAATGAGAGCTTTGAAGGGTCTCACGAAGAAGTTGAGAGTTGTAGCTGGACGAAATTGAGTGTATAGTTGATGGAGTCGAATCAGGATTGAAGGTAAGATAGAGCTTTAGTTTCTTGAATTTGGTAGTTATGATCAATACATACATTTACGTAATCACTATCACGAGGAACGAAAACAATTTTTTGATTACATAAGATTGTGTCAGTTTAATGACAAAGTGATAATACGTGTCTGATGTCACGTGACATCGAGCACACCAACGGCCTAAATGTCTGCTCCTCCTCACCAGCCCGCATTCGCGGCAACCCCACGTCTCATCGCATCACTGACCAAGATTCAACGATGAGCGTAGGAAATTCACCAGATCCGCGATTTCCTCAGGTGAAGTGCTGTGCTCCATGCCAGGATACACTTTCATTGTGTAGCGGGAGTGGCCGCAACGTTCAGTGTAAAACCGGTGTGCACTCTGTCCCATGGCCAGCGATATTACCGGATCGGCAGACCCATGGCCATGGAAAATCGGCGTATCGACGTTGACCGAATTTTGAATCTCTAAAAGCTTGTTGTTGATGATCGAAAAGCCGGAAAGGGCCACAAATGCTCCTATTTTCGTAGGCAAAGTCACCGCACTAGCAAGTGCCAATGACGCACCCTGCGAAAACCCACCCACGACAACGTTTTCGGGTGCAATGCCATTTTGAACTTGTTCGTCAACTAGACGGCGGACCACGTCCAAAGACTTCATAAAGCCATCCACGTCGGGCCGCGATTGTATTTCCTCCCACTCGCGAATGTCAAACCATGCCGGCATCGGGTAGTTACCATTGCAGGTGATGTTGAGCACAGGTGCATTTGGAAATACGAAATTCGTATGCTGGAAAGCTGGATCTCTCTGTAAGAACTCAGCAAAGAACGACCATCCCGAACCAGAGTCTCCCAGTCCGTGAAGAAAAATAAGAGCCTGTTTAGCAGGCTGGCAGCGAGCAGCGACTCGAATAGCACTCAGGCTTGCCATTATTAGCAGAGTTTATCATATACTCAAGTTATATTCAAATACCATAGTTGATTTCAGATTGATTATAATATGTTGACAAGAAATCGCAACTTCAAGAAATCGGTATGAATACCCCGGAATTGCCCCCCAAAGCCACGCACGATGCTGTGCCAAATACTACTGGGGATGATTTACGATTGCCCGAAAACTGCAGCCTTCTTCCTGCTAAGGTGATCGAGCAAATGGTCTCAGATCATCGAGAGTATTTAAGAGACTATGTGATGCGCTTTGAAGACTGCAAAGACGTTTTAGAAGAGACTTCGGAGCTCAAAAAAGAATTGTTGTTGCTGCTGGAACAATTTGAAAATACCGAGGAGCGTCGTGAGCGCTTTAGAGCTAAGCTCAGCGACCTAGACAGCCTGGAAAAGAAGTATGAGACTAGCTGGGCCAAGCTGAACACGCTAATGAATTCAACGTATAGCAACCCGGCGTTGACTAGGAGAATGCAGAAAGAACTACAGAAACTGGAGTCGCAAGCGACTGCTTTGGAATCGGACCGTGGCTTGGACATTGACGAGTTCATCAAAAAACATCTGGAGCTAAGACAACAGTATCATACCAAGAAAGAGATATTGCTTGTATGGAAGCAGAGCTGAAATTTGTTTGTTTCCTGTGGCCACAGTTGCCTGTCTAACCACACTTTGGTCCCCCCAAAGTCAACATAAGAAGAACAATACTACGCTCGTCGCAGATATGCAGATATGTTATTCTTTTCCTACCTACTGAAGGCGTACCATACGCAGACGTCCCCATCCCATGCTGTGGACGCAATGTAGCCCGGCTGTCCCCACATGCTCCAGTCCGCGCCAAACACAAATTCGCTATGGTGGGGAAACACGAATCGACAGCCCTTGGCTGGGTCCACGCTGTTGGTCTTGCCTGTCGGCCTACGGCCGTCTGTACTGACGTCCTGCCATACTTTGCAGGTCATGTCGTAGGACGTGGAAAGAAACATGTCCGAGTGGTGCGGTGACCAAGAGACTTTCCTCACAGCCAGATCATGTCCACTGACCTCGTTTACGCTCATGGGCTGTCGCGAGTGCATGCTCATTTTGCGCACCATTCGCAGGTCCCATATTTTTATCATGTTATCCACACCGCCGGTGGCTACAATATAAGGCCTGTATTTGTTATAGTCGCATGTTAGGGTCTCCATGCCGCCGTGTGCCAGGAAACTATACTGGCCGGAAGAGGATGGCTGGCGTAGATCGAAGAGCGTAACGTAAGAGTTTCCGGAACAGCTCATGATGGCGTTGGGGTCGTGAGGTGAAAATTGCGCTTGGTATATACAGCTCTTGTTTTTAGAAAGCGAATTGTGCTGTCGCTGATTAGACATTGGCACGTCGCGGTGAGGAGTGAGGGTATTTTCCCTTTTCATGGATTTAGGTATAAGTGTTGCCATGCTAGTATTTCTGGCCGGAGTCCAGATTTTGATCGAGCCATCCCATGAGCTGCTTACAAACAGATGCTTGTTCAGTAAATTCCAGTTACAACTTAGCACCTCTTTCTCATGCTCTTGAAAGATGGCAATCGGGTATTCATTCAGTAAAGTATCGAAAAGTCGAAGGGACCCGTCTCCTTGAGCGACAAGAACCTGATTTTCATGTAATTCATTCCAGGCAACGTCAAAAAGACCATCTTGTGTGAGAAATGACTTGCTTTTCAGCATTCTTCCTTGGTTATCGATATCCAAGATATACAATTTCCCATTACCAACTAAGCCGAAATTAGAGCCCGAAGCTACGGCCAACCTATGATCAAAAAAGGGCGAATATTGTACTCCATACCCACTATATCCTCGCATATGATACTTCAACATCTCGGGCTTTTCATGTGCTATTCTACCGTCCTTCTCCCTTGAAATGCCAACTCTTGGCTTAAACTAATGTCTTGTGATATATATACGCTTCGAAAATTACGTTAAACAGTGGAACGTTAACAGAACAAGAAAGTTGAAGTACACCCATGAGTGTACGATTTATATATGATCTTTTGAATGAGATTGAAGCATTTCATATGCAATGAACGATAAAAACTGTGAGTGGGGTTTGAATTGCTGTCAATCGGCGAGAAAAATTGTCATCATTACGAGTCTTCAGCCTCAGGTACAGTTGGCTGAACTTCGGGCTCTTCAGGTTGGTCGTGAGCTGGTGGGTCATGGTCTTGAGATTGAGCTTCTGGAACTGGCATGGCACCAGTGAAATTAACAGTCGAGATGCCGTCAGCGGTTCTACGACTAGCCACACCTGTGTTGAACATTTGTTCGGGAGCAGTTCTTCTGGAATTAAAGTTGCTGAAGTTCCGGGCCAGTCCTAAAAGACTGTTCAGATTGAAACCTCGACGGCGTTCGGTGTTTTCAGTTTGTCCGTTGCTTGTCTCGGGCTGGGTGTCTGGTTGGCTTGCGGCAACTTGTGCCTCAGCAGAACCGTTGTCATCACCATTATTGCCGGAGTCAGCTACGCCAACAGCATTGCCGTTGGAGGAAGGCGAAGAGCCAGAACGGGTCGCGGCCCCCAGCGCTTCACTGGTGTGTAAATTGAAGACATGGTTTAGCGAGGCGATAAAACTATTAGTTTCTGGGCTGTTGTCAGTCGTGATCTGCTGAGGGCCAGAAGATGTACTGTCGCTAGCAGTCCCCTGAGATATGTTTGTGTCACTTGTACGAGATGCATCGTTGTTGGCTGTTGCTGCGCCGTTCTGCTCTCCAGATAGAGATCTTCCACGAAGATGAATGAAGGTGATGGGCATGAAGCTCACACCACCCGGCCTGGCGCCATTGAGAATCAGAGGTGATGTTGCGTTTTCATTTGCCACATGAGAGGCAGAACTAGGCGCTGGTGGTTGTGCCGCGTTGGAGTTTGTTTCCGTGTTGTTTGCTGCAGGGCCACGATTTGGCCTAAAAACGACGAAATTTGCTAAGGTGCTCAGAGCGTCTGCTCTAGACCCTAGGTTCATTCCGGCAGCTTCGGGAGCAAATGCTGGGGTATCAGATGGTCTGTTTGCGTTTCCTCCCGAAGAAACCGCCTCACTTGTGCCTGCTGCGATCGGGCCATACAAAAGCAGCCTTATTCTTTCTAGAGTCTGCTGATCCAGAAAACTATCCTCGTCTTCATTAGCACGTGGGCTGTTAAGGCCATCTGCATCCACGATCGGTCTCCGGCATACGGGACATGTGTTGTGTTCCTGTGTCCATTCTCTTATGCATTCACGTCCAAAGATGTGTCCACAGGGGAGTTGAACTGGCGAATGTTTATACGTGACAGGCGACGAATCTTTGGCGTCAGTATCTGTGGGACCTCCATTTTGAGCAGACGTTTGCTCGGAAGATTGTGTCGGATGCGATGGATCAGACGATGTCTCTTCCTCTGTTCTCTGCCTTTTTGCAATGCCTGGTTCTGCTCCGCCATCCTCTGTTTCTAAAGACCTCTTTTTCGCCTTTTCAGCATCAATCTCTTCCGGCTGCACCTCTTCCACGAATTCGTCGTAGCAGATACTACACGTCTCTTGTGGAACTTTGTCCAAGCTGAGAACAGGTAGTTTTTCAAAAGCTTCTCTTGAGATACCATTAGGACGGTTAAACCTGTGGTGCAGGCGGTTGATTGCAAGGTTGGAAGCAAGTGCTACCACCTGTTCCAACCGTTCCTGCGTGGCAGAAGATGGCACATCGGTAAAGTTCAGCACAAACGGCACTCTGCTCACAGTTTCATTGTTTTCTCCGCCAGTACCATTCTGTCTGCCACCATTCAAAACTGCATACTGTATCGTGACTGTGACGTTCCTTGTTTGCCTGTTATTTGCATCTAAAGAGGGGGTTTCCGGGCCCAATAGGTTCGGATCAGGCCTCTGCGGTTCTTCCCCGTTTCCCACCGTCATTCTGCTCAAAATGCTGGCAAAACTCGCAATTGAAGAAGAGCTGAAATGTAAAATAACGCTAGCCGCGACCAAAGATGTTAACTGAGGTAAAGAACGAGAAGCTCTTATAAGTTCACGCAAGGTTGTTTTTGAAAGATGTTGCAATAAAACGCTCAAAAATCGTGCTGAAGATCTCTTTTTTTCTACAGCTCTTCAGACCACTTTCTTGAAATGCTCTAGACAGGCAAATAGTCGGGCCGAGTGCTCTCTTTAGTCCAACTCTTACAATTTGTTTGGTAAGAGTTCTGTAATCTGTAGATGCTGTCGCTAAGCTGATTAACTATATGTATTTGTCAATAATGATCGCGTTATACGAGATCCATTCATGACGGTGACAGTCAAAAATCCAGTTCAAGGCCCCAGCAACAGGTCGACCAGTTGAGCTTATAGTTTCCTAGTCTTCGAATCGAATTAACAGTGATAGGTTTAATATTTCATACTTGACAGGCTTTAATTTTTAATCCTTGAGAAATGATTCTTGATTAGTGACATTCCGATGACAGATTTATGAATTGATTCGGTCTTGACAGGAGCTACTGTGAGGTCACAACTGGCTTTTGAGTTCTTCTAGAAAAATCCAGCTTGTGACAAAATGTTTGGAATAGCTCAGATTGACTTCATTGCAATGTTTGCGCCCAAGGAATATTTTAGACTTTTATTAGATGTGTCTTTCATATTTCTAGTGCTCGCAGTTTTATGCTCGATTGTGCCATGCAAGAGACTAATTGCGTAGTTAACCACAACTGCACAATTCACATAGTCCTGATTTAGAAATGGAAGGCCAACTATTTTCACGGTTATTCTCAATTTCAGCATGTCATCGTTGGTATCCATGTTTCAGGAGACTTATAATAAGGACATGGGCCATATCATTTACCTTTCAGAAATGTCTCTCGAATCACAGAGCATTGCCGAAAACGTACGCTGAAAGCTGCTGTGCGACACGACCTGCATGTTACTTTACCAGCTTAAACGTCCCGTTGGCGTTGCTGACGAGCTTTCCTTCATCTACCAAAACTGTCAAATAAGACTGTAACTGAGAAGCAGTTGCCGTGTATCCCAATTCTTTCGGTACTGCCATTTTCAAAAATGAGTGTATTTTTCCGGCTTTCATGCTGCCCAGATTCGTTAGCATGCCCTTTATAAAGGGCCAAACCTTTTCCATGGAGTCGGTAATCTCTTTTTGTTGGAAATCAGCAGTTCCGTCGGCTTTGTGAGAATCTGCTGTGGCTTGAGTAGATGCGCCGGGCAGTGCATTTTCAAGATATTCAACCGGCTTGTATACGTCAAGCGCTTTGTCATACTGGAGAACGGAGGAATTTCGCCAAAAATTCAGAGCTTGGACAACTTCAGCTTGATCGAAGTCCGTTCTTTCGACGAGTTGCTTTTCTGTGAGGGTCTTCGATCCTTCTGCACTGGAAAAACATGAGAGAATGACCGATCTTTTGAACGGAACCTCGTAGCTCACTTTGCGACCATCCGCAAATCTCAATGTCACTTCCACAGCACTTAGATCTTGATGAAACCTCAGCTTTCGACCTTTTTTGATATGCGAGTATGCTTCTTTATACCTTCCGAGATCTTTTTCTAGCGCTGGAGGCAACTTCAGGTCTCTTGAAGGTGCAGAGAACTCTTGCGACGCACCCCAAAACAAATATGAAATTATTTTTGGGAAGATCTTAGAGTTTAGCGTTGGCAAGGTATGCAAGTCAGAGCACAGCGCTTCGCTATGCTTGATGTCACGTAGCATGACGTCGATGTTATTAACATTAGAGGTGTCTTGACCGTTGGGATATTTCTTAAAGTCAAACTTTTCCTTCAAAATCTTGAGACTTTTAACCCAGTTATGCTCCAGTTTATAACCTTTGAGATCAAGTAGTTTGTCTGTGAAAAGCGTAATAAATGCAGTTACGATGACGTCCCTAGAGTCAAATAAGTCCACCACAATGTCAAACAAACTTTTGCTCATTAGGGCATTGTCACTGCTTACCTGTATTGAATCGGTAGGCTCTGGAACCCAATGGAGGTAGTAATTGAGAACCTGTTGACAAACCGGTTCAGAGGAATTCAACACAGGGGAGCGCTCAGGCGAAGTTTGAAGAGCGCTGTCTAATGTTGAGGTTGATATGGGTTGGTGGGAGTCTCTCAACTCGGCTGCGAGCTGTAATGCGATTTTGATATGTGCAGAGCTTTGGCTTGCTCCCTTCGTTTCAGACACGTCGAGTCCCAAGATTGCGTACAGGAATGAAGAGACTGTATCCCTTCGCTCCATAAGATACGGCCGGACAAAATTAGTTAGGAGCTGGAAATAACGGAAGGACACATCCACGGTGAGAATGCTTTTGATGGCTTTCACATAGGACAACACAATCTCTGTTGTAGTGATACTAGGCTTCAGCATTCGTGCTTCAAACTGGCACAGAAGTTGCGTTATCAGCTCCGTATATTTGGCGGGCGACTTTAAAACACTTCGAAGCTCCAGTAGAGTTGGTTTTGAGATAGGATACTCAGTAACGAAGATATCGAACACTTGCGAAGTTCGTATGCTTATGAACTCGCGCTCAAAACAGTTATATATCTCCTTTGTAATTTCATGATCATCTTCGGCACATTGAAGCATCTCGCTCATTGTACTCCAATAGCTGCTAATGAACGCGTTGAAGGTTTCCATGACCGCAAATCTTTTGGTCCAAACGAAGCTCATTTGTTCTGTGGCGTACATTTTGACCTTGCACAATATACTGTCGACCAGCAAAGTAGTTAGAACTCTCCCCTCTGCGTGACAGAGCCACTCATATAGCTTGCGAGCCATCTCGAAGTCATCTTCAAGTAGAAGCTGCTCAAGTCGCTGGACCATAATTCCCTTGAACGTTGGGTGGTAAGAAATGAGGTAGCCGCGAAGCCCGTTGATTTCATCTATCCACTCACGGGCGCTGAAAATCTCCAAGAAGCCTAGCGGGAATTCGTAATATCTTTCAAGTTTTCGCACGTCCTTGAAATGCAGCAAGGCCTGGAAGTTGTTAAAGAAGTGTCTACGGGTTTGGTAGATCACGTATTGCCGCAGCAACTCATAAAAGAAATCCTCCTTATCTTTCATTTTGAAAAGACCTCTGATGGCGCTTTTGATTCGCAGAATTGGCGGTCTTAGCTGATGATTGCTGTCTGGCTCATTTGGATTGATCCAACTGAGAATGCCGTCTAAATCGTCCCCGAAACTGGCGTCGTGGTCCCCCAAAGCATTGTGAAGTTTTGCAATGAGCCTATTGCTCTCTTCAGACTCATCCATCGACTCTAGACACGCCCCAGGTCTCCAGTCCGTGTGTTACATTGTGACATGTTGAACCAGTACACAGTAATTTATATAAATGTACAAATTAAACACTATGGGACGCGATGCGATGAGCCTGAGTATTTAAGTAAACGCAGCTAAAAGTCCCGGCAGATAGTCGAGGACTCATCGAAATGGTATGATTGGCGTGAAATGCTACCTCGACAATTCTCAAAATGAGCTTTCATGACTAACGGCTTTTTTAGAAAGATAGCCATGTAGACGAGTTTATCGCGTTGACGAAATGTACAAGACAGATGGCGCGCGAGTTTCTCGAAAAAAACAATTACGAGTTGGATTACGCACTAAATGACTTTTATGATACATGTCAGAATGGGTTTGTTGTCGATATGAGGCCAATGGCTCCGGAATTGATAGCTCTGTTCGAAAAATACCGGTCTAGCGAGATTGACAGTAGCATTTCCACCGACGGACTTGTTCAGTTGATAGAAGATTTAGGATTAGAACTAGAGGACCCAGTGACTCTGTGTTTGGCCCATACCTTGCAAGTCAAGAGCCTGCATGACCCGATCTCAAGAAATCAGTTTCTCGATGGCTTGCACTCGGCCTTCTGCGCCAGTCTCGAAGACGTGAAATCCATGCTTATCGAAAAAGAGAGCAAACTGCGCAACGACGCAGACTACCTGGAGACGATATACAACTACACCTATGGTTTGATACTCGAGCCAGACCACAAGACGCTTCACCTGAAGGCCGCACAGGAGTACTGGAATCTCTATTTCGACCCCCCAACAAACACAAAATTCGCTATACAACCTTCAAAGCCGTTTTTCAAGCAGTGGAAGGCATTTTTGGAATCTCAGGGTACCACTACAATCAGCCGTGACGTGTGGCAGATGTTTTTCAAATTTATCAAACAGTATCCAACCTTGCAAGCTCTGAAACAAGACTACAACGAAATGGACGCTTGGCCGCTTCTTATAGATGAGTTCTACGAATACCTAGAAGAGAATGGAGCTCTTTAGCTGTTCACGCAGTGCTCTTTCAAGATGTCAGTGTTTAAACGTCAGTTACCCGTAACTGTAGTTCATAATTAAATAATTGTTAGTTTTGACAACATCATCTCAACAGTGAAATAGAACATAAAACCAGAGTATTATTGGGCCTGAATACAACCTTTAGGAGCTTTAAAATTGTCTCACAACTGCTTCTGTGAGTACGCTCTTAAAATTACTTTAGTCGTCCAGTTTTCGAGCTACTTTGAGCGAGAAAGGCTCTGTCATCAAGTAGTAATAGAGCTCATCTACTGTCATGTCTTCCAATCCAAATTCAGGCGCTCCTGCTCAAGGTGGCACCCCCACGCAGGGACCTCCAACACAGCAGCTAACACCCGATTCTGTGCAGCATCTGGCATTGCGTTATCGCCAGTATTTTAATGAAGCACAAAGGCTAGGACCCACTACTCCTCAAGGCCAGGAGCTGCTGAGAAGAGCTTCTAAGATCAAGGCAATGTACGTCGCATACAACACTCAGAATCAACAAGCGGCCCAAGGGCTTCCACAAGCGGCTAGTGGGCCTTCTGCAGCCGCTGACAACGGGTCAGCGTCGCCAGCTGCCTCGCAGAACTCAAATGGTACTCCAACCAGCAACTCAATCTCGAGTAATATCCAGAATTTGCTGACTCCACAACAAAACGAAGCGTATGGCAAACTTATACAGACTTTCAACGAAAATGGTGAAAAGATCAAAGGCGAATATGGCTTTTTGAAAAAGCAAATTGAGATTTTAGATGGTGAGATCAATAAACGACAGGGCAATCCGGCGATAGTTAACCAGTTGGAGACGAAAAAATCCGAAATCCTCAACAAGTTGACGAGCTTTGGCGTTTCTTATACAGCGCTCAGCCAAAAGCTGCGCGAGGATAAGAAAAACTTCTACATCGAGTGCGCGGCAACTAATCCTAATTTGAAACGCTTTTTGCAGGCCTCAACCCAGCAGCAACGTGCCAATGCTGCTAATATGTCGAACGGTGGATCTCCGTTGCCTGCAAACGCAACTGCAGCCGCCGCTAGCAGTCCGAGCCAACAGCCAGTAATACAGCAGCCACAAGTTCAACAACAACAAACAAAGAGCGCTCCTACACAACCAAAGTCAAATGCAAATAGTAGATCTCCCACCCATGTGACATCAGTGAATGCTGCTGCTCATTTGGCCAACACTGTCAGTCCAGCGGGCAGACAGGCCATTTTCAAGCAACCCAATCCTTCGGTTCCCATCTCCGAAACCGTCGCACAGAAAATGCCCACGCCTGTGGTTCATAGAGCCAACCGGCCCACTATCACTGGTGGTAGTGCAATGAACGCTGCCGCGATGAACACTCCTGTAATGACCAAGCTCCCACCCTATGAGGTGGACAACGAAAGGGTTATGTCTAAGAGAAAGCTGCGTGAGCTTGTCAAGTCCGTTGGCATTGACGAAGGTGATGGCGAGACCACCATTGACGGTGATGTCGAGGAGCTTTTGCTTGACTTGGCCGACGATTTCATCACAAATGTGACAAGTTTCGCTTGCCGTCTTGCCAAGCATAGGAAATCGGATAATTTGGACGTTCGCGACATTCAACTGCATCTCGAAAGGAATTGGAACATTCGTGTGCCTGGTTATGCTGCCGACGAAGTAAGGAGCACTAGAAAGTGGAATCCAACTACCAGCTACAACCAGAAGCTTCAAGGTATCAATACTGCCAAAGCTGCCAAGACTGCTTCCGCTGCTCAAGCTATAGCTGCTCAGGCAGTCAGTGGTAACTCGAGCAAGCCGCAGTCCTTGCCATAGCTATGACAAGCACTGGACAGCTCGAAGCGTCAAACAACTCATAAGCACTGGATGAGTGACGCTGCACCCGCGTACTCGTAAGCATTTGAAGTACTCGGGCTTGCAATAAATTAAAATGAATTGTGGCACTTTTCACGGGTCATCGGCAAATATCGAAAAATTTTAACCATACCTATTCAAACCATACAAACGCCAGCGCTCCAGCTACGAGAACTCAGCTTTGATCACCCAAATTCAATCACAATGGTAAAATCGTACCAACGATTTGAGCAGGAATCTGTACTTGGTGTTATTTCTAGCAATACGAATTGCTTATGGGTTCCTTCCGAGACAAGAAATGGCTCTGGCCAGGTGCTCACAGGCGCCCTAGAAAATGTTAACTGCTGGTCCATGAAGTCGGGAGAGCTGATAGGAACTCTCAGTGACGGGTTCCCACCAGGTGCTGTGGATGCAAAAACAACGAGACCCGCTGAATCTTCTTTCCTTCAATACCATACTGAGACAAATCTGCTAGCCGTAGGCTATGCCGACGGTGCAATCAAAATCTGGGATCTACTCTCGAGGTCTGTTCTCATCAATTTCAACGGTCACAAATCTGCTATCACAATGTTGAGGTTTGATAGCACGGGGACGAGACTAATATCTGGAGCCAAGGACTCAGATGTCATTGTTTGGGATCTCGTGGCCGAAGTAGGCCTGTACAAACTACGCTCGCACAAGGACTCTGTGACTGGGATATGGTGTTACGGGGAGGAGTGGCTGATCAGCACGTCCAAAGACGGTCTCATCAAGATTTGGGATTTGAAAACGCAGCAATGCGTGGAGACCCATATGGCCCATGTTGGAGAGTGTTGGAGTTTAGGTGTTCATGGCGATCTTGTCGTTACTGCCGGTGCTGACAACCAGCTCAAGCTGTGGAAATTGGATCTAGAGGCTACTCCGGGCCAAATGCTGACGGAAAAGGGTATCGCCGAGAAACAGAGTAAACAAAGAGGTGTGGCAATCGAGTTTATCAGCGTCAAAGAGACTGCTGTTTTTTTCCTAGTACAGAATGCTGATAGATCTGCTGAAATTTTCAGACTGCGGACTGCAGAAGAAATAGCGAAAGCGTTAAAAAGAAGAGAAAAGAGGCTTACCGAGAAAGGTCTAGATCAGAATGAAATCGAACAGAATTTGAAGGACTCATACACTTCGTTCGTGATGCATCCCTTTCAGGTTGTAAGATCGACATTTCGAATCAAAGCAGTTTGCTGGGCTACTGTAACCACTTCCAAACTAGAGTTAGTCGTGACCACCGCTAACAACACTATCGATTATTTTTCAATTCCGTACCAAAAGAGAGAGCCAACAACTCCGTCCCCAGCAAAGCTGTACTCTATCGATATGAATGGTCACCGCACGGATGTTCGTGCAATTGATATCAGCAATGACGGCAAACTTTTGGCCACTGCATCCAACGGTCTTCTAAAAATCTGGAATATGAAAACAGAGAGCTGCATAAGAACTTTTGAGTGTGGGTACGCCTTGACTTGTAAATTTCTTCCTGGGGGTGCTTTGGTGGTTTTGGGGACCAAGTCGGGAGAGCTACAGCTTTTCGACTTGGCATCATCGACGCTACTCAGTACTGATGTCGGACACACAGATGCAATCTGGTCTCTGGATATTACTAGTGATGGCAAGAGACTCGTTACAGGATCTGCTGACAAGACAGTCAGGTTTTGGGATTTTCAAATTGAACAGGAGCCTGTTCCGGACTCTGTCAACAAATTTGTACCAAAACTTAAACTCTTCCATGATACGACCTTGGAACTTAATGATGAAGTGCTGGCGGTGAAAATATCGCCAGACGACAAATTTCTAGCCGTGTCCTTGCTCGACAACACAGTGAAAGTATTTTTCTTGGACTCTAAGAAGTTCTTTTTGAGTTTGTACGGTCACAAGCTGCCTGTGTTGTCAATTGACATATCTTTTGATTCCAAGCTATTGATTACTTCCTCGGCTGATAAAAACATCAAGATATGGGGCCTAGATTTCGGTGATTGTCACAAGTCTCTATTTGCTCACAATGACTCCATCATGAAAGTAGCCTTTGTGCCCGAATCTCACAACTTTTTCAGTTGTAGTAAGGATACCTTGGTAAAATACTGGGATGGTGACAAATTCGAGTGTATCCAAAAGCTTGCGGCCCATCAGAAAGAAGTCTGGGCGCTCGCGATATCTTCTGACGCCAAGACTGTTGTATCTGCGTCTCATGATCAGAGTATACGTGTTTGGTCTGAGACTGACGATCAAGTTTTCTTGGAGGAAGAGAGAGAACGCGAATCCGATGAAAAATACGAAGAAACTCTGTTAAACTCTCTTGAGGATGGTACTGGTGACGACATGTTCCGTAAAGAAGAAAACGAGTCCGGTGAACCTGCTGATCAATCAACGGATGTTCACAAACAAACTGTTGAATCATTGAAAGCAAGTGAGAGGTTGGTGGACGCCCTGGACCTCGGGATGGCAGAGATCAAGACCATGTTGGAACACGAAAAAGCTGTCAAGGCTTGGCAAAAGAAGAAGTCGGGCCCACATCCAGGTGTACCTCAACCAAATAGCATCCTACTTGCCGTTCAAAAAACCCCACTGCAGTACATTATGGATGTGCTAGTGAAAATTAGGCCCTCGCAACTTGAAGACGCTTTGTTGGTGCTTCCTTTCTCTTACGTGTTGGATGTGCTTCAATTTATTGACTTGGTTCTCGAAGAGAAAAGTATAATGGCAAGGCGGATGCCATTGGTCTGCCGAGTGCTCTTCTTCATCATACGATCCAATCACAAAGAGCTGTTTTCGCAGAAGAGCCCCGAGCTTAAGGTCCAAATTGACAGGATTAAACTTGGACTAAGGAACTCTATCCAAAATAAAGTCGATGACCTAGGATTTAACCTTCAAGGATTAAAATTTATTAAGCAACAGTGGAATTTGAAGCATAACTTCGACTTCTCGGACGACATCACAAAGAGCAGCGAAGCTGATAAGAGGGTGAAAAAAAGGGTCTTTGAAACCTTAGTATAGATTTAAATGAAACTTTTGCATAATTATAATGAGACGGTGTATATTATTCCCATTTGATTCAAGTTTTTATATCAATGAATTATGTAAACATTTATACCAGTTTATGCCGCATTTACCTTTATTGTTCAGACCATTTATCTATCTTCGAAAAGGTGGGGTTCAGAAGTCCGCTCTCGATCATATCCCGCTGTAGCTGTTCTTCCATTTGAAGAGCAATCATTCCGTTATTATTGCGGACAATGGAATCCTTAACGGGACTGCTGGTGGCGCTAAACGTACCATCTTTTCTTGGCCTCCCTCGCCGCCGGGGCGATTTTTTTATTACTACATTGCTGAACTTTTTGCCTCCAACGCATATCATCCTGCTTCTGTGAACAATGAGAGCGTCCTCTCGCACAAATTTCTTACCACACGGACACACAAAAGACTTTTCCGCATGAATCTTTTTGTGCCTTATCAAGTCATGATTTCGTACAAATGCCTTGCCACAGCCCTCATAGTCACAGTGGTAAGGCCTATCTTCCAAATGAGTTTGAATATGTGAGCGGATATTATAGCGTCTTCTGAAAGTCTTACCACAATCTGGGTAAAGACATTGAAAGGTCTTATCGGGAAGTTCATGCACATACCTGTCAATCTCACCTGGGGGTAGAGTTGTTGGTTTTTTTGTTATCTTTAAAGAACTTGAGTTGTGAGAGCAGTGTTCGTGTTCGTGATCCAAATGATAGTGGTCGACATCATCAAACTCACCATGATTATCATCATAGTAATCGTGGTTAAGATATGGACTGGAGTCTTCAAAACGACCTTGCGATTTTAGTATTGGAGATGGCGTTTGGGCAATTTTAAACTCGCTCTCTGGACCATCCTCCCCATTCTGATTATCGTATTCATAGTTCTCCCCCTCGCTGGGCGGCCTCAAGTCCTCGTTCAGTGCTTTGAAAACAGGTCTGGTTGTAGGAAACCTAGAAGTCGAATTTGTCGCACTACCGGGGCCAAGAGACGCTTTAGTCGGAGTATGCTGAAAAACGTGCTTTTGAGGAAGACCTTTGGAGTCCAAGGGAGTCTTTTTAATACTAATTGGGGTATTATCGGAGGAGCCGGGTATAGTCGGCAGAAGATCTAATGGTGGTGGTTTATTGAGCAGATATTTTCTCTTTGCGTTTTCATCATTGCTTCGAATTCCCAAGCCAACCGCCTTGCCTGCCGGAGCAGTGGTCTGACCATAACGATCGTCATCGTCACACAGCTGTGGTATGGTAGAGGCGCTTGACGATATGGATTCTTTTGCTCGATGATAATTAACTCGAGGCGATGAGGATGTGGAAGAAGTTCCACCAATAACTACCCTATGTTGTGGTGTTATAGGATTATTGGTATCTAAGCGATCAATCGATGTTGCGTTTTTCGCATTGACTTGCTCAAAATACTTGCTCATTTTTTGGACCGTTTCGGCAGATATCTTAGGTTTGAAATTTGAGGAGCCAAAGAAATTTTCGGGACTCGAATAATCCTCTCCACCATCGCTGAAATTGTTAGGCACATTTAAGTGCAGTAATTGTGGGTTATTCCGAGTGCTGTGGTTCTTTCGAATTGGCGAGCCATTCATTGACGTTCCTGATACCGGCGATATAACACCGTTTTTCGAATTATCGGCGGTAGGTGAACGCGGGGCTGGGAACTTGTAGCCACCAGATTTGCTGTTACTTGTAATGATAATGTTCTTGCCGTCTGACCCAGGGTGTGATGTTCTGGAGGACGGAGTTCTCGCAGGCGAGACCTTGGCTGTCAGATGCTGAGCAGCATATTCCTGTTCTTTCAATGCCAGCTGAAGCTGCTGCTGCTGGCGTTGACTGCTTCTAAGCTGTTGTTCTAGTTGTGCGTTCATTTCCTGTTGCTTTTCTAAAGCCTGTCTCAATTCCTCTTGCTGCTTTAGAATCAAAGAGTTTAGATTATTACTCTGCACCTGGTAATCTTTGTCTGTACTTTCAGCACCATAGCCAGAGAAAGACGGCCGAAGCTGGTTGGCTCCGCTCAGAATATTTTCGTCAGGATTATTTTTCGTCAGACTTAGCTGTTTGTTGTGGTTGGCAAAACCAAATATTGCCGTTCCACTGGGCCCACGCTTGTGAGATTGGTGAGAGTTTTGCACTGGGACGTTAGTGTCACGGTTCCAGACCGTGTCGCACCGCGCCGGAGATCTCACTTCAGGACGAATGTTCAGGTTTTGTGGAATCATCGGGATATCGAGATCCTTCAATTCCTGCGTGAGGAAATCGTCGATATCCTCGTAGTTGCTGGGAAAGAGATTAGCCAAATCTGTTTCTGGGATTTCCAAACTCGAGGCCTCAAAGCTCTTAGGCTCGAGTGTCTGTGCTAAGCCAAAGTCCAAACCCACCGATTCGCTATTTTCCAGGTTGAGCAAATCAGTTTCCGCATTAAGATACCATTGAGAGCGGTTTTGATCCCTTGTGGAGGCCATAATTGTGTGTTTGTATGTGTCTTTTTTTTATATTTTTCTGGTTGTTCTCGTTTTAATGTTCCCTCTGTGTTCTTGTAAGTACCTGGTTCAGAGGCTGATTGGTCTTGTTATAATGAGTTTCGCAGCAAAGCAAGTGGTTAATCGTGGCCACCACGGTAATGTTTTGTTAGCTAGTTTTAATTGTCCTGAAATATACGTGGCTATTGTCCTGAAAATTACGTGGCTATTGTCCTATGGGTATAGTATGGCAAGAAAAGAGAGAGTTGTGTATTCTCTCTCCAGTTCGTCAAAATCCGGTCGCAAAGCGCAGTTCACCCAAACCAGTTTGTAGTAAATTCAGTATTTCAAAGTGTTGCTTTGCGCTAACTTTAAGAACCACGGAACCTGGCTAACCTGCGCTTGTTAGATATATTTCCAATTGGCACTTGCCCTGCTAGTGTGATGTTGATCCACAACCAAAACAATCTAGAAACTAAGTTTCTTTACCAGTGAACAGTTTCTCAAAGTGTCTATTAGATGGTTTGACTTGGGATTTGCCGAGTAGACCCAATTCGTAGATCTTGGGCAGTCTTTAACCCAATGCGGCAAGAGGGTAAACATCTGTCCTAAAACGGGTGATCGCGTGATCTGGAGGGCGATGGCAGCCGGAAAAACCCAAAATGATCCGAAGAAAAATATTAATCCGGATGGGTTATGTAATCGCATTCAAATTCTACGGATTATCGCCGCCAGAAAAGCTCTTGGTTAATGTAGGCACACCTGCATGCAGGATGCAGGATTCCATGCATGATCGGGATTTGAACTAGAAGTGCACGGAAAATGGAATCCATAGATTGGATCTTTGCTTGGTGAGCTTGATGCCTCGACATTGGAATTTGAGTGTATCGAGAATTGCAGGGTCGACGGGAGTGTCAGCAAGAACCGTGTTGAGTTCGTCTACTATTGTAGAGGAATACGAGGCCTTCGCACAGAAACTCTTAGCTAGCGACATATGCGAACGATCGTGGCCCCAAGTTCGTGTGGAAACGGCATTAGAGTCATCTTGGTCATGCTCGCTGCGACGGCAGAAGTCTAGAGACTCGCGTACGGCCTGCCACAGCTGGAAAAGCGGGCCGTTTTTCAATTCCGGCTCGAGGTCCAACGCTAAGAACAGCGCGTCGCGTTCGGCGTTCTCGTACATTTTCAGACACGGTTCGAACGCCACGTCAAACGGGCCCGCGATCCGCTGCAGAACCTCGATCTGCAACATCTGGGCGAACGCGTCCACTTCGGCAGCGGTGCTGAATTCGACGTTCGCACTCAGTGACACGTGCAGCGGCAATGGAGACCCCAGATCGCTAATATGCAATGGCTGGAACTCGAGCCCCGGTCGTTGTAGTTTGGTAGCCAGCTTGAGAGTCAACTCGTCCAGAGTTCGGCGTTGCTGCACCGTGGGACGCATTTCTATAAACGCAAAACTGGTCCATTTCGCAGCGCGCGTCGCGGACAATCGAGCGACGCTATTCATCTCGTTTTGCGTGTATTTTCCGATATTTGGCGAAATGTGAAATTTGTCCAACACTTGGTCTGGTAAATGTTGCAAAACTGGCTCGTTTTCTGAATCTTCTGTCTCGTTGTCGCTTGGATATTGATCTTTCAACAGATCCATAACTTGTTCAAAAGTTGTTCAAAAAAGACACAAAACCCCGGTAAAAAAAGCTCTTTTTTGCACTTTTGCAGCAATTCCTCTTTTGCCAACTCAACGTACGCCTTTAAAACACTTTAAAGAAGCTTTTGGCTCTCAATTTTGCCTTTATTCTTTGTATTCAAGTGCAATTGTCTCTGTCCCAACTCTTTCACATGGCTGGAAAACCTGCCCGACAATATAAATATGAACAACTCACGACGTATAACCACCAACTTAAAGCTTTAATCGACACAATCAAAGCTAGAACAATTGATCTAGCTTGTCACGGTTTACATAGGTCAAATACGCTACTCAAATTTGTATAAAAATGCCAGACAAAAGCTCAAGAACGAGACACCCGCGGTCGGGATCGAAATCAGGCTCGAACTCGTCAAGCGGCAGACGACCTTCGCTGCCGCGGGTAAAATCGTCGCCAAGACTGATGAGAACGATCAGTACAGAATTGGAGGCGGTAGCACACGATATGAAGCACTTCAAGCTGGATGGTGAGCCCGTGTCTTCGTCGTCGCAATCGCTGGAGGTTCCGTTTGTGAAGGGCACCCTAAACGCCAGTCTGCCACTAGAGTATTTGCGAGCAGATGTGTTGAACTTGGCGCAAGCGTTGAAAGTGTCAAAATGGTACAATAAGAAGGCCAGTACTACGCATTTGATCCCTCGTCGCGTGGAGCTCACCAAGATCACAGGCGCTCTTACCAATGCGATTTTCCGCGTGCAGTACGATGGATTGCCCTCGCTTCTCCTGCGTGTGTATGGACCACAGGTCGACAGCATCATCGACAGGGACTACGAGCTGCAAGTGCTGGCACGCTTGTCGTCGCACAACGTGGGCCCCAAGTTGTACGGGTGCTTTACGAACGGCCGTTTCGAGCAGTTCTTGGAGAACTCCAAAACTCTGACCAAAGACGACATCAGAGACTGGAAAACTGCGCAAAGAATCGCACGCAGAATGAAAGAGCTGCACTCAGGAGTCCCACTTTTGCCCTTTGAAATAGCTCGCGGTCCCAGTTCCTGGCTGCGGCTGGACAAGTGGGTCAAAGTCATCAACGAATCGGCCTGGTCTCGCAATGATGCCAACATTCAAAAAGTTCTGACATGCCAAAACTGGCCGTTTTTTCTGGAGGCAATGGCCAGATACCGACAATGGCTCGAAGACACCTACAAAGATCCTCACCGTGGGTTGGTGTTTTGCCACAACGATGCACAGTACGGTAACTTACTTTTCACATCACCTGTGGCCCCCGTGCCACCCACACCTGCTACTTCAGTCGACTCATTCGACACCTCGGACTCGCTATTCCCCACCACGTCCAATGTGTCTGTCGAGCAAATCATAAAACCTTCCGCACAGGAACAAATGCAAGACTCAAAACTGGTGGTAATCGATTTCGAGTACTCAGGTGCTAATAGACCCGCGTTTGATTTAGCCAATCATTTCAGCGAATGGATGTGCGATTACAACTGCGCTGAAGCCTACAAATCCGACGAGACAAAATACCCAACCAAAGAAGAACTGTTGAACTTTTTGTATTCCTACGCATCCCATCGTCGGGGTTCCAAGGATCAAAGCATTGAAGAGGAAGTTAGGGAGTTGTACAATGATGTCATAAGACAACGCGCGTGTGTTTCTCTTCATTGGGCTACGTGGGCCATTATTCAAAGTGGTGAATTGAGTGACTCGCCAGTCGAGAAGGTCGTAGAGGAAGGTCCCGGTGGTGAAAAATATGTCATCACCATCAGCGATGACGAGGGGGAGGCCATTATAGATACGGAAGAACTTGCTGAAGGTGTCGACATCGATACGTTTGACAATCTCAACTTTGCCAAGGGTAAAATGGCACTTTTCTGGGGCGACATGCTTCAATTGGGTCTTCTCAAGAAGGAAGAGCTTCCTGACTTCGTTAGCATTAAATCTTTAGGTACAAAATTTCTGTAAGTCGTGGGAGAGCGCAGTAAGCATCTACCCGACGTAATGGCATTTCTACAGTTAGAATAGATAATAAAAAAACTCTTGGGAGAATAGAAAGTACATGGCTCACTATGTTCTTCCCACTATTTTTCCAAATAAATACGGCATTCATGACAGCTTCCCATAGCTCAGCTGTTATCATAAATGCGTCTCGTCATCCATTTTTCTTTGATCATGATCAGAAAAGTGATGATTTGCGTTATGGGATAATGTCACATCGTATAAGCTACGACACACAAGATTTGCGTCTCGATAGTCGGCAAGGCGACAGATTTATCGCCAATAGTTGCTGTGCAAATTTGCCATATTTCAGATCCTCCTTACAGAATGGTAGATCTTACATAAGCATCATTTTTCTGGGGTCCTCGATCAACTCCTTGACAGTCTTCAAGAAAGTGACTGCTTCTCTTCCATCCAAAAGTCTGTGGTCGTAGGTCAAGGCCAAGTACATCATTGGTCTTGAGACAACTTGGCCGTTGACTGTAACAGGTCTCTCCTTAACACCGTGCAAACCTAGCACAGCAGTTTGAGGCATGTTGATGATTGGAGTGCCATATAGCGAACCGAAAACACCACCGTTGGAGATTGTGAAAGTGCCGCCGGCCATGTCTTCAAGAGTCAATTTCCCGTCACGAGCCTTCTTACCCAAACGGCTAATTTCCTCTTCCACGTCCAAGACAGACATGGACTCGGCATTACGAACCACTGGAGTCACCAAACCCTTTGGAGTGGCCACAGCGATGGAAATATCAGTGTAATCACGGTACACAATCTGGTCGCCATCGATGGCAGCGTTGACGGTAGGCACGTCTTTGGCAGCCAATGTGCAAGCTTTGGCAAACAGACCCATGAAGCCGAACTTGATGCCGGTCTTCTTGATGATTTCGTCCTTATACAGTTTGCGCATGTCCATCAAGGCGGACATATCGCATTCGTTGAAAGTCGTAAGCGAAGCTGCGGAGTTTTGAGATTCCTTTAATCTTTCGGCGATTCTCAAACGCATACGGTTCATTTTCACTCTTTGCTCAGAGCGAGAAAAGCTAGCGGTGCTCTTGGCGGCCTCAGATTCCGCTTTTGGAGCCGATTCCTTCTTTGGTTGAGCAGCTGGTGCAGGGGTTGGAGCCGATTTTTTGGTTTCCTCCTGTTTAGGCTCAGGCTTTGAAGTCTGCTCGGTGGCAGGTTTTTGTTCTTCTGCCTGGGGCTTGGCTGGCTGTTCCTCTTTGGCCTTCTCTTGGGCCTGGCCCGCGGCGGGAGCCTCACCGGCTTCAATTTCGGCAAGATCGTCGCCCACCGTCACCGTATCTTCCGGTTGGAAGTTTAGTTTTGTGACTGTTCCGCTTGTTGGGGCGTTGACCTCCACATCGATCTTATCGGTCTCAATGGTTGCCAGGAGCTCATCCTGTTGAATAAACTCACCGACCTGTCTTGTAAACTCTTTCAAAGATCCCTCAGTCAACGACTCGGCCATAGGAGGCACTTTGACCACTGTGGACTGAAATCTGCAAGCGGCCGCAGATCTTTGGCACTGTAGCACCAGCGAGTTTCTGGGCTGCAGAAGACCACCAAATTGAGGGGTGGCAAAGCTCAAAGAGCGCTTACTGTAGCCTGAGACCAACGGCTTGGCCACTTTAACACTAGCTCTGATCATATTCTTGCTGATCCTGTTTAAATATGAAACGGTGAATAACTCACGACCCAAAAACGTTAGAAACTTAATTCAAACGGGGGGTTTTGGCCCTTTTTTGTAGTTTTAGAATAAATACGTTATTTCGACACTATCGCCCTTGACAGTATCAGAAAATGGCGGATATATGTTGTTCAAAACAGTGGTTTGTATTATTTTATAAGATGTAAACTAGAATGGGCATCTTCTGTAAATTACACTGGTTAATTTTCCCTCAAAGTTCAATATAGCGCTTAAGAAATATTCGGTCCCGAAAACGGGATTTAAATGACAGTAAAAGGAAAGTGGAGAGTGAAACTTGGAGAAAACGGTATTGGATTGAAGAGCTCGGAATTGAGTGTAATTGGAGAAATTCAGTTGAGTCCTAGGTCGCATGTTGAGACGGTACAGCTTATGGAATTTCACTATATTCGAGAGAGGTTGATGTGATCGCTGTGTACGAAAATCATATAAATCAAGAAAAGGAGAGCTGTAGTAGCTTCAACGAAGAAGCTTTAGAGCTCTTCAGAGTTTCTAGTTTGACTAGAGAATTTTTTTTGGTTTTCTTGGGAGTTTTTTTAAGCAGTTTTGAGTGTTTTCTGTGTTTTCTGTTAAAACAAGTTCTGGTCAAGATCTACGAAGATGAGCGACATTGCATGGCCAAGATGGTGTCACATTAAGTGTGGTATTTTGTTTGATTCGAGTCGTGTGTCTATGATTCAATAATGGACAAGATCAAGACAATGTGGGCGTTTCGGAGTTCATTGTGGTATTTTTCGGAATGGGAATGGTTTAAAAAGGAATATATGATTACGAGCGCTCAGATAGCTTCTTTCGTCCACAGACTCGCATAGAAACCACAGATTTTTGAGTATGTTGAAAGCACTCACTTCAGGTGTGATAGAGCTTAAAATACAGCTAGAAATGTCGAGTGTCATCTAATATTCCCAATGAGACTAAAAAGTAGTGACTTTTCGATCTCATCATAGATCGCTGACACTCTCGATTTTGACCTTGAATTTTGCAAGGACTTAAGCCCACCTTATTACGACAGACAAAGAGTGAGCACAGGTCATCCGAGACCATTTCATATATACAAAAATCCATCAATTATTTGAAGCGGCCTCATTTGCTGGCCAAGCTCCCATAAAATCAAGCTTCCCATCACTTAGCTCGCTGCTGAAATCGAAGGTTCTGTTCAGTTCATGACAACTTGGATCTTCACCCATCCAGAGTAAGTTTTATTAGCATCACTCTATACGGGTGTGTCGCTGCTGATATTCGACAAGCATTATCTGCGAAAACTACGCACTGGAACCGACCACCAGTGGCAGCAGGGCCCAGTGTTTCACTGCTACTTACATTACTGGCAAAGTGGATTTTAAAACAAGCTATAAGCCAAGAGCGAATCCAAGTGTGTAGAGTTTTCATACTAGATGTTTTTTCTTCGCGATTTATTTTCCCCGAAGAACATGCGAAGAAAGTGCGAAGCTCAGCTGCACGTTCCCACCTCTCTCGTCTCTTGTAAAAACAATTATTCTTCATTCCCATCCTGCGTACTGGTGAAGCACCGTTGAATACTCTTTGAAGTGCAAAATTCATTCTATACGTACGCCACGACCTTGGATGTGCGAGCGTATTATTCATGGCATCGCCGGCGTCACATAACAACTGTCACCAGGTGCTTCAGAACTTGTGCAAAAAGGACCTGCTTTTTTGATAATTATCGGTTGCTATTGCCAGCATTTACACGACGACGAGACTCAACTTTCCCATAGCCAAGAAAAGTTTCACGCTGGTGACCGCAATTGAACGTCTCAGCAAAATCCAAGCGACAGCCCTTGTTACACTCGCTCAAACCCTAAGTCCAGCCTGAACCTCACTGCTCACCATAGTAAATGCAGGACTTCATGATATCACTTTCTTCTATACTGACTCCGAGATTGTCGGAATTCCCCTTCGGAATTACCGAAAGTGATAACGCCCGAAATTTGAGTCATCGACCTATATAAATCACTTATCCAGTTCACCACAACAGCCATTTATACACATTTTATACCCAGATCCCGGAAAGACGATATCAATCTTTTGTGACGACGCTAAAAGCTTTCAACAATTATCAGCGTGTTTAATCTCAGTACTTTGCGTCCGAAATGTCCAAATTCTGCGTATTCTACGGGACGTTTGTGGATACCCCGGTTTTGGGTCAATTGAGAATTCGTGCCAGAACCAGCTTGGGTGTCGATATCAATGGTGTAATTAAGTTTATAAAAGCGGAATCCCTAAATCCATTGCAAGACGCGCTGGATTTCGACCCGAATCTAAAATCGTGCGAAATCAACGTGGTAGACACTTTTGAACATCAGGGAACCTTTTTCTTCCCTGGGTTCATCGACACACATGTGCACGCTTCCCAGTATCCAAACGCGGGAATTTTTGGATCGTCGACTCTGCTTGACTGGCTCGAAACTTACACGTTTCCTCTCGAAGCAGGCCTCAAAGACCTTGATAATGCTCGGAAAATCTATAACAGAGTTCTAGACAAAACATTGGCACACGGAACAACCACTGCATCCTACTACACGACGATCGATGCAGATTCTTCGAATCTGATGGCCGAAATATGTGCTCAGCGAGGCCAAAGAGCACTTATCGGAAAGGTTTGCATGAACCAAAACTCTCCAGACTATTACGTGGAAACGCTTTCAGAATGCCAGCACTCACTCAACAAAGTGGTGGATCACATTCGGAACAAAATTAAGGACGACAAGGTGAAGCCCATTGTGACGCCGAGATTCGCTCCTACGTGCACGAGCGAACTCATGGCTTGGTTGGGTAAGACTGCGCAGGAGCACGATCTACACATCCAGACGCATCTGAGCGAAAATAAGAAAGAATTGGAATGGGTCAAGGAATTGTTTTCTGAGTCGGATTCGTATACTGAGGTTTACGACTCTCACCAGCTTCTAACGCCCAAAACGGTCCTGGCTCACTGCATACACCTGTCAGACAAAGAATTGGATATTATAAAGGAAAGAAAATCCGGGGTTTCCCACTGTCCAATTTCGAATTCATCGATTACTTCTGGCGAATGTGAAGTACGCCGCTTGCTGGATCACGAGATTAAAGTCGGTCTCGGAACAGATTTGTCGGGAGGATATGATGTAAGCATACTAGCCACGGCAAGACAAGCTCTGCTTGTTTCGAGGCATCTGGCCATGAAGGAACCCGACGCGGCCAAACAAGAGCACCTGAAATTGTCAGTTAATGACGTTTTATTTCTGTCATCACTAGGCGGTGCCCAAGTCTTGGACATGGAAGAAACCATCGGTTCTTTCGAAGTGGGTAAACAATTCGATACACAGTTGATAGATCTAAATTCTGCTGGTACGAAAGTAGATGTATTTGATTGGCAATACGCGAAATGGAGCGAAAAGAGTCGAGACGATGAGAATAAAAAACTCTTCGAAGATCTACTCGCAAAATGGTTGTTCACGGGTGACGACAGAAACACGGTATCGGTGTGGGTTGCCGGGAAACAGGTGTTTTCGAGCGTAAACTAGGGTTTTAATTATATCTGTAATGCATAATTGAATGCGAGCTGATGCTAGGGACTTAGAGTTCTTCTAGTAGTATCCAGGTGAATACAAAAGCGGCAGGTGGGGATACAGTTCTTGCCACTCGGTGACGATTCCCATAATGCAATCCTCGAACGGTTCGCCCGAGTCTTCGGACTCCGCAGCCTTCTGCGAGAGCGTGTCGGCAAGTTTCAGAATAGCCTTGCCACCGATTTTGGCGTTTTCATTGTCGTCTCGGATGTTGATGTTGAAGACATGTACGATCTTGTTAAGTTGACCACCACGACTCATAAGATCCTCGCAAACGGCGTCAAAGCACCTTTCCTCGCATGTGATCACAAAATCGAACACCTTTAAGCCTTCTTGCCATTTTTCGGGTGCCCGTTTTAGTTTACGGTTTCTATCCAGCATTTCCAGCAGTCCGTTCGATTTGTAGCGTTCTACTGATTGCGATTTCAGATCATTGTATATATCATTATAGGGCGTTCCAAACGCATAGACATTGGGTTTATCTTCTGAAAGTCCAGGGAGCCTCACGGCAGACCCTGTTCCATAAGATGAAACGTTATAACCCGCCTCTTTTAAAATTCGATGAGACTCCATGGATCTATTGTTGTTTGATGCACACACGGTGCAAAACTTGAGAGATTGGTTCCGTTCCGAACTCATATTGAATTTTTGACCACCAATGGCTGCTGGATTAAAAGAATAGAGAGAGTGTCAGGAGTCGGGTGTTGAAGAAGACTTGATGGTATTCGACGAAGCATCGCACCAGGTAGCACTCTTGTACTTGGAAATCTGCTAATTAAGTGGGTTTAAATATCACTATATACGCATATGTTCTCAGTAAGATGGTCAAAATTTGCCCTTAGCTTTGGGTCAATCGAGTGGTCAAAATGGCACTATTTGTATCGATATAGTGCCCTCTTGTGCTCAATTTTTTTTTTTTGAGTTTAAAACCTTGTAATTTAAAGTTCGCATTCACCATTGTACTGTGGTCTTTACTTTAATTTGAAAATCTGAGAAGTGCCCTATGGTAAACTAACTAGCGGCGATTTTGATTTCATGAGAGCTCAAGACGTTGCCCGTCATTATCTTTAGCTGAGTCGGTGCTTGCATGGTATTTAAGTGCGACTTTAAAATATAATTAGGTGCCGATGACAAGACAGGACAAAGTGATTACTGAGGGAACTATCATAGACAAAGACAACGAGAAAAACAGCGAGCATGTCTGGTTGCTCTTGAATATGGAATAGCTGGTTGTGTCTGATTCCGTAGCGTAAAATAAATGTACTCCACGTAAAAAAACATCGGACAAAAAAACTGTTGTTTCCGCTGAGAGATTGTACAGAGTCGAGGCATTTATTCGACGGCTCTTTTCACTAGTTGCTGCGATTATCACAATGGAATAAGCCGGTTCTGTGTAGTTGATCATTTTAATGAGAGATGTTTTCTTTTAAGATACGAACAAAAACTCGCATTTTATCACATAACATAACAGATACGCTCTGCAAAAATTGATGACAAAATGCATTACCGAAGTTTTCTAATCATGCTGTAGTTGGCTGGAGCCAAGATTTCGAACCAAAATCACAAAATCAAATCCAAATCACCGTATCTCATGTAGCTGGATAAGCTTCAGAAATTTCTGAACAGTGAGCAACATGTAACAGATACATTCGCTTCACCCAATCGTCACCACTCATGTCATCGTGCTTTGTCTTTGAAACAAATAAGCGGATCGACATTGACATTACTTTTATGCAAAAGTACCAATCAAATTCTCATCACAGCAAGACGAAAGGCCTGTGAAGCAAGTGCACCTGTCCAGATCGAAATAGCCACGTATATGATTCGTTTCAGTATTCATCATTTACCTCAATCACAGACGGGCGCTGTAGCGGGCTGTTGAGGTTCGGGCGGTAGAGCCAATGGAACTGTTTCCTGCCCCACAAGGACGCGCTCAACCTCTGTATCCGGGGATGTGCTGTCTTCGTCACCGACAACCAGAATGTTCTGATTCTTGCACTGGACGTCTTGAAAGTCGTCGTCCGTAGCGTAACGGTCAGCCTGCTGATCCATAGGTGCGATGACATCAATATATTCTCCACCCAGCGTGGAGTTACGAGCACCTGGGGGCTCTTCTTCTTCGTCAGACTCGCTGACTACACCGTCGTCTTCTAAAAAGTAATTTTGGGGTCTTGAGGGCGAGACATGGATAATCTGGGACCATGAGACGTCAGATTTCAAAGCTTCCCAATCCGTTAGGCCCTGCACCAACACACCAATAAGCATTGAAGGATCGAGGTCGGAAAAGTGAATTTTGTTGAAACGCTGGGAGTGCACAGAGTTGAATTTTTCTTGAGATGAGTCCAGCGACGACAGATCCAGCTGCGAAGTGTGTGGGTCAAGATAAAAAAGGTATTCATCCTGATAGCCGAAAAAGTAAAGCGAGGAGGAAGGGCGACCGCCAGCGATGCCCACGGAGTGCGGAGACTTCAAGATATGTCGGATGTCGTCCCAGTACCGGGCATTCACTTTACTGAGCCCTAACTTGACGCCAAGAAGCAACAAAACCACCGTGTTGGGGTCCTTTGCAAAGATAGGTTCCATGTCCTCCTCGTACACGTCTGCAGAGTCCGTAGATATGACGCATTTGTCTATCCCACATGCTGGGAACCCATGCACGAGACTTTGGATACTTCGCGAGGTGGCTGACGGCCCGAACCACTCACCGGGTGGCTTGTGCGACAGTTTGGCGCCTTCTTTGACAAAGTTGTGCAGCGAAAAGGGTGCAGCGTAGCGGTCCTCGAACCAGCCGATGATTTGTGTTTCACGCTCGCATGCGTCATTTGCGCCTGCCATATTCCTCAGCCGTTGTAGCGCGTTCCCCAGCAGTGCTTGGCCTGTGCGAATCATGCACCCCCACCCGATGTCGCTGCAGAAGCAGTCTGGATGGTTGATGGCGCTTTCGATCGAGTTCAGAGGGTTGTCCTTGAAAAGGGTTCCCAAGTTCATGGGAGACGGACCAGCTGGGTCTTTTGGTATCGGCTCGAACTTCGTTCTGTACGTAAAATGCAGCAGTTTTCGCACGGATGCCAAGAATCGTGAGTTCCAGCCCCGATCTTTGCCGAACATCTGTCCGAAAACGCCTGTTGTGGTCTCAATCTCAGGCTGTGCTCCGTTTTTGTCCACTGCAGCGTACGTTTCGCCCAAAATCACCAGCTCGTGCTGCGTATCGGTATTGTCCAGCTCAAACAGCTGCTGCGACACTCTTTGGAAGAACTCCATCGCTTGTGTCCGGTGGTAGCTGCCGCTTGTTGACGAGATCCAGTAAAGGTGAAGATGGATTGAATACGTCAAGTATGGTAATTTATGATGATTTATGAGATTGCTGGCCTCGTATAGAGCGATAGTTGTCTTTTACTCAATCAACTCGCTACTCGCCGTTGTTGTTTTAGTGTAAGCTGTGTGTGGGATGAGTACTGGTACATATAACTGAGCGTTGTCCCTTGATGTGTCCGATCTCTTCTTCCTTTGAGCTTGTTGTTTTCCCAGCTCTTTGAGTTTTCTGTATAATTTATTGAGCTAGCTTCTGTCGTTAAAAATCAAGATTTCGAGAGATCTCGATTTTTGGTATGCGATCTACGTTCTTGAGACGGGATTCACACTCTGAACGTTGGTAGAATGTTTCTGATGTATCAAAACTCTTCAAAGTACATTATTCCCCCTTGAAATTGTTTCCACTCTCCCAAACGATTGATGCCAGAAATTATCAGGTTAAAGACAACATCTTTGATACCATGGTCCATTGAAGAACAGTTCACTTGTGCAAGCCGTGTACAGAGTCGACTCGCAGTATCATCTACAATGTGTCGAACAAGTTCTGGTCTCGAATATCATTGAACGATCGATCAAAGACGACACGGCGTGAGCTGCGAATTCCAGCATTCCGATCGATGGACGATGCAAGAGATGAAGCGACCGTTTTTGCTGTTTCCAAGGGCATCAAACTGTAGCCCAGCTATAGCAGGTCTGGGAAACAAGCTTCAAAGTCTTATCGGCACATCTATTGGTCTTATCGGCAGCGAATGACGTTTTCGTCTGGGCATAAATCGCCTATTTATCAAGCGGCATCGCTGAAAATAAGCTTATCAGACGTCAATGCCAAGAAGTCCGATGGTGATGGAAAGCTTAAAGTTGGATCTTCTTCGGTCAATCTCCTGTAAGATTGCCGATCTCAAGGTCCGAAGTGGGCCAGCAATCTATTATATAAGTGCCTATGCAATTGTCTCTTCCAATTGTTATTTAATTACTATTCCCGTAACCAACCTTCCCTTAACCAATATCCAATGTCTACACTTGCCAGACTGTTAAAGAGACTCGAGGTCGAAAGAGACGGACTGCCCGTTTCTGTGCTCCGAAACCCAGACCTGGAACCCATCCCACATGCCAAACGACAATGGGCGTTCTGGTCCTTTTTCGCTTACTACGGCCTGCCTAACGTGTCCGCTGCCACGTTCAGCATCGGGTCTGCGCTGCTCAGTCTGGGTCTCAACATCAAACAGTCCATAGGAACCATAGTGGTGGGAAATATTGTCATCACGCTATACACAGTGATGAACTCGAACCCCGGTTTCAAATATCATATCGGCTACACCCTGGAGCAGCGCATGTTGTTCGGTATCCGGGGCTCTGTGATCGGAATTATTATCCGGGTTGGTCTATCAGTGGTACTATACGGTTACTTGTCGTGGCTAGGAGCGCTGTGTCTGAATTTGATCTTCAGCTCGTGGTCCAAGTCATATATGAACATGAGAAATACGTTCCCGGAGTCTGTGCCGATGACTACGCGAGACTGTGTGGCATTTTTGATTTTCCAGCTCATCCAAATGCCCTTTTGTCTCCTGAAGCCCCGCAAAATCAACACCGCAGGCATCGCCTTTTGCTTCATGGCGATGTTTTCGGTGATAGGGATCCTAGCATACACAATTTCCGCAAACGGGGGACCTGGTCCACTGTACTACAAAAGTCAAGACTTGACTGCTAGTCAGCGTGCTTGGACCTGGCTGCTCGCCATCACAATTTGGTATAGCGGGATGTCTCCAGTGATTGCAAACCAGTCTGATTACTCGCGTTATGGCTCCCACAATCTAAAGATGCAAATAGGCATTGCCCTTGGAGTCTGTTTAACTGGTACTCTGGCGCCCGTCGCAGGCATGTTTAGTGCTTCAGCCACCCAGCAACTGTACGGAACTCCCCTTTGGCTACCGACTGATATGTCATTGAAGTGGCTCCAAGACAGCTACACGGCCAAAGCTCGCTGTGCCGTGTTTTTCATCGGATTGAGTTTCACAGGAACTCAGCTTGTGGTCAATATGACCCAAAATGGCTACGCGTGCGGGATGGACTTGGCAGGACTCTTCCCCAAATATGTCAACATTACTCGCGGCACCCTGTTCGTTCAGCTGATTTCATGGGTAGTTCAGCCATGGACCTTTTTCAACACAACGTCCGCTTTTCTGGACAGCATGACTTCTTTTGGCATTTTTACAACGCCCATTATGGCCATCAATGTAGTAGACTTCTATCTTGTCCGCAAGGGCCGCATATCTGTGGCTGGCCTTTTCACTTTGGATCGCGAAGGAGCTTTTTGGTTTTACCATGGCGTTAATTTGCGGGCTATAGTTGCGTTGCTTGTAGGAATAGCACTCGGTCTGCCGGGTCTGATATTTTCGGTCAACACACAATTGAAGCCCAACACAGCCATGAATAATTTCTACAGTGGCTACACTTTCTTTACAGTGATTGTTTCCGGATTCCTGTATTATATTTTGGTGCTGATATTCCCGATCAAGCAGCGTGTCGCTGTGTCAGACTCAAAAGACTACTTCAATGCCTATAGTCTGGAGGAGTGTCAAAAATTGGACATGGTGCCATATTCTGAGAATTTCGACACTGAATACATCGCCTTGGAAAAAGGTCAAGCCAGAGATAGAGTGTGTGTTGATCACAACGACGATGACTTGCCACAATCCACACATTCCATGAAAACCGAAGCTCAAATGGTGATAGTCGAAGCTGCAAGCGAAAAAAGATGAACGTAGATGTTAGAATAAAAGCTAAATATTACTTATTTGTTGGGGTTTGAGCTGGACATTGAATTGACTGTAATGTCACAAGAAATGGCTTTGCAAATTAACAAAAATTAGGACATTTAAAGTCGCCCCGAATGCTTTACTTCGGACGTTGCGACATTGAAAGCTTTAATTTAACTCCAGTCAATTCATTGATATACTAAATTCTTTCCCTAGTGATGAAGAAGCAACGAGAGACTCGCGATACTTCAGAGACTGCATCTTTACAATGTATTTTCATGACATATTATTTAATAAGTTCTTATTTATTGCCAGAATACAACAGCTTTGTGGAGAGTTTCCAAGATAATGGTTCAAAGTCCATGGTCACCTCAAATTTCTGACGAAAAGAGAGTTCTATAGTTCGAAGAGTGAATGGAAAACTCGGGATTTAGGATAAATCTGCTATGCGATGACCAGTATCTTTTGATACATTGCCAGCAATTTAAAGAAATTGTTAAATGGCAAACATGACCTGTTCCATATTCGAAAAAGACAGTTAAGCTTTCCAGCTTCAAGAGCCCTGGAATATCAATCGTGAGCATAAATTGCTTCCGTGATAGCTCTTCTTTCGTGGCTGATCTGCGAATACAGTTAATCATTTTTATCTTTTCTGTCGCATTCTTTTGACCTCGACAAATTTCATTGTGCCGCAGGCATAACAGTATACACCTGGCGCGGCCCACTCCACACAGCATTACAGAACTCAAGAGGAGTCTCGAGCAATTCAACTGCACATCTGTTTTCTACAGAGTCTTTTTTCTACTTCAGGGGACTACTTGAAAAGCTATGTCAGCGATGACAGCACAATCTTGATCTGACCCTTACTGAGTATGCGTTATGAAGTATTGATAGACTTTATAGTACTTCAAACTCTAAGTAGCATCTCTCCAGCAAGCATCTCCTAGTTTTACAATAAATTGTTCTTTCAGCGTCCGGTCTAGACTGATCTTTCTCGAGAGACATTGAGGTCTTTTTGCGAAGCCAAAATAACCCCAGGCTTCTTGATTCAAGACCCATCCTCCTTCCAATAAAAAATCAAATTTTCTACTTATTTGTTGCCTTTCTACAATTCTTCACTTCATCGGCACGGTCACTAAAAAGCTCATACTTGAGTTTACCAAAGAGCGATTTTTCTTGACGAAAAGACCACCAAAATCGCATCTCAAAAATCTCTTAACAAGCCATTATTTCAGAATTTTATACATCGCTTTCTACTTATTCTTCACGACTTTGATCGCTTTATCTGGCTCTCTGTTTTATTCAGAGACTATCTCATCAATGAGCTAGCTTTCCACCGTGTTATAACTTATTATTGCAGATTTCAAAAGACGAACTTTAAGGTTTCCCACGCTCGATAGAGAATAAGAATCTGAGCAGCGATGGCCAAGAGACATGGCCATTATCGTGCCAGAGGCACAGGAAGACGGCAAGCAGGCCGAGGGAATTATAAGAAAGCGAAAAACACCCGAAAGCAAACTCAAAACTCGAAGACTGGGGGCGCCAAAAATGCCAATTTCGTTCCCGTTGGAGGTGGCGACTTGAGCAATATGGATATGATGGACGATTACTATTTTGGCCAGCACTACGGTCAACAGTCCATGCATGTGGGTGGTTTCAGACCTGGGAGAGACCGGATATCTGAGGAGGAGACACAGGAGAAACCCCTGCCATTAAGAAGACGACCTGTGGAGTTTACTAAAGCCAAGCAAGTGTACGATCCGTCCCACGATCTCATTTTAAAGCTGAGCAATAAGGGGAAAGAACAGCAAACTAAGCGTGACTCGGATCTTTCAGACGGCGAGACTGTTCAAAGACAAGAGGTTCAGGAGACAGTTTCGGACGAGCCCTTCGAAATTCCAATAGAGGTTCTTGAATCCTCTGAAGAGATGGAAATTGTCGATAATGAATCTGAAGAGATACCGGTAGAATTCAAAAGTGTGCCTCCCAGAGACTTTCCTGACGAAGAGCTGTTCTACGTCGATGAGACGCCATCAACTCGCAAAAACGTCAAAACCGTCCATGTGGACGCCGCGCCCAAAAAGCTTTTGAATAACGAGGCAAAAACTACAGAGTTCGAGCCGGTTCTCGTGATCGGCAAAACTCAACTGAATCTTGCCGAGGAAGAAGATGGTTCGGCTTCCGTCTGCATACCACACAATTGGAAAACTCATCCTTTCAAGTCCAAATCTAAAGAAAAACTGGATTTTGAAACCTTTTCGGATGAAAGTGAATGTTATGATAATGATTATGATGACTACGACGAAGTTGATGATCATGAAATTGAAACCAATGACGATTCAGACGACTTTGCGCGATCACAGGACTCTCAGGAAGATGTCAATCCTAAAGGATCCACAATTCTATCTTCCACGATTCAAAGTTTGACCTTAAGCGAAGAGCCCGAGCCCGAGCCCCTACCCGAGCCTGAAACGAAAGAGAGTGTACCCGAATTTGGGTTTTTAGAGGAAGATTTTGCGCTCAACGTTTCTGAACTTGAAATCACTAATATTCGCATTGGCTCGCGAGAACATTCTTATTATTTATCAAGCTATCGCTATTTTGGTGACTACGATCCGAGATGGGTAGATCAAGACGATCTAGCCGAGTTTGTGACGGAGTTGGGACTGCCCGACCATCGAGTCGAAGCTTACCTTCAGTATGTTATGGACTCTTTGGTGCCGAAAGAGGAAGCCGTCGATGCGCTAGAGGCGTCGATCGCCAGAGAAGCAGCCGTCTTGGCCAGTGAGACCGAAAGCGCGGAGGAAGATGTTAGTGACAAGGCCTACGCTATCAGTGATGACGATGACGATAGCTTGGGAGAAGACTTGGATGATTTAGTGGCCTACAGTATGAAATATGAAGCTGTAAGAAACAAAGTTTACGACACAAAGAGCTTACAGACTAGTGGAAAAGGCGCCAAAAAGAAGCTTTTGCTCAGTGAACAGTTGGACTTGGACTCAGATGTGAAAAGTAAGTTACAGGACAAATTTACTACTCGTAACGATAACAAACGGATAAAGAGGCAGACAAAGGAGGATTATATCTCGTTGCAAAACAGCACATCCGAAGATTTGACTTTAAAGTACCCATATGGGTTTCATGTGGAAAATATTAAAGACGAATTCGACGCCTTCCTGGCATGTAACAGGCCAACGATGTCGTTCCCCCCATTTGATCCGCATGGAAATAAAACTGTCATGAGTTTTGCAGATGCTTATTACATGAAAGGTAAGAAAATGGGTAAGGCCGGAAAAACATTCGTTATGGTCGAAAAGGTCAAGAGGACGAAATGGGCTCTGCCGAACTATAACTATGTTGGCCAATTACTTAACCGAAGACGAATTTTCATGCGTATCGATGTCCGAAGACCACGCGAAGAGCATCAAATCTTCGATAAGATGGGCTCAGGGAAGGCCAAGTTCCAAGTTAAAGAGGGTGAAATCGTTGGCGAAGATGCGCCAGAGATTGGCACGGACAATATAGGACGCCGCATGCTAGAAAAATTGGGCTGGTCCAGCGGACAAGGTTTAGGTGCTCATGGTAATCAGGGTATAAGTGAGCCGATTTTTGCCAAGGTAAAGAAAAGCAAGTCGGGTTTACGTCACAGCTGAGACTTCATTTGACATTATTGTTCACAACAAGTGACTTGCTAGCACAAAGGTTCGAAGTTTTGTAAACTATAAAGCGGTCAGATCATTATAACAATGAACATTGCAAAGAACGATTTTTGGACTCACGAAACGGATATCTCGAGGTTGGAGAGCATTGGCTCCAGAAACAGGAGCATATTAAAGAGCACATGTTTAATATCCAACCAATAATTCTATGAATATCGCCGCACAATTCAGGCCTATGTAGCTTATTAATTCCAAGTTTATAGACATAAATACTTTACCTGCGAATGAGATTATTTTCAGCAAGCTATTAGAATGCTTCTCGAAACAAGCACATTTTTTGTAATTTAACTCTAAACCGGCGTCTCAAGGTGTCTGTACATATATTTACACATATTTATAAGTTTATATATGTGTATATATGTGTCTGTCTGTATCTTTAGTCCATTATATTATTTGTGTAAACATACATTAACACGTCTGTAAACGCTGCTTGATACAAAATACAAAACTCAAAGATACACAACTTTGAACACAAGGCATTGTTATTTGACTTGAATCAAGAGTATCAATTCAGCAATGCTGGGACTGGGAAATAGCCATCTGTATTCAGTGGCCAATCAAAGCTCGAATTCAAACATTTCAAGAGATGAAAAGTACGATTACAACGATGAGGTATCCGACGAGGACGATGAGTCTGGGATTTTCTTAGGCAAAGTGAGAGCCGAGAATGGATTCAGCTTGCGATCTTTTATTGACCAGATCAATGCCAAGACGAAAGCTTTAGCGATCGCGCGAGAATTGGATGCGAAACGTGGCATCGTCCATCAAGATGCTACCACAAGTGCAGGATCTATCGATTCGACCTCGAGTACTTCGAGTGCTGCCCTAAAAACGGATGAAGGCGTGCCATCTCGTGCAACTATCCGTCGAATCCCCTCGGGGGCTCGAGCTTCCACCGCTCAACCAGATCTAAGTGCCACACCAATGAAAGACGTCCCACAAAATGGCAATTCTCATGCACAAACGATCAATGATTTATTAGTGCAATCGACGCCCATCAACACCAGTAAATCTGCTCCTTCGAGTAGAAGTACCCAGCCACGAGACCTCCTAAAGGAGAAGTTCATTGAGAGTCACAAACCGCACACAGATTATGGACGATTGACGTCAATGTCATCAAACATGCAGGATGCTAGTCTAGATCCAGAGAAGCCATCAGACATGGAAATTGATGCGATCAATCAGCGAACAGCAGAAATAAGTTCGGCAGCCTCTGGTGTTGGTGAGAAAGATCAAAAGATCAACGAACTACAGGCTTTAGTCCAAGATCAAGATCAACGGGCTACACGGCTTTTCGAGCAGATACGATCGCTGCAAGCCCAGGTTTCTATGCAGCAGGAGCTGGCGCGAAGTATTCACGAACAGAGATCTCTGGATCAAGAGGAACTAAAGAAGTGCAACGAACAGATCACTTTTAGAGACCATGAATTAGACAAGATCAAAGAGCACATCGACCAATTAAATCAAGATTTCGAAACGCACACACAAGAGCTCGAAAAAGAGGTAGGAGACCTGCGAGTGGCCCTGAACAATAACAGATCGTCGACCGACGAGCTAACAGCAAAGGTGTCAGCTCTAAAAATGGATAAAACTGAACTCGAGAACAAACTTCAATTGCAGCGCACCGAATGCGTCGATTTGCAGTCGTCGAGAAAGGATGAACAAGAAAAGTCTCAAAAGGAAATCAGAGAGCTCAATTCCAAATTACAGGTTTCGGAAACCTTGATAGAATCTCTTAGAGCTAGTGCCGATGTTCTGCGAAAAGAGCTCGATACAGAAAAGAATGATTTTGCCGTTAAATCAACTGTCTCTGAAGCCAAATTCAAGGAACTCCGGGACAAAAATGACAAGCTGGAAAAGGACGTGGAATCACTCACAGCTGAAACGACAAAAGAATCGTCACATCACAAAGACATTGTGTTGGATCTGGAAGAGAAACTTCAAAATGCCCTCGAGGAGACTGAGAAAGCTAAAACTCGATATAATATGTTAGAGAAACAACACGGAGAGCTAAAAGATCTACGAGACTCGCTAGAGGGGACAAATGATGAACTGAAAAGCGTCGTAAACCGGCTTGAACACCTTTCATCTGAGCAAGTGCAGACCATAGGAAAGCTGGAAGAAGAGGCGGAAAGAAAAGTGAAGAAAGAAGGTTATGCACTCTCGAGCGCCAAGAAGCACTCTAAACAGCTGGATGAAAAGATACGACAGCTGCAGGACATCCTTTTAATCAAAAAGGGTGAGCTAGACACCTTGAAAGAGGAGCAAGCAGCATTGTCGCTATTTTTGAGCAAGGCAACTCTTTTCCAATTACCTGTCGGCGAGCTTATCCTTGAACAGTATAACCGTGACAGGTTCTGCTGTCAATTGGATACACAGTTCACTGTGATAAACCCTGCAATTGCGGGATTCCTAACACAAGATCAAATAGAGTCGTCTTCATCTACGTTGACCAGTTTAGAGGCTGCCAAATCCGATGTGGATAGGCTGCAGAGCAGTATCAATAAGGAATGGCAGCCCAAAGTGAAAGCACTGGAAACAGAGATTGCAGACAGAAAGCAAGACCAGCAACAGCTACGTGGCAAAATACAAAGTTTAGATCGCAAAATTGAGAAGTTGGAAACCAAAATAGCTCATTTGGACGCGGAAAGAGAGACTTCTCTGAAAGAGAAAGAGAAAGATGTCAAAACATGCCAAGATTTGGGAAGCGAGATTAACCTTTTGAGATCGCAATTGGCCGAGAACCAAAAGAAAAGCTTTGTGGAGCTTTCAAGCAAAATCGACCATCTCAGCGAGGACAAGTACAAGTTGCAAGGCAAACTACAAACTTTGGAAGCCAGTCTTAAGGAAAAAGAATCATCTGTGGCGCAACTCAGTGAAAATCTAGATCAAGAGCGTGCCAAACAAGCTGCCTCGCTGGACGAGCTGCAGCAGTTGCGCAAAGATCTCACAAAGGCAAAAGGCAATCCTGCGCGTGCCATAAATTTCCAAACTGCTTCGCAGGCACGCCCACACTTGAACCGGAAATTGTACGACTCGCTGATGGTCGACAACGTGAATGACATGGATGTCGTGGACCTGCAAAATGTGGTCAAAAACCTGATTTTACTTCTAGAAATTCCGCTATCCAAGATCACCAAGAAGATGCCCTTAGTTGCAATCTACCTACGTTACGAAAAGAGCATTTGTCTACATTTTGCCAACAAACTTCACCATTTGATATTTCGCGAGACAATTGATATCAAACGATTCACAAATATTGTTTACGGCCAGTACATCGAGCATCATGACATATGCCACCTGGATCATCCATTAGAAGCTTGTCTTGATAACCTATACAAAGCTGTCAGTGCTAGGATCTCGACATCATTGTGAACGAGCGATGGATCGAAAACTTTTGTTAATGCAAATGGCCTGTGAAGAGGCCTCGATAAAGCTAGAAAGCCAATCCGACCGCCCTGCTATTTGTCTAACCAGCCTGTGTAAGGTCGAATGCAAGTCTTAAACGGCTTTGGTGGCAGAAATGAAGACGTGCTATTATGAACTTTTAGGAGTGGAAACGACGGCATCTGAGTCCGATCTTAGAAAGGCATATCGCCGAAAAGCACTACAGTATCATCCTGATAAAAACCCTGGGAACATAGAGGAGACCACCGCGGTATTTGCCACCATAAGAGCTGCCTACGAGGTTCTTGCAGATCCGCAGGAACGTGCATGGTACGATTCTCATAAAACTCAGATTCTGAGTGATGATCTGGATGGCTTCAATGGTGGATACAGCAGCGACAATGAATTCGAAGCGGAAACATCTGTAACGGGAATCACCACTGATGATCTGCTGAAATTTTTCAATTCGGGACTGTACTCGAGAATGGACGACTCTCCAGCAGGCTTTTATCAAATCGCAGGCAAGGTCTTTGCAAAATTAGCAAGCGAGGAAGTACGATTTGCGAGGATGCAAGGCTTGGAAAAGTTCGATAAGTACGAAGATGGCTTTTTCGAAGCAGATATACTCAACCAGGGGTATCGGAAAGCGTACGACAAATATGCGTCTGCAGGATCCACGCTTTTCCCCGCATTTGGGGACTCCACGGCACCTTTCCAGAACCTGCGATCATTTTATCGTGATTGGTCGAGCTTCAGCACTGTGAAGACGTTCAGTTGGAAAGACGAATATATGTACTCGCGCAATTACGACCGACGGACCAAGAGAGAGATCAAAAAACGGAACGAGAAGCTGCGACAACAGGCCAAGAGTGAGTACAACAAGACTGTCAAGCGATATGTGAGTTTCATCAAAAAGTTCGACTCCAGGATGAAAGAAGGAGCTGCCAAATTCGAGCAGGACAAGCGCAAGAAAATGCGTGAGGATCTGCAGAGACAGATTGAGAAAGATAGACAGGCGCGGTTGCAAGACGCAGGCGACCCTTTCAAGCTCCAAAGCTGGCAGACGGTTGAAGATTTCGACTGGAGTGAGATCGAGAAAAACTACGATCGGGATCACAAGTTAAACAACGCTGATGAAGAGTCCAGTGACGAGATAGTGGTTTTCGAATGTTTCGTTTGCCATAAGACGTTCAAATCAGAGGGTCAACTGGAGAACCACTACTCAACTAAGCTGCATAAGAAGAATTTGCAGCAATTGCAGAGGGAGATGCGCAAGGACAACATGACGTTGGGGCTAGACGCTGTATCTGATGTTGACGAATTCAATTCGGCAGCGGAAGATGTGAGCCAAGCGGAAGATGATGGTAAAATGGATCTCGACGCGATTGAAGATGAACTGAAACGAATCGAGCAAGAATTGGAAGATATGAGTGATGATGAAGACTTACCCGAATCGGACGAGGGCTCAAGTTCGAGCTCAGTTGCGGGGGGAGACGCTGCTGAAGCTAAACTTGAGCTCGATTCTGATTCTAAAATTGAGTTAGATGCGCCGGATGTAGCTTTCGACTCGGAGCAGCACTCATTGGAAGACCAAAAGGATAGCGATGGTATCGGTTTGGAAAGCGAAGACGACGAATTGACAAAGCTACTAGCGTCTCTCAAACTGCAACAGTCTGGGTCTTGCGAATTAAGCTCAAAATCAGAAGATGAATGGGGGGACTCGTCCAAGAAAGCCAAGAGAAAACCAAAGAACACTAAAAAGAGTGCCAAATCCACCTCTCCTTCACCAACGAGTACTAAGACCACACAGTCCTATCAGTGTAACCAATGTGCGACTTCCTACACGTCTCGAAACGCGCTTTTCGATCATATCAAACGTGAGAAACATTCCACCGCCGTTCCCAAGTCTAAGACCAAAAAAAAGTCCAAAAAGACCAAAAAGTAATAAGAATGAATGGCAAGAAAGTGACCATCATCTAGCCACAGCTAAGTTCCAGGACCAGCAACGGATAAGCATCCTCTGGAGACAATGAGATCAGCGTTCGTTTGAGCTTTTGAGCTTTTGAGCTTGGTTTTGATGTCTAAAAGTTGATCACGTGTTTCGCTATTGTTTATGAACAACTAAAATATCGACGTCAAAATTGGAAAACTTTTCTTAAAAGTGTGCTCATCGAAGTGTTGATAACGGAAGAAAAGCTCAACGAGAACCTCCTTTAACTTATCGTGAACCACTCAGAACTTGACTCTAGTTTTCTAGTTTGGCCAAGTTTTTAACTAGCTGGCGAAACCCCCCGTTTGTTTTAGGATTCAATCTCAAAATGCAAAACAACGCTGTGGACAGACAAACGCTCGCAACGAGCGTTTCTGGAAATGCAGCAGTTTCAAATCTTTCTAGTGCGCTCCGCCAGGTCAATTTGGGAAACAGCAACACTACCACCGACCAAAGTAACATTAATTTCGACATCCAGAGTCGAATGAACCGGCAGCAACTGCTCAGCGAAGTCCAGCGAAACTCGCTTAACGCTCAACAAGCAGAGGAAATGATTCGCCAGCGGATACGGGAGCAGCAGCAAATGCAACAGCAGCAGCAGCAGCAACAACAACAACAACAACAGCAGCAGCAGCAGCAACAACAACAACAACAACAACAACAGCAGTTCATGGGCCCATCACAAATAGACAGCTCCAGAATTACCAAGTTTTTTCAAAATCAGCCAGAAGAAGGGTACACTTTGTTCTCACACAGGTCCGCTCCTAACGGTTTCAAAGTGGCCATCACATTGAGCGAACTGAACCTGCCCTACAACACGATTTTCTTGGACTTCAACCTGGGTGAGCACAGAGCCCCCGATTTCGTTGCCATAAATCCCAACGCCCGTGTTCCAGCGCTTATCGACCATGCCATGGACAACTTGGCCATTTGGGAGTCGGGAGCCATCATTCTACACCTTGTCAACCGTTACTACCGTGAAACCGGCGAACCATTACTGTGGTCCGACAACATCGCTGACCAGTCGCAAATCACCGCGTGGCTGTTTTTCCAGACATCTGGTCACGCTCCCATGGTCGGGCAAGCTTTACATTTCAGATATTTCCATTCACAAAAGGTACAGAGCGCTGTAGACCGCTACACTGACGAGGTAAGGAGGGTCTACGGGGTTGTAGAAATGGCTCTGGCGGAGCGAAGAGAGGCTCTAATTATGGAGCTAGATACTGAAAACGCTGCAGCGTATTCTGCAGGAACTACGCCGTTGTCGCGCAGTAGATTCTTCGATTACCCAGTATGGCTGGTGAGCGAGAAAATCTCCATTGCCGATCTTGCGTTTGTGCCATGGAACAACGTTGTGGATCGCATTGGTATAAATATCAAGCTCGAATTTCCCGAAGTGTACAAATGGACCAAACATATGATGAGAAGGCCAGCCGTGATTAAAGCACTTCGCGGAGAATAAGCTACGACATAATGGAATTACACCTACTTAACGAAAAGGGGTATCGATGCGTGAAAACGTGGTCGCATAAGACCCAGCCTTGGTCTTACACTTAGTTTGCAAGCTGGCCTCGACGAATTACTACTGAAAACGCTCTTACACTCGATGAATTCTCCGCATTTTTGGCACAAGATCTTAGCCACTTAGGTAAGTATAATTGTAAGATAGATCATATAAGCATGGTTTCAAAGAGTCGGGTAGAGGCTGGCTTCATCGCTCTACGTTCATGTTTTTATCATTTTACCATAGTCTTATAACGACGTATATATATATATGTATATATAGATATAAAGCTATCATTTAAGTGAAATTTCAAAGTTAACTAACGATTTAACTGAAAAGCGCTGAAAGGATCGCATTAGGTTTACTTCGACTGGTCCAGGCTAGCTCGTTCGAGTTTCAAATAATACTCTTCCAAATGAATGTCGAAAATTCAAGAACCAAAAGCTTAAGCTCACTTTGCGAGCTTTCGTTGATGAGAAACCATCTCATGCTTCAAGATGTGAGCAACATGCCCTACAGGTTGATCCGTAACGTTTTGATGAAGGTCAAGTTGGAACAATTGTGTAAACTCGAAGAAACCAACTCTTTACTGATATTTGAGGATGACGAAATTTGGCACAACTTACTTGTGAAGGACTATCCACTGCATGTGCATGAATCATTTCTTCGCAAGCGAGGCGAGATCATGAATTACTTTGTGTCTTTCATAGAGACTTATGATCCCAGTCTGCTACGAGACGTGGAGCTCATGAAAGGTTATCTACGTTTCGCAATCAAAAAGGACCCCAGGCATCAGAAATACAAAGTTCCTTCCCGAATGCTGTATTTCAAGTATCAAGCCGAAACCGTGCGGAAACAAGAGCTCAGTACCCAGAGACTGCGATTCCAAATGCAGGAGCTTCAGCGAGAGAAGGAAAAGAACCAAATCTCGGCGTTAGACGACCCATTGTACTGTGAGAAGCGGACGAAATCGGGCATAAAGATCAACGACAGATCAGACTTGTTTGTGAAATCTTACAAAGAGCACCAGAGGCGACAGCAGCATTTTAAAAGTGGTGGGTATGATATATCTAAGCGGCCTGTCAAACGAGTGGCTTTTGGAGGCCAAGTGGGCACGCCCATTGCGCCCTCCAACCAAACGAATTATAATGCCTTGAGTGACAACGGCACAGAAGTCAAGCCAATCGTAGAAGTACCGAAACCGCCTGTCACCCTCACAAGACCAAAACAACCTACGTCCCCGGCGCGCACGAGACGGCTGAATGACGAGCCACACCCTTTTTTGAAGCGTAGAAAACCCATTTTACGACGTCAAAGCTTGGCATCAGCGAGACCTCTTGCTCAGCCGGTGGAGCGCACTGCCAGGCCGGTAGTGGTAAAGGTGGGGTCCTGTAGGATAAACAGCAAATCCAAGAAGTCTAGCATCTTTGCAGCGCCATCGCCGCAGGAGGAGCTTGTCAGACAGCATAGCAGCCATTCAAACGCCTACATTTTTGATAGCTCGGGTCGCTGACATTACACTTGGCTGGCTGTGCCAGGTTATATCACTTTGCATGTTGCAGCGGCCAGGGCCGCTGGAATTTGTCATTTACGCGGAAGAAGAGGAGTATATACGGGTATATCGAGTATTACAATTCGGCATGGAGACTCATTCGGGGCCATCGCCAGCGCTGCCAGCGCTGCCATTGCAAGGCTAGAACCAACTTGGTTCTGGATGGTTCTGGATGGAGCTTGCATCGACGGCAATGTCACATAAGTACAAAGTGATATGGCTGACGTAATCCAGAAGTTTCGCCCATATCTGGCACTGTGAATCCCAGCGGCGACAAGAGCCAGCAAGTAAGCAAGCGACTTTCGTCTTCTGGCCTGACTGGTTGCAACAATGGTTATGCATACCATCGAGTTTCAAAGCCTGGCCCCCAAGCTTGCCTCTACAACAACAATTAGAATCGAGTAATAATTAATTAAAATATTCCAATTAATGCAATGAACAGGATGCAAGCACACCCTGTTAACGAGTTATTTCAATAATTTTGGGCACTACCTTCACTGAAAAAATCATCTGACAAGCTCCCATCATCTCAATTTATCCTCCCACTTTTGCACTACAAAGACGTGAGTAAATTGAATTAAAAAAAATGACTGCAGAGCGGGTTGTTTCTATCCCGAACCTTGCTTATTGCAGCCAATAAATTCATTTCTTTGCATCACATTTGTCGCTCTGAACCATCCCCATTTCCTGAAGTACCAAATTAAAACCCACCAAAACGTCACACCTTGATTCCAGCGGGCCTATGTGTTAAAGCGAGCGCAGCTGCGCAAAATGAGTAGTAAGTTCCTGGCTAATTTTTTTTGCTTAAGACGCACGAAGCTGACCTGCAGGAGCCCACACAATAGCCACGACCTCATCTATCTTTTACCAAATTCAGGTAAAAACCGCCTGAACTTGCATTCAATTTGTCTTCACAGAGCAAATCAGATTGACAACTAGCAATTGCCTGAGGATTAAAAATACACCTGTCTTGTTACGATTAACCCCCTCTTCAAGGGTTTTTTCGGTGCCCAACGAAGCCTTTATAATGGTTATCTCGTAGCTGTCGCTTTAGAAACCCTCGCAGCAGTTCCGGGCTTTTCTCATATATCAGTCATAAGACGGATTCTGAAAAAAAGTTGATTCCTTCTCAGCCTCTGCTGTCCTTAAGAAAGAAGCTAAAGAGGAGATTTTGAAACATCCAAAGGCTTAGTTTGACCCAATCGTTTGGTTTGAAGCACATAAATCAACTGGTGGAACTAGAAGCTCGAGAAAGGCTTTTTAAACCAGTTTTTTGGTCAACTTTTCGGTCAAAAATTATCGACACTGCCACCTCCGAGTATCGCAGCGAACAAGGTGCTAGACAGTCGTAAAAGTCGCGTATAATGAGATTCTGTAATACTATACTACCGGCTGTGTTGCTGTTGCAGGCGTCAGCGGTGCTGTCGCGTTCAGAAGAGTCCAATTCAGACGTTTTAGACGGGACCATCACTGATTATCATACGGTGCCAATGAAGAAGAGAGACTCCAATTCGGACGAGTCCGACGGGACCATCACTGATTATCATACGGTGCCAATGAAGAAGAGAGATTTCAATTCGGACGAGTCCAACGGGACCATCACTGATTATCATACGGTGCCAATGAAGAAGAGAGATTCCAATTCGGACGAGTCCGACGGGTCCATCACTGATTATCATACGGTGCCAATGAAGAAGAGAGACTCCAATTCGGACGAGTCCGACGGGTCCATCACTGACTATCATACGGTGCCAATGAAGAAGAGAGACTCCAATTCAGACGAGTCCGACGGGTCCATCACTGATTATCATACGGTGCCAATGAAGAAAAGATATATCAAGTTCGACTTCGATAAACTGAGAGGTGATTCGCCCGCTACTGCGGAAGCAGGAGCTGCCGGGGCTGCGAAGCTTGTGAAAAGAAGCGACGGGACCGCTTTGGTGTATCTCAAAAACGAACAAACGTTTTACTCGGTGAACATTGGAGTGGGAACCCCGGAGCAAAATCAAACGTTGTTGATCGATACGGGGTCTTCAGATTTGTGGGTGATGGGCTCCAACAACCCTTACTGTGCTGGGTCATCAGGGTCTTCCAAAAATGTCGATGCAGAGGCAAAAGACATCCGGAGCTGGTTTTCATCTTTGACTGCTGAACTAACCACCCTAACGCAAAGTGCCACTTTTAGTCAAACGGCAACGTCTGTTGCGTCGAGTGATGCGACTCTGTCGTGCTCCGAGTACGGCACTTTTGCCACTGACTCGTCTTCCAGCTTTAAATCCAACAACTCCGAATTTTACATCTCCTACGGTGACGGCACCTACGCAGCCGGCCTATGGGGCTCAGACAAGGTCACTTTGCAGAACGTTGAGATTCCTAGGGTCAACTTTGCTGTTGCAAACGAAAGTACATCTGAATTCGGCGTGATGGGAATCGGCATGGAAGATTTGGAATCCACCAATACGCTTTCTGAAGATCCCCACACTTACATCAATTTCCCCTCCGCGCTCGTGTTGCAAGGTGACATTCACACAAGAGCATTCTCGCTGTATCTGAACACGCTTGACGCAACCAAAGGTTCCATTTTGTTTGGCGGTATTGACCACAGTAAGTACAGCGGTACACTCTACACAGTGCCCATCATCAACACTTACAAAAATCAGGGGTATGCTAACCCTATCAGATTTGAAGTCACATTGCAAGGTCTTGGAATGCGCGCCAACGACACCGATACTACGTTCACCACCACAAAAATTCCAGTCGTTTTGGACTCCGGATCCACGCTAAGTTATCTACCACCTAGGATGGTCAGTGCGGCCGCCTCGAAGCTAGGTGCAACGTATAGCTCACAAAGTGGGTTGTATATCTTTGAGTGCTCTGAGATTTCTGACGATGACTCTTTTGTTTTCGACTTCGGTGGATTCCAAATTCAAAGCAGCTTAAGCAACTACGTTTTGGAAACTAGCAGCTCGTCTTGGTGCGCCCTGGGTATGATTCCTCAGACTTCTGGCAGCTATATTCTCGGTGACAACTTCCTCACAGCAGCCTACGTCGTTTTTGACATTGATAACATGCAAATTTCTATGGCTCAAGCTGATTACAGCAATGACTCCGAGGACGTGGAAATAATCTCTAGTACGGTGCCAAGTGCCGTCAGCGCTCCAATGTACTCATCCACGTTTTCGTCGACCATGTCGATTGTGACAGGTGGCAACATTTTCACCTTGTCTTCGAATGGAGCCATTGCCACATCTGCTAACTCTACTGTTACCTCTCGTTCCAGCAGTGGAGCCAGATCCGGTTCGGCCACAAGCACCAGTGGCACTTCGTCGAGCGACGGGAAGAGTAACGGGGCTGCGGCCATTGCTGTGCCCAAGCATGGTTTAATTGGCTTCTTGGCTACTGTTAGTATCGGTCTGGTTGCAGGCTTGTTATGATTTTCACAAAAGTTGATTCCAAGTTCCATTTCGATCTTGTGAATTTGGGCAGTTTTTCTGGATGCGGGGTGGACCCCATGTTTTTTTGGCTTCATCAAGGAAAAGCAGGGGCAAAAAACTCGTTGTTCATTGCTGAGCCAGCTAGTAATGAGCCTTTTATTATCATGAGTATTCCTTCTGGCGACTGTCTATCCAAAAAAACAAAAAAAAAACAAAAACAGAGAGAGGAGGCTCCCAAGCATAGCGGTTGACGCCAATCGTATTTTGAAGCCATGATTTCGACAGTATAACAAAATTCCGTAAAAATTTGGTACTTTTAAATACGACAACATATTCTTCTATTCTTCAAAAAGGTGTCTAGCAAATTCAAAGTTTGAGTGGTGGTGAAACTGACACAAAGATCAACAAGAAAAATGGAAACCATGGTTGGGTATCATGAAAATGAGCTCAAATGCTCAACATGAGCTGTAAGAGCTTCAGGATGGGACTTTCAAGACTACCTGACACACCCCAATGTGTGTGTCGGTAAGACTATCCCAGCAGGAATCTCACAGTCACGTGATTCTTGCGTCATCCATCCGGTCCTCTACCCAGACCTCCAGTCGTCTAGTGCACCCAAGATACTGTAATATAGTGAAAGTTTTCATTCGTATCTGACTAAAACCCATTTCAACGGGTCCAATCCATGATGGAAAAATCACCGTCTCTACACTTATTTACACCTCAACTTTCGACCCTCAAACTACCATCACAAAGACTCTGTTAAATCCCCGACCTTCCATTTCTTCAACGCACAATAATTCGTCCGTCATGGATGTAAAGCCTACTTCAATTACTATCCAACTTACTCTCTCGTTATTCAAACTCGCACACAATTTGTAGCCACTAATCCAAAAACCCGGTCTTAGCGGTAGTCAGGCGCCACCAACCGCGTCTCATTACTCATCGTAGCCCAGTAATACAAAATAGCCGATCCGTAAGTATTTCGTGGTAGAACTCGTCCATTTTGTCTGTAAACGGTTAGGTGATTGGCGTTGACAGCGGTGACGGTCCGTGGAAATTCTTCCACCAGCTGAGCTCGGAAGGGAAGCATTAAAAATATTAGCGGTGCCATTTCATACGTTGGTCGAAGATTTTAAAGAGGTCAAACTAGCTAGTTGTTTTGGTCGATACAAGCTGAATTAGCTAGTGTTCAGAGGTTTAGAGGCCATTTAGTCGGTGGTAAATAATGTTTAGACGTAAGAAAGACAAGAATGATGAGGGCAAGGTGGATGCCTCGAAACTGATACGCATCGAAACGCCTATTGCAGATCTACCGGAGTCGATCCATCCTCCTAAAGTGGCGAGCTTGTCGTCCGAGCAGCAAAGCAAGTATTTGGAAGTGCTCAAGCATTTCCAAGATCCCGAGTTGAAAGTGCCCACGGCAGAAAAGGCTGGTAGTGGGTCAGAAGCGTCTTTGGAGCCCTTGAAATTACAAGAAAAGGCGTGGCTCACGAGAGACTGCTTTTTGCGGTACTTGCGGGCAACTAAATGGAACGTTTCGGACTGTGTCTCTAGAATTACGCTGTCGCTCGCTTGGAGACGGCAGTTCGGCATAGACTGCTTTGGCGAGGAAAACGGCGATGCTTTGACGGCCGCAACAGTGGAGGTAGAAGAGGAAACGGGGAAACAGGTGGTTCTCGGCTTCGAAAACGACGCACGTCCGATCTTATACCTCAAACCGGGTCGTCAAAACACCAAGACCTCGCACCGTCAAGTGCAACATCTGGTGTTCATGCTCGAACGGGTCATCGACTTCATGCCCACAGGTCAGGACTCTTTGGCTCTTTTGATCGACTTCAAAGAGCACGCAGACGTGCCCAAGGTGTCTGGAGGCAGCAAGATTCCTCCCATCGGTGTCGGTAAAGAAGTTCTGCACATTTTGCAAACACACTACCCAGAAAGACTGGGCAAGGCCCTGCTCACCAACATTCCATGGCTAGCCTGGACTTTCCTCAAAATGATACATCCTTTCATCGACCCGTTGACTCGAGAAAAGCTGGTATTCGATGAGCCGTTCCCCAAATACGTCCCTGAAGACCAGCTCGACAAGCTCTACGGCGGAGTTTTGGACTTCAACTACAAACACGATGTTTACTGGCCCAAACTGCTCGAGATCGCCGCTCAGAAACGAGCTCACTATTTGGCACGCTTTGAAAAGTTCGGCAGCAGGGTCGGGCTCAGCGAAAACGATTTAAGAGGCACTCACTCAAACCTCCTACATCCTGTCGAATCTGCTACTATGTAATCCGGGGAAAGCTGCAAAGTCGGTGTTGCGCAACGCGTTGCAGTGTGCATTTCCCACAATGTCTAGATAGATTTTCTCCATCATCGAAAATGTCAATGATAATATTAAAATGCTTATGCTACGTCTTTTGCTTCTATTTCTCTGTCTTTCAGAATGGCTTGGCACATTTGCGTGGCTCCATAAACCCTGTGTTAGGCGCCACCATAGTTTGCCAGTCGATGGCGTACATGAGGCCTCCAGCACCGTTGAAGGCCCTCGCGAACACAACTCCGAGATCGTTTCTTGCCGTGGACAAATGGTAGTTAGAACCATCTCCTAGCGAGATAACCTGAGCTCTAACTATATCACCGGGTCTGAAGCTCTCCATGATTTTCACTCTATCTCTGTCTGTCGCTCTGACATCACGGGCGCTGATGATGCCTCTAAAAGTCTCTCCAAGATCGGACGAGGCCTGAGATATCGATAGCGTGGCAGCAGCAGAGCCACCTCCTGGTGCTGTTACACCCGAACCATTACTTCCAACGCCGGAATCCACTGGCAGGGCTTTATTTTCGAGCGCCAAAATTTCAACATTGGCTCTCTGTGATGAAATTCGTGTAATTCTGGCCAAAACAACGCTACCCTCACGGGGAAGGTTGTTTGCGAAATCTTCGTTTACATCTTTTTTAGCAGCCTTGGCGTCTGTTACGGTAACAAAAAATGTTCTTTCCGGGTTGGAGTCTGCCGTTATTTCCTCTTTTTTCTCTTCTTTTAACAAGTCCTTCTCCTTTTCGTCCTTCGTATGCTCTGCTTCTGTCGGTATCTGTTTTGCCTGTTCTTCAACGAAACTTACGTCTCCGAGCACGGTCGCTGTTAGAGCTCTCATCGTGTGCCCTTTGACTTCGTAGTCTTCCTCAGCAACACCATTGCCTGCAACGTAACGTATAATTTCTTGTGTTTCTTCCTTTTTCTCGCCCAATTCAAACGTTGGACATATCAACTGTCCTGGGTATAGTGTTTCATAGCTCTTGGTATGGAAAGCCATCGTTGTCCTTTGAGATTTCTTGAAGTATTCGATGGTTCTTTAAACTTGAAGAACTTTAAGCACAGTAAATTTTTCAGTGCTGAGGCCCATGTCTTTCTACGAAGATCAGACTTCAAAGACAGAGCATGAAATCTCGATGCAATTGTAGAGCTTAACTGGGTTCATTGAGCTTGCACTGATACTACTGTTGCATTTTGTCTGTGATCTTTAGCCCTCTTGAATTAGATCGATGTTTCGCGAAGTTCAGTAAAAATGCGTGTAACATCTTGACTCTTCGTGAACTTCCATCTCTGACTTTAAAGAGTTTAGTTCATCCTTGATCATTTGTGCTAGTTGTGGGGTGAGCTGGTTGCAAGTTGCAATGTCTGGATGTCTGTCGTACTCTTCTTCGGTGTAAGTAGCGTAAAGAATAATATTGGACGAAAATGCAACGGTCTTGGCTGCAAAGGAGTCCGCAATTGTGTAAGAAGTCGAGGAAGGTGGCATGAGCGAGCTTGGCGATGGGTTATTGAGCTGTTGAGCTCTTAGTCCTTTGAATGAAAGTGATAATGGTCGCCCACCTTGACTGGTAGGACTTTGCCAGAGCGCAGCAATTTCGTCATCTCCTGTTAATGGCTCTTCCAACTGATTGAAGTTCTCTCCTTCAAACTCTTCATCATCGAAGCCTTCTTCTTTGTCGCTTGAGTACGCACCATGATCGCTGACGAGGTATTTGCGCATAGAAATGTCACTCTGGTAGCTGTCGCGATGAGCGGAATCCAGTGCAGGAGCAAGTTTGGAGCCAGACTTTTCCGGGCTTCGTTCCGGCGTGCCTGAGTCGAAATTAAAAGAGTCTATTGACACAGTGTCGTCTCGTTGTTCGGACAATCGAGACTTGTCTGCTGGATTTAAAGAGTGATACCCCTTCTCAGGAGGGTTGAGGTCCAAACTCAAGTCTAAGTCCTTTCCAAAGTCGATGATGCTTGCAAACTCCATGATGTCCGACATGAACTCGTTTTCGTAACTTGCAGCTGCAGAAGTAACCGAAGCTCTCTTCTCGTCATTGGCGCCACCTGCACTGCCGCTGTCGACTGTAAGATCGTTCAATGTCTGCTCTATTGAAGTAAATGAAAAGTCTTTGTCTTCCGGGTTGAACGAACCACTCTCGGGCTCTAGCGGTCTCTGGCTGCGCGAAGAGCTTTTCTGAGGTGAGAATTCAAGGCTGTCAAACGTTCCGTTCCTCAGTATGCTTGTTTGTGGTGATTTGCTTAGATCGGGAGTTGAGAGCTTTATTGCTGAAGGCTCCGTTATGAACATTCCACCATTTTGTGCTTTCATTGACATATTGTCAGTAAAAGATATGCGATGCGAGTTCAGAGAACTCCGTTTATTCGATTTAACCGATCGAGACCTTTCTAAGGAAACAATTGACTCGACTTCTTGAGCGCTTAAAGATTTGGGGAATAAGACTTCTCCGAAATCAGGCTTCCCTGATGCGCTCTCATTCATTGCGGGTGTTTCGGGAGTCGGACTTACCGCAATACTTTGTGTGGGCTGAACTGACGGCTCTGGTTGAGATTTTCCTACCGTGTTTGATTCAACCTCGTCTTTGGTTGAAACGCTTTGCGATTCCTGCTTTTCAGGAGCAGAAATGCTGTGTGTCTCTTGAGATTGTCCTGGATTTCGTGGTTGGTGTTCAAAATCTAGCGGAGTAGGTTTCCGAGACCGCACGTCACGCTTAACTGGCACATCGTCATGAAATGAAGCAGAGGATCTGTGCTGGTTGCGTTGTTTTGGCACATCCAGGTTCGGAACAGCTGTATTGGATTTGCCGCTTTTGTTTTTTCTGAAAGCACTGAAGATACTGCCATTACTATGTGTTTTTTTTGTCAAACGGGTAGAAGTTGGTAGCTCATCATCTTTACTTGTCTTTGGGATAGAAAAAGTCGAAGATGTCGGCAGCGGGGCTTCTGAGCTCGATTCTTTGACGACAAAAGATGCAGATTTCTGGGGTCTTCTTTTCAAGAACGAAAATATGTTCTTACGCTTAGTGTTTTCGCCCTGTTCTTTCCCTGAGGACTCAACGAAGCTGCGAGACCCTGCGGACATTCCTGAAAACGACCTTATAGAAGAAGCCTGCTTCTTGGAAATGGGACGGGACAAAGGCGCGCTTTCTGCGGATTCTGTGTGAGCGGTGGGGGGAGCAGGTGTGGGTTTGGCAACAGCCTTGTTATCTCTCTCTGTTTCGCTGGTCTGAGCAGCTGAGATTGCATTTTGTTGGATTTGAGACCCGTTACTAGAACCAGAAGCGGCGGGTTCGACTCGAGGTGTGGGGGGATCCAGTTTCGGGGTCATCAAAAAATCCGGCTGCTCTTGAAAAGCGCCGTTTCCGGCTTCTGACTTGAAGCTCACGAAATTGTTCCCGTTTGAGCTGCCGCCCATATCAATTAAGTTGGGCGAATCGTGTACTATGGGCTCTACTTTGATTTTGGGCGTAGATTCTTCTTCCGGTATAGATTGTTCGAGAATGACGCTATTACGCAAACGGCTCTCAACTTTCCTCGTTTTATCACTCAGAATGCCCGAAAGTGCGCTCAGGGAGGGCGATGCAGTTACTTTCAGGGTCTTAGTCTCGGTTTCATCCACGTCCGAAAACTCGCTGGGATATTCGGTGCCGTCGTGTGGCGCTTCAAATTCATGTATGTTTGTTGGTTGAAGCCTCAGTCCGGAGTCGAAACTGGCGTTTCTGGACATATCTGGCAGCACCACAGAGTTCCGAAAGTTTCTGGCGTGTTCGGAGTTATCAATAGAATTTGACGAGTAGAACGAGTCGTCGAAGTAACTATCGCCTCCGTTGCTCGCTTTATCCTGATAGCTGAACATGATGGTCTTACACTGGATTGAAATCCTCGCTGTTCCCTTCCAGGGCTAAATGTAAATCACTAGGTCAATCTTTTGAGGTGGGTAATTCTAAGTAGCCACGTCTGTTGAAAATATACAGTTTTCCGTCAATTACCACCAAAAGTTTGCCACTTTCGAGCACCGTTAATTTACCGCCTATTTCAGTTGAAGAAAGGGCCTGCTTTGCTGAAATGTGAGGATTGTAAACCTCGGTTCGTTTTTACGCGCTTTTGACAATTTTCGTGATCTTGAAGAGATCTCTTCTTCGTATATGGTGATCTATTTTAGACGTCAGGATAATTATATATATATATATATATATACATATTATTTTTAATAGGTACTAAGATATATTCATAGAACAATAGAATAAGAAGAATATTAAATAGTCGCCAAGCTTCGCTTCTGGCGTAATTTTATTTGTATCAGGATTGTTGTGCAGTTTTCAGCGTAAATGTAGTCTTTCAAATTTTCAAAACTCATTTTTTAAACCCGCGCCAGGTCACATAATGATACAATCCTTGTCAGAATCACGACTCTTGGAACTGGTGTAGAGCGATCTGGCCGGGATAGAATCAGGATTTCTGGGTTGCGGTAATTTTTTAACGGTTTTGCTTCTAGAAACCGTCGTTGGCGTTGGAGTCGGGATCGACGCAGCATTAGGATTTACACTGGTTACTTTTGGTTTTGGCATAGAGGACTCCGGTGCCGAAGGCCACAGCGGGCTCTTGGTGGTAGGTAGACCCTTGACGAGATCTGGAACGGGGAAAATTATCTCGTTATTTAGCACGTCGAATTTTAGCACCGGGTCGATCCCAAATTGCAAAATGCTGTTGGCCAGGAAACTGTAAAGTCTGGACCACGTTTCCTCGAGCTCCAGCGTGCTGTGGTACCCAAACCGCTCTTTTATGGTCTTGAGAAACGCCATACCCATAAGCTCGAAATGGAACGGCTCGATAGACAGGATCCGGGAGTGACGCTTCCCCAGACTGCTCAGATATGCTTCCAGCGTTGTTAGATCATCGAGGTTGTTGACTGCCATGGTGAGCACACCGGCAAAAGCAACGGCCTGGTGTCGAATGGAGGGAAACATCTTCTCGATGGACGGCTCCATATACAGCAAGTTTCCGTAAAACTGACTGCAGAAAATCGAACTGGCAAAAGCACCACTGCTAACGTTCTCTGCCGTGGCGCCAGCGCCAGCAGACTTAGTAGCGGACGTTGCAGAAGTCCCTGTGCTTGAGTTCCCGCGCGAAATGTGGGAGTTGACGCTATGGCTGCTACCAACCTTGGTTGGTGGGTTTTGGCGGTTCGTGCGAAAGCTGCTGCCCCAGGTACACGACCCTAGGTCGTGCCACAGCCTGCGGATCGTGGAACGAAACCGGTCGCCGGACAGCTCGTCGTTGAGCATGATGGCCCACGAGCTGCGCACCAAGTTGACCTCGCGTGGGGTCAATTTGAGCACGATTTTGTAGCGAACGCCATGGCTCATATCTGTGCCACGCGATGATCCACTTGACACACTAGAGAGCCTGTCAAAATGGTCGACTGTGCTCCACGACGTAGTGGGCCGAATCATCGCATCGCTGAAGATGCTCTGCGAAGTTTCCGAGGGCACAAATGAATCACGGAAAGAATATTGTTCACCGCTAATTTTGAGTCCGCCCAGAATTCCAATTTCACTGTCTGTGACCGACTCTCTGTCTGCGGCGATGAAGTCGATCTGAGACCTATCAAGCGGGTTGAAAAATGATTTGCTACTCATTGCATGTAATGTAGAATTCTCGATCTTATTCAAGAGCTAAACCGCTGCTGTTGATCCCAGTTTGTAGATTCTCTTGGTCCTTATGTGAACAATTTTGGACCAGCTTGTGGACTTTTAGATGGGAAATTCCTAGATCAAAGATACACTCTGATCCGCCCTTGACTTCAACGGCTTTTTCCAACTTTTTCACATTTCGCTGTTTTAGGAAGGGCAAAAAAATCGACCTTGAAATATGTCGTAGATAGAGAATGCAATGCACAGGCAATGCATCTGCTTAGTGGAAGTCGCGCGTATATCTTTCCTTGTGAGCTGCTGAAGTGGAACAGATGTAGATGACACTGCAGTGCCTGCAAGATGCGCTAAAGTGTTCAGTAGCACTTGCAGATTTTGGAAGATCCTGGGGTGGGACGATGGGGCAAATTTTTTTCTACTTTGGCTGGTAATACTTGTGGCACGCCAAGAAGAATTCTTGTCGGTGGCACGCCGTAGAAACTAAGCATCTTGTCTTAGCACCATTTACTTTGACTGTCATTGCATCAACGGATTCATGATTGCACGCATTCTTACTTGAATTTTTGAAATGCAGGCGAATGGTACAAACGCCGCGTGAGTATGCATACCTGATGCGCCGTGAAATATTAAGATGATGCGTCACGAAAAGGAGAAACGACTAGTTGCAGTGCTGACTTTAGGGAATAGCTGCGATTTGGGCTGAAACTAGACACACTGGATTGGTCACACTGGATTGGAGATACACCTGTATCTTATCCGGTATTTTATTGCTTCAAATACCCTGATTGAGACGACAACACAGCCTACGAGATTGGCAAAAAAAACCACCTACAGGCTCAAGTGGCCTTGACATCACTTTATTGATATTATCACATCGACGACTCTCACTTCTGCTGCTTATTTAAATCAATTGCACTATTCTTGATATTTGATGTATTTAAGTTTTCAATTTCAGATTTCCAAAATATATTGTCCATTGGCCTTAATGATATAAAGTATTTTTGAAGCAGTTCAGCAACTGTGTGCGTAAACACGCGTATCGAAACTGAAAGATGTTCTGACACACTACAGACCATTATACACTTTTCTTATTTCTCTTCCACCTTTCTGACAAAATTGGCAGATCGAAAAGTCACAGAATTAACTGACACTCAACGCACCATCGTCAGTCTTCGACTGGTCAACTCGTCGATCAGTGTATTGTTGGGACCAGCATTTGAGGTAGGATGAGCTCACCATGGAAACAATACGTGAGTTCCCGGATGGCATTTCAAACTGTGTGATACTGCGACGTATAAGTACAAAGTGATGTTAAAACCAGGTAATCTTCCTGCAAGCTAGAATGTGAAACCTTCGTCATCATGATGGCATTACACATGGCTAGCAACGGGGATGGCAGGTTAAAAACCATCGTATACTTTGCAGAAAGAAGGAATGTTGGTCAATCAAAAGGATCTGGAATGCGAATTACGATAATGAATGACATTAAAGTCTAAAGTGATTATTTTGGAAAAATTCCGCTATCTGAGGCGACGACTTCAGTTGACTGACCAGGTCAGTCCTCAGTCTCTAATGGTACAGTTTCGTAAAAAAAATCCCGGACGCGCATTTTTCGATACTTGGCATGCGCGCAGCACAGGGATTTACGACGTCGAAGAAATCATAAAAGGACGGATCATTATTGGATGTAAGACTTTAGGTGAGGTTCTGTAAGAGACGAGATAGGGAACGTGTTTGGTAAAATGTTGAGTTGGTTTCGATGCTTGTGGAAACTTGTGGCTGGTCCTTTACTGCTGTAGAAGGCATGGTCTTGGTAATCGATGTTTTACAGTCATCCTTTGCACTGACGGCGTCATCGTCTTTAAGACAGCAACAGGTTCGACCACTTCTTCTTCGATGTGTTACGTCTAGATAATAGTCTCTGTGGTTTTAAACACGTTCGAATTCTTAATCAAGGCAAACGCTGTCTGAAACAGGCCCACAGCGAATTAATTTACCACATATCTCCACTTGCAAGCCTGACCTTATGAAACTCGTCCTCTTTTTTCTCGGAGCAAATCGTGATTGAAAGAGGACTAGCGTTTTACTGAATGAAGTAGATGACATCGAAAATCCGCTGGTGACAACCAAGTGGCACATGCCCTTTTTTGTTCATTTGGTAACTGTAAACAGACCTGTGATTTTGAAAGCTTCCAATGACGAACTGCTCGTAGCATAATAAATTTATTCAACGACTCACGCTGGTCAAACTCTAGACGTACAGAGTCACATTGGCTTGATTGCATTCACTGGACTTTCTTGTAGAGAGGCTCTAACCTAGCTCATCACACTCATACAAGTGACACGCGACACAGTAGTTCAAAATGATAACCTCAATAAGCAGTGAATTAGCCAACTTCGCGAGGCAAGTCAAAGCACAGACTCTAACATAATATCATGGACCTTCGATGATCCTTCTTTATTGTATCTCACAGAGACCAAAAATCTAACATTTACTGATTATTCACTGAAATTTCAATAGTTAATGCCCCTTCAAGAATAAAGTCAAGAATATCTCAGTTTGAACAATTGAATCACCGGTCAAATTTCTGCTTCTACAAGCTTTCTCTCAATTCGTGGTTGTTTCTAACCTAGTCCTCTCAAACTCGCGCTCTTTTATCTTGTCTCGAATGCTCTCGAAATATACTGACATTGATTCATATAATATCCATATTACTTGTTTTCGATATAGAATTCTAAAAAATCACAAAAGTTCAACTGGTCTAAACATCAACAAACCCACATTGTTTAACACAGAGTGGCCATGGAGGTTCGAAATCACGTCGATGACATTTGCTATATCGAGACGTTGTCGAAACACAGCCTTGTGTCACGTTTGGTCAATTACCAGCCGCTCACTAGCTCGCAGGTAAAGATCAAGTCGTATCCGCTGGAGCAGATCAAAAATCAACGTGTGCAAGAGTCTCTGGTGGTGCGAGACCTTCTAAACGTGCTCGTGGGATTGGAAGGAGTATACATCAGATACAACAATAGTTATCAGCCCGTTCTAGGCTCACAGGATGATTTACGTGGGCCTGACTTCAGAATAGCTAAAAACATGGATCTTTCCCTTAAGAGCTTTGCCAAATGGATCGTAAAATTCGGCAAAATTTACGTTGTTCTAACCCGCTTCAGTGAGCGTTATAGTGAACCACTCTATGGGTCCATAATGCACCGGTTGTGTTTTGAGATTCGCAAGTTCCTAACCCATGAGTACGTTCGACAAATTGTTGATACGGCAGAGATGGAATTCCAGAGCAACCCACTTTTCAGCATTCGAGAATTGGGGCAGCTTTTAACCCAAAATTGTGCTCACAAAGCGCAGATACTTTACGATTTGGTTCAGAATATCATGCGTGAAATGAATCGTCGAGCGCTTATGGACCGTGAAGAAGCGGATTTCCAAAACTTTATACAGGATTTGAAAAAAGAGAAAGACCTTACAAATCCATTTTTCGATCACGATCAAATCAGCTCTGCTTCCTTCATAACTGACTCAAGGATAAACATCCATGCTCGAGGCGGCGTGATCCTGCAGATGATTCAAGACAAGCTGAAAAGCAACAGAGGGAACGAGCGCAACGTCAGCTTCCTTAAAAAGCTTTTCGATGATGTCTCCGTGCAGTATTGCTCCATGTTGGATAGTTGGCTCACTAATGGATCCCTGGGGGACCCTTATGAGGAGTTCATGGTCGCAGATACCGCAAAATCGACACCACGTCAAGAGGCAGCTCGCTTGAATTCACTAAATAGTGAACGCCTCTGGGACACACAGTATGTGATACGTAAGGACGGGCTTTTGGATGATTTCAATAATGGCAACATCGCCTTCAAAGTCCTAATGACAGGCAAGTTGCTGAACTTGTTTCGTACCTGCTGTGATTTACAAAGTATAGTAGACGTTTTACCAGATGATAATATGAAGCAACCGCTTAAAACGCTACCGCAGGGGACGCAACTTATGTTATACGTCGATCAGCATTATGCTCGCGCAAACAAGTTGGCACAGATACTATTTTATAACGGGTACAACTTCCCCCGCGTTCTAAAAGAGTTTCACCATAGCTTCCTGTTCTGCAATAATCCTGGCTTTTTCCGAAAGTTCTTTAATCGGTCTTTAGTGGAGCTTACCAAGCTTCGAAGTGACTCGGTTCAAGTAAAGCTTCAAAGAACGTTTCAAGAATACCAAAGTTGCCGAGAGGATGAACACACCAACGTCGTATTGCCTTTGTTGAATCTTCAGCTCGACAAGCATAGTTTCTACCGTGTTATCGAACAGTTTTCGTCTGAAACAGCCAATGGTAAAGACAATGCAGACCTTTTGCAGGCCCGAAATTTTGGAAATCTTCGTGATTTGCTTCTGCAAGATTTGGACATGGAAGAAACTAGTGACGCAAGCAAATCTAAGAAGGGAGAGTTGGAGTGCTCTATACATCACTTACAATTCGAGATCATTGTGCCATACCCCCTGAACACGCTCATTTCCAAGACATGTGTATTCCAATACCAAACAATCCAAAGGTATCTCTTTCTACTGCACTACTATAACAAAGTACTGCAAGATACATGGTTTGAGATCAACAAAAACAAAATCTGGAGGCACCCAGGGTTCAGTAAAGACGTGCATCAATGGATTCGACGATGCAGAGTTGTTCATTTCCGGATGACGCAGTTTATGAAATTCATCTTGGAATACACCACCCAGGACGTTATTCAGAGTGGATGGTCGGAACTTGAACCTCAGATAACAAATGCAAGCGCTTCAGAGTTTGATTTCTCACATTGCCAATCGGCACTTCAAGATCTTTTGACGCAGCAAATGTCACACTCTCTATTAACAAATGCTTCGCTAGTACGATTGCTAGTGCAAATTACAGACATCGTGCACAGGTTTTGTAAATTTGTTACGTCACTCAGGAAAACTTTGTGTTTATTGGACGTTCGTTTGTACTCCTACTACCACGGACAGCTTCCAGATGACAAGCAATATGACGAATCTATGGCGTTGCAGAAGCTTCAAGAATTGCAGGAATACCTGGATCTAGTTTGGGATAGTTTCACTCAGCACAAGAACGCTTTTGCCGAAGGTGTACGATATTATTGCAATCACGGTTCGATACGAAGTGGACTAAATCCTGTGTTGTCACTAGCAGAGAGATTAAGGGATATGGAGCTGGAGGGTCGTTGAAAAGGTTTTTTTGAGAGCAACCCATCTAGCAGGGTTAAAGGATAGAGTGTATAAAAGCGAGACAAAATTGCTTCCCTTTTCTTTAGCGTGTGAGCCTAATGGATGAAACAGCATCATGTTCCTGCTGTTTGGCATTGAGTGACAAGTATAGAGGAGCAGAAGGCATTAACCTAATTCTTGCCAGAGGCAAAAATTAAAACTCCGCGACGGGGAATTGAACCCCGGTCCCGGGCGCGACAAGCCCGAATTCTAGCCACTAAACTATCGCGGATGTTGTATGACTTTAGGAAGAGAGTTTTTTTCATACCCAGTCAAAAAGACCATGAGTTCAACATCTTAAAATCGGTCTATAGTGTCTACATGTTTCTGTGTGTCAAAGCGCGTGTTTAACGGATATTCAAGTTTGAAGCTATGAATGTGTCATGTGCATCGTTCTCATATGGCAGAGGGGACTTCAAGATATTTCTTTTCCTCAAGTCTCTTTTTAGCGGCCCTCGGAATGTTCCTTCTGTACTTTGGAACTATCGTATCTCGCTGCACTCAAATCGGCCCAGTGAAATAGCTAAGTGAACATTTTTGCATAATCAAGATGGGATATCAGTGAAAAGCTTCGATAATATGACGATTGTGATCTTGATTTTAATCATTTTCCTTTTTGAGCGAGGTTTAATTAGCACATCTTCGAGATTTCTCAATGGTGCACCATAATCACTTTTCACTTTACTTTTATCCCATTGCATTGGCATTGACCTTTTGTTTATTACCCTCGTAGGTATTTAATGTTTTTGAGTGTGCGGCTTACTTGAAATCTCAAATCAGTAATGTTTTGACAAATTCAAGCTGATGAAAGACTAACCGAAAGTGAAAATGCAGCTGTCGTCCTGACCCTCTCTTTTCGAGGTGTGCCGTGTATATCTGGTATTTTCAAACACCTGATAGATTCTGTTGCTAAGATTTTATATTTTGAATGCTGTCAGTCCTTCACTCAATCGCTAATGCTGTTGTGACAGGTTTAGAACAGGGTGAGGAGTTGACTTGAAATCGGTGTTTTTAGCTGGTCTTCGAATAGCTTAATAATCGAAACGATTGAGTATTTGTACTAGCATATTTTCGCTGCCTTGTCTGGTATAAGCGTGAGACGTGTAGCTTCCTTCTCGGACCAAATTATCGTTGACTATTGAGATGACTTGCCAACCGAGACTGAGCGGCTAACACGAGCATGAGTACGAGTACGAGCGTGGGAAGTCCGTATTTAGGGACGAGTATTACCGCGAGTAGCTTTTCAAATTTTAGCCGTTCGCGAGTCGAAAATGGTGAGTATATTTAAATTAGCATGATAAAATGTAAACTTGAAATTGGCGCCCAACCACTCAACTTTAGAAGTCAAGGTTGCTTTCTTAACCTCATCAGCTAATGGTCGATGCCCATTTATAAACTAGAATTCTAGTTCGGTGATATGGGCAAACACTCAGTGTATAAAAGACAAGATGCAACTAACTGCAAGAAGTTGAATCACGGCATAATTCAGAAAAAAAAAGACGGTGCGAGGACCTCACCAGAAGATAGCGATGCTCGTTTTGTCACTCTTTTAAATGGGCGTGAAGTGAAAAGTCCTGTTTCCGAAATCCGAAAGTCTAAAAAAGTGAAAATCGAAAACGAAGTTCTTCCGTGAATTAACATTTTAACAAATCAAAAGAGTATATCTCAAACGAAAGCGCAGGATGATTCCAGTCCCAGTACGTCACCTGATGGCTCGGAGGTGCCTCATCCTTGTGAAGAGGTGACTGTCAGTGTTGCATCATCGAATTCTAATATGATGTCTCAAGAAACTGACATCAAAACCCTGAGCGGGAGTACAGGTAAACGCGATATGGCCAGGACGAAAATAGCAAAAAATATTATTTGCCAAGAGCCCGAGAGTCTGTCTCTTCAAAAGCCGTCGTCCTCCACATTGCAAAAAATAAACGAGTGTAAAACAGAGAAGCTCAGGTATGATCAATCAACTCATGACTCGAGTCTCCAACCAGACGTTTTTCACAAACACATAACATTTGAAGAATCAGATAGTGATGCTGGGCAAACGTCCTCTGACGAAAACGCATTTGGTATTCGAAGAATAGAAGCAAAAAAGCTGCGGTCTTATTTTTTGAACCAATATTCCATCGATTTCGACGAGTTTTCTATGAACCCCTGTGAAATTCAGGTCGTGGCTAACAAAATCTCCTTTTGGCGTTTGGGTGACAAAGTACAAGTGCAGTGACCCTTATGCACAATGCAAATATGACTATTGTGTCAAAAAATTCAAATTAAGAACGAATCAGACTTCCTCCGATATCGTCAAGCACCTCAAAACAAATCGTAAGTCTGACTACGAAAAGTTTTATGCGAAAGTTCATGACCGTACGAGCTCGAAGAATGTCGCACACTTCGACCGGAAGCCCTTCAGTTTATGCAGAAGCTTGATTGAATTTTTCAATTATAAGACGACACTAATGAAAGAGCTCAATCTCTTTGTTGATCTACTACTACCATTTAGTATAGTAGAGTCGCGAAACTTTCGCGAGTTTTGTCGCTTCATCGTTGGTAAGAGATGTGAATCTTTAACCATTTCTCGAAAAACGTTAGTTAAAGAGATGGAAAACCACTATGAGAACTTCGAGGACCAGATGAGGTTAACACTTGAAGGAACTTCAAAAGTCAATGTTTTGCTGGATATATGGACTTCTGCTTCGAGTGAAAGTTATTTGGCAATATTTACGCGACGTCAATGCTTCCTGCTCCACTGGTAAGTGCGTGGCCGAAGCTTTATTTGATACTCTAAATCAATACTCATTGAAGAATAAAGTAGCGAGTATCACATTTGATAATGCAACGAATAACACGTCCATGCTGAACCAATTTAGCCTGAATTGATGGGAGATGGAGTCGATGCAGTGGGAGGAATTGTGAAGATTCAGTGTATGAACTATATGTTAAACATCATTTTCAAAGCGATCATAGAAAGGTTCGAGGAGCTTAATCCGGGGCTTGTAGCCCGAATTGATGACTCAACATTGAAAATCAAATCCAATGTATTTTTGAATTAGTACTTCAAAAAGTATTCTCTAAAAATTATACCAAGGCATAATGAGACGAGATATGTGTCAGGAGACAGCCAATTTTCCGTTTTCCTCGCACAAATCAGCGCTTTCAAGAAATTGTGTTTGAATAATCACAGTTACAAGCGATTTCAATTGAAAAGAGAAGATAATGTTCTATTTGTTTATCAAGCAGATGAGGTAATGCCTCTGATACTATTTTTGAGCTTGACAAAGATTTTCTCTGAGCTAAGCACGACAATGCAAGATTATTCAGTGAATAATTTGCCAAAGGGGGTACACTACTTACTATACGCAGCTTCATTTGTTCTTTGAGGCTTGTACGAATATTATCAAAGGGGATACGACATCTGCAACTTTAGAACTTGCTGAACTCAAAATGAAGGACCTTGAGGAGGTAAGCGATACTTGCAAAATGGATATATTGGCCGCAATCATCTTCTCAAGGCCATTGTTCGATAAGTATTACTCTCTTACAGCTTCACAGACAGCCTACTGGGTGGCGCACGCTCTAAGGCCTGACATGTAAATACCGTCTCTGTCGAGAATATTAGATCCTGATTTGGCGCAAGACGTGTTGACCAAAGTCTCGAATTATATCGACTTTTACCTTAGCTGGCACAAAACTCGGGCGTTTTCAAAATCAAAGAAAGCCAATACAAAAGATTCGCATGTTCCTACCAAAACACCAAGAAAAAGGTTTGAAATGCTCGATGAGTTCGAGGAGAGATTAAGTCGTGGTCAAGTTTTATCTGACTGGGATGTCTACAACAGAGAAGCCATTGATTCTTCTCAAGGTTTTTGTCGAGTATTGAATGGCGAATAAATCGAAATTCCCGCTTCTCAGTCGTCCATGAGAGTGACGATGGAAAATAAGTAGAGAAGTATAGCTTGCTCTGTGCACGAGAATATTGATATCAGTTAACCAAGACAGAACGAGGGACGAGCGCGGAGAGTTTGGTGGCTGATTACTTTCAAATCTTCAAGTTTCCAGGTGTCTGGGTGCTACGTCCCGGTGTCTGGGTGTAACTTCTCCCTCCTGCACGCAGCAAAAAAATATTGGGCTTCCATTTTCGCTGCGCTCCCTGTGGTGTCTGGGTGTATGTCATTTTCTCGCCTCTCGAGAAATCGGCTTCCTCGGCTTCCTCGGCTTCCCAAGCTTTCCATCCACAACTTCCTTGACTTCTTCGACTTCCTCGACTTCCTCGACTTCCCGCCGTGCGATCGTGATCGCCAATAGAGCCGCCCTTCTATAGCACCACCTAAAAACACCAGTCTTTCATGCTGTTCTAAGCTGTGTCTTCTGGCAAAACTTTCAGGAAGCTACCAGGATGCTATCACGGCCCATGTGGACTCAACTAACAGGTAGTAGCAGAAGCAGTAGTGGTCATGATGGTCTTGGTGGTGGCACCGTAGCAGTCGTAGTAGTAGCCACCGTAGCGGTAGTTAATACATTCCCTCACGCACAAAGCACACAGCACACAGCGTTCGTAGAACACCGCAGCAGCCCTCTGGCATTACCACACAGCAATGTACAACACAGCTAACGCACCAGGTGAAAAAGTTGTGGTGTGATCCGCCAGCACCTGCTCTCCGGACGCTTCAGCTTACGCTTAGCGGAGGGCAGCGACAATTAGTATATATAGCAGGGCTATGGCGAGCTCCTTGGTAGTGGCAGGTTTTAATGTTGAAATCCCCATAGTTCCCTCTTCACACTAGGAAACTCACATAAAATCATTACAATGGCTATCTCTAAAGTTCACGCTAGATCCGTCTACGACTCTCGTGGTAACCCAACCGTTGAGGTTGAGATCACCACCGAACAAGGCATGTTCAGATCCATCGTTCCATCTGGTGCCTCCACCGGTGCTTACGAAGCCAACGAAATGCGTGACGGTGACAAGTCCAAGTGGTTGGGTAAGGGTGTTTTGAACGCCGTTGCCAACGTCAACAACGTCATTGCCCCAGCTTTGGTCAAGTCCAACGTCGACGTCAAGGACCAAGAAGCCGTTGACCAATTGCTTCTATCTCTAGACGGTACCGCCAACAAGACCAAGCTAGGTGCTAACGCCATCTTGGGTGTCTCCATGGCCGCCGCCAAGGCCGCCGCTGCTGAGAAGAACGTTCCTCTATACCAGCACTTGGTCGACATCTCTGGTGCCAAGGCCCAGCCATTCGTTTTGCCAGTTCCTTTCTTGAACGTGTTGAATGGTGGTTCCCACGCCGGTGGTGCCCTTGCCATCCAGGAGTTCATGATCGCCCCAACTGGCGCTGAATCCTTCGCTGAGGCCCTAAGAATCGGTTCCGAAGTCTACCACAACTTGAAGTCTTTGACCAAGAAGAGATACGGTGCTTCTGCCGGTAACGTCGGTGACGAAGGTGGTGTTGCTCCAAACATCCAGACCGCCGAAGAGGCTCTAGACTTGATCGTCGACTCCATCAAGGCTGCTGGCCACGACGGTAAGGTCCAGATCGCTCTAGACGCTGCTTCCTCCGAATTCTACAAGGATGGTAAGTACGACTTGGACTTCAAGAACCCAGAGTCCGACAAGTCCAAGTGGTTGTCTGGTGTCCAATTGGCCGACATGTACACCTCTTTGGTCAAGACCTACCCAATTGTCTCCATTGAGGACCCATTCGCCGAGGACGACTGGGAGGCCTGGACCCACTACTTCAAGACCGCCGGTATCCAAATTGTTGCCGACGACTTGACTGTCACCAACCCTCTAAGAATCAAGACCGCCATCGAAAAGAAGGCCGCCGACGCTTTGTTGTTGAAGGTCAACCAAATCGGTACCTTGTCTGAATCCATCAAGGCCGCCAACGACTCCTTCGCCGCCGGCTGGGGTGTCATGGTCTCGCACAGATCTGGTGAGACTGAGGACACCTTCATCGCCGACTTGGTTGTTGGTTTGAGAACTGGTCAAATCAAGACCGGTGCTCCAGCCAGATCCGAGAGATTGGCCAAGTTGAACCAGTTGTTGAGAATCGAAGAAGAATTGGGCTCCAAGGCTGTCTTTGCCGGTAAGAACTTCCACAGCGGCCAAAAGTTGTAAGCGTGCTAAGTCTCGCTACAAACGTCGCTGCTGCGTTTACATAGATTATGAAGTAAGAGTTAACGAAACATAACGTGAAGTTTAGACTAAAGAATGAAATAGAGTTGTCTGCTAACTAACCGTTTGCGGACTAGGTATGTTGAAACAAAGTCTAACAAGACCTTTTCTACGCCTAAGGTTTCGCGATCTTTAACGGTTCTAATTGAACCGTTGACATGTAATTTTATAATGATATATATAAGCGACGACATATATTCAATCTCAAGAAATCCAAACTTCTACATTTAAGCAACACTCACCATCGACAGTCTTCTCTTCATCATGGACAGTTCGAGTATGAAACACGGCGATATGGACCATGGAAACAAAGATATGTGTTCTATGAACATGCTATTCACCTGGAATTACAAGAATACATGTGTGGTATTTAAATGGTGGCATATTCGCACCCTACCTCACTTGATTTTGAGTGTGGCTTTGATCGTATTGATCTCGTATCTGTACGAATATCTGAAATACTACGCAAGCAAGTCTGCGATCACAAGCGGCTCAGGTAGCGGCCGGTCCGCCAACATTAAGCGAGCAAGCTGGTACGGGGCCCAAGTCGGATTTTCGTTCATGCTCATGCTGGTGTTTATGACCTACAATGGCTGGCTGATGCTTTCGGTAGTTGTGGGCGCTGCCTGGGGCCACTACTCGTGGGGCAGCGCGGTCGAGAGCAACACGCGCAATCTAGCCTGTCATTAGAGGTGTGGGTGAGAGGTTTTGGTACCTCGAGAAGAAAATGTAGACGACTTTAGACGGAGTCAGTGTCTTTTGCAAATGATGGTGATGGTCGTCCCCCTAAATATTATGTCAATTTAAGGAATGTGTTATTTTACGAGTTTGACGGTATTTGTGAACCCTGGCAGCTGCATCAATACGGCAACCAACTCAATATACAGCCAGTGACAGCAATTGCACCAACATTTGAGAGCTGGAGCTCGTTTGAACTCAAAATTTCGGCTACAAACTCCGAAAAGCACGGTGAACAGCTGAGTCGCGTGCAGAAGACGAAGGCTGGTACTGACAAGAGAAACGTACAATTAAGACTATGATGCTGGCTTCTCTAGTCATATGCATTAGCGACTTCAGCCTTATCCCACTGACCCAAACTCTCGCGAGTGCGCGCTCGCCGATCACGAGTACTTTCTTGAACCCTGTGAGCTCACTATATACTAATTGGCATGCACAAGACTCATCGTGTACTGTTCTCGACACAACTCTTCTCTGTAAGCAAGCAAAGATGACAAGAATAGCCAAAAGAGTAGCCATCATAGGCGCTGGGCCTAGCGGTCTGAGTGCGGCAAGAGCCTTTTTGGCCAACACCGACTTCGAGCTGGTCCTTTACGATTCGAAACCGCAGGTAGGCGGAGTGTGGTTTTATCCGGATGACGAACAGCAGAGAGCCAGCACCGCAATGTACGACTCCCTCGAGACAAACTTGAGCAAAGATATTATGAGCTTCAATGGGTTTCCATTCTCTGACAGTGTTAAACAGTTCCCGACAAGAAGCCAAGTTCAAGAATACCTGATCCACTTTTACGAGACGTTTGTCAAGAACCAGAATCGTGCTCGCGTGCAATTAAACTGCACAGTGGAGCTCTTGCAAAAAAACGGGGACTCGTGGGAATTATGCCACTCGGGCTCGCGATCGGTTGAGGTGTTCGACTTTGTGGTGATCGCAAATGGCCATTTCGACATTCCCTACGTCCCCACCGATATTCCTGGACTTGGCGAATGGCGTAAGGAAGACCCCAGCTCGCTCTTGCATTCCAAAGAGTTCCAATCCAGCGAACCTTTCCGTGGCCAAAAAGTCGTGGTGGTTGGCAACGGAAGCTCAGGCTCCGATATCGCCAATCAGATCAGTTCTGTGGCGGAACATGTTTTCCACAGCGTCACGGAGATTTCCAAGGCGAACTGGGACGAAAACCCAATCGTCACGCCGGTAACAAAAATCTCACAGTTGAGGGTGCACGAAAACCGGACTGTGGAGCTTCAGAACGGTGAGCTGCTCCACGATATTGACTGCATAGTGTGGGCCACCGGTTACATGTACCATATTCCATTTTTGGGCAGTTACCAGGACGAAATCTTGGGAACGCAGCATGCACGCAATCCGGTGTCACGATTGCACGGTTTGTGGCGACAGATAGTGTTCAGCGAGGATCCCACGCTGGCGTTTTCGCTTCTGTGCAAGAATGTGGTGCCCTTCCCCGTTGCCGAGTCGCAGGCGTGTCTCATAGCCAAGATATTTTGCGGAGCGGTCGATGTGCCCTTGATGGACAGCTCGGCTCGTGCTATGGGCAATGGGAAAGACTACCACTCCCTCGTGATGCCCCGAGACATCGAGTACTGTCGCGATCTGCAAGGAATTTTGGACTCATGCGGCGGACTCAACGACCCATTTCAACCGAGGCGCTGGGATGAACAAATGGCTGCACTACGCTACCAGACAGCCGCAGCGAAGAACGAACGCACTAAATTATTGGTGCGGCGTGCCATGCAGCTCAGACAAAATGGCCAGGCTTATTGTCTGGAGTAGAAGCACGACGACACAAAATTGATCACCCGAAATAGCTACGAAGCATGGCATCTCACAGCCAACAACAACATCAAACACACACACACACACACACACACACACATTTGCATAGGGACAGTTGCTTTCCGTCTCTCAATCCCATCACACAGCTAGACATATACAGAGCGTCTAGCACCTCTGTGTCACTAAAGTACAAAGTGACAACATGGAAATTCAAGAATTATGGACCCATAAATCACAGATCTGCCGCGAACAGATCTTTTCAACCGCAATTTAAACAGCCTGGTGGTATACTTCATTGATTTGGTCGATATACCCGAACTATCAAAACCCATTTCTGATCGTTTTACTCACTTTACTCATTGTTTCTTGATGTCACGTGCTTACCGGTCTTCGGGCAGATCTCAAATTTCATATCCATACAAAATATAGATATCAACCCATAGCCGGAAGGTCGATAAAGTTTGTCCAAATCAACTACACCATCAACATCCGTTTTGGAGCTGATAGAGCCTAAAGGCGGGCTTCTTTCGGCATCCATAGCATCAAATAAAGATGGGAGAGACGAGTAATACAGATTCAGAAGTTTCGCCGGTGGTTTACGAGCCTTACTCGTGTGCCAGATGCCGGAAACTTAAAAAACGATGCTCAAAGGAATCGCCCGTGTGCGCCAACTGTGCAAAGGCTGGGGAGCCCTGTAGTTACCCAGGAAGGGCACCAAGGAGGAGCAAGCGGGAACTGGAATTGGAGCGACAGGGACTGGCCGCATTGGCGAATGGTGACCACAAAGCTAAGCGAAGCCACAGTAGCGATGGAGAGCCGCTGACAGTCTCATCAGAAGATCTGGAGCGGAGCTGTAGCAATTTCTATAACGATGTCCAGCACGAAAGCGACGCGGAACGCGATAGTGCGCGTTCGTCAGAACCCGGCTCGGCTCTCAACCTCAATAATGTCGCTACCGATTCCCTGGCAGCGACACTCCAAACCCCAGAGCAGAAACAACTGCAGCAGCAACAAAACGACGATTTTCAGCCCAATGGGGTGTTGTTCCATGAGATGCACAAACTAGACTCTATCCCGATCAGAGCGTCCTCTCTGCAGATCGCCAATGTTGCTGCCGTTTTCAAAGGTGGAAGACACTCTAGCATGCTGCAACCGGACGGCCGAAGCAAACATATTGAAAGAAGGTTGTATGACAGATTCATAGCCGCGTATTTCAAGCACAACCACCGTTCTTATCCGCTTTTGAACAAAATCGGATTCCTGAACAAAGTTTCCACAATACACGAGTTCGAAGAAATGGAGGGAAACTACGAAGATACTTTTATATTTCAATTGTACATGGTAATGGCAATCGGATGCACTACTCTCCAACGGGCAGGCATATTGAGCAAGGAGGAGGAAGACCTCAGCGAGCATTTTGCATACCTTGCCATGCGAAAATTTTGTCCTGTGATGCATCTGCAAAACGTCGAGACCATCAAGTGTCTGCTGTTGCTTGGCATTTATTCGTTTTTCGAGCCTCAGGGCGTCTCGTCGTGGACCATTAGCGGCATAGTTATGAGACTCACCATTGGCCTGGGGTTGCACAGGGCCCTCACTACCAGAAAAATCCAATCCATGTCGCTCATAGACGTGGAGATGAGATATCGTGCCTTTTGGAGTTTTTACAGTTTCGAACGACTGGTGTCAACTTCATTGGGTAGAAACTCGGCAATAGACGACGATGACATCAGCGTCCCGCTTCCTCACGCCCTGTACGCTGAAGAAACTGAAGACATAGAGGTCACTAAGATGATGATCGCACTGCGAAAGATGGGCGGCGTCATATACAAGAAGGTCCACAGTGTGGGAGCAGGAAAGCAAAAACTGTCAGTGGATGGCAAGCAGAAAATCATAGACGAGCTAAGAAAGCAGATCGACGTACTATACGAACAAGAGCGTGACAAGATACGGGAGTCTAATGCGATCGTGTGTTCTAACAAATCCAATTCTTGTATTTCCTTCCACACCTCCGATATCTGGCTTGCTATGCGCTATGCACAACTGCAAATCATGCTGTACCGACCCTCGGCTCTGATTCCCAAGCCGTCTATGGAGTCGCTGACGATCTTGGGCGACTTTTGCTTACAAGCTCTGAAATACACTTACGCACTGTATCGAAAAAAGCTGCAACCTCTCAACTGGATAACCTTGTTCCGCACCCTCACGATATGCAACACCATGCTATATTGTCTGTGTCAGTGGAGCATTGACTTGACCGAGTGCAAGATCGAGATTCAGCAGTGCGTTGAAATCTTACAGCATTTCGGAGAGAAGTGGGTGTTTGCGGCCAAATGTGCTGACGTTTTCCAGACTATCAGCAATGCCATTCTGGATATAAGTCTGAGCAACGGTCAAGTGCCAAACATGGACGACCTCACCCGTGAGCTGTTTGGCGCGAGCAACGAGTATCAAGATATTCTGGATGAAAATAATGTCGACATTTCCTGGGTTGACGGCCTTGTATAAAGTACACTAATAGTGAATGGAGACTATCTGGTTGAAAACGTATAGTGATGAATGAACACTTCAGTGGTGGTCGTTTAGTGCAATTATTTGTAATGCAATCCTTATATGTTTTGTATGAACTACACTGTTAAACAATAGTTGCCTCCTTAGCTTAGTGGTAGAGCGTTGCACTTGTAATGCAAAGGTCGCTAGTTCAATTCTGGCAGGTGGCAATTAAACTTTTTTTGCTCTTTTTACATCTCGTATTTTTGAAACACCAAAATGTGCTCTTTGGGCACGCAAATACATATTTTGAACGCAGGACAAAATCATGAAAGGATGACCACAATTGTTTTCTTAGTAACGACGATCTTTGGTGATCTCTAAACGTTAGATTTAGCTGGTTTCGTATCTCGTGCATAGCGATTCAATATCGTGTCTTGTTGGCTAGAAATCAAGCTTTAGCACTGCTCATCTTAACACCATAATCTATGAAAAATCAGAGACACTGGGAGTAGTTCTTCGTGTTGCACTGTCCGTGATGATTCTACAGGCATTGTCTTATGTAGGAACCGTACTAGGTTTCCTGTTTCTGACTCTTTCCATCGCGGCAGGCTTATACTACATTAGTGAACTGGTGGAAGAACATTCAGAGCCCACGAAGCGGTTCTTGAAAAGAACAATATACGCCATCATCTGTCTATATGTGCTCCTGCTGGTGCTCGACTCTTTCCCCTTCAAGCTCAGCATTTTTTCCATTGCATCGTACGTGGTCTACTTGCGAAACCTAAAACACTTTCCCTTCATTTCCCTGAGCAGCCCCACATTTCTTGCGAGTTGCGTGTTGGTCGGGCTCAATCACTATCTATGGTTTAGACACTTCAATGACACGGAAGTTCCTCCTCAGTTCAGGTACGACCCCAACTACATACCACGCAGACGGGCTAGTTTCACAGAGGTCGCGTCGTTTTTCGGCGTGTGTGTGTGGTTCGTACCATTCGCGTTGTTTGTATCGCTTTCAGCTGGTGAGAACGTTTTGCCTACCACAACTGCCGGCTTTTCGAAGAAAAACGATGAATTTGGCGGGGAAACACCTCAGTTACGCAAAAAGGCCACTGGTCTCGTTCGCGTAGTGATTGACTCTGCAAGGGAGTATTTTTACATAGCGGCACGAGTATTTGGTTACGACAATCACTCACAAAGAGGTAGATTGGTGGTATGAGTGATGGTCAGAGCAGAGCATTCAATAAGATCGAAGCACCGCAGGATGTTCACATTCGAAAGCAGAACTTCAAAACTTTCGAGTTCGTGGTATGATGGCTTTGGTGGAAGCTAAACAAAGGATTGAAGATGTTAATGACTGGAAAACTGAAATTGTGGACACGATTCTTATGAAATCTCAGGCTCGATTTACGAATCTGTCCCGAAGGAAGCATTCTCAAAAATCGAATCTGGTGAAAAGGTCGCACAAGCAGAGTACTTGAGTTCTCTGACTATCACTGATCTTCACAAAAACGTCATTACGCGGGATAAGATTTAGACGTAACACTTTAGTCAGACAAGCTAGCTTATTCCGACTAATTTATCATTCATATACAGACCAGCTGTGTTCTACCCACATATCAAAAGCGCATTTGAATCCTAATTGAGCAGTACTCCGGTTATACTTAAGTTCGCATAGTTGAATCTTTGGCGTGTAGTAAAGTCTCTAGTTTCAATAGAAAATTCGATTTTAAATTATTTGAATCTAATTTCTTGTCACTTAGATGTCTTAGCCAAACTGTTTGGTCCAAAACCTGGTATCGGCAATGAGAGAGAGAGTTACAGAGCTCTTGAAAGCCACTTTCTGGTCGGAAGACTACACGACGGGAATTGAATTGTTGTTCGGGAATATACGAAATGATATCGCGGAGTTGACGGAGTTTCTTCAGTTGGTCAAGAGTTTTGATTCTAAAACAGTGTCACCAGCGATCTTCACCTTGAAGAAGCTTATAACTTCTGATCAGGCGGTAGACTCCAGTCAGTCGCTCAAGACAATTATAAAGCGACAGCAGTCGAAGGCTTTGTCGGAAGTTCTCGAGAAACTTGAGCTTGCCAATCACTCAAGACTCGAACTCAATTGTCAGGTACCAATGGAAGCATTATTATTCGAATACAATGAGTACCTTAACGAGACGCAAGAAATTACAAAGCGGAATAGGCAGTGCTATGGTAAGCACCTCACGTCTGCAAGGCAGCTGCAAAAAGATTATGAAACAATGGCAGCGCGTCTACGAAAAGTCCGAAAAGAAGCGTTAATCGAACCGAAAGCAGCAGAGATTGAGCAGAATACTATTTCTCCTCAGCCTGAGGTTCAAAATGTGCAAACTTTATATCCACTGGCTTTGGACAAGACTATGCTTTTCGAGGGAGAGCAGCAATTGGCTTTTTTTGGAGACAGACTCAAAGAAACCACTAAGACCTCGAAGAGATTGATAGCTATTCCTGGTATAGCCAACGAGTATTTCTCCGGCACACAATTGTTTGAGGCTCTTAAAAAACTGGAGCCGAAGTTAGATGCTTCTCGTTTCAATCTTGAGCGGATCGGTCAAAAACTTTTGGAAATTGACATTATGCGACCATATCAGAATATGCTCGGATCTCAATCCCGTTTTTCGGCAGAGGATTATTACACATGGGGCACTATTCCAGCACAAGTTGTTGCTGACAAGCCGCAACACACAAATACTGTTTTCGGCGAATTTATTAAAAAAATCAGTGGGAAAGCTACTGAATACGAATCAATTACAACAATAGAGGATTCCGAGTCATATCAAGAAGATTTCAGGCGCTGTGAGACTTCTTTTTTCCAAGAATGTCAAAATTTAGACTATTGGCGATCTGAACTTGAACTCGGCCTGCAAAAAGCCATGCAACATTATTGGACGCTTATTCACCGAAAAATTAAGTGCGTAAACCAAGCAAATGGCTTTTTTCTATCTTCTTTGCAAGAATCCTTCTCCCTTCAACCTCAAGTGGTGCCAGTGGACGAAGTTGCAGAACTACAGAGAGTGTATCGTTCCAATCATAGTACTGTCGGATTTTACGTTCCACAGCCTGGTGTTACCTTCAAGAAATATGATGCCCACGGTGAAATGGCAGGCTTTTCCTTGTTCCATTCCGAATTACAAAGTTTGCAGGCAGACGAAACCGGAATCGCAGTAGTATTGAGAACTCTGCTAAATAGCCTGGAAAAGCACAACCCCGACGACGTTTCGCGATCATGGTCGATGCCCTTAGACCTGAAAAAAAGCTCTAGACTACGACGCGATTGTTTTGCCGAATTTCTAGCTAAAGAAGGCGATCATTCATCCACCTTAGAAACCGTGATGATCAATAAGGCGCAAGAGACCAGTGATGTAGTAGGCTTATTGCAAAGCTGGCTTTTGGAGCTTCCCGATAGCTTGATTCCCATGGCGTACTACGAGGAAGTGAAAAAATCAGGTTTTGTGGGGCTGGACAGATGTCCAAAGGAACACTTGCTGAATTTGGCCGTCGTTTGTGAACATTTTGAGTGGCTATCAAAGTACTGTAGTGAAGCGAAAATGAAGAGCCTGTTTGAGGTTCGGATGGATTTCCCGTTGTACCATGTCTTTGCCCGCAGCAGACTTCAGAGGCCTGAAGATAACGAGGTCATGTCAGATGCAGTGCGCAAATTACTTTGCTGTGAGGGAAACTCCAGACTTTTGTTGGAAATGGTTAACAGAGAAAGGGAACCGCCTGTTTCAAGACTAAGTGTGGATTCTCCCTCGCAAGCGTCTTCTGCTACGTTTGTACCGAGGCCGCTCAAGGCCATGAGCACGGGCTCATCTGCTGCATCTTCACGCCCTTCCAGCCAGCGTATAAGCGGGATTGATCTGCTGGGCCGGGAAGGGTAGCAAGGCAGGACGCGGAGGTGTGAAGTGGCATTGGAATTGAAAGTGTGAGGGTGCTGTAAGCTCCCGGGGCTGCCATCGTCATGTTTGATCGAGAAAGAGTGCGTTTTTTATCACTAATTCTTTAACTTAATAGCTAATCGTACTCAAGTTTTCTGGTGAGCTGACGTGTTGCAAAGGTGCAAAGACGCTACGGGAAGGGCTCTGCTTTGGTGACGCAGATGAGTTGTATTGTCATTTTATAACAGCTTGTCGTCTGTCGTCTGGTCATGTGCTGTACTGCGAGTGCTAACGATTCGATTGGAATAAGAGAGAGAGGTATTGCGACAGGTGAGTGTGCTAGCGAACGATTTGAGTAAGATCAGCGATACTAGGGTAAGTAATTGCGTCAGGATTCGATCGTGAACGGCTGGAAACGCGACAAGATTGAGAGTGTCAGAAAAAATTTGGGTTTCTGCGAGCAAAGAGAGTGAGCAAAGAGAGCGAGCAAAGAGAGCTTACTGTCCAATTAGATCAAGTCAGAAGCTACTGATATGTAGCGCGGTTGAGCGAAATGAGTGTGTCACTGCTGTAGGAGCTAGCAGAGTATTCGGGTCACGTGATATATAGTCAACCACTACCATACATACCTCTTGGATCAACGCTGTTTTTCAATTATTTATACGATCCTGACGCTTCATTGTCGAAACCTGATTGCGACGCACTTTCACTTTTTGAAACCTACCAGAGGACTCATAACATTGAGTTAAGCAACCCAAAAAGCACCCATCTGGGACCCGGTTTTTGGCAAATCGCGATCTGGGTTGTTTTCGAGTACTCGTGTGCTTAGTCATCCCACGTGACACAGACAACCGCAAGTTGGTATCTCCTCGCACGAACACTTTTCTCCCACACCTCTAAAAAGAGTATATAAGAGGCACCTAATTTTGCCACTTTCTCCCTTCTCATTGTTCAACCTACACCTCTCTTGTTTTAAGGTGCGGCAGCTGTACATCTTTATAGATACCTCAATCACCAAATACCACAACAAGCACTTGCAATGTCTCAACCCACCGGTGACATTGGATTGATCGGTTTGGCCGTTATGGGCCAAAACCTTATTTTGAACGCCGCGGACCACGGGTACACCGTGGTGGCGTACAACAGAACCGTGTCGAAAGTGGACCACTTCATGGCCAACGAGGCCAAGGGCAAGTCTATCATCGGCGCCCACTCGATCCAGGAGCTGGTCGACAATCTAAAGAGACCCCGCAGAATCATCTTGCTGGTCAAGGCCGGTGCCGCTGTGGACGCGTTCATCGAGCAGCTGTTGCCATACCTGGAAAAGGATGACATCATCATCGACGGCGGTAACTCGCACTTCCCCGACTCGAACCGTCGTTACGAAGAGCTCAAGGGCAAGGGCATCCATTTCGTCGGGTCCGGTGTGTCCGGCGGTGAAGAGGGTGCCCGTTACGGGCCTTCTTTAATGCCAGGTGGTGCCGAAGAGGCGTGGCCACACATCAAGGAGATCTTCCAGTCGATCTCGGCCAAGTCCGACGGCGAGCCATGCTGCGACTGGGTCGGCCCCGCCGGTGCCGGCCACTACGTCAAGATGGTCCACAACGGTATCGAGTACGGTGACATGCAGCTGATCACCGAGGCCTACGACATCATGAAGCGTGTGGGCGGTTTCACCGACAAGGAGATCGGAGACGTGTTCGCCAAGTGGAACACCGGTGTTCTGGACTCGTTCTTGATCGAGATCACCCGTGACATCTTGAAATACGACGACACCGACGGCACCCCGCTCGTCGAGAAGATCATGGACTCTGCCGGCCAAAAGGGTACCGGTAAGTGGACCGCTATCAACGCCTTGGACCTAGGTATGCCTGTCACCTTGATCGGTGAGGCCGTTTTCGCCCGTTGTCTATCGTCGTTGAAATCCGAGAGAGTCAGAGCCGCCGGCATCCTGCCAGGCCCAGAGGTGGCCAAGGACGCCGTCAAGGACAAGCAAAAGTTTGTCGACGACTTGGAACAAGCGCTCTACGCCTCCAAGATCATCTCCTACGCCCAGGGTTTCATGTTGATTCGTGAAGCCGGTAAGACTTACAACTGGAAGCTAAACAACCCAGCCATCGCTTTGATGTGGAGAGGTGGTTGCATCATTAGATCTGTTTTCTTGGCCGAAATCACCAAGGCCTACAGAGACGAGCCAGAGCTAGAGAACTTGTTGTTCAACCAGTTCTTCACTGACGCCATCACCAAGGCCCAATCCGGCTGGAGAAACACCATCGCTTTGGCCACCACCCAAGGTGTCCCAACCCCAGCTTTCTCCACCGCTTTGTCCTTCTACGATGGTTACAGATCCGAGAGATTGCCAGCCAACTTGTTGCAAGCCCAACGTGATTACTTTGGTGCCCACACTTTCAGAATCTTGCCTGAGTGCGCTTCCAAGGAGATGCCAGAAAACACTGACATCCACGTTAACTGGACCGGTAGAGGTGGTAACATTTCTGCCTCCACTTACCAAGCTTGAAAAAAAGTAAGTTGCTGCAGTGCGGACAACCGTCACAGAATTACGAATGAAAGATATTACGACAAGGTGAAGGGGTGTTGCCAAGGTTCTCACCAAAACCGAGTGGCCAAAAACTAGACTAATTCTAGCTGCCCTCGCTCGTTACGCGTTATTCAAATTAGACATATAAGCAATATAAGCAATATCGAATTTACAAGTTTTAATTGATTACCGAGTCGGAAAACCAAACCAATTGTGTGTGTTCAAACCAAATTTGATATTTCTTATGTTGGGTCTCTCCAAGCTATTGGAGCTCATCGTTCTTCCCATGTTCATCGTTGGTCTAAATATTTACACCTTGATCAAATGTTGTGTCACACTACAGTAATATTAATATTTTATGGTGTCAGCGTCAGTTCACAAAATTTATCAACAAAACAAGAACTTAAAACCATCTCCGACCACTTCATCAGTACACAATTGAGTTATCAAGTTTGATTCAGTGCTCTGCCTTAACCTAACGTTATCTGCGGTACCAACGAATATAATGGGGGACTACCACACAGAACAGGACCGGCTTTATTCAAAGCAGTCCTATTGTAGAACTGAGGAGCTCGATCCGCATTACGAGCGATACGATGGCATTAAACGTCCTCCGTGCCATGAGAAAATCATTCCAGCTGAATCGCATAGTTTTTTTGATCGATTCAAGTCGAAATTAAACCTTTTCAGAGGTTATGAGAACTCGGATGACAGTTCCATGGAGCAAGACTCTACTGTGAATCGACAAAGTCAGCTGTGGAACGCTATAAAGGGAAAACCTATTCAATTGATTTTTGAAGACAACGATAACAGAGCCCAGTTACGTGACTCAAACCAGCCCGTTCCAATTTTGGAAAGCGCGAATACGTTTCTCACCGATAATAACCAAAATTACGATCGTCTTCCTAACTCCCCCAAGAGAAAGGAGGCCATATCCAGCGTACCATTGAGTGGATCTCCCTTTACAGGCAGTGGCATCAGTGATTTCATCGGATGCGAAAATGACATTACTGTCACAAAGCCAATTTCACCGTGGGACAAGATTGCGACGAAGTCTGCTTTGAAAAGCTCGACTACGTTGCAAACCATTCAGAAGCGGTTGATGCACATTTCGCTCAAAAAATCAGAAGTCTCGAAAAGCTACCAAAAGCTTTTGAAGGAGTTGAACGAGTGGTGGCAAGATACTATAGAAGCGGAAGAAAACATGGACCTGATCTCAGATTTGCAGAAGCTATTTCATGAGGATCTGGTGTTCGAGGAGAGACTGTCGAATAAACTCAAGGAGATCTCCAAAGCTCTGGAGTTTACAAAGATGCGAGAAGAAGAAATGCTACAAGAACGCAAGGAATTGCAACATACTATTAAAAAGTATGGCCGAATGAGAGCTAAAAAGGGCAACCACAGTGAAGAAGCACATTTTTTGAAAGAGAAGGTAGTCACAAGGCAGAATTCGCTATCAATTATCACAGGTCACTATCAAAATTCTTTGTGCACAACAGCTAGAGAATTATTTGTCAATGCCAGTGTGGAATATTTTGAGACCGCATCGGACGTGAAAGACGCCAGTAAAGCCTTTTTCCAAAACTCGGTCGATTACTTGCGCACAATTCAAGCTGGAAATATAGAGCAGCACATTGAGGACTTGAGACGGAAACGCGCCGATAAGCACTGGTCTAAATTGACACCTCAAGAGAGAGATGATCCCAATAGGCTTGTTGAAATCATGAGCGGAATGTACAATGGTCAAGACTCTTTGATGAGGTGTGTTTCCAAGAAAGCACCGCTGAAGTCCTCCCCCAAAGTCTCTAACATTGAAAAGGAGAATGTACCTCAAAAGGAAAATGAATCCGACCTGAAACTGGAATTTAGAACTGGCTTGGAAGAATCACTGTCTCAGTTTCCTAGTGACAGTAATAACAAATCCAGTATTGATGGCAGCTTTGCTAAGATGTCGGACTATGCTAAAATTCGAGCGAAAAGAAATATTCAAGCCGCTTCTCTCGAGTCTAATCGAACGTTGCGATGTGAGGGTATCGCGCATAGCCTGGAGGATAATATTCGCTCTCGTCTGCCTTATCCGGATACTGCAGATACTATTAAAGCTCAAATCGAAAACCTGAAGAGCGGACTTAAAGGCTACAACGGAACTTCTGACCTGGACTTCTCACGTAACGACGATGAAGGTATGATCATCGAGTTGACAGAGGGTAAAAATGGGCTTCACCGAAATGTTTACGAGCCTGAGCAGGAATTGAATCGCAACAGATGGATAGAGTCTCCTAGAGTGTAGCTGTTGCAAATGAATCTCAACTCGCATTGTCAGATACTCATTCATTCATTGTACTTGCCATACTTACAGTTGTAAATGACGTACTAGTTAGCGCCTATTTGATAATGCTAGGACTATCGTTAAGTGCTAAAGAGAAGCTTACACACTTCGTAGGTTGATATCATGATAGCACAACTGGGTGCAACTTTTATGAGTCTAGGTATCAAACCGGTGTACAGGGCACCAATACCCTCGCTTTTTCGAATCTCGTTTAAGTACTTGAACATGTTATTCGAAGGTTTTAACGATTTTGAATCACTCATTGAAAAGCGGATTTGCATTCGCGTTTTGCCCACGTCGAATGGATGGGTCAGAAGTGCTGCTATAGTGCCACCAAAACTGCCACCTATAAAGCTGTTGATAAACTGGTTCCAGTTGTTACTGGATGATTTTGCCACAAATGTATCCGAGTTCTTTTTGTAAAATTCGTAGCAGCCCCAGTAGACAGCACTGAAGGGCACGTCTCGCCAAAGCGTGATCTCCAAGCCCCTAAAAAACGCCCGGTATCCGATTCTTGAGAATTCAAGTCTACCCTCTTTTATCAGATCTTTGATCATCATGGCCGCAGTGCTGCTGGGATTCGACCGTGGAATACTTTGAAGACGAGTCCGCAGCAGTTCCAATGGGGCCACACTGGTAGCCGCTAAAACTCGAGCGACAGCCCCACACATGAGTGGATTGAGTGTTGGGTAGCTCTCTTGCAATTGCGTTTTATCTCGCAGCGTTTCGTAGCCTATGAAATATACCATGTTTGCTGGGGCAGCCATCAACAAAGTTATGGATATGCCTCGCCACAAGCTTGTAATGCCCTCCGTTTTGGCGATTTTCCCAAAAGCATCCCAGGTGCTGTTGTATCGTACTGGACCGGTTTTACAGCTCACATCTTGGAAGCACGCATCTTGCCAAAAAAGGCCCTTTGCGGGCTCGATTTTCGCCAAAGAAGTCCCCTCAACATCACAAACACAATCGAATAGCATTTGCTGCTGTTGCAGTCGTATTCTAACCACATCCATGGGAGTTAAAATTAGTGATGTTAACAGCGACCCTGTCACTGCACTCAAAAGCCTTTCCCGCACGCCAATCGTAGGTGTTCTTTCATTACTCATTATAAATTTAATAGCCACTATTTAACTAATAGGGCACTAACTAATGAATCGAAACCCGTCGATTCGCTGGATCGGTTACCGATACCTTGGACTAAATAGTTGCTTGGCCATCTCTAATCGTCCTCGTAATGTCATTTAAAAAATTAACATATGGGTGTCAGCCTGGTAGACAGTGACATGAGACATCAAGTTCACCAAGTCAGTGAAAGGGCATTTAAGAGGCTTTCAATAGGCGTTCAGGAGGTAGTTTTGTTCTTGTGCTTTTCATTGTTTGGACTCTGAGCGTGGAGTATTGCCAAGCTAACGTCTTTTCGCGGGAAAATTTAGAGGTATTTCCGGCGTCAGGTCGTATAGCTTGCGAACTAAGCTGTCCAAACGTTTGGCCTGGAGATGAAGAATCTCGTCGGCAGTGTTGAACGAAAAAGGGTTGTGGTCTTGATGCTGTGAGAGTGCTAGATCAAACTCCTGTTCCTCCCAATCGGCTTCTAGTTCGACGCCATAACAGTCCGATCGCCAGTGCTCGCCTGACGCGATGAATGTTGGCACATTCTCGATCCATTTGTTGACCTTCTCTTGGTGAGGCATGTTGGTGGCTGCCCGGGGGTTGAAATAGGACGGGAAAGTTTGGAAACTAAATTGCTCGAAATCGTCAAAAATGTGGTTCATTTCGTTGGTCGATGTCTCTTGAGGCCTTGCATTCAATGGAGAGACATTGGCAGCATCGGAAGATTTGCCGACAAAAGCATTGGCAGAATTGAGCTGACCGAACCCGTTGGAATAATTCATAAGTGTGTACTGAACGACGGCCCCACTTGCGGGGACATATCCTCTGTTTGTGTATGCGGAGTTGCGCTGTGCTGCATTGCTATCAAACTGCGAGCTCGAGATAATGCCCTGCGTCTTGTCTGAACTTTCGACGCGCGAACAACTTGGTTCGTTAGCTTCGAATCGCTTCGATTTTTTGATCCTGAAACTCTCTCCTCTCTTCGGAGACCTCTCTAGCATAAGTTTTCCAGCAACGGGACTGGGAGAATACTCTATGTTCATTATACTGCCATTCGCAGCGAGCACTCTGGTGTTACCTTTATGATATGACTTTTGAGGTTTCATCAGCACTTAGACTTGCTTTCAGTGGTCAAGAGGCTGATAGTGCTTTTTATGCTTGCAACAGCTTGACCAGAGAGCTGGTTGTGATGAAGGAACGTCAACTTGTTCGCTCGTCTTTAACACAATCTTCTTTTCTTAAGTGGAAGGCTGTCGCTGACGGAAAAACGTCACATATAAAATCCAAAAATGAATAACATAAATACAAGACTAGGGCCGAAAAAAAGGATGGAATGTTTCATGAACAAAAAGCACCGCAGACTATCTATTTAGTCCTCTGCTTCTTCATTTTCATTTTGCCACTAGCATCTTTGATCCTTTTGCCTAGCTTCAAGTCCTTACCAGCTTTAATGTATTCAGTAGGAAAGAAGCTCGTCAATGTATTCTGTATACCCGTTTTCTTTCTATTGTTGACTTCCCTTATCAAAGGAATCATCACTTCATCTGTCTTCTCCTGAGGCCACCCAATAGTCATTTTGAAGAATTCTCGAAGCCTGTCTAAATCTGGCACACCCCAGGTAAATTTGGTAGCATCGTGGTCCACTTCAGGACGTAAATAAGCCTCTTTCACTAGATCACTAGGAAACTCTGCACCGAGAGTTACCTCATTTGTGGCAAGTTTCTTCCGCAGTTTTTTTTCATAGGACGATTCCTTCTCTTGGAGCTTTTTATCAAACTGACCCTCATTATACCAGTCTCGAAACCGAGTCAAGCTCTCAAATTCTGCCAGTACTTCCATTGCAGACACAGGACCAATACTTTTGACTCCCGCAGTATAATCGCTTCCGAGTAGTTGAGCCAGATCAATGAATTTTTCTCGGTCTAAACCAAGTTCTTTCAGTATCATATCGCCGTAGTAGTGCTCCACATAGTTCTTTTCTTGGAACATGTTTTTGTATACCTTGTCCCCTCCAAAGAGGAAAATATCGCTATCATCTGTGATAATACCATCAACAAGGTTGAGGATCAGCAGTTCTGCACATTGTGCTTCTGCTTCCATTGGTGCTGTCAAGTAGGGAATCCCAAATCTGGTCAAGAGATCTTGTACCTCTGCTACCATAGCGGCTGTGACCTCATCAGAGTCCCTTTTATCTCTCTTTTCTTGTCCCCTGAGTTCGTCATCAATGAAAGTGGCACTTATACTTGATGGATTTAACGCGGTCTTGAACATTTCGTAGTCTTGCTCCTCTTCCCGCAGTTGACTTACAAGTGCGTCCTCCTCTTCCTCTGAAAAATCATAGTCTACAACAGGAATGCATTCTGAAGTCTTTTCAGCCTCTTCTTGAGGCGAACTTGGACTAGGCGATTCAACCACTACTTTTTCCGTAGGATGAATCTCTTTGAGGTCGTCGCTATCGGAGAGCTTTTCGTTTCTACCGCTTGCTGCTGATATGAGGTCAGCGGCCCGCGATCCAGTATACAATCCATAGGCCTCTTCCCCGTTTTGCTTGGGATCAGCAGTCCTGTCACTTGTCAAGAAAGACGTTCCCAGATGAGGATTGAAGTCCGAAGGGTTTGATGATTTAAACCACTCCGGTGTTGGTAGTTTAGGCTTTTCTGGAGGTTGATCACTCTCCCGAGCAGCGACTTCTTTTGATTCTACCGGTGAATCACTATTGGCCTCTGATATTTTGTCAAGAACATGTTGCAAGTTCTGTTCGGAGTTTGTTGGCAGTTCAGCAGGCTTGTAAACCACGGACTCAACCGAGTCTTGTGGTTTCGCCATCACTTTAAGAGCAGGCTGATTGTCTATTTCAGAAAGTTTTGTTGGCGTTGTTGATTCTTTCACATTAATAGAATGACTGTGTTCATTTTCTTCGACCTCTCGGTCTGAGCTTCTTAAGTCCACAAGTTCGTGCTTTGTCTCTCTGCCCGAATTTTTGTTCTTGAGCTCATTCATCAACTCAAGGTCCTTTTCAAAATCTGCGTATTCATTACCATCGTCACCGTCATCATTATCATCATCCCTCACACTGGCCGGAACAGCGTATGAGCTGCGTTTTTCGGCGTCATTCCATACAATCTCATCAGAAACGTGGACGACCCCGCTAGTTTTGTCTGATCGGGAGTCAGCATGCCGTTTGTCCAGAAACGATTGTCCACCACCCGATTGCGCTGTCGTACCCATTGCAGGAAGCAGAGAAGCCTTCACCGAGTAGTCTACCTCTTCTTTTTTTCCCTTGTCCTCCACATCAACGTCTTCCCAGTCCACATCGGCATCTTCGTCGTCGCCGTCATTATCATGGCCTTCAGAGGTCTTCGACTGGGGGCGTTCATCAAGCACAATTGCTTTGCTTATCTCGGAGCCATCATCTCCTGTCAAACTGAGAGCCCACCCATTTTCGGTGCGTATCAATTGATATTCCCTACCTTGCTGCCCTGCTACCCGCTTGCTGGGTCCACTGTCCGCCTTGGAAGCACCTCCGTCGTGTGTATTTGTAGCACTCATGAGCTTCTGGGTGAAGAAGTTCCGCCTTTTGACCATGTTGATCTGAAATCTCGAAAACTCCATACTGTCCGGAAAAAGGTTTTCCAGCTGTTCCTTTGAGTAACCCAATCTCAGTCTAGATTTAAGTCTTAGGGCGGAGAGAATCATATATTGTGTTGACTTCGGCAGTTCGTCAAATTCTTTGGATGCTGGGTTGATGGAATCGAGGTCCACACCGTCTAGCTCGTCAATGTTCTCCATAATTGTCTTGAAGTCGTCTGCATTGATTCTTGCGTCGTTTGAGTCGTATTTAAACCCTGGTATTTTGGGTAGCTCATATTCATCGTTAAGTTTGTGCACATGTGGCTGAGGCGTTCCAGCAGTACTCGCTTTGTGGCCATCACTTTGCATTTGACGTGCCAGAAGCTTGCGTGCCGTAATGGCTGCGTTATCCCTGCGACCCTGACGCCTTTCCTTACGCTGCTGGATTGTTCGTCTCTTCAAAGCTGGAGCTCCACCATCAAATACAAACACGGGTTTGATACCAAAGTAAAGCAGTTTGCAAATACGTCTAAAGAAACCAACAATGTGCGAGTATCTCATGGCGTTCCCCTCCTTGTCCCTAACAGCTTTCAGGAATTGGTAGATCCAAATCGACGCATCGACAGCCAAACGTTTGTTGCTCAGTGACTCCAGTCTAACTGGCTTAGCTGTAGGTCCGACTATATCCCATAGCGCATGAACACCCATCTCAATTTGTAATTATAGATTGAACAGCTGTGCTTCTTGTTGGCAGTCGTCATGTTGGCATCGAAACTTCGGATGAGCTCAATTTCGCTCTGTAGTGAGACAACTTTAAATTGAGTACTCGAGTACCGCAACTTTCGATGTCAGGATATATCTGAATGACAAGAGGCCCTAATCTCTGCGCTCTTTCGGCATTTTAAACTTGATAGATTATTAGATGACGGATTTGACACTTGTGGAGCTTTGGAGAATCACCATGGTCATTTGCTGTATTGGTGTCTGTCTCTGAGCAAGAAATTCCTACGATTGATATCTCACTAAAAAAGTCAAAAAATTGTTCCGACTGGGGGTCGAACCCAGGACCTTAACCGTGTGAAGGTTACGTGATAACCACTACACTATCGGAACTCAATTGTTGATAGTTGTGAAATTGGGTAACATATAAGCGTAAAGAGGACTCATAGCAGATGTCATGATCACTGCTGAGACAATGCTCATGCTAACATCAAAAACTCACTGACCGAGTATATTATACTCATGAGCTGAATACGTTATAGAAGATTAGTTCCTTCTCCAGCAATTGTGAGACTTAATATTGTAACATACAAAACTGGAGATTTTCAAACGATCACGTTCCATTTAGACACAATGATAAATAAAAAAAATGCGAAGCGAGAGAAGAGCGGCAAAGCCTTTAGACTGTCTAATTTGATCAAGGCTTTTTGCTCAATTATCCCAAATTGATTTCCTTACGCTTGGCTACAGTTCATATCACCATGTACGGCTGTGTCATCGAATCCCATGTGGAAGACCAACATGATGAACGTTTAGTTGCCAGTTCTGAGATAGTTTTTCTCCTGTATAATGATATCAGCATAGGTCACATCAACAATCTTGCACGCATTGCGACAACGTTTGAATTTTGTTTGGTTTCAAGTTGATGCCGATTCGAGAAATATCGCCGTGCGGGTTTCCGACACCTTTTGGTATAGCCAAATTAACGACATTTCTGCCCGTTTCAGAATGTATCAGCAATAAAAGACATTAAGATTGTGCGTTTATCGACCTACTTGAGCGCCAGCGTCCCAATATCAACCAGTAGGAGAAAAATGAAACGTAAACTCCCACCTTTAAGCCCAGTCGACACATTTTGTATTTTAATGACAGTACAAAAAGCGGTAACCGTGCCACAATCCCCAAGTACTGTATCCAATTTCTTGAGCCAGTAGGTCTGTCAGCAGGAGGCGGAGGACCGGCCTGCGGGGAAACCGGCTGTATGGTCGACCGCGGGGTATGGTGTACCCTTTTGCTCTTGAGAGGACTTTCGTAAGCAGCCATAGCGAACGGAGGTATTTGAATCTTTGAGCTTGGACTGTCGACTGGATGTGTGGCCTCGAAAGTTGGACTAGAAACGTTTTTTCTTGTAGGAAAAAAAGGTCTCCGAGAGATGATGGATTGTTTGGTTCCGGCATCTAATCCTTCGGGTGCCGCTGGATCTGTCTGCTCTAATCGTTCAGCAATGAATTCTGCGTCTTTTAGAAACGTTTTCTGCTGGTCAATCACATACTTCTCAAAGTGTTCAAAAGCGTCTTTGCAGTATTGATACCATATGCACCATATCAGCATTGCGAACTGAGACCGCGAGAATACTATGGCCATGAAAGAAGAATAAACCGACCAAGGCGTGCATATTGAAAGATCGTAAGTGGCTAGTTTCAGAGTCAAGGTATGAGCTAGCAACAAGCCTGACGTCAATAAGATAGGTGAAAGCAGGAGAACAATGAGACTGGCTCTTTGAAGACGGAGACCAAACGTTTCGTGACGTTTGAAAAGTGCGACGACATCCGGGAATGGCAATGCATCGCTGGACTGATATAAATCCTCACCCATCAAAGGATACGAAGCATACTGCATTGCAGTAGCGTAGAACCTCCATGGGGCCTTGATCAAAATCGGCATGGTTTTAATTAGCAACCAGATTTCCGTGATTTGAAGTACCAAATTATCCAATTGCGAAAGAGTAAAACCAGAAAGCTCAGCATTGACGATCATAGCGCAGGTTCCGGTGAATGAATAGTTTCTGCTTTCCAGCGTAACGGACTGAGCAAGTAAAAAGTAGAGGGTTTTGATAACGATGGGACTTAGTAGACAAATTGGAAGATAAGCTATGGGTTCAATTGAGCTTGATTTTGTCGCACTTTCCCGTTGTCCTAATTCACCGTCATTATGGGTATCACGATCAATATGGACAGCACTGGCCTCAACAGCCGAAAAGCTGCCTGGAATACGAACCGAAGTAGGTGAGCTATACTTTCTTAAACTCTCCTTGATGCCCAAACAGGCTTTTTGGCTTTTTGCGATAGAATGCGCAGCGTTTTCGAGCACGTCTCGGATACTCGGGGAATTATTCGGAGAAAGAATTTCAGCTCCATCTTCGGAAGGCCCGCGCGCATAACTATTGTTTCCTCGGTACCAGACGTGTCTGCCGCAGTTAAAATTATTGGTTGGTTTCTCAGGATTGGTGTTGTCTCTGGCACCACTCATTTGCCTTCGTGGAAGATCTGAGGCTTTCTCGTGAGCCAGCTCAAACGATTGGCCTTCGTACAGCAACAGGGAATCCTTAATGCCATGATATTGGTTGTCACGCTGAGTAAATAGAGAATCGCTTTTTTTGCTTGAGTGTCGTGTTCTCAGACCGTGTTCAAAACTTCCCGGCATGCCGGAATAGTTTTCATCGCCCGCCATTGAACTGTTTATGGACAAATGATCATCGTTCTTAATGTAATTCATTGCACGAAATGTAGGCAATTAATCAATTGTTGGAAAGGTATCAGTAACGATTCTTTTTGACAGAATTATGTCCCTGTCGTTGGTATTCTGAAGGTTGACGACTTTTGTGTAAATTCTTGAGGAACGAGGCGAAAAGCTGGAGAACGTATAATATCTCGTACCACAAATATCCACCGAAGGATAAGAGTTCGAAGATAGGCGTTTCGAGTTCTTTTCCAAATGTTTTGACCTCGTGTGGCTGATCGTAGTTATTATAATTTTGTGGTCCTTACAAGCCGCCGAAACTAACCAGGTTCACAAACCAAACGGGAGAAGTAATTGAGATAAGGGAAAAATGGCGTTTTAAAGGAAACCGCCAGATATTTGAAGGGATTAACAATGGGTTTATGTGAATCGTCGAATGCATAAGGAATATGCTAAGTATCCGTCTCTGATCTCATCTTCCATATTTATTGACATCACAGTCACTAGTCACGTGTTTATTCTTTAATGTCAGTAACACATCTTCTGCGAAGCAACGTCGTCGGTCGGTCTGCCTTGAACTTTAGCAGTGATTGAGGTCGTTGAACATAGATGTGCTGATGTTGGATGCTCTTTCGAGTATATTATTGTGACATTGTGCTAGGATATAAAGCGTCAGCCTGTCGAGAAATTAGCCACTTTATAAAAACAGTCTCGGTGATAATTCTTATGATCTTTTACATCAGTGAATTATTCGAAATCAATGTCATTTCTCTAAGATAAAGGCCTAAAATCCAACTGTGTTCCTGATAATTCACAAGTTTTCAAAATGGAAAACGATTATAAATTGCCGTTGGCCGTTGAGGTAAGGACGAGAATCTCACTAATAAAGAACATCCTATAACCATTTCCAGCAATGAATGTCCCCTTAAAATCATTCAACCCTTGCTTTTCTTTCGTTGGCTCAAAGATGGCTGATCAGTTTTTGATTTGATTTTTATAAGAGTCATATCCCAAGTTGTATCGCGATTCTTGGCACACGCATGCATAACTCAGGTAGGTTCGAGGGAAAGGACCACCAAAGGTATGTTCAAACAGTGCTTGTAGGAAGGTGGATCTCGAGTGCGAACGTTTCCACAAATGTACTCGTCACGAGGGACTCGAGTACAAACATAATTTGAAATTGATGCCGGTGAGCTCTAAGCACCATCTACTCATGTTTCTTCAAAATACAAACTGTTTGACGTTGGCCCAAGAAGTACCCCCACACTCGTCAATTTTGTGTTTTGACAGTGGTTTAGCCATTTGAAACAGAATATCAGATAATTGAGGTGGTTACTCTGCTCCTACTCTGTCAATTTGGCATACAATGTCCAAGGTCATCCATAAGAGGCAGGTCGCCCTCAAACAGGGTCCTTACAGACCCTTTGTGAGTAGCGATATCTACAACAAAGTGTTTGCTGTAAACTTGAAAATCCCTGACTTTGCGTTAGCCGTGCTACTGGCGGTCTCTTTCATTCTTCGACAAATACGAAGCGGCGGCCTAAGCCAAGCACCCCGTCGCGCAGAACTTAAAATCACAGAGGCGGTAAACCACTACATCGATGGCGACTTTTATATTTCTTCTTTTCCTCCACCAATCATGCAACTATTGGCTTTCTCAGCAAAAATTACTGGAAATCTGTCCATCGAGCTACTGAGAAAAATCAACCTTGTAGTGGCAGCTGCCACTGTGTCGGCAGTTTACCTCATGCTGCGTCAATCTAGCATTACCTGCGCTATCTCGGTGGTAGCAGCAGCTGCTCTATCACGTTTACCGCTGTTTGTGGAAGAAAGTATCAGTTTCTCAGCCGAACTTCCACAGCTGCTGTTCTTAACGGGCAGTTTATTGAGTTGGAACATCTTCAAGCGCTGTAGGTTCAGTACGAAGGGCTGGTACCAGAGTTTGTTTCTATTGACTTTGTTCATAACGTTCAGCGTCGGAACCAAATTCCTAGGAATAGTCACCTGGGCTTGGTTTTTGCTGCTTTTGATCAGACAAGCATGGAATACAATCGGTGACGTGAATGTCAAAAACTGGGACGTCGCCAGAAGCAGCTCTTGGAAAGTTGCGACTGTCGGAATACTGCCCCCGATAACTCTACTTCTCTCGTACTTCGTTTTTCTGTCAAATTCTAGAGGACCTTCACTTGACCACTCGGGCTTGGTATCACCATACTTCGAAAATTGGTTCTTGCCGCAGCCAATGCCACAACCCGATGTGGTATATTATGGAAGCAAAATAGTTATCAGACATGCGCAATCGCTGGGTGGCTATCTTCATTCTCATAATTACACTTATCCCGGCGGATCTGGTGAGCAACAAGTGTCTCTTTTTCTGCATTCCAATGACGGCGACAATGAGTGGATCGTGGAGCCATATTCACAGGACTTGGAGTACGAAGGAAAGCTTGAGCCGGTGCGGAATTTCGCTTTGATAAAATTAAGACATAAATCCACGGGTAAACTCTTAAGAGCTTCTGCCGCGAAACCACCAATTAGTGAACAAGACCACGATCATGAGGTTTCATGCACGGGAGACGTTACATACAATGGAGACTCCGACGAGTCGTGGAGGATTAGGTTTGAAAGGGGCATGACTGTTCACGATGCATTTTTGTGCCCTTACACTGTCTATTTCAGTCTGGATAATCTGGGCCAGAGTTGCAAGCTTCTTAGCCATGACTTGAGGCTGCCTGATTGGGGATTTGGACAGCAAGAAGTACTCTGTGTGGATTCGGCGGACAAAGAGCGGTCACTATTTTTCGTGGATAGGTCCAATCTGTACAGAGAACGCGGAGCATATCTTCCGAGACCCAAGGATTGGATAGGTAAAACTCTGTGGAAGCTCACCAAAGAGTATGTTCAACGGCAGTACAAGTACAATTACTATTTGGAAAACAAGGATTTGATGAGCGATATTAAAATGGACAACTGGTTATGGTCAACAGCGGATGACACAAGCACAAGGTTCGTATGGTTCACGCCTTTAGCGTGTTTAGCCATCTACCTTGTTGTTGAAATGAGTGGGTGGGTGCGCTGGAATCCGTGGGCAAAGCCCGTCTCAAAAATAGACCCAGTCAAGTTCTTGTATTTGGACAATTGCGGTGATCTCACGGTTGGGTGGTTCATGCATTACTATATTTTTACGTGGTGCAAACATGAGAATCTTGCCCTTGCACAGTACCTGCCCGGTTACTTACTGACACTGATTCTTGCTGCATACACGGCCAATTTTTTCTGGCAGTTGAGCTCAGCCAGTCGTTTCCTTCTCATAGGATATGCTGCAACTGTTATTATCGCTGCTTACATGTGGCCCTGAGTTCTGAGAGTGGACCGTCTCCCAAAGTATTTTTCTCCGTCTTTCTTTCTACATTGTTTATAGTAAAATCAACGAGAGCTGCATCTTAGATGCCTGATTCTTTTTCAGGCTGCTGTTCAGGTCTACGAGCATCTGCGATACCGATTGTGAAATCTAATATCATTCCCTCGACCTTTCTAAGCAACTCTTCCTTCTGCTTTATAGCCTCGATTTTCTTGTCTTCCATTTTTACCAGTTGATGCTGCAATGCCTCTATCCTGTTCATCTGTTCTCCTGCAGAAACGTCCACGCCAGGCAATGAGTCTATGAGTTTAGTTATTTGTCTCGTTTTCAAGATCAGATCTGTAGACAGTTCGTCAATGGTATTTTCAAACTCCTCTTTGGGTGCAATTGTGGCTTGAGGATCTGCCATTTTATCTTCGCCATTGCCAGACGCTTCGAAATCGTGATTCTTGTCAATATAGTTAAGTGTTGCACAGAATTGTTCCGTCATTTGATCCAGACATATTTGTAGTTGCGTGAGTCTGTCAGTCATCGTCAAAGGTGTCGCTGTTACTAGCGATGCCAGGTTCCTCGATCGTCAATCGTCAATCGCTTTAGTCTTCTCTTAAAATTGATGTAGTTCATAGATGTGAAATTTATATATATAATATATAATCATATCAACGGTTGAACTTATTTATATATACAAATCTTAAAATTACGGCTGTGAATAGATATTCGTTTTCGATCGAGAGAGCTCAATGCCTGACGAGCAGAAATATGCCAAGCTTTTAGAGCTTTTGGCACATTACGACTATTTGTTGGAACAACTAGAAGTCACCTTCAGTGACGGTTTCCAGCATTTAAGTAGAGCTAACTTTCACAATAAAGATTCTATAAGAGGGCGATATGGCAGTGACTACTGGGACGAGCACTTCAAGGGCTCTCAATTCATATCTTGTAGAAATTCCAACTTTGCTGCGATGGAGCCAGAGAGAGCATTGCAATATTTAGCACAATTTGAGTCAGACTTGGAAGACGAGCAGGAGGAAGACCAGCTGGGTAAGGACCGAAAAGAAAGCTCCTTAACAAATCGTAAGGAAGGAAAAAAATCTAAATCTAAACCTACCACGACCTTATACGACCCGATTCTTATGTTCGGCGGAGTTCTGTCGATTCCCACGTCTCTAAGACAGTGTCAGAGCAGTTTTAAGGGTAGTATAGGACTATTAATTGAACTGGTCAACTGTCGAAGAAATATCGAGCAACTCGGATCAGAACTCAAATCGTGAGATATGGAGCGTAAGGGCTGTATATATACGTATATATTTGACCTGGAACACACCGGGAAGTGAATGACTAAGGTGAATGCAGAGTAACTTTGATGAGACAAAGATTTCAATACCGTAATATTGAGGGAGGAGGAGGGTCTATGCTGAACGAGAGAAAAGCTTTTGTTGGCCCCTTGAAAGACACAAAAGATGAGGTGGAACTGCCTCCTCCTAGTTGAAAAACCGAATGGAATGCCGAGAATGCAGTATGTGTGCCGCCCAGGACGACTAATGAATGCCTGTGAATGAACTACGCGACGAAGGTCCCACTTTTTTCGTCCCACGATGCGCGAACATTGGCCCGACCGGAACCAGGACTGAACGAGAATTCGGTGGGGCAATATCTTTGAGAGCTTGTCTCGCTAGGCTGATGATAACAGAGCAGAACATCGTCCACTGACCTCCTTGTCTTGGGGGTATCCAGGAACGAGCCGTTTTGCTCGCACACCGGCGAGACCAAAAGCTGAGAATCAGATTTTCTTCTTGGGTGCCCAGCTCCGCTTGGCATGGGGGACTTGGTTTGAAGCATAGTCTCCAACAAAGCACCACTATCCTCAGGCGACTCCCACGTAAACTTATCATACTGATCATTGGCCATCTCTGGGGTTTTAATCTCGACCAGGGACACGTCTTCCAGAACGGTGGGGAAGCTGTAGTTCTTCAAAAATTCCACGGAAACGCTGCTTGCGTCAGATTTGTTATATTTGTGCCTCAAATGAACCTTCTCCAGCTGATTGAGTTTCTTTAAAGACCTGTACGAATCGTCGTTAAGTGAAGTAGCCATAGTTGACGTAGAGACTATTCTTGCAGTTGTGTTGGAATACTGCGAAGAAGAATTGGATGATGCCCTGCGTAGCGAGGAGGGTTTTGAGCTGTAAGATTTTTTTCCACCTAGTGCGGATGGAAGCGGCTCTGAACTTTCAGTGACAAAGGCCTTGTTGAGAGCAATTGGGGAAATGGGAGCTTCGTAGGGCAGCTCGTCGCCCTCGAATACATTCTTGAGATCAGCATGAGAAATGTGCTGGAAATTGAAAGGAACAGAGATTTTGGTATTTGGTGTGCCCGAGCGGGGCTCTCTGCCCTTGAAAAACCTCAAAAGTCTTCCCGTGGTTTTTTTGGCCTTGGACGAGTTGCTAGTTGCGGACTCAGAGACTCCTTGCAAAGGTTTCCTTGCGCGGCTGGGCTTGTATGCTGCGGGCATCAAAGGTGGCAACTCGATGCGTTCTTTATTGTTCAGAACGGGTCTATCGCTATTGATGAGCATCATGTCAACCTGGTCCTCGCCGTCCGAGTCCATCAAATGTTGAACTTGTAGCCCATACAATTTCTCTGCTTCTTGGTCTTCGTCGATCCAGATCGATCGCATCTGCGGCAGATTCATCTGGAGAGCCATTTTACGCGTCCTGCTATTGTTCGAATGGTTTCTAGTTTAGCTTCAAATCACAATCCTTTGATCACTTGAGCTTGCAATCGTCGAACTATATGTTGACTTCTTCGTCTTGTCTTTCAAACGCGCTAGCAAGCAGAATGACGCTGTCTCCAAGCGTTCAGTAATCTGTCCGTTGTATGAGGTATCGTTGTGTGCCTTTAGACAAAGCTCAAAAGCGTCTTTTATAGCGAGTATACCAGAGTTTGATGCCAGTTTCGAGAAATTATATCGCTTCCATTTCGAGTAAGATCACGAAAACTGCATACATAGGTTCTCTGCTGAAAAAATGAAAAGCGACAAAACGCCCAATGCAGACGAGCAACGCGTTTCGTAAACGCTTCCCTTAAAAATGATAGCGACTGTTGCGGCCCTCCAAATGACCGAGATGCGCTAGTTTTCGACGGTCTTGCTCCAAACGGTTTCAGGGCCTGAATTGTTCAGAAAAAATACGCGGTCTTCGAAACGCGCCGTATCGTCATCCAGTGCTGTGATGGACTCGTCGATGGTTAGCAGGTTGAAAGAGCGCTCTACGAGGTCGGAAAACTCAAATACCTGAGAATCCACATTGCGCAGCGTGGCGTTACTATCATCATTATGGGGGGATTGAGGGGTTTGCAGCTGCAATGGCGGGTGCAGCGGGTACAGGGGCTGCAGCGGTAGTGTGTCTTGAGCACAAACAGCAACGCGAGTACTATCATCGACAAGTACAGTCCCCTGTGACTGAGCCAGCTCAAAAACAGTGGGTAGTCCTGTGTGCGTGGGTGATAGGCCTTGCAACTCACTGCAGTAGGCGAGCTCGTCCCGCAGCAACAGCCTGCGAGGCGGTGGCTTTCTGCCTACCGGCAACGGCGTCGTGTCATGGTCCTGCGCTGGGGTGACAAAAGGATTTCTGAAGGGTTGGCCTACCCCTGCAGGAGGTGGAACCGGAGAAGTCGCCACATGTGATTCTAGTGACGTGCACTCGCGCTCCATGCTCGACAAAACGCGTGCGAGCCTGTAAATTGCCAGATCCGTCTCACCCTTTGCATAATCAGACCCAGCTTGCTCTATCAGACTGATGACGGACTTGTTCGTCGCTGGCGCGTAATCCTTGTTTTTCGTTCGCTTCTTGTGTCCCAAAGATGTGCGATACCGCGAGAGTTTGGACACTCTCTTTCCGAACCGACGAACGCTTTCAAATGTCATCTAATTGTAAACAAAACTGGGTAGAAGTTCGGTCCAAGGCTCCTGGATAGCTCAACAATCTCAACCAGGCGTCCCAAACAGAAGAGAACACTAAACTGAACAGATTTGGCTCGTTTTGTTCACTCCTGTGGGAATAAAAGCGGTGAACAAGGTTCCAAGTCATTTAGCCGCCCATCCCCCCCATTTAAATACAGATCTGACATATGGTCACTCTATACGCAATATCGCCACTGCTATTCTACACATCTACACACACCATTAGCTCTCGGACCGAGCCATCTTGTTGGGTTGATTGTCATCGGACGATTCAGAAACTCTGCGTTTGACTATTTTGATGAGTTTTCCAGGGTCTATGTCACTTTCATTGACGATGTCAGAGTCGGACCCGCCACCGATAACGACCGTTTGCTTGTGGCTCTTGGTCCGCAGTCTTCCATTCAAAAGCACGAGTGCTGGAAGGTCCGTCATCGCTTTCATACACTTATCGCTCTGGAGGCCCATTATTTTTATGAGACATGTAACGCCCAGCACGTTTCGGCACTCGACCGGTTTCGTGGCACCGCTGCTGATGACGATGCCGCGGGATCGCGAGCTGCGAACCACGCTTTTTACATTTTGGATGAATTGTCTTCTGGTCTGCATATCTCTCAACGCATGGGCGTAAACGATCTCAAGCTTCACTCCCCTAGCCACGCAGCTGCAGATGCTTTTATGTTTCAAAAACGCCGGTAGCCGCTGTTTGTACTGGAACGTTAGCAGATCAACGTCTAATGAGGACGTCGCCAGTGTCAGTGCTTTTTCACTGATGGGTAAGGCCGCTACAATGTCGAAAGCTTGTGATATCTTGGAGAGAGACTGGCCCTTGGACGGGTCGTCGATGATCAGTGTGATTCTTGAATATAGTTTAAGACCTGTGGCTTGTATCAAACTGCCAAAGTATTCCTGAATTCGAATTGGATTCAGCTCCTTGAGCGACGTGGGAAACTTCTCGGTATGGTTTATTGAAAAGTTAAGTGCAACATGTGTGTATCCCAAAGTATGCAGGGTTTCCAGAATCCTTGTCACATCCTGGATCTGTTTTTCGCTGACAGTCTCTTGAAAGTTAGTTTGCGGCCAGGGCACGTTGAGATCGACAAGCATTCTGGCTGGTCTTTCGTTTGACTAGCTGATCGTTAGCGCTCAGGAATTTTCAGTTGTCAATATAAACTAGCTTATCTCGCACTCACAGCATCATGCACGAAGAACACGAAGGACCTGAACAACACACTGACGTTGCTGGTAAAGAGACGTGGAAGGCCTCAAATTTGACTTTGTAGCTCAGTTTTGATTTATCTACACACTTCTCGAGCTCACGGTAGCTTTTTTTTGGATCTTGAATCGGACAAGAAACAACATTTTGACAAAATAATGACTTAACGAATCCGATTTGGCTTCCGACGGTGAATTGTTCTCGCGTTAGCTTCGTGGGGCTCCAAAGAGAGCTCATATGAAATGTAAAAAACTGTCGGAGTCATTGCCCATGAGTATACAAAAACTAGTTAAAAATAATACAGACTGTCAGCTTCACCGTTGCCGCAAAACAGGGCGACCGACAAAGTTACATAGCTGTTAACGTTCAATCGTTTTTTGGTTGTTCAGCGGTCGCGGTTGTCTCAACCACGACATTGGTTAAAGCACCTTTATTCTCACGATTATCGGTGCCGTCCTCCAAAAAGTCCAAAGCCAAAACTTGGTCGATGGCTTCGTTCAAATTGTCCTCGGTAAAAGAACCGCCAAGGACAGGTACCTGCTGACCTCGCGGGAACATCCATTCCCTCCACTGAGTTCGCGTGTTATCACACAGGTCATACAGAATCATTTTTAGTAGTGTGATGTGGTTGTAAAACCATGACACAGACCGATTAATGAAAATGCGGTAGTTTTCCATTTCTTTAACGGCGTGCATCATTGTGTAACCAGCAAAACCTCTCTTCTCTCTTGACTTGTCTCTCCAGAACTCGAACAGAGCAAACAATGCTTTCCGTCTTTGCCACGTTCTCTTGGACTCGCGCAGTTTGAGCCCGAGACCCACTAGCCTATTTTCCCACCGGAATTCCATTGTGAAATACTCAAGACTGTTCACATATCTTTCAGTCAAGACGCTTTTACTCAACAGACGACAGGCAAAGTCCGTTTCCCGCTCAATATCAGGCTTCAAGAAATACGCGTTGATCCTATCCTGTCTTGTGAGTTCAGCGTAGTCTGACTGACTTAGATTCAGGCGTATCAAATCATCCTCCTTAGATTTGAACTTGAACTCCAGATAGTTTCCCGTCGTGATAGGTAGTTCTGGATCAGACTTTCGGTAGAAAAACCCGTCGCGACATATTAGTTCGACGGGAGAGGCCAACAACAAGGCTGTAGAGTTGTCTCCACTGCTGCTACTGTTGGCAGGACGTCCTCTGTTGTCTTTCTTTTCCGGTAGCATTGGAATTATAGACCGGAAATCGCGGCCCTCCTCTGATCTCTCTCTTTTATTTGGGAACTCGGGCGAAAAGCCATCTTCAAAAAGTTCTGGCATTCTCCGTTTGTTCCCTGATGACTCCCCTTCGTCTTCATTGAGCATCGAAAGAATACCCACTTTCCTTGGAAGAGGTGGAACGGGCGTGGCGTAATCTGAAGATGCAGCAATTGAGGCCAATGTTGGAGTGGCAGTGGCTTCCTGCGTCGATTCCGAAGGAGGAGTTCCAGGACCTCCTTCTTCCGTAGCACTCCGTTGCGCCTCTGTGCCATGGTTTCCAGCAGCAAAATCATCAGATCCCTGAGTCAAAGGTGCAAACTGAGAAAGCCGCCTACCGCCCACGCCCGAGGCTGCATTTGGCGAAAGTGAGTTGTTGCCTGTAGTATTGTTTGGAGTAGGTCCGCCGGAGTGATTGTGAGAGTCGTAATTGAAAGCAGTCATTCTCTTACGTCTTTCTTCTTCGCGCATAGCTCGCAAAAGTTCTTTATTCGACTCCATGAACACTTTGGCCTTGTTGCGGTCACTATACTTCATGGAAACAAGCATTTGCTCGCGGGCGTCACGACGACGTTCCAGCTCCTGTTGCATTTTGATTTGAGCCGATGTGAGAGGTGTTCCTTTGTCCGAAGATTTTGAGCTAGGACGACCTCTACCACGGTTTGTTTTCTGGCCGTAGTAAGAGTCGTCTACCTGCACAGCAGAGTTTTCGCCCAAAGAGCGGGCAAGGAAATCGTCGTCTTCGAGTTTGGGCTCTTCCGATGCGCGATATTCCTCGTCGTCATCTTCTTCGTCCACCTCTTCGTCATCTTCATCCGCTTTGGCTTGTTCGCCATCTGATCCGCCAGTGGCAGATTGAGCTTCTCCTTCCTGCCCTCGCGCTGTGGCTCCTTGTTTTCTCTCAGCCCAGTGGTGTTTCCGCTTTGGAGGTCTACCAGGGCCTCTCTTTTTGGGAGCAGGTAGGCCTTGATTCGAGGACGTGGATGAAGAGCTGTTTTGGGCCTGCTGCTGCTGCCGCAAGGAGCGGACGTGGCCGGAGACTCCAGCTTCGGCGTCGAGCGACGTATCTGGGTCTTGAAACATACGCCGGCTGCGGGGCAGTCCCACGTTGCTGTCGGGTAGTGATTCTCTGCTGGTCATGGAGAGTGCGGCGGCGACTGAGGCCAGGCCGTTGCGGGTCTTGGGGGGTCTTCCTGGGCCGCGATGGATGCTCTGGGGCACGTTTGCGGCTGCCAGGGCGTTTGATTTCACGGCTTTGTCGATTGACTGCGATACGCCGTGGAGCTTGTTGAGCAGGGCGTTGACGCTGGAGTCGGTGTTGACCTGGTTTCTGAGCAAATCCTCAAGCTTGTTCTCAAGAACCTGCTGGTTGTGCGCGAGGTTACGGGTCGACGCGGCGAGGTTGCCTAGAAGTTCGTTGAGACCCTCGTCCGTTGTGCAAGCCGAGTTTTCTACTTGCTGGAGCTTGCTGTTGAGCAGAGCAATGGCGTCCGATTGGTGAGCCAGCTGCGATTGGAATTGGTCGACGGGTGGTGGCGTCACGCGCGAGTTGTCTGCAACGGTGAGTTGTGCCGGTTGTGTCGTTTGTGTGGCCTGTGTGGGTTCGTTGGCCGTGCTGGAGTTGGTGGTGTTGAAGGTTCTGTTGGATGTAGTTGTTGTTGTTTTTGATGTTTCCAAATCCAAATTTAAGTTATCACGTGGCACTACAAGTTCCGTTCCGTTCAAAGCGACGTTATCTCTTTCTCCGTCTTCAGTGATATCGTTTTGTACGAATATGGGTATGCGGTCTTGGTCGTCTCTGGCGTCGTTAATGATATTGTTCGCAACGCCTGGGAATTTAGTAGCGACGCTGGTGGTGGTGTTGGCGTTGGCGTTTTCGTCCTTTTCGTTGTCGTTTTCGTGCAGGCTAGTATACTGGTGAGTATTGTCAAGGTTGTTGTTGTTGTTGTTGTTGTTGTCGTTGCTGCTGTCGTTGACGTTGACGTTGTCGTTGGTATTGATATTGGTATTAATGATGCTGTCGTTGTTGTGGTCGTTCGCCAGCTCAGAAAAGACGTCACTCGCGTCTAATGTCGGTCCCAATTGAAAACCCGTGGACGCAGTATCAGGCATCGTTCTCTTTCTGGCGCACACCAAATTTTGATTCCAATAATTATAATAATTCCAAAAATTATTAGAAAATCACAGGAATAGAAATACGGCGAATATCCAGGCTCTTGTCAGTGGTGTTCGGAACGCGTGAGAGGGCGTGCAGCACTAATACAATATCGACAGTGTAAATGGTATGGCTTTGGCTGTGCAATTCCTATGTGGTGCGGAATCACCTTTCTCAGTTTCTGTCTGTCGCTGTCTTTTTGTCAGTTTATATATATATATATATACAATAGCTGTATGTGCTGCGTCTAGTAGGCATTTTGATGGAAAATTTGATCTGGTGCCGTGTGGAGTGAGGCTTGGGGAGTTTGGTGGTTGGTGGTTTTAGACATTGTACTATGGAAAGAGAGAGAGCAGGGCAAGGCATAATGGCAGTGACAGGAGCTGCTTTAGAAGATGAGAGGTGGTTGTGGGCATCAGTAAGTTAAATATGTGGCGTACTTTCGCCGTTGTAAAAAGACTGTTCCATCAGTTTTGTCGTCACGTGATCTAGCGCCAGATAATGGGTAAACTTCTTAATGAGGGTATATTTTGCAGGTTTGCGGTGTTATTCCTACAACCTCAAATTTGTGTGATGATTGCATCAGCATCAGCAGCAGCGGCAGCACTCTAATTCTTTTCGTGTTTGTACCTCTCTGTTGCTGTATTTCATCATCTGTTGCTGTATTTCATCACCGTCAGTGCTCACGGCCAACGCGCATGGTATACGACTAGGGTCTCTGCATGCCTCTGCACAATGGCAGATCTCCAGCTTCAGCCCAAACCATGACAATGCCCTCTCTACTGCACTCAAAGCTTGTTTTTTCAGGCGTCTTTTTACGGTCTATAACATTGCATCTCACTTGGTTTGCTTGGTTTGCTTTTCTCTATCGCTCTATCTATTGCAGTCTCATATCACCATGCTTGTCGCGGTACCTGTTCAGTTCTAACCTCAATTTCACCAAATCCACAAGGGTCTGATTGATCTTACAGTGTTCAGGTCCCAAATTCAATTCCTTACACAACTTCACAATGTACCCATTGAGGTACTCCACTTCGGTTTCCCGCAAATTGACCGTGTCTTGTCTCATCGACGAACTGTTGCCTCCGGCCTTGTCGCAGGCCACCCAAATAATGAAATCTCTCAACTTAACAGGATCCAATACTCTTGACAGATCGATATCTGGATAATCCTCACTCTCAGGCTTGTAGTCAAACAAAGGCTTGTATGCAGCTTTCAAAACCGCAAGAGATTCGGCAATGATCGCGTCGAAGGTTGGGGCAGCCACGTCTATCAATTCACCATTTATGCAGTCCAAGATCGAAGTAACAGAATTCATGCAAGTATTCACCATATATTTTTCCAGCTGACCCAGCAGCATCTCCTGGTAAGTCATATGCACCACATTTAGCCCTTTCGTGAAGTCCGGCTGAGTGAAAAGTTCCAGCAGCGAGTTGCTTTCTTTGTCATTTCCAATGAATTTATTAGACTGGACAATGCTGTCCGAGTCCGCGCCGGGCAGTCTTGAGATCTTGAGATCACCAAAACCAGCGTGCGTGAATGAGAATCCAGTGGTTTGGTAAACCCCATGTGAAATAACACCTTGGAACAAATTGGGTCTGAAGTCGACGAAAACTTCGTCCTTCAACACCTCAAGAACACCCAACCCGTTTTGCACTAGCATCACATTGGTTTGCGGATGGATATACTTCATGTATGGTGCTAGAGCATCTTTCGTTTGATACGTCTTGGTAGTGATGATCAGATTGTCGATCTTGCCGTCTTTAGGAAACAACTCTGGACATGTTGCTCCATTGTAGACGTTTTCACGGATCGAAACTCCTTCGTCATAAGTACACTTCACACTCACTTTTCTTTCTGAGTCGCCAAAATCTTGTAACCGTTTCTCAGATCTGAACAGTGGGACAACAGAGACGCGAGCATTTTGCTGGAGCTGGGATGCCAGAAGCACGCCAATGGATCCAAAACCCAATACAAAAACCTTTTGTTGTGCTTGCGTCATAGCGGAAGGAATAGTTCGATGGTGACAGAAATGTTTTACAGGCTCTCTTCAAACAGAAGTCTATGGTTTTATTCTCGACATCAAAGTAAGCGCGATGAGTCATTAGCGCCTTGCAGAGCTTATAATTATCATTCTACACGCGTCTATCATACCAGGCATCGAGAGATTAGTTATAAAACAAGAAACGCCGTGAACCCTGCCTCTGACCTTTATCGATTGTGAGCTCCATAGATTGTGAGCTCTACTTATCTTTCATAGCTTTTCATTCAACTTATATGGAAATTCCACATTACACTGGCGATATCATGACACTCAGCTGCTGTGGAGTAATGGTCATGACACTTGGCAGCTGTGGCAAACTTTTGTTCTAGTTGCAGATTTGAAGATTCCTCAAACCGCTTCATTACTTCTGAGCTCTATCTCACACGACTGGCTTTTCAGTTTTATACGAGTCCATATATCACTTATTTCCATGCTGACATCAATAATGTGTCTTCTGCAAGCACATCAAGAACAACGCAACGTAACATCGTGAAGTAGAAATCTTGAGTATTTTCAAGCTGCAATTGACCTTCAAGCTTGATTAAGTGTATCGTTTGCTACAAACAATTCTATATAATTTTGAGATAGTCTTAAAATTCACCCTTAACGACCTGTCCCGATTTTAGGTCTCTGGCCGCGACTCTTAGAACACCATCATCATTTAGGTTAAAAGATAGCTCCAAACCGTTGGCTCCCTTCACACCTAGCTCAATGAGCTTTGTACCCAAAGTGAAGAGCTTTTCTCTGACAACCTCAGGCTCGTCGTCCTCGTCAGACCAGTCACTTTCGTCGTCTTGCTCGTCCTTAGCAGCAGGTTCTACAACGGTTTCCTTGATGTGGTGGTCACCCTCGTAAAGACCGATCAAAAAATCGCCCTTGGCGTTCTTTAGGGTAACGGTTTTCTTGGCTGGGAAAGAGGTCTCGGCCAAGAACACTGGCACAAAGTTGCCTTCAGCGTCCACAAGACCAATGGCCTTCTTCAAATGCTGAGTGTTGATAACAACGGGCTCCAAAGCCTGTGCCAACTCGTCAGCATCGTAGTTTGATAGGAGTTGAGCTTGAAGAGCAGCACCGCAGGCCAAAAGTTCGTTTGGATTGTTGCTGGCTTCTTTGCTTTGTGGACCCAAGATGGCCACCGATTCTGGAAGCATAAACTCCAAATTAGAGCTCAACTTAGGAGTGTAAGACGAACCACCGCAGAGGACAACGGCGTTGATATCTAGAGGATCTAGCTCGGCTTTTTGGATGACACCTTCGATGAATTGAGTGAATTTGCTAATGACCTTGTTGGCGACGAGTTCATATCTTAGTCTGTTAATGGATGTGTGGTAATCGAAACCGTCAGCCAAAGAATCGATCGAGATGGTGGCAGTGGTGACGTTTGACAGAGTCTTTTTTGTTAGTTCTGCGTTAGCCCTTAGTTTAGCCATGGATTTGGCGTTTTTTCTTGGGTTAGACTTGTTCTTCTTTTCGAAGTCCTTGGCGTAGAACTCCACTAGTTCCGCGTCTAGATTCTCACCACCTAGGTTAGAGTCGTGGGCAGTTGCCAATAGGGTGTAAATGCCGTTACGCACGGCGATCACAGCGCTGTCGGATCTCACACCACCAAAATCGGCCACAACCACGTTGCAGTCCTCTTTGAAAGGGAAGGCCTCGGTGTGTGCCAACAAGGCGGCAGAAGGCTCGTTAATGAGCTGGATGACTTGCAACCCCACTTTCTTAGCAGCAGCACGCAAGGCATCTTTTTGAGCGTCTGTGAAGTTGGTTGGGACACTGATGACAGTTTCAGACAACTGCTCACCGATGTAGTCTTCGGCAGCCAGTTTCAATTTGTTTAGATGTCTGGAAACGACCTCGTCGACCTCTAAACGCTCTTGTCTACCGTCGCCTCTGGTAATCACGAAACCAGCTTTACCGTTGACCTCCACGAGTGGAGCACCCGCAGTACATCTGGAGGCGTCGCATTCAGCGAATGGCAGGCCCAAAAAGTCACGGAAGTTGATGATGGTATTTTTGGAGTTTCTAACAAGCTGCTGAAGCGCTTGGCCACCGTGGTATTCGTCTTCGCCAACGTACGACAGCACCGATGGGATGGTACGCTCACCGTCAGGGTTTGCAATCACATCAACGTCGTTTTTTGGGTTGACATAGGCGATCGAAGAGGTAGTGTTACCAAATGCAATACCAACAATAGGAGACATCGTTAGAGAGTGCTTAAAATGTGAGTTGCTGGTAGCGTAGGATTGTCTTAGTCTTATCCTTCAGATGTAGCGTAGTTTTGGAGCTCGATGACATGGAAAATTTTCAGTAGAAAAGCTTTAATAATTTCGTGTTTCGCGATTTAAGAAAGTATTCATGGATTTTTCAAAAACGTACTCATGAAATAATAATAATAATATCTTCCTATAGATCATAAAATACAAGAATCGATGTCCTTCATTTGCTTAGCTTAAAAGAGCTTTTTTTCTGTAAACAGTGGGAATCTCTAGTCTTTGAGGCAGTCTCATCTTGGATCTCTTTTGGAGTCGCTTTTCGATTCTTTTCTTGAGCTTCTTCTCCATCGGTGTCACCTACTATACGGTAGGGCTTAAATACCTTTAAGCTCTGAGATCAAATTCCAACGAGTTTCCGCCATTTTGAAAATAGTCAACTGCTTCCAGCTTTGGCTCTCGATTACATAGATGTCCCACTCAGGCGCGGCAGTCTTCAAAAAAGTTTCTGGTATCTTGACGATCAATGAGGATGCGTCACCTGCAGAGCTCTTATGGCGTTCCACTGATGGAGATAAGGCACACAAAGTGGTGCTTAATACTATCGATAAACTGCAAGCGACACCTGCCTCTAGCGAGAAGATGATGCTGCGGCTCATAGGCAAAATAGACGAGTCGAAAAAACGGAAAGATAGCGAAGGAAACGAAATTAAACCCAGCGCGCCCAGCCATGTGTTCTCTTTCAATAACCGAACAGTGATGGACAACATCAAGGACACGCTTCAGCTTATTATCGCGCGCTACAAAGATGAAGAGGTGTTCGAAGAGAAGAAAAGGAAAGAATCCAGCATGGCGCCGGCATCTTCTGATTCACAACCATTGATCAATACTTCTAGTCTGGACGACTCTTTGTCCCGCGAAAAACTGCTGACGAACCTCAAACTGCAGCAATCACTGCTGAGAGAGAATAAAACTCTGATGAGGACGTTCCAGGAGGCAGTTATCAATGCTGGCCTCCCACCAGACGAGTTTTGGTCCACAAGAGTTCCCTTACTTCGTGCTTTTGCCCTCACAACATCTCAAAGGACAGGTCCCTATAATGTGCTTTCCACGATCAAACCAGTGGCCTCTTCTGATAACAAAGTGAATGTGAGCGTCTCACGCGAGAAAATCCTGACAATCTTTCAGACATACCCCATTGTTAAAAAGGCTTACGACGACAGCGTTCCCAAAAATTTCAAAGAGCAGGAGTTCTGGGCGAGGTTTTTCTCTTCAAAACTTTTCCGAAAGCTTCGCGGGGAAAGGATAATGCAAAGTAATCGTGGTGACTTGATTATCGATCGTTATTTAACGCTAGATCAAGAATTTGATAGGAAAGATGACATATTACTCCAGCACCCTGTCAAAAAGCTTTTGGATCTGGAAGGTAATGACCAGGACGATCCAGAACGCCGAGGCAACAACCCTGACTTTACAATGATGCCTGGAGTTGATCCCAATGGTAATAGTGACGGTGTCGTTGACATCCTGAAAGGTATGAATCGTCTGAGCCAAAAGATGATTAAATCCCTGGAAAACGAGTATTCAAGAGTAAACCTTCTCGCCGAAGATGTGGACAAAGAAGAGAGAGAAGAACTTATGTTCAGCGATCTTGAAGAAGCTGAAGAAGCGACCTACTTGGAGATAAAAGTCAAGCAAAGAAAGGCAGTGGACAAGGACTCGCTTCCGAGTGTAAATGGAACGGCAGGGTCCGCAGTGGGTAGAAATGAGATACAGCACCAAGTTGAGACTGTTTTAGATAGACTGACAAAATCCATCGACCTGACAGAAGTCAGTAAGGATGGTAAAAATATCAACAATGAGGTGAATCAAAACGTAATACGAGCGGTTAAGATAAATTCCAAACAAGCGAAAAATACCAATATGAGCGCAGTGCTGGGCGCTACGACAGGCCTAACTTCTGTGGGTGATGCACCCGAAGTTAAATCACAGCTGCCGCCGGATTTGCTGGAGAGCTGTCGAGTGCTTCATAGTACGTGCTGCGAGTTTTTGAAGCATTTTTACATACACTTTCAAAGTGGTGAGCCGCGACAAGCTGCGGCTGTGAAGAAGCTTTACAATTACTTGAAGCAATGTTTGGACAAAATTACATTACTTTTAAGCCAGGTGGAGAAAGACGAAAATGCGGAGCGGGACGGTTTAGTAGGACATTGCAAAGCCTATTTGAAATCTGTTTTGGATGCTTTGAATCTGGCAATAGGGAAGTACGAAGGTGCAGTTGCTGATGCGGAAAATGCAAAGTCCAGAAAAGTTGCATAGGCAATTCTCGACCACTTTTTGCTGATGTTAATGCTACGTAATTCATGTAGAAAGGTATTTATTTACATAATACAACTGAAAAATAATGCATTCTGAAAAGTTGAATGAGGCAATTCACTAATCACTGTTCTTCTCTGTCCATGTTTTCTCTGGATTTCGTTCTGTGGTTTCTGCCCTTGCCCCTCGCAGCCTTTTCTTTAGACCTTCTGTTCAGCTCCATTACTACTTCACCGTTTGCCTTGTCCACTGTGTCACGCAAAGCGAGAATGGCGCCCTTGTCAACACTTTCCTTCGGAAGTTTGCGGCCCAAGACATCTTCTATTCTTAGGATTAGTTCCAAGTCGTACTGAGAAACCAAAGAAATGGACTTTCCTGAACGTCCTGCTCTGGCCGTTCTACCCACACGGTGGATATATGACTTCGAATCCACAGGTATGTCGTAGTTAATCACAATGTCCACGGATGGAATGTCCAGACCTCTTGCGGCCACATCGGTAGCCACCAGGATAGCTCTCCTACCTGCCTTGAACAGGTCAAGCGCACCTGTCCTTTGGTTCTGGTTCAAGTCTCCGTGCAACGCAGTAGCGCTGAACTCAAGTAAATTACACAATGTGGATATTCTTTCAGCATTTGCCTTGGTTCGGGTAAAAACAATGACAGTCTTACCGAGGAACTCGTTCAGCAGATATATTAGGAAGGTGTTTTTGAGCCCGCCTGGAACAACCATTAGAGTTTGAATTAACGTTTCAACTGTTTGATATTTGGTAGAGACAGCACACTTGACGGGGTTCGTCAGACTGGCTCTTTGCAACTTATCGATTTTCGATGTCATTGTAGCGGAGAACAAATATGTCGTTCTTCCTTGACTGGGGATCACCTTCAAAATCCGATCGAGGACAGGTCCGAACTCCATATCCAACAACCTATCGGCTTCATCCATGACCAAATACCGCAGTTTACGCAGAGAAAAGCCTTTGGTATTCTCAAGATGGTCCATAAGTCTACCTGGAGTAGCGATAATAACGTGCGGTTTGCGCATAAGATCACGGGCTTGATCAATCATGTTCATACCACCGACAATGCATACTGATCTGACCCCCATAGCACCACCTAGAGAGTCGAACGTTTCCTTAATTTGTTGTGCCAGTTCTCTGGTAGGCGCCATCACACACGCATAATAAGGTTGCTGATCGTGCCACAGCTGATTCAAAATTGGGATTGCAAACGCTGCAGTTTTTCCCGAACCTGTCTGTGCCAGTCCAATGATATCTTTACCCTGTAGAGCTGGTGGGATAGCTGCTGCTTGAATTGGTGTGGGCTTGGTGAATTTTAAAGTAGCACATGCTTCTAGAAGCTCTGGGACTAGTTTTAGTTCTCCAAAACTTTCGAATTCAACCTCCTCCTCTTTTTCCTCAACTTCCTTTTCTTCGCTAGCCTCTACTTCTTCTTCACTTTCGTCTGCTTCATCAGCTTTACCGTCGCTGTCTTTAGTCGATGTGTCACTGGCGGACAGACGCTCCAACGCACGCTGACGTATTTTTTCCGCGAGACTAGTTAGCTCAGACTTTGAGCTTTGTTTCTTGACCACTTTGTTCGCCATTCTCACTATTATCTAAACCAAATGCCCGTATTTTTGCCTGTGCAATGGCGAGCTTCTTTGACTTTGAACTATGTATATGGTGCTTGAAGCTCATCGCTTACCAGAAATTTTTCAGATTTCTCTGCTCAAGATGATGAGCGGGCTATTTGATGAGTAGGAAATCGAAGAGAGGATTAGGTAGATAATCGGTTAGAAGACGCTAGTTCATTGCCAGTCGTTGCCAGAAGACGGTATCGGGAAGACGGCGAAAAGTGCTGCAATAGGACGACAAAAAATTGAGATAATCATGCTTTGGCGACAGACCAATCGATTGAAATTACATTGTTGCAGACATCTTAGATCACCCAAGAGAGCACGAATTTAACTACAATTAAATCGTGTTTGGACTTCTTAATGGTTGCAAAGAACACGCGATCACCCATTTGAGACTTAATGCTAGTCAGAAGCTAAGATAATTATAGTCTATCAAGTCGCCTCTACCTTGGTCAAAAGCTAAGGTGATAACAATTTACCAAATCGCCTTATTCTATTTCACAAAATAGAAAGTATATCCGGAGTAAAGGTCAAATGAGCAATATATTGTCAGTTTAGTATTACAATGAGCCTGAATATACGTAAGGCCCCAGCACAGAAGGTTCGCTTCCACCACTTTATCTAGTCGTCCCTCTACTCAGACCTACAGTCAAGACTGACACTCAAGTTCGTTCGTCTTTCCTGAAAAAATATGGTGAAAAATTAAAGTCATCGATCTCATCGCATCGCATCGCATCGCTTTGTTGAAAGACTAGTTTAGATAAAGCATAGCCCAGGGCATCAGCATCATTCATAATGGCCAAACGTAGACAGAAAACTAGAACGCATGTCAAACCAGATTTTGAAGAATCCAAAAAGATCCCAAAGTCCATGGTCATCCGTGTGGGACAAACTTCCATGTCCAACCATTCTTTGAACCAGTTGGTCAAGGATTTCCGTCAAATCATGCAACCACATACAGCTATCAAGTTGAAAGAGCGCAAGTCCAACAAACTTAAGGATTTCGTGGTGATGTGCGGTCCGCTGGGCGTTTCGCACCTGTTCATGTTCACGCAAAGCGAGAAAACCGGGAACGTCTCGCTGAAAATGGCTAGAACTCCTCATGGACCCACAATCACATACCAGGTTTTGGATTACTCACTGGGAAGAGACATAAAAAAGTTTATGAAGAGGCCTCGCACTTTGGGAAAAGAAGACGTTATGAACCCTCCACTACTCGTACTTAACGGTTTTGGTATCAAGCCTCCTGCCGATGAAAATAGTAAAGGCGACAATCAAGATAAATCTAGTGATGCGCTAGAACGCGCAAACGTCGAAAAAGTCGTCATTTCCATGTTCCAGAACATATTTCCACCTTTAAATCCAGCCAGAACTCAGCTAAGCTCGATCAGCAGAGTTTTCATGATCAACAAAGATCCTGTAACGGAAGAGATCAGTATGCGCCACTATGCAGTCGACGTGAGAGAAGTCGACATCTCTAGAAACATCAAACGTCTGTATCGGGCCAAAAACAAGCTAAACAAACCTGTGCCCAATCTTCATAAAAAAGACGACATCGCATCGCTCATTTTGGACCATGATGTCGGAGCATACACTTCAGAAAGTGAAGTCGAAGACGATTCCATCGTTAAAGTCATGGACAGAGGCCAAGCTCCTGTCAAGTCAAACGCCGTATCTTCTGATGCTGCCAGCACAACAAACAATGGCGAACAAAATGCTGAACAATCCATGCCGCGCAAAAAGGCCATTAAACTGACTGAAGTTGGTCCTAGGCTCACCTTAAAACTCGTCAAGATCGAAGAAGACATATGTTCTGGTAAGGTGTTGCATCATAGCTATGTCAAAAAGACCGACTCCGAGATAAGAAGTCTGGAAAAGAGACACGCACAACGTATGAAGCTCAAGGAAGAAAGACGCAAAGAACAGGAGGCTAATCTGGCAAGGAAGAACGAAGTCAAAGATGCTAAAAAGCAGCGTAAACTGGAGAGAAGGAAGCTAAGGGAGCAACTAGAAAAGGGAGAGGCTGGTGAAGTTGATCAAGCTACGCAGGACGCCCTTGAATCATCGGGTAGCGATGGTGAAGGCTATAGTGATATTCCCGAGGATCTGGACAGCGATCTCTATAGTGACGTGGAAATGAGCTAAAGACTGATTTCGATAGGTGAACGACAAGGAAGGGTATTAAATACTCGCGCAAGACTGAATACTAACTCATTTCAAAATGGGCACTCGGCTGCGGGCTCGACGCGACTCGGCTGTTAACGCTCGCTTAACATCAAATATATCCCTTCTTATTAATAAACACCTTTATACGTTGATAAAATCAAATTACTGCGTCATGCAGCGGGCAAAAGTTTTTACTGCTACCGTTTGCAGACGTAGCCTTAACTTTCTGGCTTTTCTTTCTGAACCAGCTCTTAATGCAATCATAGTGGAAAACACACAAGCACTCCAACCTCCCGACTTTATCGCCTGCTTTCATTTCCTCGAAGCATATAGGACACTCTGGATACTCGCCTTCGGCTGTAGACGGTACTTCGGGCTTATTTGGAACGACATAGACCAGCATTCTATTCTGTATGACCGGATTTTTCATCGAAGTTGAGTTTCCAGGGTTTTGGTGAGAGTGATGCTGATGGTGTTGTTTTGTCATTTCCGCAACACGCACACAATTTTGTATATGACTCACCGACTGCGCTTCTGTGAGTTTGGCCAGATCGCAGTTACAGATGGGACACCGGTCGACATCCAAGTCTACATCGTGACTGGCCTCCCCTGCTGTCACTTTTTTGTTCACCTCATTATTTTGGAATGGCGACGCCGACGACGAGGTGGGAGCACTTAAAGTACGGTCAATGTTGGGTTCTATCAGAACGGAGTTGGCGCTAGGCCTCGCGTTTGATCTATCCATCGCAGCCTGCGAGGACCAATTTCTGTCTCCCCATTTAGTGACCACCAGCTGCATTTGTATCAAGTTTTCGCAGCACGAAGTGCAAGTTCTGTGTGGGGGGAATTCTGCTGATTCAGGGTCATCTTGACGACGCACCACTTTGACCCTGCGTCGATTGTACCATAGAAACTTGTCGCTGCAATTTGCACAGAAGATGCCTCCACAGCATCTGCAGTGGTGTTTTCGCACCAAAAATGTGAATTTCGTCTGGCAATGCAGACAGTTTTGTATCAAGTCATCGGCTTGCCACTCCGCAAAGGAATTAACAAACTCGGGACCGGACATTCTATGTACGTGATATAGTGTGGATCTTGATCAACTGTCGCACTAGTACCAAGTTTTGGTTTCAGAAAATTGAGGCTACCAGTTTCAGCTGATTTTACAAGGCCTTTCCAGCAGCCCTACCTTGGTGAGTGAGGAATCTCTAAAACAACTTGTAGTTTCAAATCTCATCTCTATTCTAAAAAATATCGCCAATAAATATATATTCTTGTAGGGCTTATAAGGCATTAATCTGTGTATCACGTGATTTAATCAACATTGAAGTTCGATTCGTGAGTCGTACTCTTCAATTGTTCACGGCGAAGTGATTGTCGGGAAGGAGCGATTGTGACTAGAGCTCACCACTAGTTTCAATGTAGTGACGTTCCTTGAGTTTTGTTGATAAATCAACAATTTATTAAATTTCTACAAGCCGAAAGGTAATAATAAATTAAATAGTTTTTATAGAAAGTAATGATGGCGGATAGTCGTGGATCGCCGAGCATCGATCGAAAGTCTGTGTTCATTTGTATTATATACGTTTTGAGTCCATAACGAGCTTGTTGAGTGGTGTGCTGTGAGTCCGTGACATTATAGTACAGAGTGATATCAGTTATTTCGCGATGATTGTGGTAGACAAAGAAACATGCCTCAATTCTAAGCACAGCACCGGAAGGTCTTTCAATCAGAGAATGGTAAACCCATGATAAGAGGATAGTTTATCAGTTTACAAAATTTATTCAAACGTTGACAGTTTTTGCAGTGTAATGGCATGATCTGATCTCTCAACAGTGAAGTTCGCGTAATTTAAACATTAAAAGCATTGGAATAGAGCTCAAAAAGAAACACATCACCGGCGACATTTACAGCAAAAGCAATAAGACCTAAAAGCTCATCGTATAACATCGAAGGTTTCAACTAATAGGTAATAAGCAACTAATAATTCTCAGTCAACAGAACTTCTGGTTTTATAGTGTAGTGGTTATCACTTTCGGTTTTGATCCGAACAACCCCGGTTCGAATCCGGGTAAGACCTAGTTTTTTGATATAGTCAAAATGCTTCAGTCACAGTCCCACCCAATACACCTTCTTCATTTTTAGCTGGCGTGATAGTCAACACCATGGTGCTATCCTGCCAGAGGCAAATTGCATTGCATTTAACGAATATCATTCTCGCTATTGTAAAAAGCTACAAATCTTTCTTATTCATTCAATATCCGAACATTCCGTCGTCTTCGTCATCCCATCCAGCACTGAAAAACCATGAGAACACGACTATGCTGAGGTAAATGATCACACCTCCCAACGTGCTCATGATGCAACTGTAGTGGTTGATCAACTGGCAATGGTAGAAAACTGTGGGCAAAGCGAGCCCGCTTGTCACGAGTAGACCTGTAAAAAAGTGACCGACATCTTCAACACCGCCATTGGCTTCACTCATAAAATCACTCGAATCGAAATTATGCTTGCTGAATAGCGCATTTGGCAGTGGAGCTAGTAAAAATAGAAGAACTTCAAAGCTCGTACGTTAGTAACATTAGAAAATCGTGGATGAGCTCCAACTTGTTGGGGGACCTCTGAGTTCCCAATGTACATACTGTCAAAAAGAGGGTAGTAGTTGTGAAATAGGGCACAGCTTAAAATCACCAACAAAAAGCCGAGAGCCAGGAATCCTGACAAGGATATGATTCTAGTTAGAGGAGAAACGGTGAGTCCCATTGTGTGGCCTTTGCTCGCTGATGTGGGTATACCTGATCACTACGTTTCTGTTAGTTGTGATGTGGACTAACTCAATATACAAATATTCGATATGCGTTGTAATTCAAGAATAGGTCACGTGAAAACATGTTCCTAGTAACAAAACAACAGATCAGGCAGTCCGCCAAACCTTCTTTTTGAGCCATTATGTAACGATAACTGCGGTTTAATCGAGATGCGATCGGCTGGAAGAAACCACTCGCATGATATTGTGATATCTATATACAAGCTTATACAAGTAGGTTTTTCGTACTATAATGCTCAACTGGAGCAGGAACAATTTGTTTGTAGGTAATGTTTTTCAAACACCGTACGAGGTTCTCGTGTGGACGTAAAGGGAATGATGGCAACAAATTGCGGCCCATTCACTGATTATCCCGCTTACTGCTTAGGCTCACCACCTTCTGGGTTGGAGTTGCTGGAAGCATCGTTCTTGTACATCTGCTCGAACAACTTCATGGAGGCGGTTTGCAATTCTTCGGTCTTGGTCTTCAAGTCCTCAGCGTCAACTTCCTCACCGGCTTGCACTCTGGCGACAACTTCTCTTAGAGAGGTGATTTGGTCTTTGACCTTTTGAGCTTCAGCCTTGTCGACCTTGGCTTCAAATTCCTTCAAAGAAGATTCGGTGTCGTTGGCAAGCTGGTCGGCTCTGTTGGAAGATTCAATGGCCTTCTTTCTGGCTTCATCTTGTTCTCTGTATTTCTCGGCGTCGTTAACCATTTGCTCGATTTCAGAGTCAGAAAGACCGGAAGAACCAGCAACGGTGATCGAGGCGTCCTTGTTGGAGGCCTTGTCTCTGGCAGAGACGTTGATAATTCCATCAGCGTCTAGATCGAAGGAGACCTCGATTTGAGGAACACCCTTTGGAGCTGGTGGGATACCGGACAAAGTGAAGTTACCGATCAACTTGTTGTCTCTGACCAATTCTCTTTCACCTTGGAACACTCTGATTTCCACCGAGGTTTGACCAGCAGCAGCGGTAGAGAAGATTTGAGATTTCTTGGTTGGAATAGTGGTGTTTCTTGGGATCAATCTGGTGAAAACACCACCCAAAGTCTCGATACCCAAGGACAATGGGGTGACGTCTAGCAATAGAACATCGGTAACTTCACCGGCCAAAACGGCACCTTGAATGGCAGCACCGATGGCAACGGCTTCGTCTGGATTGACAGCCTTGGATGGATCCTTATTAAATAGAGACTTGACGGTCTCAACAACCTTTGGCATTCTGGACATACCACCGACTAGAATGACATCGGAAACGTCAGAAGTGCTCAAAGAGGCATCCTTCAAAGCCTTCTTGACAGGGTCGACGGTTCTCTTGACTAGAGGCTCGGTTAGAGATTCGAACTGAGCTCTGGTGAACTTCATGTTGATGTGCTTAGGGCCAGAGGCGTCGGCAGTGATGAAAGGAAGGTTGATTTCGGTAGAGACGGTAGAAGACAACTCGATCTTGGCCTTCTCGGCGGCTTCTCTGATTCTTTGGATGGCCATGCGGTCGTTTTCCAAGTTGATACCGCTCTCTTTCTTGAAGTTGGCCACGATTTCTCTTAGCAAGTAGATGTCGAAATCCTCACCACCCAAGTGGGTGTCACCGTTGGTGGACTTGACTTCAAAGACACCGTTGTCGATGTCCAAGATGGAGATATCGAAGGTACCACCACCCAAGTCGAAAACGGCGACGACCTTGGAGTCAGACTTCTCCAAACCGTACGCCAAAGCGGCGGCGGTAGGCTCGTTGACCACACGCAGCACGTTCAAACCCACGATCTGACCGGCGTCCTTGGTGGCCTGTCTCTGGGAGTCGTTGAAGTACGCAGGAACGGTGACGACGGCGTTCTTGACGTTCTTGCCGAGGTAAGCCTCGGCGGTTTCTTTCATCTTGTTGAGCACGAAACCTCCGATTTGCGAAGGCGAATAAGTCTCGCCTCTGGCCTCTAGCCACGCGTCACCGTTGGTGTGCTTAACAATCTTGTAAGGCACCTGCTTGATGTCTCTTTGCACTTCGACGTCCTCGAAACGACGGCCGATCAAACGCTTAGTGGCGAACAGAGTGTTTTCTGGGTTGACCACGGCCTGACGTTTGGCTGGGATACCGACCAAACGCTCACCGTCCTTGGTGAACGCCACCACAGAGGGGGTGGTTCTGGCACCTTCGGCGTTTTCGATGATCTTGGGCACTTTACCCTCCATGATGGCCACGGCAGAGTTGGTGGTACCCAAATCGATACCGATCACTTGGCCCTGAACCTTGTTGGAGTTCATACGCGCGAACTGGCGCAGCGGGTTCGCTGAGTTGCGAAAAACAGACTTGGCACTGAGCATTGGTAGTCTTATAAGAGCGATTAGCGACTTGTGTGAGTCCTAGTGGTGACCTAGCAAGAAGTGTTCAAGTTGTGAATTTAATGAGTCCTTTTTCTGCCTTATGCCCAAATGACTATAAAAAATTTTTGATATATATATACTGGAGCTGGGGAGGGTAACGCTGGAATGCTATGGAAAAGTCGAGAAGCCAGAGGAGCTGATGACAGAGCGAGGGAGAGTGGAGGGAGAATAGGGTCTTCAATATTGGACGGTATAGCCGCTGAGCGGCGAGGTAATGGTCGTGGAGAGTTTAAGTGTTTGTGGTGGGTCAAAGATATTAAATGGTGGTCTTGATGAAGTCACGTGACAGAAGAGTCAGGCTGGATAGAGATCCGAGGTTTATGGCATTGACGGTTTCATGTCAGCACGCTTTCTCAGCTTGAACCGGGCCTCAATATTTTGCTTCTTCGAGGTTTTATCGTTTTGCGAATGTAAATTATTTTCGCGCGGATGACGTTCGTTCTCAGTGGTCAACAATAGGGGGAGTGCGACAAAGGAGAGACAAAGGAGAGAAATAGATCCTTTTTCGAGCCGAATGCCCAAAACGCACTCTTTGGGCTTTCCACATCATACCTTCACCTATCAAGACCATCATCTCATTTCCTGCCATATTGTATATCACTTTTCACTTTCATCGTCATCTGACATCTGTCATCTGTCACCTTCATTTTCACGTGATGGAAAGCTGGAAAACAATTAAACGTTCAAAACCTCTTTGGCAGCTTCGGTTCGGCCGTTTTTCGAATGCTGCAGACCGATTTGGGCAGCTCAAATATCGAACTATCACGCAACAGCTCCGAGAATTCCGAATACACCGTGTTTCGTGTGAGATTTCTCAGCTTGCTCCTGGAAATGCCCTGAATCTCTACTCAATAAACAAGATCTCACAGCTGCGCCCATCTCGCGCTACCGCTCTCAACGACAAACAAGGGCACGGCCATAGATGACACAGACGCTGGGCTTTTCTCTCTTTGTCATCACAATATACGAGCTCGCCTCGAAGATCAATAAAACGGCCTCTCCCCTCTTCCTATAACTTTATCCCACCACTGCAACTCTCCACCAGAGCAAACAGGTACGATCCGATCGCATCGGTTGGTCTTTTTCCCGCACCTGCCAGACCCAAAGCAGCAAAGCTCTTGCTCACCAACTCGTTAAGCTTCAAACCCCCGCACATGAGAGTTTAAATCAACGAAGAGTAGCGCTTTCTCCAAAACGTTCCGAAAGCCACCCCCAAAGCGATTTGAGCTCGCGACAGAAGTTCCCAAGAGCGATGGTGTAGACTCAGCGAAAACTACGATCCCAAACGTCCGGGAGCTTCGTGCACCGGCAACGCCACCCGCTTTTGCCGCCGAGCTCGAAAACCCTGTGTGTGATGTGGATCACTACATACGAGAAGTTATCCACAATTGCCGCTTTTTCGACAAAATTGCCAGGTTTTAAGCCATTTCCCAGGCCAGAGCAGTACACACAACGTACATTTCCATCACTCTCACGATCTGGCTGAGGATTAGATCTCCAAAGACCGCTTTTCCCTCGTATGTTGTCAACGGCGCTGTCCCGGCCAATCATATCGCCGTATTTTCGCCAACTTAATTTTGACCGTGGTTACTGCTGGTTTTTCTCCCCACAACGTCATTCGTGAAAAGCTACAACATTTTGTCTGTTATTAGCTCAGGCAGTTTGGCGTGGAGCAGGGCCAATCGGAGGAAGGGCCGGAGCCGAGATTTATCACCAAGTTGTGTGTGGGAGCTTTAAGAAAGCTCGATATTTCCTGTTAGGACAAAACTTTTTGAAAACTGGTGTTTGCCATATATATACCGCAAGGAAATCCAAACACAGCGATAAACCCATAGTAATCCGAGTTCTGCCTGAAATCCTTCGAAATTCAATTTAAACAGGAATATTACTGAGATTCATACCGGCTTTAACATAAACAAACGTTAAATCGCAGTTCAGTGACTTTTTCAAGCAGCTGTGAGGGGGAAAAAAAGTTGGAAAAAAGCTGAACCTAGCATTCTCTAATCGAATTGTCTGTCTTTCGCACTTTTGATTCCTAGTTGAAATATCAAATTATCAATATCTACAGTACAACGGACAAGCATGTTTTCCAAATTCAACAAAGCTCGTTATACTGCGCTCAATGCTTCCCGCAGGCTGGCAAGGCACGCTTCTTCGACCAACAGCGTCGCTGGCGCTGCCACTGGCGGTTCGTCTTCTTTTAACATCAAAAAAGTGATCGAAAACAATGCGGACAACAAGCCCAACGTCGTGATCCTGGGCTCCGGCTGGGGTGCCATCTCTTTGCTCCAGAACATCGATTCCAAAAAATACAACGTCACCATGATCTCGCCTCGTAGCTATTTTTTGTTCACCCCGCTACTTCCATCAACTCCTGTCGGCACAGTGGATGAAAAATCGATCATCGAGCCAGTGGTCAACTTCGCCTTGAAGAAGAAGGGCAACGTTTCGTACTATGAAGCCAAGGCTACCTCGATAAACCCCGACAGAAACACAGTGACCATCCAGTCCGTCTCCACCGTTTCCCAGCTGGCACAGCCGGACAACCACTTGGGCCTCAACCAGCAAGATGAGGCTGAAATCAAGTACGACTACCTTGTAAGTGCAGTCGGTGCCGAGCCCAACACTTTCGGCATTCCTGGTGTGGAGACACACGGCAACTTCCTCAAGGAGATTCCACACTCGCTTGAAATCCGCAAGCGCTTTTTGTCGAACATCGAGAAAGCTAACCTGCTTCCTAAGGGCGATGCCGAGCGCAAACGTCTACTAACTATTGTGGTTGTCGGTGGTGGACCAACTGGTGTGGAAACCGCTGGTGAACTACAGGACTATATTGACCAAGATCTCAAGAGATTCATGCCTTCTGTTGCCGAGGAGGTCCAAATCCACCTTGTTGAAGCTTTGCCCGTTGTTCTAAACATGTTCGAGCGTAAGTTGACCTCTTACGCCCAGGACGTTCTTCAAAAGACCACAATCAAGGTTCATCTAAGAACTGCTGTCTCCAAAGTGGAAAAAGACCACTTGATCGCCAAAACTAAGGCCGAAGACGGTGCAGTCACTGAACAGACCATCCCTTACGGTACACTTATCTGGGCCACTGGTAACAAGCCTTTGAGCATTATTACCGACCTTTTCAAAAAGATTCCTCAACAGGTCGACTCGAGAAGAGGCCTGGCTGTCAACAATAACATGCTGGTCAAGGGTACCAACAATATATTTGCTGTTGGTGATAACGCATTTTCCGGGCTACCTCCAACTGCTCAAGTCGCCCATCAACAGGCCGAGTACTTGGCCAAGGTCTTCGACAGAATGTCCAAGACTCCTAACTTCCACGCCGACCTTGCAAAGAGAACGCAAAAGGTGGACTTGTTTTTCGAGGAGAACGGTGTAAAGCCATTTGACTATATTCATTACGGTGCCTTGGCTTACTTGGGGGCCGAAAAGGCCATTGCCAATATCACCTACGGTAAGCGCTCTTTCTACACAGGTGGTGGTGTTTTGACTTTCTACATTTGGAGAGTCCTGTACGCTATGATGATCTTGTCGGCGCGATCTAGATTCAAGGTTATCTCCGACTGGTTCAAGCTAGCCATTTTCAGAAGAGACTGCTTCAAAGAATTGTAATGGATTGATGGATAAATTCGTTGATTTACAGCAAGCGGGAGGATATCAAGGAAAGGCGTGCCGGGCTCAAGCGGCCTTGATTTTCTTTATATCACTAACATTCGAAGGTAAACATGTGAGGAAAGAGTCAAGTACATAACCTAACAGAATCTCACATATATCAGTATTTATAATTGACATCGTGTATTTAAAACGGCAATCAGAATTTTGAATCTGGGTCAAAATTGTCTGGCTCTGAAAGAGCGGTAAACGGACCTGAGCACGGTTGCTAGAAATAACCAGTTCTAATAAGACTCTTTTACGCATGCCGTAGCAGCGTTTCATTATGTTCGGACGCCTGTGATAAATGGCCTTTATGGAATAGCGTTCCAAGGAACACGATTCTTGCACTTCACTGAAAATGGACCCGTACCTTCTTTATGTTCTCCAAAACCAATTCCTGTGGACTTTCTGATTTATTCAGTACTATGAAGCACATCATATTGGGTGAAAGTTCGCTCACAAATATCGTGTTGTCAAGGACCAGCGTTTTGAAGGAACTCTTGAGCTTCATGCTACTTTGTTTAAAATTCTTCATTATATTGGAGATTTTCTCGAATCTTTTTGGGTCAAGCAGCTCGCCAGTGGCTGTGTTGCTTGAGCATATTACCAAGAACGTGGCTCGCTCAAACAAAATGATTTCTCTCGCATCCATTACCGCTTTCAACTTCTTCAGATTGGACTGGTATGTGGCCATATTCGGAATCAGAGAGCATATGATTTGCGACCATGCCTTGTATAAACTCTCGTCCCAAATTGAAGTCGAAAAGCCGACCAGATCAGGGAACCCGTAGGCCGCTGATGTTTCCTGTAGCTTGCTCATCATGATTTGGAAAAGCTCTTGTCTTTTGTCTCGCTGTACGAGGTCCATCTTGTGAAGCAGGACGAAAATCTTGGCGTCCGGAGAATATTTCTTCAGTTGATTCAGCGCCTTGGTGAATATCTCGATATCTTTGATCACCTCCTGGGATTCCACGTCAAAAACGTGAATAAGAACTTGTACCATTTGGAAAATGTGGTCTTTCTGCTGCGAGAAATAGTTCTCCATGAACACATCTTGTCCACCACAATCCCACAGATTTAGTGTCATGTTACCCAAAAATCTCAAATGCGAATGTTCTACGTCGATAGTCGCCCCTAACCGTCTGGTGTCGAAAGCTGAATAATTGCTGAAAATGATGGATCTCATCGAAGACTTACCAGAGCCCGAGCGACCCATAAGAAGAAGCTTCTTACGATTGTTATTTGAAGACATAGCTGATAAGTATTAGAAGTGATGAATGATCGGCTTTACCTGTCAAAATTAAGCGAATTCTACAGTGTAGCTAGCAGTAGAAATTTATACACAATTATTTAATTTCATATATAAAGAGCATTCATTTACTTCAGAAACTTGATGAATATATTGACAATCAAGAGAAAAGTGATCAGATCAGCCGGTTTTCTTAGAGCATCGAGGTCTTTGAGCGTTTGCATCACTGGTATTGGCAATCCTGAACCTCAGTTCGCTTTCAGCCGCCATAATGCTGGTCTTTTGATGCTTGACCTGTTGAAAAGCCAATTATTGTCATCAGATAAACCTTATTTACCATGCAACGCGAATCGAAAGGTCCAACGATGCCAATTGGGAGAAGTCATGCTGTTGCGTGTGGACGGCGACTATATCAACTTAAGCGGGAAAAGTGTGGTTCCCTTGTGGAACAAACTCGGAACTGGTATTCAACACATAGTGGTTCATGATGAGCTGAGTCTTGCTGTAGGTAAGGTCCAACTACGAAAGCCTGGAACTAGTGTACGGGGCCATAACGGTTTGAAGGACATCACCAAGCATTTCGGTGGAGATTTCTACCGACTCGCGGTCGGAATTGGTAGACCAGAACAGAGAGATCCAGATGTGGTTGCGAAATACGTGCTTTCGAAGTTTCCTCGCAATGAGATTGGCGTTATCGAAACAGAAAGTGTGCATAGTGCTATGCACCACTTGAAGAAGCTACTGAAAAACGATATCACAATACCTAAAAGGCCGTAAATCGAGCAATATGTATATGTATATCATTACTAGAGATTAATACAGTGTCGGAAAAGATAATTCCAGAACGCACATTCATCCTACTCGGAGAACTTATACGTAAGTGTACTACGAGACCTCGACACTTCTAGCACATCACCACACTTGTCTTGAACAATATGTTACTTAGTTTCGGCCTACTTTTCCATCACTGGTTTTATAGTGTAGTGGTTATCACTTTCGGTTTTGATCCGAACAACCCCGGTTCGAATCCGGGTAAGACCTTTTTTTGTAAAACACCTGAATTTGACGATTTTATAGAATCGCAGGCCTTCCTTTCTTCCCAGCATTCTCCTTCAAAGGCACGGGCTAAAGTCCTTTCGAGATCTCATTTTTTTATGTTATTGCCCGACCTGCGATGAGCTCTACTTTAATTTACCAATTTTACCAGAGTTTTTCCTATACGAGTGAGAAAAAAAAAGTTGAAATCAAATGATTGTCCTCTACGACGCTCAAATATACAACTGAACACGCTCAATTGAACCGTGATTTAGCTCCAAAAGCCTTCACTTCACTTGCTAGATATTTAAAGAGCATTAAGCTGTCTCATAACGTCGTCAAAATGGGGAAATTGACACAACTATTAACACATCCAGTGGAGCTTAAGGCTGCGTTGAAATTGAAATTTATCAGAAAGCCGCTTTTTTCGCTTGATGATACCAAAGCCAGTCCAGAACTGCAGAGATGCTACGAATTACTGGGCACCACGTCACGGTCTTTTGCTGCTGTTATCATGGAATTGCATCCCGAACTGCGCAACGCCATTATGCTCTTCTACCTCGTTTTGAGAGCGCTGGACACGGTGGAGGATGACATGACAATCGACCCAGAGGTAAAAGTCCCACTTTTACGCGAATTCGACTCGAAATTGGATCTCCAAGATTGGTCGTTCGATGGCAACGCACCCACTGAAAAGGACCGTTGCGTATTGGTGGAATTTCCTTGCATTTTGAAAGAGCTACACAAATTGAAACCCGAGTATCAGAAAGTAATCAAGAGCATCACCCACCAGATGGGCAATGGTATGGCATCGTACATCCTGGATGAAAATTTCAACCTAAACGGTGTCTCCACGATCAAAGACTACGACCTTTACTGCCACTATGTTGCAGGTCTTGTCGGTGACGGTCTAACGCAACTTATCGTACTTGCAAACTTTGGTACCAAAGATTTGTACGCCGAGTCAGCCCAGACTTACGAGAGCATGGGACTTTTCTTGCAAAAGACAAATATTATCAGAGACTATGCCGAAGACTTGGAGGACGGGCGCTCTTTTTGGCCCAAGGAGGTTTGGTCACTCTATGCTGACAAGCTGGTGGACTTTTCTAAACAGGAACATACTCAGTCGGGTGTTCACTGCATAAACCACTTGGTTCTCAATGCGCTCTCCCATGTCGAAGACGTGTTGCTATTTTTAAGTTCAGTGCATGAACAATCTTCTTTCCAATTCTGTGCCATCCCTCAAGTAATGGCTATCGCCACTCTGGCTTTGGTCTTCAACAACCCAGCTGTGTTGCACGAAAACGTCAAAATTAGAAAAGGAACAACCTGCTATCTCATTCTTAAATCAAGGACATTGCGCGGATGCGTCGAGATTTTCCAATACTACATGCGTGACATTAAGAAACGTCTACCCGTGGAGGACCCCAATTACCTCAAGATCAACATCAGAATTGGAGGAATAGAACAATACATCGAAGAGATGTACCAAGAGCAGCTGCCCGCTGGCGTCCCACCCAGAAAAACTGTCATCTACGAGAAAGTCAAAGAAAGATCTGTTTACGATGCCAAGATTGTTCCTAAAATGATGGATGAGGAGTATCAGTTCAACATGACCCTAACCATGGTCCTGACTGTGGCAGCGGCCATCATCTTTTACGTGAAATAGAGGTTTTGTCACCAATTCTGGGTTCCCTACACGAATTGAAGCCCATATTCCACAAACAAGCGAGTAGCGGATGTTTTCGGGCGTGTGCAGACAGGGACTCCAGCTCTGAAATTCAGATTTTGACATCGCTCTTCTTTTTTCGCCGCCCAAATACCATTTATTATTTTTAAATATTAGCAAATCGAGAGGCTAATGCTTCACCCATGCATGTTCTTTTTGGATAATTGAGTGCTACCTGCATATAACTTCTTCCACAATTCTGGTAGTGAGGCGTCTATAATTCTCTCTACGAAGACAAAAGAGATTTTTATACAATTTTCTCAAGATTACCACAAAGGATTGGAAGCTTTCCTATAAGATTTCTCACTGTCCCACAACGATGCCTGTTGGAGTGCCTGTTGGATGGCCTGCCAGATTATATTCACACATCACTTTATCCTGCCGTGTCACTTCTTTCAATATCTTAGATCATGAAAAACGGGAAATTTGAACATTATACCCCAGATTATGGTTTATCCAGATGCTGATAGTGAACATAATACTAGAAAACGTATAATGATGAAAGCTCTGCAACTACAGTCGAACGTTTACTAGTTTTTTCGATAATGCTAACGCGAGAACAAGTTGAGAACTTTGAGAAAGACGGCTTTTTGCTGATCCCCGGTATTCTGTCGCAAGAGAAATATCAGCAGCTTTTGACAAGGTCTCAGGAATACCTTCAAGACTTTGACCTCGCCAGCCACCCATTGACTCGTTTCACATAAAAGCGAAGTGAACATGTCGAAAAAATTACGATTTGCATATGCGTTCCATTTGATTGAGGACGACGCGGTATACGACAAATTGAACTGGCTTCAGTCTAGTATCAAGTCCCTTTTGTATTGAAGACGAGTTTTGGAGAGCATTAGGGCGATTTTGGTGTCATTTAGTGAGAGTCTGGGGGGTGATTTAGTAATTGAGCAGAGCCTTGGAGGGAGTAAAGGACATAGTGTGTGCTTGTGGGGGCGACCTTTTTGTGAAGATGTGACAGGCAGAAGGGGGGGTTGAAGCATGTTAATGTTTGGCAGCGCGACCGAATTTGAAAAATTCTGGTAAAAACATAAAATCCAAAGGTGCTCACAGGATTGTAGAAACAAAACAATTTGTGTGTAATGAAATGGAGAGATATTGTCTGCGTTTAGACAGTGCGAGAGGTCAAAAACGAATATGTGGTGTTGGTCGATAGGCAAGTAGTTTGTTAGGGACGCTGGTCGTAACTACAAGTGAGTGAGATGCTACAAAATCGTTGAGTCTCCTCACGTGAACGAATGACGTACTACTACAAAATGATAATGGTGAGATCAACGCCTGATGTAGATTCCCAGTGGACTGGGGATATCTTCGAGCGTAATTCAGTGGCTTGCCAGCGGAATGTTTCGTGAAAACTGTCTGTTTTGGATTTTTCGGTCCGTACTCTCCAAAACAAGTACATATCACAGATCGATCTTTCGACTATTCGAATGTTCCACATTGATGTCTTGATGTGGTCGGCGTATGAGAGTTTCCGCTACACCCACTGGCCCGTCCAAGCGAAGAGTTGTGTGGCAATGAAGCAAGGGTCGACTGGTCACGTGATATAAGAACTAGTGCTCTGCGGCACTGCTATCTATCAGTTTCCGAGCTCGACAGAGTCTGGATTTTACCAACTTACATGCTTTGCGTTCTGTTTGCTTATCTGGGTGACTCTCATGTGTATTCTGTCGCGCTGCGTACACTGGGTGCTCTCAACTGTTCACGAGTACACGACCCCGAGTACTTAATTTCCAGCGTCTCCACGAGTACACCCCGCGAACACATCGCTTTGCACACCCTCCAGTATTACGTGTATGTGATGAAAAGTTCATTATCTCCATTACAGAGGTTGTATCACCTCAGGATAGAAGAAGCCTTTTGATGGGATCGCCACGCTTTTCCAAAATTCTCTTCATTGAAGGAAACATTTGGTGAATATCTGTGTGTCACATCCATAAATAATTCATCTAGGCGACATTCGTTTCTGCCTCCGGTTAAACTAAAATGTAATTAATTACATTGTGTGATCCGGGAAATTTGGGAAACGTTTAAATTCTTAAATCATCGTGTAAGCAGTCTTCGCTAGGGTGTCTGATGCTGGGGGACCATGGAGACTAGTAACGCGAACGACTGGTTTGGTATAACATGTCGAAATCGGCCAAATTTAGAGACAACATAGCTCCAATGGAGCTCTAACTCAAGACCAAGTTCAAATATCTAATGGATATTGCCAACGCCAAAAGTTTAGCCCTCGCTTCCGGGAAAGAGAGGTATGCATGCTCTATAACGGGTGATGATAAGGTCGACGACATCATTGAGGACTTACCAAGACTCAAGAGCGCAGCTGAGGACCGCCGAATGGAGATCAAGAGGCTTGAATCACAGCGGCGATCCGACAACGGAGACAACTCGGCAATAATACCCTCCCACAGGTCGTGTAAGACCCGGAACTAGCCGAATTGAGAAGAAAAATATCGCAGTTATGGAGAGAAAGGTCGCGATTAAGATGAGAAAGGTCGCCACTGAGGAACGCAAGTTCGACAGCACGACAGACCCAGAGACAAAGAAGCTTTCACGTGACAGGTTGCGCTTTCTCCAAGAGAAGCACCCTGTCTGAAGCGTTGATGACCTGGTCAAACAGTAGGAAATAAATGCTTATCGTAGGGCGAATAGTCTTCGTCAAGAGTTGGAGTAGCTCTGAAACTCCGTTCTGTAAATTACACGATCTCTATCTTTCTAATGAACCCCGAATATCTTGCATTAGTTTTTCTTGAAGTTCGAGAGATAAGAACCATACCATTAGCCAACACGTACTATCAGAGGGACTGTTGGGTATTCCAGAGACTTTAGAGAACCCATGCTTCAGAAGAAGATTTTGTGTATTCGTGCTGGACTCTTGCGAATCTGAGAGCAAGTGAGCACACGAGTACACGAGTACAGCCCCCGAGTACACACACAATCACACTTTCAACCCTTGAGTACACTTGCGCACTCGCACACTCGCACACCCACACACCCACACACCCGAGTACTCCACCCACACACCCTCATCCTATACTTGTACTCGTACTCGCCCACCCATACCGCTCTTTTTGACATATATTTTTCACCCCCTCTTCCTCGAAAGCCAAGCGTCATTCTTCTATTGCCTGCCTCATTCACACACTCCACACTCCCAACGCTCACCACAAGTGTCAATCTCACCGTCTCTGACCAGCTCTCACATTGTGTCTGTCGTAGTAGGCCAAGTAGAATTCCATTCTTGAAGCGTGTCCACGGCCACGGCCACGGCCCACATCCACTCAATTAATCTGGATCGAAACCCGATCCCACGTGCCACGTGCTCTCTCTTTTTCTTTCCCTCTTTCTTTTTTCTTTTTGTCGCCCTTTCGGCCGCCGCTCATTTTTTCCCTGCGTCAATCCGCGCTTCCTTGCGTCAGCCCGCATCACAGAAAACACCGCACAAAGCCACACTCACACTCACACTCGCCTCTTACATAAGCAAATATACGCTTACTTTTTCAAGCAACGTGGGACCCTAATATAAATTATCCCATACTAACCATCGCGCACACTAATTATTACCCATACTAATTATTACCCATACCAATTATCATTACCCATACTAAATTGAGTCGGTATACGCTGAGGGCGCACGCTAAACACACATTCACACACACATAATTTGAAAGGCCCAATTTAGTCCTGGGCACACTGGGCAAAAAGACGGCTCTCGGCAAAATAGCCGTTTTTTTTCGTCTTGTCGGTGTAGAGTATAAATACAACGTAGGTTCAGCACAGATGGGATGGAGTGTCGAATGGTCTGGTATTCTTTTGCAGTTTTCACTCTCCACTGCCACAGTCAAGCACAACTCACAGCTCACTAGGCTCACTCAGCTCAAGCGTCGCACGAGTCTTCTCGCTTTTTCTTTCGCCTCCTCTCCTCCCACGTCATGAGCTCGGAAAAAGACTCCACGCAAGTCAACACCCACCGCACCGCTGGCGGTAACTCGGCGTTCCACAACTTCATCAACGACTTCTCGCACATCGAGGACCCTCTCGAACGCCGTCGTCTCGCGCTCCAGAAAATCGATGAAGCGTCCTTCGGCTGGTATCACGTGCGCGCCATCGCCGTCGCCGGTGTCGGGTTTCTCACCGACTCGTACGACATCTTCGCCATCAACCTGGGTGTCTCGATGATGTCGTACGTGTTCTGGCAGGGCAGCATGCCCGCGTCCACGTCGACGCTGCTCAAGGTCTCGACCTCTGTCGGCACCGTCATCGGCCAGGTCGGGTTCGGTGTCATGGCCGACGTCGTGGGCCGTAAGAAGATCTACGGGCTCGAACTGATCGTCATGATCGCCGCCACCATCCTGCAGTGCACCATCGGTGCCGCCCCCGGTGTCAGTTTCGTTGCAGTGCTCACTTTCTACCGTATTCTGATGGGTATCGGTATCGGAGGTGACTACCCTCTGTCGTCCATCATCACCTCTGAGTTCTCCACCACCAAATGGCGTGGTGCCATCATGGGTGCCGTGTTCGCCAACCAGGCCTTTGGCCAGATCGCTGCCGGTATCGTCGCCCTCATCCTCGTCGCCGCCTACAAAGACGTGCTAATCGTCGCCAACAAGGGTTCGGAATGTGGTCCTGCGTGTGCCAAGGCCTGCGACCAGATGTGGCGTATTCTTGTCGGTCTCGGCTGTTTCCCAGGTCTCATTGCCCTATACTTCCGTCTAACCATCCCTGAGTCCCCTCGTTACACCTTCGATGTCGAAAACAAATTGGCCAAGGCTGTCGCTGACACTTCCAAGTTCGCCTCCGGCGAGCACGGCAACGCCGAAGCTGAGGAAATCGCCCGTCTAGAAAGGGCCCCCACTGCCGTTGAACAATACGAAATTACTCCTCCTAAGGCCTCTTTCAAGGACTTTTGCCGCCATTTCGGACAATGGAAATACGGTAAGATTCTATTTGGTACTGCTTTCTCCTGGTTCACTTTGGACGTGGCCTTTTACGGTCTGAACTTGAACTCCGCTGTCATTTTGCAAACCATCGGTTACGCTTCCTCCAAAAACGTGTACCACAAACTTTACAACTCTGCCGTGGGTAACTTGATTTTGATTTGCGCTGGTTCGCTGCCTGGTTACTGGACCGCGGTCGCCACTATCGACACTATCGGCAGAAAGCCCATCCAATTGTTTGGCTTTTTCATTTTGACCGTTTTGTTCTGTGTTATTGGTTTTGCCTACCACAAATTGACCGACCATGGTTTGCTTGGTCTCTACATCGTGTGTCAATTCTTTCAACAGTTCGGTCCTAACGTTACCACTTTCATCATCCCCGGTGAAGTGTTCCCTACCAGATACAGATCTTCTGCCCACGGTATCTCTGCTGCTTCCGGTAAAGTTGGTGCCATCATTGCCCAAACCGCTTTGGGTACGTTGATCGACCACAACTGTGCCAAGAACGGTGAAAAAGCTGGCTGTTGGTTGCCTCACGTTATGGAAATTTTCGCTTTGTTCATGTTGTTGGGTATTTTCAGCACCCTATTGATCCCAGAAACCAAGCGTAAGACCTTGGAACAAATTTGCGAAGAGTTCCACGATGAAATTGACTCTACCAAATACGCAAGTCCGAACAGCAACTCTGCTGCTTCAAGCCACACCGAAACTGTCTAATTGTGGATCGAGTCCCAGTGACGCTATCACAAAATGTCAAAACTTGATGCTTTGACTTGCATGCATATTATTATTTAGGAGAATTTAAAGGGAACTAATACACAAATCCTTTTGGACTTACAGTTGTGGAGAATCTGGCGGAGTTCTAATTTTTGAAGATTTCTTTGTCTATAGACGACGGTGCCAGCGCTGCACAGGATGCATTGATTGCAGATAGAACGTAGCATGTATCGTGACGATATGGGATGTCAATTAAGTACAAAATGATCATCAAATGCAAGGAAAATCTACGAGCAAATCGCAGCACAGCTATAGTCTTGGTGCTCACGCTTTTATAGCTTGGTTATCTTGAAGACATAGAGCTTATAAATGAAGTGTTTTCGTCAACTGCAATCCTCAGTGCCCATCTGTTCATGCCCGGCAGGAAGTCAAGATATCATTTTCTTCATCATTGACAACTCGAGCGCCTTATCTCTTGCCTTACTTTCTCAGCGGTAGAATCATTGCAGAATGGTTTGATCCTGAACTGAGCGCAAACTGCGATGCTCAAAAACCACACCTAAAGGCGGAAAATTCGCTGCAGTTATCAACATGACCAGACTTTACATGTCTTGTCAGAGCCTTGACCTTTTGGTAAACGAGTTTTGATGAAATAATACTCGCTAATAGACGACATCAATCAAAATTGCAATTAAATGAGATCTTCCCCGCTTTTGAATGAAGCTACTACCTTGCCACACGATCTTCACAAATATGTCGCGGTCGGCCAATGCGCTCAGTGATCATCACCGTGCCTTTTCACCAAAGTATAACCCTTTCCTGTAATTTATCACCATCCTTGACCTTCCTCAAACATAGGAAACCGGCCTGGTTTGCCAGACACTAGGTACAAGACTCCATCGCGTTCAAGTGCAGCTCTCAGCATGCTCTTCTCGTGACACTCGAAATTATCACTTTGTACTATTATGTCATCAGCACAGATGTAACGTCGCAGGATCCTTTAACCAAAACTCCAACCAAACCCGACTTGCAAACCTCTCGTCTTAGCTTCACAAAACTACAATCAATGGAGCTAATCGAATCCCCAACTCAAGCGTTTCTCCAGGACTCGGTTGTTGTTTGGGAAGTGATTAACCGATCTGTCACGTGACCATTTCGTCAATTTCTCGGCTTAAACCGTCAAAATAGGACATATTACATGTTCAAAGGAGAGCTATTACCTGTTTAATACAACCCAACAACCAAGCGTTAATTCAAACTTTCTCTTTTATGTCAACCCTCTTAAATCTCATCGCCTTCTAATCCACGATTTATTCTGTTACCCGTCCACGAACCCATCGTTTTCACGTGACCAAAATATCCCTCAAGTTTTTGTGGAAAAATGTAAACACTACTACTACAAAACGTTCCCAAACACCAAAACGAACCGATCTAACTTCACCAATTCAACTCAGGATCACCATCAAACAGACATCTTGGGAGCAATGAGAGAGGTCATTAGTATTAACGGTATGTCTAACAATGCCGTGGGCACTTCATTAGCGGCCAAAAACGCGTCAAGTGTCTTTTCAAACAAGAATTCGCGTCGGATCAATATCGCAGATCTGTGAAAACTGAACCGTGGAAAGTTTGGAAAGTAGCCCTGTTCTGGAATTGCCGTTCCAGAAAGATGCCTGGACGCGTATTTGGCTTTTTTCAATGCTGCTGGAGCGATTTTACTAACGTTAACTGCCCTTTACTTTAGTTGGTCAAGCTGGTTGTCAAATCGGTAACGCATGTTGGGAGCTTTATTCCCTGGAACACGGTATCAGACCCGATGGTTACCTAGAAGAAGGTCTTTCCAAACCAAGAGGTGGTGAAGAAGGGTTTTCAACATTTTTCAACGAGACCGGTTCTGGGAAATTTGTGCCTCGTGCTTTGTACGTGGATTTAGAGCCAAATGTCATCGACGAAGTGCGTACCGGTCCCTACAGAGAGCTTTTCCACCCAGAACAACTGATAAGTGGCAAGGAGGATGCCGCCAACAACTATGCCCGTGGTCATTACACGGTGGGCAGAGAACTACTTGATGACATTCTCGACAGAGTTCGCAAAATCTCGGACCAGTGTGACGGTCTCCAAGGTTTCCTGTTCACACATTCGCTAGGAGGTGGTACCGGTTCCGGGCTGGGGTCTTTGCTGTTGGAACAGCTGTCCATTGATTACGGTAAGAAATCAAAACTCGAGTTTGCCGTCTACCCTGCTCCACAGGTGTCCACCTCGGTCGTGGAGCCTTACAACACCGTGCTAACGACACATACCACTCTTGAACACGCAGACTGTACGTTCATGGTCGATAACGAGGCCATTTACGAAATGTGCAAGAAGAACTTGGACATTACCAGACCAAGCTTGGCGAACTTGAACAATTTGATTGCTCAAGTTGTGTCCTCCGTTACCGCCTCTTTGAGATTCGACGGTTCCTTGAATGTCGACCTGAACGAGTTCCAAACCAATTTGGTACCATACCCAAGAATTCATTTCCCATTGGTATCCTACGCGCCAATCTTGTCCAAGAGCAAAGCCCATCATGAATCAAACGCTGTTTCTGAAATTACAAACGCTTGTTTCGAGCCTGGTAACCAGATGGTAAAGTGCGACCCAAGATCTGGTAAGTACATGGCAACTTGTTTGCTATATAGGGGTGACGTGGTCACCAGAGATGTGCAGAATGCAGTGGCCCAGGTAAAGAACAAGAAAACCGTTCAACTGGTAGATTGGTGCCCAACCGGGTTCAAGATTGGTATCTGCTATGAGCCCCCTACTGCCACTCCTCAATCACAGCTATCCTCCGTCAACAGAGCCGTTTGTATGCTATCAAACACCACTGCTATCGCGGATGCATGGAAGAGAATTGACAGAAAGTTTGATCTGATGTATTCCAAGAGAGCATTTGTACATTGGTACGTCGGTGAAGGTATGGAAGAAGGTGAGTTCACCGAGGCCAGAGAGGACTTGGCTGCTTTGGAAAGAGATTACATCGAAGTTGGTGCTGATTCCTACGCAGACGAGGAAGAGTTTTAAAACACCCGTTCCCTGTCTTGGCCATTCAGTCAAGAAGCGGAGAAGTGGTATTTTTTGCCGACCAAAAAAAAAAAAACTTTTAGGGCTCCACCACTGATCAAGTCTGTCATTGTACTGCGCGTGGTGACTCCGGTCAAGATCTAATTTTGTCCCTAAGCCTTCCCTAACTTCTTCAGTTGCAAAAGTCTTGCAGCCCTCTCGAGCTTCTCATGGAAGAGGTGTCATCCCTTCCATATTGTATACCCCGGTACTAATTAATACCACATAGAATTGAATTCTAAAGGTGAGTGCCACTCTTTTTTATCCGTGCTGTAAGCAGCCGTGAATCGTCAAGACCTTATCAGGTACATTCCCGCCAGCGGGTCAAAGAAGATTATGAAGGTGATGAAACTATTTGTCTGAGTCGATGACACTACGGAAAATTATAGCACAATTCAAAAGAGTTTGCTAATATCTAAAAAGGGTGGGTGCCAACGTCAAGTCGGGCATTGTTGTAGGGACCGCATACACGTAAAATTGTGGAGCGCTTTCTTGTGCGGAGTATCTTTACTTTGCTTAAAAAGTAGGTTTTTACTAATCTTTTATAAGGTGCGACAAACTCATTGTCGACATTTAAATTTATATATAAATTGATAATTAGCAACAATCGCCAAACATCCTTAACTGCTCCTCAATTGACTGTCCATAAAGCTCGTTTGAAGATGGATAAGATACTTCCTGGGGCTCGTGCGAACTATGAGTTCAAAAACTGGGCAGGTATATACTCTGCAAGACCTCAGCTGTACTTTCAGCCGTCGTCGATAGAGGAAGTCGTCAAGATAGTGAATGCTGCGAGAAGGCTCAATAAAACCATTGTTACGGTTGGATCTGGCCACTCTCCAAGCGACATGTGTGTTACGAAAGAGTGGCTCATGAATCTAGACAAAATGAACCAGGTGCACAGTCTTGTTGAGCACAAAGATCAAAAATTTGCAGATGTGACGGTGGACGCGGGTTTGAGAGTATATCAACTCAGCGAATACCTTCACAAGCACGGTTACGATGTTCAAAATCTAGGTTCCATATCGGAGCAGAGCGTTGGTGGAATCATCTCCACTGGGACGCACGGCTCTTCCCCATACCATGGTCTGGTATCTTCTCAATATGTCAATCTGACGCTGGTTAATGGTCTTGGGGAAGTCGTGTATCTCGACTCGCAAACCAAACCCGAGGTTTTCAGAGCGGCGTTGCTCTCTTTGGGCAAAATTGGGATTATTGTGCGCGCCACGATCAGGGTTGTCCCATCTTTTAAGATCAAATCCACACTTGAAGTCGTCAATTTCGACACTTTGTTGAAACAGTGGGATACTATTTGGACGTCAAGTGAGTTTATCAGATGCTGGTGGTTCCCTTACACTAGAAAATGTATTCTATGGAGAGGCACTAAGACATCTGATTCCGTGCTCACAAAGACGAGAAAGTCATGGTGGGGAACCACTTTAGGCCGTGGGTTTTATGAGCTTTTGTTGTGGATATCGGTAAAGATTTATCCGGCCTTCACTCCTTTTGTGGAGAAGTTCGTGTTTCACAGACAATACGGCAAGGCAGAAACAATCGGATTTGGTGACATCGCAGTTCAAAATTCAATTGATGGACTCAACATGGACTGTCTATTCTCGCAATTCGTGGATGAGTGGGGGTGTCCGCTAAGCAACGGTCCCGAGGTACTGTGCTCCTTGGACCGTTCCATCGCTCAGGCCGCTCATAATCGTGACTTTTACGTTCACGTCCCCATCGAAGTTCGTTGTTCAAATACCAATTTACCAGAGAAGATTCCCGACTATAGCGATCGAACAAAATTGAGCTGTGGTGCCGTCTACGGTAACGTGTTGCGCCCATACTTAGATGCTACCCCTCGTGGGTTGCGCTACGTTCCAATGGGAGATGTTACGAACAGTCAACTCACTTTGTACATCAATGCCACGATTTATAGACCTTTCGGATGCAACACTCCAATCCACAAATGGTTCACCTTATTCGAGAATACAATGTCAGCTGCGGGCGGAAAACCACACTGGGCTAAAAACTTTTTGGGCTCTACGGAGATGGCTGCTGGCCCCACAAAGGCCGAGCACAGCTACGAGGACCACGAAATGCGGGGTATGGCTACCAAAATAGCTGAATGGTACGGGGACGATCTTGCGTCCTTCCAGGAGATCAGACGTCAACAGGACCCGGAGAATATTTTCCTGGCAAACAAAGACTGGGCGATGAAAAACGGGATTGTCGATATCAATGAGGTCCAATAGACTACAAACTGAGGGTTATTAGAAGTAGGTGTGCCTTATGTGTTATAAATTATGATGAAATTAAGAATGACTTAACCGTTTCGTTATTTAATGCTTGGCGATTCCAAAGTGTCAGAATTTGTCGTGTGCTCCACAATGCCTGGCAAAGGCAAATAGTCGAACGACAGCAAGTTCGAGAGAGAAGAGATAAAGCCATTTAATCGATTCGTAGTGTATTTGCTACATCTATCTAATGACACAAGTGAGAAGGAGCGGCGACAAGCTCATGTCTGCGCCCATGCGTCTCTTTAGCAGGTTATAAATTTTATAAAAAATTATGATACCGAAGAAATTCGAATGGGCGATCATCTTCAAAATATCTCAAATCTTATTTCCCCAAGGTTGAACTTGACTTACTCATCACATCCAAACACAAGTTGTGCAAGTTATCTCTTCAGCTTGCCGTGATTCTCTCGGTTAATCATGTCTAGCAATGCAGATAAACTAAACGACCCGGTTCATGGGATCTATATTCCCGTGGGACTCTTAGTGGCTGGTCTGGCTATTACATGCTATACCGTAAATGATTTCAGATTTCTTTGGATCTTGCCGTTTGCTGCTTTGGTCATCGCCATTAGATTCACAGCAGCGTATAAGAGACGTAAGTCGGTGTTTAGCGACCGCTGGTCATCTCTGGAACTAGAGGATCAGACTTTGATCTCGAAAAACACGGCTATGTACCGGTTCAAAATGAAAACGTCTCTAGAGAGCCTAAACTTTCCAGTGGGACACCATCTTGGGGTGAAAGCCAACATTGATGGCAAAGAATATGTCAGATACTACACACCAGTGTCTCCAAAATTCGAACGTGGCTACTTCGACATCATCGTCAAGTCTTACGCAAACGGCAATGTGTCCAAGTACTTCGCTGGCCTAAAACCGGGAAGCACCGTGGAATTCAAAGGTCCCGTGGGAAGATTCAACTACGTTACCAATTCTTACAAACACTTGGCAATGATTGCTGGCGGAAGCGGTATCACCCCAATGCTGCAAGTTCTCAATGACATCATCACCAACCCAGAGGATACCACCAAAGTTTCGTTGATCTACGCCAATGAAACCGAAAATGACATTCTCTTGAGGGATGAGCTCGATGAAATTGCTGAAAAATACCCAAACTTCAGTGTCAACTATGTTTTACATCACCCACCCGCCAAGTGGAACGGCGAATCAGGCTACGTCACCAAGGAACACATGCAGAAGTACTTGCCTTCATTTTCTGACGAAAATAGACTACTAATGAGCGGTAACCCAGAAATGGTTAGAATGCTTTTGAGGTACGCTGAAGATCTCGGCTGGCCAAAGGGAATCGAAAAATCGAAAGGCGACGATCAAGTGTTTGCCTTTTGAATGATAGATACGCATGAAACTTTTGTTTGCAGCTTTTGTACTTAGTGAACCCTTTTTACTGATTAAAATATTGATGACAGTCAAACCTGCTCTTGCATAGAAAGTGCCAAAGCTAGTTCTAAATCCTCATCGAAATTTTGTTGTGTCGACATTTCTGAAGAAATCGGAGATGCAGGTGCTTCCGAGATACGACTCTCAAAAGTTGGGGCAAATGAAGTCACAACCTCACCGATAGGCCCATTACGCCTCTGAGGTCGCCGCCCCAGTCTTCTATTTTCTTCTTCTTGCGACTCTTGTATCGCCAAAGTAATGTTCATGTCCTCGTCCGCTTCCTGCGGTGATATAGGAGTTTCACAGATCAGTCTAGATTCCTCGATGGCTCTTAATAATTCTTCGTCTTGATCCGGAAAATCTGATGAGGCTGGTGTGGAATGAAGCCGCGCAGCAGACGCCTGAGACTCCATTAATGCTATTTGGTATTGGATCTCTTCATCATCTAGATCGCCCATAAATCGCTTCCTCAATCTTTCATTTTTGTCTATCTCTTCTCTTCGACTATTTTCGTCTTCATTGTAAAGATCAAGTTGAGTGTTCAATACCTCATTCCATTTATTACTCCGAGTGCTTTGGGATGAGCCTGACTTCTTCTCTTTCGAGTCTTCATCGATATATTGCAGGTAATGCAGAACGTTCCCACTACCAACAATCATGCGTCCATGAGAGACCCCCAAAAACTGGGGAATCTTTTCCGTTTTTCTAACTACTCGAAGCTCGGTCCCATCAGCTGCATCAAATATTGAGAGGTAGCCACTGAATGCACAGACCACGACCAAGTTATTGACTTGCGCGGCATGAACCCTGTCTTCAAAGCTGAGCTTAGTCTGAATTCGCAACGCCGGACCGGGTGCTCTCACGTTGATAATTGTGACAGAGTTGTCACTCGTTGTAAGTCCCACGAAGCAGCCATCGCCTCCTGCCAAAGCACTATCCTGCGTTCTCTTAGAAGTGACATCATCAATGAAAACGTTTTCAATATGGCTCTGGAATGAAATGGACCTTGTGAATCCGAAATCTTTATGAGGATCTATGGAGATGACATAAAGCTCGGACAAATTACCGAGAATCAAGTGCCGACCTCCAAAATCGACCTGGAAATGCTGAAGTTGAGTGAGTGAATGCTGAAGTTTTGGTGGAATGTCTAATTTGTGTAGATTGTTCATCTGATCCACGATGAAAACCTGTTGAGAGTCCATGATGACCGTTAGATCTTTATGCAGCGCCAATTTTAGGATTGGCTTATCGGATACTTGCATGTACTTTTGCATTTTCATTTCGCACCACCAAATCACTTGCCCCGATTCGCATCCACTGACGCACCAGTCTTTGGCGGAATCTTCGAGGGCTGCAGTGGTGATGGCAGTGACAGCGGAGCGATGCACAGCATTAAACTCTGTCACTGGATGGAGGTGAGACTTGTTAGTCAAAAGCTTACCAAAAACACGCCCGTCAAAACGACCAAAGACGGCTGCGTTGATGTTAAAATGCATGGTCGAGCAGCCTTGCGGTGTAGTGCAGGGCATGTAGGTAAGCCGATCTTTTCGCCTTTTGGAATGCAACTGCACGAGCATGATCACACCATCACTGTAACACGCACAGCGGGGGTAGTCGAAAACCATTTTCTCAAGCTGATTGTATTGATTCTGTGCTGTTACAGTGTACTTGGTTTTCACTGCTCTATTATGTTTCCACTCGTTCAAACCTCTGTTCCGCTTGACGTATTCCACGCTATATTTCCAGGATCTGGAGAACGAGGGAAACAACATCGTATGAATCTTGGCCACAAAGAGATTCTTCCACAACTCCTCATCATTCACTATATCCAGAAAGCTCTTGCAAGTCATTTGCACTGCGTACAGATCTTTCTCATCCAGGTGGCTAAGAATGTTGATCAAAATCTCACTAGGAAGATCTTGAAGAGACCTTCCATTGTTTTGGAGATCTGCCATGGCTAACAGATGGCCACGGAACGTCTTGGGTCACCAACAACAAAAGTGTTAGGCAATGGTTGAAATAGGTTCATCTTAGATGAGCTTAATTGCCTTTAGATCGCACGCTCACCAATTTCGTTCAAGATGATACAAACTCCGCAGTTAAGTCTCGATCGTCAACAATCAAAGGCTACCTACCAGCCGCTGTCGTACAAACCAGAGCTTCATTCGGATACGTAACATTCCCAATGTGTACCGGAATTCGCTACTCCAATCTGAAGGACTCGATACAAATCATATCACTTTGTCATTTCCTGACACCGATCACTCGTTATAAGCATGTCATACATAGATAGGCATCCACAGCTGGGAAAGAAGCTGATTTTTACCATGAATTTACCACCAAATTCGTTGGGAACGGGCAAAATTGTAGCTATAGTTTTATTCAATGTTTTTTTTCTCAGTGTTTCCTGCGCCAGGCGGTACTTGCTTCTAGCAGTTCAAACACCATCAAAAGGTAGACAATCGACAGTTAGAATCCGGGAGAAAAAACCATTCACGCATGGCTATCAAAACTGCGCGATCGCAGAATGATCTTGAACCAATCGTTTCCCCATTCCCTGTGCTGTATTATGAAGCTCTGTGTGTTAAGTTGAAACCGAATATCAGTAATATGCGCGAAAACCCGAGAACCATTCACTATTGATATGGTTTAAATGGTAAGAAACAGGCCATAAAAGTCGATCTTCATGCGTTTAGCAGAACCAAGGAATGCTATCGATTTGCTACTAGCATTAGGCAGTTTTTGAACGTCTATCGCTTCGAATGCTTATTGGTGTCGTTATAGGAAGTACCAGGAAACCTCGCTGCAGCCCGCAGATCGCACAATTTATTATCAGTGCAATTGAGAACTCGCAAACATACCGGGAGATGGCTGATAGACCCGAATTGCAACTTGTGGACTTGGGTGATTGGAATTTGCCGCTTTATAACGAGTCGAGAATTCCATCCCAGATCAAAAACTAACTGGAATATGATCACGAACACACCCGATTGTGGAGTCTTGAGATTGAAAAATACGATGCGTTCATTTTTGTTGCTCCTCAGTATAAATGGGGCTATCCCGCAGTTTTGGAAAATGCCTTAGACTAATTGTTTAATGAGTGACAGTCCAAGCCTGCGGTCGTGGCCACTTATGGAGGTCATGGCGGGACCAGATGCAATGATCAATTGCGCGAGGTGCTATTGGGACTGCGCATGGTTCCAACCAGAAGCAGAATTCTATTTTCTTTTGCCAACCGTGATGTACATTTCAAAGCCGCGTCTAGTGCCAATCTGGGTCTTCTAGAATCACCCGGTATGTGTTTTGCAGAGAAGGGAACGTCACAGATCGAAACGACATTTAAAGAGCTCAGTGAACGCATAAAGCAGGATCAAAATGACGGCACAGTGTACTGAACCTTAAAAATAGTTCAGTTCATAAATGTGATCCACTCATGGTTAGCATGACTACCAATGACGCCAGACGCTTAGATTTAAGTGCTATGAACGACCAGATCCATGAAATATTTACAGATGATTGACTGTGCCTTGTCAAGGTAGCAAGTAATGGGTATTGGGCATTGGGTATTGGGTATTGGACTAATGTCATGAAGATACTAACGCCAGTATTATGAATGAAGTTTCATTCTCTTGAATTGAAACAGATACCAACAGCTTATCGCTCATAAAGCAGATAGAACTGTGAGGAAAAACGTCATTAAAGTTGCAACAAGTCCACAATTTATTGTGTGTCTTCTAGAGCAACCAGAATCCGACTGTGTAACAATGTAGTAAGTTGAAGAGGGCGAGAGCGTTCCTTTCACCTGCGCCCCACTTACCAGTTCAGAGGACCCTGTAATTCGGCCACTGCCACTAGTCTTCCCAGGATTTTCAGAATCTGAGATTACCGTCCATATTCCGCTGCCTTGGTACAAATCGTCCGTTGAGTGAAACACAGAGCTTGTTGTAGCTTGGGAAAGGCAACTCTGGCAAGCGGTCTCAGCAGCAATCTGGTCAGTGCTTTTCCCGGAGCTTTGGAGCTCTATCGAAACCGCTGATGTCTGCTTTATTGTGCGAATACTGGTGGCGGAGCCCGACAACGTGTCTTGCTTTATCGGTGTCGAGGAAAATCCGGAGCTCAAAGACTGGATTGTAAAAATGCTCGTAGCCGACGGGGTGCCTGATGCAACTACTGGGCGAGTTTCGCTTATAACTTCAAGTACTGATGAAGTTATAGCAGTACCGGGGTTTACTACGGTCCCTGTGATAAATGAGAGGCTATGTCTGGAGACATTTGCGGGAGTTGCTGCGAATGAACTTTCACCCGTTTCGTTGCGGCTGATGTTTTGGGCTGGATACAGTGTTGAGACTTTGTACATTTTGCCCGTGTAGCTAAACTCGAATTCGTCTGGTGAACCGCACTCGCTGCTTTCCCAGGCCGTGCTTTTTGTTGTTTCCGTAATGGTATAAGTGTTTGACGTTGAGAAAGGTGAGCTAGTCAAACTTTCATACTCTGTGCTTGGTTTGGAGGTTTTAGGTTGTTGACTGCTCAAATGGGGCTCAACAGGCGACGTGATAGTGGCGTTGTTTCCACTGGGTGTGTGGGGAATGCTAGTCTGTGAAATATTGAAAGGTGATTGCTTGTGAAGTGTCGAACTGTTAGTGGGTATGTTGTGAGTTCTGCTTGTTGTCCGACATGGCATATGGGAGCTGAAGAGGTCCTTAGTGACCAAAGCAACGTCACTTGCATCTTGCTCCCAAGTGTTGCTATAGTGTGGCATTTTCTTAGCTCCAGGAATAGTGGAGCGTATGACATCAATCTCAGGAGACCCGGCATTGTAGTTGGCCTGTGCAAGAGAAATTTCTAGCTGTTCCAAGTCGTATACTGCATAAACTGAAGACAGAAAGACGTCCCCGAATGTTGCATGCTGGTCACCTGGAATTATGCCCAACGCACAAAGGCCTTCTTGATCGGTCTGCAGAATATAATCTGACAACGGTGTATTTATTTGAAGTCCACCAAAATCAAAAACTATCTTTGTGTCGTCATTATCGGCTGGACAGTCCAGCATGTAAAATTGCCAATCGTCGGACCAAGTCGCGTTCACAAATTGTGCTACTTTTTCCACGATCGATGCGTCCATAAACATCAATGTAGCCCCAGAATCTAAATATGCGGGAAACTTGATGGTGCTCATTGTCTCTTGCTGACATGATTTTTTGCTCTTCATACCCACCCCTTGCACGGTGATCTCAAATTGGATCGGTTGCGGAACACCTTTGCTCTTATAAGTGTTGACCAGTGGCACGGTGTAAAGGTCTCCAGTATATTTGCTGTGGTCGACACCACCGAACAGGACCGATCCCGTCGACGCATCTAATGAATTCAGGTAAAGAGAAAATGCAATCCTTTCAATAACCCCTTTTTCTTTCAGAATGACGGGAAAGTTTGGATATGTGTAGGTTGAGCCGTTAAAGTAGTTGAAGGTAGATTCTAGTTGTCTAATTCCCACGCCAAGAACTCCAACGGTTGAATTAGAGATTTCAGCGACTGCGAATTCGAGCTGCGAGATCTCTTCGTCGTCCAAATACAGCTCGTCGCGCCCCCAGAAGCCCAATGCATAAGAGCCATCGGCATACAGAGTGCGGAAAGGTTTTGATGTATTTGCTTCAAATGTTGACGAATTCGAGTAGTCAAACGTCCCGAATTGGTCGCAGTCAATAGTGGGGGCGATTGGAACACCCATAAACGTAGTATCTGGAGCAGCAGATATCGTGGAAGTTGCTTCGTATAGGTTTGCCCTGCGGTCGTAATCGGTATCGTCCGTCTCATGATTTAAGCAGTAAGGGTTTTGGCTTGACGAGAACCACAGATCTGAAGATCCAGTATCAAAAAGCACGGTAACTTGCTGCGCCGGGGTGCCAATATCGAGTGTCACTGAGTAAAAGTCGTTTTTGTTGGTGAGCTGGACTTGCAGAAACTCGTCGCGCTGCAGAGCTCGTTTCTGCAAATACGGAGATTGGGAGCTCAGCTTCACGGCCGACTCGAAGGTCGAACCTTTGAACTTTGTGAAACACAATCCCAAATATCCGGTGGCAGAAACATACTGGAAGATATACAGGAGGACGAGTAAGAGACACCTGTATGGCATTTCCTTCGATGGAATAGTCAAAAAACAAAAAAATAGAGGGCAGAGCCAGCTTAGCTCGACGGTCTACCAACAGTCTTCCTGGAATACGTGTGCCACTTTTATGCCAAAGATGGATTTTTCTCGAGACTGGCGACACCACATGCTCGAGCAGCAGGGGTGTCCACGAACCTCACAAAGACATTTCAACAACAGGTATAAAAGCGTACGCGAGGTCCGGAAGAGCAATTAGCTGCTCGAAAGGCATAATTAGCCACTAGCTTTATCTCCTCGACACTTCCACGAAAATTCTAGATGCTAGCTATTTCCTTGAATAGACGGTCAGAACTGCACACAGGCAGACCCAACGACAAAACCATCAAATCCGAGCCCCCGAATTCTAAAGGAGGGACGAGCACTCGATTTTCCTTCCACAACTAAGACAAGGTGTTATCGGATCTTGTTGGGTTCTACGAGTAATACATAGTCAGAAACCTGCAAAAGCTAGAAAGTGATAAAACTGTAGTTATCACTCACATTAGTGCTCCAAATGGACCCTTAACAGCTGGAATTAACCAGTAGGGCTGTTAAATCCAACGTCCATCTCGTATGATTCGTGAGTGGCCGGTGGTGTGGTCTCGTTTATTAAAAATTGATGTCGACTTGGGTTTCTTGGTATTATTCCATTCTTATGCCAATATATATCTATAACCAAAATCTGGGCAACCAATAGAACAGGCCTGGAATTGACGATACAAGTATAAAATTAGCGCTCTTTCGAGGTTGAAGAGTGGTATAAGTAGCCAAATAGTGCTGGAAGTAAATTAGTAACTGTTGATTGACAACTTCTTGCGTCTGGGAACGAAATTTGCTGTGTGCATTGCCCTGAAATGAGTTCATCTGAGAAACAAAAAGTAGTCGTGAACACTGCTCCTCCGTACGTCGCTTTGAGACCAAATGACAAGCTAGCCACTGTGATGACGGTGGCGACGTCGGATTCTAGTGGTGGGGCAGGAATTGAGGCAGATCTTAAGACGTTCACGGCACACAAATGTTACGGACTGACATGTCTGGCAGCATTGACAGCTCAAACTCCCAAAAATATTTACTCGATCCATGAGGTGCCCAGGGAGCATTTCAAACTGGCTTTGACGGCTAACATGCGCGATATGCGTGTGGACGCCATCAAGACCGGAATGCTGACGAAAAACTCCGTAGAAGTGCTGATAGAAGCTCTCAGCGAGATCGAACCGACAAAAAGACCTGCCCTGGTGGTAGATCCAGTTCTGGTGGCATCTTCGGGAGCAACACTGGTGAGTGACGACTCTGTGGTGCAGCAAATCAAGCTGCTGGCGCCATTGGCCTCGCTTTTGACACCCAATATCCACGAAGCATCTAAGCTTTTGGGTTGCAGTGAGGAAATGTTAAAGCTGAACACCGTTGACGACATGATTTCAAGGGCGAAAGACCTTCAAAAAGAGACTGGATGCCCAAATATTCTTCTGAAAGGTGGTCATGTCTCCTGGGAAGGAACAGAACTAAAGGGAATCGTAACTGACGTTCTATACACAGCGAGCAATGAATGCATTGTCTACCAAAGTGACAGGTGTGACTCCAAAAACACGCATGGAACAGGGTGCACGCTGGCTTCTGCCATCGCGAGTAATTTGGCTCACGGTGAAACCTTGGAGCACGCTGTGTACGGTGGGATCCAGTATGTACACAACGCCATTCAAGTTGGCTGCGAGGTAACCAGGTCCCATATTGAGGAAAACGGTCCCATCAACCATGTGTACGCGATCAAAATGCCCCTGCTCGAGATGGTCAAAGATCTGTGCTACTCTGCTCATGCGCTAGCCATAAACTCGGAGCGCGAACTCGCGGCAAAGGACGCAAGAGGCCGTTCGGGAAGTAGCAGTAGCCAGAACAGCAGTAGCACTAGCAGTTTGGTGTCACAGATTCGCGATTCGGGCCACTTTTTCGAGTACTTGATCTCGGACCCTCGCGTCAAACCTCACTGGGAGTCGTACGTGAACCACGAGTTTGTGAGAAAGGTTGCCAACGGAACTTTAGAACGGGAGAAGTTCAGATTCTTCCTGGAACAGGATTATGCATACCTTGACAATTATGCACAAATACACTGTTTGGCCGCGAGTAAAGCGCCTGCGGTCGAGGATTTTGACAAATCCGTGGAGATCGTGACGAAGATCAAAACCGAAATGGAGAAGCATCGCGAAAAGATGATGAGCCATTTCAAGATAGAAGACATGAAGCACTTCGATACGATCCGGATGGGGCCTGCGTTGAGGAACTATGCGCGGTTTTTCGACGACGTGGCCAAGAATGGTTCTTGGGTGCATCTTTGCGCGGCCTTGTCGCCTTGTTTGATGGGGTATGGCCATGCGTTGCGCAAAGTCGAGAAGGACATTACTGTTGACAAAGATGACATTTACTACGCATGGTGCCAGGACTATCTGGCGCCGTGGTACGTGGAAGGTATGGAAGAGGGTCTAATTCTGCTGGATCGGATCTGCCAAATGACTGATGACTGGGACACTTTGTGTGAAATCTACGCTGCAGTGTGCAAACTCGAGACGGAGTTCTGGGATGCCGCGCTGCACTACCAAGAGAGCAATTGAAGCGTCCATAATCCAAAAATAAGAAACCAGTGCTGCATAAGTACTAAATTAGCGTCAGCGTCCATAAGCTATTGTAATGAATCCCGTAATTGCCAAATCAACAGACAGAACATAGCACATACCGATTGACCGATGACAGGGTAAATCTAAACGTTACTGTTTGCGATCGCTTTCCAGTCTAAGCTACATATGTCTAGCTTTGGGCATACCTCAGCATAGCTTACCTATAGTGTCACAACCATGTATTGTATAGTGATCCATCGATCCTCTTTAGTCCCTCCCATAAGCGCATACACAATCGAATCCACTAAGAACATACTAGCTCTACTCATGCAGTTACGGGACTACATAAAATATGCATATACGAGTCTAACCAAATTATCCAAAAACCAAATATCGATCATCCTATACGAATAAACAAATTATTCTAGAAAAGTCTGTTTCCTCACCTGCTCAAACAGCACTCTACACGAAAGACCACATCAATCGTAAAAGATCGTTAATCAGCATCCTCTTTGCGCTCTTCCAGAAACGTTGACACAACTTCAGCTATCAAGCGTCCAAACCTCTTGGACGCACTATCAAGGTCTAATACCCTTCAATTGGCCGTCGCATTTACACCGGAGGCTCGATCAAGCTTGAAAAAACGGGGCTCAAAAAGCTGCCCTTTGACCCAACTTACGAGTTGAAACACATTGGCAATCAAGATAGTTGGAAAATTGGTTTGCTGATCACTGGGAACTCGTATCGTAACTTCTAAACAACGCACACAACTGGTTTTATTCTACTCCTAGTGGATCCCATTTTCGTAACTTTCAACTTATACCGATGACTACCACTACAGAACTTCATCCTCTCACGAGGACGCTTACAGACATGTTGGACGACGAATTGATGCACATGTCTGCCAATATGGGTCAAGACACAATCAACACGCCGAAATCGTGGAAAAACCGGTCGTTGGAAGATCTAATGGTCGCTCCAGACCATGCAAGCACTTCTTTATACGAGACCGAAGAACGGAAACAGTCCATGTTCAGCAAGTACGCCGACCCATCGCTGACAACGATGTCTTTCCAAAAGCCCAGTTCGCATTCCAGAAATGTCCCGGGGCCTCCTTCGTCGCTGACGCCGGTGCAGGCAACCGTGTCGCTCAACAAAGTCATGAACATCAACCCATTCGTAGCTCGTCTACCCAGTGCTACGACGCCGGAAGTTCGAATCTCGTCGCCCGCCCTTTTTCAGGGCGAAGACGAAGATATGATGATGAACACCGGCCCCGATAGCTTCCCTCCAGATCTGTACGACGACTACAGCGGGCATCAGAAAATGTTCAGTTGGCCTCTGCAGGATTCTGCTACACTGTCTCAAGATGCCATGTTTCTATTTGATCGTGAGTTTGGCAACGACCTCAGCGACGAAGAAGAAGACGATGACGACGAATGCGAGTACAATTGCAATGACAGAGACTGCACACATATACATCACCCAGCGCCACCTTTACAAGATGACAGCATAGATTCGTACCCTCAAACGGAAAATCCTGAAGACGATTCTCTCATATTTGATAGAAGCAGGCCCGGTGCCAAGTTTGTCGACGATCATCCAAACGACAAGGTCATCATCGAAGATGATGATGACGAGGATGAAGACGCAGTGGTGCTTTCCGAAAGCAGTGGAGCGCGCGGAGGAAATATGGTTAAAGGTTTGTTATACGACCACAGAAGAAGTAGTATGGTTTGTCTAGATGATCAATTCAACAGCGCCCCGTCTAGTGCTCATATATCACGCGAACCTTCTCTACCTGCAGATCCAGCACATTTATCCAGCTCCTCATTCAACATCAGCAGTCCCGTTTCTTTGTCTTCACTCCCGGCCATCGGTAGGAAGAAGAAATACCCAGGTAGACGGAAATCCTGCACGGCGGCATCTTCGACTCCAACTTTGAAGAAGAAAGCATCACCACTAACAGCTCCGAGCAGTGCTTCCGCAGGTAATTCAAACGAAGTTCATACATGCGAGCTTATAAATCCCATAACAAATGAAGTATGTGGCAAGAAGTTCTCAAGACCGTACGATCTCATCCGACATCAAAAGACTATTCACGCTAGTAAGAAAAAGGTTTTTCGCTGCGTTATATGCATACAGCAGCAAGGAGCTGAGGGTTATGAGAAAACATTCTCTCGTGGTGATGCGTTGAGCCGACATATCAAGGTCAAACATGACCTGACGGGGGCAGAGGCCCAAAAGGCTATGCAATTCGCTAAGGAGAACGTGGAATACGCACACGGCTAGGCTTCAAAAAGAGAGAAAGCTCGCAGGTACAAGGTCAGAAATAATGGAATACAGCAAGGAGGTCACAAACAATGATTCGATATATTAAGGTTAGAATAGAATGCAACAGATTACTTTAAAAATACACACTTAGGCAAGCAAGAAAGCAAAGACTTGAAGGATTGATATGCTAAAAAAAAGTCGATAAGGAAGTAGTCTCGTGGTAGGGGCATCCGAATGACTTCGTTTCACCGATCGTACCATTCACATGATTCAATATTACCTGTCTCGAATGACGCTTGATTGAATATAATACTCGAGTTTCTCTTAATGTAATACCATCGTCTTGCTTAAACATGTATAAAGCAGGCGAATCTATCATGTCGTTTCTATTGCTTATGAAGGCTTACGTATAATCATCAGTTTTGCTTCGGGAAGCCCTCGTTACGGACGCGGTCAGCGTTGATCTTGGCGAGTTCAGGATCCAAATAGTACCTGCGCACAAATTGTTTGGTTTCTTTATCGAGTTCAATAACAATGGGGATGGCATTTGGGATTTCAACGTCTTTGATGTCATTATCCGATATTTTTTCTAGAATCTTCAAAATAGAACGCACAGAGCTACCGTGCGCCACCACCAATGCTGAAGGGTTCTGATCGTTGAGATGTACCAAGATTGAGCCTCTCAAAAAACCCTCCAGACGGCTTACCACGTCACACAGTGATTCATTGCTGGGTAAAACTTCGTTTGCGTGCTCCTCGGGCCTGTATTTGATGTGGCGATTGGGCTCTTTGAAGTCGTAACCCGTCAATGAACCCTTATCGTCGACCTCTTGGACCATTTCGCGACTCAGGTCTGCGGCGGGTGGTCTGCCATTGTAGTCTCTTCTGATAAACATAAATTCTTTTTTCCCATATTCCTTCAGAATGTCAGGTTTCCGTTGGCCTTGCCAGGCGCCATAATGACGCTCGTTTAATCGCCAGCTCTTGTACACGACTGCCTCGTGTTGCGATAGTTCTTTAGAGACGTCCTTGATAGGTTCACCACAGCTGGCGATATGAAATATCGCATTTTTGATGCCAAACGTATGCAGCATCACCTCCGTGGTCTGTTTCGTTCTCACCAACCTCGAGCAGTACCCTAGTCTGGGCAGATGTAGCGAATTGTTACGGCAGTGCTCCTTGATCAAAATAGCCGAATTTTTGGCCTGATGTCGGCCCTTTTCTGTCAAATTTGCATCAATCCATCCGCAGAATATATTCTCATGATTTAACTCACTTTGGCCATGTCTTAGCACATAAAGTTTGTAAGTGCCAGACTGCGTCATCAAGCGAACAGGAATTGGATAACTTGACTTGACGATTACTGAATGAAAGTGATAAGCCTGAATATATAGTAGGAAGTCTAGCTTCAAATGAAAAGCAAATTGACTAGCAAAGATGGTTCGAATCTAAATGAGGTAAAGTGGATCTTGAACTTGACAACGACCGATTCATACGTAGTTCTTGAACGTCATGTAATGTCCATCATGAGATGCAAGCTAGATCTCGTTCGTATGGAAGGATAAAAATATATGGCCTTTTAAAAACTGCAATAATTGCCAAAAAATGACATACACGTGATCTAACGGCTGATGCGACGTTCACACTTCCCTCTCCACAAATGACTCGAGAATACCCTGAGGAGTACTGTCGTACTCATTTAAGATAACTTCTTTATCCTCCAAAACTGTATTGGCTTGAATGAATTGCCTTCTGGGCAATTTCTTGTCCAACACGATTTTTCTGAATTTGGCGAGATCAGGATCAACGGTGCTTCGGTCGATAAAGTACTTGCTTCCGGCGACGACATCTCCGGAAGATTTGTAGATGTGCAGATGAGTCAAGTAATCTTTAATAGCGGCATGACCGACCGTTTCTATCATGGAGCGGTTGAGGCTGAGTTGCAGGTCGGAGAAGTCATCTTTACCGTACAAAAGCTGGAAAAATCCGTCGTCGCTGGTATGGTTCAAAAACGTCTTCATGATGGAGAATCTAGCCTGCATGTGAGGTTGTCCCCATTTCTGAGTGGATGGATCCCAGAATTCTAGTGCAAGTAGACCAGCGCGAGCCATCTGCAAGAAGCCTGCATAAATAATGTTGTCCTGGTCCTCTTGGGTTTTGAAACCAAAAATCTCCAATAACTCACGGTTGGTGATCAAATACATGGCAATGACTTCTGCACGACATTCTTCAAAAGCCCCGGCCAACTGACCGAATTTGGACCCCCAAGTCTCACCTTTTTTGTAGTACGTGGTCACAGGTTTGCCGTCGACCCCCAAAGGCGGATTTTCCTTGTCGAAATTGAAAGTACCGTCATCAAGTTCACTTAGCAATCTGCCGGAGCCGTGACCCAGCAATTCGTGAATTCCGACCTGGACCTCGAAGGAGTCCGTTTGGTACTTGTCCAAAACTTTGCGGTCTTCCTCGTTGACAAAAGTTACTGGCATCTTGGATCCCAAGGAGGAGCTCAAAATGTTGCCTAACGAAACGTTTTTAAAACCCACATTTAGTCTCACGTCATCGTAGTTGGGAATATTGATGCCTGCTGGAATACCGCTACCCGCAAACGTCAAAACCTCCAAAGACGTGAAATCAGGTGGCTGGAATTTAGGCTTTTCATATTCGGCGTCCCAAGGCAACATGGAGATGAACTTACCAGCACTTTTGACCATGTTAGAGAACTTCTCTGTCCGTTCTTTGTTCTTGATTGCCACCAATGACTCGAATTCTCCAATGATGCCTGAGGGCTCCCTGTAGGTCTCTATGAAGCCAATGTTGGTCTCAATAACCGGCGACAAGTCTTTGACCCAAAGCTTTTGAGATTCCTTGTGGGCATGGGAAGAACCAGTTTGAAAATGTTTGACGTACTGCTCGAGCATTTTCTCCTGTGTCTCATTGGCCGCGTAGCCCTGGGCTTTTTGTAAGAACTGCACGATTTTGGCCATTTCGCGAGAATGATCTCCGAATTTGAAAATGGCCCGAGAGCCATCGCTTAGCTCAATTGGTTCGGCCGGGTATTCCGAGGCTCCATTTTCTGGAGTTCTAGACGCCACAAGGATTTCGAACGTGTTGTTTGCAAGTTTGTGAACTCTCGTGTTTTCTGGGAGGATCTTGAACTTACCGAAGACTTCGTCCTTTAGCAATCTCATGTCTGCTGGCGAGACATCACCGAAGTAGTACGATGAACGGTGCCCTTCAGAAGGGAATCCCAGTAGCGCAGATTTGTCGTCCACGTAGTACACACCCTTATTCACGACCTCTTCCCAGGTGGCATAAGGACAAGAAGCAGTGGAAGGTTTCGTAGTTTTGTCTACTTTGGCCAACTTTAGCAATTCAAAGAAAAACTCCGGGGAACAGCGCGGCACAAACTTCAAGTCTCCGAACGACTTGTAGTTGCCCAAGTTCGATAGGAATTGAGCCACATACTCCATGTACAAGTCCCATTCCTCTCCTTCAGGGTATTTGCCATCCAATTGGTGGTGAATCTGCATGATCAGATCGTAGATACTCTCACTTTCGTGAGACACCTGTCTGAGCACGACCCTGGAGCCTGCGTGCGACGCTTTGGACATATAGTGAGCATATAGTTTTTCTTGGCTGGTGAGCTGAGCGAAAAAGTCCTTCGCACTCAGCATGACCAGAGGCGCCTTGTGGTCAGCAAGGAATGTCTTGTTAACCATGACTGAAAGGGTTCTTGCAAAGAAAGCTGGACTTTTGAGAGAAAGTCTTGTGAGAGTGGCACCACTTAGCCGACAAAACATACACCGAGCACGAAAAGCTCAATGGCGAGTAGATACTGATAGTTGAGTGGACTCAATGGAGCGATTGAGTCTTGATTTGGTGATTTTAAGGGAAGAGTGTAAGTAAGATGTGTGTTTTGGTGGTGCGGCGAAATTAATCTCAGAAGTGAGTTTCGGTCACGTGATTTGAATATATTGGCGCGATATCACCAACGAGAGCTTTGTAGCATCTTTTAGGCATGAAGCCTTGTTGAGTGTACCCATTTCTTTGAGTCCCGAGTTTAAGACGGCGAGTTTGATACCAAAAGCGCCTGTGGGGGTGCATTTTTTATTCCCGTCACAATTAAACTCTTTTATTATGTTTTGGCAGACGGATGAGAATAATTTCGTTTCGAATTGATTATCCAGAGCCTGCATTCATCATTGAAACAGTTTGTATTTTCTTCATTTTCAGCCATTCGGATTTTCTGATGATTTTCTTTTTTGGCAGCTGGCGGACGGTAAGTACCAATGCTATCTGGAAACGTCTTCAGGCAGTAGTTTCTTGATAACTTGGTGACATAGATATTCCTTGTATTAACAGGAATATTCAATGTTGATTCAATGACTGCTGAATATTGGTCTCCATTTCTTAGTACGAAAGCTCATTGTTCTATGAGAAATCTTGACCTTGGTAAATTACTGATGACATATGTACTTGAATTTCCTCCACCTTTTCTTGAATCGCGATTTGACCTTGGTTTTGATTGGGACGGGAGCAAGCAGTTTTGAGTTTATAGCAACAGGTTTTTTGAACAATATTAAATGTCTGCAAGAAACGATGACAGTGAGTTCACACCATTAGAAAAATAGTTTTACGAATTGTACGCAAATTCAATTGAAAGCACCAACTATCACGAATACTTAACTTGTCGTCACAACCATGAATTACAGACGCTTGAGCGGTGCGAGTGTCTGATTTGTCCGCCCGAATTCTCTTGTATTTTAAATATGCTGAATCTCTGACACTTGATATTTCCAGTTAACTAAAGCAACTGAAAATGTGTCATTTCTTTGAGAATAGTGATGTGCTCATTTAGTGCCATTAAACATGATCGATTCAAGTCTCACACTGAATACGAAAACCCCAATGCTGTCCTCAGTCATATTTGATAACCTTACTTTCGTGACTCTCTCGCCTTTCTGCTTGCAAAAATGCTCATCTAATGCGATATACATACACATTCTAGTGGTCTGTAAAGTACACCACTCTACACGAAAATGGCTGTTCTGTAGCCCGCACCGCGCTCACAAAGTGAGTGCTTCTCCCTTGGCCTTCTTGGACTCACCGTACTTCTTAACACGGATCGCCTGGATCGCGATGAAGCCGGTAGTGTCAGTGGGTAGGAAACCTGTTAGCTCGTCCATCGACGACTCGGTGGGGTCGTATAGGTTTTCAGTCTCGGACGATCTTCCTAGAACGATGACGTTACCCTTGTACAGTCTGAGACGGACCTGTCCGTTGACACAGGTCTGCGAAGGAGCGATCATGCCCTTGATGTAGTCGAACTCGGGGGTGAAGTAGGAACCGTTGTACATCAGACGGGAGTAGGTAGGAGTGACAAATTGGTCACGCAAGTAACGAACTTCCTTGTCGAGAACCAGACCTTCCAAGTCGACGTGTGCGCGTCTCAAGATCGTTAGTGGAGCCTGTTCGTAGCAGCCACGTGACTTGAGGTTGATGTAACGGTCCTCGACGATGTCGATACGGCCAACACCGTTTTGACGGCCCAAGTTGGACGCGGCCAAGAACACGTCCAATGGCTTGGTGACTTCTTTGGCGACACCGTTTTCGGAGTAGGCGAGCTTGACCGGGATACCCTTTTCGAAGGTGATGGTTAGGTCCTGTGGGGTGTTTGGGGCGTCCTCAGGGTCTGTGATGAGCTTCCACATGTCCTTTGGAGGAGTAGTGTCTGGGTCTTCTAGAATACCGGCCTCGTACGAGATGTGGGCCTGGTTTTCGTCGGTGGACCAAGGCTTGGCCTTGGTTTGGGCCACAGGAATGCCCTTTTCGGCGGCGTAGTCTAGCAAGTCCTTACGACCAGCGAAGCGCTCGAAGAACGCTGGATCACGCCATGGGGCAATGACGTGCACGTCTGGTTTTAGAGCGTAGAAGCCTAGCTCGAAACGGATCTGGTCGTTACCTTTACCGGTACAGCCGTGCGACACAGCGAAACAGCCCTCCTGTTCGGCAACGTCGATTTGGGCCTTGGCAATCACGGGACGGGCCAACGAGGTACCCATTAGATAAACGTCTTCGTACACAGCGTTGACCTGGACGGCTGGGAACAACACGTCCTTGACAAAGTCCTCTCTGCAGTCGACGCAAACGTACTTGGTAGCACCGATGGCGAGAGCCTTCTTTTCAGCTGCTTCAAAGTCTTCTTCTTGACCCACGTTGGCCATGAAGGCCACAACCTCGTAGCCTTGTTCTAGCAACCAGGCCAAAATAATAGAGGTGTCGAGACCACCAGAGTATGCAAGACAAACTTTTCCCTTGGACATTGTAGTGATATTGGTATTGGGTTGGTTAAATTACTGTGTGCGTAATTGATAAAAGCTATTACAACGCAGAAATTTAGTACACACAAAGCGTTATGAAGTGGATAATTACGATCGTTAAAAACCGTGGGTGGCAGCTGGCGTCCTCGTTATATACCAGGACGCCGCTGCCCAGATGACTCTATTTTCTTTTCATATGGTTATCGTCGACGGCCTATGGACTCGCAGTGGGTCCGTCTCTGCGTGTATACGTACCGGGAAGTGTGTTTTTTTTTTCACTATCACGGCCACAGCGTTGATTATCTTCAAATGCCAACGGATTTTGCAGGGCGCGAGAGCGGTAGACAGGTGCGAATGCTAAGGCTTGAGCGGGTTGGTGGAGTGGGACTAATAGGAGTGGGATATTCAGGACAATTGGCGTAGGCGTGAATCATCGCAACGAGGACGCGCCGTTACGGGGAGTCGTGGATAGTGAGTATTGTGTATGGGACATAGTGCCGTGTACGGGGGGAGTGAGTGTGAGGGAGAGTGAGTGTGCGTGTGTGAAGGGTTGGTTTCTACCGGAAGAGTGCTTTACCATCGGGAGGAATAGCGAAGGATGCAACAATTGTTTCTGTATGATGGGGTGGAGTAACTGCAATCTAGTAGGATGATAGCAAGAGAGATTTACCGTAAATGCTGCATCGCGGGAGAAGCCCATCAAAGCTTCTCCCAGCGCTCAGAGTGCATCGAGGACGAGGAGCAAAGGACAAGGTAGATTTGATATCCCAAATGACTTAATAACATTAATGAAGCATAGAAGTTCCTGCGAAGAACCATGGAATGCCAAGAATAATTAATTTATTACCAAAAATTATTACCACTTCTCAATCCCAGCAGATAAAAAGACATAAGCTTCGATCCAAGATATTCAAAATCAGCTTTTCACTCTAAGTAACCGCCGTGACGACCTTCACAAGCTACAACTCAGCGATGTTCACATTTCTGCCTGCCAAAACGTCCGCGAGTACACGAGTACTTCTCAGCTGGCGTTTCATTGTTTCCTTCCTCAGAACTATGAGTCAAATGCACTTAAAATGACAAGTAACACGTTGAATAAAGATCCAGTGGGTCAGAGAACCGACAAAACATACAAAAGACTTACAAAATTGGTGCAACAATGTTTAAAAGCCTGTTAAAAAAGCCAATCTAAATACATGAACAAGTCCGACTATTCAGCTTGTCATTATGGCGAGCGCGCGAATGATTATGTAAGCAGCAAAGTACACAGCGAAGGTCCCGATCTCGCTGCGATAGAACGCCAGGTGGTGGCCAGGAAGTTCGGCCGCGTTTTGGATATCGGGTGTGGTGGTGGACACGTCAGTTATTGCGTGGCACCTCATGTTGGTGAGGTTGTAGCCTGCGACGTGACACAGCAGATGCTCACGAGCGTTTCGCAAGAGGCCAAGAACCGGGGTCTGTCAAATGTGTCAACAGTTCAGTCGCCCGCGGAGAAATTGCCATTTGCAGACGGAGAGTTTGACGCAGTGTTTTGTCGCTTTACGACTCATCATTGGAGCGATGCAGTCGCAGGGCTACGCGAGGCAAAACGTGTGCTAGCGCCATCGGGTCTGGCTATTTTCATCGATGTCACTGCTCCAGTATCGCCGCTTTATGATAGCTGGCTTCAGACCTTGGAATTGTTGCGGGATGTCTGTCACTGCCGCGACTTCTCAGTTGCAGAATGGGCAACTTTGTTGGCGGGCGCTGGTTTTGCTCTTCGTGAGGCCAGCACGCACCGTTTACCTTTAGAGTTCCAAAGTTGGATTGCAAGAACAAAGACACCCGAGGAACGAGTCGCTGCGATTAGATCTCTCCAGAAGTGTGCTCCATCTGACGTTACCGCGTATTTTTCGATACAAAGCGACGGAAGCTTCGAGATCGATGTTACCACGTTCATTGTAGAGCCAGTAGTGTGATATGTAGAGAGGCTAATTTAGGTACCTAGTGCGAGGGTTCTGTGGACTAATTACACTTGAAAAGACGTTGACATTTCGAAATGTGACAAACACTGTGTTGTTGCAATCAGATCTAAACAAGGTTATAAGTATTGAGGCAGAACATCCCATTCAGAGGACCCTCTTCGAATAGACAGCTAGAAAATCGTGTGAATTCGCAAAAAACAAGACTATCACCGCTATGACAGACGTGGCTTTCGTTCCCATGAGCCAGCGGACCATGAACACTTTACTTCTACCGGCTTTTCGACCTTCAAGTATTCATGCAAATGGCTCCCGTTTTAGATCACTTTGGGTCTGCTTGTCGCCTGTCGTTCGATCACATGTCACATTAGGTGGCTCGCAAGCTCCTGTAGTTGTAAAACCTAACTCACTCTTACCGCCTACTTTCGACGTCGACGAGCCCAATGCTCCACTCAACGGGAACCGTTCCATTCTTTTAACGTTGATCAATTACTAGTAAAATTATAACTCACAGGTTAAAATTATAAATAATTTACAAAATTGCTTACTGGGGTTTCCTGACCTGCGTGTAGGTTTCCTGACCTGTGTAACCTGTGGTGGAGGATAAAAGGGTATGTGTTTCTCTGGTTTCCACACTCAGAGACCCTGGGGTTGTCTTTAAATGCAGTTGAATTTTTGAATTGTTTTTTTGGTTGTGGTGGTGGTGTTGATGATGAAAAACGATGACTTGGTGTAACGAGGAAGTGGACTAGCTTTACTCGGACTTCTCGCCGTCCGCCTTGAAGTTGACACCTTGCAAGTCCTCAATCATGTCTGGCAAAGTCTCCATGGAGGCGTTTTCGTAGACGATCTGGTAGACGGCTTCGAATAGCACAAACTCTTCGGTCTTACCGCAGGCGGCCAACCATTCGTGCACCTCTTTACAGGTGTGGATACCCTGGGCGGACTGGCCGTTCAACAACTCCTTTTCGCACTCTTCGGCGGACTTGCCAGTCTTGGCCATGGCGGTGGCGACTCTGACGTTTCTGCCACCGGAACAGGTGGTGATCAAGTCGGCAACACCGGCAGACTCCTGGTAGTAGGTCTGCACACGCGAGTGGGGGAAGAACATCTGGCCAAACTTGATGATCTCGCCGAGACCAACTCTCTGGATGGCGGCAGAGGCGTTGTTACCCCAGCCTAGACCCTCGACGAAACCGCAGCCCAGGGCCACCACGTTCTTCAACGCACCGGCCACCGAGATACCGGCCACATCGTCGATCACGTTGACGTGGAAGTATGGTCTGTGGAAAAGCGCCTTTAGCACGCCGTGGTCCACGTCCTTGCCCTCGCCCTTGAAGTTCTTGGGGATCTCGTATGCGACGGTGGTCTCGGACCAGTTTTCCTTGGCCACCTCTGGGGCCAGGTTGGCGCCCGAAAGCGCACCGCACGTGATCCCGAGTTTTTCCTCAATGTACGTGGAAAGCAGACGCACGCCGTCCTTGGACACGTCGAAGCCCTTGAGACACGAGATGGCACGCGCATCCTTCTTGACCTTGCCCTCGAGCTGCGACGCGATACGGGGCAAGAACTGGTGTGGGATGTTGAACACCAAGATGTCGGCGTCCTTGACCGCGTCTAGCAGGTCTGGATTGGCCACCAAGTTTTCGGGCAGGTCGATGTTGGGCAGGTACTTGACGTTCTGGTGCTTGGTGTTGATGATGTCTGTGAGGTTCTGGCCGTCCACCTGTTCCTGGAAGACCCACATGTCGACGCGGCTGACGAAGAGCTGTGGTCTTAGGGCCGCGTTTTCGGCCACCACCTTGGAAATGGTGGTACCCCAGTTACCGGAGCCGATCACGGTGACCTTGAAGGGGTGTTCAGCGCACTTGAGCGATTCGGAAAGGATATCGGAAGTTTGACCTAGTCTATCGGAAGCGGGCATGGTGTGTGGGTTGTGTGTAGTTTGTGTGTGGGTGTTGTGGTGTATGGGTTAAGATTCAGGGATGGTAGTACCAGAGTCTGATTCTTTGTCCTTTGTGGATGATGAGGAATAGAAAAACTATTAAGAAAACTGATCTATCTATCTTCATCTTCTAATAACTCCCACTTTTGGCTCCTTTTTATAAGTTTTGTTTCGCCAGCTCAGCCGGTGTGCCCGCGCTTCTTGTATCGTGCGTGTGCGTATTGGCTTGCTAGCTCGCTTGCGTAGGGCAGCGGGAGATTGCCTTTGCTTCATTCAGAAGGGATGCCATCCCGTTTTTTCCAGTTGGTTTTTTTTTTTTTTTTTTTTGGGCTTTGCCTTCCTGAGACGGGCCAACCCCTATTACGTGTGAGGTGACGAGGGTCAGACGCCGAGGCTTCCGCTCAGAAAAGGTCGCACATGCTGGCCACTTGGGGCCCAATTGCGGCTTCCCGTTTTGGGTATTGGGTCTTGCACCATACACGGCGATCGGGCCCGTGCTGTGGCAACGGGTCGGAAGAGGGTCAGCTGAGCGTCAAAAGAGGGTCAAAATAGGGTCAAAAGAGGGTCGGACAGTGAGTCAAAATATGGGTCAGAGAGTGGGTCAGAGAGTGGGTCAGAGAGTGGGTCAAGGATAGAGTCAGAAAAAGAGGGACAAGTGGCGTGGTTGGGGGTGAGACACGCACAAGTTGGCGGGTGATGAGTGAGAAGTGTGAGTGTGGGCGTGTTGGTTGAGGGAGACAGCATCACGCGGTTGGGAATTCCGCTTAAACGAGACTACAAGCAGTGCGTCAGCGATGAAGTGTGAATAAATTAGGTTCTCGAAACTAGAAAGCTTGTAGTGCAGTTGAAGACTCGTAGTACAGTTGAAGACTCATAGTGCAGTTGAAGACTCGTAGAATGGCTACAAGTACTATTAGGCAATTGGGAGCGTAAAGCGATCATGAGTACGAGTACGAGTACGAGCACCGGCGAGTACCGCCAAGCAGTTGGGAGTGTCAGAGAGGACTCGAAGCACTATTAGGATGGCTACGACCAGGGTTGAACAATTTGAAAGTGTCAGCGAACAATTGCGAATTACTTAAGATTTGATAAAACTATTGAACAATCGAGAGCGTCGGCGATAGATTGTGAATGAATCAAGGATTCGGAGCACATTTGAGCAATTGAGAGCGATTAATTTTGAATACGTAGAGGACTCGAAGCACAATTAGGATGGCTACGAGCACAATTGAACAATTAGGAGCTTCACTGATCAAGTGTGAATAAGTAGAGGGCTGTTAATGTTACCGATCAATTGAGACCGTTAGCTATAAATTGTGAATAACTATGGAGGCTACAGGACAATTGTGATAAAAGAATTCTCATTATTCTAAACAATTGATCTGTGATGCTCTCAAGTTTGAATAAGAGAGGGCTGTTAATGTTACCGAACAATTGAGACCGTTAGCTATAAATTGTTAATGAGTGTAGAACTTTTAGTATCAACTGTTGATACCTAGAACTATAAGTATCTAGAGCTCTTAATATCTAGAATCTCATTATCACTAGCGCTCTCAATTCTGATGAAGTAACTTAATATCTAGAATCTCATTATCACTAGCGCTCTCAATTCTGATGAAGTAAATATGTCAGTGTTTTTCCACAATTGAGAGCGTCAGCGAGCGACAACGAGCAATGGTGATTACGTAAGATGAAATATGGCCAAAGATACTACTGAGAGCGTTGTGTGTCAGCCATTAATCAAAGGGGTGATAGCGGTTACAAGCACTACAAAAGCTTAGAATTACTATCTAGCGCAGTAATACCATCATTCTGCCAAGAGCGTTAGTGTTTTGTATAGAGAGCTAAAGCGATCAATTGTGAGTAACTAGAGGGCTGCGAGCAATTTTGAATACGCAGAAAACTTTTAGTACCGATCGTGCATATGGAGATAGCATTTATCAAATGTGAATGAAGAGGCCTCAATCACCATTGAACAATTGAAATCGTCAGCTATTTATACTACCAGCCCTTCTTGTATTATTATACAATCGCGGACGGTCTCAAATCTTCAGTGATACTAAAGGTTCCAGAATGCTCTCATTGTTCAGCGAAACTAAGTAGTTAGAATTTTCTATTTATTCACAATTGCTCGCAAATGCTATCAATAGCTCAGTGTTGCTTGTTGCCTTCTTCGCTATCGTTTTCAACTGTTCAATTATGCTTCTAGTCATCATGCAATTCCATCGTCAGACCCTCTAATGTCTTTTTTCGTCGCCAAGACATGAAGTCCAAAGTTATCCATCATACATAAACTCGATGTACTCGCGAACGTACTCGCTCATTAACAGGCTCGTAGCCGAGATACGAAGACGAAAATCCGCCAGCGGTGAGTTATTGGTGGTTCAATTACTCAACAAAACAGTGGGGCTTCGTTAGAAACCACGAAGCTCGCAACTCGTACATTAGTCCGCCATCAACAATATACTGCCGAGTTTTTCCACGAAATTTGCCAAATCAAACTCCGCCGAAACCGCTCTGATATCTAATTACATAAATAGCTTGGCATCATATTAATACACGCAACTGCTCAACGTCCTCAAATATTCTCAACAAGACGGCATAACACCACACGACTCCGCAGCAGGCTGAAACCAATAGCTACTAATTAGCCTGGCACTCATCAAAAAACTGGACAAAGGAATCCTGACTCTTATATTTTAAAACCCAAGACCGTCAATTCATAAATCTCATCACACCTACGACACATCAAAGCATCAAGGTCAACGTTTCTCAATTCGAGACTTAATGCCGGAGTAGCATAGCGGGAATCCGTGAGTGCGTACATAATGATATGACTTTTCCCAAAATTTCAATAAATTACGGCCCCACATTACCTTACCTTTTCTTCAAACAAGTTGAAGGCACTTTTCACTTTCCGACACCCGCCAATGAGTTATTCTAATGCTCTCTTTAGCGTACGAAAAATCGTGTGGCTCCTTTCTCTTCTCCACGCCATTCATGGGCGCCCACTCGCGTCCATGATCCAACAAGAGCGGGAGCCAGAAGAGGCTGATTTTGTCACTTTTCTCTGCATTTCAGTAGTTCTAGTTTTGCTGGGAGGTGTATTCGCAGGCCTTACACTGGGGCTTATGGGCCAGGACGAAGTGTATTTGAAGGTGATCAGCTCGTCAGGCTCTTCAGCGGAGCAAAAATCTGCCCGCAGAGTGTTACAACTAATATCTAAGGGAAAGCACTGGGTTTTGGTGACTCTGCTGCTCTCAAACGTTATCACTAACGAAACGCTGCCGATCGTGCTTGACCGGTGTTTAGGCGGCGGGTGGCAGGCCGTGGTGTCGAGTACCGTGCTTATTGTCATCTTCGGTGAAATTATTCCTCAATCTGTGTGCGTTCGGTACGGTCTCGAAGTTGGCGCTTTTTTCTGCCCTTTCGTTGAAGCGCTTATGTACTTGATGTACCCTGTTGCATACCCTGTCGCTTTGCTTCTGGACTGGATTCTGGGAGAGGACCATGGAACCATGTACAAGAAATCAGGACTTAAGACTTTGGTTACTTTACACAGAACAATGGGGGTTGAAAGGCTCACCAAGGATGAGGTCGTTATAATATCCGCAGTTCTGGATTTGAAAGAGAAAAAAGTAAATGAGATTATGACTCCACTGGTCAATGTTTTCACTATGAGTGCTGACGCGATATTGGACGAGAAAACCGTGGGCGAAATATTCAACTCTGGGTTCTCACGTATTCCCATTCATTTGCCCGGTGAGAAAAACAATTTTATCGGTATGCTCTTGGTTCGTGTTCTTATTTCTTACGACCCAGAAGACTGTTTGCCAGTGTCACACTTCCCGCTGGCAACACTTCCGGAAACGTCACCAAACACTTCCTGCCTCAACATATTAAACTATTTCCAGGAGGGCAAGTCGCACATGTGCATTGTCTCTCAAGAACCGGGAAGTTCATCGGGGGCCCTTGGTGTATTGACACTCGAAGATGTCATTGAGGAGCTCATCGGTGAAGAAATCGTTGACGAGTCGGATGTTTTTGTCGATATTCACCAGCGAATTATGCGTGAACAGCCGGGCCCCCTTTCTAAGCGGCACGTCACATCCTATCTGCATTCTTTATACAAAACGTCACAGAAAAACACTGCTGAATATTCGGGGGAAGACAGACCACTTTTAGAGAGTGCTCGTGAGACCCCTCAGACGTCTTGTCAGCATACCACGGTCCTGCCATTCAATCTAGCCTCCAATCCCTTACAAACCCAAAATCCACACGTCAAAGTCAAGAGACAACCTGATGCAGCAGTTGGCCACTATACTTCTCCTACATCCGCGGGCTCTCCCACGTACGGTGGCACTGAGCACTCACTTCAGGGAAGAAGTCAAAGCCCTGTTTCATATCAGCCAAATGACAGATCCAACTCCTCAAACCAAGATACAGGTGAAGAAAACGCAATGCTGCAAGGTCACATCGACGCCTCCAAGAAAGCTGTCCAACACACGATAGATACAGGTGAACACACCAAGGTCACAACTTTAAGACAGCTGTCGCCAACAGAAACCTCTGACGCCAGGACTCCTATGTCGGACAACCCAGTAGAATCAAACTCGGGATCGGAGCTGGGTCACAGTGAAATTTCCGATACGCAAATGATCTCTTCATCATATCGCACCAGCATCAAAGGCATTGTTGAGAGTGTGGTGACGGTTAAAGGTGTCCCCAAGACCATCATCGGGCCTGCCAAGGACTGGGACGAATGCGAAGGAGTTGTGATCGACGAAGCTAACAACGTTCATGAAATGGGCGATTTTCAGAATGACCATGATAACGAGGAGGGTGATTCCTTAGAGCATCCATCTGCCAACAGACCATCTAAGAGCCGTAGAGGAAGCATTTTCAGTTTATTTCGTCAATCGAGCGCCGGTGGTAGCAGCTCTAGCATTCGTGGAAGGTCCACCCACACCTCTGCATCTTCTGAGAGAAATGGTCAAGTGACGTCAAGCGAAAACGATTGAAGCCATTCTGCCCGCTCGAATACTAAACGAAATCAAGCTACACTTCAGTGTTCTCGATTATACCTGGTCGACGCAGAGCTGGTTGGCCAAGCGGTTTTTCCACAGTTGAGTGTCACTTTTTCCCAATCTGTCGTTTTTGACCAAAGTCCTCACAAACGATGCCAAGTGAGTAATACATATATATGATATATATATCTGCATCAATCGTAAAGTCCTCACAGTTGGCTTGAACTGCTCACGTCGAACATCAACACTATCAATACCAAATCGGGGATCCCGGCTTGTATCTGTCTAAAATCTGCGAACGAAGATTAAGCTTAAGCTTTTACGTCACAGAGTTGTCGGATAGCGCTTTGGGGTGAGGACGTTTGCTTCGGGCACAGGAAATATAAGGATCGTGCTTTCATGCCGAAAAAAGATCAACACAACTCTGTACATAACAGCAATGAAACGGCGTCGCTCAAGTCCAATGGGTCGGCTTCTTCGCTGTCGCTGCCATTTTTCGGCAAGAAAAACCGGTTTGGGTTCGGAAAATTATTTAAGGGAAACAGCCATTCTTCCAACAATGAATCAGGCAAAGACATTCTCGGCGCACTGTTGTCACCACACCACAGCAATTTGAGCTCAAGATCCCAAGACTCAAACCACCGGTCGCGATCGACCATTCCCATGATGGATCATCCTCACATGAATCATAATCACGCCAATCATTTACATAACCCTAACAACTACATGCACTTTGAACCAAGTGGCAATTCTACTTTGAGCTCAAGCAAGCATTTATCCGGAAACTCAATTCACTCCCAGCTTCCATCGCAAGCACATGTGCTGAAAACTGTTCCATCGCCTGATACCCACATGCATCCTTCCCAACTGCTTCAACGTGAAATCGAGGACCAACAAAGGTTTAACTCGCCTCCAAAACTTTCACACGGGAAACATGAAAAAAAGGCTCTCCATTTAAAACGGTTCTTTAAAAAGATCCATGGCGAGCACCATCATGACAAACAATCCAGTCCTGTACCAACTCTGCCATTAGCCGTTACCTCCGACCCCAATGCTAATTCGACCAAGACACTGTATGAGACAGAAAATGCTCGGGAATTGATTGAAAATTATGGCAACCCTGGCAAGTTGATTGGCGAAGGAGCTTCAGGCTCAGTGTCAGTCGTAGAATCAACCGACGGGAAGATGTTTGCTGTCAAAAGATTCAGAGCGAGAGGTTCGAAGGAGTCCCAAATTGAGTATTCGAAAAAAGTAACCTCTGAATTTTGCATTGGATCTACACTTCATCATTGCAATATCATCGATACTTTGGATATGCTGCAGGAGGGCTCTAATTTCCTAGTAGTGATGGAGTTCTGCCCTTATGATTTCTTTACGCTTGTAATGAGCAATCTAATGGTTAAGGCCGAAATCGCGTGTTATTTCAAGCAGATTTGCAATGGTGTTAGCTACTTGCATAGCATGGGTCTCGCCCACAGAGATCTCAAATTGGATAATTGCGTTGTTACTGCGCAAGGAATCTTAAAGTTGATTGATTTCGGCAGCGCTGTTGTCTTCCAATATCCCTACGAAAACGAGATCGTGAAGGCGAAGGGAATTGTCGGATCAGATCCCTATTTGGCTCCCGAGCTACTGAGTTTTCAAACTTACGATCCGAGACCAGTCGACGTATGGTCGATTGCCATAATGTTCTATTGCATGTCACTCCGAAGGTTTCCTTGGAAGGCCCCAAGAGAAAAGTATCAGTCCTACAGGCTTTTTTGCGAAGAACCGGAAAGTGAAAAGGATTTACAAAGGGGGCCATATCGCCTGCTCAAATTACTGCCACGCCATTCGCGAAGGGTTATTTCAAAGATGTTGGAACTGGACCCCGAAAAGAGAATACTTATGGAAGACGTCATGAAAGAAGAATGGGTTGAGTCGATTGAGTGTTGCGCGCTGGACGATCAAGGGCAATTGGCGAGTGTTCCCCAGTCCCATAAACATCACCTCATCACTGAAGATGATCTGAATGAGCTAAACGAGAAACGAATGGAAGAACAAAGGCTTGCCAAACTACATGATCAGGAAGATAACCCTGCTCCATTGGAAAATGTAACGAAAAAGCTGGAGGAATCGCAAGTAGCATGATAGGGCAAGCACCAGTTATCAAGCATGGACGGACAAGAGAAAGGTATATAAACCATAAATCAAACTTTATATGATTACAAATTCATATTTTTCATTTATAAGGGAAGGCCAAGGACGTAATGTTGTGTTCGGAAATAAATCTATCAGTGATTTTCGCGAACTACCATCCCAGTTCGAAAAGCATGCTGATCGATTCACCGTTATGAATTCTTCTAATGGACTCTCCAAAAATTTGCGAGATATCAAGAACATGTACTCTGTCCTTCCCCATAAATTTGACGGTTTTGTGTTGAGGAACTGAGTTAGTGACGATTATCTTGTCAATTGCGCTCATCGAGACTCTATTCAAAGCATCTCCAGAAAAGACACCGTGCGTGATCAAAGCATAAACCTTGGTTGCGCCCTGGTCCTTGAGAAGTTTGGCGGCACGAGTAATGGTGTAAGAAGTGTCAACTAAATCATCCACTAGAATACAGGTTTTGTTTCGAACATCACCAACTAGCATCGTAGTCTGAACGTACCGGGAACTTGACGATGAAGATCTCATTTCTTGTGAGTTCAAAGCCAAAGAAGAGACTGAGGCGATTAATGGCTTACCTGAGACAGCTGCTCCACCGCCTGACGTTAAACTGGCGTCAGGAGGTCCCTTGGGCAATTGTGATCTTTTCTCTTTGTGTATCAGGGCGAAAGAGATTCCCAAAGAGTCCGCAAGCGATGCTGCACGCTTTGCACCACCAGCATCGGGAGAAACTACCACGGCTTCCTTATATTCTGGAATGTTGTACTGGATGTAATTATGGGCAATAGGCTTGCTGTACAAATTGTCCACAGGAATGTCGAAAAAACCCTGAAATTGCGAATCGTGAAGATCCATAGTGATAACATGGTCCGCACCAGCTGTGGTGAGCAAGTTGGCCACTAAAGTGCCCGCTTGTGCAACCCAGAGTTTGTACCCGGCGTTGTTAGCATTAAAAAGAGATCCCAGCTCAGAGCTGTTTTCCTTGCGCTCTGGAACCATGGGGATACGCGATTGCGAAGGAGACTTGTGCAAATCGCCGCCCTCGGAAGATCTGACAGGTTCAGGGTGCTCCAAATTTGACGACTCTGAGGTTGTCGTGTTGTCGATGTTACTACTACTAATGGGGCCGTCGGAAGGAACTCTAGGCTTTTGCGTCGTCGCCATCGATGGAACTGGAGTACCGGGTACGCTCTCAAAAGTGTAAGTTTCTTTGGGCTTAGAAATTAGAGGTGCCCCTTTGGCCGTATATGGGATATCGGGCTGACGAGAGTAGCAGAAGTAGGGCATCACTGCAGTGACACGGGACGCTGAGGCAGTTTTGCAAGCATTTAGAAGAATTAGCAACTCGATGAAGTTGTCGTTGACATGCCCACATCCACTTTGAATGACGTATACGTCCTTTTCACGTACCGATTCACCGATGCTGATGCTTGTCTCTCCGTTAGAAAATTTTCCCAGTTTGACCTGCGAGGGCTTGATCCCCAGATTCCCACATATCTTTTCGACTAGTGATGGATGGGAAGAGCCACCAAATACGACAATATTGTTCATTCTAAAGGCCTTCTTAGGGTCTCTTAGGGCATCTATAGGTGTTCTGGCTGTAGGTCAAATTATGGAACGATAGATTATCTTGATATATTAGCTTGCCGTCAGCGACACATAAGTACAGAGTGATTTTGAGTAAAGAATAAAGCCAAGTTTCATGCGTTTAGTCCGGGAACGACACCTAGGAACTGTGAATATATGCAATTCCATATCTCTATAATGGCGTCAAGATATTGAAGATTTGAAAGTCATATTTTCCGTACATATTTTGACAAAATTGTCGACACCAGTTGAAATTTGCTGAATAAAGTGTTAGTGTCAGCCCTACTCAGACTTCTCCTAAAAGCTTAGCCTTTTTGATATCGCAAGGAAAATACTAACAGATACATTGTGTTCAATAACTTTATTTCATCATCAAGATAACAGTCTCTAAATCGGTTTTAATATACCGGCAGCAGATCTAAAATTTTGGCTATTTCAACGAATAGAAATCAATACTTCCCAGCACTACCAAGCTACCGAGAGCATTAGCAATCAACTGTAACTAACCTGTATTTATACAATAACACCATTAGCTATCTTTCTGATAACACGCATCATGTACGAAAATGACATCTACGGTTTAATTAGAATCTTGAATCAACAATAGCTAACACAGTCTCACCAATCTCTCGATCAATACGCTTCAATGATCAGTGCTTTATTCATATATTCTCTGCGAGGGGAACTGCTGATTTCCAAAGATGTGAAATCCACAGTTCAGAAGTCAATGGCAGAGATTTTCAGAATTCAAGTTATAAACAATCTTGATGTTCGATCTCCGGTATTGACTCTTGGATCAACAACCTTTCATTATATCAAATCGCCCGGAAACTTGTGGATAGTGTCTGTCAGTCGATCTAATGCAGACAGTGCGGCAATATGGGAGTTTTTATACAAGCTCAGCTCGCTTTTGCAAGCTTACGGCCTGGATTCAGAAAAGAATATGAAGGAGGAATTCATGACGTGTTTCGAGCTCCTGGATGTGCTCCTTGAGAATGGAGTGCCCATGGAAAGTGAATTCAGCAATGTGGCATCGCTAATGTCGGTCAAACCTTCAATAGCAGTTGATGCCTTCAACAGTTTCACGGAAGGCATAGCGAACGGCACGGATCGGTTTATACCGCGTTCACGGCTGTTAAAGAGAAAGTCAAGCACATTCATCTCTCAGGATACACTGAAAGACCAGCAATCAAAAATTCCATGGAGGAACAATGGCATCAAGTATAAGAAAAATGAAGTTTTCTTGAATGTTAATGAGAGCATCAATATTCTCGTCTCTAAAGACGGATCCATCTTAAAATCTTATGTCGATGGCACTGTGGAAGCTACGACACACTTGAGCGGCATGCCCGTGTGCCGTTTTGGCCTGAACGACGCCTTGTCGATAACATCTCCATTTTACGAAGGTTCTCCGGAAACGGTCAATAAGAAAGCCATTCCAAAAGCAGCGGCCGGGAGCGTCATGCTTGAAGACTGTAAATTTCACCAGTGCGTCCAATTGGAAAAATTTCAAACCGATCGCACCATCAACTTCGTGCCGCCAGATGGCACTTTCGAGCTCATGAAATACCACGTCAGGGAGAATCTCAACTTACCTTTCAAAGTGACACCCATTGTGACAGTGTCCAGATCGGGATCAATCGAATACCGAATCACCATCAAATCGTTGTTCCCAGGAAAACTCAGCGCTAAAGACGTCCAGATGCGAATACCTGTCCCGCCAGAAACTGTTGACTGCAGTTTTTCCACGTCTAACGGAAAATGCAAGTTCGTTGCTGCCGAGAGCGCGATTATTTGGCAATTCAGCAGATACCAAGGGTTAACGGAAAACAGTATTTCTGCTACGGCTCTCCCCGCAAAGGGTTATCTACTAAATTTCGATAAATGGTCAAGGCCTTCAATTTCCTTGAAATTCGAGGTCACGATGTTCAGTAATTCAGGTCTTGTCGTTCGCTTTTTCGACATTTTGCAGAAAGACAAAAATTATAACTTGATCAAGTGGATCCGATACATATCGCGCTCGGGGGCTTACGAAGTGAGATACTAGCATGTTCTAACAGAGGACATCAAAAATCTGTTGCAGTTGAACACCGAACTATTGTTCAGACACTTATACATCACTACATACGCGGTGTGATTAGCATTCATATATTTTAGTTGACACATTAATCCTCCTCTGAGGTGAAAGAGATCCAGGCGTTCTATGTTACTCCACAGCCTGACTTCTCGCTCTGTGCCCAGAGTATACAGACCATTATTGTCTCCGATAGCTTTCAATAATGCAGGACATTCGATTGGCTCATTAGGTCTTTCATGGCCGTCTCTGCTCCAGAAACGAGCGGCAATAACTCCAGCGATCGCAGTCCATAAGAACCTGGTAGGCAAACAACTGACTTTCAAAAGAGCCCTTTTCGTAGATTGTCGACCAAAACGAGGTGTTATATCGCAAAAACATTTCCAGCAAAGCTTTCGTCAAGGAGTCCAGAGGGCATACACGCGAATTTATGGACCTCCCAAAACCCCTCGGGCATTTGTTCTGTTGACAGTGGCGGGAGCTGTGATTTTGCTGGTAGTTGTGCTCCCGTTTGTACTCACGTTCTTCTTCCCCTTGATCATTGCCGGGATTGTTGGTTTCCAGCTCAAGAGGCGCAAGACCAGCGCGATGATGGCAGAGCTTCATCGAAGTCTTCAAACATCTAATAGAAACATCAGACATAGTACAATACTGGGAATTCAATCAAAGGCGTTTGAGTCGATATTCCAGCAAGAACATTTCCCCAATGGCATGTTTGGTGGTGTTTTGAACGAGTTCAAAAGCCGCCGGCTCGATACGGCCAAGACGCGTCGCGAGGTCGAGGCAATGTTCAGCTACGTGAACTCCAGGGTTCTCGATGCCTTCAAAGTCAACGAATCTGGAGTGCGGGACTGCTTTCTGGGAACCGATGTTTCAAGCTGGATCGATAACAGCTACGATTTAGAAATTAAATTCGATATTCCGCAGACTCGTGGAAAGATCGTGGAAGGCGTGTTAGTGATGAACATCGAATTTCCTTTGCTGCTGCGGTCCTCAAACCAATCTTCCAAGCAATTGGCGACGGTAGCTATTGCATTTCAAGATCGCAGCTTGGCAAATGAAAATGTGGCATCTTTCGAAATTTTCAAGGACCTTGCTCGCATGGACAAAGAGTGCCCAATGGTTTTAAGCATTCGGCCGTACCGCACCCTTTCTTCGCGATTGTTCATCCTGCAAGACACAGGCAAAGGCCTGTTTTCTGTGAAGAAGACCAATGATGGACATCGGGAGTTCACATACAATGGGTAAAATAAACCCACATAGGTCTCGTCTGACATTTTTATTCCCCAAGGACAATCCTTCTGGCTCTCACAATTTCCTTGTATTCCGACTTCTTGATTCACTGTCGCCAAAAAGCGGTTTTCAGCGAGAAGATGACCAGAAAGCAAGCAAAGATTGACAAAACTTAGGAAATCATGAAAGTAAAAAAGCATAATAACTGAAGAAGTGTGAGGCAAACTAAACAAACGTCTAGAGTCTAAAATCTGTAGTCCAGATCGTTGACGATTCTTTCGGAAGCGTCGTGCAAGCCATATCGTCACTCTATACGTTGTAGTCAAAATATTAAAATTATAGGATAGGGGCATTCGAAGAGAGCCAGCTCCTAACTTCAAGACTCTCACCGTCTAACAGACAGATCACCACATTAGCAATGGATCCCACGAATCCAATTGGTATGTTTAAATAACTGAGATTGTAGCCGATGTCTTATTTGGCGATCAACCTCCGAATACAATGCCATAATAGAGTTTTATTACTAACTGACACTCATTCAAGTTCTGGACCAAGGTACGGGTTTCGTTAAAATTGGACGTGCTGGGGAGAACTTTCCGGACTACACGTTCCCATCTATTGTAGGTAGACCTATTTTGAGGGCCGAAGAGCGTGCAAATGTGAGCACACCATTGAAAGACATTATGATTGGTGATGAAGCCAGTGCTGTCCGTTCCTACTTGCAAATATCATATCCAATGGAAAACGGAGTAATAAAAAACTGGGCTGACATGGAGTTACTATGGGACTATGCATTTTACGATCAAATGAAGCTTCCTTCTCTGTCGGGAGGCAAAATCATGCTAACAGAGCCTCCAATGAACCCAGTCAAAAATAGGGAACAAATGTGCGAGGTGATGTTTGAAAAATACGATTTCGGAGGAGTTTATGTGGCGATCCAGGCCGTCCTTGCGCTATATGCACAAGGCCTGTCATCGGGAGTGGTTGTGGACTCTGGTGATGGTGTTACGCACATTGTCCCAGTCTACGAGTCTGTGGTCTTGAACCACTTGACCAGAAGACTGGACGTGGCCGGAAGAGATGTGACAAGGCATTTGATCGATCTTCTTTCCCGGAGAGGTTACGCCTTTAACAGAAGTGCAGACTTCGAGACAGTTCGCCAAATAAAAGAAAAACTGAGCTATGTCTCCTATGATTTGGATCTAGATACCAAGCTAGCCAGAGAAACAACAACCTTGGTTGAAAATTATGAACTACCGGATGGCAGAGTTATCAAGGTTGGTTCTGAAAGATTCGAGGCTCCTGAGTGCTTATTCCAGCCCAGTTTAGTAGACGTTGAACAGCCTGGTGTTGGAGAGATGTTGTTCAATACAATACAATCTGCAGACGTCGACGTCAGAAGCGCTCTTTACAGAGCAATTGTCCTTTCAGGCGGTTCGAGCATGTACCCAGGGCTGCCATCGAGATTAGAAAAAGAACTCAAGCAATTATGGTTCACCAGGGTTCTTCGCAACGATCCATCCCGATTAGAGAAGTTCAAAGTGAGGATAGAAGATCCTCCCAGAAGAAAGCACATGGTTTTTATAGGTGGTGCTGTACTTGCGAACATTATGGCTGACAAGGATCATATGTGGCTAACAAAACAAGAGTGGCAAGAGATGGGTCCTGCTTCAATGTCAAAATTCGGTCCCAGGTAGAGTGGATCATAATCTGTACCAATGACTGTCTGGAATGAGTGCGTAAAACTTTGTCAGTAGTCCTATATTTACTATGAAGACAAAACCAATCTATTCTGCATTTCCGCACTTTTCCGTACATGTCACCCAAATCACCATTTATATAGTACAACCGTTAAATAAACCCGAAACAACTTTTATAGTCTAAAGTCAGCCAGTCGGTGCCATACATCATCGGCCAATTCTTCTATTTTATCACTTGAAAGCTCCCTCTGATTGAAACCGTATTTTACCGAGTTCTTGATTAGATCGCGAATGAAAAAATGTGTTACTGCAATCGGCTTGACAAAGGGCCCACTTAAAGCTTCATAAACCGTCCATCTTTTGTCTGGTTCTCTTTCTAAACATGCCTTCATTGTATCAATCGCAGTTTTCGGTACGATGTCACCGCTTGGTGTTTTCTCAGGGTAAACAATCTTTACCTCAGGATTCATGATAGCCAGCAGTCTATTTTGCCCTTGGAATCCCCCATATGGCGGTCTACCGTAGATCATTTGATAAATGATGCAGCCGCAAGACCAGATATCTGAAGGCTTGCCGACTTTCCACTTATTTTGATCTGCCGGCTGATCCTGAGTAAAATTCATGGCCACTAGAGCCTCTGGCGCCATATAGTTCGGAGTCCCAATTTGAGTTTCTCGGTATATGTTCACTGTGTGGTCAGGAACTGCGTTCGCAATGCCAAAGTCAATGATTTTGAGAATGCCCTTTACGAACACGAAGTTCGCAGGCTTGAGGTCCGAGTGTACAATTCCAGCCTCATGAACAACCTGCACGCACTTCAACATCTCTTGTGCATGATATCTGACGAATTCTACGTCCAAATCCATACCAGATCTTTGAGCCAAAGTTTGCGACAAATCGTGGTCACCACACTCCATGACCAGATATAAAATCCCAGAATCCATCTCATGATCTATGAGCCTAACCACGCGTGGTTTTGTTTCGAGTTTCTTCAACAACTCTATTTCACCTTTGAAGCCATCAACGCTGCTGTCATCAAACTCATCAAAAGAAACTCGCTTTAAAGCATAAACCTTATTGTTAGCCGAGCTTTTTACTTTGTACACTTTAGAAGTGCCGCCTCTTCCGAGTAGTTCTAGTTTCTCGTACTCAGTCCCATTGACACATACAAGCGGTCGCTTTCTATTCGAGAAGTCGGATCCCGCGGTCGAAGGCTTCGGCGAACAATGTTTAGCCGATCTGACTGGTTCCAAAATCTCCACATGCTTTCTAGCGGGCAAAGCCGATGAGTTGTGATGCAAAATTGGGTCCCCTTGTTGGTTTTCAAGTCCGCCGCGATTTTCGTGCCTGTCTTCGATGCCGTCCAATGAATACTTCAGCTTCTTTTGCAAAGGCTGACTGGCGTTGCTGTTGTTGATATTGATGTTAGAAAGTGCCTCGCGTTTTGGAAAGTAGCCGGTGCTACTTCGATTGGGTATCTTGACAGCTTCATACTTATCGTCATGCAAATGCTGCTTGGTGTGGTTATTAGAATTCTCGATCGTGCTTGCTACACCCAGAACGGGAGACGAAAAAGCCTTCGAGATACAATTCACAGAACCTTCACTTATTTTGCGTCTTGGCTCTCTTTTCGTAAATGAGTCCTCTCGCCTTAGGATCTCGTTTTGTCTTAAAAATGGTGAGTTAGACAGTGATGCGGTGGTTAGTCGGCCGTGTATTGCGTCCTTCGTAAGTGTATGTTTACGAAGCGCAGTCCTGCGATTCTGGCCTTTTTGTTGCTCGAAGTAAGCCCTCGAGATGTTTGGTAGTTCAGTTGTTGGGAGATTGTGCTTTTTGAGAAATTGGTAAGGATTCAGCTCTCCAAATTCTATATTTTCATAACTTGCATTGGTATCCTTGTAGTCCACGATTTTGTCGGGAGATGAAGAAGCTTCTTGTTGAGGATCATAGAAAACATTGTAACCGCTATTGTTTTCGGCGCTAGCCACCCCACTCGTTCTAAAGGAGTGAGAGTCATTGAAGTCCTCGCTGATTCCAATCTTGTCTGGTGTTGCCGTTGCTGAGGATGCCCGTTTTGCGGGACCCAAGAGACTCAAGCGAGACGAAATAAATCTTCTGTTTCTTCTTCGAGAGCCCCTAGTGGACAGTTCATCTTTCAAGGCTTGTTGTAGATTTTTCAATTTGGAGGCGCTGTTACTGTCTCTGTTGTCCAAGGTAGAGCTGTATGACTTGCCAAGATCGGCTTGGAGTTCGGGATTGAAAGTTGTCATACTTTGTTGCTGGTCCTTAGAATTTCCAAACATAGTAGAATCTGAGTGCTCCTCGGAATACGTCGTTGTGTGCAAGTTAGCCGCATTTGAGAGAGTACCGTACAGGTCTTTGCTTCTTTTGTTGTTGTTTGACATGCCTTCCTTCCCAATGAGCTTCGGGGAGTCTGCTAAAACGCCAAATGACTTTCCGAGCCGCATTTTGTTATGAAGTCCCTGCAATCCGGGTTCAATGTTCTCCTTATCGGAGAGCAATGCAGAGCCAAAGTTACTCAACTGTGGGGGTCCCAGCATATTCTCGTCGTCCGAGTCCTCTTTCAAACGATTATTTGTGGCCAGAGTTCGCGGGAGAGTGTCAAGCTCACCTCTGTTCATAGGACGCGAAAGTGTGTCAGATCTTACAGAAAAGCTGGCCATATCTTTTGTCAATATGTCATAGATGGATAAACAAATATGTTCAGCTGGTATCGATGATTTGTCGCTGCTGTCTTGGAATAAATCAACAGCGTTAGCTGCAACGTTAAAGAGCTGTAAAGCAGCGAAAAAAAAACCTCTTTAATGACTGAACCAAGTCTTGACTACTTGATCAAATGTTATAACTGGCAAACTGACCTCTTTGACGCGCTAAAAGGTCTAAGTTTGTTCTTTGGGGATTTCAAAAGTTTTTGAATATAATGTTTACAAAATCCAAATATTCAATTTATTTGCCGATGACTATATAGATATATAAGACCTTCGAATGAGAACGACTAGTGCCGCCAAATAGTATAAATACTGGGTATTTGGCACAAGTTATACCTTAGATCTAAAAATCAGGCTGTTGTATCTGGTCTAGGTGTGAGGGGAACGGTCTTTGAGTTGCAGCTTATCCTGAATTGGTGCATGTCATTGCCAAAGCGCGTCTTTTTTCATGAGCTTGTCCACCGACTTTCTTTCCAACAGCGACTCAGACGGTGGCAGCAGTAGTCTTTACATAAGACCAGTGTTTTTGCGGAAGCGAGTGAAGCGGTCGGTGGACAAAAGCACAGATCTTGTTACATCTTTAGAAACGCAAGATTCACAGGTAAGAGATCAGAGAACAGACAGGGAAGCCAGAATCGAATCTAAAAATGAAGATTTGCGTGCGCAATTTGAGATTGAAACTGATCTCACAAAATCGATCCGGACGCGGGGCCAGAAAAGTCTCTCAGAACCGCTTGCGGAGCGTCAATGTGAAGCTGAATCTTGCGATGAGATGTCTCCATCGACGCTTTTTGAGGAAAGCTCCAAAATATGTCCAACAAACGCGAGTGATGCAACTATCCCGTTGCGACCAGTCAAAAAACCCAAGGTCAAACGTGAAGGAATAGGCGATAACGAACTGACATTTGAATACGGAGATCCCGTTGCAGGTTATCGGTTTGTGGGAAGTAAAAATGACTTTGAAAATTACGCCAAAACTAACGAACGGCAATCGCCATCATCAGCAACATCTACTGAGTCCGACAAGGATGAGTGCGACGCAGAACTTTACGACGCGAAAGAGAAAACGTCACACTCAAAGCGCGCGTCCGATATCTCGCTGTATATGAGTGGTAGAATCGCAGATTTGAGGCTGCCCATTGAACATGCACCGCTTATAGATGATGTCAAACTTGAGGACATCGAGGAACCCAAAATCGATTTGTTTTTCCAAAGATGCGCTTCGCATCAAAATAAACCACTGCGTGAGCTGTTGAAGCAGGAAAGGGTCGCATGGCATCCTGACAAGGCCCTTAGAACAAACTTCAAGCCAGGCACCGAACGTTCCAGCAAGATCACCAGAGTTTTTCAGGCCATAAACAGTCTGTGGGAAAAGGCGTAGTGAAATTTAAAAGAGCCCTTTCAGGGTTCTGGGTCCGATGCCGTTGCCGTTGTGGTGTCTTGAGGGGTCGGGACAGTTTCCACGGTCGCCTCTCTCTCGGCGTCGTCCCCATGTCCTGACCCATGCTCACCGTCTTCTTCCTCAACCACGACTTCATCGTCATCCTCGTCGTCCTCTGCTTCAGCTTCTTCAGCTTCTTCTTCTTCTTCTTCTTCTACAAGGTCAATCTCTTCATCGTCTTCATCGTTTTCCAAAATTATTTCCTCTGCCTCAGCTTCTTCTGGATTGTTAATTTTCCGTTTTTTAGGTTCCGGCTCATTTGTAGCAGAAACGTCTCCTTGACTCGCACTAGTGTCGTCACCATCGAGCTTGCTACCGTTAGTCTCTATATCTTGTTCGGCATCTCCTTCCATGTCATCTTCGTCGTCATCTTCGTCGTCTTCTCCTTCTTCTTCCACTTCGTCGTCATCTTCTTCCTCAGCTTCCACTTCAGGCTGTTCTGGCGGATATTCGTCGCCTTGCTCATTGTCCCAAATAATGTTGAACCTCGTTACTCGTGGTTTTTCTGCCAGAATATTTCTGACCACTTGATCCACTTGAACTTTAGCGGGCGGATTTTCTCTAAGCTCCTCATTGTTATACTCGTTGTTCACGTAGTATCCAACGCGAACAAATTCACGTCCGTCATAGGAACAGCTCAGTAGAATCACCGTAACACTTACCAGTTCGCTTGCTGGAATCAACTCTGGCGAAGGAGGATCGGCCGTGAATAAAAACTTATTGACTCCGACTGGAACGGGACCCACCAAAATAGAGTCAAGCTCTTGGTCGTGCTCTAAACTGCGAGAAGAGCCAACGTATGTAAGCTTCCATTCGAGGTCCTTTTTCAATGGTTCCAAGCATTCGAAAGTGATCTCAAATTCATAAGGGTCTGCAAACTTCGCAGGGTTGTTGAGCACATTGATCCCTAGCAGTGAAACAATTGACATAGTGTATGAAGTTCGGCAAGAGTTTTCTCTAGACTGTTTGAAGATCTGATGGAATCACACAGCTGTCAAATTCTAAGTTCAAGATCTAACGTGTTTTTTGAAAGACGCGTAAAACTTAAAATAATCACTATGAACGGAAACACGTACTTTAGAGCGTGGTTACTCAATGTTCAGCTCTGTTCATTTCACCCTAACTCATCTTAGTTCCAGTGAATGCTGTAATGCTTGCCATGCAGAGTGTTGTCAAGGATAAATTAAGGTGCTTTACGAAGAAAGCTAATATTTTTGCTTTCTTGGCTTGTCGAAACGATTCACGAATGTTTAACATCTATATATATATATATATATGCCTAAACCAACTGTGTGAGAATACCTTCCTGCTCGAATGAAAGCACTCTTCGACTGCTCCGCTTAGAGGATGACATGGAGTTGTACTTGTCTCTTTTAGGTGTTTGTGGCAGCGAAACGTAGTATGGGTCCGAGCTGTCGGTATCACAGGATGTAGGGGCTTGTAGCGATGCAAGATCGACGCTCTTAGGTCTCAAACTGGTGTAGGATAGCATGCTGGTGCGGTGTTGTGAGTCGTGTAAGCTTTTGGAGTCCTCGCGCTGCGAGATAATGTACTGGTCCCTGGACAGAAGCACGACTCCGCAAATCAAGCTTACGACGCCCGGTAGTATCACGGCCACGACTTTAGCCATGGGCTCTTCTTGGTCGTGGAAAAAAACAATCCCGTTGAAAATGTTGACGAGGTTGTAGATGCAGAAGACCAACGGGTACAGAATGGAAGTGGAAAGGTGTCGCAGACCGGTGTTAAGTAAGAAAAGCTGGGTGAGCGACAGAGACACGAAAATAGCGACTAGAATCCAGAACCTCGAGGTGGCCAGGTCTGTTGAGCGGTGCACGACCGCATGTGTCACGATATCGGAAACAGACTTGGCCATCAGTAGCGAATGCGCAGACCAAATCCCACTGCAGCAGCCGTAACTGACGCCCTTGGCGAAAGTGGGGAGAGCTTTGGCGTTGTACCACGTGAGAATCAGCACCACCCCGACCAAGGCATTGGTGCACACGAACCAGCGCATGAACAGCGGGCCCTGAGCCAATTTACACAACTGCGGCAGTGAATGGGTTATGGAGTGGGAGTTGGACGCCGAGACCCCCATGACGCCAATGACCATGCCTCCGGTTACAATTAGAAGCGTGGCCACGGGCGTGCGCCACGAGGAGTACTCCTTGAGCACGTAGTGAGCCGCCAGCGAGTTGAAAAGAAGCCCACAGCTTTGCAGAGGCGCGAGCACGATCAGCGGCAACGTTGCGATTTGCACGGTGCTGCCGACAATGTTGGCCAGTAGGAACAGAGCAAGCCCCAGCTGCCACGTTGGGTCTTTATACAGGGACTTGTTGGTGCGTTCCTCGTGCGCGACGCTGGCCTTTCGCTGGAGCGTCAGCCCGAGCGACTGGGTCGCGGATGAGACTATGCCTACTACTACCCCGATACAGATGATAGTAGAAGCATTAGCCATTGGAATGTGTGGTGGAGGAAGCTTTTGGGTGTTTGCTGGGTTTGGTCTGGGGGAAGAGATGTGGTAGACGAGCATTGTTTTATACGTGTTGTCTTTATATAAATGGTGGGCAAGAGGATGAGTACGAGTACGAGTACGAGTACGAAGAGCATCGCGAGCCCTCAATGTCTGGCGAAGATTGGGAGGCAGCGCCCAGCTGATATGCAATTGCATCAACCAGGACTGTTACAGGGCCGCAACATGTCTATTGAAATTACGATAGGATTTGAGACGTAGCGGGCTGTATGATAAGCGTTTGAATTGATTGTTGGGGAGAAATGGTGGATTAAAAATGGAGAGGTAGATGTTGTCAGCGTGGACGGGGTGCCGGTAAGTGACCACTGTCTGTCACGTGACAGACCTTCCATACCTTCCACTCAAAAAAATTCAACTCCGCGACGGGGAATTGAACCCCGGTCCCGGGCGCGACAAGCCCGAATTCTAGCCACTAAACTATCGCGGATGGCTTCTGGATAAGGAAGTGCTGGATATGATCGTACCGGGCAGGAAAGAACACATGGCGTTGACTAAAACCTCACAGCCTGGCTGTGCAAACTACCGAGACTCTGCCACGCCCTCTGTTTCACGGCACACCGATTGGTGGCAATGTGTGGTTACGCATCGGTCACCACTCTTGCTCTTACCATTGTGTCAACCACCTTGGGCAAATCAACAACACTTGCCGTACGTTTTTCCCTTGGGTTTTTCTTGAGGTCCAGACAAAGTTGAGAAAAGATGTTTTACGAATGGCAGCAAATTGAAACAAGACCCACACACCCGCTCCAACGCCGCCCCGTTTCTTTTCTGCGCTGCTCAGACATTTCTTTTCGCTTGCCTGCACAACTTACTTTTTCTCCGATCATCACACCTCGAGCCTGCGCGCGTGTTTGGGCTTTGAACGCCCCATGCGGACCTTTCTTGCCGAATGGGGCAACCGACGCATTACCCGTCCCACTAATGTTTCCCGATCGGGCAACGCCGAATCGATCCACGGCAGGTCACCTGGGCCTGGGCCCGCCCGACCAGATCGGGAAATATCATTACAAACGGGAACGATTTCCCGGTATATAAGAACAACGGTGGTAGTGGGCAGTGGGCTGTGGTGTTTGACAATACTAGAGATTAGAGTACAGTTTTGGAATTCAAAAGCACCACTATAACCTAGCACACTCATTCACTCCCTCACTCCCTCACTCCCTCACTCACTCACTCACTCACTCACCCACGCGTCAGTCACCGCCTCTCACACTCACTTGATCTCGCTGGCCTTACTACGCATCTAACGCCCCAACTGCCCCGTCGCTCCTTTTATACGGAAGTTGTCAACACACTGTAAACACACCCACACACCCACACACCACACAATGCTCGCCCGTCTCGCCCTCGTCTCGGCATCGCTGCTAGCCCTTCCATTGGCCTCGGCTGCGCCTGCCGCCGCCGTTCACCACCACGACCGTCGTGACGCGGTCACCACTGTGATCCAGTACGTCGACAAGAACGGAAACCCGATCTCGGCTGCGGCCACGGCCACGGCCACCTCCGCGGCTAGCACGTCGTCGTCATCGTCATCAAGCTCTTCGTCCGCGGCCTCGTCTTCGGCGTCTTCCTCCTCCTCGACTTCCTCCTCCTCTGGCTCCTTCCAGGACGGCACTATCAAATGCTCGGACTTCCCTTCCGGAAACGGCGTGGTCGAGCTCTCATGGGTCGGTCTAGGCGGCTGGGCCTCTGTCATGGCCCAGGACGGCAGCACCGCGGAATCGTGCCAGGACGGCTTTTTCTGCTCTTACGCGTGTGAGCCAGGCATGTCCAAGACCCAATGGCCCTCGGAACAGCCCTCCGACGGAAGATCCGTCGGAGGTCTGGAGTGTCGCGACGGATATCTGTACCGTACCAACCAAGACTCCAGCAACTTGTGCGAGGACGGCGCCGGTACCGCGTACGCCGTCAACAACAAAAACTCCGAGATCGCCATGTGCCGTACTGACTACCCTGGCTCCGAAAACATGGTCATCCCCACTGTCGTGGGCGCCAACTCCAAACAGCCCGTCTCTGTGGTGGACGAGGACTCGTACTACACCTGGGGCGGCAAAAAGACCTCTGCCCAGTACTACGTCAACAACGCCGGTGTTAGCCAGGAAGACGGCTGCATCTGGGGCACCGACGGTTCTGGCGTGGGCAACTGGGCCCCCGTCGTCCTCGGTGCAGGCCACACCAGCGGCAACACGTATCTGTCGATCATCCCCAACCCCAACAACAAGGAAACGCCCAACTTCAACGTCAAGATCGAGGCCACGGACGGGTCCAGCGTCAACGGCGAGTGTTCTTACGAAAATGGCCAGTACTCGGGCTCTGGCTCGGACGGCTGCACCGTGACGGTGACGTCTGGGTCCGCCAACTTTGTGTTCTACTAGCTGGTGATACACAACAAACGAGTTTTGTTGCGCGTGGTTGCGCATGAAGAAAACTAAACCAAACCCAAAAGCATCTCATTTCCGATCTTTTGCGATACCCCCGGATCTTATCCACATTTCAATGTCAGGATCTTTTTTTTGTTTTTGCGAGAAGCTGGTAAAGTAGCAAGGCCTCACCGCCCCCGTTGCTCGTCCCACCCAGCCTCGCGTGTGTTATATTACAATACAGTACAATCATTCACTTCGATTGTCGATTGGCTTCACTATCAATTTTTCATCCACCCTAGGTTTTTCAATTATGGTTCTTTCGTTTTCGGGATTGGGCGTCGCTCTGGCGTCTCTCGTCCTTCTATACAAATAGTTTAGAGTTTTTTACAGTTTATATTAAGAAATGGTCACTAAAGCGTTGCGAGTGGCGAGGCCTGCGGGATGGGTAATACCAACCTACAATTGCGTGATTCTCATCAATCGCCATGGCTCTCACACGGATAGTACATACTTACAATTGCCATGGCCCTCACACCGTTTTCATTATTAGCATCAACACAGCTCTGTAGTAGTTGGCTAGCAAGATGCAACTGCGCGTCGCACAAACTTCTCACACTGATCACGTTTCTCGACTTTGCAAGCGCGGGAACCAAACGCTTTTCAAACCGTGGCAGGCTCCCAAATCTTTGGGAAATCGATACACAAATTCGAAATCTGCATTTTTGGCTGCGTCCTCTGTCGCATTCACGAACTTCTCGTCCCATCGCATGCGCTCAGCACTTAACAATTTCTCCCAACGGTTGAAAACCTCCAGTTGCTGCGTGCGGAACAAAAGCCAGCTTTTATTGCCTTGATACGGCGTCGTATCGACCGCTTCTAGCACGACGTTCGCGGCGTTCGTAATGGAAACACCCATATGCACTATTTGCAGCGAATTTGCGCTCTTCGCTAGCTGAAAGTGGCCACCGAACAAACAATAAGCTCCACTGTCCTGACACCAGTCATCCAAAGTCAACGCCAAGTCCCGAACCAGTAGAGGCTCGGATCCGTCAGGTTGTCCGTATATTGCTACTCGAATAACTCCGAAAAACCCACCATCAGTGGCTTTCTTGCACCAAAGGTTGCACGGATACCTTTTGCCGCTTTCAAGCTCCATAGGACAGTAATACTCCGTGACAACATCATGGGTTATGTTCAGTTCGCGACTTGCGCTGTCCATGGCGAAAAATCTAGGGTTTCGGAATAAAACACTGTATATTATCTGCCAAGAATCGGACATGTAAGGAACGTCGTTCTCGCCAGTTTCCTTATTCCCACATAAAGCCGCATTGATAAGTCGTGCTGCTTTCCGCTCCTCATCCAGACTGTGGACGTATCGACATAAGCAGTCTTGTATTCTGTCCCAGTATTCTTTCGGCTTCAAACTCAGACAACAATCTCTGTAAAAACGGTTGCTTAAGCGATACCATTGCTTGTTGACAAAAGCCAACTGCAAATGAGACTTAAGTAGCTCCAGTTTGATCTCAACCGGTAGTTCATCTAGCATGTCCTGCCATAATATAGTCAAATAAAGTTTGTTGAAAGTTTGAAGATCAAATCAAGTCAAATTAATCGTATTTATCATAATGAATAAAAGGTCTAGATACCAAACGCGTAGTTTATAACTTACTCATCGGTTGCTCCATGTTGAGATTCCTCTTCTGGTGGGCACACGAAAGCGCCTGCCAAGGCTAGCGCTGGTTCGTCGATGTTGTGGTGGGCGTAGGACAGGACACCAATGCCTCCAGCGTCTAGCAAGAAGCTGGGATTGTCGACAAGATGACGGTAGGTCTTTAGAGGCACGTAGGGCACCGTGTCATCCTGGTAGGTAGGTGGCTGAGGTTCTTGGCCGTCGCACTCTTTCTCCTCGCCCAATCTTAGCCAGAGTCCGGCGAAATAACGCAAAGCGTGGCCGTGGGCAAAAACCATAATGTCTGAAGCAATACCTTCAGCCTGGTGTTTCCGGTGCAGGTTTTGAATTCTGGCTATGGCACGCGAGAGTCTGAGACCAAATTGCTCAGTGGTTTCACCATTTTCGCAGCCGTCTCTCCAGATGTTCCAAGCTCTGTCCTGGTCCAAACCGCGAGATTTGCGCAATTGCACGATCTCATGAGTCAAGAGACCTTCGTAGTCACCGTACTCCCATTCTCTCAAGTCTTCATCGACCACCACGCGGATCTTGTCTTTCTGTTCTTGCGATACGTTTTCCAAGATCAGGTCCACGGTTTGTCTGGCTCTAGTTCTGGGCGAAGTGAAGATGTACGTGATCTGGTTAGGATCAATGAACTTGTTGCGGAAGATAGATTCACCGGTTCTCTTCATTTGGCCCACACCGTACTCTGTCAATGGCAAGTCTGTAAGTCCTGTGTATTGACCAGACTTGGACCATTCGGTCTGTCCGTGACGAACAATGATACAGCGCGGAGTTGGTGCTTTAGCCATGGAAAATGTGTGCTAGCTAGCTATAGAGATATGATATACAAGTGCAACCAATTGGCGAAAGTTTCTCTGGGGAAAACTCTTGGTTTGTAAAGTGTTGAGACGCTCTCCAAAGAGGTAACTTCCGATCGGTTTAGATCAAACGTTTTAGCTCGGTTAACACGTGAAGATGAACAATTGAGTTCGGGAAGCGGATAGTATATGACGCTGATCGAGGGAAGACGTTTGATCGGGGATGTTGAGTAATTTCACGCAGACTTTTGGCTTATGATGGTCTAAAATTTGCCGCGTCCTGTCCGCTATTTTTGGTTTATCACCGAAATAGCGAAAGCATGTTAGGTTTCGATGTTGAGTGGTTGAAGAATTGACAAGAGCGATGAAACTGGATTTCCCAACGTTGTAACGGCGTCGTTAGTTTTTCTAGCGGTATTATTGGCTTTGTACTTCTGATTTTAGAGTAAAATCAAAATTTTGTACTTTTGGAGTGAAGTTTGGGAGCAGTAATATCGACAAGCGTCGGAGAGTGAGGAGGAAGACTTGATTCTGAAGAAGAGAAACGTCAAGCTGACCAGTTAGTAGTTAGTAGAAGTTTTCATCTTCTAAGCCATTGTACTCGTGGCGTGGAGTTCGAAGTGCATGAATTGGAAAATGTGTGGTGTTGTGTGACACACGGCGAGAAGTGCAACTTGTCAGAAGCTGGGAAGGTTTAATGATGATTAGGCTTTGCTCGTGACTTGAAGTGCATAATTAGAGCGTTATATCTGGCCTCGACCAGTAAAACTCCGTGTTATGGTACTGTCAGCGTTGGTGGTGACAAGTTGGGTCAAAATGACAAAAAGTGACAGATTCGCGACGACAGATTCGTGAGGCAATAATCTGCGATATGGTCACCTCTCGACCAGGGTGAAGTCAAGACTGGCAAGAAGTCAAGGGCATCATCAAGTAAAAATCTAGCGGTTCAATTGTTCTGGTCGATACCATCAAATGTTATTTGCCTTTCCGCCTCGGGGTATAAAATGCTTTATTAATCTAGCTCTCAGTAACCCAACAGTTTGAATACGCCACCACCACACAAGCTGGGCAAGCACTACTGTGATTTGAATCTTAAATCATTTTCGAATGCCTCTATAATCATCACTTGCATTCGAAATATGGATTTGAAAAACAGCACTTTTCAATGCCCCAGATTTATTTACTTTAATATATTTGAACTTTCAATGATAACAACAAGATTATTTGGGGTCCAAAGAAGTACTTAAAACTAGACATAAACGTTCTTTTCACAACATCAATTTTCACTCTCCGACGTTGCCGTTTGCAACAAGTAGTCTCTACGCGGTGGCATGCCAAGTGTTAACCAAAAGTTTACCTATGTATGGTCTCAAATTAATCGCAGCTCTTAGCCAAAATTGAAAATTCTGTTAGATTTACAATCCCACCTGTGTTAATCTTACACCTAGAGGAAATAAAGTAACCTTTCATCTTGTATCTCCTTTCTAGTGAAGAGCTCCATTATCTGGCATATGCGGGGAAGGTTTAAAGACGAATGATTCATTGTACCGATAACAAAGGTTGTCGAATTTTCCAAAAAAAAAGGTATAAATACAGGGCATTAATCGACTAAAGTCGTCTTGTTCTTAGATTGGAGCTGACTATTCAAGTGATCAGTCACAAAAATGCTAGTAAATCAAGCACTAGATCTATGTACCGAGCGAACCACTTTCATTACGACTGACCAAACAACACACTCCTCTTGCCATAATCATAGAGATCCTGGCATAAAGAAACACGGCAAAATGTCATTGAGCGAACTGCTTGCTGTCGCTTCAACATCATGAGAACGTTTTCCAGTTATACAAACATGAGTGAATGAGTAACCATTTGTGACAGTGTTTGAGAACAGTTACGAGTGTTAGCCGCCCAAATCGAATACTGCGCTAAATCATCGCGAAACAAAATATGTCACGTGCATAATCCACGAAAGTCAAATGTTCATACAGGAAGGCTCATTTATGCAAGAAAGTGCCATGTAAGAGAAGTATTCAGCGCCAGAATCCGTGCACACGATCGGCTTGCTGGCTGAAATGAGAAACTGGAACAAATGGGCCCAAGCAGGGGCCATTTTTGTGGTGTTTGTTCTATTCAGAGCCCTGATGAATCGTGAGTCTTTTCCGGATCAAACAGAAGGCCTAGGGTCGTTTTACAGACAGCCGCGAGTACAGCGACAGCATAATCCGGACGCCTCGCTCTCAAGACCTTTCCTAGACAAAATCAACAGTTTTTGGCTGGTGAAAGGCAAAACACAGATCAGAAACATGGGCACTATACAACTGACATCGCGCGGCCAACCAGGTCAGTACGGCGCAGTCATATCGAATGGTGCCGGAGACAACGTGCTAGACGACTTCGAGACCATAGTATCTTTCAAGATATACAACAACCAGGGCAGTGCGATGCGTGGAAAGCGTCTAATGGGGGACGGTATGGTTGTCATGCTCACGCCAGAAAAACAATTTGTGTCGCTCGACTTGTTGTCTTCGTACGCCAGGAGACAGTACGAGCACAACTCCGGCGGAATCTTGTACAACGACCATGAGCTCATGGGCCTACCACGAAATCTGCCTGGCCTCGCAGTCGTTGTCGACACTTTCCGGAATGACCAAAAAACCAAGATAAATGCGCCGTTCGCATCGGTTCTACTGATCGTCGACCCCCAAAGACATCATTACGACGCTGCCACAGATGGTAGAGAGAGTACAGGGTTTATGCTGGCGGGTCCCCTGAAATTGAAAAACTCGCTCCTGTCAGGCAAGGACGCAAAGCTTAGAATCATTTCTCTAGAGAGCATTGGGTTTTTGAAAATAGACATCGCGTACTCGGAGAACGATGAGTGGATTGAACTCTATCAGAAAGATACTAACTTGTTTTTACCTAAAAATCAAAAAACGGGCGAACGTTACATAGCGATAGGCGCCTTGACAGGCGAGCTGTCCGAGACTGTCGAAATACAGAACGTCCAAACGTCCGAGTTTCATTGGGATGGTCATGACTACGAACAATTCGACTTTGCCGAGGAAATGCGTTTCTTTTTGGCTCACGAGTATGGCGAGCGTATTGATATCAAGGAAGACGATTTTAATGATTGGAAAATAGCAAAAGCGCAGGGCAAAACGAACTTGGACCTCCATTTGAACAAGCCATCATCATCGCCGTCAAAAACCCATTCAATACTGAAATGGTCACTCATCACTCTTTTACTGTATGGCCTTTCGATGCCGGGACGAATCGCACTCAAACGCATGCGCATGGTCCATGCCAAAAAGCATTCGCGTAGCATCTTGGGTTAGATCCCGACACACATTCATTCATTCATTCATTCCGTTCGTGTATAATAAACTTCACCGTCAGGATCGGTTCCTCACTAAAAGTCAAAATTAAACTTGCATTGAACGTATTTACGGTAAAGGTTCCTATTTTTATTTCTGTTTTTTGGTATCGTAATGGAACTGTACTCCCCATAGTTCCCTTCTAACACCAAACAGTCCGCCCAAAAGTCTGGATTCCGGCAGCTTGTAGCTTTTAATCAAAGAAAAGCCCTTTTTTGTGAGCGTCTGCTTCAAAGTTTCGTCAAAAGAATAAGCATCCACCAGAAGTTTCATTGACTTGTCGGTATTGAACTTATCACTTTCGTTTTGAATATTTTTGGTGCGAATCAAGGCCCAATCTAGAAGATCCTCGATGATGCCACTCTTCGCATAAACCCTGCGACTACCAATAGATGAAATTCCCATCACCAGTGAGTCTGACTTTGAAATGGATTCGTTTTCCAATACACTGACCAGCGCGATTGGAGTATCTCTATAGACAATGATCTGGGTATCTTTTGTTTTGTCTGTAGGTTTGATGGTTCCCTTTGCCAGCTTTTCTAGTTGACAACCAAATATCGAGCTTCCTTCTGATTCAACCACTTTTTTAACTTTGGATTTGAAGATATTTTCCGTCACCTTGGACAGTAAGGTGAAAACGACAGAGGTAGAGATCAATAAGACCAAACCCGCAGTGAGCAACTGGGCTTGGTTCATTAACACGAATTGAACCACGAATCCACTGGCGTTTCTAGTTTTTTCAGGCAGAGAAATATTTGGCAACAGGTAAATGATTGCGCAAAACGACACCACCGAAAGTGTTTTTGGGTGCCATAGAATGTATTTGTTCGCCATCGACTGCTGTTGCTTCAAGAAGTCCACGGACAGATTCAAAGCTGCACTGGCAAATTCGGGAGTCAAGTGAGACCCGTAAATAGTTGGTGGAGCATCTTTGTTGATTGGCTCGTTTAAAGAAGCATCGACCTGCTTGATTGGACCTCTTGATCCACTTTTCTTCGCCATTCTATAGTCTGATGTGTTCTGTCTTGTCCAGTTGATGAATGTGGTCAGTTCGTAGCTCACCGGTGTGCATTTATATACCATTGACGGTTTTTTCACGAAACACGTGGATGTGATACTTGGTTGAGGTTCTATCCAAGAACAAGTACAAAAGTACTCGCGGCGGTTTCCACTAGAATCTTGGCCTCGGGTCTTTGACAGGACATCCTTGAAAGCTAGTGCTCTAGTGCTCTTTTCCAGATTCTGTTCAGCGCAATGCAAGTTATTTTTCATGCAGCGTAAGTATTTTCAACGATTATGCGAGGAACCGGATGCTTTCGAAATTGAGAGCGTAAAACACATGAATTTCGGCGTCGCAGCGTATGCTTGTCGTACCTAGACGGAAAACTGACGCATACTGTTGGTTTGAGAAGTATGGTGCGTCGTTGCAAACGAGAATATTGACTGCGCGCCAGGATTACCAGCTGTGTGGCGGGCACGGTCTAAAATGCTAGCAGGCGGTATCCCCACTGTGCTCGAATTTGTATCCAGCGTTTTGCTGGAGATAACAGTAGCACGAGTGGATTGTAAAGACGCGACGTCCGAAAAAACAGACGATTTTACTGACGACGAGCAGTGCGAGAACAACGGCGCAGTGCTGGCATTATCGTGGTTTTGGTCAAAGTCTAGCCGGAGCGAATTTGCACTGGGAGCAGGTTCTTTTGTGACCGACTTGTCCCACACTACAGAGCACGCTGCTGGATCTCGCCTCCTATGTATGTGTTCGGGACCTTCTACTCGCAGGATCCTTCGCGGCGTTCTTGCAACATCAGACTCTGGGCGTTTCTCTTCGTTGGAGCGTTTCTCTTCGTTGGAGCGTTTCTCTTCGTTGGAGCGTTTCCTATTGCCGGATTTGGTGTGTGTTGCTGTGTGTGTTAAATGCGATGATTCCTTATTCGGCTGGATGATTCGTTTCACCCATACGGATATCTTACGTTTGCGCTCTAGGAACTTGATGTTAGTGTTTGATCCACATTTAGGACAAAAGCAGGATTATCTAGCAATAAACATACCTTGAAAGGCATTATCGTGGTATTTCGACGACATGCTGTGACTTACAGCTCGCGCTGACACATCTGAATAGCTTGAGGAACGATATCCAGCGGTTTTCATTGTTGTCCCAGATATTGATATTCGGTCACGTGCTAGAAATTGTCTGTAGAGATGACTTAAATCATAAGCCAGTTGAATGGTGTCAGCCGGTCCGAATGAGATGGTGGTGATATACTGAAGACCTTTTGGGAGCTTAGCTGTGGGAAAATCGAGGTTCGAAACCGGGGTTCTGGTGCTGCTTACTCTGTTTGTAACTCAAACCTTGGCCATTGTGACATGTTGCATCGTTTGCACATAATTTACCTATTTGCTCCCAATTTGCGTAACGGTTTGAAATCAAAAAGTTTAGGAAGCGTCTCCGTACCCTGAGTGGGGGAGATAAGTGTCAGAAGTGTTCTGCTGTGTCTACTGTTCTACTCAACTCATCGCTAAGGTAGTGAAATTAACAAGTGACGGAGCGACAGATGACAACCTGGTACGAAGTGACAATAACGGTTCTCCCAACACAATGGCAAACAAGTGGACCAGCCAAGACTGAAGTCAAGAGCATCTAAAACGTGCTATGAAGAGCCTAATAACATACTATGTAAAGCCAAAATATACTTATTGGACACTTATTGATTCTTTGCCTTTTTTCATCAGAAAAAGGCTTCAAAAGTCACACAGACAATATACTCTCACGTCACTGGCGGAAACTAATTGGGAACTACGTGGCCGAAATAGCATCGTTTTGACGGAGGGACAAACCAAAGCTTGCGATAAATAAAATTTGGTAGAATTTACGCGTGTGTGTGGATTTCATTGAACAAGCAACTTCTGTACAAGCAAACAGTCAATGATCATTTACACAGTACCTGGTTGCAACAAACAAATATGAAAAAACACTTGGGATATGTGATTAAGCGTGTGGTCTTTTGTGGTCTTTTACCACTGAGATTACTAACATTAGAGTATATGCAACATTCAGAACAACAGTCCAGGAGACGGACTTTTCAGTCCTTCTTTAGGCGCTGTAGGTGAGGAGTGCGATAAAACATTTCAAAATCTTTACATTTATACCAGGATTTATGACTAACAGCTCTACAGTACCAGTAGCTTTTTTCGATTTTAATACTGCAACAAGCCCAATGTGAGAGTAGCATAGTGCTCAACCGCTTTTTTAACAAACTACGCAATTTTGTCTTCAAGTAATCTGATAACAAGAAGCACTTTGCGATCACAAGTAGCAATCCAATGGCTCCCTCTTCCTGTATAGAATCAAAATTAAACTTCAAAACTGACATACGATTATCTATGCGATGATCGCGATGTGCTAACTCAACGTGAAAATTGACGCATTTTCAGGATCTTTTAACGTGCGAGAGAGTAAGCTTCTACAGAGCTGTCCAAAACAGACGACTGTAGAAAAACAATGCTTAAAATCATTAGCAAATTTAGAGGACCTAATAAATAGATTCATATATATAGCAAACATAACGCCAGACACAAAGTTTGTCAAAGCCCAAGATATATCTAAGGATCGAGCCGACCCAAAGTTAGAAAATACAACTAGGTGCAACCCTAACCGCGATAAAGAAAGTGAGAAGAATAATAATTGTAAAGTCAGTCTTTTCTTTTTTGTTGTTTTTAGAAGCCTTTCTGTGTATGCGGCCTTACGAGCGCTAACACATCAAAAATCCCATTGTGGAATTGTAGGAAAATGAAGCTCCATGAAAACGATAAAACAGATGCACACCTACAAAGCCTCATTGGCGATGTTTTTAGCATTTTGCAACATGGAAGCAGCTGTTTCATTGACCTCTTCGGCAACGCCTTGGGCCTTTGGCTCCACAGTATCGACTCCGTGAGCGACGCCGTTCTTCAATTTGTCAAGAGTCATGTGGCCAAGATCGACACCCGTGGAAACGATGGCTCTTGGGACGCTCTCCGATGTAGTCAGGTTACCCTCATACTTTTCGTAAACCGTTTGGTATGCGGAGTTGTAAGTAGGCTTGATGAATTCGCCGTACTTTTCAGTGACGTATTCGCGGGTGCCATTTATTTTGTCTTTAGTAGGTTCAATGTACTCCTGTTGAAGCTTACTTCTGGTGGGTTCGATATAGTCTGATTGTAATTTGGAATGTAGCTCTTGGCTTAGCGACCGGGTAGTTCCGGCAAGCTCCTTAATATGAGGCAATGATTCCGGCTGGGTGTGGCCGGTACTCGAGACGCCATCGGTTTGTATTTCATGGGCAGCTTCTGCGGGGCCCGATGACTTCTTGCCCAAATTTAGGGGTTTCACCACTAGTTCTTTCAACACCAGGTTGGAAACGTTGGCACAGTAGTCGAGCATATACAAAACGACCCAGAATCCAGGCTTGCCGTTGTGCGTGCGGTACTCGCCTAGGAACTCGTCAATTCCTTCGCGCAGCACGAGCAGATTGAACCACTCATCCATTTTCCGCAGCGCGGAAACGCTGAGCTGGTAGCCCTTTTTGACGGCCTGTGGGGACTTGGGAGAGTCCACTGCGACGACTCTGGCGCGATATAGCACTGTAAGCACTGCGGATATCGTGCTGGACACCACAGAATACGACAGCACGTAGTTCAGCATGCTGGTTAGTGTTTCGTACTTGTTGAGGTGGTTTAGCGTGGCAGACTGGCACGAGGCGAACCTGGAAACTGTGTCTTTGTCGACTACAACTCTGACCGAGTTGGCGTTGCTCATAGTTGCGTATGTGGAGAAGGTTCTATCAGGGGCGTCGTCCAGCACAGAGGCGATGGTTTCGAAATAACTATTCAAAGCAGAAACTGGTGCAACACGCAGTATAACTTATTTTATTTTATAGCACACTCACACTCACACTTGATGCTCAAAGCTCGTAGAGTGTTTGTATCACAAAGCGGAAGCTATCGAGACTTGTCGAATTCTCGTGAACCGCAATTCGGTACTTATACTTATATCGGTCGGAAAAAAAAGCGCTCAAAAACTGGCAGGAATATATATCCTTGCGAATTGATGTCTGGGTGAGCTAAATTCTTTCTGAAGCGTAGATGATTGATTGAAATCCTATCAGCTTTACTTGATGGTAAGAAGAAGAACAAGTTTCACTCTTCTTGAAGGGTTTCTTTCCCTAGGGGGTCCCTGCCTTCTTATATAGTCATTTTTTCTAGCCTTGTCAGGGGAGGCCGGAAAATAACAAGGGGCACGTGAAACGAAAATGTGTTACCCGTTTTAGAAAATTATCGGTTCTGGCTAAAAGAGACTAATATCGGCAAATGGGAGAGGGGCGAGTACTGGCTGGCGAGTACTAGCCTTCTTAGGCCTGCTTACACTCGGGAGGCTGTTCTTTGGAGTTGGAAGCAGCTGGTTTGAAATCGCTAGGCTCACTGTCCTCTTCAGAATCGCCATCGTCTTCGCTGTCATTGTCTTCGTCGTCGTCGTCGTCGTCTTCGTCGAGATCAGAGTCGAATTCCGCCTCGTCGTCGTCGTCCAGTTCGTCGGCGTCGTACTCGAATTCGATTGCAGCGCCTGTGAACCAGTCCACCGCACGAGGCACCAATTTGTCTTTAAATTCCTCGCCAATGGCGTAGTCTAGGGCCAAACGTGACTCCAGCTCGGCCACTTCCTCGGCGTCTTCCTCTTCGTCTTCGTTTTCGTCGCCTTCGTCTTCATCCTCGTTGTCGTCATCGCCTCTGCCACCACTGCTGTGAGACTTGTCGGTCTTTGCCGGAACCTTGGGGGGGTCGAAAAAGTTGAAAAACGACTCAACGGGCGTGATCTTCTCAATGGTACGCACTTGTTTCGTATTCTTGTTACGTTGCTTGCGCTTTTCTACGGAAACGGTCACGTTGGACTCGTTGTCGGTCCACTTGATCTCGCAGCCCTCAGCGTGGTCGTAGATAAAGTCTCCCGAGTAGCCCAGTTCTGATTGGTAAAAGTAGGTCTTGACAAGCTGCTTGTTGCTGAAAAACGGGTTCTCATCGTCAAAGTGGAACACTAGCTTGAAACCTGGTTTGCCCTCGGTCAAATATTCTAGTCTGACGTCGGTCAAACATTCCAAGACCTCGGCGTCTGCGCTGGTGACCGTTTGCGACACCATTGGGAGGTTCTCGAAGGCGGTGAGCCAGAATGATGGAATTCCCTTGATCTGGTCTTCTCCACTTTCTTCTTCTTCTTCCTCCTCCTCCTCAGGCTCTTCAGCAACCGTGCCCAGCTCATCTCCCATCTGCTTGCCTACCTCGATTTCCCTCGCGGTCGGTTCTTGCTGTCCCGTGACGATTTCAAAACGACGTTTGTGAACAGGATCGTATTTCTGTAGGTATTTCTCTTCCAAAGCGAACATCTCCAGCTGAAAGTCCTTTTCCAGTTCGAAAAGGTCGCGCTGCAGTTTTTTCAACGCATATATCCGTTCTCTGACAGCGTGTGGGAGCGACGAGACATAACCGCTGTCTTGGCCGACCAAATCACCCAGTTTGTCCTGGATCGAGGCCAGAAGTTGTGGGTTGTTGGCTAGGGCAGAGGTGATGTCCTCTTCCTTAATAGTATTTGGAACTGAACGCGCTGGATTACCGTTTTTCAGGTACGAACTGCCCAGCACACTAGAGGGCGTGTTGTGAGGAGTTGGGGCAGCATCGATTTTGGACGATGTGGTCTTGATAGGCTTCGACATTTCGCGTCTTCGCTGATGTGGTTCTTCTGATCATTGTCCAACTACGTGAAGCTTAAAATCAAAATTTATAGACAGCATCTACAGCATTGGATACGAGTATTATATTCGTCACCAGTGATAATCATAACGCGATACTTTAGCACCATAAATCACACACTGTGAACATTGAGTACCGTGGTATACCCATCATCACTCTGCTCAAAGGATCAAATCATCTTTTAAGGTCACCAAAGGTGGCATTTGTTTCCTATATTCGAACGGGCATTATTTCAACAAATTGACCTTTCTCTTCGATAAATTCAAGCTTCACAGACGCCATATCTGAATGCGATAATATATCTCGACCGTCCTAAGAAATAATTTCTGAGTTGCAAAATCAGGATGTTTTCTACAATTAGTATCTTTGGGCATATGTGATGAATACTCCCAAAATCAAAATATTGCACACAATTGAATTATTATAAGAAAGCACCATTAATGTGAGTTACTGATTCCGTAAACTACCGCTCAAGATTAATCAATGACATGATTCATTATCTCGAAGGTCGGGACGGGACGCGCCAGGCAATAAAATAAGACAGTTTAATGTACTATGGTTATAATATTGCACTATGGTTAGGAGAAGAGGTCAGCAGGGTTTTTTAATTTGCAATATACAAACCATTTTTTAAGTTGTCATCCAATACTCTCGGTGGCCAAGTTGGTTTAAGGCGCCAGACTGTAATGTTAACACTGTAATCTGGATATCGGGCGTTCGAATCGCCCCCGGGAGATTTTTTTGCACTCTGTATTGAATCAGAATTAGTCAACGCTGACTGCAGGTTTTCATCCGCAAGCTCTATATCTCTAATAATACCTCATGCACGCTGTTGACTAGCCAATTGCTCTTCAAAAAGCTTTTATCAGGACAACGTTGTTCAACCTATCGAGCTGTCGTAGACAGTGAACATACTTTTCAACATTTCATAATAATAATGTATGTCAATTAATACACTAGAAATCCAAGCTCTAAAGAGAAGTACTACTTATTTATCGAAAGACAACGAGATTGTGTGGTTAGAAAATGGTTAAGCCTATTGTTGCACCTAGTATTCTTGCATCTGATTTTGCCAACTTGGAATGTGGCTGTCATAAAGTACTCAATGCTGGTGCGGACTGGCTACATATCGACGTTATGGATGGTCATTTTGTCCCTAATATCTCACTCGGACAGCCTATCGTGGCTAGTCTACGTAAGGCAGTGCCCAGAGTTGGAGACACAAGCTCTACAAAGCCAAAAGCGTTTTTTGACTGCCACATGATGGTCGAGTCTCCCGAGAAATGGGTTGAAGATTTCGTCAAATGTGGGGCCGACCAATTTACATTCCACTACGAAGCCACTAAAGATCCGCTCGCTTTGGTCAAATTGATCAAGTCCTACAACATCAGAGCAGCTTGTGCGATCAAGCCAGGCACACCAGTGGATGTCCTGTACGAACTGGGACCTCATCTGGATATGGCCCTGGTCATGACAGTCGAGCCAGGGTTCGGAGGTCAAAAATTCATGCTCGACATGATGCCAAAGGTTGAGGCGCTAAGAAACAAATTCCCTCAGCTCGACATTCAAGTCGATGGTGGCCTGGGCAGAGACACTATTTCACACGCCGCCAAGGCCGGAGCCAACGTTATCGTGGCCGGTACAAGCGTGTTTACGGCTGAAGACACCACTGAAATGATCTCGCATTTGAAATCAGAAGTGGCAGACAACTTGAAAGAAAGGAAGTTGCTCAGCTGAAGGAGTGCAAGGGCGACGTGCCCCGTTTATAATGTACAAAATACCGATATTTAAGATAAGCTGAATTCACTGCTTGCTTCAGGGAAAGAAAGGACCGCCTAGAGTGGTACCTGCACCTGCTTCTAATACGAGCCCGCTGCTTGCAGTATCCTCAACAGCCTTGAACAATGCTGTCTTGACTCTTTCTAGCTGACCCTTGGGTGCCGAAGCTTGTTTCTTGCTCTCAACATCCAAGTCCATGCTATCCTCGGCCTTTTTTTGAACGTCAACCAGCAGCTTCCTTTGCTCAGCGTATTTCATGTTTCTTTCAATCTTCTTGGCTCTCTTCTTGGATAGAGTTTTGGTTGTGAGGGGCCCGGCGGAGAGTTTTTCACCTTTGTAGAGATCCATGGGAATAGACTTTGCCAATCCGGATTTGGACTGTTCGGAAGAACGTGCTGGCTTCAATAGACCTGCACGGTCCATGGCATCTCTCTTTTTGGCTAGAGAGTGCACTTTCCGGTTCAGGTTAACTTGCTGTTTTGGCCTGTTGATAGAGTTTCTGGATGGCATTACTGGTAGTGTAGTGAGCTACTTGACAAATGTTTATATTCCAAGAGGCCTCTGGTCTTGTCTTGCTGAAAAGATGAGATCTAACGAGATGCGATGAGATGCGATGAGCTTCGCTAAGCATCGCTACTAAGGAAATGACAGAAAATTTTCCATATCAAGAAACACGTGATCAGGACGCTCCATAGAGCTGAGTAGCTTGCCATTGCGCTAAACTGAAGCTGGATAGTGTGTTTTTATGAATCGTTACGCAATTAGCGTCGAGTGAGGATTTTAGTTCAGCCTTTTAGAGAAGCCTGATACTGCTTATAGCGTTTAGAATAGCTGACTGGTTTAGACTTCAAATTTGGAATTTCAACCAAAACTTTAACTAGAAAAACTGTCACCATCAGTAGCTTGCGTGAAGACAAAGACGAGAAACGTCATTTGCAACTGAAGGATCGAAGATTTATGAGTAAAGCTGCTTTCTTTACATGGCGCTTTACAATTAAAAAAATTATGGCATTAGAGTAGCTTCTGCTGAAAAAACGCTCATGTTCCTACCAGGAAAGTGCTGGAATTTCCTTGAGTAAATTAATTTCTCTTTACTGCAAGGAGAATGAAGCGCTTTTTGGGTTCTCGGTAGCCCATTGCAAAATTAGAATTGATGGAAAACATGGAAACAGGGTATAAACAGTCCATTTGCGAATAACTCGATGAACGATAGCAAATCTTCGCCCGGATGCTAAGCACTCTAGAATATACCGAACATCGCTTACCTGTTTACTAACTCTAAATATTTGGAAACTATTCCATTTCTTTGGCGCCAGGAATAACATTATTTGACCGAAAACAAAACGAACCTAGAATTAACAGGGTCATTTTAAATTACAAAAATTATCACCCATACAATAAGAGTAGCACCTTATACTCCAAAATTATTGTCGTTTTCCTGTCATCATCACATCCATTAGTGACAGGTTAAAGCAGCGGAAAGCCAAAAACGTCGTTGAATCAAGATCCAGACGTACATAATGACATCAACACTTTTTTTAAGGTCCGTTGTTTGAGTTGTTGTCCTTCTTTAATCGAACAGACGTATGGCTGTTCATCTGTCTTGTCAAGAGAGAATCGCAGTCAAATGAGCGGACGCAACTCCACTGAAGCAGATGATGTGCTAGATTTCCTAGATTCGCTACCCGAACGAAAGAAAAAGGACATCAAAAACGTCAAAAAAGAAGCCAAGACATCTACCCAGGATCCCAAAAATGACACAGAAATCCTAGACTTTTTAGATGAGCTCGAACAGAGCAACCTGAGTCTGAATAGGGAAAAGAAGACTGTAAGCGAAGAGCCCATCTTCAAGGACAAAGAGGCAAAGGATCCAAAGACCCCTCAACTAGACAAGAATCAGGGCAACGTCGAGAATGATAAACAAGAAGTGTCTGTGCCAGCGTCCTCAGCGCCAAAGACTCCTGCCACGCCAAAAGCCGATCCCGTAACCGAAACAAATGTGGAGGAGAAAAAGGAAGACTCGAAGCCAACAGAGCAGGAGGAAGAGGAAGAGCCTTTGCATGATCCTATCACTTCGATCTCAAATTGGTGGTCCTCATCGGGCTCTGCAACGGTCAACAGCTTTTTCAGCAAAACAGCCGAGCAGGCTAGCCATCTCAAGGACCGGATAGCCCACGAACAGCAAGGAATCACCTCGAGACTGCAAACCACATCAATAGCCTCTAAAATCAATTCTTCGACCATTTCCATGCTAGCCAAAAACCTGAGTCGAATTGTGGTTGGCGAAGCAGACGAGGTGCTAAGAATCCATCTGGTACATGATTTGGTCAATTATCCTCTTTTGTCGTATCACGTCGAGCAACAATTTGACTCTGTGCTGAGCTCGCAAGTTCAGGGCGGCGTTAGGATCTTTGTTGATGAGTGGGATCACCCAACTGAGGGCCAAGACCGCGTTCAGGACGGCAAAAGACACCTGAACATGTTTACTGGAAAAATCGCAGACGGGGAAAAGTTGGCCTTTGCAAACCTCAACAACGCCATTAAACTCTTCACCAAGGCCAAAGAGGAGCTTGCCAAGCAACGCACTGAGACCGAACACGTAGAGGACGACTCAGCACAAGAACAATCGATTTCTGATGTGTTTATCTCGATTTTGCCCATCGCTGTGCCCACAAAGGCCAAAAGCTCGGAGATCACCACGACTGATCCCACGGCCCCCGGTAACTTCGCCTTCACTATTGCCTTGAAGGACATTAGAAATGATTTCACATCCATCACAAGATCGCAAGGTTTCCCCCAGAGGTGGGCCGAGTGGCTCGAGGGAACGTCAGAGCTGAAGAGCAAGCAAGACGCTATCCAGGACCGAGAGTCTAAGAAAGACACTGGTGAGCGCACTGAGTCTAGCGAAATCGTCGAGGACGTTGACGCGAGTGAATGGGTCAAGGAGTGGGTCGAAGACGGGTTGAGTCTATCGTTCGGCGTGGTAGCTCAAAATTACGTAATCGACCGTATGGGTTTTTAATCTCTCAAGCTTAATCATGAAAAGTGTTTTTTTAGATCGTGCGTGTGTGGCCCGATTTTATGGAATCAAGTTAGACTTGCACCGTCGAATGATGTCTAATTTTACAAACTTTCGAGTAAGGATTTGACGCTGTTCGCATCGTTCCCCATTTTCTGTTTTTCCCAATCAACCCATATCGATGAGGACGGATTCCAGGACTTGAGCTTGACGCATTCTTTCAGGTCTTTGTTGAACGTGCTGTAACTACTATCTTTGAGCATGAGACTGGTGAGGTTCGGGATTTGAGCCTGCAGCACTGCGCTATTGATACCGCTCATGTAACTAAGTTGATCCAACGTGGGGAACTTTGTGTGAACCTCGATCTCATACTTTGTCGAAGAACCAGCGCGGAGCTGTTGCATAATTAGGGTACTGGGTTTGCTTGCTACATCGTGCGTGAACAAGGTTATGATTCTAGGTTGGTTTTGTAGAGATCTAAACAAAGACATAGCAATTCTTAGCAGTGGTAGAGGTAACTGAGCTGAGAAAGTCTATACCAATTCTGTCTTGAAGAGGTGAGCTATTATATATATATATATATATATATATATATATCATTAGCAATGGTAATTATTTTTAGGGAACTGCTCTTTTGCCGACTGTCAGGCTCGTTCATAGTGATGATATTTGAAACCTACAATACCTGAGTATGAGACACAAGAATGGGTATGTTACGAGTTCCGGTGGCTGGCCTCAACAGCACTGTTGAAGTCCTGCTGTGAAATTGGCCAAACAACTTGGTTCTGCGGCTAAGTTAATGTCGCCCGTCAATATATGTTTATAATCACGATACACGAATGAGTTTCCAAAATTTTAAAGATTTTCAGTATATCTAACTAGAAATAGCCATCATCAAAAGACGTCAGTAAAGAGCACTTCATAGCTGGACGCAACGCACCGCATTCTCCGCTTCAGCTTGCTTTCGGCCAAGGCAAATTTACGGCGAATAGCAAATCAATGATGTCAGAGGGCAAACCACCGTCCACGAGTGGGTCCTCGAAGATCTCGGAAGGAGAGGCAGATTTGTACCTTGACCAATACAACTTCACAACTACAGCTGCGATTGTTGGTTCTGTAGACCGCAAAATATTCGTTCTGCTGAGAGATGGGCGCATGCTTTTCGGGGTGCTGAGAACTTTCGACCAGTATGCCAATTTGATACTGCAGCACTGCGTGGAGAGAATATACGTGACCAAGCAAAATCAATACGCCGAGTGCGATCGTGGCGTTTTCATGGTTCGTGGTGAGAACGTCGTCATGCTCGGGGAGGTAGATATAGACCGTGAGGACCAGCCACTGAGCGAGATGCAGCAAATCCCGTTCAGCCAGGCGTTGGCGGTGAAGAAAGCCCACGACGAGGCCAGGTTCGTCTCAGAGAGCAAGAAGGGCAAGGTCATGGCTCAACATGGCCTTATTTACGAATTTTACAAGTCTGATATATATTAATCTGTACCATTAAGAGAGGCGCGGTCGCACCTACTCAAACATATAAAAAAGATACGAATAAAGGAAGAAAAAACGCAAAAAGATGGGGTTTTAGAGATTACAATAGAGACTAGAGAAATTGTGCCAGATTTCAACCTCTAACAGGTGCTGGACGATCGCTGGACGATCGCTAGAGTTCAATCCATCGACCCGGATTCAAGATGTCACGTGACTGACAAAATGCACCAAAGTTGAAATATACAAAATTTTCGAAGGCCCTGAGCTGAAAGTTAAGCTCATCGCATCGATCTGGACACCAAAGATGTCGCATTTCTCAGACTATAAAGACCTAATTCAGGCTGACGATTGGGCGCTAATTTGGATTTCAAGGGACAATATTAAACCTGTTAAAATTACTGCAGGTGCCACCTTCAACACCAGATACGGCTCCTTCCCACACGATGACATGATTGGCAAGCCCTTCGGGTCTCAAATTGCCGTTAGAACGCGTGGATCGAACAAATTTGGCTTCATCCACGTTCTACAACCTACTCCTGAGCTTTGGACGCTATCGCTACCGCACAGAACCCAAATTGTGTACACGCCTGATTCGTCGTACATCATGCAGCGCATACAATGTAGTCCTCAGTCCAGGGTCATAGAAGCAGGAACCGGATCTGGTTCTTTCTCACACGCGTTTGCGCGATCCGCCGGATACGTTTTCTCGTACGAGTTTCACGAGATCAGATACGAACAGGCAAGAAAAGAATTCGAGGACCACGGCCTTCTGCAGGATGGAAATTTGGCCATCACTCATCGCGATGTGTGTCAGGATGGATTTGCAATCCAGAAGGGTGACAAGACGACCTTTTTCGATGACGAACGGCTGAACGAGAGCCCCAGTCCGGTGCAAATTAACGCCAATGCGATTTTCCTCGACCTACCGGCACCCTGGAGTGCTATTCCACATCTTGATGAAGTTATCTCTCAGGACTCAAAAGTGTCTCTCTGCTGCTTTTCCCCATGTATAGAGCAAGTCGACAAGACTATAGAAGCATTGGAGAAGCAAGGTTGGACTGAGATAGAAATGGTGGAGATTCAAGGGAAGCAGTATGAGTCGCGCAGACAAATGGTCAGACATCTGGACGACGCGCTGCAAAGGCTGCGCGATGTGAAGGAGCGTAAACAAATGGGCGTTGAAAGAAGAAAACGTATGTTCAATAAGTTGATAAGCGACCAGGAGGAGCCATACGAGCAAAGGCCAGAAACGCCGAAAACACAGTTCAATCCATTTGGCAAAGGTTCTAGAGTCAAGGAAGGTGATACGGGCTTTCAATGGAAGGAGGTCTCAAAAGTAGAGAGCGAGATTAAGTCTCACACTTCCTACCTAACATTTGCATCGAAAATTGTCAACAAGACCCGGGACGAAACCCTAGTGGCTAAGCTGGCAGACGAAATAAGAGGATCTGGGGCCAAGGTCTCGGTACCGAACAAGACTGACGACAAAATTGGGAAGCTTTCTTGATTTGTTCTATTCATAAAACTATATTCTACACGTAGTCTCCAAACACATCTCTTCTACGTTGGTCCCACAGAGGCATGTCCTTTCGAATCTTCTCGAGGGCGGCAAAATCTAAATCTGCCATGATAAGTTGAGCTTCGCTATTTTGAGAATCAGCTCTTGCGATGACTTGGCCCCAGGGATCCACGATCATGGAATGGCCCCATGAAACTCTCTTCACGGTGAAAGCGTCGCTGGCTCCTTCTTCGAGGTCGAGGTTGACTTGGTGCTCCCCTTGCTGCGCGGGCATCAAGACGTAGCACTGTGTATCCAAGGCTCTTGCTTTCGCAAGGGCCTCCCAGTGCGCTTCACCTGTCCTTACCGTGAAGGCGCTAGGGAAGCACAAAATTTCGGCTCCTTTTGAACGCAGTTTGAGCGAAAGCTCGGGAAACCGAATGTCGAAACAGATTGCCGATCCTAGTTTTCCCACTGGTGTGTCTAAAACTGGTGCTATAATGGATCCGGGTTGCACAGACTCGCTTTCTTTCAGCACAGGCCCGTTTGGGACGTCCACGTCGAAGAGGTGCAGTTTTTGGTATGATTGAAGCACTTCTCCCCTGTGATTTATGTACAGCAGACAATTTCTCACTCTGTCATCCGAGCTCTGGCCATCGGCCTTTGCAGCTGGCAAGTGCACCCCAATGGAAACATCTATTTTCTTACCATATTTCTGGCACAGACTGGGGATTGATCTGCACAGACTGTCCGCGAACTCTGGTGATTGTGAGACCAACTTTTTGGAGTGCGACGCTGATCTTGAGATGTAATCTGAAGCCTCGGGGAAAAATATGACTTTCACGTCTTGCAGCAGTGCAGAGTCAATGAGCATGTTGATCGTTTTCAGATTTTGCGTTAGAGAACACGATGAACATATTTGACCAATGGCAACCCTATTCATTGTGTAATTGACTGATTTAAAGGGTTAAACAAGAACTGGTGAAGGTCAGGAAGGGGAAGACTGTGAATTTTAGTAAAACTATGAGGATCAATTATATCGTGGTCGACACTGATTTCAAAGCTCCTAGCTCAACACTTTAAATGCTCGAGAAGCGATGCTGTTGTGTCTTTTAATTTTATATAAATGATTATATATATTCGTATAGATCTTACCGCATCTTCACAATGAGATAACAAGAATTTGATATGTCATCAAATACGAATATTGTAATTTATGATCGGCGGCTATTTTGCAAATATAAATAACAACAATTTTGAAACGATGAGCAGAACCACAACGAAGTATACTCCATAACACACTGAAGCACTTTTGTTTATTGAGAAGCATGCTCTTAGACCTTTATTTACGCCCGATAAAAAGATTATACCTCTTTAATGGGGCTCAGACTATGTTCACTTATGATCATCTTTTGGAATGAAGCGCAGCAAACAATTGATCTTAGCAATAGTATGTCATATGAAGACTATTTGAAGCTTTTTCGACTTGAACAATGCTCGTGATGTGACGGTTGTGTTCTTATGAACACTAGTGCTGAATTTCTCATTTATTTATTGACATTAAAAGGCTATCTTTGTCAGAAACACCAACGTTACCTTTTTCTCGAAAACCAATGTTTGATTCATCTTAAACATTTTGCCATATTTGTGGCGTCCAAATACCCTGGATCGAAACTCGGAGGTATAATCATGATGCCAATGAAGGCATATTTTAAACCTTCATTGACGAGTCATATCTCCATTTTACGATGATGGGAGCAGCTTAAATGCGATTCCAAATGTTTTGTTGACGACCCAGCTTCTTAAGGACTCTGGTTGAGTTTGTTGCTGAGATCTCAGTTTTTGAGACATCGAGAGTACTTTCGTACTCGTCCAAGTTGTGAAGGTTCAACAAGCCCATAGGAATTAATTAACTGTGCTCATCGCATCATGTTGATTGTCGGACAACTTCTGCTCCTCTCCAGAACATGGACCCAAATACCAGTCAAGAATTACAGGCCAACACTCCCTTACAGCCGAAATCAATACTGCTGAAAGATGGTGAGACCACGGCCACCATGTATCCGATCCCGGCCAACGCAGAGCAGGTACCGGCGGGCCTTTTAGCGTTTTTGCTGGATGAATTTAACATGGAAATCGAGAAGGGCGATAGTCTGCCGTATTATGAGCCCCTAACAGTTGAAGGTTTTTGCAAAACGTGGTTCCATGCGGAGGGATTAGTCTGCGTCATGGTGTTGGGCGAGATACCTGAGCTTGATTACAGTAATGCATCTGATGCACACAATCCTACAACGGCCGGTGATGACCCTCAAGCTGAAGTTACTCGACATACAGCGCAATATATACGGCGAAAGGAGCGACGTAACCTGAATTTAAATATTCAATGGGAAAAGCAGTGTTTGGGCGCCTTTAATCTGCGACCTGCATACCCCGGCCGTTCATCGCACGTTGTAACAGCGTCATTTCTAGTAAATGCGGGTATAAGAGGGAAAGGTATTGGGAGAACGCTGGTGGAATGCTTTTTGAACTGGGCTCCACAATTAGGATTCACCTCCTCCGTCTTCCCATTGGTTTATGGCACTAATGTCGGTATACGGCGTATACTGGAAACTTTGAACTTTAGAAGAGTTGGGAAGCTGCCGGAGTCCGCAATTCTTAAAGGCTGTGATGTTCCTGTGGACTCTTTCATCTATGCCAAAGAGTTCACACATGTCTCGAAAAGCATTGATCTACTGAATGAGCCAAACAAGCATTTCGCCAAATATGAAAGACTGCGCTATTATCTTGAGAGCGGTAACTACCCTGATTACTGTGATAGGAACGAGAAAGCAAGGTTACGCGCCAGCGCCAAATATCATATGATTCAAAATGGGAAGTTGATGCGGCAAGGTAGAGAAGTCGTTTACGATCCCGAAAAGCAATTGGAAGTAGCCTTCGAAGTGCACCAAATCTCGCATCAAGGTATCAATAAAGTCACCACAATAATCGCGGAGCGATACCACTGGAAAGGAATAAAAAATACCGTAGCTCGAATTGTGGCAGCTTGTCCGCTGTGCAAGAACCAGCAGCAAGACGATCTTGGGATTGTTGTGGAGGCGGGATCTCCACAGCAGCAAGCACATATGGCTATGCGCAATAGCGAAGTAGATCACTCTTCGCAGCTGAGCAAAATGGCAGCGGCTGTCATAGGAAGTCTACAGGACCCGCTATCCCGGCCCGAACGCGTTTTAGCAGAGGAAATGCCACAGACGAAAAAAATCAAACCTAGCATCCACAGAATGAGATTCAATGAAGCAGACGATCCACAAGTTGATACACAAGAAATCTCGGGGAACGAACAATCAATGAACAACTTCACTGCGTACACGCGACAACAACAGAACACTAAGCGCCGCTATCTCGATGTGGCGCTAAGCGCTGGATTGAGAGGAAATTCTACCGTTTCATTAAACGGGATGTCAAGTGGACCGGCGACAGTCGAAATAGAAAAACATGACGATACGAGTATGGTCGATGATGCATTATTAAACCTGGAGGATAATGTGCTGGCGGCAGTGGAAGCTGTGCAGCGCAGCAAACGAAGAAATAGTCAATTTGATCATGACAGCGATGATCAGCAGTTTTACTAAATCTACAGACATCATATGAGCATGTCATGTTTTCTATCTTAGTTTTTAGTGTCTACTACAACCACGTTGTCTTTGACAACGACAGTGCGACGGAAATTGTTTTGGAAAGGCCAGCCATGCTCGAGCGCAACGGAATGAAAACTATCTCCAGAACCGTGGTTTCCTTCTGGTGACAAAGTATAGCTAGCATTTCCTGACTGAATTCCATCTAAGGCGAACAGCACGTCAACTGAATCACCAGACTCATTGATCTCATGCAAACCAACGGTACGGTTCAACTCCCGGCTGACACTGGCCGAGTAAGTCAGGGAAGACCTCTCCTGCGATACAATCTCCATTTCAGCGTCAAAAAGCCATCCAGTCTCATCTGAAAAGCGGTATAGATCGACACCGTTCTTAGAAATAGTAGATGAGCGCTTCGTTAAGAGATCCACAAATGCAAACTCCTCGTCGCCAGTTTCAAGGTATACTTGTTGACTTTTCAGCAAACTTTCAGTCACGCTACGCACTTCGTAGTTTGTTTGGTCGATAGTGAACCTACTATCAATTTGAACGCCGTTTTTGGCCAAAACTTTTTGCTTCAACTCATCTGAATGACTGTCATCGACATCTACTTCGAAGGTTGGCTCTAAAACGGTCGAATTGATAAATTTCGATCCACTGATTAGGTCTTTGTTAGTCCAAACATGAACATTACCTGAAAAAATCCAGTTTTCGCCAACTGTTACCTTAAAGCTCGGTGTTGTACTACTCACCACTTCAAGTTGCATCTGCCATGTACCATTTTCAAAAAGCGATAGGAAAGGAGTCAAATCTACTTTGAAGCTTTTGATGTTAAAAGCATTCATTCCCACGCATGGTCTCCACAATGGTGGAAAGAACCCTGTGAATATAACAGGCGTAGGGATCACGGTATCGACCAATATCTCAGTTTCAGAATCGGTCAAGTAAAAATTAATTGCACGGAAAGGCCCATGACCTAACAGTTCTTTCCCGTGGTCACGAAATTTGCCAGTATAATTATCCAGGACATTGGTGTACCAAAACTCTTCTGCCGCATTACCGGATGCAAAAATCTCCACCACCACTCTTGAAACGTTCGGATTCAAATCAATCTCAGGAAGGCCGCGAGTCCAGCGTGGGTTCTCTTTCGAGGCCAGTGGGTAATAAAATAGTGGCGTTCTAGAAAAGCGTGTAACCAAAGGCGTGACAACATCAGCGGGTTTGGTGAAAATCTGGAGAAGCTTCCCACGCAGTGAGCTTTCATCCTCCTTGATCGCATCTTCCTTTTTATAATAGTATAACTTTAGAGTTACATTGAAAATGCCGGTGAGTTTGTTGGTGACTAGATTGTCTAGTTGAAGAGTTACATTTAGGGGCTGATCCTTAAAAAGTGACCTGTAAGACGAAATGTCTTTGATGGAGTGACTAACAACTGTTTTGTTGCCCCATGGTTCCACTGTTGAAGATCTCCAAACGTTGACGTCTTCAATGAAAACGTGAACCAAGCGGTCATATTGCCGTCCGGAGACGTTAGTGGCCAATTCTAAAATCAAACTATCATACTCTCCTCCTGTGTAGGGCTGAAAGCTAGCCGTGAATGGTTTACCCCATGAGTCGCCAAAAGAGTGTTGTACGAGTTCTTGGGAAAACACAGGTGGCTTCTCTGGCAATTGTTCAACTGTGATTTCGAACGATTCCTGGACGGGAACTGGAGATGAAGAAGTCCGTGAAAAGCTCAGCATTCGACCATTGTAGAGCTTTTGCACCTTTTCGTGCGATGCAAAATGAAGACATAAGTTGAAAAGTAAAAGAATTATAAGTATACCCGCATTTCTTCGTCTTGTTCCTTGGAATCTTCTAGCTTTCCGGATGTCTTGTTTTTCGTAGTCAAAAGCCTCAAATTTTGTCGGGGATGGAATCTCTAATCGTTCGCGTTTCTTCTCAAGTCTAGTGATGTCATTCCAAATGGCCATTTCAACACCCTTGGTACCCATTTTAAGGTATTCTTGCCGGGCGTCTTAAACACTTCCCTGTGTCGCCATGTCTATCTTACTTTAGGTTATTTATGTTATACTATATATATCACTCCGTACTTTTCTGTCACGAAACTTGGTCAGAGCTATGTTTTGTCTACTAGCAATTCAAAGGTTCTTGAAAAGACTGGTTGTCTTTTGAGAGCACATTGAAGCTGATTCAGATTTTGTTAGATTCGTTCCTGGAGCTTCCCTAAAGTTATCTGCACGATTTTGGTATAAAATGGTTAAACGTACATTTGTTCGATTTGCAGTATAGTTGCGGCCTGCACGGAAGCATATGGTAAGGTCCTACCAATGCTTCAGGACTCTTGCAAGGTTCAAAGCATTATGTAGACACAATTCCAGACCCAAAGTTCATTTTGATCCAGCATGAAAAGTTTGATGAATAATTTATATCATGTTAATATACGGTGGCATATAATATCGAACACCACAGATGTCCGAAAAAAAGACCTAGAAGCAGTTTCCGCTGTGAATTTCGATCTTCATTCAGCGTCAACTTCAGGTTGAAACAGTAAACTTCAATAAACAATTCTCGAAAAGCATCAAGTCTTGCGCTATTTCGTCATGAAGAAAATCGAAAACAAAATATTTACATCGATTATGGATACACAATATTCTGGTATGAATAAACATGGTTCTGATGTGCAATTGAGGCACCTTGAAAAGAAACCTTCAGTATTGAAAGGGCATTTGATTATGCTTATATGCCATGAGAGATCTGACACGTGACTTTCATTAGCAGAATTGACAAGTATATAAGATATTCAATTAAATCCCAGTCAGGTTAGATGCAGGACAACTAAGGCTAAGGAAGGCCAACCACAGGTGGATCTATTTGTTCCTTCTGCCGTAGATGTTTTTCTTTTTAACTCATATTCGCGGTATTTTTGCGCGCTCGCATAGTCGCAGTCAGGAGATTTTACTCTCCAGACAAGCCTTTTTTAGGCTTTTGGGATATTTGGCAAGTTGTGTGGTGTTGTCGTTGGCGGCACAAGGCCATGTATAGATCGATAACAGCAATCCAGGCTGTTATTGGTGTGGAAGTTGAATGAATACAGACGTGACGAAAACGTTATGGTGATCTTAGCAATGCCGAAGAAACCCATGACAGCATTTTGAAGTATAAGCAAAAACCATTTGACAAACTGTAATAGAACGAGAGTAAATTCATTATTACGTCTCTGATTTCTTGACTGTGCGCACGCTAGCAAAGGCCACCATGACCTGTCTAACAGCCGTTTTGAAAAAGTGACATTTTTTACCGCTTCCATTGGCCTCGCGTCACCTTAAGGAAAACGCCATTGACTGAATGCTATTCACGCGCCTCTTTTGAGTACTAGCTTTGCGAGATGCTAGCGGAGTGACAAATTGGGTGAGTACGGAAATAGAGATGTTATGGACACTTATCCATCTTGACGAGCTCACAATGTGCATCATCGATCGACTCATCTGTGTATCTGATTCCACTAATTGTTTTCTGATTACCTTGATGTCTTCAAATTTTGGTGCAAGAACGTGGACGATAAAAAACCCGAGTTAAAACAAATGCTTGACCGCAGACACTAATGATGCCCGAACTCTCAAACCCTTACTTCGCGAGCATCAACCCTTCCGTGCATTCTTATAAACCGGAAACGTCACAGTTTTTCAACTCGTTTGGATTATTCGTCTCTGAAGCATTTCTAAACCACCAGAGACGACAAAATTATCAGACAAATCCTCTCGCGAGCTGTCATGTTAAATAAACTACACAACGTACTGTAATGCTCAGGAATAATGTGCTTACCTTGGCCCCATCATGTCTTGCAATGCCAGCTGGCCCTTTATATAAATATCACGTGGCAGAGAATAATGGTATATCATCATGTTCCACGAACAATGTCTCAAAGATAATAAAAACGCTAAAAGGCCAAGCCTGAGCAAACATCAACTTCATGGTGTCGATACAGGTGCTCGACAGTCGAAGTTTTCAACTGAGAAAGCGTGTAGAACGCTTGGAGTGAAAGACTGGTATCTGTGAATATGGCTATGGACTATTCGGAGCCTGCGGCTGAAAGTACAGAGCTGAGAAGATCAGGATCAACATCTTCGTCGAATTACAGCAATCTCAACGCGAACTTACATGCTCGAGTGAAAGCGTTCCAGGAACAGCGACAATTGAAGCGAAATGGCAGTGTAGGCTCAGTTGGACGTGGATCGAACGGATCTGTGTCAGGAAGAGCACCAGAGCTAGCACCAGCGACGGAAAATTCTGCTCCTAAGACCGCTGCTTGTGCTGGTGTAAATTCTAGGAGCATGAATGTATGCCATGGCTCTCAAAAAAGTGCTGAAAGTGTAGTGAAAAGCCCTGAGCCCGAAAACATCGCGAAGATCGTCAACAAGCCTCTGCCTCCGCTGCCCCCGAGCAAGGAGAGCGGGCACGTGCTGAGTCCGATTCGAAGAGCTCCCAGACCTCCTGCTATGGGGGCAGGAGCGTCGGGTGTTCCAAGAGCTCTCCACATTGGAGCTAACGGCTCTGCCACCAAAGCGGGTTCTCCGGCAGCTGCATCTCCTATGGGCGCTATGAAGGCGAAACCCAGTCTGAGCGCTAGACGTGGTCTGAAATTGCCCGCAGGCGGGATGTCACTCAAAATGAAGGCCCCCGTTACTCCAGTGGCAGGTGCGGTTGCACAGGAGTTTGCAGCTGCTCCATCAAACCGTGCCCCTGGAAAACCAACGACCAGCAGGAGCAATCCTGGCTCTCTTATCAATGGTGTGCCAACGACTTCCACATCGTCAGGCCAACAACGCGACACTGAGGGTACCACTCCACAGCAACAAGTGCAGCAGCAACAAAGTCGGAGTGGGTCAAATGGACTGTTTACCAACTTTTCCAAATATGTTGATATAAAGTCCGGGTCGCTCAATTTCGCAGGCAAGTTATCGCTAAGTTCGCAAGGTGTTGACTTCAGCAACGGGTCCAGTTTCCGCATAACCTTGGATGAGCTCGAATTTTTGGGGGAGCTAGGACACGGAAACTATGGTAATGTCTCTAAGGTTCTGCACAAGCCCACAAACGTCATAATGGCCATGAAGGAAGTACGGTTGGAATTAGACGAGTCAAAATTCACACAAATTTTGATGGAACTAGAGGTACTGCACAAGTGCCAAAGTCCTTATATCGTGGATTTCTACGGTGCTTTCTTCATAGAGGGTGCTGTCTACATGTGCATCGAGTATATGGACGGTGGTTCCCTGGACAAAATTTATGATGATGGGACCCTTGGGGGCATAGATGAGCCACAGCTGGCTTGTATTACCAACGCCATAATTCACGGACTCAAGGAGCTCAAGGACGTGCACAACATTATACATCGAGACGTGAAACCAACCAATCTACTTTGCTCAGCCGCTCAAGGAACTGTGAAGCTTTGTGATTTTGGTGTGTCGGGAAATTTGGTAGCATCATTGGCCAAAACAAATATTGGCTGTCAGTCTTACATGGCTCCTGAACGTATCAAATCTTTCAACCCCGACAAATCCACATATTCCGTGCAGTCAGATGTTTGGTCTTTAGGGCTCAGCATCCTTGAGATGGCGATTGGTGCATACCCATATCCCGTTGAAACTTTCGATAACATATTTTCCCAGCTCAGTGCCATCGTGGACTCACCTCCTCCCAAATTACCGCAAGGTAGATTCAGTTCCTTAGCTCAAGACTTTGTGAACATGTGCTTGCAGAAGATTCCTGAAAGGAGACCCACGTATGCTGCGCTATTAGAGCATCCGTGGCTAAAAACTTATTGCGACACTGACGTTAGCATGAGTGAATATATTAGCACGCGGCTACAGAAGAAATGGCAAGCTACTGAGGTTGATGGTGTAAGCGATGCGACGGATACTGGTGCCATCCCAGCTCTTCATAAAGGAGGCCTATAATATCTTTGGGTGGATTCCTCTGTGGAATAATTGCCCTTCACGAAGCTGACGAAACGGAACACACATCATCAAAAGATTTCAGTCTTTTCACCATCAAAGAAACTTTCTGGAAGTAAATTTTCTCAATACATCTAGCATTTATTTGTATGTAGGCTTTTAGGCCAAATATTCGAATTTTATTGTGAATGTTAGTAAAGCTTCATGGGTTTTCAAAAGCCCTGTTTTTGACAAAGAATAGCATTCAATTGCTGCTTCTAGTCATGAGGCTACTCATTGACATCGCACGCGCTTCTCGTGGGACTAACTGGTCCACGGCTACACGTACAAATGGTTCTTACGTTCAAAGCACTAAAATTCTAGTTATTCACCTCGTACCGAGTGCCTTCTTGCTATATCATAAATTTATTATGAATCTTTTACACTTCTTTGAAAGATCCTAAACGACACCTAGTAGCGGCAGATGCGGGCCTGGAAGACGCTAAATCGTCGTCCTACCTTAGCTTCGATCAATGTGAGCTATCACAAAACACTCGGTCACAGACTGCGGGATGTGATCGAGTATATCGGTAATAAAGTGCATCCGTTTGTCAAATACATATTTCCTAATTTCATTGCCATTCACTACTTTTACATCATCTTCATGATAGCTTTGGGATCTATTTTGATGTATCCAGTCAAGAACTATGCCTACATCGATATTCTTTTCACCGCGACTGGGGCGTGTACACAAGGCGGGCTAAACACCATCAACATAAATGAGATGACTCTGTACCAGCAGATTGTCATATACCTCTTATGCTGTCTGACCACCCCAATTTGGATACATGGCACGCTGGCTTTCGTACGGCTCTACTGGTTTGAGCGTCATTTTGATGGGATTAAAGACTGGTCAAAGAAGAATTTCAAGATGCGTCGAACAAAGACTCTTATCCAGCGTGAGGTGACCAGAACGGGAACTGGAATGCAGCGCAGGCCTACTTTGAAAAATGGACACAATGATCATAGCTTTACAAATAACAGGGACTTTCAAAGCAAGCTTTTCAGTGGGCAGATGGTCAATAGGGAGGAAAACACAGGCGCGAAAGACAATTACGAGATGAACACCCTGAAGGAAAACACAGGCGACCAGCTTGACAAAAAGGACGCCCACGCGAGCTCGTCTACGGTATCTACTAAGAGTATTGAGCAAGGAGATGATACACCAGGGATCAAGTTTGGAGCTATGCCTAAACCACCCAAGAATGACAGTGGTCGCAGCGTTGCAGCTACTGAGAAGTTCAGTGGGAGAAGGGGGTCGGAGGACATTTCACCTGCAGATATGTTTCGCTCCATAGCCATGCTTAGAAGTCAACATGATATTGAAGAAAGAGATGAGGACGGACCGGCGCTGGTCATAAATGGGCCCGCTGAAAGACACGAGATGGTTACAAGGATAAACGTCCCAGCTAAAAGTAACTCCAATCCTGCTTTTTCTCCGATCCAAAGTGATGCGACCGTGCCGCCTTCGCCCACGCACAGCGACACGACGGTTCTTTCCACTTTAAGAGACACAAACCCAGTTCAAATGACGCTGAACAATTCACCAGGTTCTGCAGAGACTAGTAGCGGCTCCTTTTCCAAGGAAGAAGATAACAAACCTGTTCAGTGGGCCCCTGATCAGGATAATGACAGATTTGCTCCTTCATCTATTCACTTTCAAGATGCACGACCACCGCCCTCGCGAGGGAGAAAACAAATGTTCGGGAGACGCTCAACTCGTTTCGAAATGAAGCAGAAAATACCAAAAAAGTTCATTCGTTCAGGGAAACTCAGAGAAAGGCTACGAAATCTGAGAAGCGAAACCAACGAAGATGGTAACGACGCTGATATGGAACTGGAGTCTAGCGATAATGAATCTGCTGAGCCTAACTATATGCCTGAGGACCTGAATCCAGTACAAAGCGCTTCGAATGAGGCGAGTGAAATGTCAGATCTCGAAAAGGTTCACTCAAATTTAGTAGTACCATCACAGGATGCTACAGGCGGCGCAAAGTTCTACAAAAGAAGCAACACAATGGAACCACCAGGAGATAGAAATTTAGAGCTACTCACCAAGTCTCCTAGTTTTCAAAGAATGATCTACGAAAAATGGAAGGAAGATCGCCGGCGTAATGGTGGATTTCTGCGCCGTAAAAATTCAGCACTTACTCGCAGCTATAGCGGCTTCGGTGGCGGTCGTGAACCTTCACTCGGCCTGGAGAGAGGTCAAGGGGAAACGAGTGATGACGAAGAAGCATTAGGTGAGTATGCAGGCATGTCTTTCGACCAGCCCTTGCAAAGGCCACCACGACTTCAGAGAATGAGTACCAACTATTTGTCATATCAACCCAAAATCGGTCGCAATTCGACGTTCGTGGGCCTTAACGAGGTGCAGAGAGCAGAGTTGGGTGGTGTGGAATATAGAGCCAATAAACTTCTCTGCAGGCTCGTGCTAGTGTACTACATTGGATTTCACATAATGGCCTTTGTTATGTTACTCCCGTGGATCACAAAGATGAAAAAGTACATTACTCTCGTGCGATCTGATGGCATTTCTCCTGCTTGGTGGGGATTTTTCACTTCGATGAGTGCATTCAACGATTTGGGACTAACACTGACCCCAGACTCGATGATGTCCTTCAACAAAGCAATATATCCACTGATTGTCATGATCTGGTTTATTATAATCGGTAACACTGGCTTCCCTGTGTTTCTAAGATTCATTATCTGGGTCATGTTCAAACTGAGCCCTGAACTATCCTTAACAAAGGAGTCGCTGGGTTTTTTGCTAGATCACCCCCGCCGTTGTTTTACATTACTTTTTCCGAGTGCTCCGACTTGGTGGCTATTATTCATTCTAGTCGCGTTAAATGTTGTCGATTTGATTCTGTTCATTGTTTTAGACCTTAACTCTCAAGTGGTTGAGGGTTTGTCGAGCGGCTTCAAAGTATTAGACGGACTTTTTCAAGCAGTAAGCACGCGTACTGCGGGTTTCTCTGTTTTGAATTTGAGCATGCTGCACCCATCGGTTCAGGTATCTTATATGCTGATGATGTACGTGTCTGTGCTACCCCTGGCTATCTCTATTAGGCGGACGAACGTTTACGAAGAGCAATCTTTAGGAATCTATCACCCGCATGATGAAAATGAGGGCTCTGACCAAGATTCAAGAATAGACAAGAGCCCAAAATCCTTCATCGGTGCGCATTTGCGTCGCCAACTCTCTTTTGACCTGTGGTTTCTTTTCCTAGGGCTATTCATTATCTGCATAAGCGAGGGAAGTAAGATAAAGGATCCCAAAAAGCCAGACTTCACTGTTTTCCAAGTGCTATTTGAGGTCGTTAGCGCCTATGGCACAGTAGGGCTTTCTCTAGGGTATCCGAACACGGACCAATCTTTTAGTGCACAATTCAACACCTTTTCCAAAGTGATAGTGATATTTATGATGGTGCGTGGGAGACACAGAGGCCTGCCATACACGCTGGATCGTGCCATCATTTTGCCGAGCCAAAGCTTGGAACAGCGCGATGAGATTGAGGACAAGAATCGCGAGAATGGGTCCGGTAATAGAGATCCGCTTCTCGCATACTTGCGGGATCGTTCGAAGTCCGCCGAGGGTCGTTTCAAAAGTATGCTACCAGGCCGGAAATCTTCGCATCGTCAGCAACAAGGCGTGAGACGCATGCACACGAACGAGACTCAATCTACACCCAGAGGGTATGTTCGCGCTGAAAATGCTCGTTCACCATCGTTACGTGGCTCAGTAAACTACCAGTCCTCGGCAAGAGACTCTGCTGCATCTCGTGGAGAAATAAGTCCTACGTCGCGCTCTCCACACGCAAGCCACGGCAACTTGGAATCTGAGAGGGGAACTTTTGGAGAACATCGAGACAACAGCTCTCGCTTTTCCGCGACAAGATCTACTGACGAGTACCAAGAGGACGACTCTCAATTATCAAAAGAGGCGCCGGACGCTCAAGAAGGAAACCCGGCTCGTGTTTTGCCATGATGTAAGAACTTAAGAAGAGGACGGGTGTAGGAGCTCTGTAAGGTGAACACAAGATGTCGAAACGATTTTGAATCAAATTTGCAAGCAAAACGCACAGATGTTCCGGTGCTTTGGTTGGGAAAGGAAAGCCATGACAGATATATATCTTTGGGTACATAATACAAATGAACTTTTGGTTTGGACCATGGTTTATGTCATCAGTTGAGAGCCATTAGTCTTGAAGTCTTGAAAGTAAGCATTAAGAAAACCCACACACCCGTAAGAAAAACCCATACACCGTTGACCCAAAGCCCTACATCACGTGAATCATTACTCACCCATTTTGCCGCCGAAGCGGAAATTAAAAAAAATTTTCCACAGGGCAAGTTTTTTTCCCTGCTGCGATGAGTATAAATACTGGAGGGAAAAGAGCTTCTCGCCATCTTTTTCTTTAACACCATTTCGTTATTCCTGGCGTGTGTTCCTCCTGCTCATATCGTTATTTTGGGTAATATTCTTGTTTGTCTGTGTTGTTCTTGTTTATGTCTTGATAAAAATAAAAGCTAGGAAAACTTCTGCTAGTGACGAGAAACAGCGCGCGCGTTACTATTCTAAGATCGAAATCTAAGATCCTGTCCCAAAGTCCCCCAAATACGCAGACGTTTCGTCCCCATCTGCATAATATTTAGTTTTCAGAATTAAGAACGAAGCACGTCGTTTTTCTCGCACGCATACAGTTGTTTCTCCGCCTCAACCTGGTATGTTGGAATAAGTAGAAAAGAGAGAGAGAAAGAGAGAAAAGAGGAATAAGACACCTTGAAGGCCGGAGTATGATGAAAAGGGGTGTTAAAGCGTGCATGAAACGTTGTATTAGCCGATCATCCAAACCCTGGCCATCGTCAAGTATACGGACATAGAAATCTGAGAAAGGTCGTTTTGTACGTGTCCCAGAGTAGGTTGAAGTTAGAGTGCTTCATTGAATTTACTTCACTGCCCATCGCAGATCGCTCGGTGTAGACTCATCGCCTGAGAACTTCGGTCCCGTCTGAAATTCGGTAACGTGGATTCTCTTATAAAAGGCAGGAACTAGAAGTGCGTCTGCCTGCTCAAGCCAAAAAGGTCGTTCACTCTACAAGTCAAACGACGTCGAAATTCTCCTCAGAAAACTAAACTCGCAATTTGTTCTCGGTTTTGAAGATCGTACTAACTCAGCTCGGCAGTAAATACGCTTCAAGCCTTTTTGCTAGCATCTCCAGTCCCCACATTTGCTACAAGATTCCCCCATCAATCCTCCCAATTGACAAGTTAATCAATCTCTCCTAAGGAAAACCATGTCAATCATCATCCCTACAGGTCCAATTGCCCCACCCATGGAAGCCACCGGCGACCGTCTCGTCACTCTCGAGCTGCAAGACGGTGTCGCAGTGCAGGGTTACTCGTTCGGTGCCCAGAAGCCCGCTGCTGGTGAACTGGTATTCCAAACTGGTATGGTTGGATACCCAGAATCGCTCACTGATCCTTCCTACGAGGGCCAAATCCTGGTCATCACGTTCCCACTTGTTGGTAACTACGGTGTTCCTGATCGCAAGTTGCAGGACGAAATAGTGGAGTCTCTTCCCCGCTACTTCGAGAGCTCCAGAATCCACATCGCTGGTCTGGTCGTCGCTCACTACACGGAGGAGTACTCCCACTGGCTTGCCCAATCGTCTCTTGCCGCATGGCTCAAAGAGCAAGGTGTTCCTGCCGTTTACGGTGTGGACACAAGAGCTTTGACCAAACACTTGAGAGAAAGCGGTTCCATGCTCGGTAGACTGGCCCTTCAAAAGCCAGACACCGATTTCACTCGTGCTACCTCTGCCGAATGGGTCGACTCCTTCGACGTTCCTGACTGGTGCGATCCAAACGTCCAAAACCTAGTTGCCAAAGTCTCCATCGAGGCCCCACAACTATACACCCCACCATCCGAACTCGATGCCTCTAAGCTGCAGACCGGTCCAGACGGGAAAACTTTGAGAATTCTAGCCATCGATGTTGGTATGAAATACAACCAAATTCGTTGTTTCGTGAAGCGTGGTGTGGAGCTCCTCGTCGTTCCATGGAACTATGACTTTACTGAAGAAAATTACGACGGTCTTTTTATCTCCAACGGTCCCGGTGATCCTTCTGTTCTCACTGAGCTGTGCAGCAGATTGACCAATGTTTTGGAGGAAAAGAAAACTCCAGTTTTCGGTATTTGTTTGGGCCATCAGCTGCTAGCTAGAGCGTCTGGTGCTTCGACGATTAAAATGAAATTTGGTAACAGAGGTCACAATATCCCATGTACCTCGAACATTTCCGGAAAATGTTATATTACATCTCAGAACCATGGTTTCGCTGTCAATGTCGACACCTTGAGCCCAGGATGGAAATCACTATTTGTTAATGCCAACGATGGGTCCAACGAAGGTATTTACCATACCGAACTTCCATACTTCTCTGTCCAGTTTCACCCAGAATCTACTCCTGGTCCAAGAGACACCGAGTTTTTGTTCGACGTGTTCATTAAGGCTGTCAAAGACTTCAAGTTTAGTGAGACATTTAAAGCCGTCGAGTTTCCAGGTGGATTACTCGCCGACAACCTAGCAGCTCATCCTCGCGTTGAAGCCAAGAAAGTTCTAGTCTTGGGATCTGGTGGTCTATCCATTGGCCAAGCAGGTGAATTTGACTACTCTGGTTCGCAAGCAATCAAAGCTTTGAAGGAGGAAGGTATCTACACCATTTTGGTTAACCCAAACATTGCTACTATTCAAACCTCTAAAGGGTTGGCTGATAAAGTGTACTTTTTGCCTGTTACCGCTGAGTTTGTGAGAAAGGTTATTCTTCACGAGCGTCCTGATGCCATTTACGTCACATTCGGAGGTCAAACTGCTCTTTCCGTGGGTATTGAAATGAAAGACGAATTTGAAGCCTTGGGAGTTAAAGTGCTTGGTACTCCAATTGACACTGTCATCACTACTGAAGATCGTGAACTGTTCTCTAAGGCCATGGACGAGATTGATGAGAAATGTGCCAAGTCGAAGGCTGCTTCATCCGTTCAAGAGGCTCTGGAAGCTGTTGGCGAAATCGGCTTCCCTGTTATTGTCCGTGCAGCTTACGCTCTTGGGGGTTTGGGTTCTGGTTTTGCCAATAACGAAAAGGAGCTTGTTGATCTTTGTAATGTCGCGTTTTCTTCTTCGCCTCAAGTTTTGGTAGAAAGATCCATGAAAGGTTGGAAAGAAGTTGAATATGAGGTTGTTAGAGACGCTTTTGACAACTGTATTACAGTCTGTAACATGGAAAATTTCGATCCACTGGGAATTCACACTGGTGACTCCATCGTGGTTGCCCCATCTCAAACTCTATCGGATGAAGACTATAACATGCTGAGAACTACGGCCGTAAATGTCATTAGACACTTGGGTGTTGTCGGTGAATGTAATATCCAGTATGCGCTCAACCCTTTCAGCAAAGAATACTGTATTATTGAAGTGAATGCCCGTCTTTCGCGTTCTTCCGCCCTTGCTTCTAAAGCGACAGGATATCCCCTAGCTTATACTGCGGCCAAATTGGGTCTAAACATTCCTCTTAATAAAGTGAAAAACTCCGTTACCCAGTCCACATGTGCTTGTTTCGAACCATCGTTGGATTACTGTGTTGTTAAAATGCCAAGATGGGATTTGAAGAAGTTTCACAGAGTCTCTACTGCCTTATCTTCTTCTATGAAGTCTGTGGGTGAGGTTATGAGTATTGGCAGAACGTTTGAGGAGGCCATTCAAAAGGCGATAAGATCCACGGAATATGCTAATTTGGGTTTCAATGAAACAGACATAGATCTTGATATCGACTACGAGCTACAGAACCCAACCGATCAACGTATTTTTGCCATTGCAAATGCCTTTGGTAAACTCAGCTATTCGATTGACAAAGTCTGGGAACTCAGCAACATCGACAAATGGTTTTTGTCTAAACTTTACGACCTAATCAAATTTGCCAAGCACGTCGAAGGCTATGGTAGGATTGAAAAGTTACCTGCTTTGGTGCTAAAGCAGGCCAAACAACTAGGTTTTGATGACAGGCAAGTTGCAAAGTTTGTCAACTCCAACGAAGTTGCTGTCAGACGCCTAAGAAAAGAACACAACATTCTTCCTTTTGTTAAACAGATTGATACGGTAGCCGCTGAGTTCCCTGCACACACTAATTACTTGTACATGACTTACAACGCTGCGACGCATGATTTGTCTTTCGATGACCACGGTGTGATGGTCCTCGGTTCAGGTGTGTACCGTATCGGATCCTCGGTGGAATTCGATTGGTGTGCTGTTACAGCAGTTCGGACACTGCGTAAAAACAACATCAAGTCCATCATGGTCAATTACAACCCTGAGACTGTGTCGACAGACTATGACGAAGCCGACAGACTGTATTTCGAAACTATTTGCTTGGAAAGAATCCTTGATATTTATGAAATCGAGTCCTCTAGTGGTGTGGTCGTGTCAATGGGTGGTCAAACCTCCAATAATATCGCCATGTCTCTACATCGTGAGAATGTGAAAATCTTGGGTACCACACCCGAAATGATTGATGCTGCTGAGAATCGTTACAAGTTTTCTCGTATGCTGGATCAAATTGGTGTTGATCAACCTGCTTGGAAAGAGTTGACCTCTATAGATGAAGCTGAAGCATTCGCGGACGCTGTAAGCTATCCAGTATTGGTTCGTCCTTCTTACGTTCTATCGGGAGCTGCTATGAACACTGTTTACACCAAGGACGATCTTGCGTCATACTTGAACCAAGCAGTGGAGGTCTCTCGCGATTATCCTGTTGTCATTACAAAGTACATTGAAAATGCTAAGGAGATTGAGATGGATGCCGTAGCAAAGAACGGTGAATTGGTCATGCACGTAGTTTCGGAGCACGTTGAGAATGCAGGTGTTCACTCTGGTGATGCCACGTTGATTGTACCACCACAGGACTTGGATCCTGAGACTGTTAACCGAATTGTTGTGGCTACCGCCAAAATCGGTAAAGCTTTGAAAATCACCGGTCCTTTCAACATTCAGTTCATTGCTAAGAATAATGATATCAAGGTGATTGAGTGTAATGTTCGTGCCTCGCGCTCCTTCCCTTTTATCTCCAAGGTGGTGAACGTTAACTTGATCGAGATGGCTACTAAGGCCATTATGGGGCTACCAGTTACACCATACCCAACTGGAAAATTGCCAGAAGACTTTGTTGCCGTAAAGGTTCCACAATTTTCTTTTCCACGTTTGGCGGGAGCTGACCCTGTCCTTGGTGTCGAAATGGCCTCCACCGGTGAAGTTGCAACTTTTGGACACTCCAAATATGAGGCTTATATGAAGTCGCTTCTATCAACAGGCTTCAAGATGCCAAAGAAGAATGTTTTGCTGTCCATCGGCTCTTTCAAAGAAAAGCAAGAAATGCTCTCCTCCGTCAAAAAGCTATACAACATGGGTTATAAGCTTTTTGCAACCTCAGGTACTGCGGACTTCATCTCCGAACATGGAATTCCTGTTCAATACCTCGAGGTCTTGAACGAGGGCGACGATGAGAAATCCGAGTACTCGTTGACGCAACATTTGGCCAAAAATAAGATTGACCTGTACATCAACTTGCCATCTGCTAACAGATTCCGTCGTCCAGCTTCTTACGTATCGAAGGGATACCAAACCCGTCGTATGGCTGTGGACTATTCTGTTCCACTAGTCACAAATGTAAAATGTGCCAAACTTTTGATCGAAGCTCTTTCAAGAAACTTGAAGCTAGATGTCACTGAGAGGGACTCTCAAACCTCCCACAGAACAGTCTCTATCCCAGGTTTGATTAACATTTCATCTTACATGCCAAACATCTCCAACGTTGTTCAAGGTCCAAATGAAATGAAAGAAATTACGAGACTCTCTGCGGAATCTGGTTTCACTTACTCACAAATTATGCCTAAGTCGACCCGAGGTCCTGTTGTCACCAATGAGCAATCTATAAAGGTTGCTACTTCTGTCGTTGAGGGCTCTGCTTTCACTGATTTTGGGTTTACTGTCGCTGCTACTGCGAATAATGTTGCTGATGTTGCTCAATGTGCCAACGATGCCAATGCTCTATTTTTGCCTCACCACGAGTTGACGGGTAAAATATCAATTGTTGCAGAGCACCTGAAAAACTGGCCTTTGGAAAAGCAGATAATTGCTGAGGCCAAAACTTCTGATCTAGCCTCTGTGATTTTGCTCGCCTCTCTGCAAAACAGACCAATTCATATTACTGGTGTATCTAACAGAGATGATCTGTCCCTGATTATGACCGTGAAGGAAAAGCAAGATATGGTTACATGCGATGTAAACATCCATGCTCTGTTTGTAAGTCAATCAGACTACCCTGAGGCTAGATTTTTGCCAACCGAAGAGGATCAAGAGTTTTTCTGGCGCAATTTGGACTCCATTGACGCCTTTTCTATTGGCGCCTTGCCAACACTTCTAGCTCAAGTAACAGGGCGTGAGGTTGTTACTGGTATTGGTATCAAAGAAGCTTTGCCGCTATTGCTCTCTGCCGTCAATAAAGGCAAGTTGACCATCGAGGATATTGTTGAGCGCTTGCATGACAACCCTTCAAGAATTTTCAACATTCCACCACAAATGGCTGAAGTCGAAGTTGACTTGGATTTCGCTTTCAGGCACACTAAAAGATGGTCTCCTTACACTAAAGGTGGATTGACTGGTGGTGTTGAGCGTGTTCTTGTGAACGAGGAAACTATTGTTTTGAGCGGCGACCTCGTCGCAGCCGAAGCTCAAGGTAAGCCTGTTGTTAGTGGTAGTAAATTCGTCGCTCCCTCTCTGCCCTCGTCCGCTGACGTGCCCTCCACCGCGAGTAGGAAGAGATTCTCCTTCTCGAACGAAAAACGCTCTTCATTTGCCAGTATCAATGAGGAGGAGGAAGCTCTACTAGATCAACCTTTGGAGCAAAGACTGATGTCCTCGAGGCCACCAAAAGAGCTAGCCGCGCCTGGTGCCATTCAGAGTCTAATCAGGGGCAACAACCCATTCTTGCGCAGAAACATCTTGTCTGTGAATCAATTCAAGCGTTCCGATTTCCACGCATTGTTTGCGGTTGCCCAAGAGCTACGATCTGGTGTCGAGAGAGAAGGTGTTTTGGACATCATGAAAGGCCGTCTTTTGACGACAATTTTCTACGAACCATCCACTCGTACATCCTCTTCTTTCATTGCTGCCATGGAGCGTCTTGGTGGTAGAACTGTGAACATCAACACAACTTCTTCCTCCGTCAAGAAGGGAGAAACTCTTCAGGACACTATCAGAACATTAGCTTGCTACTCTGATGCCATTGTCTTGCGTCATCCTGACGAAATGTCCGCTCACACAGCCGCGAAATACTCACCAGTTCCTATCTTGAACGGTGGTAATGGGTCGCGTGAACATCCAACTCAAGCTTTCTTGGATCTGTTCACCATTCGTGAAGAGTTGGGTACCGTGAACGGTATTACGGTGACTTTCATGGGTGATCTAAGGTACGGAAGACCTGTTCATTCCTTGTGCCGTTTGTTGAGACACTATCAGGTGCGTATCAACTTAGTATCTCCAAGCGAGCTGAGATTGCCTACCGCCCTTCGTACTGAGCTCGCCAAAGCTGCTATGTTGGGTGTTGAGAGTGAGATTTTGACTCCTGAAATCATTTCCAAGTCCGACGTCCTATACTGCACCAGAGTCCAGAAGGAAAGATTCGACAACCCTGACGAATATGAGAAATTAAAGGATGTTTACATTGTCGACAACAAAATCCTGGCACACGCCAAGGACCAAATGGTTGTCATGCACCCATTGCCTCGTGTCAACGAAATTCGTGAAGAGGTTGATTACGACCATCGTGCCGCCTATTTCAGACAAATGAGATACGGTCTATTTGTGAGAATGGCTCTTTTGGCCATGGTGATGGGCGTTGATCTCTGAGACACAACACACAGCTAGCCGAACCCATCATTTAAATTTCCACTAGATTGCTCTGATAACCGCATCCTACTGTGGGGACTTTAGGCTGTCCGTTGTCGAGCAAAATAGTCAACAATAGTGAAGGCTAGCGATCATCGTTACACACATATTATATAACATTTGATCCTGTAAATTATCGAACTCTAATTATTTGAGGTGCTTAATGGCTAAGGTGACCAGAACTGAGATCGGAACGGTTCCTGGAGGCCTTTTTGACAAAATCTCATCTCTTAAACTATGTATGCCTTTATACGTGCTCATCTCGTTAGAGACTAGTAGCTATTCTTGACTTGGCTCATGTTAGGAAAAGAACATCGTCGAGCCATATAGAGGCAATGACAAGCCTGTTGATTCTTCGAAACGGGTCGTTGGCAAGTCGATTAGTTTCTGAGCGATTATGGAGATTTCGGAGGTGCTTTCAGTCCGATAAGCCGGTGTCAAGCGATTCAATAAATAGTAGCAACGACATTTTGTTAAATGCCACTGCCTCCATGAGAAAGAACAGGGATAGTGGTGTTGATACTTATGCTAGTGGTGTCAAGTTTCAACAAACTAAGAATGCAGCTTTTTCAAAGAGAAAGCCCAACATGGGAAACGCAAGTCCCGGTCAGCAACATGCAAAGAAACGATTTACGGTAAAATGGACCACTGGCACAGAAAGAGCACAAGAGGCTGCGAATCATACGTTGCAACAGATCTTCAAGCTGAATGAGCGTGGAGTTGTCAAAGTTGTGAGCCAACAGTCAAATACACTCGAGGAAAGATTGTTCGTGAAATGGGCAGCAGGTCTGGACCTAGGCGACATCGGTTTCACGATTGTGAACGTTGAACAACGAGGCTCCTATAGCATCCCGCTCATCAAGGTAGTAGATGCCAAGACTGCGTTGAAAAAATATTCAGATGAGCTAGCTAGACGTAAGGAAGAGGAACTTTCGAAAATGGGCTTTTCTAATAAGCGACTGGGCAAAAAAATTGATAGAGACAGCGGTGATGACAACTTGAAGCAAATCAAAGTCTCTTGGCAAATTTCTGATGCTGATCTCAACAAGCAAAAAGCTCACGAAATCACCTCTCAGCTCAAGAAAGGCTATAAAGTTTACTTATATCTCGATCGCAGGGAAGAATTGGGCAAAACGAACTGGTCCGAGGACGTTTCTGCCATTCAAGAGGATGAAAAGAAAGCCAGAAGCCCCAAATTGTCATCTAGAGAGCTTATGAGGCGGCAAGAAGTAATGGACCGTCTTCAAGAAATTGTTGACGAGTTTGCTCTTCAGCCTGTTTTGAACGGTAGCATCGATTCAAGACTGATCATGAAATTGACTCCGAAAACGACATCGACAAACAAAAGCGATAAAGCTGCGTTGAAAGAAGAGCGCAAGCAACTGAGACAAAAGAAACTAGAATCCAAGCTGCTTAAGAAGAAACAAAAAGAGTCTGTTTAATGTTGTAATACCGAACTTGATCTCCACAATTCATGTAAATAAATGTATATATTGTACATAAACTCATTCATCCTCAAATATACTTGTAAATACCCGAGTGATTTTAAACCTAATTACTGTGTTCTCATATTATCACTACGCTTCCTGATAGCTGATAATGACCGAAATCCCCGTACCCATACCTTGGTGCACCGACTATTAGCCTTCCCTCGGGCCCCATTTTGATAATTTTCCCAAAATCCGGAATTCCTTTGCCTGACGTACCTTTATTCAGACTGACCAGATGCCTCGCAGGTGTTACTAGGATAGTCGTAAGTTTCCATTTTTCAACCGATTGCTGTATTTCAAGCATTTTGATTCCCCAAATTGCCCCAGTCCCTTCGAAAATACCAGGAGAGGAGATAAAGATTCTATTCTCTGTATCGTCGTACTGAATTGAGGCACCAAACTCAATTGCTGCATTAACAGTCTTGGGATCCATTGACGTGTCCAGAACTAAAGTGGCATAATGTCTCAGTCTTCCGAAACTCTCTTTGTAAAGGTAGACCTTATTCTGTAAATGACAGGATACTCCAATGAAGCCTCTGTTTTCGAAGCGCCAGGTTTCCAGTTCCTTCCCAAACATTCCGTGTATGCTGGATTTTCTGATGCTCAAATCTAACGGAATATCCTCCTCTAGCCGGATGACAACATCATCAGTAATGTAGTACCTAGGTAGTGCGTTCTGGCGCAAGCTTTGAAGTGAGTATACGAAAATGACACCCAATCCCTGAGCTGTAACGTAAAGAAGTGCACCTTTGTCGTGACCACTTGAGACAACTATCTGAGAACCAAAGTTTTGGAAAGTTGCAGAAAGCGGCGCTTTCAAACTCAGAGTACTTAACTCATGTAGCTCCATGTCGTGTACTTCGGGATCTCGGAGAAGTCTCGAAACCTCGCGACCTTCAACAATCAAGACCACCCCAGTCTCATTCAACCCATAGTGTGGACCTCCAAGTATGAGGTCTGGAATATTGTCTCCGTCAATATCTTGTATGAGTGATACTGACAGTTGGTGTCTTTCCCAGCTCTTGTTGTCAGTCAACGTTAGGATTTTCTGCCCATTGTCATAAAAGTGAACGCTATTTTCCCCAGGAGCAGATACCACAAGATAGTCCACGCCTTCAAAAGGATACGCATGCACTCGTGTGCCGTAGGCGGTGCTGACTGGTTTTTCAGTGCTAGCAGCAGTTTCGAGGCCGTTCAGTTCGTGCCATGGAATGACGTACACAGTACCTTCATTTTCCTCTAAAGGTGCGCTGATTGCCAGTGAGGTCAAGTTGTTGCGAAACTTGCCGATTGCAATATCCGACCCAAACAGAGAGAGTGACGTCAAAGGCGAGAGGAACAAAGTGCCATCTTGCTGATTGTGAACCTGAACTGAGACGCTTTTAGCAGAGGCAGCATTTCGTGCTGTGGGCAATGAGCCGCAAAGTTCTATCAAAGTTTCGAGCTCCGCATCTGAAAACTCGTTGTTGTTTTCAAATAGAGAGAGAAAAATCGGGAGACACTTGTTCACCATTGCTATCGAATTCATTTCGCCACCAAGCCAATGGTCCTGTATTAGCTCACGAGCCCGGGGTGACACATCATAACCAATCTCCAAGACTGGCTTTCTACGCTCGACCAGAGAAATCACTTCGCTAGCTAAAGCAGCTGCTCCCCTCCTCACACAAGTGTTAACTTCCCAAAAGTGCATGTCAGTGACCCCTGACCGACGAATCAGCTCCAAAAGATCGTGCTCAGTAGGAAAATTCCAGTCTTGATCAGTGTAGTAGTCCCAGCTGTCGACAGCGTAGTCCGTGATGATTTGGCCCAGCATCAAAAAATCGCCCATGGAATCAATGAAATTGTGTGCTGACTCGTAATCGCCGTCAAACTCGAGATCAGCGAGAGCCCTGACCAGCCCGTGACTCCTGTAGCCGGAGACCAACGAGTGCCAGGAAACATCCGTGATCTGATGAACAAACACACCCAGTAGAAATGCTTTCAGCTTCAGTGCGTTTTCGCAATTTTTATTATTCTCGTAGCGCTCTCGCCATATTTGGGCTCCCAGAATCAAAAAAGGCGGCCAATGCGCCCATTCAGAAAATTCCTGCCATTTTTGGTTGGTCGTACAGCTGTAAAAAGCGTCAGGAAAGAAGGTTCCTGCTTTTAGTTCTGCAAGGTAGGGTTGAAGCCCGCTTGGGACACCTGTTCGCGCCAAGAGCGTCAAATGAACCGCCACACCTGCTGTTTGGACTATTCTGCACCCTTGCAAAAGCCAAATGAGCAGTTTTATGACGATCATGGCGCGCCAGAGGTTACTAGAGAAGTGTTTTAAGGATACTGTTTTGATGATCTTAATGATCAAATTATAAGGTTCGAAGTTCAGATTTCATTAAAACTAATGACTGTTTTATAGCATTTTAGTAAAACACAGCCATAAGACGAGTGATCGTGCCGAGTTAACGAATTGTTATCGTAATAAAGCAGTAAATTATGTAGGATGGTTCACGCTTCAGTGGTAAATGTAATTCCCTTGAGGTAGTGAATAATAAGTGACTACAGTATTTTCAGATCGAGAGCGTCTGCGCATTGTTGTAGCGATTCAAAGAGGCTTTAGAAAGGTGAAGTACGCGATGAGATGGTGTTGGAGGGCAGCACTGCTCTTGGTAAACCATCATGTCTCGAATGGTACTTTATGTCATCGTTAACTACTCTGGCATACCAGCGTCGAAATGCCAAACATAGTGTCGCTGTAAATCTCTTGGAGTGAAGGCTAGATCAACATTTGTGCAGGGCTTTGACCAATTTGAAAAGCTCCGCAGCATGCGAGTTTCTTTCCGAGGTTTATTCAAATAAAAGATCGAGAGTTTTAACAGTGGTCAAAGTTATTCTTTGGCAATTATTGAGTGAAATGTGCGTGTAAGTGAGACTTTGGGGCATGATTCTTCTTTTCATACGTGTTGCGATCAGCTTCTATCCAGACACCTCCTTGAAGGCATTTTAGGTCAGGATTTACTTCTGAAGACTTTCCCAATAGCGACTTTACCGTTATCGCATCTGTATCTGACACTTTGTCACGTGACGTACTTTACTTCAGCTAAAACCACCGATGGGATAGCTGACTACAGCCGCCAAAATGGGGGATTGCCGGGAGGAGGGTCGCCTTCTAGCGTGGTCTCTCGTGTCGTTGATTAATCCCAAAAATCACCCTTTCCTTGGCTTATCAAAACATCATTTCGGACATCGCTGACGCCGTCAAATTGACAGTCACACAGTGATCAAAACTAGCCACAATACAGCTCGCAAGCGACCAAAACCGCCATAGGATGTTTATATCGCCATATTTACGCCACATCTGTATACAGATTCAAGACCTGATCTATTACGAAACTAGCCTGTCATCTGATCACGTGATCGTGAGCTTATCTCTCAAATTGTGACGTATTTTTTAATAATTAGGCAGTACTTCAGTGAGCTAAACAATAATTTTGGGCTGAGAAACTGGAGTTTCATGAACTCTCAAAGCATAATACACACGAGATAGAAGTGATTCCGACTGAGCTCCCACTGTTTGGCCTTAGCGAGACTAATTCACTACTAATTTCCCATTATAGTCTCCGATCACGTGATCTCTTTTCTAGCTATGTATCCCCTCAGAGTTCACTTTCTACAACACCTGTAATGGTAAAACCACCATCATCCAGCGACGGAGCCAAGCCTAAGAAGCCAAGCTCGTGCTGGTGTCTGGGTTCAATGATCTTCTATATACCGCGATGGTGGTCTCTGTTGTGCGTGTGCTCTTCCGTGGTAAGCTTCGCGATGTCAACCGTTTCAATAGCTCAGCAATTCCTCAATTACCGAAAACCACTTGAACAGAGGTTAGTGGTGCGAATACAGCTGATGGTGCCGCTTTTTAGCGCGACTTGTCTGCTAGCATGCATTGTACCGCAAACGGCACAGGTTTGGATAGACCCCATGCGCGAAATATACGAATCATTTGTCATTTACACCTTCTTCTCGCTGCTGACACTGATACTGGGAGGAGAACGCAAAATTATCACACAGCTTTCCATGGGCAAGCCTCCTATGCGACACCCGATTATTGGACTAGGTCGTGTTTTGCCCATGATAGATATGTCAGATCCTAGCGACTTTTTGAGTGTCAAACGCGGAATCTTGCAGTATGTCTGGTTCAAACCACTTTACTGTATAGGAACTGTGCTTTGCATGCAGAAAAATTGGTACCCTGAATTTTGGATGCCCTTCTGGACAATTTCTTACAACATATCTGCAAGCTTGTCACTGTACAATCTGGCCCTATTTTGGAAATGTCTTTACGACGAACTTCAAAAATACAACCCGTGGTCCAAGTTTCTGTGTGTCAAACTAATAATCTTTGCCTCTTACTGGCAAGGTATTTTGATTGCTCTTTTGAGCAGGTATGGCTTTATAACGAACCGCCCAGACAACGTTGACTACGGATACGTGTATCAAAATGCTGTTTTGTGCGTCGAAATGATAGGCTTCGCTTTTGGACATCTAATTGCTTTCAACTGGAGCCCTTACAGCTCGAAAAGTATACCAGAAGGAGCAAGAATGCGCACGCTTTATGCGTTAAGAGATTGCTTTGGGTTTGGCGATCTGAAATGGGATTTCAAGATAACTTTTCTGGGGAATCTGTACAATTATCGTCATTTTAACTCTGCTGAAGCCGTGGTTGCTCACAGAGACTCTAGGTCGCGATTGGGGCGTTTGCAAGCTGGCTTCAGATACTCCGACGGTGGTCGTGGCAATTACTGGGTAAATAGCGGCGAGCCGTCGTCTCCATCGCGCTCCACCATTTACGGCAGTACTGAAGACGTCGAGTCTTGGGTGGATTTGTCTCGAGACGGTTTCACGCCTGAAGATCAAAATTATCCAGTTGTTTGGGACATAGATTCTTACAAATACAGCAGAGACATGGAGGCTCTGCGACAACACGTCAGGCAATCGTATGTGCCATGATTAGCACGTACGATGAGAAACTTGACCGTAGCATTTAATATGTACATAACACCTGGGGGTGTGTTTTTATGTGTCACAATTACGTGTCAATGCGGGGGATGGGAGGGGTTTGCGTAATGGGGCATTAAAGTCCAGGGAGATTTTTTTGTTCTGTATTTACAGGATCTTTCATGAAAGAGTGCTTGATCGGGAAGATATCCTCCACATATGACGTTCCTGGAATGAGAAACAATCGAGGAACCGAGACCTCAAAATTCTATAACATCGGGTACGAGGATTGATCAGCTATTACAAAAAGTGATCTCCCCTAAACAGAAAATGCTTGGCACATTCGTATGAAGTCCATGATATGGCGGTGGCAGGCATGTTACTGATGATACGAGGCTTTAATCCTCTCAGAAAACCGGACCAGCCGTACACTTTGTAAATGGCGCTTGAGGCTTTGGAAAACGTGTCGGCCTTTTTGAACAATGGGATCACAACACTTTCACTTCCGCGCACTTGTAAAACGGTTTTGATGCAATCTAGGGGTGTGGTTATCGCTGCGCAAACAGCGCCGCTAATGCCACCACATAAGCAATGTATGAGTGGGTTGTAGGAGTTTGTCGGATTCAAAAGCTTTGTGGAAGACTCGTAAATGACGAAATTGAATGCTGCAAAGGGAATATTCATGGCGATCGTAGTCGGATAGGAATAGTAGAAAGCGGCTAGGCCCTCGTTTCGACGTATCGCCGATGCGACAGACCACATGCCGCTACGAGAAATTGACTGAAGCTGCATGCGTTGTTTTATGGTGTCGAAGGGATTCATCAAGAAATCAGCGGCGACAGTGGCAGCGATTCCACTCGCTGCAGTTTTGAGCGGCTGATGCGTTTGGAAGTCCTGGGGATCTATGAGATAGCCCTTGCACATCTCGTAAGTGGCGAAATACACGGCATGGGCCGGGCCTGCGCCCAAAATCACGGACTGCACACCCTTCCAAAGCGCTAGCGAGCCCTCAGTGGTCGATATGTTGGCAATCTGTTGAACTATGTTAGACGGCAATTTCGTGGCAGCCGTGGTTGACCCCAAAGTTGCACTCAGCGCCTGCATCCGTGTCTTGATAGCGTCGATGGGAAACATGATCGAGTGTTCCATGATTCCCGCGAAGGCGCCAGCTGCAAGCTGATGCGAGAGCGGAGAGTTAATCGGAAGCGACTCGTAGTCGACTTCTTCGGCCATAATTTCCCAACTGAATTTTATAGAACAGCCTGACTGGAATACAGAACAGTGGCTCAGTTGATGTGCCCTTTTGTAGTCTTTAGCGTGTTGCACTGGTGCTGATGGATAGCTAGGATGGTATTTCTGGGTGTCTACTTGCCAGAACGATTCTAACAAAATTTGAGATCGTGTATGATGATCCATTAATTGGCATTATTGACCCAAATCATCATTAGCTAATCACATGCGGTCTGGCCAAAGGCAAGCGAAGAACTCCAGCTACCACGTGAATGTGAGCTCCAATATCGATTTGAAGGATCATCGCATGCCGCCAATCGAATTGGGGACCATCCGTTCGTATTCATTTAGTGTTTGTCGAATGTGAAACGAGCCACTGTACTTTACTTTGAAACGAAAGTAGATTTTTTGATTCGGGTTCGTTGTCTATCGTCTTTCCCAACTTTCTATTTTGTTAGGAAAACAGCACAACTTGTTGCAGTTAGGCTTGGATTTTGAGTGTGATACAGACCGAGTTATTTTTCATTCAGTGAAAAAGCTATCATGTATTTGAATCATCGTTTCCAGTAGCCAAGCGCTGTGCGTATCATCTTCTTTTGTCATTCTTTCTAGCCAGCAGTGTGTCAACGAAACGAGACTTTTGTTCCCATGAAAGGTGCTCTTTATTTCTATGAGGGATGGAAGGGTGGTGTAGTATTACTGTTTGTGTTTCTTTGACATTTTCCGTTCAATTCTTCTGGCATTCTCTCAAAACCAGATGCTACCTAGAGCACAGACGTCTCTTTTCAGATAATGTTGCTGAGTTCTCAGCCAGAGACCAGCAATTCTTGTTGATCGGTTTGTAAAAGTGGACATTAAAGGTCAGTAAGTCGGTGCCTCTAGTCTCTTTTCCTCTGTTATTTATATAGTCACAGAAAGAAAAACTAAAGTGACAAATTAGCCGCCGAGAGTAAAAGATACACGTAAATGGCTTTTGAAAAAGCGGCAGCAAGCATGATTGAACAATTGAGAGTGATAGCGATCGATTTTGAATAAGTAAAAAACTCGTAACTCTACTGAACAATTGAAAGCGTCGGCGATCAATTAAGAATAAGTTGAGATCTCTTAGTGCTACTGAAAAATTGAGAGCGTCAGCGATTCATTAGGATACCTAGAGTACACTCAGTATCATTGAACAATTGAGGGCTTCGATGGATTAATAAAGGCTTTTTAGTGGTTAGGCATTGATATTTTGGAGAAGCATTTACTCGACAGCTCGTAAAAAGTTTAAAACTCGTTCTACTGCTGAACAATATGGCGTCTGCGATCACCTATAATTATTACAAGCACTTTTGAACATCTGACAACGATTTTAACAAGGAGCACAGGTCTTTAATAAATGGTGTCAACGCTCATAAAGACAACTGCTGACTATGCAGTCGATAAATATCTGTCAGAACGATTTATCAGTTTTGGACGACTCACGCACTTACTATCCTCAAGCTCGAAGATTGTATGTTTTAAGTGCACTGTTCGATCTTTAGATTAGCATCAGACATCTTTTCGAGTTCCTAAGAGCGATTCTCATCATAGTTGTAGCTGAAATACTAGCGTTCAATGAGCATTGTTATCAATAATTAAGGCTTCAAGTAATGAAGCTAAATTACGTAGCGTACCAACCTCTTGAAATCGCATAAAACTATTTGTACTATGTTTCACTTGTTGTTTCCCGAAACAGGCTCGGTCTTGGGCTCAAACAAGCACGTAGTCGTTATGACGAATATCTCAAAGTGTCGAGGTCTACCTTTATGCCAAAACTCTTTAAATAAGGAACGAAACACGCTTATATATCTTGAAAGAAACACTGAATTTTGAGTCCTGGTGCATCAAGTTTAAATGTTAGCTTAAAAACGTCTCATATGAGCGTTTGATATACTTAACAGCTTGAGCTCTTTGGAAAGTATGATCACTAGCGATAGGCACTTATTTACGTCACTCGATTTGATGAAAGTATCTTATCCGAACACCTCAGAAAAGCGTTAGGAATTGCAAATTCTTTGACACTGTAACCGTACAATGATCGTGATTTTTATATCCAGCTAAACGCTCTCAATTAAGCCTGAGCCTCTGTGACAAATCAATTGCGTATCTACTCTATAAAATTGCAATGACAATGGTTGTTTTTGATTACTTTCACACTCCCAAGAAGCGGAATGTGCTAGGGCATACGAGAACAACCACAGCAGCAACGCCTGCGTAGAGAAAGAACCTGCACAGCAGCTCTGTTCTTGAACGTCCAGAGAAGAGCGCGACCTCCATTTTATGAGAGATTTTGCCGTGATTGTGGGCATATAAATGTCTGTCATCATCCCATACCAAGCCTAGAGCTGTGCAGATCAATTTCTTTCCCACCACGCTTTTCCAAATTAGAACGAGCGATACTCCGACTAGAATTCTTCTCAGTGTTAAAAATATCCCAAATTCGCTCCAGTCGTAGTAGACTCTGTAGTTGGGCTTCCCAAATAAGGTCCAGCTTAGCCAGTCGCTGCTTTCCAGCCCGCATATCACACCAACGAAAGCTACGCTATCGTCAAAACAGGGACAGTGATCCACAGGTCGAGCATGTTTGAACAGAAGCGTCAGGCCCAAACCCATCGAAGCGACAGGGAACCAGATGCCCCATTCTTGCATGCTTGCCGCATCAAAATTGGTAAATGTAAGAGCTGCCCATCTGCCAACAAAACATAGTACGCCAATCAGTGCACCAGAAAATACGTCAAGCAGCCCGTGCATTCCACAGTAAATTCTGCCCAGCGTGAGAGTGAAGTAATAGAAAAATGCACCCAAGGTAGCTGCTAGCTTCCAGGGCAAGGACATTGCGTCGGATTCGTAAATATACCACAGAAAAAGCAACGTTACACCGGTGGCATTTGCAGTGTGTGAGCTTGGGGCTCCATATTCTTGAGTGGTGTATCCGCTCAGCGTTACACGAGTTAGCGGTGGAGATTTCGGTCTGGGCAAGCACCAGTAATCCTTCAAAAACCCACTGAGATAGATTGAGTATCCTAAAATGTACACCAGATCTCGACACACATTGCTGTACCCCAACCACCGCGGCATAGGAACCATTACAACGTAAAACATATGAGAGCCCATTAACGAGGTGTATGCAAAGTACTTATCCATCAATGGGCCGCGAAACTTTCTTTGCCATTTGTACAGCGTGGTTGACTGGTTGTCAGTGTATTTGGTGAGCTTGGACCGCATTTTGAAGCGCATTGGACTCATCCGCTGCTTGAAATGCTCACTCGAATGGTTGCCTGGATCTGCGTAAGGATGTCTATCCTGGTAAGTCTTCACCTCATCTAGCTTCTCTAGCGTAACGCCCGAGCCTGTCCCGGATCTACTTCGGCTTGCCATTGCCCTTGATTGGGGGCTGATTAGCTTCTCTTTTTGTTTTAATGACTGTTGATGTTTCTAATTTCAACATAATCATTAAATTCACCACAGCCTTTTTTCAACATACCCTGAAGTGATCAACCTTCTCGACAGGAGATGAATTGTTCAAGTTGAAAGCTGTACAGAGCAGAAAGCTCTGAAAATTCCAATTAAGCTAGAGATTTAAATAGCATATGATTATTATATGTAGACTTCAATAATTATCAAGAACTTGAAGCACAGAGCGGGCAATTTTCTGAGCTTGGATTTTTTGTTGCTCCTTCTCGAGGTCGTGACTGAAGCCCAGCCAATCGGACCAGTTCTCGGGAACTGGACATTGCAAAAACCACTCTTGATAGTCTATCCATTTGTGTGTGACTTTTGGTGGTGCTAATATTCCTGAAGCAATTTTAAATCCAGGATTGAGCGCATTTGGGGTGAAAAGACTGGAACCAAGGTCTGTACACAGTTTAAGGTCCCTTTCGTGGTCTATTTTACCCCCATAGATGATAGCACTTATATTAAAGTTCAATTTTTCCCAAGGTATGTTGGAGGAATCGTCAATGGATTCGAATAAAGTGTTAAGATAAAAAATCCCGGCGCTGTAGTCAGTGTCGTTAAAATCGTATTTCTGTGTGAATCCTAATGGATGCAAACTACTGTTCTCCACCAAAAGGGCATGAAACCATGCTATGAGAAAACAGCAATACAACTTTGCTGACTGATCAATTGTGAAATTTTCGTGAGACAAGGCGCCCCAGACGTCCTGTGCTGTTGCCAGAATGCCTCTTTTCCGGCCCTGGACCAAATGCCAGCTGTTCCGCAATAGTGGCAATGGTAGATTATTACTTTCCAAGTCACAGGTCATGAATATGCGAAAGTTCGGAGACATGTTTGAGTCACCCAATATCGTATCTAGTCGTCTTGTCAAAACCGAGTTGACCCAAGTCGGCGACATTTGCAAGTTTTGTAGAAGCAGCCAGCCACCCGAGTGACTGCATTCTGATAGCGCAGCTTCTGCCATGACTGTGCTCTCGAGAGATCCGAGAGAAATAGTGAGTAAGTCCAGTGACCTCGATGATGCAAGCTGAGATATCCGATAAGTGTCATCCGCACCTCTTTCGGAAAGTATTAGTACAGGCACATTGGAAGCAGCTGCAATGTAGCCCTCTAGACTCAAGGGTGTCGTAGCTTTGAAAAATTCAAGGGTACGAAGCAGCTCTGGAAACACGCATCCCTCACTTATAGTGCGGTCAAGATCTTTGATGTAGCTTAGAGCGGTGGTTGCTGCACACTCGTTCAATTTGCCATCTTCTAAAATGTCTCGAGTCTTACCTTCGATGCTATTCGAAATCGTTGACAAAAGTTCTTTGAACACGACCGGCAGCAAAGGCTTTCGGTCCAACTCAATGTAACAGGTGAACAGAAGTATACCCAGCACAATTTTGTGATCCTCAGTTAAGCTCGGAGAGAAAAACTCAAAGATCCTGTGATAGAGATTTAACAGCAATTGTTGTGGTCTGCTGTGATCAGCAGATGGCATAATGCTGAATATTGTAGTCGCACAATGAAGAAACGATTTTATCGATATCTGGTAGCTCCATTGTAAGGAAGGAAGTTGTTCCATGACAGAGAACAGCCTCATGGCATGTCGACTTATTACCTCATAATTCCTGGCTGCTATTTCAACTTTCTCTAGTACCCCTCTTGTCTCTTCGATTTTCGCTTCAACCTCGGCAGCCGAGATTTTTATCTGTTCAAGCGTTGATAGAAGAGAGTCGTTCTCCAACAGACCCTTGTCTGAGCCGTTCAAGGCATCTAGAAGCTCTTCCTCCAATGACTCAAGCCGCAACTTATACTTTCCGTTGAGTAATCTTAGCTCTGTCCTTTTACGACAAAGCTCGGGCTTTTCATGTTCCAAAACAAGCTCTAGAGACTGCGCTTGCAACGAAAATTTGTCAATGACAAAGTTCACCACGGACATGCGAGCCCTGACAAAACCCGAAATTGGGCACGCACCGCTTTTAGAAGAAATGATGAGCTTGAAGCTCGACGAAACGTCAACATTTTCTTCGCCGATCCTGATTGTCTGTCTTCCTCCAACTGTCTTGAATTCTTGGGAAATAAGCGTTGAGATTATGGGATCGAAATAATCACCATCTTCTATCAAAATGCAGGATCCGAATTTGAGTGCGTTTTTAAGCCTTCTGATGAAACCGCTGTCAAGAAAGCTGGTCACTGTCAATGCTCCACCATAGTGGCATTTGATAAAATCAGTCGCTATGCCCTCGGGGTCGACAATAAAAGAATACTTTTTTCCTTTGGCTATTGTGTAGAAGTTTTCAATGCACAGATCCTCGTTGGGCAATCCTTCATCAGTCCACCTTGATTTATCTTCATGAGCCACACAATAATTTGAAAAGTTGTAATTATGGTCATATTCAATATGATTTGATGAAAGAACCGTTTTGCTTCGAGCGAGTAATTTCTGACGCGTCCCAGCATCGTGACCCATGCAATAGGTAACACAAATTGCCGATAGAAAGCTATCACCAACCAAAAGATTTTTGTTTTCATTAAATTTCGCTATGCTGTTTGACCACCGCGAATTTTCGGTAGCCAAACTTTTCAGTAGGTTTTCTGAGCGCGATACCTTTTGTTGCACTTGATTCAATTCCGACTTAATGACCTCGATGTCTCTAATCAAAGAGCTATATTCTTTTTTAGAATCTTCGGTAATTTTTTGGTAGTCTACAATCATATCCTCAGCAGCTAGCAGCCTAGCTTTAGTTTGTAGAATAGCATGCTCGATTTCTGTTATGTCGCGTCTGAGCGGCAAGACGGCAGTCAGCATCGAAGAGTATTTGACTTGAGCAACAACCCATTGAAAGAGGGGTCCACAAGCTTTACTCGCATGATTCGCGGTGTGATAGTTGAAATCTGGCTTTGTAAGATATTCTTCTTCAACGAAAGACTTGGTAGAATCATCCATCATTCTACTGGTGTCGTAATGCACAATACTGGAAATAAACTCGTCTTTTCGAATGAAATGTTGAATGTCCCTCCATTCCTTCAAATCATGACCTAAAATAATACAAACGGCCTCCAGCGTCCGTTTGACATTCTTGGGCGGGTTGATCATGGACCTGACTTCCGTCATATGTTGCTTTTTGATGTTGTTGACACCCCTTTGAGCTTCCAGAATTTCTGGTTCCACCAAAGCAAGATCTTCGACTATCTTTGATCTTTGTGACGTTAACTCCTTCTCTTGCACCTCTAAAATCTTCCTGATTTCTATAGAAGCCTCGTGCTTCCTTTCGGCTTCATTTTGAGTCGAAAGCATTTTATCAAGCGTTGTCCGAGCTTCCTGTTCTTTTTCTTGGAGCACCTTCCCTTTGAACGAAAGGTCAGTATTCAGGTCTTTAACTTTTAAGACAGAATCCTTGAGCGTTTCCAAACCTGTAGACATGAAATGCTGTTGGTGCTCGAGTTCCGAGGATTTCTGAGCATAAATGGTCTGGAACTCACCTAGCTGATCAAAAAACTTCCCGTGCGTTAATGGCTCAACTTGGAACTCTTTGTAATATTCAAATACTTCTACCGCTAGATTGACAAGCACGCCACTTAGGCTGCTATTGCGCCCCGATCCAGATTTTGTAACGTGTTTGCGGTAGTCTTGTTCAAGTGGCATCCACTGAAGAATATGCCGGCCAATCTCAGTGAAAGTCTCTTCCGACCACGCTCCCATCCAATCGAGCACACAGCGATTGAATAAAGCTGGGGAGTTTATGACATTTGACGCCCCTTGTGACTCAGTATCATTGATTGTGAAGACAACGTGAAGGTTTTGTGAAATAAGCCTGGTAAACCAAACGTAAAGCTCATCGTTACTATCTAGAAGTAAACCCAGCTTTTCAGCCCTTTTTGCCAGGTCTGTGATGAGTTTTAATCGTTCCTCTCCCTCAAACAGTCCGGGAACATCTGAGTTCGCCAGCAGGGTATTCATTCTCTCGATAAAACCAGGATCAAGAATACTCGAATCATCCACCATGAGTACTACCTTTTGATTATCCATGGCACATTTGATCATCACAGACTTCAAAAGCTTGTCGAAGTCAAAAAGGTGGAAATTGCGGTGGACTATGAGTTGCACCACTTCCATACCATTGAGCCAGCTAACAAATCGCACCAGAGACCTCTTCGCACTGCGGTTGGGCCCAACCAATATGCAGTGCCCCTGCTCTTGCTTGAAAACCCTATCCACTCTGACCATATGGTCAAGCAAAAATTTGGTCGGTATCAAGGAGCATTCTAGCTCTTCCTCAGTGAAAACCTTTAGTCGCTCACTGACATAAGCTTCGACTTCTACCCTGGTTTTTTTACTGTACTCCGCGGTAACCCAATTAGTGAATAGGATGTCTTGCTCAACATCGAATGTCTCTAGCAGACCAGGAAAAAACTTTGAAACCGTGTCATTGACGGCATCTCGAAAAGCTTGCTTGTCAGCAAGATCCACAAGCCGATCTGAAAACAAACGCGATGCCTCGTAAATCCAAAGCTCTAACAGATCGCATAAGCCATGAATAGAAGAATTGGTTGCGATAAAGTGCATGCCTTTTACCCATCTAGTCAAGTCTCTAGGTGAGAAGATATAATGAGAACGTTTCTGCCTGGAAAATTTCCGGCAACAGGTGTGATAAAGATCGATGGAAGCGTTTGCAAAATCCTTTGCGTATTCGCGCAGGTCTGGGATGAGTTTGAACGTGGCCTGAAACATTGTCTCATAGATATGACGCAGCGATTCTGTTCCCGGATACTCCACAGATAAAAATGGTGTGAATCGCGTAAATCTTGCACTAAGCATCTGTCGGGCGGAACCATCCGGTGGATTGCATGCACCTACAATCACGATTCTTTCGAGACGAACCCATTTGCAAGTATTAACATGCCAGAAACCCTGCTTTTCCAGCATTTGTCTCAAAAGCATTATTGGAGGCTGCACCCCATAGGGATCCGCCAGCGGCAGGTTTATTTCATCACAAAAGATGACAAGATCTTTGACTAGAGATTTTGGTCGCATAATGATATCAGCTGCATTTTCGGTGATGTTTGTATGATGCTTAAGAAGTTTTAGGATAGTATCCACTGAAGTTTCCTTTGAGAATGTCATACCAATCAGTTCGAAACGGTTGGAGTTTTTCAAAGCGTTGTTCAAAGTCATCGTTTTCCCAGATCCAGGAGGTCCACATAGTATGAGTGACTTTCCACAACTTAGTAAGTCAAAGACGAAACGTTCATGCTTCAAGGTGTCAAGGGTTGTAATCATGAGATCTGGAGAAAGAACTTGATGTGATTCTAGTGAAACGCGAGGGACTAAGCTCGATAAATGAGTCAACTTCTGATCTTGAGGTGAAACAAAATAATCAGTTAGGGAGGCATTGGAAGATATTTGAATTTCCGAGTTTTCCAACACTTCTTTCAACCGTGATTCAATTGAAAATCTATCTGCCTCATTGCACGCGCTAGTCATCGCCCACAAAATGCTAATGAACGATGAGGTTCTTAGATACTGCTGAAAAGCATTCCTTTGCATTTTCTGAACTAATTCGATGCACTGAAGCGTTTTTGAACAAATAAGTGAGACAAATGTGCCAATTACGGTGGTGAGGGTAGTGCCCGTTGAGTCCAAGAGCTTTTCCAGTACATCACAAAGCTTCAGCAAGGTTTTGTCAAATACTTCGTTTATTATCGTGGTGAAGTCAGCCGCTTTTTGTTCGTCTAAGAGAGCATTGAAGCCGGTGCGATCCATGTAGCTGAACAAAAAATTCCGTAAGACATCTACCGGGGTGCAGAGGGTGCCACTTAGAACTATTACAGCACAGCGGCTAATTGTGGCAGGAGTGAGAGCTTCAAGAGACCCAACTTCAAAAATAAAGTTTACGTTACTGGGTATGTTGAGCCTCTCGCCATTGGGTAAAGTAAAGACTCGGTTATCATCAAGAACGCTGTTTATAGTCTCCACATAGTCAGGATCCAAATCACCATCAAAAACGAACCATACTCGACTATCGCGAAAAGTTCCAACAGAGTCCTGCGTGATTTGTCTCAAGATGAAACTGAATAGTCCGTCAGACCATTCAAATGTCACTGGATCAAGAAATCCATAAAGCTGGCTTTTGCTTAACACTTTGGGATCAAGGACATAAACAATGTTTTCTGCTCCACTCAACATGTTCAGTACTTTCAGGGTTGTCTTCCACACACATGACTTTCCACTCGCTGGTGGACCACTAATAATGGTAGCGTGCTGGGACTTCTGAATATGGTAGAATTGGCTACACCTCTGAATAAACTCGTCAGTGGGTGCAAGCCTTTGCTGTAAACATGCACTTTCGATGTTGCGGGAGAAACTTCCGTCAAGTGCTCGCAGCTTGACGTCTGGGAATAGCTTAGATCGTGCATCACCGAATATCAGCACATCCTTTTCTTCCAATCTAGGTTCGATTAGTTGATACAAACTTCGAAGTAGAACTTCTCCAAAGCTTGCTTCTTCTGAGCTTTGCCGAAGTATTTTGCAATTTCTCAACACAGCCTTCATAGTTCTTAAGCCAAAATCATAATGCTTTTGGTCAGAGCAACGCTCTCGTAACTCATCCAAAAAGCAAGTGACTTTAAGAGACATTACTTTGGCTTCTCTGAAGCCGAAAGTAGCCAGGATCACCTCTGCTATAACACTATTGTTAGGCTCTCGCATGGAAAATAACCGAAATTTGTTTCTCAGATTATCCGGCAGTTCACGACGACCCTCATAACCGGGGTTCATCGTCACGAAGACGCCTGTGTTTTGATTAAGAGGACCTGATTTACCCAATAGTGAAATTGTTCCAGTCTCTTTCGAAAGGGCATCTTGTAATTCTCCAATTTGTGACGACACTGCACTCATTATGTTTTCCTCGAGTCTGTTAAACTCGTCGAAACAACCCCAGGCCCCGACTTGAGCTATTCCAAAAAGCAATCGACCCATTGATTGAAAGTCGAAGGAATCATCACAATTGAACACAAGCACCATTCTTCCTAGATTTTGACCAAGCGCTTTGATTGTTTCTGTCTTACCCGTGCCAGCAGGCCCGAATGGTGAGCCTCCTTTTTTCTGAGCCAGAGCGTGTGTCAGTGCCGTAAAGCAGTTTTGTAGCAGGGGCGTGTAAATCAGCCTTTCAGGAATTCCGATGTACTCAAGCCCATGGTTGAAAAAGTGATCGCCAATTCTGATCTTAATGCGTTCTGATGCGGACGCCGTGTCGTGGTAGTAATATTTAATATTACTGGCCCATAAGTTCTCAACCGTCGCTCGGTTGGACTCGCTAAGACTTTTTAGCAGCGATTGAATGTGAATGCACTCAATTATCAAGTTTTCTGCCTTTTTTTTGCAAATAGCGTCTTTTGTCGTCTGCGTTTGCTTCGTGAGTTCATCAATTACGCAGGCGACATCCTTTGTTGTACACTCAAAATCTGCCAGTTCTAGCTCTTGCTCAATTCTTGATGTAAACCAGATTTGAAGTGACAGCAAAACCGCTTGGAAAACGCAATGGTCAAAAATTTGACAAAATAGCTCAATTCCGCCTGTTTTCAGCTGGCGAAGACAAATTTCGGTTGATGTTAAGACAGATGATTTTATGCTGCTGTCCACTTCAACCAACCAGTCTTTCATCTTAGAATGTTTCTCGATATCTACGGGTTTTTCGAAAAGGAGTAATTCGCCTTCTCGAGATAGAACCCCCGTTATAGTCTGGTTTTCATAGCACACACTAGAAATACCCATGTACAGTTTGCCGAAGAGTGAAGAGGCCTGCTGCAAATCTTTCGTTGCACCCATCAGCTGCAAAATGTCCTCGTTACCTAAGAAATATAGGCGAGGAAAGTGCTCTCTTTGGGAATCCAAATAATTATTTAGACATTCCATTAATCTCCTCAAGGACTCCAAGATGAATCTTAGACGCTTGTGAAAGTCTCTCATGTTAAGCACTTCTGTTACCATATCTGACTCGAACACGTTAGAAAGAAGAAGTGATAAATCTAAGCTTAAACCTTGGAACTTCGAGCACTCAGCCTCCAGAGGGTTGGAGCTCTCGCGGTCAGAGAGGGCAGCATACAAATACAGCCATAGTCTTTGTGCTTCCGCCCAATCCGTAAAGATTGATGCCATGTTGTTTAGCTTCAGCTCCCAACTTTCACAGAGATTATCAAAGTGTTTGTGATGGGCTGAGTTTTTCATTGAGTGTAATGTCTCAATGTCATCTGTTATAAGTTCGAATAAGTATTTCCATTCTTTAACGACGATTTGTCCACTGGAGTGTTTGGTTCGCTTAAATTTCGCATTTTTCCAATGATCCTCGATTGATGTCAAAGAGCATTCCAAGACTGCCTCTGAGCGAGCTTCGTTTAAAATTTGAGCTAGTGCAACATTATTGTTCACTACTGAGAGTACATCACTTAATGTCATGGAAGCAGGATCAGTGGTCCTCTCAAAGTCTGGATTGCCGCCATTTTTCTGAATAAGTGAATTCCAATGGCGAATATTCAATTTGACATCTTTGATTTCTTCGAGCTGCTTGTATGCGCTCAAAATAAAGCGGGCTTGTGTGAAAAATGAGTTGAAGACGGCATTGCTCTGAAGATAGGCAGGGCTTCTGTACTGTTCTGCTAAAATCTCCTCGATTCGGCGCTTGAGCTCTGGCAACACAACTTCATCCCACTTTGTCTGTGTCAAGAGCTCAAGTGTGGACCATTTTGCTTTTATTGCATCCCAAGCACGCATCTGGTCCGCAACCTCCTTCGGAGCGTTCGAAAAAAACTGGAGGCTTTTTGTAGGGTGCGAAAGAATCGAGAGGATTTTATTCACCTGAATTAAAAGCCTCTGCTGATTTTCGATTGCACTGCTCATTGTGGCTAGAGCGTCAAGAGCTGCAGTTGGTGTGGTATTTTTATCAGTTTCCTTTTCCTTATTCCAATCCTGCTCTAATGAACAGCAAGCTAGTTTGATACTATCAAAACATTGTTCTAAGCCTGAAAAGATGAAGTTTTTGACTTTTTCGATCCAATCCGCTCTTTTACTCAAAATTTGTTTCAGCGATATGAGATCAAGATCAAGTTGTTCGCCTGTAACAGCATCATACGTCAACAGACTTCTATTCTCTTTGATGATTTTGTAAGTAGTTTGAAAGAGCGAAAGATGGCTTTCAATTCGATCCCATGTTCCTTTCAATTCCTCAATCTCTATGAACATTTTGTAATAATCATCAAGCGAAGAAATGATGAGTGGCGGGATTTCCATTTCGAGCAACGATCTACTCCTGTGAAGGCGTTGGTGAAAAACATTGGACTCTTTAGTGTATAAGGCCACCAGCTCGCATAGCAATTTTTCCTGCCACTTTTTCAGCATAACCTCCGCTACATGTTTAACGTCATGAAGCGAAAATGAAAGGGACTCCGAGAACTCTAAATGGGACTCAGTTGATTGGAGTGTCTTCAGATCTTCTATCAGCCCCATATACAACGATGAGCAATTCTCGAAGGCTAGTGTTGACCCCTCAAGTAAGATTTCCTCCGCCATAGTCCATAATGCCTCGTATTTGATCCATTTGTTGAAGGCCTTCGAAGCAGTCTTTAAAGTCGAGTATTGTTGCCCCAAAGTTTGCTTAGCTATAGATGACGCTTTGCACGTAAAATGACTTAGCGCATTTGCTGGAAGATCAGCCTCGTTTTGACTTTGCAAAGTCATAAATAGCTTAAGTGAGTGGATAGCAGTATCAACAGTACATTGGGTATAATTAATCCAAGTAGATTTCGTGGTTTCCAATTGCGGTGATATCTTGATTCTCCCATTTATAACCTTGACACGGTGGAAGGTTTTGGGAAGCTTCCCCCCTCCCAGCTCCCCTTGCAACGCCCGCAGTAGTTTAGCAGTCACCTCTGAATTAAGAGCTTTAAGAAAGAGTCCGACATTACCACTTTTTAGACCCGTGAACTTTTTACTGAGATAAACAATTTGTTCAAGCTTGATTTTCAAAACCTCTTCCAGGAATGGTCCTGCTGATACCGACTGGATTGCGTGCCGAAGCAAATCATTTGCATTTTCAGTTATGCCATAGGATTTGATAATCTCAGAGCTCAGAGCTTTAAATTTTGCTAAAGTTGCGCGGCTTTCAGTTTGGCTGCTGTTAAACTCATTGACTTCTTGAGACGTTGTCTCCGCACCGAGCGTGCCCCATTTGGTTTCCATACATTGGCTGAGCAAACAAAATGCTCTCCGAATTTGATCAGATAAGAGAGCTTTTAAAAATAAACTTGTGTTCACCTTCTCCACAACGCCAATAAATGTGTCCAAGACCTCTGATAGTTCAATAACCTCGGGGTAAATACGCCTCACCCATTCTGAAGACTTCTCAAGCGGCCTAGAGATACTATACCCTAGCCATTTTAGGTTTCTGACTTCTTTAAAGGATTTTTGAAATAGATGATTTGATGAGACGTGAGCATACAAGGTGTTGTGCTCTTTGTGAATTTCAAGTACTGGCGCCTCGAGAAGATTCAGGTCTAAAGCTGCGACTGAGAGCCAGCTTCTTACAATGGCATCTTGTTGAGTATGTGCAAGCATCAGCTGGCACTCTTTATACACGGCACGGCCCTCCTTAGTATCCTTCCAATCATTGCCGAAAATCAAAGTGATCTTTGTCATGATGTTTTTTGTTCTCTTCTCGATATTTCGGCTTCGCATCACATCAGAGGACGAGGCAGGCAAGTCTATCAAGCGAGAAACCTGGGAATCCAGCACTTGGTGGGAAAGTCGATCCTTTAACCGCGACAGATCCAACAACACAGATGTGAGTAAAGTTCTGTGGTAATCCTGTAAATTGGCGCGCAGTCTTGCTCTTGAAAGCACTGACTGAAAAGACTCCAACACTGTAAACATCTCTGCTGCTTCATCGCAGCGATTTAGTTTGAACCTCAGGACGCTGGTGATTTTAGTCTCCAAAGAAATAATGCGCTTTGTACACATCTCTCGAGCAGCATTCCATGTTCCGCTGGTACATTTCAAGCAGTTGATGGAGGCAAGAGGTTCATATGCATCACTCAGAAGGTAATCGTATTTGTTAAGTCCGGCTTCTAATATGTCGTTCTGCCATTCTTGTATCTCACACCTCAGTGCCCGCAGTTCCTTGATTCTTAATCGCAAAGGACCTGTGCGAGAGTCTGGCTTGATCTGAACAATTTTCTCTGACCTTTTGCGAACAAGTTCCCTGTATATCAAGGTTTGATCTCTAACGAGATCATCCCATTCCTTGAGTAAGATGAGCAACTGTTGTGTTGAAGCATTGAAGTCTTTGAACTCTAATAAGCCCAGCTCCGGAACGTGTGCATATATGGCTGACACGAACTCTTCTGCCAACAGCTCTAACAGCGCCTGTGCTCGCGTAACTGGATAATTGTAAATTTTTATTTTTTTAAGACGCATATTCAATTCCACGACCAATGTTGATAATTGATCCAGGGAATTAACTGCGTGTAGCTCTGAAATCGGTATCTCGCCGAGAAATAGATTATAAGCCTTTACCTCCTTCAAACGCTTGACCACGGCAGTTTCACTCAAATGGAGAAATGCAGTCTGCAGTCTGCGCGCTTCTTGCAGTATCAGAACAGTGAGCTTTATGCCTTGCTCCATAGTCTGGTTATGGACCGAGACAAGGGCCTTCTCAACGCTGTCCCAAAAGACGACCTCGTCCGCCAAGGTCCCGCCTCTAACCTCACGCGTGAGGTCTGTGAGTTTCTGAAGTGAGTGCGTCCAATGAATTACGGTAGCCTGTAGGAAGTTGAGCAGCGAGGTTTCTCTGAGCTGCTCATTAAGATAACTACCAAAGTTGTCAGTGTTGGCACCTTCTTCGACCATTCTGCTTACCAAGGGATGGACGTCTGACACCATATCGGGCGTTACAACTTTGGAGTCCATGTTTGCGACCAGTTTCGAAAGTTCGTTCATTTTAGACCGCATGCGGTACAGTAGACCTTCATCCACGTCCATTGCACGCCCCGATTTTATTGCATGATCCAGGATGGACGAGACGCCCGATGTCATTAGGTGGCTGAAAGATGCAAGCGACATTGCGTGGGAAGAGCTGATTGCGAAAATTTGGTCTTCCACGGCCGTTTTCACATCTAGCTTCTGTGAGCTCTTCACCATTGTCACCAAAATTCCGCCAGCATTCACTTGTTCGCCGTCTTTCACCGACTCGAGTGCTGCCAGAACCGTTCCATCTGTACTAGTCTCCAGTACTAGGCCCCGAGAGTTCTCGTCGGCAGCAAAATTGACGATCTGGGTCCAGTTTGTTCCCCTAAACTTGTCGTATTCATGGGCCTCTGGTATGACGCCAAGATGAGCTGAAGCCACTTTAAAACAATGATTCGCTACGTCCCGAAGAAATGTTTCATGTCTAGGTTCATTTCTGACCTTTTCCAGGCTCATTGGCCTTTATATATGCTTAGATCACCGAAAATCAGCTTCGATTTTTGATGTAAATTCGATGTTTTATGTTTAATCTTGTATTATTATTATTATAAGAATCATAACAGTACCAATTCAACAACAATAATTCTGTCACTGGTAATCAAAACATTGAAATATTGATAATTAGTTACGAAGGCCTAACTCATAAGCTCGAAACATAGAAGATGTTAGATCTCTCGAACGTTTAGTGTGCAAAGACCGTATTCAAGTGCTCTGAAACAATTGTTTTGGCTTCCATGGAACTTCGATGGGCTCAAAACTGTTTTTGGCGTCTTCCAGCGACAAGAAAGAGAAGCCAACGCAGGATTCGTTGCGGCCAAACAGCACTAGCGCATCAGTGAGCTTAAGATCTAGCAGTCATAAATACAAGCTTTCGACGCCATTTGAACGCGTGTTGACGGAAGTTTCAAGCTTTGAACGCGTGAAGTCGGTCCAGAGGTCGGTCGACCATCACATCAAAATCGTGGTTGTAGGCGACGGAGCAGTGGGGAAAACATGTCTTTTGATTTCGTACACGCAGGGTAGATTTCCTCAAGAGTACGTGCCGACGGTATTCGAGAATTATGTCACCAAAGTCAAAGGGCCTGCAGGAAAGGTGATCGAGCTCGCACTATGGGATACGGCTGGACAGGAAGAATACAACAGACTGAGACCACTTTCGTACACAGACGTCGATCTTCTAATGGTGTGCTACGCAGCCAACAGCAAGACGTCGCTGCAAAACGTGGAAGAGCTTTGGATTCCCGAGGTCTGCCATTTCTGTCCCGATACGCCCATAATGCTGATTGGCACCAAAAGCGACTTGTACGCCCTGGATCAGATCGACAAACTGGTCAACCCCACAGAGGCAGAAACTCTGGCGCAGAAAGTCGGCGCGATTGCTCATTTCCAGTCGTCTGCCAAATTGCATCACAACATCGACGAGATTTTCGGCGAGGCTATGAAGGCCGTGCTGCGGACGTCAGTTCAAGGGCCCAAAAAGTTCTCGCCGTTTTCTAAAACGAAAAAAGGTGACAGCGATTCAGCCAAAAGACGAAAGCACAGGTGCTCCATCCTTTGATACCCATGCACAACAGCTCTGGTGCTATAGCATTTAGCGAAAACCTCAATGCCCTCTGTCGAAGGATTCTTGCGCAAAAAATGGGCGAGAGTACTGATTTGCGTCAAGTTCTACGGGGTAAGAGTTTCGCAGATTTTTTGAGCTCATAGAGCCCCTGGAGACGAAGTGCTTTCGTCTGTGCATGGGGCTGATATGAGATGCTAGCTGAAAATCTGGTGCTAATAGCGATTGTGGGTACGACACCAACTCTCACGATTCTACCATCAAAAATAAGACCGCCTTTCAGTCGTTGTTGTTAATATTCCAACCTTCTTATATAAAAAAACTGTTTTGACGTGACTGCCATGGCTTGAATATGTGCAAACAAGTCGACTGTTAAAAGACACATAAGAAATCCAAACAGAAAGCTTTCACTATACAGTCAGATGCATTCAATAGATGGCAATCAGTAAACGTGAGAATTATCCAATAGTGCCTCGCGCAGAAGTAGAGCTACGAATCAAGAAAATTGGCATTGTCTTCGAATATATTGTATAATGTGGCATCAAAGCCAAAATAAAGAGCTAATACATCAGTAATTTTACGATGACTATTTTTGATAAGCAAAATTAATAGGTTTAAAATCGCGCTAGTATCATCGCAAGTGAACTGCTCTGTCATTGTTTCTATATTTTGTAGTGTCTCTATACATTTATTAGTTAAACAACGACAAATTTTCAGATTTTGTCGAGATGAGATGAGATGAGATAAAATCGAAGAAGCTCAATAAAGGCCACACAAGCTAGGCCATTGAATGCCCATCGGAAGGCTTTTAAGACTCTCAAACTTAGCTCGAACTGGCATACTAAAATCCAAATTACTTTTGTGGAATAGTAGAAAGATGGCGTCTATCATTCCAACAGGCTCTGACGCCGCCCAAGTGGCCACATTGAAGCGACCTGTAAGGGACACCGCAGTCGTCGATGTCAGACCTAACAAGACTAGAAAGGTTAAGCTAAGAAGATACAAGGCGAAGAAAGTAGATGAGACGTCTCCATTGGGCGTTTTACAATTAGAAATCGAGGAGCTCTTAGCAAAAGAGGGTCTCACCAAAGCACAGGTTGAAAATGACATGGTAGCAGTCCTAAATCACAAAACGAGCACAGGAGAGCCGGTGAGTTCGCAATACCATCGCGAGGTTGCCGGAGTGCCTGTTTTGCTAATTGGTGCCAGTGGTGATGGTCTGGCACTCATAGATAATCCGGTGCAGACTGACAAAAAGCAGGTTGTGGTGATCCCATTCGCGCTTCCTGGCGATGTGGTGACAATCAAGGTTTTTAAGACACACCCGCACTATGTGGAGAGTGATCTACTGGAGGTGACGCACAACTCGGACCTCAGACAAGATGATCTCATCAAATGTAAATATTTCGGGAAATGTGCCGGATGTCAATTTCAATTTCTGTCATACGACAAGCAACTCACGCTAAAGAGAGACACAGTTTACAATGCTTACAAGTTTTTTGCTCCCAAGCTACTGGCTGATGGTTTGGTGCCGGAAATTGGCGATACCGTGCCATCTCCAAAGATCTTTGATTACCGTACTAAGTTGACCCCACACTTTGACATGCCAAAGAAGCTAAACAGGCTAGAAGAGAGACCGCCGCTTGGTTTTGGACAAAAGGGTAGACCAAGCTGGCGCAAAAGCGATGCTGGGGGCTCCAAGAGCATTCTCGACATCGAAGAGTGCGTTATTGGAACAGAAATTCTGAACCGCGGTATGACCAACGAACGGAAAAACTTCGAGCGCGACTACAAGGAGTACAAACGTGGTGCCACCATTCTACTGAGGGAGAACACTCGTGTGCTAGATCCAAGCAAAGGCGTGGAGGAACAACTGGATGAAGCGTCCCGGGATTTCGACACGGGCAACACGACGTTTGTGGAGCTCAAAGAAGACAAGCCACTGGCCAAGACCTGCGTCACAAACTCGAGGCAGGTGGTAACGGAGTACATCAACGGCTACACTTTTGAGTTCTCCGCGGGCGAGTTTTTCCAGAATAACAACAGCATATTGGGCAAGGTGACCGAGTACGTGTGCAGCAATTTGCAGATCCACGACTCGAAGCCTGAAGACCCTCACTACCTGGTGGACGCGTACTGCGGCTCGGGGCTGTTCAGCATCACAGCGTCCAAGGGCGTGGACAAGGTGATCGGGGTCGAGGTTTCTGCGGACTCCGTGGCGTTTGCAGAGAGAAACGCGCGTGCGAACGGCGTGGAAAACTGCAAGTTCGTGGTTGGCAAGGCCGAGTGTATTTTTGCGTCCATCGACACGCCTCACGACCGGACGTCTGTGATTCTGGATCCTCCCAGGAAGGGCTGCGACGATGTGTTTCTGAAGCAACTGGCTGAGTACAACCCGGCCCGGATAGTGTATATTTCGTGCAATGTGCATTCACAGGCCCGGGACATGCAGTACTTTTTGCAAGAGACGGAGAACGGGCCCAAGTATCGGATCGAAAGCGTGCGTGGGTTCGATTTCTTTCCCCAGACCCACCACGTCGAGAGTGTGTGCGTGTTAAGTAGAATTTGAGTGTACGATAGACACGAAGAGTGTATTGATATTTATACATACGAGAGGATGGGTGTGAACATTGTAGGATGTAAGTATGCTCATCGCTGTCGCTGTCGTCTGGTCCCGTGACTTACGGTCCCGCGATCCCATTTGCTACACCCACACACCCTCATCCATACCTTCCATGATACCACCCACCTTCCTACTTTACTACTTACTACTCTATTTATTTACTCACTCCCAGAAATGTCCTCCTCGCCTCTAAACTGTGCGTCTTGGAAACAACCGCTCCTGGAAACAAACTGGAAACACAATGGAAACAATGGATTTCAGAGCATTTCTGACGAGCATGTGACTGCGATTTCCAACTCTTTACACCCACACATCTTCCAGAACAAAAAGAACACAGAAATATCATTTTCGGCACGTGATAAGTCTCTCGTCCTGGTCCCTTTGTACGGATCATATACCCACGCAAAACCAGACCCACGCAAGAAGGACGAGACGAGACCGTGAATTTTGGCAACCTTGGAACTTTGACACGCCTAGTGGTTCATAGTAGTGAAATTTGGCAGTTCAGATTATCGAATCTAGGATCAACTCACACAGACCAAAGCCAAGATGGAAAACGACAAAGGCCAACTAGTATGTGTGCCGAGTGCAATAAGCGAGTGGAAATCGTGTTTGGTGGGCGAAGAACAGATGGTGGGGGAGGATGGTGAGGGAGAACGCTTTTGACCTGTGGAGAGCCAGTGAGTGGGAAAAGACGTATGAAGATAATGGTAACGACAACGACAATGACGACGACGATGACAATTCTCGCCTTGCCACATCCTCATTTATCTCTGCAAGTCCATGCAGAACCCGTTCACGCTGCGCTACGCCATGCCATGCCACGCCACGCCATATCACCCTTTACTAACCTCTCTCCAGGTCGAACTTTACGTTCCAAGAAAGTGCTCTGCCACCAACAGAATTATCAAGGCCAAGGACCACGCCTCTGTCCAGATCAACATCGCCAAGGTTGACGAGGAAGGCCGTGCCGTCCCAGGTGAGTTCATCACCTACGCTCTTTCCGGTTACGTCAGAGCCAGAGGTGAGGCTGACGACTCTTTGAACCGTTTGGCTCAAAACGACGGTTTGTTGAAGAACGTGTGGTCTTACTCCCGTTAAAGAAATTATCAGCGTGCGGGACCTACAGCAACGGGGTCCTCTCGGCTTTTTTTTCTTCTTCTAGACCCACTTCCATCAACACCATACAACTATTACCACCGTCGCAACCGGAACCATGGGAAATAAGTATATCTCTTTTCTACACGCCATAAGCGCGTCTGTCCATTGTAGATTTCTGCACCATTGAATTATAATATACGTTTCATCGTTATCGAAAGCCGCATTTGTGTGTTTTTTTCCAAGGGTCCCCCCTTGGTTTTCGTAAATTACTTGACAGATATCAATATCAATTATCAAGTAAAATAAAGGGTCAATCACTCAACAGGGATCTCGAGTGCTGAAAAGCGTCAAAAGGTGAAAAGAGCATTTCTAAGAGTGTGCTACAACTGTCAGCCATGTCGATTGCGGTGGTGACACTACTATACTCGCAAGACTACGTGCCAGGTGCGTTGACGCTGGGATTCCAGCTTCAAAAAGAAGCAAAAGCTCAAGACCATGACCTCGAGTACACCACCTGCATCATGGTGTGCAAGCAGCTGCTCGAGAACGAGGACGCTTCTATGGACGTGGAACTTCTGCGTTCGCTTTACGATCAAGTGATCCCGGTCGATAGCTCCCTGCACGTCACGGAAACGCAGCTTCAGCTCAATAGGCCGAATCTGGAACTGCTGGACAGACCAGAACTGGCATACACGTTCTTGAAGCTCGAGCTGTGGCGACTTACGCAGTTTGCCAAAATAGTGTACGTCGATTGCGACTGTCTGCTGATAGACAGCAACAGCAGTGACATCAAGGATGATAATAATGGGAACGCGTTTTTGAAAGGCATATTGGCTGCGACGAAGGACCAGCGTAGCCATGAGATCGCCGCGAGTCCCGATTGCGGGTGGCCAGATCTTTTCAACAGCGGCGTTTTCACGCTTGTACCAGACCAGGAGGTTTACGACCGGCTCGTGCGGTTTGTCGTGGCCACGGAATCCATCGACGGCGCAGACCAGGGACTGCTGAACCAGTTTTTCAACCCTGTTTGCCACGGCGGCCAGGACGCAGCAATTGCGCACTGGATCCGGTTGCCGTTCGTTTATAACGTGACGGTGCCCAACGCGGGTTACCAGAACGCGCCTGCAGCCAAATATTTCCGCGACGAAACCAAGCTGGTGCATTTCATTGGGAAAGACAAGCCGTGGGTGACCAGGGGCCACGACTCCGAAGATGACGAGTTCCGGGACCAGTGGTGGCGTCTGTATATGCAGTTTCTGCAATCACATCCGCAAACTCGCGATTGCGAAGTCGAGACAGAACCGGAAGACGAAACGGGAACTCCAGTTGTGGAGGAAATGTTTCTGCCCCCGCAGTGGGACGCGACCAAAGAGCCTCCGCCTCGAGATGCGCGTCCCGAGGCCGAAATGCTGAAGCTGGAGCTCCGGTTCGAGTGGAACCTGGGTCCGCAACTGCTCGAGGACGAATTGCCAAAACTGCAGTTGGGTCCAAAACCCGTTTTTCCTTGGGAGACCTACACATCCAAGAGTCTGCCGCAGAGAGTATTTCCAGAATGAGTAGAGTGGGGAAGACAATTGTTATTCATCTCGTTCAACTCGTTCATCTTGTTCATCTTGTTCATCCTGGCTCATCGGACCAGATCAGTTTTCCAGAGATGTGTGTATGTAGAAGTTATGCATAAAGGTAATAATTAGAAGTGAACGAACCAGGTCTCGGATAACCACGTGCAATTCAGGTGCTAATTTCCGGCAAAATCAAGTATCACTATCTACGTGTGTGTCACCCTTTTCCCGAGTACAAAAGTACTCGAGATTGTCTTTGAGTACTCGAGTACAAAAGTACTCTCTTCTGTACTCGTCAGCTTACTTCCCGCCGTACAAAGGCACCTCTCTGAAAAAAAATTTTTCTTCTCTCTCTCTTTCTTTCTCCCAGGCCTTGGCCCTCTCTCTTTCAGTGAAATCTTAAAACTTTTCCACATCCCAGATGAGCTCTACTCTTCTACTAATAACTTCTTCTTTCTCCTTTTCCTCTTGAATTCGCCATCTAAACACACTCTCAAGACTACACCCTTTGCAATATGTCTGAAGGTATCACTGAAGTTGAGGAATCTCAAATCCAAACCAACTACGACAAGGTCGTGTACAAGTTCGACGACTTGAACTTGAAAGAAGAGCTTTTGAGAGGTATCTACGGTTACGGTTTCGTGGACCCATCTGCTATCCAGCAACGTGCCATTTTGCCTATCACCGAGGGCCACGATGTGCTAGCTCAGGCTCAGTCCGGTACCGGTAAGACTGGTACTTTCTCGATCGCTGCGTTGCAGCAGATCGACCCCAAGATCAAGGCCCCCCAGGCGTTGATGTTGGCCCCAACCAGAGAATTGGCGCTGCAGATCCAAAAGGTGGTGATGGCCTTGGCATTCCACATGGACATCAAGGTACACGCCTGTATCGGTGGTACCTCGTTCACTGAGGACGCCGAGGCGCTAAGAGACGGTGCCCAGATCGTGGTCGGTACCCCAGGCCGTGTGTTCGACATGATCGAGCGCAGAAGATTCAGAACCGACCACATCAAGATGTTCATCCTCGACGAGGCCGACGAGATGTTGTCGTCCGGTTTCAAGGAGCAGATCTACAAGATCTTCACCCTGTTGCCTCCTACCACCCAGGTAGTGTTGCTCTCGGCCACCATGCCCGGCGACGTGTTGGAAGTGACCACCAAGTTCATGAGAAACCCCATCAGAATCTTGGTCAAGAAGGACGAGTTGACCCTAGAAGGTATCAAGCAGTTCTTCATCAACGTCGAGGAAGAGGACTACAAGTACGACTGTTTGAGTGACTTGTACGACTCCATCTCTGTGACCCAGGCCGTCATCTTCTGCAACACCAGAAGAAAGGTCGAGGAGTTGACCCAGAGATTGGTCGCCGATAACTTCACCGTCTCGGCCATCTACTCCGACTTGCCTCAGCAACAGAGAGACACCATCATGAAGGAGTTCAGAACCGGTTCTTCCAGAATCTTGATCTCCACTGACTTGTTGGCCAGAGGTATCGATGTCCAACAAGTTTCCTTGGTTATCAACTACGACTTGCCAACCAACAAGGAAAACTACATCCACAGAATCGGTAGAGGTGGTCGTTTCGGTCGTAAGGGTATTGCTATCAACTTCGTCACCAACAAGGACGTTGGCGCCATGAGAGAATTGGAAAGATTCTACTCCACCCAGATCGAAGAGCTTCCAGCTAACATCAGCGAGTTGTTCGACTAAGCGTGCACTCACTCGCCCGTCCGCCCAAGTCCAAACTCTACTTTCTAGCCTGTCAACCCTTCTGCTGCAGGTTTTGTCGTCCAGCTTTTCTTTCTTGAGAATAGATCTCTAAACCTTGCCAGCTTTTTAGAACTTTCTCAAATGTTTTCTACGCAAGTGCTCGCGAAAGGTTTACTGGTCACATAATCTGATATAAACAATGTATACTTCTCAAAAACATGCACTTAGGTTTTTAGCCATGCGGTTCCTCCTATATATACTGCTATACTGCTAGGTTTTGACTTGACAGTTTTGAAATTTTTCAGCTCATTGCTGGTCTAATTTCATCTCAACTCATCTCATCTCATCTCATCCCATCTGATTTTATAGAATGAATGAATTCGCCATATCACGGAAACGCTCGTTAGAGACCTCTACTACTGTGTGTTGAGACTTTGTTGCTCTCTCGATGTCCCCACTCAACGCAGCTCAAGAAGTTTTGGCAACCAAGGCTCTTTCATCGCTCCTCGAAAGATGCGGTAGCGATTCTAAGCTGGCAAACGACAAAAATGTACACATGGTGATCAACACTGAGAAACCCATCGGACTCAAAAACGATTACGTTCCGCGTATCATTCCACTCACTAAGTGTAAAATGCACAAGGCTGGCGACCTTCGAATTCTGCTCATCACAAAGGACCCATCTACACTTTATAGGAAAACGCTGGCCGAAGACCCGACCACAGCTGACTTGTTTAAAACAGTGCTTTCGGTCAGAAATCTTAAGGGAAAATATCGCGGTTCCAGGCTCAACAAGCTGTTCAAAGAGTACGATTTGGTCGTAGCAGACTATAGGGTGCATCATCTGCTGCCCGCGATTCTCGGAAGCGCTTTTTACCACAGCAACAAAAAACTGCCGTTCATCCTTCAGATGGCTCGAAATGCGAAGGTAAAAGGGCAGAAACTCCAGGAGGAGTGCGACTCGTCGTATGTACGCGCCCAGATCAAAAGCATTGCCAAAAACACTTCTTATGTCCCGAACGTTGACAACTGTCTGAGCGTGAAAATCGGTGAAGTTGGCTTACACACACCGCAGCAAATGCTTCAGAACATTCAGGATGCGGTTTCGTTCCTAACCGACAAGTCCAAAAAACCGCAGGGCGGAGTCATCCGAGGTGAAATATCGGGTATTTTCGTCAAGACCAGCAACAGCATTAGTTTGCCAATTTTCAAGCAAGAAAAGAAGGCAAGTGTCAAGGTTGATGATGACCTACGATTGTAAATGAAAAAGGACCTCTAGGACTGTCTTGAAGCCAATAATGGAATGTAATCTCCACAAGGCTAGCATGTGCAGAAAATGATCAAGGAGCGGCCTTCTCAAGTTGAGCCTTCTGTCAAAAAATGTGCCAATTTTTACAAAGAGATCTTGTTTTCCTGATACGCTTTTAGAGGTCTGCTTCTAAAATGATCAAATCAAAGATGGTTCATCAACGACCAACTTCTAGACTAGATTTTATACACAATTTGAAAATCTACTGTCATCTTTCAATGCTCTTTACAATATTGCTGAGCCATCCAGCGCTCATTACTCAAAAATTTAGCCAACCGTATATTTGAACTCTGTAGCGAATTGTGTATGTCAAGTTCGCAGTAGTCTTCAAATCTTATTTCTGAACATCAGCCTCGAGGAAAATGGTATTTCAGCAAAGCACATGAAGAAAGGGGCGGTAGCGGGAGGAATCGTATCACTCACAGCTGTAATCGGTTATCTCATATTCATCGCACATGCCGTTATTTCGACTTCCCTAGGACATCGCAACAAAGAACTAACATATTTCAAGAGAAGCCATGAAGTGTTGCACAAATTCGACCACGAGAGAATGTCTAGTCTCAACATAGGCACACCAAAACTCTCGACGAATACATATCACGACACGATCGAGAACGATCCAAATAGGGACTACACATACTTGGGAACACGAGAAAATGCGACTCTACTGATGTTGGTACGAAATTGGGAACTTGATGGCGCACTCAAATCCATGAGATCTCTGGAGGACAGGTTTAACAGAAAATATCACTACGATTGGACTTTTCTGAATGATGTGCCGTTCGATGACGCCTTCATTGAAGCCACTTCAGCTATGGCAAGCGGGAAAACCTCCTATGGTCTAATACCCAGCTCCGATTGGGATCGGCCAAGCTCGATAGATGACGAGAAATTCGAAAGCAGCTTACAGCTGATGCAAGAGAAGGGAGTTATCTACGGTGGATCCAAATCCTACAGAAATATGTGCCGTTTCAACTCTGGCTTTTTCTTTAGGCAAAAACTCTTGGACCAATATCGATACTATTTCCGAGTAGAACCTGACGTCGAATACTACTGTGACTTCCCGTTTGATCCTTTCAGAGTCATGCGGGAGCAACGCAAAATTTACGGCTTCGTTATATCGATGTATGAGTATGAAGACACTATTCCAACTCTGTGGGACGCGGTGGAGGAGTTCATGGCAGACAACCCTGACATAGTGGATCTGGAAACCAATAGCTACGACTTTATCATTGATGACAGTATGATAGGTACAGAGATGCCAATTATCCAGTCGAACTCCATGTACAATCTTTGTCACTTCTGGTCGAACTTCGAGATCGGAGACCTATCTTTTTTCAGAAGTGAAAGGTACCTGAGGTATTTCGAACACTTAGATAGAAAGGGAGGTTTTTACCTTGAGCGTTGGGGAGATGCGCCGGTTCATTCAATCGCGGTTGCTCTTCTTCTTCGACAAGACGAAGTGATTCATTTTGACGAACTAGGGTACTACCATATACCCTTTGGCACATGTCCGACCGCCCATAATATAATGTTACAGCAAAGGTGTGCGTGTGATCCAGGCGCGGACAGCAACATCGACATTAAGGCTCATAGCTGTCTGAACCGCTGGTGGAAAATGGGAGGCGGGAAATATTTCATGAAGCATGGATAGAGATGTTGGTAAACGTCAAACATTCCGGCACTAGCTTATTTTAGCACTATTCTATTACGTTTCTTAACACTTTTAATACAAGGTTTCGAGATTTGACAGCTCTTTCAATATCCTTTCGAGGTCGTCATCTGATATTTTATTACCCAGACTGGGAATCAAAGTTTTGGCTTCGTCTGCATCTTCACACGAGAGAGATCCGAGTTGGGATATTTCGAATGGATGCAGGTTTGTGCTCTGCAAAAGTTGGGTGACTGCTGTGACTGTTTCCTGGTCTTTGAAACGGGAAAAATTGGTCAAATACACCATGGTTTGTTTCAGAGCCTGGTTATTGCCGCCCGTGGTCGTTTCCAGAAGCTTGTCGATATTTTGAAGCTCTTTTTCGTGGCTCTGCGTGTGTGCGTCTTCGTCGACATCGTCGTCCGTTTCCATTGCATCATCTCTCTTGTTCCACTGTTTGAACAGTCTTTTGCGTAATTCCAAAGATTCCTTGATTACCAGTCTTGCTTCACTCAGGTTCAACGCAATGAGCTCTTCTTCTTGTCCTTGATGGTTTACTTGAGTTAGTTGGAACTCTTCTCCCAGTTGAAGCGTTGCGGCATTTTCTTCTTCCTCGACTTTTTTCAGCCCTCTTCTCTTGGTGGAGAATGTCGATGTCGAGATATTCATGGCGGATAGAGCTGCCTGTGTACTGTTTGTTGGGTATCAACGAGGTGCAACTTGGAGCTTGCAGTCATCGATATTCTTGTATGTCTACATTTTATTATGGGAGAAATGGCCTAATTAAAGGTCACGTGTGATGTCAGATATAGTGGGAAGAATATTCGAAACAAGACGTGGCTAATGTGTATTTCAAGTATTCCCATGCAATTGCGCATGTCTTTTGCCGAGTACATTGATACTTATCCGCTTGTTTTCTCATGTTTTGGTGTCGGCTGGTCGAGTTTTTAAAAAAGATTTTTAGATTGATTCCGGGCCGAGCTCAGGAAGTGGGAAGAAGGCAATGATGAAACTGAATTCATACATTTCGAGCTTCCTATTCTGATAATTCGACGTCTAAAGCTTCAAGAGCAGGGAATGACGGATTTTTGGTGATTTTTGAGAGCTCTAACTACAAGACGAGTAATTGAAAGACGAATTTCCAAGACTTTGGGAGAAACTCAATTACAAGAAAAATCCCAACTATGAGGGAGAAATCAAAAAAAAAAACCCAGATCCCGTCCTGCAGCTCATCTTGCAAGCTTGGCAAAGGCCAGTTGTGTCTTTATCCCAGAATATCAATTTATAGTTTAATATATTTTATCTGACGCCGTGACAGCGAGGTACAAAGTGATAACAACAGACACACGAAATCCCAACCAAACATTGATGGCAACATGAGGCTTCATGTAGCGTCGTAAATGAAGTAAATTCCAGTTGCTTCCAAAAAAATGTCAAGAGTGGAATCTCCACCATCTTCGAACAACGCTAAACACTACTATTGGCACCTCTTTATCAAACAACCCCGGGTTTCTCGCAAAAAAGCGCCAAAACAAGAATTAAGTTGCAAAAGTCAAGACATTCAACACCGAAGAAAGACACATTTTAAAGATCAAGCTCTAAAGCTCTTTTCTCTCTCTCTCTATCAAACACAACAGATATCGTATCGGACTTTAAACTTCAGCGACACTTTAGTTATTAGTGATATGAAATAAAAAATGACTGACATAAAAACCCAAAAGGCCAACTAAGCCAAAACAACCACAGAGATGATCGACGTGACGAACGTGTCCAGGTCTTCAAACACATTTATTCTCTTCAAGAACATAATATTACATTGCTCAATTGCTCATCAGTAAGCCATTTTTTAAACAAGTGAAAGCCTTTAGGTCCTCGTATATAACGACATTGGCAGATTAATCAACAAATTGTTACTCTGGCTCTCTGTCATAAGCTTTAAATAGGTTGTTGGAATGACGAATTCTGACACTTTCAACACCAAGTTGGCAGTTCTTATTTGCTGCTACTTGTGCATTCGCTCAATTAATCGACGGGTGTCAACTCTAGCGTTTTTTTCCTAGTGGGCTTTGGTTTTTCCCATGTCTGATCCCGATAAGGGCCTTTGGAATCCGGCATTTATGACCAGCGCTCAACAGCAACAGCTGCAGTTGCAACAGGCTGCTGCTGCTGCTGCTGCCACGAATAACGGAACAACAAATCACGGGTTCAGAAACCCCTGGCACGACGCGGGGGCTTCAAAACGCAATTCCCTGGTCTTTTCACATCAACAGCAACTTCCAACGACTTATGAGGAGGAACTCATTAGCAGAGCTCGAAGGCGGAACTCGAGCCTGGTGGTGCCACCTCCAAGAGCGGCAGGTCCGGCTCCTGATGCGTATCCACCTTCTCATCATGCGTTTCTCCCATTCCAAGGATACCCTAACTATGCGCAAGAAATGCACCGCCGTCAGTCAGTTGCAGTGGCGCCCCAGCATGCTTTCGCACTCCCTCCCACCACTGCAAATACCGCAGCTGCAGCTGCAGCCGCCGCTGCGGCTGCTTCAGCTTTGCCAGAGTCTCAGTTTCATGCGCCGATGTCCCCCTTCCATCGAAAACTAAGCTCATACAACACCAGCGGCCACGTACCACTACCTTTATCGCCGCCAATGAAACAGCTGCGAAGACATCAAGACGACATAATTCCGGTTGTGCTGCCACAGACTCACAGGGTTACTTCTAAACACGACCTGCGTCCCACTTCGAATGCTACACCTAAGTACAGACGAGCGTCGCTCGACTCCAGAACGGTCTCACCACTTGTTGCTCTCACCAAGGCTCTCACCACCACTTACACTCTCTGTTCACCGGAATTTTCCTATCAGACCTCGCGAAATCCGAAACGAGTATTGACCAAGCCCAGCGAGGGCAAGCATAATAATGGTTTTGACAACATCAACAGCGACTACATCTTATACGTTAACGATGTTCTTGGCACCGAACAAAATCGAAAATATTTGGTGCTGGACATTTTGGGTCAAGGCACTTTTGGTCAGGTAGTTAAATGTCAAAATATGTTGACCAAAGAAATCGCAGCTGTTAAGGTGGTGAAATCGAAAAGTGAGTATTTGAATCAAAGCATCACTGAGGCAAAAATTTTGGAGCTACTTAACACCAAGATCGACCCCAAGGGCGAACACCACTTTTTGCAGATGCACGAAACATTTGTTCACAAGAACCATTTGTGTCTTGTGTTTGAGTTGTTGAGTAGCAATCTTTATGAGCTGCTCAAACAAAATCAGTTCCATGGTCTTTCTATGAGTCTTATCAGGACCTTTGCTCGCCAGTTACTTGACTCTCTGTGTGTGTTGAAAGACAACAAATTGATACATTGCGATTTGAAGCCAGAAAACATTTTACTAGTCTCGCTTGACCGACCCGAACTGAAGGTAATTGATTTTGGATCTGCCTGTGAAGAATCAAGAACCTTATACACTTACATTCAGTCGCGGTTTTACAGAGCACCCGAAATTATCTTGGGAATTCCATATTCCACGGGCATTGATATGTGGTCCCTAGGTTGCATCATTGCAGAATTATTTCTTGGCATACCAATCTTCCCCGGCTCGTCAGAGTTTAATCAAATCACCCGTATAGTCAACACCCTGGGTTTACCGCCAACTTGGATGCTGGACATGGGCAGAAACTCCGGTAATTTTCTAACCAAGTCAGAGGATGATGGAAAGTCCTGGAATGTCAAGGCTGTAGAGGAATACAACGCTGACTTCCATGCAAATGAAAATCCCGGAAAGCAGTATTTCAAATGGACTAAATTGGAGGACATCATTGATAACTACCGGTTTTCCAAAAAGTTGCTAGGCTCTCCTTATTTTATGGAGAAAGAGAAGCTAGATCGAAAGTGCTTGACGCATTTTTTGAAGGGTTTACTGGATTTGAACCCTCTAGAGAGATGGACACCTCCTCAAGCGGCCATGCACCCGTTCATCACCCAACAACCATTTACTGGTGAATGGTACCCGCCCGGTACTGAACCTAGAGCTGCAGGAAAGGTCCCGCAGTCGGAAGATGTAACCGCCACCTCAGAGATCGATAAATTGAAAATTGGCCACTGACAATATTCCTACGTTCCTTTAAAGCTGCTACGCGCTCAGTAATTTCAACAAACATAATATTATAAACATCCGTAATTGTTAGTTTTCTGTTCTCATTAAAAGTTTGTGTAAATATATATATACATGGTGGGAAAAGGTGGTGCTCTCACACTTATTGAAGAGCTTCGTATGCATGTCAATAATATAGAGGAGCTCTTCAACGGCATGTGGCAAGTCATAAAACGATACAGTGCTTTCAAGCCTTTATGCGCGTAGGGGCTGCGCTGGCTGAGGCTCTGGCAAGGGTGGAGCCATTGGTTTGGCCTGCCAAGCGGCGTATCTTTGGAACATCAAGCCCACACCTTCCATAACACCCAAGAGACAGCCACACATGATGGCACTGTTTCTGGTGTGTCTCCAGCCACCTCTGACAGCCAGAGAGCCACCTGTGAAAAGACCGGCTATGATGGCGTTCCAGGGATCTTCTCTCTTACGCACGGCTTTCACAGCGCAGTCGAAAGTGGAAAATAGACCACCCCACACACCGAAGTTACCTCCTACCACGGGGGCTCTGGCTTTGATGGCGCTGACCGCGCCCAAATGCCGTTCACCCATGGGTGAGTTCCTGAAACCCTTAATACCGTGCCATACGCACCCACCAATGACACCCATGGCAAAAGCACCACCGAAATCACTTAGAATAACCACAGGACAGGGGTCTCTAGTGTGATCCGCCGACATGTTTTATACCGAAATTTTTGGAAAGAAAGCGAGGAAAAATGAGCGAAAGCCTGGAAAATTGCGATATCGTCTCGATTGTGAGGATCGTGTCTTGATCTGAGCCGTAAGATGAAAGACACACGCGCTTTGTCACAAGATGAATCGTAGCCGAAAGCACAGGATTTTGAAGTTTCGGTGTGTCAAAGAAGATTCACAGATTTGATAAAATTTTGAAAATGCTCTTAGAAAATCGTTTCCAGACCTCGCTCGTGCGTAGCGATAATAGACCAGAAACAGGTAATTTTAAGTCATGTGACATCCACGTGTGTTGTAACTGGCTGTAGCTCCATATCGCTTTGGACGTGAGTACCGACGGGGCGAATTTCAAGTACTCGTGTTTTGTCCTTTTCCTGGCTTGCCTTTCGGATGATCATCAACTGTCTTGCATTTCGATATCGTCGTCGTGGGGAGGCTGTTCGCCCCCGTGCGGGTTTTCGTGGAACGGCAGCACTTCTTCCAGTTCGACGTCAACGGTCACATTTGCCGCGGGTTCGTGGTCTGCCACTTCTACAATCTCGTGTGGTGTCAGACCTGGCTCCCGTGTGTGCACTTCCAGCAAGAAATACACGCCCGTGGGTTGCTGCGGCAGCAGATCGCCATACATCTCGTCTACCAGCACACCCTGGCGCGGGTGATCTGGAGAAACTGAGTGTAGTTTCCGGAAATTGCCTGGAGCTCTAACTCTTTTCAAATTTCTGGCCGGCTTTTGAATCCTCATGTTGTGTGTGTATAGTTGGTTTGAATAGCTCGGCGTAGATATCTAGCCATTAAAGAATTGTCTTGCGATTCGCTGTGAGGTTCTGTCTTGTAGAGATTGGGGGGGTGGATCATATTTGGCGTCTGCGCTTTATATAGTCGCGTTCTTAATTTTATAGGGACGATCCCCTCTATTTCCAGAGATTTCTAGAAATTGGGCGATGAGATCGTTTGGTACGTAACAAGCGGATGATATATGGGGAAATCTGGGGGTTTATTGGCAGGTTTTAGAGGCAGTTCAAAGACGTCTGTGTGTGCGTGTTTGGCCAGATTTTTGAGAAGCACAACCAGTGTTTTGTTGGCGCAGGTGGGACGACGATTTTTCCCGATAGAATGATATCCGATGTGTTGTCACTTGGTACGCGTAGGACACTCACTTCAAGAAATGAGAACCAAAGATCCTGAAATCGTTAGTGTGTATGTCTGTATGTGCGAAGACGTGTATGTGCGTGCTTGAAGGAACGCGAGGAGCCAGTCTTGATTGAAAATCGTGGAAGATATACTTGAGGTGAGAGTCTCTTTCATCCACGTGACCAAATGACACCATGCCGAGTGATCACAAGTCTCAAGCACAAAACACGATTCCCTTTATCGATGGAACGCAAGCCGCTCGTACATCTAAACTTTTTCAAATACACTCACTTCACGTCCCAAAACTGCAACCGAAGTCTTCCACATTTTCCCACATTTTCCCATATCTATCGGATATCACTTTATACTTCACTGACACTCAATTATTCCACACAAACGCACTCCATTTTACATCACTCTTTCGCTCGTTTCCCAACCTATCCGTTGTTCTTATTCGAATAAAACTACCTCTCTCAACGCCTTCGTCCTCCTTTATCGCAACTACCCTGTCATTTCACAACTCCTTCGCGAACGACCTATTCTCGCGTCTCAAACAGCCAAAGCCACGACTATAAGATCAACTCCATTCATCAATATTGTCTAGAATAATGCCCATTCTGCTACCCCCGAGCTGTTTCTTCCCTTATCAAAAGCTGGAGCTGACTCAATTCCTTTAGTCTTCCTTGAGTCAGCCTAATATGACTACTGAATCGTATCGTTAAATTATCGTATGAAAAAATCCAACATGATTAAGAGACTCGATCGAGTGTGCTATCCATGTATAAAAGATGGTCAAACCTTTGGGAATTCGGGCATGCCAATTTGGATCCCTCACCACTATTTGTAGATAATTCTCGAGAAATTGAGATTCGTTTTGCTAGCTTTCGTTACATTATAGAACAAGTATCTACATCAAAATGTTGGGTTTAAAACGCTTTATCTCGACCTCGAATAAGGCTAAAAGTGCAGCAGCCACCGCTGTTCGTGTTGCAACGGAATCTGCGGCTCCTCCCCCAGTTTCAGCACTAAAAATGGCATTGTCGCTCGAACACCCTAGGAATGAATGGAGTAAAGAACAATTAAGGGAAATTTACCACACTCCGTTGCTGGAACTAGTACATTCCGCTCAATTGCAGCACCGCAAATGGCACGACCCAACCAAAGTGCAATTGTGCACTTTGATGAATATCAAAAGTGGTGGTTGCTCAGAGGATTGTAAATACTGTGCACAGTCGTCTCGTTACGACACTGGCGTTCAAGCTGAAAAACTTGTAGCGCTAGACTCGGTGCTGAAGGAGGCAGAGGAAGCCAAGAAGAACGGATCGACCAGATTCTGTCTGGGAGCCGCCTGGAGAGATATGCAGGGGCGTAAGTCGGGTCTGCGTAAAATTTCAGAGATGGTCACCAAAGTCAACGCCATGGGTATGGAAACATGCGTAACATTGGGAATGGTCAATGAAGACCAGGCAAAACAACTCAAAGACGCTGGTTTGACCGCTTACAATCACAACATCGACACTTCCAGAGAGCACTACCCCAAAGTAATCACCTCGCGGTCGTACGACGACCGTTTGAATACCATTAAGAATGTGCAAAATGCTGGAATCAAGGCCTGCACCGGTGGTATCTTGGGCCTAGGAGAAACCGAGGAAGACCACGTTGGTTTCCTACACACTCTGGCCAACATGACCCCTCACCCAGAATCGCTGCCGATCAACAGACTCGTGCCGATTAGTGGAACTCCAATGGCAGACGATTTGAAGAAGCCAGAAGCTAAAAAGCTCAAATTCGACGACATTTTGAGAACGGTGGCCACTGCAAGAATCACCATGCCACGCGCTATTATCAGACTGGCAGCAGGAAGATACACCATGAAGGAAACTGAACAATTCTTGTGCTTTCAAGCCGGTTGCAATGCCATTTTCACAGGTAAAAAGATGTTGACCACTATGTGCAACGGTTGGGAAGAGGACAAGGCGATGCTTGCCAAATGGGGACTGGAGCCAATGGAAAGCTTCAAATACGATGCGGATCAAAGAGCCGTTGCTGCCGAGGGCTCCATATAATGGAGAAAGGATGAATGTACATTAACTTTGTAGCTTCACTAAATTATTTATCATCACCATCACCATCACCGTAGCCATTCTCATGACACTTCCAACATCACGAAATCTGTTTGTTCACTCAACATCCGCAGATATTTTCTGCTGGAAAAGGTGAAGCGTATATTCGGTTGGCCTTACGTCCATGACGTTCTGATCTTGTAGAATATCTTTGGATTTACCGCCATAGAGTTTAGATGGGGCAGATGAGAGAAATTGTCCTAATTTGGTACCATCATTCAGCACCACGAACTTCTTTCTAGTGTCCTCGTTAACAAACCTCTTGACAACATCGTACACCCAGGTCAAAAGACTTGGGACATTGATGAAGAATTTGGCCGACAGTAATTCTGGGTAGTGCTCTTGAAAAACGGCAATGACCTGCTTTGTACACTTTTTGATCTTAGGATCCATCCTCCACATGGAAACGCCGTCGTAGTCATGTACCTGGGCCACATAGTTGTTGGTTTCGTCTTTGAAGTCCAGCAGACCGATGGAGCGTTCCATAAGTCCAATTCGATAGCGCAAAAACTTGTTCACGTCCTCAAATACATGTGTTTGCTTGGCCAAATCTCCGTATAGATTCCAGGTTACTACTTTCTTGTTTGCTTCTTCGTTAGGATATTTTGTCAAAACACCGATTTTAGTCAACGTCTCGTCGTGACGCTCACTGAAAGCTGCACTTAGCGGGTCAAATTCACGTCTCCAGTTTAAAGTGCTGCACAAGGCCGAAGCTGCAGCTTCGTATTCAAACTTGTAAGCCTTGCAAAACTTGTAGATCAGAGCGTGAGCAACTGCCTCGTCGTAATACGTACCAGGCAAAAGCTTATGGCCGTACAACTCATCGTAGCCGTGACATCTTTTTTCAGTCAATGTGGGCAACTCTTTGACTAGCTTGTCGAAAGCTTTCTTCTCGACGTTGTTGGCAAACTTCATGGTGCAGCGGTGACGAGGTTGCTCTCCCTCAGGTTTTAATGATTGTATTTTACAAGAGGCTACGTCTAACAAAGTTCAAGTTTGAATTTAATAGTTTAGGTCAAGGAAACCAAATTTGAGTAAACAACCTCGAAGAAACAGGTCAGTGATGAATTCGAGAAACTGGGACCTCGAATTAAGCGCAGCGAGTTTACTTGCACCAGATCAACGAAACGTAGGATAATTATTCAACAACTATGTAGATTTGCAAGATAGCTGCAATTTTAATGAGGATAAGGACCCTCAGCTATCGAACACAGTTGCCGGCAATCATTAAAGTTCTGGATTGAGTTGCCCGCAAGCCCTCTTCCAGAGCATACTAGTGTTGTCACTTGCATTCCACGGCTGGGTTGTGCAGCATTCTACGAGTTTGGCATGTGCCGGCACGCTATCAAGCCCGCTATAACAATATTCTGATGCAACAATTCCCCACGAATCCTGGAAAAGCTCTCTCAAAACAGCAGCACCATCCGAGTTTCGCAGCTTGGCCCACTTGCTATTTTTCTCGGCATCCGTGTATACAGTCATATACTCTCGAATGCAAGCCTCGATTTCTTTGTTTGGGCGTAGGACTATAACCGTGGGTGAGGGTTGTACTGAATTGGACAGCAGCACACAAGTTTCGTTGTCAATCTCAGAGGACACAACCTCCGAGTCCAGCAGCTCGTCAATGTTGGAAAGCACAATTGAGCGGGGTGAGAGGTAGCAAACTAAGTCGAATGCGTTCGCCAGCGAAACGAACGGCAGAAGTTTGAACCACCTGGAAGACAGAGGCAGGTCGGAGGTCGCATTTGAAGTGGCCGTTGCAGCGGTGGGTGCTGGCGACGACGGGGACGACGAAACCAAAATGGGCGCAACTTCTGCTGCTTTTAGAATCTCGACGCCGCGATGTGCCAGCTGCGTGGCTATAGTGCAGTTCTGCTCGGTGTACAGAACCAAAAGCTTGTAGCGCGACCCACAGCTCATCAGAGAGTGCTGCAGAACCAAAATGGGCCAGTAGTCATCTTGCGACTCAATAGCAGTGACCCAGCACTTGTGAGCTGCAGTACCATGGGCTATGTTAGGCTCGTCGGGAGAGACCCCCGAAAAGGAGCTGCGTGGGTTCAACCACTGCCGTATTTTCGACACCTCTTCTATGGATTTTCTGCGAGTGTTTTGTGGGGCTGCTGGACACACTGCAGGATCCAGACCTCCCAAAATGTCCAAAACTCCTCCCTGGACGCTTCCTCTTCTATCGTCATCGGTTATTGCATAGTGGTGCTTCAGGAGCTGGTAATCAACGGGCGTATCTGATTCCACTGAAATGGACCCTCCTTCTGAACTTCTGGGTGTACTGCGGGGCGTCCCAATAGGAGAGTCTGCTCCCTCTGGAACCACTGGTTCGGACCACGACTTTCTCACTGCTGAAGCCAAGTCGTCAGGTAATTCCATTGCTGTTGTGTTCGTAAGACCCTAATGAAGATGGAAGCCCTTAAAGCTGTGACAAAAGCTGATACAAATTCGAACTCTGAGCAGCCTTATATTTTGCAAATACCGAGACTAAACTCAGGCCTTCAATGCAAGCTATAAGCTCAACTTTTGTTCGATTCTGTCGCTTGGGATGTTACCGGGTCTCTTAATGATGAGTGTTTAGTTAATATATAAGGTGCACGAAGCGATGTCACTGATTGAAAAAATGATTCAGACATTAAGGTTATGAAGGACGATTAGAAGACGATTAAAGACGTTTCGGAGCCACTTTAGCCTCGATTATGAGCGCTAACGAGCTTTTGTAAATTTAAAGAGCTCAATGTGGCTTTTTTCAGAGTTCAAAGATGACTTTTGGAGGTACTGGCATTTGTTCTTGGCAATGTGGAAACGATTGATGAATTGATGAGCGTCGCTGTGATTTCTTGCGTGAAGGATGAGATCACCATTGGTTGTGTCTCGCTAGATGATATATAATGATATTAGCTAGTAAAATCAGAAGTATCCTTGCCTGTCCGAGAAATTGGGCGACGACATATTAAGTGGATGATGCTGCAGCGGGAAAATTTATAGAGCAATTGAAATCATGGGTTCTCGAATTTGTACTGTTGCCAGATTCTTGGCAAAAAAATTGATTTGCCTTGTTACGTGTCTTCAGCTTTCGTAGGTGTTTTTATGCCCAGAGTTCCCTTGAACATGAAAGGAAAAAGATCAGCCGGAAAGAAAGCAGAATCATCATGAGTTCCATGAACCTGGAAAAAGCTTGGAGTTCAATCGTAGCAAAAAAGACTGCTTCGCAAGCCACAATGCACCTGTGGTACACATATTATGTGATCCATAGAAATATTGTTCTCATAATAAGTGCGCGACAGGTGCTGAATGATAAAGGCAGAGAAAAGTTCCGGAAAAAACACTCGAAGTAATCAAATAGACCAGTTCCTAAGCTCAAAGGACGGACTGTTCTCGTACTCTTGCCTCGACTGGCGACGCTGTGCTGTTAGCTCTCTTTTTCAAAGCGTGTCAGGAAAGTAGAAAGTGATCTCATTTAAAGTCAATTTCACGCCCAACGTAAACTATAGAGCATCACGAAGACATCTCAGCAAACTCCCGAGAAGACCTAGGACTTCATCTCACGGCTAACGCGTATAACCGCTATCATTCTGAGCAACTGCTGCTTGTGTTACTTTGGCCTTTTCAACCAGCCATTTCCGCACACTGAAGCTTAAAATCCCATAGAATTCTGGATCTAGTGGATGAGAAGAAGCTTCACCACAGTTGTAGCGTTGCTCGCTAAGCGCAGCAAACAGGACTCACAGAACACCCTTAAGTTTTTGGCCCATGCTAACAGATCTACTACTATTTCGTCTCTTTTCGAGAAACCGGGTACGGACGCAGTTCATGTCCAAAAAGTGGTCGATCTGCTGAATAACGAGCTTCCCGACGGAGAAAGCAATAGAAGAAGAGTTGACGCTCATTATGACATCCTCATGTCCAGACTGAAGCAGGTGGTCGAAAAATCCATTGCTCAGACTGGGGTTGACGATGTAACGCTCAAGTCCCAGCAATTAAGTGCTCAGGAGATGATCAAGAAATGCACTACCAGTGACCAGCTGTACGCCTTGCTATTAGAACTCCAGGTGAGTGGTAAACTCACTACGTCTGCGCTCGCAAAAATCATCATGAACCGTCAATTCACGCATCTGAGCCAGGTACAGGAGAACCTACCAGGATTTAGCCACGAGCTCGAGCTAGCAGCTATGTTGGTCTACAGAGGCCGAGGTCACGAAGCGAGCCTATTATACAAAAATTACACTGAACGGTGGACTTCAAGATGGCACAAATTGGCGCCCATGGCTCAAAAACTGATATGGAAATGCGATCACAGAATACTCGGAGTTCCCGGTGTTGTCGATAGGTCCGTCGAGATTAGTGGCTGGACTGCTTCCGACTGGGTGGGTCTTTACCAAGCGTTATATTCCGCGGCATACCAGCTGCCTCGTCCTCATAGCACACAGCTTACGAAAGTACAGCACTTGTTTGTCGAGTCGCTGAGGGCGCTTTCGATGTGCATCTCGAATTCAGGCGAAGCCAAGAAAAGATCTCTGGAGGCTGTGAGGGCCAGTGTTGAGAACAGACTGTCTTACGACACTCCAGAGGAGACGGGGGCCACAGTGTACCAGTACCGATTCCTGCGGCGGCTGGACGACCTTTTACAGCTGTCTGCACGCGATGCGGACGTGCCTGAAGAAGCACGGCTGGTCCTTGCTAAGGTGCTGGACTCTCTGCATCGCGAAGAGGAGGTAGCCCGGTCTCAGATGGTAATCAAATTTATATAGTGGGAATTACGAATTGAAAGCATACTAGAGGAGTTTTTTTTTTGCGTGCAAAAGAATGCATTAAGAATTGATTTGCACTGCTTTTTACCAGCCACTGGTGCTACCAGCCCCAGGGGAACACTACAAGACTCTGTCTGCTACTACACAAAGCGCTTCAGAGGCGCTTGAAATATCCCAAACCTCAGGTCATCACCATTTCAGCGGCCGCTCAACCCACAAGTGGGAAGCAGACCTCCAACAGCAATGGTTTTAAAGTTGAGTGCTAATGCATTTTTCTACAACAGTGAGCCACAACGCGAATTGATGACTCCGAACCTAAGAACTGGCAAAGCTGGTTAAACATTATACGACTCAAAGGTCGGCTTTGCCATCCTGATGTCGGAGTACACGCAGGACGATTGAAACTGTCGATGGTTTTCTAAAGGAAAAATGTCTCGAGAAAGTGGTGAAGAGAAGGAAAGGTTTCTCTGAGCTTCTTATAGTCCCGGATTTTTGATCGCTTCATTTAATCATACCGGGTAACCTCGAATTTTTCAAACTTATAATGATCCTATTGATCCCAACCATCAAAGGTGAACTAGAGGGCATCGCGTTGTGTTCGGCTATACACTGATTGTCCACGACTGAGTCTTGATGAGTAGAAGCGATCCTCTTCTAGATAACCTCAATGCTTTCAAAAACAAAGTCAAAACTAGCCCTATACCTCCAGTAGTCGAAAAGACGCAAGAAAATGACAGTAAGAAACGGGCTCTGAAGTCAGAGGAGAGTTCAAATCTTGCGAAGAAGCCTAAAAAACCCGAACTAGGGTCATCGTCCACCGGAAGTGTGTCCGGAGTAGCAGCAGCAGCCGCAGCCGCTGCCGTATCTTCAGAGCAGAGTCTGAGTGGAACTCACCTTTCCACGAAATTGTTGCTGGCAACAGAATATATTCAGGAACGGGGCGAGGCCGTGCCGATCGAACAGATTGAATCATACTTGTCGCTGTCGTCCGAAAATAACGTCATCCCTCTGCTCAAAAATATCAATAAAATCAAGTTCGACGCTAAACACAATACGCTACAGTACGTCTCGATCTACGACGTGCACTCTGCCGAGGAACTGCTGCAACTGCTGCGTGCTCAGGTCACTTTCAAAGGGATCTCTTGCAAGGAGCTCAAAGACGGGTGGCCACAGTGCACAGAGGTGATCGACGAACTGGAAAACAAGAATAGAGTGCTGGTGCTACGCACCAAGAAAGACAATCAGCCCAGGTTCGTATGGTATAACTTTGGAGGAGCGCTGGGAGGAGTCGACGACGACTTCGTCAAGATGTGGGAAAACTGCAAGTTGCCACAACGTGGCGAGTTGCCCCGCAAATTGCAAGATCTGGGTCTCAAGCCTGCGAGTGTGGATCCAGCTACATTGAAGAGACAATCCACGCGCGTGGAGGTCAAAAAGCGCAAACAGCGCAGGGGGAAAATCACCAATACTCACATGGCTGGTATTCTCAGGGACTACTCGGAACGTGCTTAGGCATGTACACGGCGCTTTCTTTTCGCAACAGCGATTTGCTGGATTAATGACCATTAGCGGGCGATGAGGCGCAGGTGTGGATAATAAAGATGATTCTGAAGCCTGAAAGGTCGACCACACACAGTAGATCTGAAAAGGGGTTTCAGCACGCAAATACATCAGGGCAAAAGGGGGCATTTTGTGAAGCTCATTGCCGTAGCGATGCTGTGGTTTGAGCAAAATACCGACAGCAGCAAGAGATTGAAGTTCGAGATGGTTTTATGTTGTTTTTGATAAATACGAAGTAAGTAATGTCCTAGTGAAAGTAATTTAATTCATATGGTTACTGGTGGAATTATTTGCACCCTCTAGAGTGAGGCACAAATCTATGATACACGTCATTATTTATAAGAAAACCGAGGAATCGCGAGCCAGATTCTTTTCACTTATGCTTGTGTTTTTTCTCCTTCTTATCCTTCTTGTCCTTCTTGTCCTTGCTTTCCTTTCTTTCCTTCTTGTCCTTCTTATGCTTTTTGCGTTCCGCAGGAGCGTCGGCCTCCGCGTCAGCCTCTAGTGCCTTGCGCTTCCCATTCTCGGCCTTTTGAGCGAGGTCAACGGTCTCACTGATGGTAAATAGACGGTCAACTTTGGTACCACTTACCAAGGTCCGTTTATCGGCTGGCACCAGCACAGACAAGCCAGAACCGTCATCATATAAATCTTCACGTACCTCGAAATTGAGCCCTCTGTTTTCGAACGTTGCATGGTTCTCACCTGTGAAATCAACCGGCAGCGTTTTGATCTGGCTGAGGTCCAGCTTGCGAGGTGCTCTTATCAGCCACACCTCCTTCCCAGACGCTTCGAAAGAAGCAAGGTTTTTACATTTTTTGTACCCAGTGGTTTCAACGCCTCCAATGGTCTCCAACATGTTTTCTAAACTGATCTTAGCCGAGTATATGCGCTGAACCTTTGTAGCTCATCGCATCTCATCGCCAATGTCAAATATTGAATTTCAGCTTATAGAAAGATCCAAATTTTTCACACACTGTGTACGACCTGGGAAAGGGTAGTTCATCGTCGAGAGAAATTGCCCATATAAGCCATCTAAAACGTGTGTTGAGAGTTTGATAAAAGACAGAACGCTATTACTGCTGCCGCGACTCTCTGGGCATCATGACGAGATTTCAACTACGCATTTGAGACTACATTTTTGATGGCATTTTAGGTCGACGATACACTCGTTAAAAGTGATAAATCTCACACGATTCGTAGACGTCAAAACCCGCGGTGAATGGTGATGTATCAAAGCAGTTGAAGCTCTACAGAGATTGCGAGTGACCCAATTATGGACTCGTCTACATCCCATGAATTATGCGAGCTAAGGGCCAAGTTTTTCACATAAAAGTCGACAAAGCTAACTATAATTCTGATAAATCCGACTAGCGACAGAAGAAACTAAACTGAGAAGCGCTACGTTGGACCCCACAACATAGCGAGTAAGCTCAACTTAATAGCTGAGGCTCTGCTCTCTGTCGTTGGTTCGCGTCACATCCGTACAAAAGGACAAAATTGCGCTATGAAAAGTTTTCATATCACTAAATACGCGCATTGCCCTAGCTTCTAAATTTTTCATGGCAGATTTTCACCTATATAAGGAGAACTAAAATCGCCCATTCAAAGCATCTAAACCATACCCAAGAGATCAACAACCACCAGTTGTCTCATAACGAGGCACCAGTAGTTCCTCGAGAGCTTCTCAAATGTTCTTTCCCCTTTACCTGTGACACTCAAGGATGAGTGTCTACTTTGGAAGACAGTTGTAAAGCGCCAACGTTGAAACAGAAACAATTTTGAAACCACACACGCTTTATGTTTTTACACCTCGACTATAAGTATTGATCTCAGATTTTTTTCAGGGCGGCCGTGACGATAACGGTCTCTCTTCTTTCCCAGTCCGATTCGACCATGACGACATGGGGTTCTACCACGCGAGGTTTCCAATTCGTTGGTTACATTAGCTTTTCTTGCCAGTAGCTCGCCCTTCAAAAAGTCGAGCTACTATATTCAAGTGTCCGAGCCACCAACTCTGAAAATCCTGAGATTTGTTATAGTCGATGAGATAAGTTTACTTACCTACTGCTGTGTGTTTTCAGGAGAATTCTCCGATCACGTGGCGTCGCCGCCCATAAACGCATATATTTTTGCTGCTCATAAGTGCATCGTCCAAAATGTGCGGTTACGGGGGATCGCAACTATGCTCTTCCAGGGTAGAGCTTCTTATAAGCCTAAGGGGAAGAAGCTCTCATTCCATATCATATTTTGACAAACGTGTACGGTGATGAAGACTTGGTTCCTTACATTCGCAGTTTCCACGGTAGGAGTACGCCAACGAACCCATCGTATAGTGCTCACGTTGACCGCTCATTCTTGAGACCTTCCTAGGATGTCTGAGTACACGTTTTCAAAATGATTTATATTCTGTCTAAGCTGTAGTTTGTAGTTCTTGATTTGCACTTCTTGCCGTAGAATGATGTGCTACGAATTCTGTTCTTGAAGCTATGCTTAAAAAAGAATTCTATAAATTATACTTGCCCGAACGGACGCGGAATCCAGTCATCAACGGGCTCCCATGCATAGATTTTGTGTGTTCTTGCAGTTTGCTTCAACGTTTGCAAATCGCTAAGAATGCTGCTTGTTGAGCGGGACATCTGGCTCCTGAATCCTGACTCGGTGTTTCTGGCAGCGTCGTTGCTGCCCGCGCCGCTAGCCAACTGATACATCGTAATTTCAGACTTAAGCACACAATTCTTGTAATGCTCCAACAAGCACTTCAATTCCTTCACCTCGCCTCGATACCGTTTGCGGAACTTCTCGCTGGTACTCGGAAGTGTGACATCACAGCGTTGTAGTATTTGTAGAGAGATCCAATTTGGATACTCTCGTAGCTCGGTTGACCATTTCTCCCAATCTGAAATCACATTCTTCACGTCTAAAGCATACTCGCACACATGGCTTACGAAGTTTTTCAGTTGGGGACCATCGAACACCTCTCGCAGCAAGCTTTTATACGACTTGAGACAAGATTGATAGTTTTTCAAGAGCCAGCGGCTCAGTTCAAACCCGAATGACTGAATTCTGTATGCTAAAAGATCCAAGATTACTGGCGAGCCAGAACTGGACTTTTGAACGTATTTCTCTACGAAAATGTCAGGGTCAGCTTTACAACCTCGCCACGCTTCTTTGGCAAGCACCACAAAACTCTCTAGTTTTTCTTCGGGCTTCTCCTTAGTCTTATGCTTTTTTGTGGGTGGGTTCTGCGACGCATGATCTCCAGTAAACGCCGACGATACAAGCTGTCCTTTGCCCAGATTTGGGTTCTGCGTCAGAAGCTTGACGATCGACGGTATTTTTTTCATGACGCGGTCAACAGCCCGCGGGTCCAAGCTTAGACCGTCCGTAGATGTCTCCAAAGACTCCATTTGCGCCTCTTTTCCCTGACTATCCTGTTCGGGCTGGACGCTCCAGTAGTTGTCCCAAAGCCATTCCAGTGCCTGGTCGACCGCCATTCGCAGCATATCCAAACTTGGCATTTCCCTCTCGTGTGTTCCGCAGTGTCGCAGCTCCACAAACCACGATGGGAGACCCATTCGCTCGGCCAGCACATGCAAAGGAATCGCAAATTGCGACTGTTGCGTTGGATCTAGAAGACCGTTTACGAACCTGATCATTGCCATCGTGTAACTTAATTGCAGCGTAGTTTCTCCTGCCACTCCTTGTTCATCCAAAAGTTTAGCTTCCGTCAAATGTGCAGTGGATTCCACAGTGTGCGCCAAATACGGTCCTCTGCTAGCCCAACATTTAACCTCCCGTACTCCTTCTTGTCGCAAGTCTGGCGTTACAAATTTTGCAGGGTATAAAAGCTCACATACCCTAGCCAGATCCTTTTTAGAACGCCATGGTACTATTCTTGGTTCGGTGTTCTGCATTGAAAATGTCTTTTTAGATTCAAGAGCTCATCGCCTAGATATATGGATCTTCAGAAGTTTCTTAATATACAAATTTATCTATATTCAAAAAGTGACAGAATGGAAAAGAGTGATATGAAATTTAAATATCGCGATGAGCTTGACAAACTTCAATGGTTAGCTCAGACTTCGAGCTATAGGTGTGGACAATCGAACGATTTGAAGTGCCCGGGAGCTTCTGACCATTTTTGGAATATGTTTGATATTAAAAGAGATATAAATGGAGCCGGATCGAAAAAAAGACGGCGCCAAACTATTGTCTGCGTGAACTGTAGACGCCGTAAGACAAAATGCGATAAAGGGAAGCCTTGTGGAGCTTGCATCAAGCTAGGTATTCAGGACACATGCCGCTACGTGCCAGAATTAGGCGCCCACTTAAGGCAAAAGGACTTACCCGATCTGGCGGCGATGGTCCCTCATTATGAATCGACATACATCAATTTAAGGCCTTTGGGATTTCCTGTTTACCGCAAAAGGTCGGGAACGTGCTACGTTCCACCACTCACAGCTGGAGCAGCAGTTCAAAGAGATATATATCTCCGTGTGCTGCAATCGGTGTGCAGTATTCCGAGAAGCGCAATCGACAAGGCTCAAAAACGAAATGACGAAGCTGCAGCAGGAGAATGTTCTATAATATGCGCGAGTAACAAAGACCTGAAGCATGAACCTACAGATTCACCTATCAATAATCTACCCAACTCCCTGCGACATATCGAAAAGTTGGAGTTAGAAGCAGTAGACCTAGAAGGTAGTCTTGCTTCCAAACACAAGCAAACCTGCAAACATTTATTCGAAAAATTCGGCATCTCGCGGAAAAATCGCACTCGCTCTTGGGGTGGAGCAAAGCTTCCTCTCGAACTTATGCCTGAAGCAGATCTTTTTTTCCACCACGTTTGGCCGTTTTTCGTCGAATACGTTTCGTCGTTATGCCCTTTATTCGATCTTGAAGGTTTGAAAGCCAAGCTCGACATTTTCTATCGCAAAGACGAGCAGAAAAAGTACGGGGTGGACGATTACGCCAGCTTCTGCATACTCCTACTGATAACACGCATCGTTCAAATTTCGATCAATCTCGCAAAACCCGCCGACATTTCAACCTATTCGAAAATCAAAAACATCGAAACAGAGCATTATATCCCAGTAGTAAACCACTACATTTTTCACGGTGAAAACGCTAGAAAATGCTCCTTGCTCAGACTACAAAGCATGCTGCTGCTGAGATTTTATCAATGGTGTGCTCCCGATGATGGGGATGGCGAGTGCTTGCAACAAAGCAGTATGTTAATGGGGATGATAGTATCAGGATCCTATGGAATTGGCATTGGATGGCAATGTGTGACTCAGGCAGAGCTGTTTATTTTGGACCGACCACCATGGTGTTACTCAGATTCATCACAAACTTTCGAGGACATAAAAGAATACCAGAGGGTTTGGAGCGTCATTTTACACTGGGACCGCAAGTTGAGTCTATTGACAGGCTTACCTTGTTTAATTAACACGACTAAGAGAATTGATAAAGATATGCATAATAACTTGCCCTCAGTTACCTTAAAACATGATTATCTCTTGGAAAAGATAGCGAGGACCATAAGCAACAACACAGAAGAGGTTGATTACGATTCAATTAAAAAGCTCTCCGAACATCTCAGGCAAATACTGCGAAACGATGTCATGGAAAACCGCTGGAGCCTGGTTCTGGAGTTCGAGATGAATATTGTTCTTCTCCTCCTCGAGCTCTCTTTTAACCACGCCCGTGTTGTCAACTGCGAGACTACACAGTGCTTCGAGGAATATCAAGATTGCATGCAAGCTCTGGTGGAGAAATTAATACAAGTGGCTAACCTTTGCGAGCACTTGCTGGAGGACCAAGAATATTTAGCATTTGCAAGATTTTACACAAACAGGATCGTCGAATTGGCACTAAGAACTGTAGTCACGATCATACCATCAGTCATCTTGCGTTCCGGTAGATCAGCAGAAGCTGGTTTGAAAACAACTCTTATGAAATTTTACAAAGCTGTACTCTCAGCCTATTTCAATAATCTGGGCACCGATTATTACCAGGCTTTCAGACGGATGTTTAGCTCGAAGATTTTATACAAGACCCTCAGTTCTTTGAACGAAAAGGATCCATTCGAGACTATACTAGAATACTTTACACAGACTACTGAGAAAGGTGAACATATGGCAGAACCCCGCTCAATCGAAATTCGGAGATTTAGAGACCTATATGATCAAAAAGGCGGAAATACTAGACCTAGCGAAGTGTGGGATGACAGTTTGGGCATCAATAAGAACTTCTTTTCGTTTGAAATCGATATTGAAAACCTCAGCAAGTTCTTTCCATTCACCAGTGAGCAGTCAGAAAACAAATATGACATCTTCGCTTCATTTTTCACCAAGGTCTCGACAGCATTTCTCAAAAAGGTCAAAACTTTACCATCTGCGAGCTTGCCCGACTCGCCTCATAATATTCTCGATAACTTTGACTATCGTTTGCTTGATTTTGGTGAAAACAATCCATACGACCCTTTGATGTTCCTAAGTTTTTTTGAGCCTACAGGATAAGTTGAATTCTTGGGTTTGGCATCGAGCTTGCTGGCCTGCAGACTACAAAAGCTCGTGCTATGCCGAGATTCACCACTACTGACATTAAAAGTTATAATGTCCTCAGTTTGTTTTGTATTCAATGCCATCAGAGGACACCGATTTCTCCACAAAAACTTTCGCGCCCTTCTGTCGCCTTCCTTTCTGCGTCCAGCCGTTCAAGTTGGACTTGAATCCTTCGTTGTAAAAGACTGGTTGCAGTACGCGCTCATCGTTTTCATTGAGAACCACGGTTGCGATGTCATTGAGTACCAAAAACCTTAATTTGGGGAACTGAGTGAGCAACGCAACGTAAGTCCTCCTATGGTGGTGAATGAGCGCGTGATAACAAGCCACGACATCTTGTCTTGTCAATGGCTTGTGTGGGAGGACCATATCAATGAAGGAATTTTCATCGTCGCTATCGAGAAGATCTTCCAGGCACGGTTGTTCTGGTTGGTCATCTAGCTGGCAGTAACTAGAACGAGAGTTTTCGTCAGGAACAACTGGGTCTCTTACTAGTTGACTTCGGCTTGCGCGATAAAGCTTGAGATCATTGTTCATCAACGACACGAATTTATCGATATCCATAGGGCATGTCCTCACGCTGGGGTAATAATCACAGGCTTTGGAATAAGGTAGTAAGCAGTGGAATCTTATCATCCGGAAAATATCTTTCGTCAACACATCTCTGAAATCAGTCAACACATAATCCTCAGGAAATAGGAATAGCTTCTGACGTATAATAGAATCAAATACGTGCATACAGGAACTGCAATGACATTTTTGGGTTAAGCGGAAATCCCCCTTTTCCACATCAACAATGGGGGCATCGAGGCCCTCGAATCGCATATCGAGAAACTCCAGTTCGCGACAACAATGCAAGATAGCCAGGAAAAGTTCAGGCTTTGTAGACTGCGATGAAAGCTGCTCAATGAAGTCGACTTTCAGTCTTTTCAGTCCGATCAGCTTACGGAAGAGGCTTATAAGAGGTGTCGTCTCTTGTTCAATGGATATCAAGGAAAGGTCCTCTATATTCGTAAATTCTTGAAATTGACGAAGCATCTCCAGTTCGCCTGACAGAAGGCACTCATGCCATGAAACGATCGTCAAAACGCGCAAACTTCTGGTATCGAAAATGTCAGAAAGCTTCTGAATGGGACGCTCGGCTATGCTTTCTTTGAAATACATCTTTTGATAAAACTCCACTCTCCAATGCAACTTGAGATCCACCACTTGCAGTTTGTCTCTTAAAGGGTATAGGCATGAGAAGAGTAAAATTGGATCGATGAAGAGGTTCATGTATGTTATCTGCGACGAGATTCGTTGCGAGAGGTAAGTCTTCAGATTTGGAATGTAGGAAGGGTCCACTTCGGAACCTGCATTTGGATTCGGGGGAGCCATATCGAAGCTCGAAAGTTTTTGGCGGGACATTTTGCCATGCGCAATGATGTCGTTGCAAGCAGGGTCTGTGACGTTTTCCAGCCTTTGTAAAGACTCACTTTCATTGCAGATAACGGAAAGCAGCTGTTTTTGCCACTTTGGATTAAGATCCCAATTGATTCGAACCCATTCCACGGCTTTGACAGCTCGTTCGTTGGATTGCAACGTTCGTATCAGGCTGCGTAACTTTCGATCTGCCACCTTGCGCGCGACCGCTTCTGGCAACCGGTTGGGCACGTACAGAAGAGTCCAGTTTATGGCTAGATTCATAATGTCACTTCTCACCACGTTAGAGTCGTTCAGGTATATGCGTCGATACAGAAGTTTTGTGGCGATGCCGTTGAATTTGCGACTCACGAGGGAGCATTGAAGTCGATCTTGCTGTGGCAAAAAGGACAGTACCTCTTGCAGAAGATCCAACGGGAATTGATCGATCTCGATCGTCATGATGACAGCGATCTTTTGGTCCTTTGTTCTCACTATGACTAAAATTCAATGTCCCCTTCAAGATCTCAGAAACCGATCGCTGCTTCAGAGAGACAGGAACACTCAAACGGATACTGTTGACCTGCTACAATAAACAAAACCTACTGACACTTGTTTAGAGATAACTATAGACAACAATGAAACAAATGTTGAATTTTCTTGGACTCTGGCTTTCAATGTCGATGGTTGACTAAGAATTTAAGAGAGTAATATTATACGCACCTACTTAACGAAATCTAACCTTATACGGAGTATCCAGCAAAGGATCCAAACGGAGCTAGCTGAGATGACTGATACGTGCTAATCTTGACAGAATAATTAGGAACATAAGGTGTGGAAGGGACACTTAATTTTGACGGTGTGCGAGAGGATTTTAGATTTGGTTTTTAGAGTGAATTTCGAGCAGGAGCGAGATGCACCGTTTGAAGTAGGGATAGCACCCATGATAATCTTGTGTGCGGTAATTGATGAAATGTGTGGGAGTGAAAATAATTTATGGAGTGCTTTCGTAGACAAGATTGTCATTCGCTTTTGTAGATGTCAGATATCAAAGTATAGAGGGTTTTATATACAATTGAGAAAATTATCGTTAAGAGGTTGTGAGTTGAAAGAACTAGGACGTGGGGTGTGGTTAGGGTGCTGAAACGGTGGGCGGTCGAAATTTAGTGTTTCTCCCATATGGAACTGATAGATTGTAGAAGCATTACTGTTTAGATACAGTAGCTTTAAATTTTGGTGTTTCGATCTGCTGCTTGAAATTGTCAAAGAGAGGTTATTGTGAAACTGCAGTTATACTTGCCTTATTTTAAGGATAAAAGCGCACCAATTCGTTTGCTAAAGGGTGTTAACTGAGGAGATATCAAGGCAAGGTCGCACGCAAGTTATTGAAATGAAGCAAAAAAAGAGTGTTACTTAAAGAATGACAAACTTCATGAACCACCGATAGACTCTAGTGGCTTGATGCGCTTGAATCGGTAGTCTCGCTATCACTTATCTGTCACCCGTCACAATCAACACTAAGCGATGGCTCAAAAGAGTCACGTGCCAAAGTGACAGCCTACAGAGGATGTTACGACTAGAACGACAGAGGAGGGCCTTGGTTGAGATGGGCCTCAGTTGATACTCAAAGAGACATTATCGTATCACTGATTGAATAGGTGAATGATTTCCTGAAATGCTGAATTGTTGTAGACAGTTAGAGATCCAACTTGCAAAATGGCACTGGGAAGCTAATGACAGTACCGGGTTAGCGGCGTCCATCGGAAAATATACAGTTACCGTGTTCATTTTGCCCAGATCTGCGACTATTGTATCCATATCACTGCTTCAGACAGTAAAATAATGAATCAGTGGTTTTTCTTCAATACACTGACTGCTACTATGGAATCATCTACTACCACGTCAACGGCATCCTTGAATCCCTCACCCACCACATACATAATGTGACAGCTTGGTTTCAAGCAATTGATCTCAATGATTTGTGGTCCACTTATAAACACTACCCAGAATTAAACCATCGCCAAAATTCCAAAATGAGTTTCTACAAGGCCTGAAATATCCATCACACAATACCACCGCGAATGGACTACTTTTCAAAGCTTACGATTCAAACTCGTCCCGTTTGAACGTTTGTCGTTTCTACTCAGCCAGAAACGACAGAAAATTACAAAGTGACGCGGACTTTCGTGCCCTCGATAGATAAAGAGGCTTAATCGTCACTATTCACGCCTCGGTCTTTCTGAGATAGACAAAAGACTTGAAGTTTAAGCATATAAACTCGATAATATACCGTTGCTAGACATCTCTTTTGGCATAACGAGCGAGACTTCGATCAAGACCTCAAGTCTGGCGCTAACATGTCTACTGTATACACTTTAAATAAGGATGATATCATTTTGGTGGTTTCTGCGCTGATTCTGCCACCTTTGCCGGTCATTGTGCGCAAAGGACTGGTTTCAAGGGATTTCTGGATTAACCTTCTTCTGTGTTTGCTCTTTGGGTTTCCAGGTATTCTACATGCTGTTTATGTTGTATATATGACCAGTTCAGAACGCTCTCAATACTCCCGTGTGGATGAGAATTCAGACTTGGAGGCACAGGATGAAACCGCTGCGACACAGCCAGCTCCTAAGAGTGCAGAACCCGAAGTTCCTCCTGCGTACAACGACGTGGCCCAAAACAGCAACGCTGCCCAGGCTGCTACCGATAACAAGATCCAGCATTGAAGTCCTCTGCGTGCGTGAGTTACTCGCGTTCATATGGAAAGTGGCCATGGTCTTCTCCACTAGTCTCGAATTAGCTATGCAAACTACACCTTTTTGATATTGTATAGATCTCTACAAACAGGTACATAGCCGTGTGTAGCAGCAAACATGATAATATATATGGCGATTCCCTTGATTGTACAAAGGCTGGTAACAACGAGAGAAAAGGGGTCTTTCGATGAGAGACGCCGCGTTTTGCCTTTACCGGGGCATCGTATATGTCTTGTTTTTGATAGAATTGACTTAATTTACAGTATTCAATATAGAATGTGCTTAATACCAACGAGTTCAGTACGTAAGTTGGCTGGGTTTCCAAAACGCAAGCTTTAACGGGCTCGTGCTTTCTGATTCGTAGTTTCTCCTGGACTGCACCTGGCTACAGCTTATTTTACAGTAGCAACAGGATCTGCACTTTGGACAACTTCATCTAAAGAAATTCTTTAGCTTTTCTCCTAAATGCGTGGCAGTCTCTCAACCACTGTCTGTATTCGCCGACCGATCCAATCTTCTCCCCGTAATAGTCAGGAACCGGGTTGCTAAAACTCTGCGAGGAGGAGTCGACGCGGTTTTCGATGACATGTCTCAAAAAGTCCTTTGTCTTCTTGTTGTACTCCGCCAAGTTCTCCTTCTGTCTCATCTTGAACACGGTTGTCCCAAAAATAGGCCCCAGCAAGTACCCGAATGCACCGGAGGCCATAAGACCGGCGGAAACTACTACCAAGGGATCGAAACCCATGATGGTTTGCATGGGATCAATTTCCATGGTCGACAAATACGCCCAAGACGCATTACTCGTCATCAAAGCAGTGACAATCGACGATCCCAGGTTAATTCTGCGCTCGTGTTTTCTTAGTTGAAAGAAATCTGTCCATGTAAAGACATCTTTGGAATTTGTCTCAGTTTGCTGGTTGGCGGTCGAGTTTTGCTCCGAGAAGCGAGGTTGGAAAACCGAAAGCTGCCTACAAGTAATTTTGACAGCAGTCTTATTAGCGGCAAAAAGCTTACAAGACAACATGGCAGTTAATGAGTTGGACGCGGCAATTGGTAGTTGTTAAGAGGGATGCTGAAAAGTTGTAGCGAATTTATGAATATTTCATTCAAAATTTGAAGTCAGATGATCTACCGACCAGATGATCGACTGGAGGACTCTAAAGAATGACCCAGATATCGAGCGCCTACGCTTGGAAGTTTAGGCACTATGTCCTACCAACTCAGTACTCAAACGCGAAGCTGGGGTTGATGTTTATAAGTTATACCTGTATTATTTTATAGTTGTATTTCGGTATAATTGTATAATAAATAATTGAGAGTGGAATAAGGCCTGCGAGGCAATGCGAGCTCCGCTTACTCTTGTTCGTCTAGCGTCTTGAAAGTCGTAGCCTTGATATCCTTAGGAAATTCAATACCGTTTTCTATCAGTTTGGTAAAGGCCTTGGAAAAATCGCTGAAGAAAGCTTTCTCATTTTCAGCGTATTCCTTGACAATTTTCTTGTAATTAGGGTCTTGTACCAAAGCCATGTCGGTAGGAAGCATCATGTAGCCTTTGTCGTTGTTATACTGCATGTTACCAGCTTCGTTCTTTTCCAGTTTCCAGTTTTCATTTAGTAGATTATTGAAGTACTCGTTAGAGAAAGTATTGGTTGCTGCACCCCATGGACCTTCGAAACCAGAGTTGTCGTAGTGAGTTTTGCCAAGAGCGTGCGCACCCAACAAGGCCACCACTTCTCTGTCGTTGAAGTTCATACGCTTGTAGAAATTTCTCACGTAGCTGGCGTCCTTGCTGGCGTCTGGTAGTCTTCCGTTGTCTGGAGTTTTGTCTTCTGGCTGGTCGACTCTGCCGGCCTTCCAGGGAATTTTGGGTCCCTGCATTTCCTGAATAGCGGTGACGCCGGCCAAGGTGTACAGATCGCCGTGGGAAATCCAAGGGAACTCTTTCTGGATGGGGCTCAAAAATTTGAAGCCGTTTTGCAGACCCTTATTGGAAGGATCGTTCATCTCTTTTTTGAATCTGTACGTGCCACCGAACGACCCACCAGAGTTGTCGCTTTTCTCAAATGTTCCCGAAACGTGCCACGCTAAACGCACAAGCACTGGTCCGTACCCGATGTAGTTGTCGTACTCGTCTTCGTCCCGCAGTTTTGTAGCAATGGCATTGTAGATTTTTTGGTAGTCCTCGGGCCCTTTTTGGACTTCTGCTAGATGAAGACCGGTGCCAGCTGCCAAAGGTGCCCAGATTTTCCAGCGACTGTTGTTTCTGTTGTTATTTTGGTACTTGTTGAATGCTACTCCAGCACCAACGGCCGTCGTGGCACCTGCAAGCAGGTAAATTGAGTTTTTACTGAAAGCTCTCGAGAAGGTAGACCCAATTGCGGACATTTTTTCAAGCCGATGTTATCAATTGACTAGGCAACGATGAAATATTGACGAAAGCACTTACTGGATTCCGATTGCCTGCTCTGTCGTTTTTATATGCCTTCATTTATATGTGATTTTTCAACACTTCCCTAGAACCAGCCCATCGCTAATCCTGGCCAGAGGGGTCGTTAGCCAGCATTGCTTACCAAACGAGCCAGCGTGAACGGCATTATCGGCGATGTTACTACTACTGATAGGCCTGGGCCGACACTGAAAATTAATCATGCGTAGAAGAGCTGTGGATACGAGCGAAAAGCTTAAAACTCTGGCCCGGAGAAAATGACAAATTACAAATTATCGCAAAGTCAGTGTTAAATTGACAAGAGAGATTGAGAAAGGGAAGAAAGAGAGGTTAAAAAGAGATGATTCAGTAGATTTGACGTAAAACCCAGAGCAAGTTGTGTTTGAGCTGCTCTTTGGGTTTTCTGTTCATTTGCAGCAGTATATGGCTCAAGATTGATGAAGTATCAGATCACTGTCGACGAAGAGAAAAATCTTAAAGATGAGGTAAGCCACGAGTACTCGAAAATGAGGTGCTCGCCGCTTACCTCAGCGAGTACACTTTTGTCACTCATTTTCACGAGTACTTGACATGGCTAATTTTCAAGAGAACAACCTATCACGTGTTTTCCAGACTTTACTTTCACTAGGACAAAAAAGACCGACGACGTCAGCGTGTTCTTGTTGTATGCGCTACGCACACGAGTAACGCTATACAGCTACACAATATCCCAAGACACCAAAAACAAAACGCTGATCCCATGCTGTATTAAATTTCTCAATTTTCGAGCCACTCATTGCTGACTGCCCCGCGTTTAGATTGCACTAGTCAAAATGCCCAAAATAAAGGACAAAAAATCTCAATCCCAAGACCATTGAATTCAAAGCTCCGTAATTCAACATAAGTAGCACTTTAGCCAAATCAGTGTCCCACTCTCGTCGTGTTATATTCAAATCGATATCGAACTCCAAGAACTAATCACTCTAAACGACATGCTCATCAACTATTTTCAATCTAGATCCCATACATAACCTGTCTACTGTTCCCCTATCACCAGCACGTAGAATCTCTCTCGACACACACCAGCGACTCCTTGACAGTCCCACCGACACTTCCCGGTAGCCATGTCATATGCAGAAACCATAGACCAGGCCATTGCCAATTGCAAGCAGCAGACGGTGTTGATGCAAAGATGTCTGGCTCAAGAGAAGCTTATGGACGCTTTGAAGCATGCCTCGATAATGCTGACCGAGCTACGAAGCCCTTTGCTCTCGCCAAAACAGTACTACGAGCTGTACATTTCCATATACGACTCTTTGAGCATCTTGTCCAACTATTTTGTCGAGTGTCACAGCAAGAAACATCATCTGGCGGATCTGTACGAGCTTGTACAATATGCTGGCAACATTCTGCCCCGACTCTATCTCATGATTACCGTTGGAAGCGCATATCTTCAATCGGCCGACGCGCCGCGGGAAGAAATCTTCAAGGACATGATTGAGATGTGCAAGGGTATTCAAAACCCGATCCGAGGCCTCTTTCTGCGGTACTACCTATCGCAGCGAACAAAACAGTTCTTTCAGGCAGAAGATTCTGAGACAAAAAAGGCCAATGTCAACTTTATCATCACCAATTTTATCGAGATGAACAAGTTGTGGGTGCGTTTGCAGCATCAGGGCCCTCTACGTGAAAGAGAACAGCGTACTCGTGAGCGTAAAGAGCTCAAAATCTTAATCGGTGCGAACTTGATGAGACTCTCGCAGATCGCCGAAGCGGATTTCAAACTATACAAAGACGAAATATTGCCCTTGATCCTTGAGCAGGTGATTAACTGTAGAGACGTTGTGTCTCAAGAATACCTGCTCGACGTAATTTGCCAGATCTTCCCTGGTGAGTTTCATCTCGGCACTTTAGCAGAACTATTGGCAACGTCACTGAAGTTAAACCCGACCGTTCCTATAAACAAGGTCGTACTGACACTGGTCGAGAGACTGAATGGGTTTATCGACCGCCAAGAAAATCCGGACCTGGACAGTGTGACGCGCGGCCTCGCATTTGTCGACATTGGGGAAGAAAACAAAAACCTCTTTTTCATGTTTTGGAAATTCCTCAATCAATTGAGTGAGGAGCGTCCAGACCTGTCATTACAGGAGCTGGCCCCAGTAATTCAGGGTATTTTGAAACTGACTCTGCGCTGGTATCCGGACAACGTCAGCAACGTCAACGTTCTGTTCAACTTCATGCACGAAAAATGCAAAGAGTATGGCAAAGCTCTTCCTGAGGAGTACGACTTTCTTTTCCACGACTTGCTGCTAGCTCCAGAACTCAAATCCGACACTTCTTTCTTCCTAAGACTTCTGACAGAATGCGAGGCTTACGAAGGTCTGCTTTCAGCTCAAAATTCGAATCTGCAAAGAGAATGCGCCAACGAAATTCTAGATACTTTGACGGGTGCCGAGTGGCGTATAAGCTCCAAGCCAGAACTCGAAAAAATTCTTAAGCTTTGTGGTTCTTTGGTGGAATCAAATTCCGACAAGATGAGCTCCTCGTTGATTCTGGATGAAGAAGACGATTTGGACTCCGAGAATTGGTCTTTTTCGCCAGATCAAGAGAAGTTGGCTCATATCACGCATCTATGCGATAACAAGAGCATTGAATCACATTGCGAATTGCTGCTCACATGCAGAAATTGGTTCCAGAAAAGTGGTAAGAATATCAAGTATCATTCGCCCGCCATCATCTGCAATTTATGGAAGCTGATACGCAAATGTCAGCTAAGGATAAACAGGAAACCGGAAATTCGTGAAAAGCTCAATGGTACCATGAAGCAGCTTTTCAAACATGTTTCCCTCATCATCAACGACATCTATAATGCATGTGGTGGAGGGTGTCTGGACTTGTTGTACAAGCTGAACGTACAAACGGCGTCGCTTGCTGATCAAGCTCAATTGGGCGACATCGCTTACGACTTTTTTTCACAAGCCTTCACCATTTTCGAAGAATCGCTCAGTGACTCTCGCACCCAATTTCAGGCCATTGTGAATATGGCACAAACATTACAGAAAACAAGAAGCCTATACATGGATTCGCACTACGAGACTCTGATCACAAGATGCACATTACATGGCTCGAAGCTTCTCAAAAAGCAAGACCAATGTCGTGCTGTTTACACATGCTCTCATCTGTGGTGGGCCACTGAAATCTCGCCTTTGGGAGAAGAGGAGGGGGTCACTGAGAGCTTTTTCCGGGAAGGAAAGAGGGTCTTGGAATGTTTACAGCGCTCTTTAAGAGTTGCCGACTCAGTGATGGATAATGTCCAGAGCTGTGAGCTCATGGTTGAGATTCTGGACAGGTGCTGCTACTATTATATCCACGGCGACGAAGCATCCACTCATGTGGGAATAAAATACATCAATGGGTTAATCGAGCTTATAAAAACAAACCTCGACGGCCTCAAACTAGAAGTTACTTCAATGATAGAAGACGGGCCAAAGCTCAAGACTGACTGTGCATACATTGGAATCGACGGCTGTTATATTCACCGAAATTCTGCAAACAGCGTGGCAGCTGTTTACACCAAACCTCCCGCGTCCAAGACTACCCTACTGAATTTCATACCGGTCGAGCATTTCAATAGAACCCTGAAGTACATTCGGGATCAAAAGGACGTTGATGATCGCTTCAAGGCCATTGTTCTATGATATACTCCAGACGATCGCCGTGCACGAACAAATTAAGTAGCTTTCCGAAACTTGTGCAAATTTCAGTTAAGGTTAGGTCAAATGAGCTATCAATCAATCAGCTTGCTCTCCAGTAACAGCCCAGTGTAAATCAGCTTGACGGTGAGCAGCTCATAATCGATAGGCTCTAAAAAGATATCAGTTCAGATAGTGCTGAAAAATGCCTGTTTACACGGTATCGAATGTATGTTTAATAGCGGGAAATGAAATTAATGAGAAATGGGACTTCAAGATATATCATTCACTCTCTTGAAAGCATTGATTTTACTTGGCCACTAATACTAACGCGATGCAATTCTTGATTGCAATTTACCCCAGGTCCAGAATTTAAGAATATGTGTGGTAATGGTGGGATTGCCAGCTAGAGGCAAATCGTTCATTTCGCAGAAGATAGTCCGGTACCTCTCGTGGCTTTCTATCAAATCCAAATGCTTCAACGTGGGCAATTACAGGCGACAGGGAGCTCCGAGACCGAGTGCGGAGTTCTTCGATGCTTCAAATGAGGAGGCTTACAAAATAAGGGAGCAGGCAGTAACACAGGCCGTTTACGACATGATGAACTGGTTTGCAGATGAACAAGGTGTGGTGGCCATTCTCGATGCTACCAACTCGACTCGTCAGAGGCGTAAGTGGGTCTTGAAGCTTTGCAGGGAAAATTCTATCGAGCCCATGTTTTTGGAAAGTTGGTGCGACGACAAAGATCTGATCCTTAGAAATATCGCTGACGTGAAAACCTCGTCACCGGATTACAAGGGCATGGATCCTGATGTGGCCAGTGCAGATTTCCTGGAGAGAATTGCAAAGTACGAGCAGGTATACCAGACCTTAGACGCGGTCGAGGATAGGGACCTCACCTTCGTGCGACTGATCAATATTGCGCAACAGGTCATCATTAACAAAGTTGAGACCTACTTGGAGAGTAGGATTGTCTTTTACGTTATGAATCTGCACATAAAACCGCGGTACATCTGGCTCTCGAGGCACGGAGAGTCGATTTACAATTTAGAGAAGAAAATTGGAGGAGACTCTTCTCTCTCGCCGCGAGGACTTCAGTATGCCGAAAAACTTCCAGAATTTGTGCGTGAATCTGCAGGTGATCGCGATCTCACTGTATGGACGTCAACTTTGATCAGAACGCAGGAGACTGCTCAACACCTACCGTACAAGCAACTGCAGTGGAAGGCTCTTGACGAGCTTGATGCCGGTGTGTGCGACGGTATGACTTACGAAGAAATCGAGGAGACATTCCCCGAGGATTTTAAGGCGCGAGACGAGGACAAATACGAGTACAGGTATCGTGGCGGTGAGTCGTACCGTGACGTGGTAATAAGACTCGAACCCATCATCATGGAGCTCGAGCGTCAAGAAAATATTCTCATTATAACGCACCAGGCTGTCTTGAGATGCATTTACGCCTATTTCATGAATGTTCCTCAAGAAGAGTCGCCTTGGATGTCAATTCCGCTCCATACACTGATCCGGCTCGAGCCTCGCGCCTACGCGACACACGTAACCAAAATAAAGGCCGATATTCCTGCCGTGAGTACATATAAGGGCAAGGGAACCAGTCAAGTTGGCGAAAGTGACGCAAATGATAAGACATCCGTGCATGTGCTAACGAATTTAGCTGACCAGAAATAAAAGACGGGAAGGCCTGTTTAATCAAAATATATACCATCTCAATTTCAATACCAGCTTGAATATCAAGCAGGTCAGTAGTTGATGCTGACAGGTCCCAGCCTTTTTACCATTTTCACTGATTTATCTTGTCAGTCTGATTTAATGTAGTGATTTTACATTTATATTATAGAAGTTAGTCGGTCGACAAGTTGGCAAGAATACAACGCCAGGATACGCAAACTAGTCGGTTGTTGACGGCAAAAGTGATCTATCCAGCTTAACAAGTGAAAGAACACATCTCGATGGCTAAGAGAATACTGGGCTTAAGTCGGAAACGTTCCGAAAACAACGAAGAAGCTAGTACAGCTGATTCTTCTAATGTACGATCATCACCTGGTTCCCCGCCGCTGCGTTCCGATGAAAATGAGATGGATACTACGAACGTAATCAAAAGTGATGATTCGTCAAGTAGGCTGTCGTCATCCATACAGTCGTCTTCGATTTTCTCAAAAAGCTGTCAAACTCGTCGTACTGGTGCATCTTCAACACACACGGGTGGCATGCAGGATAGTGCCAAATTTGGAGGAAGTAGAGATCCAGAAAATATGGGGAAACCTCTGCGAGTGTTGGAATTTGGTAAGCTTGGCCCTTTGAATCCAGTGTCAGAGGAGGATGATTCATTCGTGACAAGCGGCACATTTTTAGATGAGTTTTCAACGCGCGTTGGTCCACACAGATCTGCGTCTGCGTCTCAGAAAGACAGCCCTGCAGTAGTGCTCGAGCAATTTGATAGAGCACTGGAAACTTTAGACGAGAATCTGGTCGGACTCATGCACGATATCCATCAAAACGTCACCAACGTCTCTAAGGCAGTGATACAGGCAGCAGAATTTTTCAAAGAGTTTTTACCGGAAGTCTCGACTGCAAGGCTCTCGCACCGTATTTCCTGCAGTAAGAGTCCTGCTCTCAGACGCATTACAAAGGTCGTTTTACATTTCGTCGATAATCTGTTATTTTCGGATGTGTTCAGCAATTCTCGGGCTATCATCATCAAGCGCTTCTTGTGCTTTCTCAAGAAAATCAATCTTCCTGTTACTGAAGAAAACTCTGAATTACACACTTTACCACATCTGAAGATTTTCTGTATTGACGCTGAGTGTGATCTTCCAAGAAAAGCTAAGCTATCTTCCATCATGGGGAAGCTAGCAACGACAGACTCTGCTTGCATATCTGATCAGGAAGGCGCCTTTATAGCTCCCATTCTGAGAGGTCTCAGCAAAGCTTCCTCGGTTCTGACTATAATGTTTGGCCTGCCGGACCCACAGCCAGAACATTTCGACATGATCAAGGCATTGTACTCTTTGTTTCCTGATGTGCATTTCTATTGCGTTAAAGACTATATACAGACATGTGCTGAAGTTGCAGTACCTCCAACACTGCAACCAAAACCAATGCAGAGCTCTGCAGCTTCTCAATTCCATCCTCCCTATCGCCTTCCCTCGGATGTCAGCTCACCGCCAATATCACTCTCAATCTCGTCTCAAGACAGCGAAAAGATCACGGGTACACTGGGAGGCTACGTCTATCCTCAAATAGACGACAACAACTCTTCCTTAGCACAATTTTCTGGCTCTACTTTTGCCATGACTTGCGCTCATGTGGCACTTGCAGAGTCTCAGGACTATCCGTATGTGTCTGTGCCGTCTGCGGTTCTTCAAAAGCAGTATAAGCTTGCAATTCTAGAGGAATCTCAACGATATGCTTCCGATTCTATGGAGAAGGATGCTTTCGAGAAGGAGGCGACAAGAATCGACCAAAACTTGGACTGGCAGAAAGAGAATAACTTTGGACAGGTTGTTTGGGGGGAACGTTCAGTTGTCGACCAAAAACTCTCAGATTTTGCCATCATAAAAGTGAGTCCGGGTGTACAATGCTCCAACTTTCTCGGTGATGATGTGAGTTTGATGGCCAATCCCTTTCTGAGATTTCAGAATTTGTACGTTAAAGACAAAGTCTTGAAGATGAAGCCAGGCGCCGAAGTTTTTAAAATAGGCGCGACTACCAATTTTACGAAAGGACAGGTGAACGGCTCCAAGCTGATATTTTGGGCTGATGGGAAACTGAAAAGTAGCGAGTTTGTCGTTGCGTCACCGACGCCCATGTTCGCAGGCGGCGGGGATTCAGGTGCCTGGATCCTCACAAAGCTTTCTACCAAATTGGGACTCGGTGTGGTGGGCATGCTTCATTCTTATGACGGTGAACAGCGTCAATTTGGACTTTTTACTCCGATCGGCGATATTTTGGAAAGACTGCACAAAGTTACCGGTGTCGTATGGGATATTAACAAGCCCAGTTAGGGATCGTCAATTTCTCGAGAGATATCGAGGTATCACAGGAAATTTCCAGTTTCGCAAAGCTATGGGTGTGTGGCCCCAGAACTAATTATGATTCGTCGTTCGACAGATCAGATGCGATCCTGCGATTTCGATTAAAGCAACACACCGAATGCCAAGGGAAATTTCTCTACAACTACAAAAGCCAGGCAACATCTTTCCGAGCTCTCTGACGTGCTATAGAAATGCCCGAACTTTTTCTGGACTATACCTGAATTTCACCTACATTTTATCATGGAAATTAATGAAGCACTCGCATTCTGAAACTTGCACTATAATTTGACAAAATATCTATTCAAATGTGTCAGAGTCGACTACAAACGTCCCAGTGCAAGAGTGTCTACTTCGCAGACGCTGTCCAGGAGCTCTCAGGATCGTCCGTGTCAGTTAAACACAAAGTGACAATGTTCGACGTACCTTCAAACTTACACCCATATCGGGCCCTTACAACCATCTCTTCCATCGATAGGTCAAAACCGGTCAACGTATCGAGATAAAGGCAGCTCTTACCTCTTTGAGGATTGATATGAATTTAGGGACTTCTTTCCTGCCCCTTTCCTTTACGGTTGTTATGATGAGGTTTCATGGTCGCCTCATCAACGTCCAGGAATGAAGTCTGAACCCCACAAGCTGAAAAATACGCAGATCTGTCAAACAGAGTGATCCGCGGACATCTGGTGAATTACCACCAGTTTCAAGGGTTTATGGTTCTCCGGATACCATATTTAAGAGCAGTGAAGTGTCGAGTTTTGGAAATGTCATCTTTCTTACAATTAATTGGCATTGTCGATACTAATTTGAAACGACAGTAAAGGAAATAAAGGACCACTTTAGAGTTGTTTCGCAGTGATTGCCCCGACAACTGGTGTCGATGGAAGTCCACACGCCTATATCTACCACCAGAACCAAAAATGTTCACTCTCCCCCTAGTGTTGGAAGCAACTCTCCATCATCGGCCAGAAATTTCAAGAAATTCTCAGGACAAGTGCTGACACGAGTCAACTCGACCTTTCGCAGCTTTAGTGCACCAGGTGCAGGATCACCCAGCAGGTTTTACCATAGCGTCGAAGATCGTCCTCGCATTATCCAAAGAAACTCATCACGATTTGCACCCAGCGAGACTGAAGACGAAGAACAAGAATTCGGTCCGTCTTTTCTTTCTTTAACGAAACCGACCATGAACATAGGCACTAGACGAAGCAAAGCGCCTGCGCCTTTGCATTTGAGTCCCATCACACCACGCCCAACCCCACGCAAATGTCACAGCTCCAGCACAAAAGTTGTGCCTTGTTTGGAGTCTCCCATGGACTCCAGGCGTTCCGGCTACGTATCGTCGGATTGTGCCAGTTGGGTAACAGCAAGCTCTATAGAACCACGCAGGCGTCTCAATTCTGCTTTAGAGGCGTCCCCTACCAGCCGTTTTACCGTCCAGCAGCCTATTTTCAGGGACCCATGGCCAGACATGTATCCCGAGGATGAATCGCCCACTTGCGCTGCAGAGCTCCGAAAAAATGTCAGTCTTCTATCGGGAGGTCCCAAGAACTATGCTACCAGCAACTGTAGCATATGCAACGAGAGCTTGACATGCGCTCTTGACGGGGAAAAGCTCATAGAGCTTTCCTGTGATCATCAATGTCACTATAACTGCTTCCTGATATCCTTCGAAGCCCTGCTTCCGGCTAACGCCTTTCCAACGTGCTCAATTTGTAAAAAAGCATCTAAGCCCAAAAACGAAGATGCTTTGAGCGAGCTAACGGCAAAGATTTTGTGCGGAGGGTCTGATTACCGTGCAGCTAAACCCACGGAAACCGCATCTGAGAAATACAGTATTCAACCCCAAAGTATCCATCAACCAATCGAGACCGGATCCCGCCAAAATAGCCGCATACACGATCTCAGGACCCCGTTTGATCAAGTAATTCGAAGTGCTGAAGTTACAAGTGATGGTTTCAAGCATTCCTGCAACCTTATGGTGTCGCCGGAAACTAGACCTACACCTTCCACTCGGACCAGCTCTTTCGGTTCTAGGAGTTTTATGTCGAAAAGCGAGGGGCCAGATTACGATTTGGACCTCAGCAAGCCCCGTATTCATTTGGTTCCGCAGTTATCCAAATTCAGCATAAAGGAAGATTCAGAATTGGCGAGCGTACAATATGTTATGGCCACATATCTCCCCAAAGGAGGTCATGTTGCTGAGACGGCCAAGCTTTTGAAAAAGAAAGAGACTCGGATAAGGAACGAAGTGCAAGCGTTCGTGGAAGAAATGCTTGAAGGTTCTTCTCCTATGGGGCTTTTGGAAACGTTCGATATTTTGAGCTACTCAGAAGACGAGGATACATGGGTTACAGTAACGGCTTTTTTATTTCGAGCAGGATTGGTTCTCGCGGCCGACGGAAGCATTGTTGGGAATATTCCAAAGAATCAAATATCACAATTGCATCAATTGGATCCAAATACGATAATAATGAACCTCAAGTCTAAATCATTGCCAGAGGTATTTCTCAGTTGTCAAGATGATTCCTCGGTAATCCGCAAATGGTTTTACTATTTGAAGCAGGTTTATCTCAGGTCTGAAGACCAAAGTAATACGATTGTTCCAATAGGGCAGTTGACATCCAATAGCTGGGAATTACTTCCAGATACTCTTGCTCAACCTATCCGTCCAAAACTTACAGAGAGTGAATTCGGTGAAGCTTCAGAATCACGTCTAAGTGTTGTCGCTCCTTGTGGCAGATTACCACTCAAAGTTGTTCTGTGCTTCAGTATCATAAACTGTCATCCGGAGTTGCATTCTAATGAGGAGCATTTATTCACATTGAAGTCTACGTTGTTACAGTGTCTCAAATGTCTTTCTAGTCAAGATCTCATTGGCCTTGTCGTTGTGGGAAGAGATGGCGCTGGCAGGGTTGGACCTTTCGGAACCTTCATTGGCATGGTCAGAAGAGACTGGGATGGACTTCTTGATTTTGTTGAAGGTCTTACGATCCGCAACAATGATGGCTTTTTCGAGAATGATGCCTGTGAGTTGAAAGTGATGCTTGAAACATGCCACAAACTCATTTGCACAATAGAGCAAGATGAGCACATTTCACAGTTGGTGATTCTGGGAAACGATCATTCTATCAATAATATGCCGAGCAATAACGGCCTCCAAATGCGAAAGATAAAACGTAGCCTGGACACTATCGTTAGCGACTTCAACTTCTCCATTCACCAATACTTTACGTGCAACAGCCGTGTGCTATTAACCGATCTGGTTCAAGACTCGTACTTCAATGTCATTTCCAAGGGCGTAAAAGCCTTGAAAGACGTTTGTGCTAATGATCTGATAGCGAGACTGCATGAAAGCTTTATCAAGTCTTTTTCTGCCTGCTTGCGCAGCGTGGACAGCTCGGTAGTCCAGTTCTGTGCAGTTGAACACAACGGCCAATTAGTGAAGCTTACAAAGCCGACCTCTGAGCTGCGGCTCACAATCGGAAACCTTCGGCCCGGAGAAGTCAAAAATGTCGTATTAGAGGTTCAAGTCCATGTCTCCAATCTCCGACACCATTTGGGGAACTATTTTCTATCGTGCGAGGCACCTTCATCCTTGTTGCAGTATGCGGTTGAGTGGTACGATCATTCTGGGGTACTATCATCTCAAGGATACTCTTTCTGCTGTGATTTCAAATTCAGTTCAAGTGGAACAACTGTGTCGTCGACGTATTCCATGAAGGCTCCCTTTAGCCTTTGCTCTCATGACTCTCAGGGCAGCGAGCTGGAAAGTTTGAATATTTCACTGGCACCCCCAATGTCAGCCTCCCGTGACATGTTCTTTTCCACGCGCCAGATGGAGCTGCTCACTGCTGAGACTTTGAAGAGTGCTTTATCTGAACTCAACGCTACAGCTAGTACAATTTTGAATCAGTTGGTTTCCATAATTTATTGTATCAGCAGGGATTGTATTTGCAACGATCCCAGGTTTTACCGGCTGGTAAAGACGGAGCGTATTGGTCATTACGCTGAGAAATTGAGCTTAGAATTGCAACATATTGCACAATTGTCCTCAAGTTCGGATAGCAAAGCTAGAGCGTTGTCCAGGTGGAAAATGCGCGAAATGCGGGCTCGTTTAATATGTCAGGACAGATAATGATACCTAACGAATCGCTGTGTTGTATCATTGACACATGCGTGGTTACTCATCCTATATGGAAGGAAGAATGCACTTGCCACTTTTGGAATGCCGGCGAAGGTAATAGAGCAAGTAACTAGAATACAAACTCTTCATACTCTATGATGTAGGCTGCAATAAATTAATGAAAAAGAACGCCATGTTGAGAGATTGCTCATCTGAATTGTGTATAAGGAATGATGAACTCCGTAAGCTTCTCATCAGAAAGATTGTCGTAAGTTTTGCTTCATGAACAGTATAAACGCATAAATTTGTCGACACAGTGAGTGAATTTTGATTTCATGCAGGTGTTGGTTCAAGCAAGGCGATCTGATGTCCTGCCAGCTCTGACTTATTTTTGTGAGTATTTCATGCAAAACCAGAACAGAGGTGCGAATTCAAATTCAGTACGATGAATATCAATAACGATAAACTAGTTTTGTTGTCAGATGGAATATGATAGCAGTCCTAAAATGCTCTTTATTTGCTCGATTACACATGCTGCCATGGCGCAAGTTTGTCAGGGCAAATACAGAAGGCAATTCACCGCAATTCAGCGTCAATCTTGGTCTCATAAAATCTAAAGTCAGGGAGTCTTTAATGGTTGTTTTTCGTCAATTGATGTGCTGTGATATCTCCAGGTTCAAAAATAGGATATGTCCAGCATGTACGAAGGCATGGGTGCTCCACTGACACGGTGGAGTTTTTCCATCAATACAGCTACCTTGCTTTAAAGTACACACTTCACTGAACTTTTTCGAAAGTGAAAACTCAGCGTAGACGTAGTTTTGTATTTTATAGAGTAAGTGGAAGGTCGAGCAGTCTCTGTCATTTCAGTGGTTTGTGTGATGGTGAAAGCCATTGTGAGACACTGCGAGAAATTTCAAGTAAAAATTAAGCCTGCTAAGCCTGCAAAATTAGCAGGCTCCGACAACAAAGCAGCAGGAGTTGGACAAACTTGGGCACCTTTTTAACCTGTCGCCCTTGGCGGGCGCCATTCCATTGTTTTTAACACCCTACTTGATTATCACTTTATACTTACCTGTCGTCAAACTACAGTTCCAGGTTAGCGTGAGTAAACCATCCTATTGCTGCGACCTGGGTGAACGGTTTGTGGTTTCAGCTTGCAAACACTGCCCTGGACTGAATTGCCCAGCTCTTAGAAGTTTCTTTACCCCCACTTCCAAAACTAGACCCAGGCACACGCCTGTCTCGACAGCTCAATTGCAGGTCCAGGCGTAAAATGGCCAAAAAGCTACGCTCTTGGCCTCTTGATATCCGCATCTTACACATAGACTTTCGAAAGGCAACTTACTGGGGTCTAGAAATCCAAGTGTCAGGCAGAATCGCTACTGAAATGAGTTCCTTCAAGCTTTTCATCACGTAGCCTTCACTCGCCATCTAGTCGATCCTCCAGTCATTCCTCTAGTCGCCCAAGCCAATAATTTTGACGTGTATAGTGATTTTCAAATTCTCACCTTCGTCCTCCACACCACTACAACACCCGGTACAGACCACGCTCCCAGAGACTCGTGTCAAATCTCCTGTTCTTTCTCACATCACTTTATGCAAATCCTACAAGCCCGCTACGCCGTCTTTCCGTCTCCGTTTGCCTTTTCTCTAAACGGTAATTATCCCGTCGTTCCCACTGCCCAGAACGGTAACCATAATTCCCGAAAAAATGGCGTCAACGACGCTGAGAAAGGATTTGAACAACTCGCGAAGTGTCTGGACCTCAGCATGCTAAATTTCGTGGTAGCCTCGAACCACGAATATTGCCACGCTTTTGTTGTCCCTAGTAGCCAAGCTTAGCTCTAGGCCAAAAAAGTGTCTAAGAAGCCTACGATACCTGCCTACATTCCGGAATCAAAACGTAAAATTATGAGCTTCGCTGTAGAGAATTTTGTGCAGGCCACCGGCGATCCTTGCCGAGCCACGAACGCGAGATCAGCCAGGTTTTGCCAGTACGGATTTTTTTTTTCGCTTGATATTATTTTTTTATTATTAGTAGTACTGTCACAGTTCATTATTGGTATGGCTATTGTTGTTATTGTTGATATATTCTTATTCTGTCACTTCTCAACTCGGTAAAGCGTCTCTTGAGCTGTGTATGGATAGACGCACGGACCCGGATTTTTCGAGGCTCGTCCTGCAAATTGTGGTCGTAGTAGCAGTGTTCGGTCGGGGCGCGCTCTTGAGCTGAAAAAACCTCTGGCCGTGTGGGTCGATTGACAGTCGTGCATCTTGGTATATATATAAAGAGCGTCGATTGGAACAATTAAGGTTGCGACTCTAAAGATCTGTTCTTGGATCGTGGCTTTTCTACATTCTGCTTGAGTTTCGGTAGTAGTAGTTAAACAGCAACTTCACTGTAAAGAAGATCCCTTCGCTCGCTATGCTTTTCAAATCTGTCCTCGCTTCTGCTTTAATCTCAGGCTGTGTGGTCTCTGCCGAAGATTCGTCCTCGACCTGGACCACCTTGACGCCTACCAAAACGTTCGTCAGTGGTGCCACTGGATACTCGGAGGCGTTTGGTATTGCCGTCCAGCCTGTGACATCCGGATCTGTCTCTGCCTCTGCTACTGCTTCTGCTTCTGCTTCTGCTTCTTCTTCCGCTGGAAAGGCTAAGAGAGATGCCGTGTCCCAAATCGGTGACGGCCAAATCCAAGCATCTACCACCACTTCCAAGTCCAGCAGCTCCACTTCCAAGGCCACCACCTCGACCACTGGCGCCGTGTCTCAAATCACTGATGGTCAAATCCAGGCCACTTCCAAGAGCAGCTCCACGGTTTCCACCTCTTCTGCCGGCGCAGCTTCCCAAGTTTCCGACGGTCAGATCCAGCAGTCCACTGCTTCTAAGAAAACTACTACTCTGTCGTCGAACTCTGTAGCCTCAACTGCCTCTGGTTCTGCTGAAGCTGACATCAAGGTCGTGTCCTGTAAAAACGATGGTACCTTGGAGATGACGCTGGAAGGTGGTATTCTAAAGGACGCAAAGGGCAGAATCGGCTCCATTGTGGCCAACAGACAATTCCAGTTTGACGGTCCTCCTCCACAAGCCGGTGCCATCTACGCTGCTGGCTGGGCCATCACCCCAGATGGAAACTTGGCCATTGGCGACAATGACATTTTCTACCAGTGTTTGTCGGGCACTTTCTACAACTTGTACGACGAGTCTATCGGCTCCCAGTGCTCTCCTGTCCACTTGGAAATTGTCAAGCTCATCGACTGTTAAGCTCGATTCCCATCTCTGTACACAACGTCCAAACCTTCTCACGTCCTCCAAGCGAGCCCATCACTTTAGTTCAGATTCAAGTATAATCATTAGCATATATGGATACCCTATTTTAAAGATCCTCCGGATTAGCTTCATTGAAATGCATTATCTGCTACATAGGTCATAAACAGCATTAAATGTAAGATTTTGGCAACTCTCAAAATTCAGCAACACCACACCGCCTCTCTTTAATTAACTTAGTGACGCTTGGGTTTGGCAAGAGCCTTTCTCATACCAACAAGTTTAAACTTGCGCTCCAACATGAATTCTAAGACCCAAAATGGAAGGTAGCTTGTGAAATACCGGACAATACTCGCAAATGTACCGTGGAACACTTCGATGGGGTCCCTGGTGCTTTCAATGTCCCTTAAAACCTCTGCAACGTACTTGGCTGCACTCATTGGTTTGTTGTCCTTGGCAATGTTACGACGAGCTGCTAGAGCGTCTGTTGCCTCTGGAATGTTGTAAATCGAACCTTCTGGTAGAGGACGTTTATCTGCGATTTCGGTGGCCACGCCGCCGGTGACCACGTTTATAACGCGAACGCCAAAGGGTTTCATTTCAATGTGCAAGGCCCGTGAGTAGCTGTGAATCGCTCCCTTCGTGGCACTGTATACAGAGCCGAATGGGAAAGACACGATGCCAGCGATGGATCCCGTGAACAGAACGGTACCGCGCGCGTTGATGACAAAAGGCAGCAATTCGCGACACAAGTTGATGGGCCCAAAGACGTTTACTTTGAATGCAGTCTCCAGAACCTCGCTGGTCACATCCGTGGCAGGGAAAGTACAACTTTGGCCCGCATTGTTGTACAGAATATCCAGTTTTTGAGCTGGCAATTCTGTTAGCAAACGGTCTTTGAGAGCGAGAATTTGCTCCGGTTCCGAAACGTCCAGTTTTAGAGGTGTTACTAACCCAGGGAACTCTTTTTCCAACGGTTGAATAGGCTCAATACGTCTAGCAGCGGCGTAAACTTTGTAGCCCTTTTGAGCCAGTTGTTTGGTCAATTCGTAGCCAATTCCGGACGACGCACCGGTCACCAAAGCGATCATTGTTTCAGTCATATTATCTACAATGTTATTCCTAATCTGAGTGAAGGATTAATACACTGTAAGAAGGAGAAAGAAGAGAACAAGATGGTTTTTAGTCAAGTCAAAGCTGGTAGAAACGATAAAGTTCCCTTTAAATATGTCATATCTGATTACAAATTATACAAATGAGTTAAAAATGTAAGGAATACGACAGTGAATCAGCAATTGAGAGTATAGAAAAGACCAAGCGTATCAGGAGTTAGCAGTGGATGTTAGCAGTGGATGTTAGCAGAGCGTTTGGTCCTGGTTTCTACTGCGTATCGATGGTTTGTTTTGAATCATGTGCTGTTTTTTCATTTTATGTGTTATTTTAAAATTCTTCTTTCATAATTCAAGCTTGTATGGCGCAGTGGTAGCGCAGCAGATTGCAAATCTGTTGGTCCTTAGTTCGAACCTGAGTGCAAGCTTGTTTTTTAATTTTTTTGTTTCTGTCAGGCTAAAGAATAAAACAAGATCGATCTGGTTGAATTGAACGACCGACGACAGTTAACTAACAGAATAGCCAAAGGTTCTTTTCGAACGTTTTATATCATCCATCTGTTGTGGGGTTCTCCAAAATTTTAGGTGGTTTCATAATGAAATATATTAACTTGACTTAAACAATCTATGTGGAAGCATACCGACGCGTCTCATCAAGAGATGCACGTTTTTTGGTTCGGTATGCTTGAAGAACTATCAAAACGTCCCGCGTTCTAAGACCGGGACATTGCGTGAAAACGAAGCGTGAAAAATTAAGGTTTGTGATTTTTTTATCGTGGTGATAGGAACGAAATGCTGGATCGGTTGTTCGAAGGGTTCCTTTCGAGAATTGGACTGTTGACGTGTGAGTGTGTTGGAGTATGCAGAGGGAACGTCGATTGGTGAAAATGCATTGGTTAACGAAGTAAAGGAGTGTTGAAATGCAGTACGGTTTTTTTTATGGCACTCAACAGGAGGGGGAGTGTAAATGAGAAAACTCCTGTTGTGACATTAATTCTTTTGATGAGGCGTGCGACAATTAACAGTCGATTAGCTCAATGACTTCCAGGTGGACAGGAGAGCATTGGGCACCAATGGACTCGTCGTACAAGTTGTAGAAGTTGCCCGACAAACATTGGTAGAAAACGTCGTGTTCACCGATGGCCAAGTTACCCTCTGGGGTAATGGCCCAGCCAGCAGCGTAGATGGCACCAGCTTGTGGAGGAGGACCGTCGAATTGGAATTGTCTGTTGGCGACGATGGAGCCGATTCTTCCCTTAGCGTCTTTCAACATACCGTTTTCCAAGGTCATGGCTAGAGAACCGTCGGCCTTGCAGGAGACAGCAGAGACGAAAGAAGAGGCGTCAGAGGTGGAAGCTGGGGAGATGGAAGCGGAGGTGGAGGAGGCCTGGATCTGACCGTCAGAGATTTGAGAAGCAGCGCTCACAGTGGTGTTGCTCGAGGAAGAAGTGGCCTGGATCTGACCGTCACCGATCTGAGAGATGGCAGCAGCAGAAGAAGGCTTTAGAGTAGTGGTGGTAGCTTGGATTTGACCGTCGCCGATTTGAGAAATGGCGGCAGCAGAGGACTTAGCAGAGGCAGTGGAGGTGGTAGCCTGGATTTGGCCGTCACCGATCTGGGAGATAGCGGCAGCGGTAGACTTGGTAGAGGCAGTGGAGGTGGTGGCTTGGATTTGGCCGTCACCGATCTGGGAGATAGCGGCAGCGGTAGACTTCGTGGAAGCAGTGGAGGTGGTAGCTTGGATTTGGCCGTCACCGATTTGAGAAATGGCGGCAGCGGTGGATTTAGGAGACGCGGTGGAGGTAGTGGCCTGGATCTGACCGTCACCGATCTGGGAGATCGCGGCAGCGGTAGACTTGGTGGAAGCAGTGGAGGTGGTAGCTTGGATTTGGCCGTCACCGATCTGGGAGATCACATCTCTCTTGGCGTGGTCAGAGGCAGTGGCAGCGCTCAAAGTCGAGACAGATGAGGTGACTGGCTTTACAGCGATACCGAAAGTCTCACTGTAGCCAGTAAGAGCACCAGTGTAGGTAGCGGTAGGAGTCAAAGTGCTCCATGGCTCGGAAGCGGTAACGGCGGCAGAGGCAGAGGTGGCAAGCGCAGCAGCGGCCAAAACGGTGGATTTGTATTGCATGTGTGTGAAAAAAGCTGTTATGAGAAATTTAGAAACGAGATCTGCGCTTCGTGTGTGAAATTGAGTCTAGCGATGGACGAGACGAAGGAATAAGCAGACTTGTTGATCTAAGCTTGAGATGACGGAAGTTTAAAATAAAAAAGAGTAGTGAAGATAAGTGGGAGGATACTGGATATCTTTTAAGGCTCAAATGAGCTCTTTATATACCTGGCAAAATTGAAATTGCTGGGTTGACAAGCCGCCTTTTCCTGCTTCTAAAAAAAGCCCCACGCGCGTTTCCAATTTTTACCGAATTGGGCGATCTTATTGAGATCGTTAGTTTTCCTAATCGGGAAGGAAGAAGGGGGAGGTCTGTGAGTACGAGTACGAGTACATGAACCCCGAGTACTGAAGTGTACTACAAGCACTGTTGAACAATTGAGCGCGTCAGCGATGGATTGTGAATACGTGAGAGGCTCTCTAAGCTTTCTTGAACAGTTGAGAGCGTCAGCGATCTGTTGTGAATGAAATGAGTGTAGTATTGACCCTGTCGGCGATCAATTGTGAACGAAAAGTCAATTCGTAGTATTGACCCTGTCAGCGATCAATTGTGAACTAAAAGTCAATTCGTAGTTTCGACCCTGTCGACGGTCATTGTGAAATTACAAAGATCTCGTAGTAGAACTTAATAAATAAATAGCACGTATAGCGCCAGCGATCATTTGTGAATCAAGAAATGGCTCAAAACGTTCGTAACGCGCTTCAAGTACAGAGCTCGCAGCACCAAGAAAAGATTGAGAGCGACATCTCGCAGCCTAGAACTAACAAACAACTATAACGGCTACAAACATAAAGGAACAATTGAGCATCAGCAAACACTGCGACGATTAGACTTCAAATCCACTATCAATATTAAGTTAGCGAACCCACGACTTGTACTCACGAGTACGCGCTCACGAGTACGCACTTCCGAGTACATCCACGAGTACAAGTGCGAATCCCAAGCGACATCGATTTATTCGATGGCTGGTTCAGCATGTTCAGCACAGCATGTTCAGCAAATATATAACATGAGTCAGTGCGTTTGAAAGTTCAAGTTTCATGCCCTCTAACTCCTGCAAAATCCGATATTACCTCGCTTGGCTGCGATCTGGTCGGGCGGGATCGCATTGTATATCGTCAAGCACTCTGGCAAAGAAAGGATTATGTTAGACGACCTCGCACAATTGAGTAGGCGCGGCGATCGAGCGAGAGAGTCGAGAACTCGTAGAACTACTATCGGTGCTGTCATCGAGGCCATGGGCATGAGAGATGAAGTATACAGGTCTTGGTATCGGTAGACAGTCGAAAGGGCGCTTTACGCTAGAGAGAAGCCGTCGATATAAGTACAAGACGTATATAGGCTGTAGTGTTGCCAGAAAACTCTGACGAGAGTATTGGCAATGAAAGAGAATGGCTTGGGAGTGGCGGTGTCATTTCTCAACGTTCTTGTTCGTGATTAAGACTTGTAGTAAGTGTCAGTGGTGTAATTTGATGAGAAAATGACATCTACCGTTGACTCGTTTTTGTGAAACAATATCGAAAAGTTCAATTACGGGAGCCCTGCAATTACTCTTTTTTGGTGGTAGGAGCTTTAAGAACTACGTACTCTGTACGTATCCGAATTAAGTGGTCGCTCCTACTCCACAATGGCCAAGTATCTATATCCAACCACGAAAAATCACTTGTTCCAAATCCAGCACCAGTGCTCTCAATTGTTTAGTAATTGTAACCACCTTGAACATTCAGTTGCAAGCCAATGCCTGTAGCCTTCTTAATTCAGACGCTCTCAATTGTTCACCCGTACTCGTCACTGTACTCGTCTCGGTATAGTCGTACTCACACCCACTTATAAATAAAATCCAATATTTCAAAATACGCATGGCTGGTGTGCGGAAAGCGTACCAATCAATCATCCTCCCAAACCTGTCAGGTATCATCCGGATAAGCCCAGACCCTATCCAGATCTAGTTAATTATGAACCAGCACCAAGCCTGCTGATCTTGTCACATTCTTGAGACATCGGAAATTGCACTAAGCCCTCTGACCTTGGTCGTAATTGCATCAAGCCCACTACACGCGCACCAAGCACACTGATCTTGCCCTCTATTTGGATAATTACAACAAGCCTTTCCTATTAGCCACAAATTCGTATATATATGGCTATAGTATCGAGAATACCCCAACAATTCATCTTTCCTTCTTCTTATTCTTTCTTCTAAATCATCATCAAGACATCGAACTTCCTTCCTCTCCACACATGCAATACAAATCCACCGTTTTGGCCGCTGCTGCGCTTGCCACCTCTGCCTCTGCCGCTGTCACTGCCTCTGAGCCATGGAGCACTTTGACTCCTACCGCCACCTACACTGGTGCTCTTACTGGCTACAGTGAGACTTTCGGTATCGCTGTAAAGCCAGTCACCTCATCTGTCTCGACTTTGAGCGCTGCCACTGCCTCTGACCACGCCAAGAGAGATGTGATCTCCCAGATCGGTGACGGCCAAATCCAAGCTACCACCTCCACTGCTTCCACCAAGTCTACCGCTGCCGCTATCTCCCAGATCGGTGACGGTCAGATTCAGGCCACTACCTCCACCGCGTCTCCTAAATCCACCGCTGCCGCCATTTCTCAAATCGGTGACGGCCAAATCCAAGCCACCACCTCCACTGCCTCTACCAAGTCTACCGCTGCCGCTATCTCCCAGATCGGTGACGGCCAAATCCAGGCTACCACCTCCACTGCCTCTGCTAAGTCCTCTGCTGCCGCCATTTCTCAAATCGGCGACGGTCAAATCCAAGCTACCACCACTACTCTAAAGCCTTCTTCTGCTGCTGCCATCTCTCAGATCGGTGACGGTCAGATCCAGGCCACTTCTTCCTCGAGCAACACCACTGTGAGCGCTGCTTCTCAAATCTCTGACGGTCAGATCCAGGCCTCCTCCACCTCCGCTTCCATCTCCCCAGCTTCCACCTCTGACGCCTCTTCTTTCGTCTCTGCTGTCTCCTGCAAGGCCGACGGTTCTCTAGCCATGACCTTGGAAAACGGTATGTTGAAAGACGCTAAGGGAAGAATCGGCTCCATCGTCGCCAACAGACAATTCCAATTCGACGGTCCTCCTCCACAAGCTGGTGCCATCTACGCTGCTGGCTGGGCCATTACCCCAGAGGGTAACTTGGCCATCGGTGAACACGACGTTTTCTACCAATGTTTGTCGGGCAACTTCTACAACTTGTACGACGAGTCCATTGGTGCCCAATGCTCTCCTGTCCACCTGGAAGTCATTGAGCTAATCGACTGTTAATTGACTTGACTTGTCTTTGGTCACATCCCAATTCATGAAATGCATCACGATTCATCTTCACAATTCGCCGCAAAGGCTCTCAGTTTCTTCGTTCGTAACGCCCACTGGCGCTCAGGTTTCGGCTCCCAGGTAGAGGGGTCCATCTTTATATATACTTATGTACACTAGTTTTATCCAATAAAGAGATAATATGTTTTGACGTATTAGTGTCGCTGGCCGTCAAGCTATCAGAGTTGAAGCTTACAAAAAACGCTACAGATGTACATGACTCAAACACATTGGCTCATTTCCTAGAGCTATAAACATAGTAGCACACAGGAGGATAAAGAATCACTGATGCCACGCCCATTTTATATAGTACTGAGTTTCTACCAAGCGATACGTGCGCCATATTGGCTAATTGCATCATAAATCCGAACCCTACCGTGGCAAACGATATCTCTCTGTAAGAAGCGTTTGGCAGTGACAGCGGTCTTTGAATGCCCACGGGAGTCTGGGTGATGGGGTCTTGAATTTCATGTGGTGCAGGCTTGCTTTCCTGCTCTTTTGACGCTTTTGGGTCCTTTTTACGGTAGTCCTTGTAGAGAAAGTAAATACCTAGCCCGAATGCCGAATTTATGGCTATGTTTGAAAAAACGTTGCGTTTGGAGGCCTCAAAGGGCAAGCCGTATGGTTTACCACTTTTCATATGAGCTATGCTTACAGCGTTCAATGATTTGTTTCATTTGAAAAAGAACTCCGATAGCTCAACCCTAAAATAATATAATATATATATATATTTCAGGAAATTAACGCGGGGGCCCTTGGCAAAAGACTCTCAATTTACCCTCAACATGACACTTCTGAGACCATCAATTAGGAGTTTAATAGGCATTTAGGGATACACGAGAAATTCGCCTTGATGTTTGGCATTTCTCTGGCATTGACAGTTCCGACCTTTACATGTTAAAAACTAATGACGGTCTAAAGTCAGCCAAACAGACATAAACAACAAACGACAAACAAAGAAACGACGAAACGACGAAACGACGACTAGAAAGCTGTGTCAAAAAGGACCATAACGAAGTGATAAAGACCATATTCGAATGTAATGCTCAGAAACACTGTCCTCTGTCCTTGAAACTATAGCTCACATGTTGCCGCACCAGCGATGTATATCTTAGCTGACTCACAACTTTCAGGCTATTATCCGATATAGTGTAGGGGCTATCACATCACGCTCTCACCGTGGAGACCCGGGTTCGATTCCCGGTATCGGAGTATTCTAATTATTTTTTATTTTGGGACACATGGTCACATGCCAAAAGATTTACATATATACATTTATAAATATCTTTCTACCATCAAGTTTAATAGACTTCGTGGCCAAGCTGGTTAAGGCGTGCGACTGTTAATCGCAAGATCGTGAGTTCAATCCTCACCGAGGTCGAATTTTTTTGAATGTCAAATCTATCTTGAGCTATATAGATTTGATTAATTACATTCACTGAATCTTCATGCGATGAGCTCTTCTGATTGAACTCAATTACTACAGGGAAGACAACTTTTTAATCAAAAACCTTGTCCCAGGTTTTGTTTGCTAAGTGAATCGGGATTCTGACCGTTGAGGTTTTCCAGCAATGATAGGTGACGAAACCTGGGTAGACCAAACTACCTACTATTCAATCTTGGGTCTGACTACAGATGCTTCAGAAGTCGAGATCAAAAAGGCTTATCGGAAAATAGCTATAGCTGTTCATCCCGACAAAAATAAATCCAGTGGGGCGGCTGACGCGTTCAAGCTGGTGTCTCATGCTCAGTCTGTGCTGGCGGACAAACAGAAACGACAGGATTACAATCGTAAACTGATTTCTAAGGGTCTTCACACGTACGTACCAAAAGCGTGCAAGCTGTCAGCAATGGTAGCCACCGTCACGGCCACAGCCACAACCGCTGCAAATGGTGGCAACGCCGAACACAATTTACGAACACCTAGGTCTTCACCTCAGAGATCAGCACCGCGCTCGAGCTCTTCCAAAACCGCCCACACAACTGCGACTCGGTCACCCGAGCGTCCTCACACCTCATTTTCTCGAAGAAGCAAACCCTACGAGCAACAACCATACGGATTCGGCCTCGAGCCCGAACCCATACCGAAAAGCCCACATTCTGCGAATCTTCCTACTCGCCGAAAAAACAATACCTTCAAAGCCAAAAGCTATCAACATCAGCGTCCCGAAGCTGCCTCCACTGAGGGTTCAAAGCTGCGAGGATCCACTTACAGCTCTAGATTCTCAACTACCTCTCAGGACCTTAAGAACCGAGACCAGTCGGCCCAAGACTTGCCCGAGAATTCGGCTAGTGAAGGGAAACGAACAAAACTCAGTAGTGACCTGAATCGCGGTGAAAGCCCTTTCTCATCTCCATTTTTGAACCAACATGAACGTCATTATGCGAGGACTACACATTACGAAAGAGAACAACAAAGAAGGTCTACCTCACCCGTGAAAAATCAACCTAATACCAGTGCAGATGCTCTGCAAGACATCAAAAACCTTTTGAAAAAGTTCGACAACGTCCAAATGAAGAACGACCTTCAAGAAAATACTACTGAAGCAGGCGTGAAAACTCATTCCGCGACGAACGCCTCAAGAGTTACCCATGGGGATGCAACTTCTGTGGGTGAGAAGCTCGAGCACGAGTCGATCTACCCACTAGAAATGCACTCAAAAGCAAATCCTTTAAAGCGCCCAGTGCAGATTAAGACTCAAATGGGCGCACCAGACCCAAACAACGCCTCGGATATTAGGCTTGACGAACTAGAAACAGTGCTACCCAACGAGGAAGAGCTTTTTGACATGCAAGAAGTGAGTGACACGCTTGAAGGAGTGCGTGTCAAAAGACTTAAGACAGAGCGGAACAGCACATTGGAGCAGGGTCTTGCTCACGGGCGAAGACATAGTTCTGAAAGTGCACGCGGCCCCATTTTCGAAAGTCTCTCTCGACCCGTCAACGAGCCACTGCCGCGAATCTACAAAGCAGAGCCCCTGTCTTTCCAGGAGCTGGGGATAGACACAAGTATAACTGATCTTCCGTTGCCTACGGAGCCAGTCTTGCATTACAACGCCATTACAAAAAACCGAGATATAGCACGAATGACTCAAATGGTAAGAATTTTCCAGAAACAGGCCAATGAACTCAAACGCAGGCTTCTAGAAGTGCTATTAAGGCGCACAACAGCGGACGATCTGTTTCAAGATCGGCTCACGCGCGTCGAAAACACGGTCATACTTTTGCATGCCAAATCTTACGATATGAAAGTAACAGAGAAACTTCAGGAACTACAAAATCGACAGCGAGTGGTGGCCGAGAGTTTTGACAAAATCATGAATTCACTGTACCGCAATGGGTGGAAGGGAAGATAGTTGGACGCGGTTTTGTTCGAACGATCGACGCGATGAGCCGTCAAAAGAGATATCCCACAAGGTCAGATTTGGAATTTCCAAAGGCGTACGTGTATTTAAACTAACGCCCAGGCGATATTGACACAACAATCAACAACACTTCCGCGCAATTGGCCTGGAAACACCGGCCTTGCCTTTATTTGAGTAATGTGGAGTAAACAACGACTTACCTTTGTGGTGGTTGGCATCCTGTTCCACTTTTTCTACCTATGGTCGATCTTCGACATCTATTTCGTGTCACCTTTGGTTCACGGAATGAAGACAATCCAAAGTACAGATGAACCTCCCGCAAAACGGTTGTTTTTGATTGTTGGAGATGGTTTGAGAGCCGACACGACGTTCGAGAAGGTGACGCATCCCACCACGGGAGAGAACGCACATCTGGCACCTTTCATCAGATCTCTCGTGGAGAACAACGCGACGTTCGGTGTTTCGCACACCAGAATGCCCACAGAGTCTCGACCAGGCCACGTTGCGATGATTGCAGGATTCTACGAGGACGTAAGCGCCGTTACGAAAGGGTGGCAAGAAAATCCAGTGGATTTTGATAGCTTTTTCAATCAATCCCGACACACGTACTCGTTTGGATCGCCAGATATCTTGCCCATGTTTCAAAAAGGTTCGGAGCTCAATAAAGTGGATGCTTGGATGTATGGGCACGAATACGAAGATTTCACACAATCGTCCATCGAGCTCGACGCCTTTGTCTTCAGAAAACTTGATGACCTTTTTTACAATTCTACGATAGATGCCAAGTTGAACGCAGAGATCAGACAACAAGGAAACGTTTTTTTCCTTCATCTTTTGGGCTGCGACACTGCCGGCCACGCTTACCGTCCATACTCGGCAGAATACTACGACAACGCCAAGTACATTGATACACAGCTGGAGAAACTTGTGCCAAAAGTCCGCGATTTTTTCGGCGACGACGAAACCGCATTCATTTTCACTGCAGACCACGGTATGAGCGCATTTGGTTCGCACGGTGATGGCCACCCCAATAACACCAGAACACCATTAGTGGCATGGGGACCCGGTATTAAAAAGCCTGTCATTAACAGTAGCCCAGTCTACGACAACTACACACAGGGTTGGAATCTTTCTCACATCAAGCAAAATGATGTCAAACAGGCAGATATAGCATCTTTGATGTCATATTTAATCGGTGCTAACTATCCTGCCAACTCTGTTGGTGAGCTACCGTTGGCCTATATCGATGGCCCAGAGTCGAATAAATTGAAGGCACTTTACGCCAACGCGAAGAGCATTCTCGAGCAGTACTTGGTCAAAGAGCAGGAAGTCATAGATTCTCAGTTCACATACAAAAAGTACGGCAAATTTGATCACAAATCACCACTTCAGTATCAAAAAGAAATCGAGGAACTGATCGAGAAGGTTTCTCAGGGCAATGTCCAGTCGGAACAGAGTGCTATCCAGCTGACTGAGGGACTGATGACAACGACTCTGGACGCTCTTTACTACCTCACAACTTACAACAGACAATTTACGAGGACTATCGTAACGTTTGGTTTCGTGGGTTGGATCACATACTCATTCATTCTGTTTTTGAGATTATTCATTTTGACCAAAGAGTACAAGGTGAAAGCTTCATTTGCCAACTATGGAATTTTCGCGATTTTGACCGTTGTCTTGAACTACGCTCTTTACTATCAAAAATCCCCATTCAACTTCTACATGTACTTGTTGTTCCCACTATTTTTTTGGAGCCAGATTTTCAAAAGCAAGATTATCTTGAATGATGGTCTCGAGGAATTCTTCAAAGGAATTTCATTGGGGAAGAAGATTAGCGCGGGCCTTGCGGTCTTGATAATCTACGAAAGTATTGTTTACGGGTTTTTCAACAGATGGATTTTCACTGCAACCTTCATCGCACTCGGGTTTTATCCACTGGTATGCGGCGTAACGGGCTTCCGCCAAAACTTTGCGTGGTTGCTGACTAGTGCGTGCATTTCCGTTTTCACTTTGTTTGACGCGGTCAAGGTGGAGAGTCTGGATCAAATCAACGTCGCAAGTGCGCTGATTGTTTTGAGCGGGTTGTGGAGCATTTACTGCGTACGTTCGAACATCCAGCGCTACACCCTCACGCTATTTGTGCTCCAAATTGCGCTTATTGTTGCCATGGTCGCCATTACTAACAAGTCTGTCGTTTCCTTGCAAAAGAGGGAAGGTCTACCGCGAGACTCGCAGATCGCGGGTTGGCTGGTGTTCGTTATTTCGCTTGTGCTACTGCCTATATGCCACTACCTCAGACCCAACCGGGACTACAGAGTGAGAATGCTGGTGATCTACCTTACTTTCGCGCCTGCCTTCATTATTCTCACCATTTCATTTGAGTCGTTCTTTTACTTCTTCTTCACCGCTTACATCTATCAGTGGATCGAAATCGAGTCTGACATCAAGACGCAAAAAGACAAGGCCACGGGCCCTCAGAATTGGCTACAGCTGCTGCGGGTCTCTACAATCGGCTTCTTTCTCATGCAGATCGCGTTTTTCGGCACCGGTAACGTGGCTTCCATTTCTTCATTTTCGCTCGATTCCGTTTACAGGCTGATGCCGGTTTTCGATCCCTTCCCCATGGGCGCGCTGCTGATGATCAAGCTGATATTGCCCTTCATCACGTTGTCGACGGGTCTGGGGATCTTGAACTTGAAGCTGCACATCAAGGACTATAGTATTTCCTCTTTGATCATTTGCACAAGTGACATTTTGTCCCTACAGTTTTTCTACCTATTAAAGACCGAGGGGAGTTGGCTGGACATAGGTGTCACCATTTCCAATTACTGCTTGGCTATTCTTTCATCGCTCACCATGCTGCTTTTGGAACTGATTAGCCATGTCCTGCTTAGAAATGTTTCTCTGCATAAGACTACAGATAATCTGAAAAAGTCCCAGTGAACGTGGTTAGATAAGAATGCGGCAACGAAAGGCAAACCAATTTTCTCGCAGTCAGCTTTTTAGTTGTACGGGTTACCTTTGACCACGGAGTCAAAAATCGGAACGGGGAGTTACTTACTGGAACGCAGGCAGCACCTACCCAGCCCGATGAATTGCTCCAAATCGAAGATATTGCCAAATTTTACAGTAATGAGCGTCTTGACCGCTTTCAACGGGACGAAAATCCACTTGATCAAAACGGCCGTCCTCCATCAATTATTGGGTATATATATATATATATCTATACATCACTGGCCATTTCAATTAGTTGAATTCTTACATTATAATTATCTTTATATATCTTGAAGAATATCGCTTATTGCAAACAAGTTCTTGATTCTAATATTCACTTGTTGACACATACAAACTAAAAACTTGTCCAAACAATGGTGCAAGAACAGCCTCAGGTAGACGTTGCGGGACCAGATGAGGTGTCACCATTACTGGTACCCGACTTAGAGGGCTTGGAGACGGCTGTGGAGCATACAGGGGAAGCAATATTTGAGCAAACAGTCGATGAGCCCGACACCAATGAAGCGCGATGGTTCAAGGAAAATCAGTTGCACCATTCGCATCTTGGATGGCGTAAACCAGGCGTGAAGATCCTTTGTTTTGCAATCGGACTGGTCACGATTACAGAAAGCTTAGTGATTTCGCCCACGATCGTTATGTCAGTCAAAAAGATCTGCGAAGTGTCGTCGCAGGATGGAGTTTGCGACATGCCACAGGCCCAAAAGGAGTTTTCTACAATCCAATCCACACAGCTGTTGCTGTCTGGAATCATAGGCACGCTTTTGGCGGGTAAGTTGGGCGAGCTTTCGGATAGAGTGGGCAGGAAGCCCATTCTGCAATACATTGGGTTCGTGCGAATGCTGTCCATCGCGTCTGTGCTGTACACGATATTGCCCCGTACGCCGTTTTCCAGGACCGGCATGGTGCTAGCCAATAGCGTCATGTCCACCTCTGGCGGATTGTTGGTTCTCATTTCCACGGGGAACAGCTACATTGCGGACTGTACCGAACCAGCGTCGCGCACCTTGGCTATCAGTTATCTGATGAGTACGATTTACGGAACCATGGGTACCGGGCCGCTGATCGGGTCTGCAGTGGTCAAGCTGTCCAACAACAACAACTATGCGCCGTTCTTCGTCGCGCTCGCCGTGCTTGTGGGGTACACCTTGTTTGTTACCCTTGGTTTGACAGAGTCTCGCCATGCGCAGGCGCTCACAGACAGCCAGACCAAGTTTCGGGACCGCCGTCGCAGTTTCGAAAGCATTTTGTCCAACAACTCTGCCAGCACTGTTAACAACCGCAGTCGTTACCACTTTGTCATGTTTTTGGACCTGCTTTCGCCTCTTAAGAAGTTGTGGCTGCCACCATCCGTCCACGGCTCTTACGTGGCTCGACGCAGCGTGCTAACGCTGGTAGCAATGGATGCATCTTTTATGGTGTCGACTGCGGCCATGGTTGGTCCTCTGGTGCTATACAGCTCTTACAAGTACAACTGGGGCTCCGTAACGCTAGGGTACTTTATCTCGCTTGTGGGAATTGGCAGGACGATTGTTCTTCTGGTTCTGTCTCCTTTGCTGCTTGTATGGCTTAAGAAACGGCACACCCGGCTCGACAACTCGATTGATTCAATTGATCTGATTTCTATGCGCATAGCAATGGTCGCCGTGGTGCTGTCGATAGGTGTGGCCGCATGGGGCGACCAACGTGGGTACTCGATGATTCTTTTCGCTTTTTTTCAGGACCTCAGTGCAATTTTCTCGCCCACGGTGCAGGCGACCGTGGTGAAGTACTGTTCGAAGTCTTCGCTGGGCGAAGTTTTCGGCGCCATTGCGCTGGTTCGGAGTGCCACCATGCTGATCTTCCCACCGATTTTCTTCCAAATCTACGGCCACACTGTCAAGAAACAGCCCAAGATATTCATGATTTTGCCATTTTGTTCTGCGATTTTCTCCGTAGCTCTGTCCTATATGCTAGACGTTGTCACCGACTGCGAGATTTTGCGTAGGCCATCACAAATCTCGCTCAGACCGGCTTCTGCGGGCTCCGATGCCGTGTCTGTGAAGCCCGGTGACAGACGGGCGTCTACGTCGCAAACGTTGCGCGTGCCTACATCTAGAAACGGAGAGTCCGCTCCAAGTACAAGAATGTCGGGCTCAGTAGGCAATTAAAGTCCTTGGCCACTTTCGAGGTCAACAGTGAGGTGCAACCTTTCCTGGCTCTCTGGCCTTTGACACTTTTGTAGTGCTGTGAGACGTGAACCCATCGGAGCTCGAGTACGAGTACGAGTACGAGTACACTGCTGATATCGCCATATACGGAAACATCATTTTGCTTTCGGAAAAAAAAATGACAATTTCAACAAACACATATTATTCAATATTAAAGGGAACCGCTCAATTACATCAACGACAATCGAATAGCTCCGCTTTCAAAACCAGCTACAGCTTGACACTATTTTAGTTCGATCAGGCCACTTGAGAACTTCTTACTAGTCCAGGAGTGAAAGGGATTTTGCCCTTTTTTCGCAGACGTTTTAGAGCTTTTTACAGCGCTTTTTTCTGAGAAGAAAGCGACATTTTCGAGCATTTTATTGAGTCTTGAATTTCAAACGCGGCAGCTCTTTATAAGTTGCCGGAACCAGCAGCAGAGGGTGTACGAGGTTGCGAAGATTGGTAAGAGCTTGTAATCTTTAAGTGGAACGTCAGCAGGCTCTTAGTTATCGGTTTTTTGGACTGGTACTCGTGAAGATTCCCATACACTTGTATCGATCTGTGCAACATAATCGACTCTGGTTGTTTAGGACTTGGTAAAGTGACGGCATGACAAACACATTACAGGAGCTGCCCATGGGTGTTTTGAGTCCAGACGGGACTCAGAGCTCACAGGAAGAAGCAAGCCATCAACGCCAACAACAACAACAACAACAACAGGAAGAACAACAGCAAGAGGAACAGCTGCCGCATGATAGCTCATTGAGCCAAACTGCGCTCAAGACGCAGATACCGGGATTTGAACCGCGACAGACCTCTGGCAAATACACCCTGAATGATTTCCACATCCTTCGGACACTGGGAACCGGCTCGTTTGGCCGTGTGCATCTGGTCCGGTCCAACCACAACGGCCGTTTTTACGCCATGAAGGTGCTGAAAAAGAAAACTATTGTCAAGTTGAAACAAGTTGAGCACACCAACGACGAGCGGCGCATGCTCTCGGTGGTGGCGCACCCGTTCATCATCCGGATGTGGGGTACGCTCCAGGACCCAGAGCAGGTGTTCATGATCATGGACTACATCGAAGGTGGCGAGCTTTTTTCGCTTCTGCGCAAGTCCCAACGGTTCCCCAATCCAGTGGCCAAGTTCTACGCTGCAGAAGTATGTCTGGCGCTGGAGTACATGCATTCCCTAGATATAATATACCGGGACTTGAAGCCCGAGAACGTGCTGCTCGACAAAAACGGGCATGTGAAGATCACGGATTTCGGCTTCGCCAAGTACGTGCCCGATGTCACCTTCACACTGTGCGGCACTCCAGACTATATTGCACCTGAAGTGGTGAGCACAAAACCTTACAACAAATCCGTCGACTGGTGGAGTTTTGGCATACTAATTTTCGAAATGCTGGCTGGTTACACGCCTTTCTACGATTCTAACACCATGAAAACTTATGAAAACATTCTTAACGCCGAGCTGCAGTTCCCGCCCTTTTTCCAAGCGGACGTACAAGACTTGTTAAGCAAATTGATTACCCGCGACCTGAGTAAACGCCTGGGAAACCTGCAAAATGGCAGCGAGGACGTCAAAAACCATCCGTGGTTTAGCGAGGTGGTATGGGAGAAACTGCTGTGCAGGAACATTGAAACCCCGTACGAGCCTCCTGTTCAGTCGGGTCAAGGTGACACTTCTCAATACGATAGATACCCCGAGGAAGAGATAACTTACGGGAGAGAAGGGGAGGATCCCCACAGGGATTTGTTTGCAGAATTTTGATGTTTTTTTTTTGATGTTTTCCTCTCGTAGATCGGAGAGGATACTAAGGAAAGATGGGGCTCCGATGCATGTGCATTTTAGCCATTTTACAGGGTTGGTTGTGAGTTTATTGTGTGCAAATTTCAAAAAGGCCAGTGACCAATTTGCGATCTATTGCGAATTTTTCTTTCAGGTTTTAGTCTCGTGTCAAGACTTTTTGGATCAGGATCAACCAATACCCGCTAGATCTTACAAGATGCACACTGTTGACCATCGATTCTCCGAAGATGATCATCCATAGCTGAAATTGCGGACGAAACTTCAATAATGTTCTGACTTTTTGACAAGTGCAGCCAATCTAATAAATAATGCTGATGCTCCATTCCACGCCATACTTTGAGGTGTCTCACAAGCGCACAGATGACGGACAGTCCGGAATCAAGAAATTTTGGAAAAAAGTTTAGGCAGCGTGAAAACTAATAAAATTTGCCGGAGATCTTTCTCGACAAAGTGAAGTTATATATACTCGAATAATGTCAAGTGCTCTGTGATCACTGATCTAATAAGTCACTCCTTCTGAAGTCAACTGTGGTACCCATACCAATTCTCTGCTGGCTCAGACGCCTAAGCTGGTACTCAACTCATTGTCGAAACCACCTCGTATAGTATGATGAATATCAATAATATATTGAAAAATGATTTTACCAGTCAAGACGATGCGGATGTTCATGCCAACCAAAAGTCGGCGAAGCATCATAACGAGAGTCTTTTCCACCTCAAGAGTTTGCTAGTTGAATATGTCCCGGGTAGTTAAGCAGCTTAAGTTTTTCAACCGAATCAGTGCGACGACTTTGGAGCCCCAGGTTGTGTTGAATGCCGAAAAGTATTCTGGCCTCAATTTGACTTTCCAATATCAAAACCACAATGGCCACATGGGTGCTAGGAAGTTTTGGCGTGAGTTTCTACCTACCTTGCAATTTTACAACCCAGAAGTGAAATTCCAGGTCACCAGAGTGAGAAACGAGGACAAAAAAAATGCCAGCGTTCCATGCGTCTTGGAGGTCATCGACAAAGAGGGGAAGCCCGTGAGCTCGCTCGATATGCGCAACAAACAGGGCTTGGAGATCATGCAAGAGCTGCTTTCACAGCTCGAACACGAAAGGGTGGCAGAAGAGGACATCGTGAAGCTCTAGAAACAGATCTGTGTGATAAAGTTTCCTCTGCATATGCTCTGAACAGCCCGTGAGATCCACCAGCACTTTCCACACTCTTGTAAATATTATTCAGTCCTTCCTATAGGTGCTGAGGGGTCGCTAAAAGCACAGCCCCACGACCAGGCATTGTCATTTCCAAGGTTCGATTTCACATCTGATCCGAACCGTTGCCAGTTTTTTCTCGGCCAAAGTGGTGACACACACTATCGAGGGCCCCAGCAACTTAGCCTCGCACCCTGGGAGAAGCTAAATACCTGCCCTTGATTGATATATATATCGCATCCAATCGCCTGCTAGTTGTCGTGTTCAATGATGCCAATAATAATATTCGTCGCGCCAGTTTTGGTCAAGACGACTCCCCACATCCATCACAAACTACAACCACATCTGTCTTGGTAGTCCTTCAAACGTCAACGTCCAGAAAGTATCCGTCAAGCTGCGAGGATTCGAAAGACACAAATATGGGCAGGTTTATCAAGCACTGGCAGCTGTTTAGGCTGTTTTTAAAAACGAACAAACTTCAGTTGATCAAAACGTATATCTTAGTCCCGGTTGGCGGTACATTAACTCTATGTATACTATATGGCGTCGATAGATTTATTAGGAATGTGATCAAGGTCACCTTTCCGGCAAGTGTTGCGGTGATGCTGATAAACTTTGGGTTTATGTGCTCCCTGAGCGCCTGGCGCAGACCATACGCTGATATTTACGTCAAGGTTATTGACATTCCACTGAGCTGGAGTCTCAGATGGATGAACCTCTTTTTCACGCCGGCTTTCGTGGTGCTACCGTTGAGCCCGTGGATTTCATGGCAGGAAGCTTTGCTGATCGTCGCGGTTTTCGTCATCGGATATGTCGTGTCGTTCGTCATTCTGGCATATATCACCATTGTCGGCCAGAAGCTGTTTGGAAGTAGGAAATTCATCAGCATATTTGTGAGACAGGAGGAGATTGATAATGGAATGGAAGCGGGTTCAAGTTTTACCCCGGCCGCAAGAATGCACCGAAAATCATCGAGCACCGCGAGCATGATTAGTCCTACTGAGCCTGGCATTCCTAATAAAAGTGAGGTAAGCTATGAGTCTGATGCAGGTTTATCAGATATCGCAAGTAACAGCGGGTATGTGGCTAAAAAGCCCGTCAGAGGCGGAAACCCGCTCAATTCGCCTGAAAGCGACATACTCATGTCGCCAATTGATTCAACAGGCGCAATTGATTTAGCACATCGTCGACAGGACGACAGCGAAACGACAGGTCCAACTAAAAGAGGTCACATACAAACTCCCGAGCCCACTTATTTCAATAGGAGCAGCACTAACACAATTATTGCAATGCGCGAGAATGACCCCGCAGTTTGTAAACGTGCTGTGACAAAGCAGGAGTCGGAAAACCTGTCCCTGGAATTTGATAAAGTGTACGCCGTTAACATGTGGCAGTGTCACTTGCATCACATACTCTATGGTCTTGGGTTTATTGCCAGCGTATTCAGCTACTATTTCAGCTGGTATGCGATGCCCTTCCAGTTTTTCACTGCAGTGACAACCTTTATGTTTGTGGTTGACAATCCGTTCGTTAAGAACCCAAAATACAAAAAGTTACTTCATCCTGTAATATGCTCCGTGGCACTGACATGGATCGTGTTACTTGTGTCGGTCATGATCAAGCACCGAGCCATCAACTATTATCTAAGCGATTTGAGAAGCTACAAAACTGGTCGGACGTACTTGAAGCTCTTCAACAATGCCGCATTCGCGCACCATGTATGGCCGGGCGCGGGTGACGTTTTCAGCACCTGCATGGATATTTCGATTGTTGGGCTGTCACTGCCCATGTACACCCACCGCTACGACTTGCGACGCCATTTTCTGAGCATGATTCCGCCGATTCTGTTACTTTGCGCGGGATCGCTGACGCTGTACCCGTTGATCTGCTACCACATAGGCATTGCCAGCGACATGTCAATTGGATTTATTGGACGCAGCATCACTTTGGCGCTGGGAACACCGACCATTCAAAATCTGAACGGCTCTGTAACGCTCATGGCCGTTACAACCGTTGTCAGTGGTATAATGGGCGTTTTGACCGGCGGGCTATTGTTAGACTTGTTGCGAGTCCCTGAAGACGACTACGTGACGCGTGGGCTTACCCTCGGGTGCAATTGCGGTGCAATTGCCACCGCGTATCTTTTGGGAGTTGACAGACGTGCTGCGGCCATCAGTACGCTCTCATTCTCGCTATTTGGGGCCTTCATGGTCGTCTTGAGTGCTGTGAGCAAGATCAAGGATTTTGTGCAAACACTGGTGGGCAACTAGCAACCTTAAAGAGAAAAAAGCGAGTACTTTCGATCCTAATCTACACGATGATTGTAGCTGTTTTACGCTAAGACTTCACCAACCAACCCGCGCCAGCTTTTCCATCTACACTTTGACACCGGAGTCACACGCGTAACAAATGATGTTGGCTGGTCCAATTTTCGCAATTAACTAGGGATTTCTGAAATTTCACTTCAAGTCAACTCTCGCATACCACTTGATCCATCATTGCTGGATCAAGAACGCCCATCTTAGCCGCTTTCAGCCGCCTATTGGACGGAACCATCGGTTCGTGCACACTGTGTTATGTCTGGACGGCCCGAATTGGACAAAGATGTTAGCGACAGTGAGCTAAAACGGTCGAGATCATTTTCCAAATCTATAAAAGGCCTTTTCAAGTCGACGTCGCCACCAAGAAAGGCGCCAGGTACTGCAGAAAGTGGAGGAGTAGGTATCAAGGCGAGTGATAAGCTGAAAAAACTGGCCAAAAGTAAGGAGCTGGAGCTGGAAAGCAAGAGAAGAGACCCCAGCGCAATACCGCCTCCAAGACTCGGAGACGCACCTTTAGCACCACCCGCGGCAGCTTATAGACCTCAGAATGGACATGGTTCAAAGAGTGCGAGGTCGCACTCGTATATGACTGATTTCGGTAAACTGTCGCTTACAAAACAGGCAGGCAACAGCAATGCTTCGCAGGAATCGTTGGTTAGCAATGACGATCCTAAACTGAAAGCGAAACACACGTCTGGAGGAAAAGCCGATTTCTCATTTTCGGATGGCGAAGAGTCTGACTATTTCCAGCCAAAAGCCGTTAGAAGCGGAGTTCATGACCCCACGTATGAAGAATCCAGTATCGACAACAAGCTGGCGAAAACGCCGGACAATCTGAGACGTGTCAAAAGTCTTCAAAGAAGAAGCTCCAACGCAAATGCCACCTCTAGATCCCGTTCGCTGTCATCGACGTCCCGTTATAGGGGCCGGTCCCCTACTCAAGGTAGCAGCAATACGTTGCGTGAACAATCCGAAGACGAGAACGATGCGCAGTGTGTTTTGAAAAGCAAAACTTTTATGGTGTTTGAAGACGGACATCATAAGCATACCCTGTCAGTCACGCAAATAGTCTCGGAAAATCACGACGAGGACGGCGCCAAAGGTAAATCCATGTTCTCTTTATCGGGGTTTTTCAAAGGTCACAAGGACGACGAAAGGCTCGAAAGTGCGCTGTCTTTACTGCCCAGAGCAAGATTGGAGTTTCACAAAAGACTTAGCAGGATAATGGACGATGAATTAAAAGACGAAAATGATGAAGGGTCGGAGAATAGCAGTAGAAAGGGCAGCATGCCTCAACCTGTAAACCCCAATGCGGCTATCGGATCCGAGGAACTGGGGATGATAAGCAAAATCTCGAAGAAGATACATGACGGGGTAGTAATGGAAGGTAGCGTAGATGACCAAATGGCCAAGAAAAACTACACTCTGTTTCAAAAATACGGTAAGCCTGTTGGAGTAATAGGCCACGGGGCCTATGGTGTGGTTAAAGTGTGTTGTATAGACACGGCGAACATCACTGATGAGCGGTCTCTCGATGAAACGTACGTCAAGGGAACAAAGATGTACTATGCGGTCAAGAAGCTTAAGCCAAGAACTGATGAAGCGAAGGAAAAATTTGGTACAAGGCTCACATCTGAATTTATTATCGGCCATGCTCTGAGCCAAAGAGGTTCAGAAGACCACAAGTCTCATCCAAACATTTTGAAGATGCTGGATTTAATGCAAACGCCCGACGGATTCGTGGAAGTCTTGGAGTTCTGTCCATCTGGTGACCTGTACAGTTTGCTGGCTCGTACTGCCAAGACGGGCGGATTGCATGTGTTAGAAGCCGACTGCTATATGAAGCAGCTGCTTCACGGTGTTCAGTATATGCATGATCACGGCATAGCACACTGTGATCTCAAACCAGAGAATATATTATTCGACCCACAAGGGACCCTAAAGATCTGCGATTTCGGTACTAGTTGCGTTTTTCAAACCGCGTGGGAAAAGCAGGTTCATTTTCAAAGCGGTGCAGTGGGCTCGGAGCCATATGTTGCACCCGAAGAGTTCATTGCCCAAAGGGAATACGATCCAAGGTACGTGGACTGCTGGAGTTGTGGTATTATCTATTGCACGATGGTTTTGGGACACTACCTTTGGAAAATCGCCTTGGTAGACAAAGACCCCGTTTATGCGTCTTTTATTGAAGAAATGCGCACGAAGCGAGAATTTAGTGTGTTTGAAGAAATGAAACATGTGTCGCCTGAAGTAGGCCGCTGCCGGAAACTGTGTCTATACGCCATCTTCCAGTGGAACCCCGAAAAACGAACTAGTGTAGAAAAATTGCTGCACAGCAATTGGATGAAAAGGACATGGTGCTGCGTACCTTACAAGAGTTCCAAGATAGCCCACTGAGCGTCTTACCTTTCATCATCAGTCGCGATCGCGAACACCTCTTTACACTTTCAGACTCGTCTCCAATTCACCAGACCCCATGTAGCCGTCATCACTGGATTCACCATTATATATATACATATATATCTATTTACAGAATGAGTGTAGTACGTAGCTCATAGCCTTGTAACGATCAATTTGAGTTATTCTTCGCCTAAATAACCCTGCTTGCAAGGGAGCAGATTTTGTTGAAGCCTTTGTCCCTCAGTTCTCTGCTAACGCAACCATCATTAGCCATTATTCTCGAGCCCAGTGGCTCACCACTATTCTTATTGATCAAAACACAAGCATTATCCCCAAAACTGACCATTGAACCATCGGCACGCACCATATTTTTTTGTTTGGTACGCACAACGACTGCATGTACGATGTCACCTTTTTTTACACGGTTGTTGCTCGAAGTACCCGTGATGTTTTGAGTCAAAGGTCTAGCCTTCTGAACCACACAAACTATCTTGTCACCAATTTTCGCAGGCGATTTGGGAGAGCCTTTTCTTAATACCTTGATGCATTCTGCCATTTGGGCTCCAGAGTTGTCGATAACTCTCAAGATGGACTTCAGATAAATCATGGCCGTCTTTCAATTGATAAATTTAGGCTGAGAGAAATGGAAGAAGCTATCGCCTGAATACTTCTTGATTTCGCAGTAAATGTCTTCACATCTGGTAAAGAGCTGAGATTGACAATTTTCAAAATTTTGGCCCTTCGTACAATAGAACATCAACACTTTTAATAGACTCTCTATATAAGCATTAAAACACCAAAAATCTCCATTAACTGAGCTTCGACTGCCCATTAGTCTTCATTTCAAGTCTGTCGTTATTCGTAAATTTATCTGCGCGTGGCTTTTCTGCGATACTTTTCTCTTGGCTGGTTCTTTCAAGGTTAGGTTTTGGACTGTTCAGCCGACAACGACTTTAGATAGTCTGTTAAAGAGACTTCAATAGAGTCCAAGTCCCATCTGTCAGAGACTTTTTTCACTAGACATCCTTTGACTGCGTCGCACAGAGATTGTGAGGACCCATTTTCGTTGTTGGCGCTGCAAACTTTCTCCAAAGGTCTACTGTCGTATTTAGCAGCAGCAATCATCGCGCGCAACCCCGGCTCGTAATCGTGTTTGAACAACAGTTTGCCCATTAGCATTGTGTAAAGCGTGACTCCCAAGGCCCAAACATCTGCCGAGGGAGAAAGTGGCGGTGGGGCGGGCTCCAGAAGTTCTGGGGCAGCGTAAGGTAGAGATCCGATGTAGTTGGGAGCATTTGAGTCTTTTCCTTCGACCCCACAGCTTGAAGTAGAGTCCGTTGTCACGGGCGTTGAAACGCCCTCCATAGTTGAGGCTCTTGCTAAATCGTTATGAGATGCAAAAGTTCTGGTCAAGTTCGTACTACTCAAAGCCGGCCCGTATTGCTTAGGAAACGAGCTGACTCCCATCGCAACATTTCCATAATCAATTGTCCTATGTTTTCTTCTCATTGCTTCCTTGAGAACAGTGTTGGAAAGCGATCTTGCAACTGGTTTGGGCTTCCCTGCCATCAACACCGACTCTACGTGATCGATCTTATCAGGTAATCTGTTGTCGGATTGATCTCTATGTTCACTTCTGTCCCGACCGAATTCTGAACTCATTCCAAAGTCGCACAAAATTACTGTCCACTTATCCTTGCTTTGTCGGGAAGTCAACAGACAGTTCTCAAGTTTGACATCACCGTGAACAACCTGCTGAGAGTGCATGTATTTTAGCGCCTCAACAATCTGTAATCCCAACTCTGCTGTAAATCTAGATCTCAGAGCGAGATCTATCGAGGAACTTTTCGAGCTGCCCCATGAGGCCACCAGATCATATAAAGTCCCACCGTCAATTTTGTCCGTAAGGCAATACAGAGCATAACTGTCATCTATCTGCCATTTTATAAGGGGCAGGACGTTTTTATGTTTTAGTTTGGACCACATTCTGACTTCTTTCAGAACTTGTTTCTTTACGAGCGCATTATTTCTAAACCTGACGATCTTCACAGCCTTCACCGAGGCCGCCGTATCTTCATCATTTTCCGTCGATTCAGCAGTTTTGTAGCATTCTCTAATCATGCCCCAAGCTCCAAATCCTATTATTTTGCCCAGTGTATACCCCATTATAACAGAGCCTTTGTCGTTAGGTTTGCAGGAAGAGGAAGAGGGGGTGAAGGAGCTCAGATATTGCGAGGCCAACGAGCCACGTCTCGACCTGTTGGCTGGAAGTTGAGCACTACTCCTTGCAGACGTGAGTTGAGCTCTTTTGATGCTAGTCATCACGGACTTATAGTCCACGTTGGGGAACTGTTCTAACAGAATCTTTTTCCTCTGACTGTAAGGCAGAGAAACAAAATCTTCTGGTAGACCACTTACGATACCCTTGAGCTCCTCTGCTGAAAACCGGCCGTCGTTAGATGACGCGTAGCCAGCCAAGGGTGAAGGTAAAGTGTCCAAATCCATGCCTGATCTTTGTCTCTTGTACATTCTGTTGGGTTGTGCAGAATTATTAGGTGAAGCTTTGTTTCTGGCAAAAGCCATGGGGAGTGCGCGCGGAGTTCTCTCACCGAAGATGGAGCTTGAGTCTTGAGGACGCACACAAGTAGGGGAGGCCATAGGAATGGAGGGCTGAGGTAGAGGAATGGGCGCGACTTTGGCGTGGGTCGACTTCAAGACGATGGAAGACGACGACACAGACGACGAGCGACTGAGGTCTGCCTCGTAGTCTGCCCAGTTGTTATAGCAAGGCGATTCTGCTTGTTCCTGGCGCTGGCTCGCCGTGGCTCTGGCCTCGAGAAGATTTTCGTCGCTCTGCCACTGGGACACTGCGTTTGAAAAGTCCAGATCTGGGATGTACTCATCCTGCATGTCTCCGTAGCTTTGTTGCGACATTTGCATGTTTTGTCGGTAAAGTTCGCGCTCCTCTTCGAGCGACGACGAGTGTCGTCGCTTGGACTTCAGATGTATATCAATCGGACTAGTTTTGACTGGCGACCCATTTTGTCCGTCATGATGCACCGGTCTGTATCTTCCATCGTCATACAACCGGGCCCCGGTGGAATCGTTGAAATTCGAGCGTTCGTTTTCGGAGTACACGCGGATCAGCGTATTTCTCGACCTAGCTTTCTGCTCCTGCTGTTGATACATGTTTTTTTTGGTTCCAAATAAAGCCCCTCGTCGGCAGTCGTCTTCGCATAATTCTGATGTGTGCTTTTATTGTCTGCGACAGCATCGCAGCCCGAGTCTTTGCAAGTTTCACCTTCGTTTTGACCTGTCAATTCGATGCCCAAATTTGGTGTTCGAGGACGCGTTCGAGAGCTTGGAGTGAGGTCTAGCAGTTGGGCCATCGCTACATTATCTTTAACCAGCAAGTATAGCGGAAAAAACGCAGAACTGTCGCTGTTTATTCACGATGGCTTGTGGTGATGAAGATGAGGGAGGACCTTTAAGGATACATGATGTGATTATTAGAATTAGCTTGTATATTCGAGTTTCAAGATCGCGCTAAACGGAGCCCGGTGAAAAGCGGCCAAAAGTCGCCCTGTTCGGACTATAAAAGGAGCCCGATGGTCTGCTCTTGATTGCTGGCCTTTTGACGACCTTTTTAAGTGTTTTGGGAGCGTTGAGAGCTTTCAAAAATTCCGGCATCCCACACTCTTGTTGTTCTCAGATTGAATGTATTTTGTACGTAGACTAATCGTGAATGGCCATTCGACGCACCTCCGTGCACGTCTGGCTCATAACCTATAAATATCGGATTGTCGGGGAGAGAGTAGAGGAGGGGAGAATATATGCACATTGCGAGCTCCATCGTGATTTTTGCCAGCTCTAAGCTCACCCTGCACTCAAACGTTCACTCTTTCCAGCTCTTCCCTGCCGGCCTTTGTGTACAGAAACTCGTTGTAGTCTCTGCAGTTAACCCACCACATCCAGTACATGCCGGCTGGGATCGCCACGTACAAGAACTGCGACTTGACCCTACGGAAAGTGTTGAACACGGCATTGTAGTAGATCCCGTTCAAGGGCTTTTGCGCATATGGAGACACCGCGTACGAGGTAACACCTTTTTGCTTGGGCGAGCCCATGCTGCCCCACCATCCCATATAAGTCTTAGCTGTTGGTCCACCCATGGCGAAATGTGTTGTTGATTGGAAAGAAGTAGAGAAAGCTGCGGAAGTGGCTAACGAAAGCAGTAAACTTGACGGCTTTGTTTGACGTTCTTGAGTGTCAAACCGTGTAGTTGGTAACAGTTCAAGTTTCTGGTGTATAATATATCGGTATAGATGGCTAATTTTTTAGAGCTCGTACGAAGAGACATATATGGGTAGGACAGCAGGGCAGATCCTGGCTTCTGATTGGTCGAGAGTCGCGAAGTTCAGCGAAGTTTGACTTAATGAGCCCAAATCGAGCCCATAGCGTAACGTAGCGTAGCTTAGCGTAACGCTGTGCTTGTCCTGTCGCTTTGGAGCCTAGTTTGTATCATAACTTGTTTCCTTCATTTCTTTCTCTTGTAGACCTTCTCCAAAAACGCTGTCAGAACCTGGCCCTTGAACCCACGGGACTCGTCAGTGTCCTTGATCAGCGCCTTGAGATCGGTGGCGACCTTCTCCTCGTACTCGTGGTACAATTCGTCGATCTTCAACTCGGAGAACACGTGCTTGCAGCGGGCTTCGCTCTCGGCGTTCTTCCTGCCGTAGTTGTCGTCTAGCACCTTGCGCTGGTCTGCAGAACACAGCTTGAGCGCGGTGTTGACGACCCACGAGCACTTGTTGTCCTGGATGTCGGTGCCGATCTTGCCGATGTCCTCAGGCTTGCCAAAACAGTCCAAGTAGTCGTCCTGGATCTGGAAGTACTCGCCCAGTGGGATCAGCACGTCCTGAGCTTGCTGCAGGTCACGTTTGTCTTTCACGCCCGCTGCGTACATGGCCAGTGCCACTGGCAAGTAGAACGAATAGTACGCGGTCTTGAAACGCACGATGAACGAGTGACGCTCCAGCGAGAACTTGTTAAGGTCGATGCGGTCCTCAGGAGCGGTGATCAAGTCCAGCAATTGGCCCAGCTCGGTCTGGAAAGTCACATCGTGGAACAGTTCCAGCAAATCCACGTAGTACGACTCCGTGCGGAAATGGTTTTTCAGCAGACAGTAGATCGCACCTTCCAACATGAACGCATCGTTGATGGCCACCTCGCCAACCTCAGGCACACGGTACCAGCATGGTTGACCACGTCTCGTGATAGACTTGTCCATCATATCGTCAGCCACCAAAAAGTACGCCTGCAATAGCTCAATACACCATCCAAGGATAGCCAACTTGAAGTATTCGTCGTCAGAAAGCTCCGCATATGAGCCCTTGCCCGTCAAGATCGCATACGTGTCCACCACAGACAGACCACGGTTCAATTTGCCGCCTGGAGTGTTGTAGTTCAACGAGTTTTCGTACCATTGCAAAGCATCTTCGGTCATACCGTAACCGGACAAAATCGACTTCAATTCATCCACAAGCGCGGGGAAAACTCCCAAAAATCTGTTTCTCTTATCTTCCTTAGACATTATGCTCGCTTTCAGTGCTCAATGGGTGCTAAATAAGGCGTTTCTTTGAGACTAATGTTTGACCGTTAAACAGTTGTTGAACGTTGCTCGATTTATCTATTATTATAGGATTTTTAAACGAGATATCCAAATAGTGTCAGATTGGGAATAAGTGACAGAAATGGGCTCTTACTCCTACCACATGGAGTCAAACAGCGTTCTTGGACACAGTGTTCGCCTTGGTAAGCGCTCTTAGCACTTTCGTTCCGTTTTCTGACGTCTCGTCTTTTTGTTTTGACGAATTTTTCAAAAAAGTGACTAGTGTTGACGACGAACCTGTTTAAGCCGAAGGATTCGTGCGTGTATTATTCGATACGCTAGGTGTTACTATACAATGCAAAGAATGCGGGTTTTGTTTAAAAACCAGGGAGTTTCGAGTCCCAATTTGGTTGTTTGGTGCGTATTTTAGAACCGTTTGGTACGCCTGCTCTTACCGGGGCGCGAGGGCTTGCCGTTGCCCTTCATCTTGCGAGTAGAGAACCCAGACACGTCGTTGGACGAGTTGGCGTCGTTCTTACGCTTGAATCTCTTCATCCCACCGCTGCCGTATTTGGCATCCTTCGCCAATCTTTTCCCGTTGGGTTTGTGTCTCTTTTCGGACTTCTCAGGGCCTGCAGCCTCCTCGATTCCCACGTCGAATGCTCCTTCGTCGATTTCGTTGTGTTTACGCTTTTGCTTGAGCGACTTAATTCTATCCAGAGTCTCTTTCTTCTCCTTTTGACGCTTCTGCAGCGTGGCCACCTGGACCTGCTTACCGAACTTCTTGAGCTGTCTCTGCTTGCGTGCGTCCTCGCGGGCCTTGCGGTCGCTGGCCTCGCTTACGAGCTTAGTCTTCAATTTGTCCATGTGCTCGTCGCTCTTGACCATTTCTGCGAAATAATCCAGAGGTCTTTTGAAGGGCACTTTCAGGGCCTGCAGCTTCTGCTTGGCCTGTAGCACCGCGTTTAGAGACTGTTTGTAAAAGGCCAATTCACGTTCTGTGTCGTCGTAGATATCTTTCATGCCCTCGTCTGTATTGGTTTCTGATGTCACGGCCTGGTGTTCTTGGAACGAGTGTTTGTTCCAAGGCAGTTGGATCAGCTCCAAAGCTTGTTTCATGGCCTTAGCGTTGTTGACAGTAACTTTCTGGTGAGGAACCACATCAGCATCCGAGTCAAGTTCCACATCTGACAAAGGCACATCTTCTTCTTCTTCTTCTTCTTCTTCTTCGTCCTCTTCTTCCTTGTCTTCCTGTTCAACGTCCTCTTCTTCCTCTTCTTCTTCTTCCTCGTCCTCATCTTCTGGCTCACTCATCTCGAGCTTCTCTAGTTCCAACCTGGAATTGCTAGATTTCGTTTCCCCCTCCTCCTCCACATCTTCTTCAAGTTTGGACTTTTTCTCTAACTTCTTCAATTTTCTGCGTTCTTTTCTCGACAAAGCTCCACTCTGGTACTCCTCACCCATGCCAGTCTCTGTACTCTCTTCCACAGGCGTTTTCACTTCCACAGCTTGTTCATGGCTGACAACTACAGGCGTCTCTTCTGACTTCTGCAATTCCTGCTTCTTATGGGCGATTTTGGCCGCCTCTTTTTTGTTTTCTTTGGCGGCCTCTTTCTCACGCGACAAAAGCTGTTTCAACTTAAAACCCTTAACCATTCTGTCGTCTTCCACTGGTGAGTTTAGCTTTAGTTTGTAGAAGTGCTCATCTCATCTCATCGCATCGATTCTGAAAATTTTTTATAGTGGGCCAAAATGCCTGGGAAGGCGATGAGATACAGCGTTTTGGACGAAAGATCGACAGAATGACAGTGAAATAATGGAAAGGAACATCGAGGAGTTTGAGTTTTGAGATTAGCAGCATCGTCATTGTCGTTGTCAATTAAAGTGCGTTGATTGTGGGAAATTCCAGGAATTTTGGGCTCGAAAATTGTAGATATTTTTGAGGTCTGTGTGAAGAATAGTGGTTTGGCAATAACAAAAAATTGAAGACTTTGGGATAACTTACTTCTCACATGGATGTGCGTCGCAAATCGCGTTCATACAAGCTGGTTTTCTTTCAACTTCGCAAATAGGACAGGATCAATGTATCGCGACAAAGAAGGTCCGTCTTGAGTGACATGTCCATCTGAAGAAAGGCCCTTCCTGCGACGGATCTTCATGACGAAATCGCGACTCATACTCTCCCAAGGCGCGGGTTTCAGCTTTGGAATTATCGCGTTCTCGTTCATCACGTCGCCCGGCACCTTTCGCCACACTTTCTTGCAAAAATGCAGCTGGCACATCGCCTGACCGTTCGTCGCGAGTCGCAGGTCAGTTTCGAAGCCCACAGAGTCGATCACTGGGACCTGGCCCCATACCTCCATTAGTGGGGTCGCAGGAATCTTGACACGATTGTAAATCCGTCCGCCACGTCTCTTGGCAAAAATCTCTTCCACAATCTCCACTAAAAGGTCCCGGACCACTATACTGACCTCGTAGATCGGTTCCAGGAGTGCAGGCTCCGCAGTGAGCAGTCCCACGTAGCAGGCTTTGCGTGCAAGTGCGATGAGCTGGCCTTGTTTCACTCCGTCCTCCGCAACGATGCTCAAAAGTCTAAATTGCACACCGTGAATCGCCTCTTCTGCTAGCGGGCCCTCTCTGGCTGCCCATTCAAATCCTTGGCAAATGTACTCTTTTACTCCGGCCAAAAGATCTGGGTCAACTTCGTCTGGTAAAGTGTCGTTCACGAACACATTTCCCTTTTGTAAGCTCCATACGTTTCGCGCTGCCAACGAGTCCCATTCGTACTTATCACGCAAGAGTTTGGAAAGTTTACGCATGTTGCTTGTTTCCCTTCCCGTAAGAACACCATTCAACAAATCGTTAGCCAGATTTTGTTCGAGAGGCTGAGCAGCAACACTCAAGGTAAGTGTCTGGCCACTAGCTCCACTAACGGGGATCGACGCAAACGACTCGCCCACACAGCTTTCAGCAAATTTGACAACCGGGTTCGACACCTGTATTTCAACTTTAGCATATTTGTTCCGAAGATCACAAAGCAAACAGTCTAAGTACAGCTCGCCGGTCCCCAATACTACCGTTTCGCCGGTTTCCTCCACACAGGTTGCCATTCCACAATAGAATTTATTGACTTTGTTCAAACCCTCGAGCATGAGCGGAAGCTCACGCGGATTTAATGCTTTGAGAATGATTTTGAACGTGGGCTCGTTAATGTAATCGATGTCTGGAAAGGACACGCCATCACAGCTGGCGAGTGTGCCTGATTTCGTTAACATTTCATCCACTCCCTTTATCAACACCACTTGCCCTTCACAAGCTCTCTGAACAGGTACGACGTATCGTCCGCCCATAAGTCCTATCGCTCGTATCTTCGCTCTTGGGGCGTCTTCATCATTCGCTGTTCCGGCATCAATCACCTTCAGTGAATCATTTACTTTTATACTGCCCTGATATATCCTTGTCAGTGCCCAAGTTTCACCGCAGTAGTCCATGAGCTTTAGAACGTGAGCCAGAATAGCCTCTTTAGGACAAGCCAGGCGTGGGGTATCCAGCTTCATGCCGTTGATGACATGTGCACTTGGGCTGAAAAGGTGGATGCTGTCAATGAGGCCTCGTTGCTTGCGGAAAATCAGGCTGAGTACTTCCCGAAGCAAGGGTTGAGGATCGAGTTGTTGAGCCTTTAAGCTCAATTCGACATTGAAGTGACTTTTCAGGAACGCCGCTACTTCTTTTGGATCGTTAGACAAAGTCTGGGTGAACATCTTGTATAAGGGTATAAGGACGAATTCTGCAAATGTCGTCAAGCCCTTGGGATTGGGTTTGTCGGAAAATTGACCCGAATGGAAATAGACGTTGCCCCATAATCTATCGATGAAACCTTGCACTTTGCCTGCACCAATTCGGCTCTGGTAGTGATAAAGGACGAACTCTTTAATGCTAAATGTGAATCCCAACTTTGCGGAGGCAAGAAGCACATTGCCTAGTTCTGGAGAATGTAGCCCTCCGGCATATTTCTGAATCTGACGCACAACATGTACGATTTTCAAGTATGCATCCTTGGGCGGCAGTTGAAGCTCTATAATTAACCTGTCAATTTTGTTTAATACGAAGATCAGGTCCTTTGCGAGTCTTTGAGCTTGGTCGATGATTTCTTGAGCCACTGCTGTGATTCCTTCGACCACGTCGATGACAACAAGACAAGCTTCCGATGCCGACATTGCGACGGCGACTTCGTCCATGAAGTTGACGTGTCCGGGGGTATCCAGTACAGTCAGTGCCACAGATTTATCTTGGAGGTCGCTTCCCAGAAAAGTGAGTCCGTTCAGCTTGCAGCTGAGACCGCGGCTGATTTCTAGCTTCGTGTTGTCCATATATCTGAGCGGTTTCCAGCCTTGCCGGATCGCTTTTGAGATGTTCGGTATCTTTTCGTGCGACTCCCACACCAAAAGGTCTACCAGAGATGTCTTACCAGAATGCAGAGGTCCCAGAACGCAGATATTTTTTGTTCTCTCGGGAAGCTCCAGGAGCGCTTGTAAATATTCACGATTGAATGCAGCTTTAGGAGTAGATTTTGATTCTTTGCTGTACACAGACGTTTGATCATCACGTCGCTGAGCGGGCTCAACCAGCGGTGTGGCCATGGATTGTTGATCTTCTGTTTCCACTAAAACCTCCACATCTTCGGGAAATGCTGTGGCCAAAGTTTCTCTATTTATAAGCGCTGTTGAGTTTTTCCCTGTGGCTGTTGGATCGTCAGAAACATAAGTCTCTGCATCTTTGGTTTCGAAGTCCAATGCCTCTTCCTCCGAAGCTGAACTGTCCGATTCTGCTCCTATCAAGTTCCCAAATCTGTACGAAAAGTTAGTATCAAAAAACACCGTCTCTTAAAGAATAAGTATAGCATTCATACTCATCATAAAGATCCTCGTCCATGGCTTTCGGTTTGATGTTTCTTTAGCTCATCTTGAACCTTCATGAATGGTAGCGTATTGGTATAATATATGAGTAGAGCGTCACTACTATAAAATATCGTGATCGACGACTCAAGATATTTAGCGATTTATGACAAGTCGAGAGTTTCAAGACGACGGGGACCCGTTGATTTGTTGTGCTGTGGAATGGATTCTTGCTCAATTGGTCATATCAAAGGTCTTTCGTTTTTTCCTGTTTAATTCGAAAGTTTTAGCGTGAACATTTGGCCAGCTGTGCGGAGATTTATGGTGTCGCCTACAGTAGAAGAGAGTTACTCAACTGAGCTTCCAGATATTATTTACCGGTTTCTCATAATAATAAAACAAATCTTTTGAGAACACATGAGATATGAGGGCTACTTCTGATCACATTGTTATAATTCAAGTAAGTTATGTCAACCAAATTGGTTTACTTAAATTACCATATATCAACCCACCGGAAAAACTCAAATAACACTTTTAAAAGAAGGTTCCTCCCTGACTCTCATTTCAACATTACTTGGTAGTTGCTAATCTCTCGCAAATATCCATATTTATATTCATAGCTCTATAAAATGCAAGTGTCGAGCTACCACCCGACCCGGTCGCAATGACAAAATATTCTGAGACTATATAATTCATTATATCCTATGGCAGAAAAGTGACGGCATAACACCGCGTGAGCTTCACACGAATTAGTTGACTAATTGCTCTCCAACTGCCAATTATTTTGCGCGGTTTTACTGAAGTTTCAGTCTCTCTTTTTGAAATTGTTGTTAATGATCCCAAAAAGAGAGAAGACACGGATTTTGAATCGGACAAAACTTCGAGATAACTTAATAGCTGTTCGTGATGGGATTTAACAGTTGAAGTAACTTGTGAGAAGCTTATTGTCTCACATTCGCGAGTCTGACAGAATACGGCTACGTACTATTAGGATCCCTTTCGACGGCTCATCTCGCAAACACCCAAGTTTACTGGCGGAAAGTAGCTCAGAGACACAGCATCCTTTTGAGAACATTGCAAGTCCGCTCCCAGGACATTTGGATACTAATGCAGGCCTCCATAAGAGCGGGACAGATACTAAGGGACCGCTTGGGATTTCAAGCCGGGAGTAATATCGTGAATTGGGAGAGGATCCTTCAAGACGACGACGATAATGGGATCGAGGAAGTTCAAAGGTTCGAATACGAGCAGCAGCTGGATCGTGCGTTTCTGTCAAAGAGTTCTATAATCGGTCTCGGTTTTGCACTGATGAGTCCCGTCCTGGGCATGAGCACGACTATAAGCATAGGTCTGAACAATGGCGGACCTTTTACTATAGTAATGGGATTTATAATATGCGGGTTTGCCACTTGGCTGTGCTCTCTATCACTTGGTGAGATCGTATCGCGATTCCCGATGGAACTTCACGGCAGTAGCGCTATGCTGGCTCCCAAAAACTACAAATTATGCTGCTCTTGGTTTACAGGGTGGCTTATGCTTCTTGGGAATTGGACTATGAGCACCAGTATCACCTTCGCAGGCGCACAGCTTGCTATTTCACTCATTAACATGTCCCATTCAGGGTTAATAAGGGAAGATTTGATCATGTTCTTTACGGTTGTGGCATTCTACCTCATCGTCAGTGTGGTGGGACTCATAAATATCAAGTTTGCGGGTATCATTGAAACGGTGAACAAGGTTTGCGTATACTGGATCATCTACGCCGTGATATTCATTGACATTTTACTTCTGCTGTTTCACTCTGGCTCCTACAGATCTCTTAAATACGCCCTCACTCATTTCGACAATTCACGCTCAGGGTACGCTAGTTCGGCCTTGTCGTTCATGATAGGGTTTCAGCAGTCAAATTTCACACTTCAAGGATTCAGTATGCTTCCAGCATTGGCCGATGAAGTGAAACAACCGGAGCGGGATATTCCCAAGGGTATGTCGACTTCTGTCCTTATATCCACTTTCGTGGGCATCGTTTTCCTCTTTCCTATCATGCTTATCCTGCCAGATCTTCAAACGATATTCAACGATCCCACAGTGATGCCAATTGTTTTAATATTCACCAATTCGACTCACTCAATGTTTGTCTCAATCTTTCTGGTCATCATGATTTTGGGCAACTTATTCTTCTCAGGCATTGGTTCGATGACAACATCATCTCGTGCAGTGTACAGTATGAGCCGTGACATGGCATTACCATTTAGTGCCACTTGGTCTCATGTAGACGCCAGTTCAAAGCATAAAGTTCCTACGAACTCAATTCTTTTGAGCATGGGAGTATCCTACCTTCTGGGCATTTTAGCACTGGTCTCGACTACAGCATTCAATGCTTTCATGGGCGCTGCCGTTTTGTGTCTGTGCTCTGCTACATGCATTCCCTTGATTTTGGTAATCGTTTCGCGCCGAAAGGCCTTACGCGGCTCACCAATCAAAGTTAGGTACGGCCTAGGTTGGCTTGTGAATCTTTCGAGTATATGCTGGCTACTTTACACAATGGTAGTGATCTGTCTGCCGCCTAAAGTGCCGGTTACGTTCGCAACAATGAACTACGCCTTCGTGGTATATTTGTTGTTTGTGGGCGGGATAACAGCGTTATACTTCCGGTGGGGTAAAGACCATTTCAGACTTCCATTGGTCGAAGGTGACTCAAAAACGGACATTTCTGAAGATACCATCGCTCTGCAGGAGCTGCAAGCTTCTAAGTAGTAAATATCTTGTTTATATGTATACAGTGGTAATTCAGCAGGTATTGTGAAGACGGGGGACAGCTACAAGAGCATGTTTCGGTAACAAACATAGTATCAAACCTATAAGAGGGTGTATCTTGCATTTATGCGAAGAGACCTGTTGAAAGAACAAAAAATGCCCCCAGACAACACCATCTCAAGCAAACTGTGGCCAACGTGTGAGGCTCGTCCCGTTCATCTGAGTCACTTTCATCATGATGGTGATGAGAGTCACTGAAACTTATCGCAGTTTGAAACATCTGAAGGGCAATCACGAACAAAAACCCTGAGGTGATGCTGAGAAGAACCTTGATATTAATTTCTTGAGCACCTGTGCGTTTGAAGATCAAGTAACCGATCATAGCACCAAAAGGCTGAGACCCTCCTCCTAGAGCGGCAGCAGTAAGGACAGCATAAGCCTTATTTGTGAACGCGGCATAGAGCGGTAAAGTCATAGCAAACCCTTCAATAAAGTTGTGGATCGCCATGCTGAGAAAAATCGAGAGACCAAATGATCTGGAGTCGGAGTCGTTCTTGTTCGTAAAGAAGACAATGAATCCCTCGGGAAACTTATGCAGAGAGATTACCAAACATGTTTGGATACCAATGGACACCAACTTGGAGAATGGCGTCTCTAGATGATGGTGATGGTGATCCTCGCTCAGCAAGCTTTCATCTGGCGATGATGAGAAGTCATCAATTTCATGGCGGTGTGTGTGTTCGTGAGAGCTCTTACCCTTGAGGAAGTTAGCACGATAAACCGAGAGATTCTCGAGGTCATACCCGATATCGTTTTCCGGACATAGGACGGCCTTTTTTGAGCCGTCTGCGTGACAAGTCACCAGGTTCTGATCAAAGCTAGAGTGGCCAGCCTTATCAGCCTTGGGAGGGCAATACGTAGATCCGTAACAATTTCCTGCGTGAGAAGTGTTTCTGGACAAAAAATCTATTATCGAGCGCTTTGATCGTAGAGGGCCAGAAGTGGATGACTTCAAAGACGGCCTTTCGGGTTGCAGGGGCTCGAGTTCTGAGTCGCTATGGTCGTGGACATGATTATTGTTATGGGCATGACTATGAGCATGATCGTGACCGTGATCATGATCGTGGCCGAAACTTTGCACTTGCATAGTACCAACTTCATCAGTATGACTATGTTCGTGAGAATTTGCGCCATGGTTATTTGTTTCGGCGTCGGCACCGTGACTGCAGTGCACTAGACTTTCGCTGGTATAGGCGTGCACCACAAAATTTAGCAAGAAGCTCACCGTCACACCCGCCACGAAGCCCAAAAACACGCTGAGTCGCTCCTCCTTTTCAGTTTTAGGCAGCAATTTGTTCAGACTGGTGGTCATCATGGACCCTGCGCTCAGCGACAGTCCGTAATTCAGCAGTCTTGAGTTAACAGTGGAGTTTTTGCAAAAGAAGAGAGTGATCAGTGGTACACACACACTCCCCAAAATGCATAAAAACGATGAGATAGCAGTGAATGTGGCCCATCTCGGTATGTCTTCGAGCAACATGATCACTAATTTCTAGAGCTCAGTTTTTCGGTACAAAGAAGGCGGAAAAGATGCCTCTTGAGAGCTTCGAGTGACTCGACAGGACTCTTGAAATGAACAGACTTCTAAGAGTGCTCGTGGTAGATCTAGTTGGTACCAAACGTTCTGCGTGTGTGTCGACGAGAGATGATGAGCTGATAGATATGGGTGCGAATTAACTGCCTCACAAATCTGTTCGTTGGTGGTGATTAACAATTTCAAAAAATCAAATATGTCAATATTCGTGCAAAAGAACATATGGAATGACAAAGTACTCGTCAAAGTACTCGCAAAAACACTTGCAGAAACACTTGCCAATAAGCTCACGAGGTGTGTAGACTAATACTGTTGGTGTGGTGAGCGTTTGAGCTGTTTAAGGTGCCGGCCTTACTTTCCGTCAAAATGATCATAGCGGATGAGTTACGCTGTAGCTCGCACGATTTGAATATGCATATATAATTGTGTTTATATATATAACAGAAAAGCAGCATTTTTATGGAGCCCTCTTCGCTGAACCACAAACTATCAAGCACGTTTTGGTGGTCCCATTCATCTCTGAATGACTTAGTTTGAAGGCCTGGCGTGTTTGGTAAATGATGATCGTGAGCAGTGTTCGTATACAGTTACTACATTTGCTCTATCGACGCCAACCCATTGTCGCGAACTCCGGGACACACAAGAAGCGCTCAGTTTGGCTGTTGGTTCTGGCATTTGAGAGATTATCATGACGAAGCTTAATGAATTCTGGTTGCTCATGTTTTCTATATTTTCTCACGAGACGGTGAGTTGGTTAAAAGAATCCCTTTTTGGGTGGTCACTGGCAATGCATGCGAAGGCCAAGGGATAGGGTGTATGTCTGATTCCTATTGTGAAGAAATCCACAATTTGTAGTTTCCGTGCACTCTTCTTTGGAAATCCACAACTAGATTTTTTTTTGGTGGTCTATGCATCGGTCATTTTATTCTGCTGGGCACTGACACCGCTAAATAGTCGACCTGATAAATTGATCAAGAGATGATAACTGAGGACATGAGGATAGCGAAAACTCATTTAGAGCTTTAAGAGCATGTTTGAGATTTCATATCATTAAATGTCAAAACTCAGGCACATCATAGTAAGTGTGACAGCGAGGATGACAGCGAGGACGACAGCGAGGTGACAGATTAGTACATAGTGATGTGACGGGGAGAGGAAATCCAAAGGTTAAAATAAAAGAGCTCAATCCCCATAAGGACCGCTTTTCTATCAACAGCATCTTGCACTCATCCACATTCTGTTTAAAGCTTTCTGTCTCCAATCAAAAATGTCTTTGATGCGATCTACCGAAAATAATGGTGATTCCGAAACGTGTTTTCGTCAGATTTCAACGATTTGAAAACCCAAAAACGGCCTTGGTTTGTGGTATCGATAGCCATTGCGTTGATAAGAAACGGATACAGCTCAACATGGCATTGCCGTCAAACCTCTATATATATAATAATTCTATAATACTATAGTACGTATACAGTGACCCTCAAATACGTAAATGAATATCAGCTCTACCTAGAAGGTTCACCTACGTCCTCCAAAAGCTTCCAAGAGTCGTAGCAGTTCTCTATCGCGCACAGATGCTTGGTCGTCTGCTTGCAAAGAACATGATCCACGATGGGGGTATACATGCTGAAGAGCCGCCTTCGCAGTTTACCCCACATCTGAGCGATGAGATTAAACAAAAATTATACGGCACGAAGCATCTGGACTGCACCGTGTCGTCCGTGCATCGCTTCAGAGTGGTGGTAGCGCAAGAACTGGGTCAGCTAATGAGCAGACACAATTACCAAGTGGTTTTGGATTACGTCACAGCGCGTGGTTCGGCCATGGATCACATTTCCGTCACCGAGGTAAAGGAATACATGTTTGGGTCGCCTGTGCGAGCCAAGATCCGCCATAAAACCGAAAAATTTCGCGTTGTGGCCAACGCGGGCGTTCTTTTAGTTACCAGGGTCTTCTATGCTCCAAATCGCGACACTCGACTAGCCATATGTCTATCCTTACCGGAGCCATTTTTGACCGCGCTGAGTGAAATCTGGAGTCACATTAGCCGGTGGCTTGATGAGTGTCATGCTCTACTGCTTGCCATACTCTCAAATGAAAACTTAACGTTTCTGCCGCGCGACTTGCGCGCTCACGATCCTCAGACAACACAATCAATCATTCAGTCCATCCACACTCTTGTGTTGCCGCTAATGTCTTCGCACACAGAGATCCCCAGGCTTCTATTATACCCACCGGTCAATCACGACTTTCTTTCAAGCTGGTTCAAAGACGTTTTCCATTGGCTTGACATAAAAGATGGACATAGGCTACGATTTCTGCCGGTACTCTTCACCAAAATCGTGCAAGATTTTGCTGCGGAGCTGACCAATAACGAATGTTCTCGCATTGTCATCATATCGGGGAACATGGCTGTTGCTAACAAATTGATCTTTTTGATATCAGCACTACTTAGGCCTCGATTCAACGGCCGAATACATACCCTCGAGGATAGCGCAGACACCCAACAGCGCGCGCACAGAGAGTCCCCGAAACAAACTTTACCATCCAAGGGCGAGTTTGGCTCCCAGGATTCTGAGTCTAAATCTTATGGCACGATCACAGGTAAAGGTTGGGAAATACCCAAGAAAAATGCCTCTCTCAGCTCAACCAGTCTGTCTTCGGACGGAACACCAGCCCAGGTCATTCAGCCTGCATCTATCAAGAGTAGTAGCAGCTCTCTGCAATATCTGTCGTCATCTCTCTCTTCTGCATATGGCAGCTACGGCTCATGGTTTGGCAAACGAATGGGCACGACTGCAGCGCCCACTTCTGGTCAAAATTTGAATCATTATGGGAGCTCTATGCATAGTCCGTCTTCGAAACCCAGCGAGTACATCGACCACTCTCCTTTTCAACATCACAATGGCAGCAATTCATCGCTTCACCAAATGTCTTTTACCACAAATCGAGTCACACCACTGCCGTCGCCTCTTGCGATGGAACAAGAAGAGTATCCGTGGACGTCAAGCACGCCAAGCTCCCCTCGTGCCGAAAACGGTCGACAAGGGTGGGGGCAGTGCTCTGGACTCCCGCTGCATAACGTGGATGTCAGAAGAAATTGCAATAGGATTACTGACACCACAAGCGTTGATGAAGCTTTCGAGTCAATCTGCTTATTTGAGCCCAAGGACTGTAAATTAAGCATAACTAAGGGCACTGAACGGCATGCTCCGGTCTTGGAGGTACACTCGGATTTCGAGTTCCAAGGCTATCCTTGCTTTGTGGAGGAGCTGCTACCGAAATACACATCTTATCTGCCAAATTTCGTGCCGTGGTTTCAATTGCAGGCGATTCCCATAGCACTGGATGCGGAACGCAAAGTCCTGAACGCCATGAAGGCGGATCTGCACACTCAGGTGCAGTCCCGTACCTTGCTAATTTCACTGCGGTCGCGCGAAATCAAAGACGTTAATGTGGAGCGAGATCATTCCTCTTCCAGAAACGTTTTAAGAACCAAGAAAGTCTTTTCGTCGGGCAAGTGCGGCAGTCTGTCGCCGAAGTTTCAGCAGCTAGTGCTGGCGTGTGAGTCGAACATTAGACGAGCTATGGTTATTTGTGAAGACAATGGCAACCCGGACGAAAAATTTCAAGCCCTTCAACAGATATTCGAAGGACTCTGCCATTGATTCTTAACGGTTATTAAATGTACCAACTGTAGCAGGCTGGGCTGGAAACATCTAAAGGTGCGAATTCTGATTATGACATTTTTAGTCAAAGAATTTGGTCGGCAAGTCTCGCCAGAGATAAGAGATCGGTCGATGAAGCAAAATACGCAACTGTCATCAATCGACGTTCAACTTCACTATCCCGACAACGACGCACTCTCAAACACTCTCTGAATATTTTACCAACTCTGAAGAACTGGTTTCTGTCCGCACGTGAACTACGAGAGCTCTTGGAATTTTCACATTTCACAGCTAATTGATATTTAAAAGTTCATCATCCATCACCAACTACAGCCTTCAGTTCATTGCCATTCCTCTCATTGAGAGCCTCAGAGAGTATTACTAGGAGCTGGTAAGCAAATGACTTCATCACCAGGAGAATTTGATGATGCGGGTGTTCGTCAACGAAGGACTTTTGAGTTAGAAGAGAACAAGACTCAAGAGGCTTTAACGACGTTTACAGATTTGAAAAGCTGTCTTTATGCATTCAAAGACTTGGGAAACTCCAAATCTCACGACTATATCGAGTGTGACTGCTACGAGGATCGTCACGATGGAGTAAATAGAGCTTGTGGCGAAGACTCTGATTGTATCAACAGGCTGACCTTGATTGAATGTGTAAATGACTTGTGTGGATCTTGCGGCCACGATTGTCAAAACCAACGGTTTCAGAGACGACAGTATGCAGAGATCTCTATATTTCGAACGGAGAAAAAGGGCTACGGAGTGAGAGCGGACCGCGAAATAGCGGCCAACGAGTTTATCTACGAGTACACCGGAGAAGTGATCACTGAAGATCAGTTTCGAGACCGAATGGCAGACTACGATCGCCAAAAATTGAAGCATTTTTACTTCATGATGCTGCAAGCTGGAGAGTTCATAGACGCCACAATGAAGGGCTCTCTCGCCAGGTTTTGCAACCACTCCTGCAACCCCAACGCATATGTTAATAAATGGGATGTTGCAGGAAAGCTACGAATGGGCATTTTTGCGCATCGTGACATTGCCAAAGGTGAGGAAATCACCTTCGACTACAATGTGGATCGTTATGGAGCTACGGCCCAGCCGTGTTACTGCGATGAGCCAAACTGTATCGGGTTTTTGGGTGGAAAAACCCAGACAGATGCGGCATCCTTGCTCCCTCAAAATTACGCAGATGCGTTGGGAGTGGTGCCGGCAGTTGAGAAAAAATGGATCAAGTTGATGAAAGCTAATGGAGAGAAAATAGTCAAAAGCGAGGTCAATAATGTCAACGTTGAGTTTGTTCGGTCTCTAGAATTAAGCCCTTGCGAGAGGCTCGATGAAGTATCCAAGGTTATGAGTGTTTTGCTGCAGGCAGATGACATTCTGATCATCAAGAGACTCACGGAACGCATATTACTAACGTCAGATCAGAATCTTCATTATCAAATTATCAAATTACATGGGTACAGATGCTTCAGCAAGCTTTTAGCGACCTTCTGTGACGAGCCCAATTTCCAATTAGAGATTTTGCAGTACCTTGATTGTCTTCCTAAGACCACCAAAAATGGTATTCTATTGTCGCAAATCGATAAGAAAGTTGAGGAGCTGCGGTCTCAACCGGAGCTTCAACAGGTTTGTGACACTCTATTGGAAAAGTGGAGCACATACGAGACCTACAAGCGCATCAGCAAGAAAGATGTATCAGAGAACATCTCAAAAACGAAAACGGACCTCCGAAGAATTAGACTACCTCCAGGCTGGGAGCTAATTCATGAAAATGGGAAGCCTGTATACTACAACGCCCAACAACAGACCAAGCTGCATCAACCGCCCAACGGAGTGAGCAAAACGTTCAGCGGTGGGCGCGCACCGAGCCGAAATGCCACCCCAGAGGTGCCAGCCAACGGCTTCAATGGCAAGAAAAAACGTGTTTTCGATACTGAGGAATACGAAAAGAAGAAGAAGCAAAGGATGGAATATCAACAAAAAGAGATAGAAAGGCTCAAAAGTGAGGAAACGAGGCAGTTGAAATTGAAATTGGAGCTGGAAGATCGAAAGAAAACTGAACTCGAGAGAATAATTGCCGAAGCCAATGAACAAAAAGAGCAAGAGAAACTCGAGAAAAGGAAAAGAGAAGAAGAAGAGCAGCAGAAAAAGCAGAGAAGGATGCAACAGTCCAAAGGAGAGTACATGATGCACAAATGGAATAAATTTTTTGCTTCTATAGTGCCCAACATGGTGCGTCACTACGAGAAGGATCTAGGGAAAGAACATATTAAAGAGTGCTCTCGCGACATTGCTAAGATTTTGTCCAGTAAGGAAGTTAAAAAGGATTCCAAGCGGGGTCCTCCTGAGGAAATGAGTAAAGAAAAGCGGGTCAAGGTGCGAGAATTTACCAAGGCTTACATGGAGAAGTTTTCCGAGCGTTACTCGCGGCGGAAAGTGCCACAAACATGACGCATCTATGCTACCTAATTTTATCTGCGTCAGCATTATCTGTAAGTAAAGTAAATTCGATTTTCCGTGTCCATCAGTTTCAAGTTTGATAACGAGAACCCTGAGAGGGTTAACACATTGTGAACAACGGAAAGGGTAAAAAAGCCAAATCTATTCTGTTACTGGCTGTGGGAAGCTTCCAGAATGGCCATCACAATCGCTTACTTCGCCTAAACGCCAAGACAAGTTTTCGTATTGTTTCTTTCCAAAAGGGTAATTTTCTTCCACGCTGACGCTGACGCTGACACTTTAAAATCCAAGACAACGCTTGATGGTATAACTCTTGGCCTGAATATCACGAAACAATGGCAATTGGCTTATAAGTGTGGAGGAAACGGAACGATAATGAAGTGGCACTTCTCGAGAGTATGTCGTACTCTTCTAATTTTTTTCGCTAAAAGCTGCGAAGTCCACTGCTGAGACAAAAAGCCCCCATGTCAGCGCCAGACTCTTTTGCAGTGGTTGAATATGCTCTTCCTCCATTTGATGAATGCCCCAAAACTTATATCTGTCAATGTGAAAGCTGTCAAGTGTGCCAGAAAACGCGAGGCTATGTCCCTTACCTTTTTTTCGCAGGATTTATATTCCCTATGTGCTGGATTTTGGAGCTTACAATTTTCGCATACACTTGCTTCGTAGTGGAACACGATATCCAGCTACCGCCAATCATGGACGATGAGCTTCCCACGTTATTTGAAGTCAACATGCCGCGCAAATGCATCTACAAAACCAAAAATTCGCAAGATAGGAAAAGCGATGGTGCAGAAAAATTAAAGATGGAAAACCAGGAAGATCTTTGGGCAAATTCCGAGTCCAGTCCCAGGCCCGACACGGCCCGCTTGAACCAAATATTGGCCGATGCCAAGCTCGAATACTTGGATAACGTCAAAAGTGATGTGGTTTCTTGGCATATTAAAATGTACAAGTTCCACCGAAGCTGGGCACTTAGAACTGCGATATCTTTACTGTGTTACATTGTATTGATATGCTTCACTGTTCTTACCCTTCGGTCTAGCAGAAGTGTTTCAATGTAGAAATCAACCCAAAATCTTCCTCTTCGATTAGTGACAGTTTTGATAAAAGTGACAAGTTTGGGGGCTTGGCAATTTACCAGCATACAGAAAAAGCTTGGAAAAAGCTATAAAAGCGAAACCTAATTTTCTTCGAACGACTCAGCGGTTTTCCAAAGATTTTGAAAGACCATCTGTGAAGACTAGTTCGTTCAAGCCTGACTTTGATTAAAAGCACAAGTTTCTGGAGTATTGTCCAAATTTTTCTATCGTTTTTGAGGAAGTTTTCAGGAAGTTCCAATTATAAGTTTGAGAAATGCAATTGCAGGATTTGGTACTAGCGGCAGCTGGTTTATTCCAGTTGTCAGCAGCCGCAAATAACGTACAGGCGTTTCAAAAAGTCGAATTTAGCAATGTGGGCTTCACGGGCTCGTACACGCCTGTGTCGTCTATCAAAAATCCCAACTCCGACGAGTGCTCGTGTTCTGTAGGGTCCAAAGAGTGGTTTTCTGGGACAAACGCACCCATTTCTGAGGCTGTGTCGGTGCATTTTCGTGGACCTTTGATTCTCAATCAGTTTGCTTTTTACAACTCTTCGTCGTTCACAGTCGGCGACAACGACACATCCTCGAGCTGGAATCGAGTGGCATATTTCAATGCTAGCAGCCAAACTGGTGAAAATGTTACGTTTTTAACCAAGGCCGGTACGGAATCACCAGTGCTTGGAAAAGCGCTCACTTTTGCCGCTTCAGACGGTGTGTCGTCATCCGAGAGCGCTGCTATGCTAGCAGAGGACACTTTGATTAAATCCGACGACGAGTACGTCATTTTCTCGAACGTGAGCTGTCCAAAATCGAGCACAAAGAAATCATGCGGTGTATACCGTAGCGGCATCCCTGCGTTCCACGGGTTCGAGGGTGTCACCAAGATGTTCTTATTTGACTTCGAAATGCCTACGGAAACTCAGACAAACTCCTCGTCCTTCAACTACTACGATTTGCCTGCAATCTGGTTGTTGAACGACCAGATCCCCAGAACTTCGCAGTACCCTACAAATGCCAATTGTTCCTGTTGGGCCAGTGGATGCGGTGAATTTGACATCTTCGAGGTCATGAATGGTACCGAGAAAAATCATCTGTACTCAACGTTCCACACCTTCCAAGGCATCGAGGATCTAGGCACCGGTATCCAAGCTAACGGCTACATTGCCAGAGATACTTCGAACAGTATGAAGGGTGGTGTGGTGTTCGACTCTGACGGAAATACCGTTGTTTTCATGTCGAACAGCACTTCCTTCGACCAGACTATCAGCCCTGACACTTTGAACGGAATTCTTGCTGCCTACGCGCAGGACGAGACCGTGAGCACCAAGCTTGCCACCATTTCGGCCACTGCTCCTTCTACCACTTCCAAGTCGAACGCCCATGCCTTATTCGAAATGGGCCCAGGAAAGCTGTGGTTCTACGCATTCACTTTTTTGACCAGTGTTGCTCACACCGTATTGTTTTGAGACACTGAAAAGACTACACTAGAGATATAAATTCAAAAAACCGTAACCAAAGGATGATAAAAGCCAGTCTCGACTTCAGTCAATGTCGTTGTTGTTGTTGAATTACGACGGGGTTCTAAATCTGCTAGAGTCGCTAGAGTCCTATGCTGTACTTGTACTCGTACTCGAGGCCCTCCCTAAAGATCACTATCTTCTAAACTGACCTCATCGTTAAATTTCAACTCATTGAAGAACTAAACAGGAAGGTACAGACAACTCGGTTCTCCAGAATCAAGCAGAGCGACCTCAGAACTGTTTCAAGGGTCTGCTTGTGCCGCTAAACAGCTTTTAAACTGAACCACAAAGCTTTGAATCAGGATGCTTTTCAAAATCACATAAATACCGGGTCAAACCAATTATGCAATGGTGCTTGAAGCCATTTGTTCCTAGGAGTTTAGCTCAAACAAATTGGAGATATCTGTTATAATTGGAGCGATTCATCAATGGGCTATTCTAACGCTATTCTTGGACTGGGCTCGATAGCTTTGGTCCTGCTCTTTCCGCCCTTGGCATGGCACTCAAAGACTAGAAACACACCGGCCATCATTCTGATCGTTTGGCTGATCATCATGAACATCAAGCTAATCGTGGACGCAGCTATTTGGGGTGGTTCTGATTTTGCTGAAAAATGGGCCGGCTACGGCTGGTGCGATTTGATGACAAAATTGCAAGTTGGGGCCAATGTTGGCCTATCCTGCTCTGTGGCCAATATAGCCTTCAATCTGCACACAATCTTGAAGGCTGACTCCGTTCTACCAGCACCAAAATCGTGGAGGAAACTGCGTACAGATTTGAGCATCAGTCTCGTCACACCTATCATGGTTATGGGATTGTCGTATTTGGTGCAGGTGGCCAGGTTTGGAATTTTCAGATACAACGGCTGTCAGAATCTACTTGCCCCAACGTGGGTCACCGTTATCGTGTATACCATATGGATGTTCATTTGGTCCTTTGTGGGACTCATGTACGCGATTCTTCTCCTTTACGTCTTCTATCGCAAGCGTAAAGATGTAAGAGACATTTTGCACTGCACCAATAGTGGCTTGAACTTGGCACGATTCGCACGACTCCTCTTGTTTTGCGTCTTGATTATTCTGGTCATGTTCCCATTCTCGTTCTATTCCTTCGTGGTGGAGCTCGAACAGCTCACCGGCAGTATCGATTTCCAATCAGCTCACGACAGATCAACTTGGAACACCGTAGTACGCTTAGATGTCGGAAAACCACTCTACAGCGTGTGGCTCTACATCCTAATGTCTTACTTGGTGTTTGTCGTTTTCGGCCTGGGTACAGACGCGCTCAACATGTATGCAGATTGTGCCAGGTGCTTAGGAATGGGACCAATTTTGGACATCATTTCGCATCATCTCGAAGCAAGAAGCCGGAATCGGAGTTTTAAAGCTGGCGGCTTTTACAACAACGAGAAAGATGCTTTCAAAAATGCAGTTGGCCCGGGCAGTGCCTCTGATGGCTCCAGTGTCTTCAAATCTGCAAAAGGCTTCTCTGATGGTGAATCATATGAAATTGGGGGTTCTACACCCACGTCTCCATCTCATTTTATTATCGACTATGCTCTGCCCAACGAAAGAGCCAACAGGGAAAAGATGCGGAGAAATGCCAGTGGAATCGATGATCTGGATAGCTTGCCTTACATCGCACATCCGACAGCACCTATAAGTTTTGACGAAGATATTCCATTAGGTGACCAGTCTTACCAGAATCCAACACCCAGTCACGCCTCTTATCAGTCGTATCGCCTGCACTCTTTCACGGACCCTCGAACCGCCAAAGACTTTAAAGAAGACGAGCGTTTGAAACCTGATCCTACTGATCCGTCTGTGTCCAATTTTCAAGAAGTCTTACAGTAAGAGCTAGAGTTGTGCCTTTGCGGCAGCATAGTCGATGCAGCGCCAAAAGTATCAGTTCGATTATTGTGATTTGAGCTACATTGTAGAGGTTACGTTGAATAAACTTCTTCTTCCGTGGTTTTTTTTGTCTGCTGCAATGCTGATAAATGTCTGTGGAATATTTTTCAAATGAGCGGAAGTCGAACTTGTTGGTCTTTTAGATTTACTCCAAGGAGAATACGCCGTTCAAGGTGTCCTGCTGAGAGTGGCAGCCCTGCTCAAGGAGTGATATGACCAACTTTTTTCGAGTCACTGATTTTGAAGGCCAACGTCAGTGTTTTTGATAATCACGCCTATTGCTGCTAACGATCAACACTTAGGCAACGTTTTTTAGGTATTTCGCCCCTGTTAGAAGGAGTACTTGGGCTATTTAGTTTTTCCTTCAAAGTTTCCTTAGTTTTTCTTATGTTTGACGTTTGTTTTTTATGTCTATGTCTGCCATGGTTAATTCCAACAGTGAAAAACACTGTGAATAAAATCAACACATACAAGATTCATTCGAACTCGCGGGACATGTTTGACCAAACTGAGTAGCGGACTTGTTCATATGTTCTTCATGTATTGCCTGTATTGCCTGTATGTATAAAAGATCTAAGCCTTCTCGTTGACATTGACAATGTACTCATAAACAAAGGCTATGGTGGACAAATGAGATGTCATCGGCATGTGCTCATCGACTGAGTGGATCGTGCGCATCATGTCCTTATCGACAATCATAGCCATAAACCGGTAGATATTTTCCGTCAAACGCCAATAATACCTTGTGTCTGTGTTCCCGGAGATGAGAGACTGCGTTACGTAGAATTCAACGTCAGATTGGCCCTTGAAGTGGCCATTTTCAAACACATTCTGAATAGTACCTGCGAAAAGATCCCACACTTGGGAGTTTGTCACCGGACTGAGCGGCGCTGGCTCTAGAGCTTTCTCGGGTTTTAGCTCGATATAGCCCAGTTCTGTAGGAGCAATGATCTCTTTTCCAGCTACTACAACACCGTAGTTGAACTGTTCAGCGATTTTCTTAACGTGGTTCAAATCTCTTTCTATAGTCTCGTCAACGGATGAAGTAACGTCAATACGATGATTGATCAAAAAAGAAGTTACTTCTGGTAAGGCGTTTGCCTTCACACCACCTTGAATTAAGGTGATTGCCTGAGATGTTCTTAGCAAGTCGCGGAGGCTTCTGTCCGCGCTAACAAACTCCAGCATCTTTTCTCTTTGTTTGGAGTCAAAGGGAGCTTCCAAGATGGCTTTCTTCGCCTCACCTGGCAGTTTCTTGTCATGTTCGGCTGCGCACGTCAAGAAACCGTAAAATGGATTTTTGGTGGTAAAGGTGGGTGTGAATGGGTTAGACTCGAGCATTTTGATCAATATGCCCGCGATGCCAATAGTAGTATGGTCTGGGGGAACAGAAGAATGACCACCCACTCCATGTATTATGATCTCAACGTCTAAGTAGCCCTTCTCGCCCGTGATAGGAGCGGCGACGTAAAGATTGTTGCCAAGTGGAGTGACCCCATTGCCCTCATCGACGATCGAGTAAATTCCGTTGTCACCGTATCGTTCGTATAGAAATTCACTTAGGGTCTGCGCACCTAAGATTCCCGATGACTCCTCGTCAAAACCAAGCGCAATGAGAACACTTCTCTTTGGTTCGAATCCGTCCTTCAAGAGTTGTTCGACGGCTTCCAATTCACCAATCAAAAGGTTTTTACAATCTGCTGCACCACGGCCCCAAACATAGTCAGTTTCGTTGTCATAATGTCCCGAAAAAGGTGGATAAGTCCAGTCCTTCACCGTCTGACGGTTGACGGGAACGACATCCTGGTGTGCAGTCAACATCATAGGTTTTAAAGATTCGTCAGATCCCTGCCAGGTGTAAAGCAGACCAACGTGATTGACTTTCTCGAGCTTCAAATGCTTGTGCACCAACGGGAAAGTCTCAAACAAGTAGCTGTGGAGCTTGAAAAATTCCGTGTAGTAGTCCAGGTCATCGCCTGGCTGTGGGTTGGAATCCTGGATTTCGGTAGGAATTTGCAAGGCACCACTGAATTTTTTTTGGGACTCTTGGCGAAATTGCGGATCCCTGAAGATCAGATCAATTGATTTGTCGAAGTCTGGTGCCAGGGCCTCAATCTTTTGGCATCCCGACGTTTCCTGCGTCTTGAAGACGGTCACCTGGCTATTTCTCGAATACCAAGCCATTGAGCCCAGAGCCAAACTCATACCGAGCAAGACCGTTCTTTTCAGGCTCGAAGAGGTCGAAGAGGAGGGTTTCCTCCGAAGTCCCAGTAGACCGTCGTGTTCAGCACTCATGGTTCTGCAAAGTTCTGAAAAGGTCTAACAAACTCAGGGATAACTGGAATAGAAAATCGTTCGACCCAGCCACTAATTTTGAAATTAAACGAAAGCTGGTCCGTCTTACAACAACAATGACAGCCTTTTTGATGTGTTGGTGAGATGATCGACCGAAGGAGTACGAAGCTTGGCGAAGTGGACGTCGTTGATGGTCGTGCCATTTTATAGGCGAAATCTTTAGCTTATCAGTTCCATTTCTAAAAGGGGAATGATAACGGTCTTATCGAAAACGGAATGCGACGGGCGTGTGCGCAAATCAGCGAGCTGGCCGTTCAACTGAGCGACAGCACGTCACACAAGCTTCATTGGATGGATGGATGGATCAACAGCGAAGGTCGCTGAAAAATTTCAAAAAAATTCAAGAAGAACCATGAAGCTGCCTCGAAAATTCCTGGTCTCTTAAAATGCAATTTTCCGGTTTGTAGCCGCTAGTTTTCGAATTCTTGATCTGTACCGTGGTGCTTATCATTTCAAATAATGATTCATTCAATTCAAATTAGTGATGTGAAACCTGCCAAAAGATGCTCATTTCGGAACCAAACTTCTCGGATCTGGAAACATTACATACGAGTGGCCCGTGTGTAATAGCTTCGTGGAATGCATAAACGGGAGAAAGAGGGCCCAAATTACCCAGTTGGGCTCGTCCTCGTGCCCGTGTAGATCACCCCATTTGCATTTCATATGTGTCCAATTTCAAGTAATTCATCTCTCTGATCGCACAGAAAACACATTCCTATGGAACCAACATCGATGCAAATGCCATATTGCGCTCAACAGAATGCTCAAAGTTCATAGTCGACCAATTTTGTCTTGATCGCAGGACATTAAACCAATTCTAATACGCATAGTTAAACAATGAGTAAGCCGAGAAACTAGACCAAAAGAAAACCAGAGAACAGCACAATTATCACCTCTCAATCCTAATTACACGAGCTCTATGCCAGCGCCCAGCACCATTGACTGTCAGTGACGGTGTGCGTCAGTAGTGTTAAATGTGTATAGTATTTTATATTGACATTTAAACAATTTGATATCACCATTTACGAAGTTATTTTAACACCAAAATTAACTTATAACGCGTTTATACTGCTAACGCGACAGATCTTCACCAGCACATCGCAAGAGCTTCAAGCACACGCACAACTTTGACCGCCCCAGACTTCACAAATGTCCAGTTTAACGCCCCGTGTTGACCCCCAGCAACTGAGTCAGCTCTCTTCGCCCGTTTTTCGCATCATAGGACAAGTCACAGCGCAACCGCAGCGCGATCAGATCATCATTGCCAGTCCAACCACGGGAGGCGAAATGGTGAGTCTCACAAATGTCAGAACGCCAACCAGTGTAAACTACGATCTACAGGAGTGGTACGAGTTCGTATGTCGCAGTAACGACTCTGGTGACGTAGGATTCTTGGTGCTGGACTCGGTCAAGTGCGTGTTCCCACCTGGCGAAACAATGAGCATATCTGGTGTGGTAGCACTCCAGCAGCTCGCAAGCAAATTTCCAGAGCTGACGTAGGTGTGCATGTGAAGCGATTTTTGGGCCCCTGGGCCCCCTGCAGCCGCTTTGATCCATGCTCTTTCACAAGACGATTTGAAATTCTTTATAGAAGAAGGAAGCGATATATAATGCATCACATCCCCTTGCTTGGTGGTTAACGCTTCTACTGTCGTCTTCTCTCACGATATTTGTACATGCTCCTCTTTTACCTATGATATATTTGCCAATTCTTTGGTCTTTTTACTTGAAATATGAGTCCAGTTCTTGTTTGCCCGCTTACGAACTTGAGGAAAATCCAGTGCCCACCCATTGTTTGAGATTCAGCTTTCTGGTGGTGAGCGTTTGCCTAGACTTTGGGTCGTACCAGGCCCCGTTTTGGGTTGGGTATGGCCTGGGCGAAGCCCAGTTCACCGCACTGTCTATTGTATATGACCAACCAGGAGTGACTGTACTAGCCTGTTGCATGGACGGATTGTAAGTTGAGTACATCGTCACACCGCTTGTGGGGAATCTCCTTGTCCAGGTCGTCGCAGTGACCGAGCCTGAGGGCTGCGTTTGCATTGGAGCGTAACGAGTAGATCCGGTTTGTTCCGTGTATGGGATACTGAAAGACGCAGATGTGTCACCAGCACCCGTATTGGTACCGGTTTGGTATGCTACCTGGTTGGCAGGTTGGGATGTAGTCGTGAGCGTAGTGGCAATAGTTCCCGACATGGACTTCAAAATAAAACGAGCAGAATACTGGAGACTCTGATACGCATTGTCGCCATCACCACTAATATAGCCGTTAACCTGGAGGAAAAACTGACCGTTGCCGACCAAAGAACTGGAAAATGAGGCGGTTGTCGAATACAGATCACCACTATGATCAAAGTCAGAAAGCTTCATTTTAGAGTCTCCCGTGACACAATTAAAGTCGTCGGTATTATCACCGTAACAGAGTGCGAACACGTAATATTGAATAACGTCTAACGTGGGCACTTTGCCATTGTCGGAAAACTCTACAGGAATAGAGACTGTACCTCCGCTTGCGGTATAAGTGTTGCCTGAACCTGGCTTATTCAGAGCTATGTCTGCCGCTGCCAAGGACACCAGAAAAGCCCACAATAAACCCACACGCATGGAAGTGAATACAGAGCAGTATATCTATGCTGACTCAAAAAGTTGTTGGATTCTTCAAGTTGATGAGGAAGAATGCTTGTTTAGACAGCTAATATTCAGATTTTCCAGATCCGGGCGAAGCCTCGAGAAAATATCACCTCATACGTGTGAGTTTTTGAACGGGAAGATGAGCTTTTAAAAGCTAGCTCTTGGTAGCTTTAGAAAGACCAGAATCACAAGTCGAGGTTTAAATGGCAAACTGATTTGGGAGCGGTATTACGAGGGCTTCAAAATTGGATTTAACGTTTGTAAAACCATGGGGTCATTTAGTACGACAACCGGATCTAGAGACCTTTTTGGAATTCCTCGTGAAGAATCGTTAGCTCTCCTGCGATTTTGTGTGCGTTCTGATGAGTCGAGTATTGATAGCTTTGGTTTTTTACCATTGACTCGTTGGTTGCAGCTTAATCTGGCAGTTTGAATTCTCAAATTTGATTCATGGACAAATAGAACTCAGAAGACACAGGATTTTGATCGAAAAACTGGCTCAATATTAAGTAGCATGAGCTGCAGATCTACAGGTGTCAATCGCGTTTGAAATGAATTCGTTTGATGAATTTTGGAAATGGTGCTGTTTTTCTTGTCATTTATGACCATGTAGACAGAGGACAGAATAGTATAAAATGATATGTATTCAAAGTGAGCCGTTCGAACACGCAGCTTGAATGTTCTCGAGGAAAGCGAATGACTCTACCATGGGTCCTGTGAGCGATTGCGTGGCCCATATGTCTCGCGCCATCGGCTGTCCAATTAGTTATTTACGCGACAGCTTTATAAAAGTCTGCTTTATCATTTAGAAATCTTGCTGACATGAAATGACATCTGGCTATGAATAGTGATGCCATGAAAAGATGTCTGTGCGCTGTATTCAGATCACCGCTGATTTTTATATGCACATGGCACGAGGTTTCTCATCTTATTTCATTTATACATAATAGCTACTCTAGTTTACACTCAAATAATCTAGAATGCAGTGTTCGGCCATCTCGATCGTAACAATAATTTCCTCATTTCGAGAGGAGGCAGCTGCAACAGCAATGTGTAGAAATGCCTCCCTCCCTCTCTCTTTTTACTGTGAGGACGACAGATTAGTACACAGTGATCACATAAATGGCTAAATCCTACTCTTTACGAACGCTCCCCATAGTGATCCCCCGATTCTCGTAACAGGTAGTCTGGCACTCACAAACAACATTCTGCTAGTTAAAATGGTATTGAACGACTTTTTGCCTCTCGAAAGGTAATTCTGAGATATTGTCACATAATTTTTTAATTCCAAGAGGACTGTCCACCGATAAACCAAAATCGGCCCCCAAAACAAAGCACATCCATTGATTGGACTCCAAACGCCCTAACAAAGTCGCCCACTATTTCTTACTCGCGATCTGCCTCAGCTTTTAACTTGTTCACCAAAATCATCGTTATACACGAAGATCAAATAATGAAAACTTCCAAATGTCAACTGCCCGTAATATGCTTATTCAATGCCCTCGGAGGATAGAAAGAAGACGTGCAGTTTTGCTGCCAGAAGGACGACTCAGGCATCAATGACGATGGAGAAAGCTATTCAACAAGATTTAGATGGCTTAGGACCAGGTCCTTCCGAGTCCGTCGACGAAATTCAGGGCAAAAACGAACAAATCGTGGCGGAAGATAATAACAATCACAACGAACCAAAAGTGCTGGAGAACGACAGCAAACAGGATCCTGCAGTTGATCAAAACAGCACCAACTCCCCTCAGGAGGAACCGGCTGCTGAAACTCAGAAGCCCGAAGTGTCCCATGTTGTTGACAAGCACACGGTGGAAGACTCATCAAATGCAGACGAAAACTTCATCCACGAAACACCGCAGGAGACTTTGAAAACTGAAGACACCTCTGGCAGCAAAGAAAAGTCTAATGTCGAATTGGAATCAGGAATCGCTGAAGTGGAGAAAGGTTCAGTTCAACCCGCCGAAAATGGCAGACTGTCACCTAAAACAGAAGAAGAGACCCAGCAGTTATTTGAGCCGCCCGTATCGACTCCAAATGGAGAAGAGCCAAAAGACCAAAGCAAAAACGAGACCGAAACGCCAGTTAAAGCTGGAGACAGTCAGACTGTAAAAGTTGCAATGAAAAAGCCAGTCGAAAGTGAGGTCCCGGTCCAAAACGACGAATCAGCAGATTCAAGCGCCGAAAACAATTTAGATAACGCTGCAGTCACTACTGATCAGCCAGAGCAGACATCGCCGGTCAAAACCGAAACTTCGCAAGTGCTCGAAGACACGACAGCCAAGACAGCGGTCGAAACACCTACGGGCAAGCCGGCAGAGTTGGCCATTCCACAATCTCATGAAATCGTCATACCCTCTTACGCACGCTGGTTTCATCTGCAAAAAATTCACTCTATTGAAAAGCAGTCTCTGCCAGAGTTTTTCACTAACCGAATCCCATCGAAAACGCCACAGGTCTATGTCAAGTATCGTAATTTCATGGTCAATTCATACCGCCTGAATCCTAACGAGTTTTTCACAATGACTGCTGCAAGACGGAACTTATGTGGTGACGCTGGCGCCATCCTTAGAATCCACAAATTTCTCATGAAATGGGGTTTAATTAATTACCAAGTTGATGCGAAGACCAAGCCCAGGCAAGCAGAGCCACCATTTACAGGTGATTTCACCACGAAACACGACGCACCCCGCGGGCTTTTTCCATTCGAAAGTTACAAGCCCGCTATTCAAATCCCGGACCTATCACGGTTGAAAAAACTTATGCATCAGATAGACACATCGCCTGGGGAAACTTCGGCTGAAGAAAATTCGAGCGAAACCAAAGTGGAAAATGACGGCGAGAAAAAGAGGCCATCGGAGAACGATTCTGAGTCATTAAACCGCAAATCGTCGAAAATTCAGCGCTCCAATGTACTCGACATGGTCGACAAAGATTGGTCAAAGGAGGACTTAGAAAAGCTCTTACAGGGCTTACAAAAATACAAAAGCGACTGGCAAAGGGTGGCTCATTTTGTTGGTAACAAAACTGCAGAACAGTGTATATTGAGGTTTCTCCAGTTGCCAATAGAAGATCCATTTCTGCAATCTAGATGCAGTGATGAACTAGGTCCTTTAAAATATGCGCCCCATCTGCCCTTTTCTAAGGCTGACAACCCTGTGATGTCTACTATAGCATTCCTCATAGGTCTGGTAGATCCGGACCTTGTCAAAAAAATGACGGACCGAGCAATATATTCGATAGGACAAGACACTGAAAAAGCCATATCTCAAAATGAAAACTACGTCAAAGAGGGCAGCGAATTGGCACTAGCTACATTAGGCGCCAGGTCGCATGTTTTCGCCACTAATGAGGAAAGACACATGAATGCTTTGGCTAATGAAATGAATCAAATTCAGATGCAGAAAGTGAACTTAAAGCTGCAGCTACTGAGTACATTGGAAAAATCTTTGGAGATGGAGAAGAAAGTCATTCAAAAGCAGCAAGAAGACACTTTGATACAACGACTTTCGTTGGCCAAACACTCCAACTCCGTAAATGCCAAACTTCAGCAGTGCCTTGACGATTTTGATGACAAGACAAAATTGCAAGCGCATTTGGATGATCTCAAGGAGCTACAGAATGAACCCGCCAGAACAAGCATCGGGAAAGGCATGTCTTCGACACCCGCGCCAGACGGCACACCATACAGCCAAACGCAGAAGTCTCTTGACGACTTAAAAGACCCTTTTGTAAAGCCTGTGTCAGTGGATGCTCCCCAGGCGTATCGCTATTGGTCTGGTTGATTGAGAACAAATGGAGCAAGTGGTAGCGTCAAAGTCAGAAAAAAGCAGAATGCATGCTCAACTTTGATTTCGGCCACTTTCGACCGCTGGCATTTTGAAAGAGATTTTGGCTACTCAAAAAAACCAAACTGTTTGCATCATCGGTGCCAAACTTAACACTTTGTATCGATTCAGATTCTAAAACGATAGATTATCAATATCTGTAAGAACATAAGTTATTGTATTACTACTAAGTAAGAGCTCAAAACATATAATAATGGAATTTATTGGCCAGAAAGGCTATGCAAAAGTGGCAGTGTACGAGTTTTAGCTGGTCAAGAGCTAGTCCAAATCATTGTCGAATGTGAACTTCGAAAACAGCTTTCTAATTTCGAGCGACAAGATGTAATAAGCAAGAAAGTTTTACTGTCATGCGATAAACCACCAACATCACATAACATAAAGTATTCCAAAAAACGATGTCACGAAATAAACCCCAGAACCAAACCACTTGACACATTTTCTGGCTGTCTCAGAGATGTATTTTTTCAAACCGAATTTTGTGTCGTCGCATTACGCTCCACACTGGAAAGCCAAAACCATTAAATAAACACCATTAAGGCTAAACCAACTGTTCAGATTTCGAATGGAGACAAGAGAACACGCCAAAAATTCCTAAAATCACGACTAATGTCGGTTCAAAATTGTTTGGTCGTTGATCAGTCGCTATTAAGCCTTGGCGGTTTGAAGTATGGCGTACAAAGTGATATTTAATTTAAATCACAGTCTTGACTACGTCAACCAGCCTACACTCTCATCACACCTAAGGGAAACGACAAAGTTCTGCACAATAGGCTTCTTTGAAGCTTACTATTTTGAACTACAGAATGCTGGACGATACGGTGTTTCAACACGCAGTTGAACTGTGGTCTAAGGCCAACTTTACGGAATTGCAACGTCTGCTGGACGAAGGTGTGCTGAGCGTGAAGGAGCTGGAGTCTAATTCGCTGAACTCCCGTAAGGCATTGGCTTCCGAAACCAAGCAGTTTAAAAGGCTCGATGGAGACGAAAAATTGGGCCAGGTGAACAAAATAATCAAAAGCTACCAGCAAGAAGTGGACAGCTTGACGAAGAGGTCAAAGCTTTCTGAAGATTTGTTGCTGGATCTATATTCAAAATTGTCGGAGACGCCTGATCCCCATCCTCTGCTTCAGATATCAGCCGGGCAGACGCAGAAAATTGAGGATATCGAGAGTTTGAAGAGCAAAATTGGGGAATTGGAGAACCAAATTTCCAAACATGCAGACTACGACAAGATCCGCGCCAGACTCCTGGACCTCGAGCAAAATTCGGCTAAAACCTTGTCGAAAAGACTGTCAGCCAAGGAGCAAGAACTGAAATCTCAGTTCCAGGAAAAAGAGAGAAATTGGAAAGAACGCGAAAAGGAGTTACTGCGTCAGCTTGAAACTTCTAAAGATACCAACAAGATACTGGAAAGCAAGGTTACACGAACTATTGATGGCAGCGAAATTGCTGCAGAAACAACGGAGCGCCAGTCTGCTGAACACCAGCTGCTGCTGCAAGAAGTTCAATCTTCCCAGACCCGCATTCTGGACCTGGAAAGACGGAACGAAGAACTAAGCGGACAGCTAGCTAAAGCCACGAGCGAAGAAGAGCAAGCTTTAGAAGCGGGCGCCAAAAATTTGAAAATTAACGAGTTGGAGTCGGAGAACGCGTTGCTAAGCGCTTCGCTTGCGCACGAACGTAAGTCGATTGAGGCCAACATGAGGGAGAAACAGAATCGCATAGACTCCCTACAACAACAATTGGCATCTTCGCAGGACGAGTTGAAAAAAAAGGCTCGTAAATTACATGTCTACGGCGACTATGAAACTATCAAACGAGAACTGACAGCTTTAAAGAAAATCGAATTTGGAACCTCGGACGACGAAGGCAGCAACGTCGATTCGACGTTACTGAATGCGAACAAAAAACTACAAAGTAACTTGGCTGAACTTCGTGGCAAATTTGGAGGCATGGAAAAAGAGGTGTCCGCGATGCGCAAAGAAAACCTGAAGCTCGTGGAGCAGGTGAAACAGCTAGAAAAGCTTAACACGCAGTTGGAATCCGACCTGGAGCGCATGGATAACGTTAGCTCAATAAACGACACAGCCAGTTTGATGTCTGGGGTTACGCGGCAGATGAACCGCGTAGGACCCTCAGCAAGACACGGAGGCAAACTTTCGCCAACAAGCTCGATTATCGGTATTCCAGAAGAAAGTGACGTTCAACCGATGGCTAATGGCAATTCCACAATTTTGCCAATAATAACACAACAGAGAGATAGACTTCGTTCCAAGACAACCGAACTGGAGAAGAAGTTGCGTCAGACCAATGTGAATCATGGCCACTTGCGGGCAGAAGTTGACAGACTCAAATCCGATAACGCTAAAATGTACGAACGCATAAGGTTCCTGTCTTCGTACGGATCAAAAAACGTAGATTCAGAGGACCAATCTTCGTACTCACGAAACTACAATGAATCACTATACCCGCTGGCAGAGTTCAAACAGCAGGAACTGAACAGAATGCAAAGGAATGGTATCAATCCCTTAGAAAAGTTATTTCTGAGCTTTGCCAAGGTAGTACTGGCCAACAAGACCAACAGAATGCTTTTCATGCTTTACTGCTTGGGTTTGCATGCGCTGGTGTTGATGACATGCATTTACGTAGCCAATCTCAGCGGAGGCGAAACCGTGGTCGAGCAGGGTGTAAAGATATAGAAGAATAAGCAGGGAGTATGTGCTTTTACATTTGTGAGAGTGTCATTTGAAAGCGTCTATTGACGGGCAGAGAGAACGCGGAGTTTTTGGACCCCCAATGCCAGCGGCCTCGTTCAATCTCCACAGAGCACAAGTCCGGTGCGTCAATGTCGGACCGGACTCAAGGTCGCCGGCCAAATAGCGGCACAATATTTTTTTGCGTTAGATTATACAGAAGAGATAATGGTAGTGTGGAGGTGCTATTCTTATGGTTTATAGTCCTTGGTCGGAATTTAAGCAGCAATACGCTTTTGTTCGGCCAATCTACCTCTTTGTCTGGAGGACAATCTGACAACCTTCTTTTCGGCAGCTTTCTCGACGGCCTCCTCCTTCTCGGTTAGAACGAGCTCGATGTGGGAAGGACTGGACTCGTACTTGTTGATTCTACCGTGAGCTCTGAAGGTTCTTCTTCTTTGCTTTGGAGCCTTGTTGACCTGGATGTGAGAAACGAAAAGCTTGGTAGCGTCCAAACCCTTAGCCTGTGGAGAGTGTGTTAGTAAAAATGCCTAGTTTGTGGGGTGGGGTGAGAAAGTCCTGAGGCGACGCTGTCGCGCTCGATCCCCACGAAATCCCCACTTGCGTCGTCTGACTCATCGATCATTCCTGTTTTTCAACATACTTCAGCGTTGGCAGCGGCGTTCTGCAACAAGTCCTGGACGAATTTGACAGACTTGACTGGCCATCTGGCCTTGGTGACACCGAACTCCTTACCCTGGGCGGTTCTACCGATCGAGGAGTTGAATCTTCTGAATGGGATGGCTCTTTGGTGGTCCAAGACCTGGTCCAAGTATTTTTGAGCTCTCTCCAAACCCCATCCGTTGATGGCCTGCGCGGTCTCACGGGTGTTCTTGAAAGACACACGCAAGTAAGAACCACGGGCAGCAGCGGACTTGGCTGGGTTGGTAGAAGTAGCACCGTATCTAGCCATTGTTTCGTTGGTTTCTGGAGGTATTTGACAAGAAGTGGGTCTATATGGAGATGATTTGTCGATATTTGGAAGTTTTGGTAAATTTCACGATGGTTGAGTGAAGCGTGAGGCGAGGAGCTAGGCGGATGGTGGAAAGAAGCTAGGCAGAGGCTAGGCGGGAGTTGGAGACAGGCTACACGGAAACGGCTGTGGGTCCTGCCTAGAGATTGTCTAGCGTCTGCCTGGGGTCTGCCTAGCGTCTGCCTGGGGCCTGCCTAGCCTTTGCGTGGGTTCTGCCTGGCCGGTAAAACGGACTTAAAATTGATACCCAAACAATTTTGAAAAAGGACGCAATTTTTAAAATTCGCGTATTTTCAGAAATTGTTAGTTTTTCATATTTTTCATATTTTCTTCCAGAAATGTATGGGTGTGGAAAACACAGTCAAACACTGGAAAACAGGTTCTGTCATAACCATAGGAAGTGATGCGATCGTCGTATATCAGGAAGAGAGAAAGGAAGAGCGAAGATACTTGAGTCTTTGGTGTCAAGGGGGAGTCGTGGGTATTAAAGCAGGGTGTACCGTATACAAAAGTGGGTAGTTAGTTTCCACGCAGTGTGTGTTGCAGTGTAGGAAATTGACAATAAGTCGGTCAAAGAGAGAGAGCCTGGTTTCGCAGATAAAGACTTGCGGACAGTATGACGAAACAATGCGTCTGAGCTTGAACCGAGACAAATGAATTAAACTCCCCTCTCTCTTTGCTCATGCTCTTCCTCTGATTTTCGAAGATGTCAGATTAGTATAAAGTGATGACAGAATCGTCAAAGCTCATGTCAGCCAAGAATCGTGCCATTGAAGAAGGGCGTGGTTTTGAGCACCACGAGCATACCCGCAACAACGTGAAAACTACAGACACTCACACTCACTGCAAGGAGATACCCATACTTCACAGTTGGACTCGAGTACATCACCAATCACGAACACGAAACACCCTAATATATCGCCAAATCATCACCGCTCTCACCTTGCGCGCGCTCACCACTCTTCCTAAGTTCAAAACCACGATTCGGTCCCTATAAACCCCCGACCAGCATCACCAGAGGCCGCGACCACCATGAAACTCACCGTCCAGCTTTTAGCCGCCTCGTTTTTGGCCCAAGCAGCGCTCGGTTTCCAGTGCTCTCACAACGAGCTCCTTAAGAAGTACAACGTCGACAAGTACACCATCACACATTCCAGCAGCAAAGATACCCCTCCCAGCACCACGAATGAGGAATGGTGGATCAACATCTGTCAAGAAAACTCCGCTAGCGCCCCGGAGGGGTGCCAAAAAAACGATGTTTTATGTGGGAAGACCAAAGTGACCCTGAATGACGACAAAGATAAAGATATTCTCACGCAGTTGATCGATTTCCCAGAATCAGTTTCATCGGGGGCCAGTGAGAACGACAAGGGCGAGCTCGTGGTTGAGCTCAAAGACGCGAAATGGGGTTCCAACTCCATCAATGCTCGTCTGACGTTTATCTGCGCTTCTAACAAGGAATCCAGCGTGACGTCTGTGACATGGCAGAACAAAGAGGTCCAAATGGTCATCGAGGGCGACGCTGGGTGTATCAAGAAAGAGGGTGACGACAAAAACGGCGACAATGGCGGAGGAAACGACAACAACGACAACAAAGATGACAAAAACAAAAACTCCGAAAAGAAGGGCTCCTCGAGCCTTGGATCCTGGTTTCTATGGCTCATAACGTACGCACTGTTGTTTGCACTAATATATCTACTCGCTACGTCCTACATGAGCACTCGGGGCGGCAACTTCCGCGAGTTCCGCGAAGAGTTTGTGGACCGGTCGACGAGCCTTGCAAAGTCGTTGCCCCAGTTCACCAAGGAAGTGGTTGCAAAAGTCGTGGGCCGGTCCTCTGGGTCGCAAAGAGGCGGCTACAGTGCTGTTTGAGAAGGGGTGAGCTCTCCTGCCTGTATTCTCAAGGATATAGCGAGCTGCCACGCCGGGGAATTATGTATAGATCAAATGAAACTGCGCGTCTGTCTCACAGCGCACTGTATGTTCTTTCTCTCTTTCTCTCTTTCTCTGTTCCTTACTGCCCCACAGCACTCTCTATTTCTGATCCATCACCCGCTTTAGGCTCTCCACCGTGTTTTCCACCGTGGTTTGCAGATAGTTCTGTTTGATCTTCAATGCTTTCATTTGTTCCTCCACCTGTTTCTCATCGCTGGCCAAGTCTCCTGTGTATGTAGATCTGTCTTGCAACACAAACGCCTTACCACACGATCTCCACACTTTCCCCACAGGATAAGAATCCAGCTCCTGTGCCGTTAATTTTGCCAATTTCTTCTGTCTGTCTAGTTGTGCCAATTGTACGTTAACAACGTCTAATTGGGCTCTACTGGACCGCAGAGAAGACGCCATTTCTTGTACAATGTTTTGAGCCATGCTGTCGATTTTATAGGACTAAGTCAGAGCTCGATACAGCGATCTTTAAAGTCAAAGGTGGTGGATCTTTGATAAAGTTTAAATATCAATGAAATTTTAATTAAAGCTTCTTGTATAATTTAATTTAGGTCAAGTTTAAATATTTAAACTTAAACTCATCGTCAACTATCAATACCACTTTTACAAGCGATATAGTTGCTTTAAAGTCGATATATCGGCGTATTTTATTGTCCGGAATTCATAGAAACATAGATACTGAGGTACAAGTTCAACTATGTTGAGAATAGGCTCCAGAACAGTGGTGCACAATAGTCGCATCTGGAACGCTAGATTTAACGGTTGGAGCGCTTCAAAAGCCAGATTTTATGCTAAAAATGCTGCTCTGGGCATCGATTCAACTGTGGAAAACAACATGCAAACAGAAACCAACCGAATCTCAAAAACTTTGAAGAAATTCTGGAGCGAGGTAGCCACTGAAGAAACGGGAAAAGTCATAACGCTCACGCTGGACAAAAAACCAGTCAGAACGCCGTTGGGTAACAATTTGGCGGTTTCCAGAGACCGCAGGCTTCTAGCACTCGCTTTGCAGCACGAATGGGCCAATCTGGCCACGAAATCAATCAAGCCTCATTCATTGCCTATCACTTCGCTGGTCTCCCGATGCATAGATTTGGAGTATGCTTCAAGACCAGACGCCAATCCGGAACTTGTGGCCAAAATTGGAGCCGACAGAGAAGATATTTCCCACACTTTGCTGCGGTATCTCGACACCGACACATTGTTGTGTCTATCACCCAGGTCCGAGTTTGAGGGCACGCTAAGAGCGGCCCAGGACAAGTTGTATCTCCCGCTCATCAGTGCTGCAGAAAAGTTTCTATCAGATACCGCAAACCAGCATGTGTCGCTACAAATACTCGATGCAGATCTGCATGGGCTCAGAGGAAACGCTCAACCAGAGAAAACAAAAGCGGCAGCTCTGAAATATCTAAGATCTTTATCGATGTGGGATTTGGCTGTGTTCGAAAAAACTGTTCTTTCAACCAAATCTTTCCTTTGTGGCCTCCTGCTGCTTCAAAACAAATCCGTGTCACCAAGCTCCGATCTTCTCTTGACAATGGAGAAACTGGCTCATTGCGCGACCCTCGAAACCGTATATCAGGTTGAAAGGTGGGGAGAGGTCGAGGACACACACGACGTGGATTACCGAGACATTAGAAGAAACGTCAACGCTGCTGCGATCGTCGCATACAAGGAATAAAAGAAAATTACCGTTACTGTTACATTAGGGCGAAAAGTGCATAGCCTGTGAACTAAATTGGTCTGTATATAGGTGAACGTCATTGGCGCATTACATCAAGCATGATATTAATTTGAACACTTCGTTTGCCACAATCTGGTTCTTGAATTCGACCAGATAATCATTGTTTCCGTGAACTAGGGAAATTCCCGTTCTTCCAATTCTTCTAATGTCGCAGATCTTGCTGACGAATTCCTGCTTTCTTGACTGACCCATGATAACATCAAATTTCATCGCCAAAACGTGGCCCTGAATTTCTTGCGAGTACAAGTCTAGCAGTCCTTTGTCTTGAATTTCCCATTCCGCCTTGTCATTTCTTTGATGCAGTCTAATTTTCACGTTAGACAGAAGCAAAAGGGATGCAGTTTGCATCTTATAACGACTAAAAGTGTCGTGCGCAATTGACGAAAGGCCCGTCGATGCTGTGTCCGAACGCGACACAGATTTATCCAACCCACTAAAGGTAGATGAGGTCGTAGACAGAGTGCCCGAGGTATTTGAAGCTCTAATCTTGGATGGAAGATTCTGTCTGATGCAGTGATGTAATGTATTGATCAGTGTTTCGATTTGCGGACATCTCAAACTGATGACGGAAGGCCCAGCTGGCAGAACAGAACAGATGAAGCTGCTGCTAGGAACTCTCAGTTGAAGATCTTGAGCTGCTGGTCTTGTTACTTTCCAATCAGGTGTAACAGCCGCGCAGAGTTTTGTTCGTTGAGCATCACCGAAGCTCGTGAGCAAGCACAGAACTTTACCGTCAGCGGTTTCGTGTAGTTTGAAGCACAGTGAGTTCTTGGATATCGCCTTCCAGCAGTCCTCATGCCAGTAAGAGACCTTGACCTCATGGTCGCAAATTCGGAAGCCTTCTTGAATATCAATTCCTGCTGGCAGAGTACAGAACTCATCCCGCTTAGCAGTTGCATGTGGTTTGATGTTAGAAGGCTCTGGTCTAGGTAATTTTAGTAAGCTTGAAGTCGAATTGCCAGATGGCAAATCCAATGTCAAGCCTTTTGTATTTTTCAATGACGTCTTTGATCTGTTAGAGCTAAAGAGACTTAACAACGACGACGACTTTCTTTTGGTTAGCTGTGGTCGGTGAAATTCGGAGCTTAGGTCGAACGGCTCCTCTTCTTTCTCTTCGCCAGTAGATGAAAGAATGCTCTCACAGTCTTCTGCTAACTCACCAATAGAGATTTCATTCCGCGATACTGAAGACTCGGAGTTGACTCTCTTGAAGTTCTCCTCGCTGAAACGTGGTTCACACTGTGAGAACGGCGACCCTTCTAAGCTAATGTCTTCGTTCAACCTCAGTAACGATTCGCAACCAAGGTCTTCTAAATCTTCCAATGGATGCAGGGACGAAGCTGGAGATGTTGGAAAAGTGTCCAAGGGTTTTGATTTGTGTAGTAAAGTATCGTGACGCCTTTCAGCACCCGTGTTGAGATCTGCACAGCGGGTTAAACTCACACCAAGGCCAGCGATATTTTCAGGACGTAGGGTCGTCAACTTATCATGTTTAAGCTTAAAGCTCTGCAATGGATGCGTGGACTTGACCAATGATGCTGAAGTGAAGGTCTGCCTTTCGGAAGGCAAGGATGCTTTAGAAAACATGCTTTCGAGGTAAATCTGCCAATTGCCTTCCCACTGCGTAGATTCAAGTGCAGTTAGAGAGAGTAAAACGCCATTGCCAGCTTTTGTTTTCAGTTCGACCTTCCCACGACCTGTGGAGATGATTTGAAGGTCATTTTTCCGGAGAGTTGGGAAGAGGAGAGATCTACCCAGCTCCACTGACTTGAAGTTTCGACTTACGAGGACAAGCCTTGAAATCTGCTCCATAGACGCGGGCGTGACTAGTCCCGAATTGACTTCGAAGACGCCAAGTTCTCCGTTAGAAAGCTGGAACAACTCTACCAAAAGGTTCTGGTAGCCCATCTTGGGCAAATCGAGAGTAAAATAGTCTCTTTTCGTTGATTGCGCTGCGTCTATCAACGGAGGGCTTACCAAACTGTGAGTTCCAGTTACCAATGCTCTTACCTGGTCATACTTGAACGAAGAGCGGTCCGTTTTGTTCCACTGGGCCCTGAAGTGGTCTTCGAATGACTTTACCAAAATCAATGCCCTGGTATTCTGAGGGCTGCACAGCAATGCTATCTGTTGCAACCTTTTAGCTGCCACCAGCAGAAGCTGAGTAAACTCTGAGGTAGGTGAAAACTGCCGCAGAGGTGCTTTTAACCCAAAGATGAGGGTTTCAGATCCATTGAACAGCGACGAATAACAGCGCTCCAGTTCGAGGTCTTCCAGCCAGCTGGTAAGTACAGCTTCTGCATTTTCACGCGAGCCACGCCATTGCTGTGCTAACACGGCATGTCTCTGCACCAATGTCCTACAAGTACCGCTCAACACTTTGGACTGCTGCAGAACTTGACTCAACGGGTCACAGCTAGACAAGCTGGGTCCCGTCTGCCGAGGTTCGAGCAAACGCTGCAACTGCTCTAGTTGTGAAATGTACCCGTCTTCTGAACTTCGCAAGTAGTCCAATTTGGAGCTCATTGTACCTGTTCTTATGCTTCCACTCTCCCTCCTGCCTGCTCAACTCAACAACTATAAAGTGTTATGAAAATGGCTAAACTTCACTAAAGCTGACGGAACAAAAAGCTACCGTTGAACCCAACTACAATTTACATGAATTTCACGCGATTCATCTCCGGCTGAAAAGCTTTAGAGCAGCTTGTTAGGCTTCCGTACTTCACCAACATTTCGTAGTTCGCAGATTAGTTTTCGTGAATTTCAGAAATGACGCGTCTTAATATCGTAATTAAAGAGGAAAGACGCGTAAAACAGGCGTAAAATAACTTTCGCGTCGGTTGTCAACTGGAATCTGGTGCGAGAACTGTGGAATCAAACATCTACTCGATCCTGAGGTCGCTGGTTGGCTCAAACAGGCGTTGACACAAGTAACATACTATTCTATCTAATGCTTCATGACTACTAGATTAATGATGACCATTTTTATCTTGCTTTCTACTCTTTGCAACGATGATCCTGCTAAGACGTGGGTATTTGAAAAAGCTGGTGTTCGTATAGCACACGCACATACACGTATTGTGGGAGCATCTTTCTTGACGTTTTTAATGCTGGACGAGAAAAGAAGCAGCCTTATTTTTGAACTTGTGAGTAGAACAGAGCCAAATCGCTCGCACACGACTTCCGCTCTTGACAACCGTCGAACAACGCGACAAAGTCGCCTTGCATGTAATGGAAAACATCTATACTGGCCTTTTCGGTAGCTGGCTTCGTGGGATCGTAGACGCTGGCTATAGTTTTTGGCACCACGAGAGCGGACTTGGCCAAAAAATTTGGGTGCCACTGCAAGGCATGGCCAACGCTGGCAGAGAGAGACGGCCAGGAGTAGTCGCGCACAAGAGGATCGCCCAGGTAGTCCATGAATGCTTTACCATAGAGGCCGGCTTTGACGATGAAAGAATTCGTGTCCAGTTTGCCGTCGTTCGTCTGTGGAATGATCACCTCGGCGCGCTCCGAGACGAGGTGGTTGTATGTCTTAATGTTCGAGCCCTTGACGACTGGGACGTTTTTCAAAACGGCCAGGTTCATGATCTTGCGGTCGAGCAGCTGCGTTTGTAGCGATAAATCCATACGCATTATCAAAGCGTGCTGGTCCAAGAACCAGAAATACTTGGCTTTGGGAAACGCATGCATGGCCGCACGCATCATCAGAGGCTTCAGAAACTCGTACGACTCGGCCATGTCTTGGTTGTCGATCGTGGGGATGAATTCCTGGGCCCAGCGCACGTAAACGCCGTAACGGTGTCTCTGGGCGTAATCCACTCTGTTTTGCACCACGCGTATGAGCGTGTCCGTGTCGTGCTGGTCGAAATCCACCAGCGTGACAACTACCACTTCTGGCGAGTCGGATCCCTTGGAGAAAACCCGTTTGCCATGGTCTAGATAGTCGCGTTTCACAATTTCAAACTCATCCGTTATTTCCTTGCGCTTTTTGCTGGTCGTGGACTTGTCACTCTCCTTGAGCACGTATTTTTTGTTGCCGTCTACGTCGATGCGCAGCGTGTGCAGTTTCCGAAGGTTTAATTGTTTTAGACGAGGCGCGTGTTCGATGGGCGGGAAAATCAGCGGCTGCAACGACACGATCTCGTCCGTGTAGTGGCCGTGCGTGGGTGGCAGTTGCAGGTCGCTCATGGTCTTCTGCATCACAAGACTCTTCAGCAGATATATCATCACAACCACGACCGCTATGCAGCCGAAACTGAACGCCTGGGTTCTTTTGCGCTTCGAGTCCAGCAAGAGCGTCTTGAACCTTCGCACCCCTTCCTCAACGAAGCTCAGAGACTCAGTTCCGCCTTTCCTCTTGGGTTTAAACGCCATTCTCAACAGCCCTATGCACAGCGCCAGCAACAACAAAGCGCCAGTTTTCGTCGATTGAAACGCCCGATTTATCCAAATTCAAACGCGTCCGGACTGATCAGGTAAGGACAGTAACCGCAGCGGCAGAGAAAGGACCAGGTTCTTGGCTTTTTAAGTTGTTGAAGATCGACGAATAAAGTTTGATTCAAGTGTGAATGCTGTATTTCCCATTATTTGATATTTCTAGTACTTATGTACGAAATTAGATAGTATAACAGATTCACGAGTTTCAAAGCCCCATGAGACCTGGCGTCAGTGAGTGTTTGCCAGTCGAATGAAAGGGTGTTCGAATACCAATTGAGCGGCGTGTGTATTGTTCAAGTAGGGCCATGATCTTAATATTGTTTCAAGCTTTTTTGCCGTCAAGAATATTCGTTATGGCTTGCAAGAAGAAAAAAACCCACCAAATTTCGACAAAATCAGCATGCGAAAAATGTGTGTGGTGCTGAGAGGACGATTGAATGTTTTGAAAATTGGCAGAGTGCATTTCCAGTCGATTGCGGGTCTTTGGAGGTCCGTTCGTGAGGAATTGAGACCAGAAAAACTATCATTAGAATTATTTCTTTGATTTTCCAAGTGTGTTGGTCTAAACGGGATCCCGTTTCCATCTTCTATGCATCTGCATGGTCGTTGCATCAGGAAGCTCCGATGTGTGATTGATAATGATTTGCAACTTATTAAATTCCACTTTTGGTAAGCTTCATCGACGAGTCGCACCCACAAGTTAAAGATTTTCGATCTCAGGACAGGCAGCAGAGTAGTTCAAACTCTTGGCAAGGGCTCCCAGATCGCGTTTCTGGTCTCGGCGTTGAAACCATTTAATCACTCCTGCCACCAGACAGCTACCAACAGCGGTGGCTATCAAAGCGTAACAGCCACGCTCGTAACGAGGCGCCATTGTTGCAGAAAAAAACAAAAGCGACCACCAGGCGTTCACAGCGCCGGAAAACATGTTCATCGACGCCAAAACAATGGCGCGTTCTTGCAAGTCATTTTGGCACACCACGTTGGCCCAACTGAAGAAGACGGCCTGCGCAGCATAACAAACACCGCCTAGATACTGTGCGGTAAATAGCACGCCAGGTGTGATAGGCGCAGCCCGGATCATCACTGCAACAACACACATTACAATCCCAATGAACAGTGCAACGTGCCAATGCTGCGAGTGACGAAATTTATCCATGTAAACAGCAGCACCACACGTAGCAACAATACCCACAGCAAATATACCCATCGGGTACTGATTTTTGTGCGCCAAGGAATAGCCCTGAGACTGCAGCCAAAGAGCTAGTGTCGAGTTGGATGCCAGCGATATATTTTCGCCTCCCAGGATCCACAGGAGGGAAAGAAGCCAGAAATGCCATCTTCCAAGGACGCGGCGAAACACGGACCAGTCCAGTTTTGCGCGCTCGTCGCGTTGCGGCAGCCTCCGTTTCGCAAACTCGAGCTCTTGTGTTGAAAATAGCCATCGGGAGCTCTTCGTGCGGTGGCTCATGTGGTCTGGTGTTGTGGGGAAAAAGATAAAGCCATAGATGGCTATGGGGATGGTGATTAAGAAATCCACAATGAAGAGCCATCTCCAGCCTGGTAGTCCCCTACGTCCATTCAACGAGTTGTGAATTCCTACCTGCATGAACCCACTGAAAATTGATCCCACGAGCCCACTGCTGGTGAAGATAGCCGAACGAATGGTGAGCTCGCTTTCGCGATACCACGAACCCAAGATCAGATGTGTGCCTGAAAAGGTACAGCTTTCGAAAACTGCTTGGAAAAACCGAATTGCACAGCATTGCTGAAACGTGGTGACTCTGTACATGGAGAGCGTAAGCACACCCCAAGCAAGAGTGCAAAAACTCAGCCAAATGCGAGGTTGGACGACCAGCAAAATCAAATTGTTTGGAATCATGCCCAGGACGTAGCCCACGGTAAAGCAGGTGTTGACCAGATTAAACTGATCACCATGTAGATTCAAATCCTTCTTCATCCCAGACACGTAAGCATTGGCAAATCCGACCCTGTCCACGTAATTAATCCAGTATTGCAAGCAAACGAAGGACAAAACGAACACATCAATCTTCCACAACAGGCGTCTTTCATTGACCGATTCGGAACCGGGACAAGTTACCGGTTCTACCTCATCTTGAAAACTGGGCGTTTTCTCGGGGTTGTCGCCCATTGCGAAGTCAACACTCGATCCTTTGGCTCAGTATCCTTCGGTTTGAAAAGGTGCGATGAGTTGAGATGAGCTGTAGGTGACTATTAAACGACTTTAGTCGTGAGAATCACCTTTGACGTGGGCTAAAAAGAGCTGGTTTGAGCAGCGTACCAGCTTTGGCTTCGAATAATGGCCATTTCACCTCATCAACCACTAAATTTTGGGCTTGTAGTCTCTGCTAGAAACAAATTTTGATCGATGACTGAAACTATCAGGCTTTTTACCATTTTCTTTCCCATTTTTCCAAATTCTTTAATCTGTCAGTGCAAGCTACATTACTTGTTTTCAGGACTGGAATCCTCGCTATCGTCACCATCTCCGCCATCTAGTAGCTTGTCTATCTCATTTTTAATTCGCAGCTCGTCATCCTGCTTCAATTTCTTATTCTTGGCAGCTTCCATTTGCTGCGTGAGATACTCGTTAATGTCGTCTTGGAGACCAGTCAATTGCATCCTCACTTTGCCCAGAAACGTGAATTCGCCGTCCTTGTTACATTTAGGCTCCGCTGGCTTGTCTTTGTCGATCTGTCCTGCTTCCAAGACATAAGCACTGGGCCCCGTGGTGATGCCATTTGTAGTATTGTAGCGGTCTTGAGACGGGTTCACTTGGAACACCTGTTCTTGGACCTCAGGGGAACTATACGTAGCAAATGGCTGGGTCATCGGGCGGCTAAAATCGGTAGTGAATGGTGAAATCTATTGGCTAAGATAGCGTTATTGAAGGTTAGATGTGTGGTATGCTAGGATGTGCTTATTTCAAAGCTTTAATTGTCGTCAAGTACGTAGTGTGTACACGGCTATCGATGGCCAGTGCGACAAGCACACGCGACAGGGAAGGACCAGGATGAGCTATTCTTGCTGCTAAAGATATAGGTATTTTCTAAAGTACAAAGGCTACACGGCATGGCGGTTTGAAATCATACAAAAAAAGTGGTCGAGTCTCATTCAAAAGCTACGGTTCAGCGTTTTGACCTTAGGAGGATGAGGCCTCAGCGGCGGCCTCGTCGGATTTTCCGTTTCTGAGCATGTTGATTTCCTCTGCAAAATAGTTGTTAGTAAATGAAAGCATCGCGACGTTTTTGCAAGCTGTGTGTTTTTTCGAACATACTCTGGACGAGACTCAAAGTGGTGCCTCTGGAGCCGTCTTCTCTCTCGAAGGAGTAGTTGGCTGCGTCTGCCTCCACATAAACCAAGGCACTGCAGTGAAAGGGAAACCCAAGTTAGTAATTAGGGAACAATAAACGCGTTATGTTAACTGGGAAGTCCTCGCTTCTCACACATACCCTTTTCTCACGTATTGCGTGAGGAAATTGATCTGAGGCTCGCTAAACACCGTCACATTGTACCAGTTGGTTGCACCGTCTCTTCTGGGTTGCGAGGCAATGCTGTACTTCAGGTATTTGTTGTTGTTAGAAGATGTGTATTCGGTGAAATCCGAGCCTATGCGACCCACAATGGTCATCTTGGAAAAGTCACATCTTCTGGCCGTGGCGTGGAGCGAGCGAACTTGTTGGCGGAGCATTGGAAACAGTATTTTTGGGGTGTTAAACAGTGGTGTTGATGTGTGTTTTGAGAGGTGATGGCTGGGAAACCTTGAATTAATCAAGTTTTACGAGAATTTCGAGGCATCGGATGGCCCATGTGACCGGGAGTACTCGTACTCGTGTCTTGGGAAGAGTGGGAACTAAGATTTGGGACTGTAAGAGGGGCAGTGCAAGTCGGATTGGAAAGTGGTGTTTGCGTAAGCTGTAGGAGACATCGAGAAGTGATAAAGGGGAGAGGGACTTATCGGTGAGTTTGAGCGTGTACGTGTCACATGATAATATTAACACTGGCCAAAGGCTAAGGTGACAGCACCGTGCTTCGCCACGAAGCACAACAGTCGCTGTTCGCTCGTTTTTCGAGTTTCCAGGAGGATGGAATGTCGGTGCAACACTCTTGAAAGTTGGCTTTATCGGAGGTGGCAGTCATATCACTATATACTAAGGTGTCACGCACTGTGGCCTAATAACTGAATGTAGAGAAAGGCATTTTAAATACCCAGCCGTGTGTGTTGAAAACTCTCTTCTCAATTGCAATAAGGGCTAGAAATGCTGAGAATGCATGCTTAGCTTGTAATTCGTTATTTTCCTGTGATGAGCACGTGACTGTGTGACTGACTGGTACAATGTGACATAGGGAAGCAAACGAGGACACAAGGTTGAGGATAGCTGGTCCCACGCTCTGTGTCACAGCCTTAATCCATCCTCAAACATGCTGAGTTTCCTACCAAAGGCCAGGGAAAATAAAAATGAGAAAAAACATCCAGTATGAAACGCGATTTTTGAACTCATCCTTGGCTTTTGGCACATTGTCTGATCTTTTAAAATCATGATAGAGGTACGCCTAGCTTCTTGATCACCAGTTGTATGTCATACCGTGCAACTTCAACCAACTATGCTTGTCCAATCTCAGCAGCGACACAACCGTGTAAAGTGACACAAATATGCTTGCCTCTCAAATTTGGAAGTGTCAGCGTTCTATAGCTGCCATCAAACCAAACATTAGAGATTCCATGCTAGTCAGTGCACGAAGCCAACATCATTCGCACTCATAACCATTTCCATTTTAAAACGTTCTTCAATACACCAATACACACTCATTGTCGTGATTTCATCGATTATTATTCCGTAAATACACGGCTCTAACAATACAAAATAGCACACACAATGTGACAGCAGAGAAAACATCATCAATGACAAGAGCTCTTCTTCCTGCTAGCCCTCCCCATCTTCCTCCGAAATATCACAATAAGTGACTTTCGCGACACACTGGTACGAAGTGATATCAAAATCTCATCGTTTGCACATCGCCATAATCTCACATCAGCGTCAAAAGACCGTTCTTGAGCCTCCACTAGTCGCGATTTTTTTCAATTCTCTCCTGTCCATAATTCGAATCCCATACGGTCGAATACACACATAAATCCACGTCACGTGACCATCTTCCTCCCTGCTCCCAACAGCCTAAATTAAAGGTCAATATAGGTATCCCAAGAACACCTACGTGAACAACTCATCTCTTCCTATCCATGTAACTTTAGTACATCAATTTCAAACTATAGATTCCACTACACCTACGTATATTCATTCATTCATACATACAAAAACATACATAAACTATCATATCCATAGCATTTATATAACACTCGTCGATGTCGTTTAATAGCTATCACAGAAGAGGGTCGAGGTCAGCAGCGCAAGCGACTCTGGCGCAACAGAACCTCGACGAGTGGGAAAAGGCTAGTTTCTGTACCGTGAGTGCTCGAGACATCCAGGTGCTGAACAAACCGTCGGAGCTGGAGCTAGAGCCCGGGCTTGAAGACCAGATGAGCGAGGACTCGCGCAATTTCGGAACCACTGAAATGAGATCGGAGGTGCGATCGGAGGAATTCGCAATTCTGTCGACATCAAGCGATCGGGACGAAGCAACGGCGATTGCAGAGGCACAACAACAACAATTGGAAATCGATGAGCAACGGCGTGCAGTGTCTAACTCGCAACGGATCGACGACTGGTGCGTGCAAAACGACCGGCGCGCGCTGTCCAGTCTACGCACGCCCGCCAACAAGCGAGTCCAGGAGATCGTGGAGGCCTGGGGGGTCGAAAACGACACGCCTGCAATCCAAGTGGTGCGGGCGTTCAGGGAAACGCAGGTGGCAGCACGCCATTGCGACAATTACACCGCACATATTCTGGACCTCATGAGTCCGTTGCAGCGACTTCGGCTTCGCAGCTTTGCAGAGTCAATGCGACCTCTGCTAAATCGACGTCTAGGCGCACAGATTCCCGCATATCGATTTCGAAATTTGCCGTCTGTTTTTGTGAATCGAGATCTGCAGTTCCAACACGCACTACAGCTTGAAAACGCCGCGGCGCCAGGGTTGACACCGAGCGACGCAGAACTTGAGGAGTCGGCAACCAGCTCCCAAACTTTAGGCAGTACCTATTCCCTTCAACGGTCTTCCACCGGAATCCAGTCGTGGCGCGGTTGGAATATCGTAACTAGATTCAGCCCTGACCATATCACAAGTTACTAATTACATATTCATACAACGCTTCACAAACCTTTCAATTCCGTGTTGACTTTTTCTACCCTATGATAGCCCCATATAATTCCCAGCTACTAGAGTTCTCTTTGAGTTGACCGGTTTCCAAGTAGCGTCTGCTGCAAAAGGATCGGAAACATCAACTTCCCGGCTCTCTAACTGAAATGAACTTCCTGAGTAGTTGTTTTTGATTGTAAACTTGGCCCCCACGCCCTTTGGCGATTCGAAGGCCTTTCCAGCTGTTAAGAATCTCGCAATTAACCGTTCTTCGCCACCTCTGTGAAGCGTGATGGGCTCTTTAAATCTCCAAGTAATTCTCTTCTTCTCTTTGCTAAAAGAACCCTGGGGCTTTGAAAGTGCGCTTGTAGGAACAGCACCTTCGATCGCAACGAACACGACAAGGTCCTCGACAACTAATTGTTGAATAGACTCGTCGACCGTGGGTCCGATGCTGAGAGTCAGTGCGACGCTTGATTGGTGGTCCTCGAATCTCCATACTGGGTAAATCACAATGGGTGCAGCTGGCTCTGGAAGGGCATACTTGAAAGCGCCCAATGTCTTTGAATCAATGAACTGTGGGTTGACTTTAAAGGTATCGGGCTCAACTTGCTCTATAAATGCATGGTTGACAATAACCTTTTCGACATTTTCGAAATTCCTCATTCTAAGGTTGATGTCGATTGGCAAAGTATCGCTGTCGGCAACGAAATTCAGCGCAATTTCACCAATGAGTTGCGAGGATTTCAAAACCCCACCTTGAAAAGTAGCGTTTATGACCTCGGCCACGCTGGCGTTGAGACCAAAAGACGTGAGCTCTGAATGATGGAATATCGATTGACCTGTGCTTGCTGGAACCGATACGGAGGAACCCGTGACTTGCGGATTCAAAGCTTTCAGTTCCCCAGTCATTTGAGAAGCAATGGACGACTGGCGTTTATTTTGCTGCGCGTCAATGTCAGCTTGAGACAGATCCGTGAAAAGCCTTGATTGTATGTCAGCACGTCTCGTGCCTGGCGCTGGAGTGGGAACAGAGCCGTGTGCCTCTCTGACAAATTTGGGTGCTACGAGAAGACCAGTCTTCCGAGAGGGTGGTGGCGCAGGAACCTGAGGAGCTTGAATATGAATGGGCTGAGTAGTAGTTGGTGCGCCTTCGTTAGTTACAAGATTGGACTCGGGGGTTCCCGCTTCTAAAAGTTTCGAGTTGATTGCAGCACCTAGAACGCCGCCATCGCGCGTAGGAGTCGCGATATCGGGACTCCGCAAGTCGCCAGTGTTGGTTCTAGTTCTGGGCTGTGGTTTTAAAGATGGCTGGTTGATGGACAAAGTAGAGCTTGTCCCAGCGATTTTCGGCTTAGGAGGGTGTACTTCGGGCTCCTGCAGGTTATGGGAGGTCTCGTCCGTGGCGTGCGAGGTGTAAATTTGAGAGTCAGAATTTGAGGTCACATTAGCACTGCCATTCCGGTTCGAGTCATCTGTACGCACTGAGGAACCCTCATTTTCGGTGATAGCGCTTTCCTGCAGCCTACCAGATTTTTTATTCTTCAACTTTTTCCGCCCAAAGATCGAGCCCATCTTCGACTTCAACTTGCTTGTAGATTGCTTACTTTTGAGCGTATCGTTGTTGACAGAATCAGAAAACTCAGATTTCATTAGGTCATGCTTGACAACAGTGCCTGAGGATGAGAGTCTATTGGCGAGTCCTCCCAAGGCCCCATGACCACTCTTGACGGACTTTCCTTGCTTAGTGCCGGTATCGGATGAGGTGTAAGCAGCGTTGGAGCTCGCTGTCAGAGGTTTATTGCTGGATTCGTTGACACCTGGAACTTCGAACTTGAAATCGTAAGCCAGCGCTGCCTGGGCAAATCTGTCGATCTCGCCCTCTGCGTCGAAGTCCAAGACGCGAGCCATTGTCTTCTCACTGGCCTCTCTATTTTGATTGCAGAAGTCAATCAGCCCGCTTTCGTACTTGGAAACGCAGTCTTGCAGCTCGAGAAGCCGTCTGTAATCGGTTTCTTCGAAAATCTCAAAAAGACCAGCAGCTTTTGCGTCCCATTGATCGTTTATTTCGCTCAGTCTTCCCGCGTCTATGGATTCCAAGCCAGCATTTTCTTGTTGCGTGAGTTGATCGTGTTCTGCTGCTACTCTGCAGAGACCAGAGTGCAGTTTTCTGCTCTGTAACCATAAAGGATCCCTTTCCGTCGACTCTTTGAGATTGGCCGCAATGTTTTGATCAAGAAGGTGGTACAGGTCAGTGCTGGATTGCAATTCCGTTTTCAGTCCATCGAGGATGCCGTCCCACAGTCCTGTCAATTGGCCCAGGGAGTCAAACCGAAAGTCCCGCAACTCGTCCGATGTCAATACTCGACTTTCAAGCATGTCCCGCATCAAAAGCTTGTTCAAGTCCTCATTCTTGGCAATGATTTTACGTAACTGTTGCGCCTGGTAACGTTTCAGCTCCGATAGTTCGCGAAACATCAAGAAGAACTGTTTGTTTACGAGTTTGGCTTGCGAAAGTCGCAAACGAATAATCTCGGTCGCCTCGAGAGGCTGTTTGTCCACCAAAATTGTGGAAGCATATTTACTGCGTTCAGGGCTCATGGTCAAACGTTAAGAGGACCTATTATGACTAAATTATAGGCCAAGAACACTGTTCAGATCTACTGATGACAACTGTGTTTAAAAGGTGACTTCAAAATATCCAGCTAATTAGATATTATTAATCATGTTACACGAGCTGGTGGGAATGGCTAACTACTGATCTCATCAAAAATTAGGCCAAGCGATGAGTTTGAGATGCGCCTGATGTAGGGGCTATCACTGAGCGCTGCTGTCATTTGTGTTTGATGTTTTTCCTGTCAACAGGATCTGTGAGTCTTGACTTTTTTTATTTTTTGGAAAATGCCGTGGTTGGGTGGTGGTCGAACCGAGATGATCCTTAAGTTTGTCGATCAAACCTGCCCAATTGCACTCTTATGACTCTCTCTTAGGAAAGTAACACGGTCGTTCACATATTGGCAGACTTCAGTCCATTTTGCAGTGCCATATTTGTCCTTCAAGTAGGCAAAATTAATTACTTTCGTGGAGCACAAGGCGGACTGGAGTACCTCGAAATTGAACAATTCGATATCAAAGTATTTGATCTTTTTGAGATTGTGGAAGGACCGGAATTGGGATCCGTCGGGGTTGAGGTAGATCTTCTCGTTATAGAGCTGCCATGGGTCAAACTTGTGGTAACTGGCGTGTGCGAACATTACGTCGATGTCGGATTTATCCCTCCGTTTCTGTAAATCATTGTAGAAACCATCCTCTGCGTCATAAGCGGGATCGAATTTTTGATATTCCGTCATATCCTTTCTCACACGGCTAATGGCTCTTTCATGTAATTCGAAATCCTGTACACAATCGTGTTGCAGCAGGGCTACGCCGGAAAATCCGCCATTGGAGTGGTAGCCATCGAATGCCAGTTTTGTTTTCACTTGGTAATAAGGTAGTCCCAATACGTGAGCCGCAGTGGCAAACGTTTCCTTGTCACCTTCTCCTGCAGTACCTTGAGACATCAGCGAGTAGTACCATTCGGGCCCGTACACGTTGTAGTAAAGAGCCAAAAGCAAAGTTTGCAAATGGCGGACTTTGTCGATGATCATTTGTCCAGATTCAGAAGTGGGGTCTGGAACAGCGCCTTGCAAGTCGTGAAATGGAATCGCGTCCAGGTCCAATTTTTCACCGGGTTTTTGGTAGCGCGAGGGAGGAGAGACATCATCCCCCAGGTTGCGCACTCTGTCGTTCAAGTCGACATCCACATTGGCAATGCGGTAAAACACGGGTGCAGTGACACGTCTCCAAAGATCGGGCCACAACACCAGCCCATTCTGTTTGACTACATCGCTCTTGAAAACAGAGTCTAGATTTTTCAGTGGAAAGTCGTCCGCGTCAATGAATACGATTTTTTTGAAACTGGAGATCAGAAGCGCCACGGACTTGATTTGGTATCGCTTGAATTCCCAGGCACTGAGCAGATCTTTGGGCAAAACGTCACTGAAGAAAACACAACGGCCATTGAGCTCGGGCAGAACTTCATTGCAGTAGTGTTCCTCTCCCGCTTCGTCCTGAGGTGGAATCACAACTTCAACGGGCAAAGTCGACCCCCGTTCACGTAACGTTTTTATCATCGTGTAGGAAAGCAGTGAAAATCTGCCGCCGCCCACGGTGACAAAACCTTCTTCCCGGGGGAAAAGCTGTTCGTGTATCGATGAGCTGGATTCGTATTTGAATAAGCCTCGTACGGCTGCTAAGAATCCTGTGTGTGGGGCCTGTAGGCCTTCGAATTGCAAATTCGACAGCTTGTAGCAGCGATCGAGATTCTTGTACGTGGTGCGAGCCACAGAGTCGCCTTTATTGATACCAGAGCTGCCCATATCGCATCCGGACAGTTTCACAGACTCCCGTTGCTTGGGAGGATGAATCGGACTGAACTTCTTGATGTTTTGGAAGACTTCGGCATAAAACTTCTCTCTGACCGATAAGGACGGATTTAGATGTCTGTGAACTGAGAAAAGCACTAGTGTGGCGACTACAACCACAAAGCAGCTCGCGAGCAGCTTTTTTCTGAGCGCAAGCATTGAAGGAAGCGAGAAACGCGCTGCTTTTTGGGTTGGTGTGAAGTTCAAGGTAAGATCAGCATTATAGATGATTTTGCTGATTGTAGACTTTGGCATTGTGTACGGGTTGGACTGATCGAGCAATGGCATATAGCTGAGACTCGAGCCATAGGCTGGCAAAGAAGGGGTTCACAATGCGAGTTCGTGCGATTTGGGAGTGCTGACATTGATGTGAGATTTATGTATGATTTATGTGTGGTTTAAGAAGTGGCGGGATGTTTTCTTGGTGGCAATAATTTTTGTCTGGGTTGACGGAACATTTTGAGATGACGGTAACGAAGAATAATTACGGGATGCTCGAGCCAGAAAAAATGCTTTGCTTCGAATATGTGCAAAAGATTTTAACTTTGTGGGTGGGGTCGTTGGTTTTGGCTATATATTAGTAGATGAACAACCGTTGTCAGACTATGACAGTTTTAAAAAAACAGTGCCCTAGGGTTGAACTCTTTTGTCTACCTTGTTGAATCTGAGATTTGGAAGAAAGAACGCAGTGTATTAGGGCCGACGAAAGACACAAGTGTGTATGTGGCGGATTCCTCCCTGTACTAAATCGCGGTTGTAGGTAACTTATGTCACTTTATACCAAAGCGACATCTGTCGCTATAATATATACATGATAACGCCAGCATGCATTGGGAAATACATGAAGGCGAAGGCACAGTAACAAGAAACTAAGGACAATGAGATTGACTAGATAAAAAGTGGAATACTTATTTTTTTGAACGTCTTGGAATTTCTTATGAATTTCTCATGAATTTCAACCGTACGTACTAAATGTCTTGGAGATCGCTTACTGAACCGCTTGGAGTTTTCCCTGACACGCAAAAATGTTCTAATGACGACTTACACAGCGCGATGGGAAACGACGTAGGTTTTTTCTCGAATCAGTTCAAGAGACAAATTTCTCTAAACCTGATCTTTACGTTTTTTTAAATTGCAAGAATATAAAATAAACGCTATTTCACGAGACTTTTCGACATGAAAAACAGCGAACTACAGCTCGCACTGACGCTCGGTAAGCTGATTAACGTACCAACGCGGCGGCCAGCTCACATGAACAGTAGTAGCCCCATCACGTGATCTTTGTAGATGACTCGATCTTTCAACGTTGTCATTCATTCAGACTCTCATCGTGTAACTCACCATATAAGCTACGTGTTTCCCTCTTTTCTCACCATTAAATCAACCCTTGTCAGACGATTTATCATTGAAACTTTATGTTTTCGACTAATTTTCTGTCATTTAGATTGCTGCAGTAAACAACAAAAATAAGACATACCATGGTAAACTTACAATTTTTACACATCCACAACGGCCAAAACGCACCATAAAAAGGGAATACTAAACTCAAGAAAATCATTGAACTACCAAGGGTGAGTGTTTCCAAGTTTAGCTTTTCGATACCGATCAGAGTATACCAAAAAACCAACTTCTGCGGCGCCAATTGTGTAGCAATTCATCAAATACAAACAACGTCATCTGCCATCATTTGAGTGCATACAAACGCTAACGCAAAAAAACCAACTGTACAAGAATTATCATCTTCCTGAGCACAAGCTCCTCTTTTCATATGATATGTTCTTCAAGTGCCCTTCACATTTTTAACACACAGCACACATCCCACTTTTTTCGCCACAAATCACATTTGGTTTGAGAGACGTTCCCAAAATTTACAAGATAGCCAGACTCGATCTCTGTCACGACAGATTGCCCTCGATCACAGTCCATCGTTCTCCTTCCTCGTGGTGGAAGTCTTCTGTTACTGCGTTTTGTTCGCGTTTCACGACGCGAAAATTCAACACACTTCTTCACCACCTGCATTGAGAACACGAACGCGATTTGAATAGCTGCCGCGTTATTGTTATTGTCATTTCAGTACTCATAGTCCGCCAAAAAAATAAAACTTGAAGGTTGGTCTTGTGTTTGCCCAAGCTGTGTATGCTGTGGCCTCAAGTTCTCGTCCCTGTACTGCGTGAGCCCTTGAATACATCTGAGCCAGATCGTGGATTCAAATCATCGCGAAGAGGGACTCTGTATACTAGTGAACAATGTATGGTGGACACCGAGGCCGGTTTCGCAAGGTTTCGGAAGCCCCCGGTGGAGGGTCTCCAGGACGTGCTCAACAGCGAGACGTACTAGTGTTCTTGAGCCCTGACGAGCAAAACAAACGCGAGAAACTGACGTTCTCTTCGCTTGAAAGCCATAGGAAGCCTTTGGAGCAAGTTGATGAAAGCTCAGAGCTGCTGGACAGTTCTGACCACCGCAACAACCTACAGTTTTACAAAGAATCAGCATGCGATGACTACGGGAACGAAGATTATCATGACAACAACAGAAGCCCACCTGGGAAACCTCCTTTGTCAGGTCTGACCAGAAGTGCGCGAACCCTGAATCTGGTACAGGTTCCTGCCATTAACGACTACATGGACAACTGGAGTCCTTTCGAAGAACGACCCGAAACGCCTGCCAACCTTAAACGTACTGCAAGCAAAAGCGAACTTTCTCCCTTCGTCAACGATCCCGAGGTGCTGCGCAAGTGGATGTATAAGAAGGTCGAGGAGTCTCCGAACAAATCCAAGAGCAGCTCCTTATCCCCGTCACAGACTCACTTCGCCAAGCAGCGGAAAACTTACTCTCAACAGGCCTTTTCTAATGCAAAACCTGATCAAAGTGCATTTATGTCTACAGGCCTCAAATCGAAAATGCAATCGCATCTCATGCCGCAGGTATTTAGCACACCAGACACACCTGTCAAAAAATCGCCACTTAATAAAAGCGCTAATACAACATCCATAATGGACTCCCCCATGCATTCCTACACATCAATAACTGCACCGTATGGGTCTATAAACCAATCGCCATTAAGTGCTGCTCATAGCAGATTCAATTCTTCCAACATCACACAATCCTCACTTTCCCTTGGACAAAACAAGCATGCCAAAGCTTCGAAGGTGTTCAGCAATACTGTTTTGACGAATACTTTGCAGCAATTCACAGATGATCTTTACGGAAACGACGACGACGATGCGTTTTTGTCTGATTGCGCTCCTTCGACAGCTCCCACGGTAACGTTTTCGGGAGATCCAAACAGTCCATCGCATACTCCTACAAAGTCTCCATACGCCGTACGACAGCCTTCTCCTTTCCTAGCCTCGAAACCAAAGAGATCCATCAATGCTAAAATAAGCAGGGCAACATCTCCATCGTTGGAACAATTACAAATAAGCCCTGACTCGCACCTAGCTACCAAGTTCAGCAACGTTGGTACCATTGGAAGTGGTCATTTCTCCAGTGTTTACCAAGTGACCTTCGAACAAACGGGCATCAAATACGCAGTCAAGAGCATGCGACCTAATAAGTTCAACTCAACGGCTAGAATTTTGCAGGAAATCGAAATTCTATCGCAAATAAGCGAAACTACCCTGGATGAAGAGGGAAAAGACTATGTGCTTAATTTTATAAGCTCATGGAAATTTCAAGGGAATTTCTACGTTATGACAGAGTACTGTGAGAACGGTGATCTGGACTCTTTTTTGAAAGAGCAGGTAATGAGCAAGAAAACGCGGCTTGAAGATTGGCGAATATGGAAAGTTATCGTGGAGCTGAGCCTGGCGCTCAATTTTATACACGATTCTTGCCAAATTGCTCACCTGGATATGAAGCCAGCAAACGTGTTGATTACATTTGAAGGTAGCTTAAAGCTGGCGGATTTTGGAATGGCTGCGAAGCTACCTGTTGTCAATAATGGCTTGGAGAACGAAGGCGACCGAGAGTACATCGCGCCAGAAATCATTTCCGATTGTATATATGATTTCAGGGCTGACATTTTCTCGCTGGGACTAATGATAGTTGAAATCGCAGCCAACGTCATGCTGCCTGATAACGGGAACGCGTGGCACAAATTGCGTTCGGGCGATTTGTCCGATGCTGGGAAGCTCAGCTCCACCGAAATACACTCACAGTCATTGTTTTCAAGCACGAATACCACCACAGAGATCACTAATATATCCTCACAGGGGGAAGCTAAACTCGATTTTCTGGTCGACAGCTGCAACAAGATTCCGGCGTGGGTGCCAAAATTTCTAATCGATGGTGTTTCTCTCGAGAGAATGGTACGACGCATGATAGAGCCAGACTACCGGAAAAGACCTACTGCAAGCGAGATTTTGCACTCAGAAGAATGCAAGTATGTGGAAATGACTCGTAAGGCCGGCGCCATAGTTCAAGAAGATGATTTCGGGCCCAAACCCGAGATGTTTATGTAAATAACTTCTGATAATATGATTTTAGCATAATGAAAATAGTTCCAAAGTCAATTCTCGGACAATCATCTTGATAAATGCCATTACTTCGAATCAAGGTGTCAGAATTGAGCAGATCTGACAAAACAGCTATTTTGACGTCGTTGTGGGAGCGACAGAAGCCCTGGTCCAAGAATGCTAGTAATCGCGTACATAGTGACCACCTTAGCTGGAAAATTCAGTATTACAGGTCAAAGAGAAGAGTTGATGTATATTAACTTGATCAAGGCCAGATAGATATACGTTCGCGATAGCATTAAAGCTCAATTCGATCGCTGCAGTGAGACTCTATCGAGTCTGTTCTTCTTGTTTCCTCAAGCTGTCGCTGTTCGGGAAATTGAACGAGGACGTTTACGAAACGCGACACTTGAAGAGTTCTTGACTGAGATACAATGATGAAGTTCAAAAACACCAATTAGCTAGATAGTATCTGAAATTTATTAATGATTTCAAGTGTTTATTACAAACTGACGTATCATGTAGAACACACTGGTTTACGAAACTACGAAATTCCGATATCTTGAAGCAGTACAGGCTCGTACGTCGAGGCGTGAGTCTTGACACAGCACGATACGATGATACGAAACTCTGGTCTCTAAAACCAACAGGCGTTGCGTGTTCTAGCATTGCAATAATGTACTATAGAGAATTATACAGTCTTCCCACCGATAGTGCGGGACCTTGATGACAGCATGAGATGGATAAAAAGACAGGAAGCCAGCGAAATGCGTGATCCGCTTACAAGCCCATCTTCGTTCTTCTCCAGTGTCTTCTCTTGGCGTTGTAACGAATCTTGTTGCCAGTTCTCATTCTGACCCATTGAGGCAATGGTCTGTTCTGGTTCTTGGCCTTAGCCAACTTTTGCTTGATTCTGAAAGACTTTTGGGCCTGTAGAAAGTGAGTTAGTAAAATGCGAACGCAGGTGGGTGGGGGGTTGGTTATGCGATCGACGAAGAATAAATGGGGGTAGTGGGAGTAGCTTCACAAGACCAATTTGGCCAGTGCACGTATTTCTGGGGGGATTTTTCGTAGGTGACACACAGTGTAATGAAATATAGGATTATCTTTGACTTCTTAACCTCCAGTTCATTCACACAGCACTATTCTACTCCACTAGGTTCACACACTCATAAATCATTGCATTACAGGCATTTTGTCCAGGTTTTGTTCAGTTCTGTCCCATGTTTCTCAGGTTTCTCAGGTTTCTCAGGTTTCTCAGGTTTCTCAACTTTCCTGTCTGTTGATGCTCTCCCACTCTCTCGGTCTCGCTAGAATCCTCTAAAATCAATCGCATCCATCACGTATCACTCGTTATTGAACATACAGCCATCGTTACAGTCGTTGGTTTATGCTGTCAATGAAGCAGTGTGTGGTCGAATTCAACTTTCGAGAAGTATACCCAGTAAACTTTCCAAAGCCAGGACAGAACCAGTGCGGCGGCGCCCGTGCGGGCCTGCCAGACCGGTCCAGGCAGAAACGCTAGGCTGGACGGCTAATCGCTAGGCAGGGCATTGCGACGGCTAGACAGAGACGCCACCCTCAGGCTCTGCCTAGCGCTGCCTGCCTCTGCCTAGCCTCCAGACAGACCTACGTTTTTTTGCGTCGGTTCTGATGTGATTTTTTTTCACATTTGACACCCACGCAAAAAATTATCTCAAAAACCGCAAATTTCAAAAAAACCCTAACACCACACTGTCTTTCGACCACAACCAAAACACAGTCACTCATCGAGCCTGAAATTTTTCAGTCCCAGTGCACACGCGTGTGAATACCGGAGAGCTGGCCTGTGCTTTGGTTTGACTTCTTGAACATCACTGCAAGTGGGTATTCTAGAGGAATTATAGCATTAACTGTTATCGCATAGACCGAATCGATCAAAATGGCCAGAGCCTCCGTCCTAGCTGATGCCTTGAACTCCATCAACAACGCCGAAAAGACCGGCAAGCGTCAAGTCTTGATCAGACCTTCTTCCAAGGTCATCATCAAGTTCTTGCAAGTCATGCAGAAGCACGGCTACATCGGCGAATTCGAATACATCGACGACCACAGATCCGGCAAGATCGTCGTTCAGTTGAACGGTAGACTGAACAAGTGCGGTGTCATCTCGCCAAGATTCAACATCAAGTTCAACGACATCGAGAAGTGGACTGAGAACTTGCTTCCAGCCAGACAGTTCGGTTACGTTATCTTGACCACCTCTGCCGGTATTATGGACCACGAGGAGGCCAGAAGAAAGCACGTTGCCGGTAAGATCTTGGGTTTCGTTTACTAAGCTGAGCGAACCCACAGAAACGCTGTGACATAGAGCAAAACAATATGTAAACGTGTATTTTAAGCACTGAGCCAATTGAAACCGCGGCCGATGGGCCGAGCGGCACTCATTGAGCGCTATTCTCCGGGGCCCGGAGTGGGGTCCCATGTCTGCCCGATGTAGAGTCCTGCAGCGACAGTAAATTCGTCTGCTCTATCTTGAACAAGTAAACTAGATGATCATGAATCTCTCGTAGACCAATTATACAAAGAGAACGTTTCTAGACACTCCACGAGCTCTGTTCGATTGTCTGGATGTCAATGCAATGCAAAAACACCAGATTTCATTCAGCATTGGCATGTATTCTCTGGCATTGTCACTGATAATCATCGCAAGTGACGAAACTGTTAATTGGATTTATTAGCTATAGCGCAGACATCACCAAACCAACATCACCACCACCAAAGCCTGAGACAGGCCCAGCTAACTCACAAGGCTACTCCTAAATCGCAAAATCTTCATTGCAGTATCAACGTAACGTATTAACTTACAAAAACGTATTTTAAAGTACAATAAATTGTAGATGAGTTGTGGAAGTGCACTTTCTTTCCATAAGAGGAAGATAAGACGAAAAGCAAATCACAATCTTCTACCTCTTCTACCACCCTTCTTTCTGGTGGAGTCAGATGGGACTGGGGTAACATCTTCGATACGGCCGATTCTCATACCGGATCTGGCCAAAGCTCTCAAAGCGGCCTGACCACCTGGACCTGGGGTCTTGGTTCTGGTACCACCGGTGGCTCTGATCTTGACGTGTAGAGCGGTGATGCCGACTTCTTTGCACTTGACGGCAACGTCCTGGGCAGCCAACATGGCAGCGTATGGGGACGATTCGTCTCTGTCGGCCTTGACCTTCATACCACCAGTAACTCTGGAGATAGTTTCCTTACCAGACAAATCGGTGACATGCACGAAAGTGTCGTTGAAAGAAGCGTAGATTCTGGCAACGCCAAAAACCAAAGAGGAGTCGCGAGCTTGAACTAGATCTGAAAGAAAATAGATTGTCAGTATGCCAAAATCGAAAGCGGAAAAATGTGTCGTTTGTCTAAAACCGCACAGAAGCTCCTAAAACGCGTGATTGGTGTGTTGCAGGACCGCTGAGATCATGAAATCGTGAAGTTCGCAATGAGCAACCATTATCATTAGCCGCATCACCCGCCCCGCTCTTCTTCCAAATCTGCGTGCAAACACTGCCATAGCCGTTTGCACAGAACAACCGACCACAGCTGATGGATCTCGAGCCCGAGAGTGTCCAAAAACCGCTGGAAAATCGTTCTGCGTTGCTCAAACTTGCTCGAGCAAAAGACCAAATGCTTTAAGAATCAACTAAACGGTTTTAAACAGGAGACCACCCCTTTACGTACCTTTAGCCATTCTTGATGTCTTGATTTCTTGGGTATGAAGCCTTCCAAGTGACGAAATTGAGAATTGGAACTTTTATGGGACCATGGTCGTTCTCCGGGTTGAACGGGCCGTCTGCCTAGAATTCCAGTCTGCGTGGGTTCAGGCTAGGCTGGCCAGGCTGAGCGGGCTCTGTCCACGCGTCTAGCTTTCACCCTGCTCTGCCCAGAATACTTTCGGACTCTGCCTAGCCCAGCCTGGCACTAGGCTGGTCCCTGCCTAGAGCACCTCTGCCTAGCACGAGGCGCGGGTCCGTAAAAAATGTATTGAGCGAAAATGGTAATATTTGTATTGTCAAAAAATAGGATATCTGGACAAGATGTATGGGCGGTGAAGTGACAGTCACTGGTAAGTTGTGATTATACCAGCATCAGAGACGATAGAAATGCGACTCATTACTTGAACTAGGTTGTCCACCTGTTTTATTCCAAGTGGCTCACGTATCGCAGTTGTAGATAAATTTTACTGTAACTCGACTTTCAATTCTTGTGGGCTGAAAGAGACGATAGCGTAGGGCCCCGTCAGCTTTCTTGGCGATGAAATGTGCGACAAAACCAGTCGTCTGTAATCCACACGTAACATGACTTTATTTCTACTCTAAAACTACAGATATCAGAGATCTACAACCTACGTGACCATACATTTCACAAGACTTGACCCAACTACTCTACGCGTGTTTCCTCCGAAGACGACACTACGTGCAACTCGCACTCAAATATGTTCGACGACAAACCTGCACAAAGACCTGAATCCCCGTGCATTCGTGGTCTGCGCATCACAATTCTTTCTCGAACTGAGTTGTAGAGAAGATATTGTCTTGATTAGTCACAAATCCACTACAATAATACTCGTTCTTGAATGTAAATGTAAATTGGTTTGTGAAAACATCTCTATGGTAGTTGATGAACTTAACTTTGAATGGGCCTTTTTATACTCGAAAATTTCAAAATTCGAAAAATATAGAATGATAGCCCTAGAAGGCCATAGTGCTATAACAATTCATCATTTGACAAGCTCTCACGAAAGTACAATGCTTCTTGAATACCTATGTATATTTTTGAGCTTCTGGGCCGCAGCTGAAGGTGCCAATGTGAAGGGAAAGCTGGATCTTTCACCTTTTAACGTAACACGCAAAACTGTGGCGAACACTGATTTCAAGCTCATTCAGGTTGGCGGCAACGATGGCCACGCTTACGTAGCCCATGCAAAAATTCACGACCTTGACGGCAACTTCAAATTCGAAAATGTGCCCGAGCCAGCAGAAAACACCAATTCCTCCACATTTTTCGTACTTCAAGCGTCGTCCCTCGAGTTCAATCTGAAGCCCAATCGCATCTTGGTCAGCATCGAACGGGACCCACAGGACGCCACCAGGCTCGTCACAAAAGCGTTCCGGAACGTTTTTGGCAAGGAGAACTTCCCCTCGCCAGAGATCCAACATCCGGAAAAACTCGAAGAGATTCCATTAAAGTCCCACATCCCCATCACGCTTGTCAACAAAGCTCCGCTCAGGATGTACGTGCAGGAAAGGAACGCTAGTTTTCTCAAGAGCGGACCAATCGCCGGCATTCTCAATTCCAAATTTAAACTCGCTGCGCTTATTACCGGGGTCATTGCGCTGATTTTCCCCACTATCTTCAGCAAGCTGGAAACCGCAGGTGCATTATCAATGGCAGAAGATAAGCTGCTCCAGCAACAAGTGCAGAAACAGTCCGACCAGAAAGAAGTTCAAAGTGAACTTGAAAACATCAAGGCGAAGGCCTAAATTTTTCGCTAAAAGAGCCCTAAAAAAAAGGTTTGGAATTGTGCTTCGCACTACTTTCACCATCGAGAGAAGCTCCAGGCGACTTATAAGCGTCCTCAGACACCAATAGCGACCACTCAGCATCAAACAGCTTCAACCTTGCTACTCAATCACTATAGACGAGCTCATCGTATTAGAGTTTTAACCAGCTATTCAGTTTCTGCCTGTACTTCCATAAGGCATTAAAAGTAACAGCCTACCAGCACCTTTAAACCTCGACTACTGGATACCAAATGGCTGTTGTTGAGGCCGACTTTCTAAATGTCATGGCAGAGGTGCTGGATCTCCAGCCTCATGAGTCACCAGATGAAGATACAAGCAAGACGCCCTTGAGTGAAATATTGTGGGGAATACTCACCGATTGCCAAGATAAAGTCGAAACTCTTGACCACGCTCTTATTTCAGAATATGTATTCGAACAGTTGAATTCCAAGTTTGTGAACTTAAGCGAGGGCGAAGATAACTTCAGAACGGATCAGCCCGAAAAATGGTGCACCCTTTTACATGCTGCTTCACAAGATTCTGGTCTTGAATTTGTTGTCTTTGCACACATTTTGTTAAACCTCTCATATCTATCGCTGATAAATGCACAGAAGCTCAGCCGGATACCGAATCTGAAAGATGGTCTATGGAGAATTTTGACCCATAAGCCCTCATTTTCAGAACTGATAGCAGCTGCCATAAGTGAGCTATATACACAAGTTCTGGCTGCTGACTGCTGTCCCAAAGATGTCAAGAATCTATACGAAGAGGCGAAAAACGGTTCGAAAATAGCACTCGGAGTATTGAACACTTTGGGAAATGCGCTATCTGATCCCAGTTGTCAGAGCTACATATATTTCGAAAATGGTTACAAGTCATTCGAAATCAGTCCACCAACTTCGCAGTTTTGTATACAAATTTGGGCGATCTTTCATCGTGTGACATCAAATCGAATATTCTCCTTGAACAATAACCTCTTTATCGAAATACGGCAATCCATTCTGTGCATTTCCGATGATGAGTTTGTTCTTGCGATGTTTGAAACATTTGAGTTCACCACCGATGTCTTTTACAACGTGACGCTGAATGTGACAGGAAACGCATTTTCGCTGTACGTCGATGGCGCTCCCATCGAGACTATATTAATTCCACATGCATCACAACGGACCTTAAGAAATATGGAGCTGGGCTCCATGATTTCGTCATTCAAAGTTTTTAAGTTTCGGGTATGGTCTGAACCGCTTTTCGAGACTTGCGTAAAGTTGACCAACCAATTACCACTATGGCAGCCAGGTGACCTCATAGGCAACAGTACTTCACAAAAAAAGGCATCTGGTGAGTTTGATGCGAGCTTTTTGCAAGACGTTTGCCAGTCTATTGAAACGCCGGGCATGACTATGGGACTTTGCGCACAACATGCGCAGCAATTGAGGAAGTCAAATCTGGTCATAAATTTCGCTCCACTAGAGATAATGGATGGGATCGAAATCCCGAATTGTGATGATTATTCCTTGATTATAGACGAAGAGAGCTCTCATGACATTGGAAAGATATTGTATTTTAAGCGTTCTCCCTCACTCGCATGCTTCGAAGCTATATGTGTCAATGATCAAATTCTCAGCCTAATACAGGGCAGCGAAAATCTTAATGATCTTTACGAGCACATGGAGCATTTCACAACAATGATGCGCTGCACGAAACTGAGGAGTTTCTTTGAAGAGACAATCGGTTATGATTTTTTAAGTGTTTTCCTTGGTCTAGAAGTGCTGCCTAGATTTAACGCTAGCCTGTCACTCCCTTTCATGAACCTTTTTTTGGAATTTTGCGGGTGGGATACCAAGCATGCAAGTAATTCCATTTTGAAAAATGGCGAGGCTTGTTCTTCTTTGTTGCTGAACTTCAATTGGTGGACAGGTAACGAGTCTTCCTTCGCAAAAGATCCAACCATTGAAATTCTCCGTTATCTTTTCTTCCAGTTCCGCGAAATGCTGGAAAACTCCAAGTTCTCGAATTTCAATTATCAACAACTAACCAAATTACAATTTTTGGATAGACTGACAATGTATCTCGACTTATCTTTTTCGAGTTCACATCAAAGGCAGTTCGCTGAAGGCGTTCGCGATGAAATAGCCGAGGTTCTAAAGACCCTTTTGAAAAAATGTTCGAGAAGCGATGTGACCTCATTATTCCATTTTGCATACTACGAAGTAAAGAAAGGGCTGGAGGAAAGCGCGTCTTTGGTTATGGTATCCCTGAATTGTGCGCTGCTGGAAATGATGGACGCTGAAGATGAGGGCAGCAGATCAAGTCTTCTCGAATGCTTTCCTGTTAAACTCATACTAATGATCATCGACGCAGCTCACTCCATCAGTGTAATATCAAGTGCTCTGAGCATGCTGATAAAATTTTTAGAGCTGAGTCCTCCCTCACACTCAAAATTTGTCAAAAACAATGGTTACCGCATCCTTTTTGATATCATCAAAGAGACAAAATACCAGGACTACGAGGAATTGATTTCTGTGATAGTGAGACGTAATGCTACCAATGTCCATCATAGCGGCACCGAAAGCTGCATTGTATCACGCATAAGCAGCACCGAGCCGGACAGTCACTGCCTGATAGTCGACCTTTTGGAATGGACTGTTTTGAATGACATTAGAGCTTCCTCCCATATTGACGTAAGCAGTATCATCTGCAATTATATGAAAACAGTCAGCAATTTGCAGGAAATTCATCCAGAATGTGTTTTGTTCGACGCGCGGCGCAGCTCATTTCTTGGGAAACTTTTAGGGCTTCTCATGACCCTACAGAAACCACAAAATACCGATACGTATTGTCACGCATCTCAACTTTTGACGAGTGCATTAACCAATGCGCTTCTATACCACCTAACGTCTCTCAACTCAAAAAGTTTTGCTGACCAATTACTTTACTTGATTAAAGGTAAAGGGAGCAAACCCAACAGGCGTTACTTAGAGCAGTTTTACTGGCTATTTCCATTTGGAAATGTCCTTCAGCAGCTGGAAACTTTTATACCGTCTTATACCGAGCTGTTCCAACAGAGTGACTTCAATATCGTCAACATTGTTCACTTATTAGAAATGTTTACCTCGAGCCCAAGTTTTTTCGATTTAGCTGCTGAGCAATACCTCCATACCCACGCTATTGCCACCTCGTGTACCGGCTGCTTAGGTCGCCTTACAATGGAAAATCAACTTGCGGGCGCTGTCCGCATTTCCCTCAGGAAAGTCGACTTTCGAACAACCGTTGCATTTTTTGGCACTATAGAAAGCCGCGCGCCCGAAGCTCTGTCACCGCTCATAAGAAAGTATATCGACATAACCTTGATGCATCAATTTACTTTTTATGGCGTGAACAAACAGGCAGAAACCCCAGATCTGGAAGCTGTTTCCTTCCTTTTCACATCTCTTGCCTGGTGTCTATCTTTTCAAGGTATTTCAGGCGCGCAGTCCCCAATCCTCAATTGTCTGCGTATAATTGTACTCCATCATGAAGACCTGCTTGAAGGCATCTCGAACCTCATCGATCGCAGTCTGAAGGCGAAGCTGATGAAAGTTTTATTGTCTTCTTTGTCCGCTAGCGATGAGGATCTTCTAAAATCTTTGTCTTCCAACGACGTGCAGCCCGCTTTGGAAGCATACACTCGAAAACAGATAAAGTCATACAGCAGAAGTTTATCCAAACAAGAACCTAAAGGAAAGTTGGCTAGACTAGAAAAAGGTCACATTTTTTTGACGCAAAGGGAAGCAGCTCTCGAAAGACGGTTAACGGAAATTGAAGATATGCACAAAACATTCAGCCGTGACGGACTCAGAGCAAGTGAGACTATAGTTGGTATCGAAGACAGAAAGCTGCTGTATTTTCGGAGCGACCGAGAAGACGAGCTGATACTTTTTTGTCAGCGCTATCGCGAATTCGAAAAAAGAACGTATAACCGTCGAAGAATTCATAATTGTGGTATCACTACCGAAGAGTGGACATTAGACGCCACGGAAGACTCGAATCGAATGAGAAGGCGGCTGATACCCAACTGCAGCTTACCAAAAGCCTTGACACATATTCAAGAACTTAATAATGACATCTCAAAATCAACATGTAATGACCTGCCTGAATGCCGCAACAGCGAACGGAGAGCTAACAGTATCATGTCATTTGAAGTCATCAATGAATTAGATATGTTGAACTTCGAGAGTCAAGAAAGCCCTGATAGAAACAGGAAGGTTCTCAAGATGCTCCAAAAAGGGGATATGATAAGACGTATTTGGAATTGCAGTAACGTCGTTGGGCTTAATATCAGCGAGGGAGTTTTGGTTCTGGGACACGAGTTTTTATATTTTCTCGCCGGTTTCTTTTATTCCGTGGGAGACTCGAAAGTAGTAGAGTTATGGGATGCTCCTCCTGCAGAAAGAGACCCTGCTGTGGAGCTAATTCGTGGCTCCGGAAACCAAGACAAAGTAGTCAAAACAGAACACTCAGTTCAACGTTGGAAACTAACCCGGGTTTCTTTCATCCTGAGAAGACCTTTTCTGTTGAGGGACTCGGCCATCGAGATATCCTTCGACGACGGAACAGGATGTTTCTACACGTTCCGAAACAAATATTGGCGAGACAATGCCTACCAATGGTTGGAAAGAGGTGGAAAAGGGCCAAAGAGCAAAACAATTTTGTCCGACGTACTTGAGGAATTAGCGGCCAAGAGCGAAAACATCAGCGTTAAAAATGGTCTCTCTGAATACAAGCTTTCGGACAAGGTTGCGAATGTCTTTTCTTATAGCAGCAATTCATCCCTTTCCTTTAAAGCGTTAAAGCTATGGCAGTCGGGCCAAATCTCAAACTTTTATTATCTTACCGTTTTGAACACATTGGCCGGAAGAACGTTTAATGATATAACCCAATACCCAGTGTTTCCTTGGGTTATTGCGGACTATCACAGCGAAGAGCTAGATTTCAGAAACCCTCAAACTTTTCGGGACTTGTCGAAGCCTATGGGAGCGCAGTCGGAGCCAAGAAAACAGCAATTTACTGAGCGATTTGATGCCTTAAAGGATTTGGGCGAAGATGAGCCACCATTTCACTACGGCACCCACTATTCATCGGCAATGATTGTCTCCTCATATATGATGCGGCTAAAACCCTTCGTTGATTCATACTTGTTACTGCAGGATGGGAAATTTGGCCATGCGGACAGGCTTTTCAACTCTATCGAACGAACTTGGACATCAGCTTCTCAAAAAAATACCACTGATGTGAGGGAACTAATTCCTGAGTTCTTTTATCTTCCCGACTTTTTGAAAAACGTAAACTCTTACGAGTTAGGTCTTTTGCAGAATGGCGACAAGGTAGATAACGTTTTATTACCTCCTTGGGCCAAAAACGACCCAAAGCTTTTCATTGCCAAGAATAGAGAGGCTTTGGAGTGTCCTTTTGTATCTCAACGCCTTCATGATTGGATCGATCTCGTTTTTGGTTTCAAGCAAACAGGCGAGGCCGCTGTTCAGGCGGTCAACGTCTTCAACAAACTGAGCTACCCAGGTGCTGTGAACTTGGACAAAATTGACAATGAAAATGAGCGCAAGGCTGTCACAGGCATCATACACAACTTCGGTCAAAGCCCGTTGCGAATCTTTGACCAGCCACACCCTAGAAAATCTCAGTGTTCCTCAATGTCATCAAAAGGCCATGTTTTCCGCAATCTGTCTGACGTACCTACCGTGACGGGCACGCACACAACAGAACGGGCGAGGCTATTAAATAACTTTGGCCTAAGGACAGAGGTAGTAGGAATTACGGAATCTACATCTTTTGATGTCAGTGTTGGTCGTCGCTCCTCCATATGCATTGGCGGGACAGAGTTTTACGGTGCACACAATTGTCGAATTACCTGTTTGGAGAAGCTGAAGGGAAATCAATTTTGTACTGCAGACGAGCTAGGGCTCATTAAACTTTGGAAATGTAGCTCTGATGGCAACGACTCTCAATTAACCGAAGTTGCTCGGCTAGATGCACACCTTTGCTCCGTGAAGGAGATGTATTCCTCCTGTCAATACAACATGCTTCTAACTCTGGATCTCGAGGGCAATCTCTTTTCCTGGGATACGCTTAGCCTTCAAGTTTTGCGAAGTTTTGGCAAAAATGTCGTGCACTCTACTTTCAGCAAAAGTTCAGCAGCGGTGTTGTTCGTTAACGAATCAAATATCGTTACGATTTGCGACCTTAATGGGTCGGTATACCTTGAGCACAAGTTTGATCTGCCCATCACAGTTTTAACCTTCCTTGAAAATGACGATAAGGGTTTGGATGTTCATTCCTACCAAGACGAAATAGAGATTTTTGGTCTGGGATTTAGCGATGGATTAATTGAGATCATGGCCTTGATACAAGGTAGCGAGCATGTGGCATGGGAGCTGAAGCGACTCAGAAGCCTTACCTCAGGGTCGAAAAAGCCTCTTAATCACCTGAGTATCAATACTTTACGAGATCAGGGAGGTCAAACTGCTGACAAGACGTATCAGGTCAGAGCTAAGAACAAAGACAGTACATATGTGTGGAGTTAGCCTAGAAAGCATTTTTGATGCTAAATATTTACAATTTAAGTCATTGGTACATTATGCATTAGTATTAAATTCAATTATTATTTATCGATATGCTCATGGGGGACTTCACAAATAACTTTTCAGTGAAGGCATTTTACTGATTTCGTCGCTAAACTCTTTTTTGTCCACATTGGATCTTATCAATCTCACGATGTGTCTAGTCTTGCCTGATGATTTGCCTTGCACAATGTTGACCACTCCGCAAGTTTCCAAGGCATTGCAGATTTCCAAGAATTCGCTCCGTTCCAGCGGAGAGATGGTATCTTTTTGGCGCAATAGCCTTGTGTAGTACTCATATGCTTCGTCAAGCGACGTTTGAGTTTGGAAAATATCTGATCTCTCTCGATGTACTAGAGAACAGAGCACTAGTCGCTGCTGCATGTTGAGCTTGCAAATACGAGATTTGGTGGAGAAGTTGTTGTGCAGTGTGGAAAAAACTTTAGCCACATGCGCTAGGGTTACTTTGGCGACTGAGCATTTAAGATTAGTTGGCTTTTTCAACTTGAAAGACTCTAGCTCAACAACTTCAACACTTGACCTCAGAATATCGAACAGTTTTCTAAGATCACCAGTGTTACCAGAACACTTTTTGGCGGCAAACTTGATGGCGATGGGCTGAATAATGGGCTCTACATCCAAAGTCTTGAGCTTTTCCATCACAATTTCGGACATCTGCTCCGCAGTATAAGGCGCGAAAGAAACCGTCTGAGGGACCAGTTCTTGTCTAAGGTTGAGTCTTGAAAGAAAACGATCTTTCATGTCAAGACTGTTAGCTATACCTATTAGTACGAACCTCAAAAATGGTAGTTTAGCCATCAAAAAGAGATCAAAAATGTGTTTGGTCGCGTTCGTGTCCTGTAAATTGGAGGTAACTAGTTTGTCCATTTCATCCAAAATAACGACAAAAGTGGTGTTGGGATGACTTTTCATGAATTGTTGTAAGTCGTCAGCGTTGCGAACTGTCTGGGAGGGCTGCTTGGCAAAAGACTGATGGATCTTCGCAAAAATGGACTCTGCGTTGTAAATGGCAATACAGTTGATGGAAATGACAGCGACTGATTGGTAAGTGGATTTACCAGTTTGGAAAAATGAAGCGTTGAGTAGTCCTGCGTCGTGTTTCAAGTGAGGCTGGTCCAAAACAAGCGTAAGGAATTTCTCACGCATAATGAGGTCAACTTGTGCAGTTTTCCCCGTGCCTGGTGGTCCTGTGACGTAAAGGGAGTCTCCGTGCCCAGAGTCAATTGAATGGGTCAAAAATTGCATGATCTGGTTGAACTGTGTGCGTCTGGTGGGAAGGCATGCCTCGAATCCGATGTGAGATATTTTCGAGCACCGCTGCAACACGGCTTTGGTGCGTGAGTAGGTAGATGATGATGTCCCCGGTGAGCTAAGCGATCCTGATGAGCTTTTGAAATGGAGTTTCACTGGAGAAGAAGGCGGCGTGACTAGGCCATGGTCGTTGGTAATTTGTTTCTTGGTGACGGGAAGGTCCTGGTCTTGATCTGAATCTTCGCAAATCTCAAAAGCCAGTCTTTTTCTGCCTAGTCCAAGGATATCATTTGCATGCTCTGTAGTGGCTACCGTCGTCGTCGTCGCACTAGTTGAAGTGGAGATCATTGTATGGTAGATGCGAGAATAATGCTGGTGGAGACAACTTGATGATCCAGAGCTAATGGCATCTCTAAGATCAACTTCTGTACCTTTTATACTGGAGTCAAGCCATCGCGTTTTAGATTTTCAGTGATTTTTTACGCGTCTCCTTTTCGCGTTACGCGGCGCGACGCGTTTTTTTTACGCGTGAGTAAAACGCAATTGGTCACGTGAGGACATCGATGACTTAAAAGTCGCGTTTTAACGTGGGGAGGAAAGCCCAAAAGCTGGAGATTTGAGTCGAGGTGTGCCCAAGTGAGCAGTGTTCTCGACGTAAGCTTGAGTTCGGACTTATCCGGGGATTTTTTCAGGAATTGTGTAGCTTTGGCTATATGTCAGGAAAAAACACAGTGACATCAATCGCGGATGCAACAACTGAAGCAGTTTGGTTTGCAAAACACACGTTGGGTGCAACAGTGCGACGGTTTTACACTTGGCATGTGTACGCGCGTTCCAGTTGACATCAAAATAGTAGCATGAAAGTTTGAACCGATGGGATTGACACTTTTCGTTACATCATGTGATGTATTGGGAAGAGGGAAGTAATGTGTTAACGAGACGTCTAGGAAGCATTCGCGGTGGATAACAAAGCTCCGATCGCGATGTGATATCGTTTAAGCTGTCGAAAGGCTATCTGATAGATAGCCATAAAGTTTGTAAACTCACTGAAACAACGGCTGACATGAAAACTGGTCTCGATGAGTTAAGTGATGTGTTGACTATTACTGTAATATTCGAGCTTGAAGAGAAAATAAAAGTCTCTCAACGCAAAACGGACTGGTGACCTTCCAAGTTTTCCAGTCCGAATGAATCCTGTTAATTAATGTATGACGCTTCTTTAGGCCGGGTTCTCATTTAATTCATCTTCAAAGAGCCGAGTCTGATTTAAAGAGTTCACTCTCCAAAGCTCAGATATTCGTAACATAATTGTGACTTAAGAGATCAGACACCCACATAAATATATACACGCAGCATCTAAACATTGAGCATCGATTGGAACAATAATCTCACTACATACAACCTGTGTGGGTAAGCTCTCAAATTTGTGAAAACAAATCACGTAGTATTTCGCCACAGGCAGCAGAGCATGCTCGCGATGAGGTGAACAATTCACAGGTTCAAGAGCTTCGAATTTATTTGGTCTACCAGTCTCGTTTCCTCAATATAATATAAATTTAAAGCTATTGTCATATCACTTCATACCATTCTGTCACACAAATTTCTGGATGACAGTAAAAACAAATTTCAGCACTTTTTGACACGCTTAATAAGCCCGATAACCTTTTATCTTTTGAGACTAGATATCTTTGAATCTTCTTGGGTCCTTGCCGCGTGTCGCCCCAAAAATAAAAGCTGCATTTGTTGCAGATAACGACTAACAAGAGCTGCAAAATGTCCAATTGTGCAGTTAAACCAAGGTCATCAATTGAACAACCGGCAACTCAGTAGTGACCGCCCATAACGTCTCTCGGTAAATGTTCTTACTTCTTCCTTCTAGCGGGAGTACTTTAAATCACGTGACAGGATACCAATTTGCATCCCTCTGAAAGAAACTGACCAGTGCTTCCACCCTCACTGACAATATCAACACTCATATGAGACAACAGGATTCACATTACCTCAAAGCCGTGTCGCACCTTGAAGCTGTATGCTTCCACCACTGTACTGTGTCGACATTGCCCTATAAAAAAGTACCATATACGTTATCATCTGCGTCATGTCCGACGACAGCCCTCACCGTATAGAAAAGCCACCCCATTCAGCAAGCTACGCTTTAGCACCAGCTCTCCAGCTAGCCGAAACACACCCTGCTAGAATAACTTACAATGGCTTTTCTTCAACGTGTTTTTATGCGATCCACTTGCCAAACGATAAAAACACATAATAAGCCACGAAAATACCAGACTTCGTACTTGATCTAAACAGATTGTGTGAACTGATCCCGATACATGTATGGCAAAAGGCTTATTGAGTTAAAGCGTTCTGAATCACAATTCCTAGCCTGTTAGAAATCTTCCTTGACAGTCTTCTAGGTCACGCCATATACACATGACCTCATCTTCTACCAAGTCGCTGACGTAATATCCAATTAATAATGTCACCACTAACGAGACCATTTTCGCATTCCAAATTGTTAACTTTCAAATATCAAAACCCACCAAATACATCATCAACAAAGTCATCGCAGCGCTATCAGTCCAGACACACAAACGGGTTTCACAGCGTGTCAACAGCTTCTCCTGACGTTTAAGGACTCCAGCAAACATTATCTTACTTCTCCCGTCCTGTTTTCCCCGTGTGCCGTTCTCTATCGGCGCGGCTGTAAGCTCTTCGATCGACGGTCTTTAGCAAACACACCAACAAACAAAGTTTTCTCGACAGAATGGGGCCGCCAGCTTCATCCCATCGGCTCGGGGACAAAAAACCGTACCACCCAAGTCCGAGATACGCGTCGTATCGCCGACCTTCACCCTCGATGGGCAACGGATCGAATCCAACACAAAACTCAGGTTTGGGCGCGATTTCAGGCACAGTTTCCGGGCCACAACAAGGTTTCGCCTCAGGAAATCGACCTCGACCTTCTAGATACAACCCCAGTGTCTCTGGTCGTCCATATTCCTCTTCCAGCAATACAGCCAGCAACAACGGGAATCACGCAAACCATCCGCGTGTAGGTAGCCGCTATAACTCAGACTTCAGTCCCTCTTACCAGAGTCATGTGCGCAGTTCCAGTGCGCATGATTCCAGACGGTTTTCAAATGGGCCTTCAAACTACCATCACCATTCATCGTCAGCATCTTCTAGTCGCTATAACTCCGTTCATCAACAGGCCCCGGCAGCACTTAAGCAAGGCTACCATAACTACTATAGTCCTTCCCCATCTAGTCGACGTCGACCTTCCTCAGTATCCGACGGAAACGACCCAGCGACTCAAAGTTATCCAGCGCGTGGAAACAACAAATGGCGTGATTCATACTCCAGTGACTACCACGAACAACATCCTTCAAGCTCCTCCGCACACTCTACACATTCTGCGTCTCAGATATCTGAAAAGTCTTCGATCTATGCTCCTAGTCGAAATCACAACAATCTACAACCATATTCGAATCGATATCTTTCTTTCGGACAAGAGCGGGAAAACGATATCAGGAAAAGACCACCAGCACTCTCCTTAGAAAATGAGCACTCTCTAGGATCGAGCCTGATAAATTCTGTGCCGCAAACCACTCGTGAAATCGAAGCGAAGGTTGCCACGGAACACGAACGAATCGATTTCGGGAAACAAAAAGCTACGGAGCATCGATCTGAGAATGAAAAGAATCAGACCCGCGAAGAAAGTCCGGATGTTCAATCACCAGAGCCTATGCTGAGAAAGGAAGAGCCCATCTCTAATAGAGATGTCGATGACAATAATGATACCAACGAGAAAAACGTAAAAGTTGATGAAACCGATGCCAGTTATGCCGTCCCTGCTACACTTGAGGAAGGAGATTCGTTGTCCATGAGTTCCATAGACAAGATCGAACTGGGAGCAGCGCCTCCGTCTTCGGCCACTCTCCCGTCGTCACATACTGAGAATGCCCCAGAGGCTCAAAATGAGCCTGTAAATGAAGCAAGCGGTTGTATTTTCCCCATGGGTAAGGCTCAGTTGAAACTATGGGAACTAAGAAGTCGCAGAAGAAGCTCGATAGTTCGTCATCAAAAATATCGATTAAAAAGGCCGATTATTTCCCTAGACGAGTATCCTTTCATGTCACAGAATATTGTCGTACACGAGCAAGCTATAAAGCCGGTACTCTTAGAATCACTAGGTCATCTTAAGCGGTACGAAGAACTGAGACGATTACAACTCAAGAAGACTTTCATCGATCTGGATCAAAAGTGGTCAGAAAACTGTCAGAAATTAGAAGAAATAAGCCAAGAAGTCAAGCAAGAAACTATTGATGATGATTCCGCAGCTGATCATACAGTAGGTGCTCAGAAGTCCAAAGAGACTGAGGATCAAAACCAGCAGAATCGCGCCGTAAGCAGGCGCAGAAACCGTGGTGACTTTGTCGATGACAATGAAATCGAAAGCGTTCTTTTGCAAATCGATCCTGATTACAAGCACCACCAACTAGCTGCTCAAATCCCTGCGATGATCATAAACCCACTTAAAAAGCAAGTCATAAGGTTTAAGGATGTTAATAATCTCGTCACCGATAAAGACTCTTGGGCTGCAAGAATCAACAGGGACGGTATTGATACATTCACAAATGAAGAGCATGCATTATTCGTAGAGGCCTATCTGACCTATCCAAAGAGATTTGGAAAAATTTCGCAGAACATGGGTGGCCTTAGACAGCCGGAGGAGTGTGTTCTGCATTACTACCGGACTAAGAAAAAAACCAACTACAAGCAATTGCTCATGGAGCGGAATAAGAAGCGCAAGGTCAATGCTGGCCGCAGACGCAAGGAGAAGGATAAAGAGCGTGATAGCTCTAAAATGGACGAAAACCTGGAGGTTTCGACTGAGGCCAACGACCTAAGTAAAAAAGAAAGACAAGAATTGGTCGATGAGACTGAGGATGATGAAGGTGAGCAGAGCGTCAAAGACGTACATGTGGAAAGCAGCACTGAAGTAGTGAAAACTAATTTTAATGAAAAACTATCACCGGTGACTTCAGTTGTCGTGGGCAATCCTCACGGTGTGGAATCGGTTTCACAAGCTGAGAAAGAGCAAGAAACGGAAGCAGAAACCGAATGTGACGTGGATACAGCATCTGTGGTAGCAACAACGTACTATGCCGAGCCCACCAGTCGGGAAAATTTGGAAGAGTATGCAGAGGTTGACCACAATTCGAGCAAACGTAAAGTAGAAGAGTTGGAAGAAGTTACCAACGAACTCCCAAATTTACATCCTATTGCCCCTGTCATTACTGCGAACTCGAAAGAGTTCTCCACTGTGGAGGAGCCTCTGCCCTCCGGCAAACTTGAAGAGTCCGAGAAGGCTCAGCAGCCCAAAAAAAGAGCTAGGCACAGCGAGGGTTTCCACAAGTCTAGTTACTGGAGTGTGAAAGAGTCGAACCTGTTCCCAGAACTCCTCAAAGAATACGGCACACAATGGGCCTTAATCTCTGAAAAACTCGGAACCAAGTCCACTACAATGGTACGCAACTATTTTCAAAGAAATGCGGACCAAATGGGGTGGCAGTCACTTGCTGAAGGTTCTAATGCGAACCAGGGGGGTAGCAAAGAAGAGGAAGCACAAAGTGGCTCGACTGTAGTTGAGACACACCTTGATGGTATGCCTTCGCAGCAAACACCTTCCGTCAGCATTTTCAATCACGCAAATCGCGACGCATCCACTCCGATGCAAATACCAACACTTTCGACGATGGACTCATTCTCTCAACAGTCCACGCCACATGGTTTACCCCCGCCTCGATTACCCTCTATTCAACTTCATACGCAACAGACCAATGTCGATGCGAAGAAGAATCTCATGACACAAGCAGTTCTCGAACCAGCCCCCACTCACTCCGTTCACTTCGCGCCTTCGCTTATCACTAATACGACGGGCATTCATAGTACCAACCATTCCTCTGGTGCGTCCTCTTCAAATTCTTCGCAGGTTGGCGCTGAAAGCAGAAGGTCTTCCATAAAAAGTCTTCTCAACAACGATGCATCGGAACCACACGCAACACAGCCACAATTACCGAAGCCCATTGAGCAATCTTCAGTCAACTCAACGGGCACCAATGTTATTGTGCAGGAATTACAGTCTTTCAATTATCCTGTGTCCGCCACTGGTGCCGCCCCGCCAGCAATTCACGTGCCCACAGAGCCCACCAGAAACCCGGGGTCGATCTCGTCCATTTTAAACGGGGCGTCGTCCCCAAATTTCGGCATGTCTCAAGGGCCTCCAAGGGTTGCCATCAGCCAGTTTCCTAAGCCAACGCTCGATTTGCATTCTGGTAAGAAACCGATCTTACCTCCCGTGACACTTCATTCTCCGCATGTGCTGGGGCCGCTTACGCCTTCTTCGACGGATATGCTTACGAATAAGCCACCGGAGTTTAATTTTGCTAGCGACCCACTCGCAGCTTTAGCTGCTGTCGCTTCTGCACCCGAAGCACTTGCTTCCTTTGTACCGCCGGACGGTAGAGGTAATCAACATTCGTCATCCGGCTGACTAGCGTTGTAATTTGCTTTGTATAGTACGTATTTCGGAACGTATTCATGCATGTATACCTTGTCCCGTAAAATTTTGTCAACTCTGGACCCAATTAATCGATTGCTGAGAGAAAGACGCCAAAAAAGCGATTAGAATCATAACTTAAAGAGAGCCTAATGGACCATATGGCTCGCTGAAGCGAAGAAAAATGGCGACTCGACTCTCAAAGTTTTGATCTCAAAAGCTGCTCGAGGCGAAATAGCCATATAATTCTCTTTGAAACTAGCTTCGGCAAATTTAACACGCACGCAACACATAATAAATAGCCAAAAAGGAATACAAATACGTCCAAAAAGACCAGACTACTTTCAACAAACTCTACGTGAACCTGGCCTCAACCAAAAGCCGTACCGTTCATTGTCCTGTCCCGTGTGTGTCGCGCGCACCGTTCTCATATCACTTTGTACTATTCTGTCGTTTTTCGGTGACAATATATAGTAAATACGAGATAATGTCAAATGCGATAAGTAGAATAATCTGGAAAAAGTCCTGAAAGCTGGAATCAATAGGCTTTAGTCGTTACTGTCAGCATTCAAGTTTCCAACTGCTAGAAAGCTCGACTAACAGTAACAGATCTGGTCTAAGCTGTAAATTTAGATTTTATTATATATAACCAGAAGCGTCTTAAGAACTTGAGTTCACCAAAATGAAATTCAGCTAAATTCAAAACTATTGTTTTGGTTAATATCATAGACTGACGATCGTCTTCAACTAACATTGTCTTACGCTACTTACGGATTTCTCGGGTTGTTTATCTTTCTCTCGAGCGCCGTGCACAGTTACCAGAATTAGTTTCGCGATGTTTCCATAAATTTTCATCAATTCAACAATTCACCATTTCTACACCACTTTGAACCCCCACCATAGAGTCCAGTGTGCCCTTTCAAGATGCTTTCTGTTATCCAGGAACAAGCTGCTGTGCTGCTAGAGAAATATCCGGCTCTTAAGGAGTTTGAGCCATGTTTGGAACGGCCATTTTTCAACATTTCGTTGTGGGACCATTTCGACATTTTGGCGTCGAAAATCAGCAATGGACACTTTGTTCCCAGCAGATTCGAGTTTGTGCCTGGCCAACTTCCGTTGAGTGAGCTGCCACAAGTCTTGGCCGCTATTACTACCTATTACGTCGTGATTTTTGGCGGCAGATACATGCTGAAAAACTCAGAGCCCTTTAAACTCAACGTTTGGTTCCAGTTGCACAACTTGTTTTTGACTTTACTGTCGTTGACACTTCTGGTCTTGATGGTGGAGCAATTGGTTCCCTTGATCGCCACCAACGGGCTGTACTACGCCATTTGCAACGCTGGTGCGTGGACTCAACCTTTGGTGACCTTGTACTACATGAACTACATCACCAAATTCATTGAATTCATTGATACTGTTTTCTTGGTTTTGAAGCACAAAAACTTGAGATTTTTGCACACTTACCACCACGGTGCTACCGCGTTGTTGTGCTACACCCAGCTAGTCGGTACAACTTCCATTTCCTGGGTAGTCATTTCCTTGAACTTGGGAGTGCATGTGGTGATGTACTGGTACTATTTCCTAGCCGCCAGAGGTATTAGAGTATGGTGGAAGGAATGGGTTACCAGATTCCAGATTATTCAATTCGTTTTGGATATTGGGTTCATTTACTTCGCCGTTTACCAAAAGTTTGCCCATATTTATGCCCCAGAACTACCACACTGCGGTGATTGTGTGGGATCCACCACGGCAACTTTTTCAGGATGTGCTATTGTTTCATCATACCTATTTCTATTTGTGGCTTTCTACATCGAAGTCTACAGACGCAGAGGCACAAAGAAGTCTAGAATTGTAAAGCGTGTTCGTGGTGGTGTGGCCGCTAAGGTCAACGAGTACGTCAGCGTCGACTTCAAGCACACGTCTACCCCATCTCCTTCTCCCTCCCGGAAATAAATGCCGCTTCTTGTAGCAGCATATGTCTCGCTTCAATAACGCTTTAGCACTCGAGGGCACGCCCGCTTACTTTGTACGTTTTGTTTATTATTCGGTGTACTATTATTACATGTTGAAAAATGCAGTTTTCACGACTCTAGTTGTCGAACCGTGGCGGGCCATTTCAACACTTCCTGTCTAGATCAGATGCTCGCAGTTTTGCCAGTTTAATAGAGTTTCGCATCATATCCATCGTTATCTTGGAACTTCCACCTACTGCCTTAAAATGCTTTAGATTTCCGACACCGTCCGTGACCACAGATATAGTGGACGTCACAGAAGCTTCTTCAGCTTCGCCTTGTATATCAGCAAGCAGTACTGAGCTTGGCATACTATCTTGCATATCGTCGTCGTCCTTGGGGAGTTGAACTTCTGGGTCTAAATCGATCACCGCAAAGTTTGATGCAAAGGCCTTATTCGATGTGTTTAAACGCAAAGGCAGAAAGCTTGTGGGGTCACATATGATGTCAAAAGTCTCTCTAATTGCGGCACTGCGTCCCCTCATGCTAATTGGTATTTTGAGATCCGTCGTGCGCTCATCGACAAACGCCCGAGGAATTTTAGTGTTGGCGAGTGCATACAGAAGCGAGTTCCAGCACAGCTCGAAAAGAGGCCCGTCGCGACTGAAGACTTGAATTTTGGCATAGAGCGTGTAGGTCCATTTTCTTCTAAATTTGAAAGTGGTGGGTAACGCTCCATCTGCTTCTTGCTCGTCTGAGTAAGTAATGGTTGTTTTCCCCTCTGCATCTGTAGATCTAACACCCACTGCAACGTCTAACGCTGTTTTGGGTACCAAACCGGAATGCAAGATACAATTGTAGATTCTCTGCGACAATGTCATTTCCTCGTCTGTGGGAGCTCCTACGCGACCTCTTTCAACTTCCACTACAGGATAAACCTGACCAAAATTCGCTGCGCGGTCTGTCTCGTTGTATGATTCTACAATCTCATTTTCCTCTGATTTCACGGGGATGTTTTCCTCTACCACTCCACCAGTTATCGACGTGATGACCATAGTTTTCCCGCATTTCAGCACATTCGAGCCTAAAATGTTGTTTCCTTCGCGATTGATACTGTCTTCCGACGCACACGATAGTCTTCCGTCGCTTATTTCGACGTTTCTGAACTCTTCAAACGCACGTAGACTTGGTCGTAATCCCAGTGATAAGTGTCTTTGCATATACAAGTCGGGCGCGATTCTTGCCAGGACTTCCCGGTGGAAAGTCATGGGGCGTATTTCAACAGACTCGGCCATGGTAAATTTAGTTCGCTGGGTCGATTCCAATGAATATTGACGACGCTTTGTTGTCGAGGACGTGAAGAAAAGAGCATCTCGATGGGCGATGAGCTTCATATATGGAAATTTAACATATAAACATAATCACCACGCACGAATATCGAGACTCCAGGGCAACGTGGTCAGCGTCAGAGGACTCTAATGGGTCCAGGAGAATCGTTGAAGTATACCGAAATTGTGTTTTTATTGAAATGGAGCAGCTGCCAAGTTTTCGAAATTCGTTCTTGATCAGAGATTTTGATCAGAGATAAAAAAAAACGGCGAATTTATAACTGATGGTAATTCTCGTGAGACGATGGCAGGCCTTTAGTAAGGAGAAAAACTATACATCAGGGAACTCAATTTCTTTAAATGCCATTTGGAGATTTTCGTGGCAATTTTGCATCGCTTTTCGAAAAACCTACTTTAGATTTTGGTCTCTGTCACCTGTATCATAAAAAGTCAGCCAGAGCGGTGCGAAAGTTTAACATCCCGGTTAAAAAACAATCGGAATTCAGAGCAAGTGTCTGTTGTTGATAGGAATTAGGACCAGAGTCCGGTGAATAGTTTGGAAGCGATAACGATAAGATCCTTTTTCTGATTTGTAGCCCGTAAAGTGAGCGACAAATATACGCAAGTGTCACTGCAATATTCCCGCAAGCTACGCAGCATTCGCGGACATCCTCCCGCCCCAGTGTCATTCGTTGTGCTCGTCGACTGACATCTCATCACGTGACTCAACAGCATCAACAATTGCGCTTCAAATTAACGGGACCGAATCAAGCGAAAACCGCCGTTCGTGAGCGCTAAATTGTCCAGGTTTTACGTTCACTCTTTTCAACCGCGTAAATCTCAAACGTCAGACCAAAACCAAAGACGATTACTTAATGCCAGAAATCTAAGTGTAGTTGTAATTTAAAGGTCACGTGAAAGACAAGCCGTTTTCGACACAGGTTCGCTCGCTAGTCTCTGTCTATCCAACCAAACAGCTTCTTCGACATCCAGCACATCAACGTTACTACATTCTGTCGTCTGGATTAGCACTATGACTCGTGTATCAGTGTGTGGGTCTTTGAATTACGACTTGGTGACTTTTACCGGGCAAGTGCCCGATGGTGGAGAGACAATCAGCGCTGGAAAATTCGAAACGCACGCTGGAGGCAAAGGGCTCAACCAAACAGTGGCTCTCCGTAGGTTGTTGAATGAGAAAGATGCAGTGGATGTGGAAATGATAGGGCATGTAGGCGATGACGCTTTTGGCGTTCAGTTGAAAGAAATTTTGGAATCCAACGGAGTCGATACGAGCAAAGTGGGAACCTTGAAAAACGGCGTCAGCACCGGAGTAGCAACCATATTGGTAGAGCAGAGTACGGGTCAGAATCGTATTTTGATTTCTGAAGGTGCCAATGGCTTCACCAAATATTCCAGTGCAGAGCTGGATAATATATTTCCTGAGTTGCGTCCAGACGGACCTGGAAACGCTGGGGACATGGACCACAGCTTTGTAGTATTCCAGAATGAAATTCCTGCCACTATTGAAATAATGCGGTGGTTGGCTGAAAATAGACCATATCTGAAAATTGCGTACAATCCATCTCCTTTCAAAGAAGTCAGTAGCTCGGACTGGGCCCTCGTGGATCTACTTGTAGTTAATGAAATAGAAGCCCTCCAGGTGCTGCAATCCGCTTTGTCCAAAACTGAGGTTGCGGATCTCATGAAAACGATAGAAAACCAGACAATAGATGGATACAAGCAGATAGCATTGGAGCTGCGTGCACTGCTGAGCAAGAAAAATTCATGGGGGGCCGTCGTCATTACTCTAGGGAAGAACGGCTCCGTTTTTTGCTCCCACGATTTACCCGAAGTGCAGTACAAACCCGCAATTCAAGTTCCCGAAGTCATTGACACAACTGGCGCTGGCGACACATTTTTGGGCGGTGTCGTTTCGAAACTGTGCACTCATCACACTTTAACGGATGCGGTTGATTTCGCTACCAAAGCCAGCTCCCTCGGAATCCAGAGGTCGGGTGCTGCAGAGAGTATTCCATCATACCAAGAAGTCGAAAACTTGTGTGAATAGAGCACCGGGCTAGTCCAATCAAAGTATTAAAAAGGTCATTTATTTCAGTCTACAAATTCGGCGACGAGGGTTCGTCGGATTGAACCAGTAGACCTTCTCCGGCATCTGAAATATCGGAGCTCGTCGCGGAGGAGCTGAGGTCGTAGGAATTAGGTAAAGCACTTCTATAGTTTTTGTGCAATAACCTTAACTTTCTCCTTCTGTCGTTCTCTTCTGGAGAAGAATCCAAAGGTGAGTTGCCAACTTCCAGGCTGGCGACGCTATGAGTGATACCCGTACACGCTCCCGCTTTCTGCACATCAGCGGTGTCCTCCGCCTCCTGCTCTTCCTCGCCAGAATCAGATGGATTTTCCTGATAGAACTCTACTTGCTGGTCGTTAAATTTCTGAGTCGTAAGCTTGTGCTCGTTGCGCCAAAACTCGAGTTGCTCCTGCAATTTTGCAGTCTCCGTCGTCGAACTCTGAACACGGCGGCGGTAAAAAAGTAGATAGGCCGCTTCTGAAACCGAGCGCTCGGGATCGGTCTCTGTGACGCGCGAGTCATCGAAGTAATACCATTTGTTATCCTCGGAGTTCTTTGCATACGCGGTATAGTGACCACCGCCAAGACCACCGTAATGATTGTCAACCGCTACTAGGTCATAGACGTCTTGTCCATTATCCTTTTTGCAGGCCAAGTGACCTGACATGTCGAGACCCGAAATTGGAAACGTAATCACATCAGTGATCTTGTCACTAAATGAGTGGCGATTTTCAAACCTTTTCAAATGCATAATGAGAACTTGAGGTGTATCCCAAAGTTGAATTTGCTTGGTAGCTTGTCTGTGTTCTCTACAGCTAGGGCAAAACCAGGAGTCGGCAGTTCCTAGGATCTCGGGTTTTGAAAAGAGGTCCAAGCAGTCCTCGATCGTAATTATCTTTTGAGTTTGTTTATTTCTTTGATCTTTGACGGCTTCTAACTCAGAGTTTCGGAGCTCAGCAGGTCTGTCCCACGAGAACTCGAATTCATTCGAGAATACTGTAAACGCGGCATCATTGTCCCATTGACAAATTATTGCTTGGCCGTGATCAATCAATATTGGCCGCACAGAATCGAGCTTGTTGCATGCACTATCTTCCCCAGTAGCACCCAGTGGAAGATCTGCACATGACTGAGTATTTTCAATGGCACCATTTTCAGTGTCCACGTCCATATGAGAGGGACTAGAATCAATTTTATCGGAAACTTGGTCTTGATTCATCAACATGAAGTATTCCTCAATCTCATCCTTCTGATTCATCAAATTTGGATGGTCGTAGATGTCCTTCGTTAAATTATTCATAAGTGTCGTTATTTCGGTCGTGGCGTTCAAATCGACGCGGGGATCTGGCACCCATATCTCTGAAGGCTCAACAACGCTGGAGGGCGGCTGAATCATACCGCTCCGGCCGTTTAAGATTTTAATTGAGAACAAATGATCCATGGGATGGTCAAAAGAAGTGTTTTCAAAATCCTTTTTATAATGTGAAAAATCCACGTTTGGATACTTTTTCTTCAGGAGCTCCGATGGACACTCAACAGAGCCCCTCGACTGGGCTAGCTTTGAAAAGCTAGCAAAATCACCGCTTAAATTTGCATAATGTTTCTCTAATTGATCTCTGATTGAGCCATAGCAGTCTAGATCGTCTTTATCCAAGGCGACGAAAAAAGGATAGCCAAACATTCTGGGGCTACGAAAACCTTTCTCAATTTTGGTATTCAGAACTGGAAATATTGTCACATTTTCATGACGAGGAATCTCGTAAAAGACAATTGTGTCACCTTCCGAGGCCAAGTCGTTAATCGGAAGATAGTTTGAGTTTGAGGTTGCAGATTCATAGTTATTGTAGAAGGCATGGTTGAACACCTCAGCTCCGATTAAACTTTCGGAATTCATATTAGCAGCTTTTGCAACATAGCATTTGAGGTCCTGATAAGTAGAGCCTTTCGAAAGCTCAACTTCAAGTATGCAAGGGGGTGAGTTTTGTGGAAATATCAGAACTTTGGTGTTCCAAAAACTATCGACGGGAAGGGGCAAAGTCAAGTCACTAAAAGGATCAAACGTGACAGAAACTTTATTGCAGACAGGGCAGGTTAGTGTAGATTTGTACAAGCCGGTGAACAGGTCATTTATGACAGAATCATTCCGCAATTTGTGCTTCTCTTTTGTCTCCTTGGCCAGAGCACTGATTATTCTTGAGTCATTGACGTCGTCATCTGCCGAAAGCTCAGGTTTCTCGACAAAGGGTTTATCAACAATTCTGTTTAGATCTTCGTGTAAACCATCTAGCAGAAATGCCAAAAACTCTTGTGAATCCTGTTGCAAGTAGCCCGCAAACATGGGATTGTGCAGGCCGAGTGTCGATTTGAAAGTTCTCGGTGAGAACGATAAAATAGTAGGGGATTGTTCATCGAACAGAGACTTTATAAGCGATGCAAAGTTTCGGGCTATGTGTCCACTGTAACCTAGTGGATTGCTGGTGTTGATTTCACGCTCCACATTACCGTAGAGAAAATAATCCTTCAATTCTGGAATATGAACGAGACATTGGAGCGCGGAGTTCATATAGCAGCTATTGCCAAGGTTCGATAGACCTACCGTACCCTTTGGAGGCTGTAGCTTATTGTAGTAGAAATGACTTGAGGGCCAGTGGGCGCCTGAACGGGAACTCTTATACTCAGCGACTAGGTCTAAAACTGAGGTTTCTAGATCCTTCACGATTTTTTCGAAGGATTCTGGGCGTAGCCTGTGTTTTACGGGCAATTTGGCAAACGTCATAGCGTCTACGGCATAGGGAAGCGATGACAAAGAACTCTGGCCAAAATTTTGTGGACCTTCCACCTGCCACATTCTAAACTGATTCATTCTCAGGTCAAGATCGGGTTCGTGGTCTCCCACTATTTCGAGACACTTTTGCATCACCATTTTCAGGGTGCCCAACTTGGAGATTGTGAAGAATAAGGGTTTTCTGGCACCTGGTGTTACCCTTTGCTGCTGTGCACCAGTCCAATTCTTGAGCAGATGAATTCTAACGTAGCACCGATCATATTCAGGGACAAGTTGATCCTGTTCATCTTTTATTAATACCGTTTCTAAGGTCTTGGAGCCGGGCGCAAGCCCGTACCATTCCATTAGCTTCTCATAGATGTCTTGTGGGACTGATAGGTACGGATTAGAGTTGTAATCTGCCAGTATAAAATTGTCATAATCGCGACAAATAGAGCTGGTGTTAATGGGGCCCAATGCGGCCTCTTCCTTGATATCAGGATTCAAGAATTTGTCGAACCACGAGGAAGGTATCACATATAACTTATCGCCTTCTTTAGCATGCATTTGAGACACATCGTGCATCTTAGACAATGTTTCTCTTTGATCTGCCAAACTCATGCTACCTTCAATGTGTGTGCCAATGTTGCCGGGCATACTCTTATCAGGGTCCATACCAGTCTTCTCATTTACACCATCGTATTGCGAATCGTTGTTGTCACTACACTCGCCTTTTCTGTGTGAGTTCACCTCTGTAGATTGTGTCAATTGCTCGTCCATTGTTTCTCAGAGTTATGATGATCTGAAGGCCGTTTTGCGCCGGGTTTTTCAGAACCAAAAGATCTGCCCTCAATTAAACAATGCTACCCGCTAAGCACTAGTGGAGCTGGGCACTTCGACGCTGTCAATGCAGTTTGTCAGTGCAAATGCAGAGAATCACCCACTTACTTCTTCACATATAAGAAACATCTGTGAATTTGGCATATTCTGAGCTCGGATCTTATCACGTGATCAAAGGTGTTCGAAGAGCTGAAAGGGCTAAAGTTGGAGACGATGTCGACTTGAACAATAACATGGAAAAAGAATTGTTCTCCTTCGCAGATTGAACTCTTTGGCTGACACTAGCGATCCCTTACTATGCAATCGATATTTTATAATCAAAGTCCATGTCGCTTTTGACGAAGACATCGGATCCATGAATTACTACAATTGTAGCTGGCTGCGGCTAATGAGCCTGTCCGATGCTCTGTATCTAAGCTTTGATATTGAATTCATTGGCTTTGTTTAATAACTTTCTATAGGTTGGACGTGGACAGCTTTTAAAAATATATTGTTTTGTCGCCAAAACGGCCCTTCGACGATGGACGATATGTCAAAAGCGCTGGTGTGAACACCTTATCTGTATCAAATTTAGGGATAGGTGATGGTCATTCAAGGGTCCTCTCGAGTAGTCCTGGTCATGCAATGTGCAATGAAAAACAATGTACTGATTCTATAAACTGCAACATACGTTTAAATTTATCTTTTGTAGAGGCAGCGGTTGCTGCCGCTGTTCATCGACTCTCGAAGCCAAGATGCTGGACTTGAACCTCCATGTTTGTTGACCACATTGGAACCAACTATTCTCTTCACACTTTTGCAGACGTTTTCGTCTTTTTGTTTTATTTTACAGGAAAGTAAGGTTCCGTCCACTCGTTCTGCCTACAGAACAGAGTTCATAATCCCATATCCTAGAGTGATAACACACAGGAATGCAAGGAATGAAGCGGGGATACCTCGTGTCAAAAATGTGTTGACATTCAAGTATCGATTGCCCACCTCATCGAGCATTGATATGGCGGTCACGTTAGGGAATCCGGACGATGCAAGTCCCATACCACAGGAGGCCAACAAAGTACATCCAAAAACCAAGATCGGAGCAGATTTACTGCCTGGAAGTTTATCTCCGACTTCCTGCATGAGAGGTATGATAATGATGGCAGATACAGTGTGAGACACAAATGTTCCCACGACTAGCATCACAATACCGAAAATGATGAGGATCGCGTAAATGGGGAAGTCCATGACACGACGTTGCAATGCACCTGCAATAGTTGCAAGCAGACCCGAGGACTGAACAGCCCCACCCAATGCTATACCACCCATGGCTAAAATGACAATAGACCAAGGAAAGTTGTTGATGTCTTGTGTGCTCAGTAAACCAGTACCGAAAAAGAGAACAATTGGTATCACTGCAATTTCTCCCGATGCACCGAAAACATCCTCAATTTTAGATTCAACACACCATAGGATAATGGTGGCCAAAGAAACCACTATGACATAGTATTGCTTCAATGTGAAATTCTCCTTGATTGGGCTGTACTTCTTAACTTGAGCCTCATTGATCTTAAAAGTGAGACATAAGAGTCCCCAAATGGTTAACATGGACAATATACTGGATGGCAAAGCGATGGCAAAAAACTGACCCCAACCAACTCCATATGGCTTCAAGTAGTTCATGGCGATAATGTTTTGAGGTGAAGCAATAGGCGAAGCCATACCACCCACATTAGCTGCAAGGGCCACACCCAAGATAAGGGATCTGGCAAAAGGAGAAGTGTAATCTAGGGTTTTGAGAACTGGTTGAATGAGCGAATATGTCAAAACTGGAGCCGCTACATTCGAAATCCACATGGACAAAAAGAAGCAAACACCCATGGTCATAAGCAAGACGTTCCGGGGCTTGGTACCTGCGATAGTCAGTAGATAGGAGGCCAAAACTTTGGCCACGTTATATTTGGAAAGAGCAGCGGCAAGCGTAAAACCGGCCAGTAAAATCATGATAGTTGAAGACCACATTTTGGACAAAATCCATTTAGAGGCTGTGGCGGCTGGCATTACCGTACCGTCTGATTGTTTGAGAACTTTGAAAACTACCACGAACATGGGCACCAAGATGGCTGTAACAAACAAAGGCAATGCTTCAGAAGCCCATAAAAAGGCAACACAAGCCACGAGGGCCATACACCGGTGTTGGGCAGGGTCGTTAAAAGTTGGAACTAGAAGAAGAATGATGGTACAAGCGATGATGATGTACAACTTCAAAGCCTTGAGGGTGAAAAAAAGTTCTGGAATTTTGAGGGTGCTCCAGGTCCACGAGCCAATTCTGATAGGCCTTGGAAGGTTCCACTGCCGGTATTCCAATTGAGTGTTATTTTCAAGGTTGGTGATATCGCCGTTGGCGTCTGGCCGACCCGCAGACGTGAAAGTATTGTTTTGGGACTCCAAACCCAACATATCCTTCCAAACAGTGTTTCTTTCCCACACGATGAAGTCACGCAAATAGGATCTTAGCTCCTCTTTGCTTGCGGCTAAGTCACCATGGGTCATAGCGGCGTAGGATTCGATAACCTGGGAGATTTTGGAGTCCAAAGTCCCTAAAGTCTGAGGCTGAAACACATATGTGCTAGCGAAGAAATCACCGGACTCTATTATTTCACGCTTTATGTTACAATTCAAAGTCTTGTCGAATTTTTTGGAAATTTTTAAAAAGCCAATGCGGTTAAGCTCGATGAAGGATTTGAGCTGGACGAGATCCACGTATAGGTCTATCAACTTCTTACGAAGAATGGCTCTTTTTTGAGTTTTGACGTTAAAATCCGAGTAGTTGAGCAAAGCAGTATTTTCATGTTGTTCGTCAAGGTCCTCTTCTTCTTCTTCTTCCTCCTCCTCCTCCTCCTCCTCCTCTTCTTCTTCTTCTTCGTAGCCATCGGGACGCAGCTCGATATTCGCGGTGCTACGTCTTGAAAGCACCGATTCGCGTCTGTGGGGATGGTTGGGGGCGCCTGCGAAGCTTTCAAAGAGTTCAATCGAGTCCAAGTCTGGCTGGGACGCACGTCTGGCAGACGCTGCGACGACGCTGGCGCGTCTACCTGTGGCAGCAGCCACCTTCTGCAGATCTAGAAGCAAGGTGTCGAAACGGCCATAGAGCTGAGCCTCGAGCTTCTTGTAAAAATCGTCGATCTTGAGCCGTTCTTCCACGAGTTTGCTGAGAAACGTGTCCTGTGGACTGAACAGAGTTCTGTCGCTGGAAAGTGACGATCTGCGGTCAAAGTCGGCGGTCTTGGCTGCATTTTTGCGCGTTGGGGACTTGAAATCTTCCAGCTCCAGAGTTTCCACGTTCACGTCGCCTGCAGCGTCGTCTACCGCTTCTCCGGACTTTCCTTTGCCATTGTTGGCGCTGCTACTGCGTCCGTTGGCTCCATGACCGCTGGCTGCACGCTCGTTTCTGCGAAACTTGTCCTTGAATTTTTGCAGAGCTCTTGTGCTCCCTTCTAGCGCTTTAAGACGATCAGTATCCACGTGTCCGCCCTCATCCATTACACGCAGGTCCTGGGCCTGCAGCGAGTAGATCAGTCGCTTTAGCTGCGAGTAGTTCAGATAGTGCTCCTGCCATTCTGGCACCGCGTTGTACTTCAGAGAGTGCGAAAACTTCATCTGAGAGTGGCTACGCTAACGAGATTGCTTGGCAAACCGGTAATATGTTGAAACACAGTTCTTGGCAAGATCCAATGACAATAGTGAAAGTGAGACCAGAAACGTGGATGAGACTTGTAGATGGAAATTGAATTTGGAAGATATTGTTCAAGTTGTCGGGACCCTACCCAGGAGAACTCGAGTGAAAAATAAATTGGATAAACGTGGTTCCAATTTCAATATATTGGCATTTGCTGAGAAAGCTGTATTTTTTTTTTCTTTTTTTCTCCTGCCTTTTGTCCGGGAAAAAAGGAAAATATCCAGACCGCCTTTTCTTTTTGTTTCAGGGTCCCCCCTGTTTTGTGTACTCGTCACATGACTCACGAGTACACGGGCCGGAGCCTCGAAAGAAAAAAACAACAAAACAATAACAACCACAAAAGGAAAGCTCGGCGGCTAGGCTAGAGAGCGAGAGAGAGAGGTAGAGAGAGAGGGAGAGAAGTCGTGTGTGTGTGTGTGTGTGTGTGTGTGTGTGACTATCTCTCTCTCCCTCTCTTTTGGACTTGCCCCCGAACATATGGCTTCTGCTATCAGAGAGAGTACACGGAACACAACACCACGCGCATTAGTTCTCGAACGGTCGCTCTCGCTTCCGCACCCACACACACCCACTCACGTGACCAGACGACACACCGCTTTTGTCGCATTTGTCGCGTTTGTCGCGTTCGTTTCGTTGTGGATCCAGTGTCCTCCCTAGGTCCCCACCTGTCGCAGACCAAGTATAAGGGACAACTACTCACAAAGTTCCAACAACAGCTTCTATGGCCAAGTTGGTAAGGCGCCACACTAGTAATGTGGAGATCATCAGTTCAAATCTGGTTGGAAGCATTTTATTTTTGTCAAAATACTTTTTCTTTAACCTTCCCATACGATTTCCTTTTCGCACGGGAATTCTACATCCTACAATTTTTCGCACCGGAAAATTTTTTTTACCGCCCTAACTCATCGGCACCAGATCGTTGAACACTCGATTATATAGCTTGTAAGAAGAAGTTAGTGAGTTCTTCACCGATTTAGACCCCTGGAGATTACTACAACATTTGTAGAAACAATTGATTCTCATCATCTACGCGCTCGGTGACGACAGCGGGACTACTCGATAAATCGATATCGGTCAATTAAAAAAGTCTGGGAGAGAGAAAAATAAAAAAAATCGCTAGCACGTGATCGAACATCTCTCTCACTTTCTTGCTCGCTATAAACTTCCATATAAGTTTTGGGCCTTCGAACATAAGCACGTGACCACATCGCTTGGAACTTCCCTTCCCTTTTGAGTTTTAGATCACTCTGACCCAATACTGTCCGAAAACCGATATTTTTTAGGTAGTTCGTTTTTTGGACCCAAACAAAACAAACTCAGCACATCTACCAACACCATAAACCATGCTTGCCGCAAGATCAAGAGCAATCGCTCACAAGAGGCATTTCGCCACCCACCTTAAAAACGTCTCCCAAGAAATTGCCAGGTCACGTGTTGCAGCCCCCCCGTATGCCAAGCTCATTGCCAACCTGGACAAGGTCAGGGCCATCACCAACAACACGCCGCTCACGCTCGCGGAAAAAATCCTATACTCGCATCTGTGTGACCCTGAGGAGTCTCTCACGTCCTCGAACCTCCAGGACATCCGCGGTCTGCAATACCTCAAGCTCAATCCCGACCGTGTGGCCATGCAGGACGCCTCAGCGCAGATGGCTCTGCTACAGTTCATGACCACGGGCCTTGCACAAACCTCGGTGCCCGCGTCGATCCACTGCGATCACTTGATCGTTGGCAAAGACGGCGAGTCCAAGGACTTGCCTTCCTCGATCGCTACAAACAAAGAGGTTTTCGACTTCTTGCAAAGTTGTGCAGACAAATACGGTATTCAGTTCTGGGGTCCAGGCTCCGGTATCATCCATCAAATTGTCCTCGAAAACTTTTCCGCGCCAGGCCTGATGATGCTCGGTACAGACTCTCATACTCCCAACGCAGGTGGTCTTGGTGCCATCGCTATTGGTGTCGGTGGTGCTGATGCCGTTGACGCCCTAACGGGCACACCATGGGAACTCAAAGCCCCCAAAGTGCTCGGAGTCAAGCTCACCGGTCACATGCAGGACTGGACTTCGCCCAAAGACGTTATTACCAAGCTTGCTGGTATTCTGACTGTCAGAGGTGGTACCGGATACATTGTCGAATATTTTGGAGAGGGTGTTGAATCCCTGTCCTGTACTGGTATGGCTACCATTTGCAACATGGGAGCTGAAATCGGAGCAACCACTTCCACGTTCCCATACCAGAAAGCGCATGCCCGTTATTTGAAAGCTACTGGCAGAGCTGAACTAGCGGACCTAGCAGACGCCGCTGCCCGCAACTATAACTTTTTGAGTGCCGACCAAGGTGCTCAATACGACAAGGTCATCGAAGTCAATTTAAGTGAATTGGAGCCTCATGTTAATGGACCTTTCACTCCTGATCTTTCCACCCCCATTTCGGAGTATGGCTCCAAGACCTTGAAAGAAAACTGGCCTCAAAAGATTTCTGCCGGTCTAATTGGTTCCTGCACTAACTCGTCCTACCAAGACATGACGAGAGCCGTCGACCTTGTTAGACAAGCCTCTAGTGCTGGATTGAAGCCACGTATTCCATTCTTCGTCACTCCAGGTTCGGAGCAGATTAGAGCCACTTTGGAAAGAGACGGTTTGATCAAGACCTTTAAAGATAATGGCGCCATTGTTTTGGCTAATGCTTGCGGTCCATGCATTGGTCAATGGGACAGACAGGACGTTTCCAAAACCTCCAGCGAAACCAATTCGATCTTTACCTCTTTCAACCGTAACTTCAGAGCCAGAAACGACGGAAACAGAAACACTATGAACTTCTTAACATCTCCTGAAATGGTTACCGCTATGATCTATTCGGGTGACGCTCAGTTCAACCCCATGACCGATGCTATTAAGCTTGAAGATGGGTCTGAATTCAAATTCAAAGCTCCAAAGGGTGTTGAGCTACCTGAGGACGGCTTTCTCTCTGGAAGACAAGAGTTTTACCCACCACAAAACCCGTCGCCAGATTCTTCTGTTGAAGTGAAAGTATCACCAACATCTGACCGTTTGCAACTGCTTGAACCTTTCAAGCCTTGGAGTGGCCAGGAGTTGCAAACCAATGTGGTCTTGAAAGTTGAAGGAAAGTGTACCACAGACCACATTTCCGCTGCTGGTGTTTGGTTGAAATATAAAGGTCATTTGGAAAACATTTCCTACAATACTTTGATCGGCGCTCAAAATAAGGAAACTGGCGAAGTTAACAAGGCTTACGATTTTGATGGCACCGCGTATGGAATTCCAGAATTGATGATGAAGTGGAAGAAAGAAGAAAGACCATGGACTGTGGTAGCTGAGCATAATTACGGTGAAGGTTCTGCCAGAGAGCATGCTGCTTTGTCGCCAAAGTTCTTGGGAGGACAAATCATTTTGGTCAAGTCCTTCGCTAGAATCCATGAGACGAACTTGAAGAAACAAGGTATGTTGCCTTTGACTTTTGCCAACGAAGCTGACTATGACCGTATTTCTTCTGGCGATGTGTTGGAAACCTCGGGTTTGATAGAGATGATTGCCAGAGATGGAGACAACGGAGGTGAATTGGACGTTAAAGTTACGAAACCATCTGGTGAGTCTTTTACCATCAAAACAAAGCACACCATGTCCAAGGACCAAGTTGCCTTTTTTAAGGCTGGATCAGCGATTAATTACATTGGCGAATTAAGCCGCGCTTAAAATTTTATAAATCAAGAGATACAACAGTTGTGATGAAGCTGTAGTACTGTTAAATAATATTTATTAAAGAAATGAATTTAATGATAATTTGCTGGTGAGCAACAAGTTTTCTATAGTCGTATTTCGCGTGGCCCGCTTGTAATTGTATTACGGTTTAAACGTCTTAGGGCTCATTGCGTGGTGCTAATGTCAAACTGAGCTTGTAGCCTCTATCACTGTCATCAGAATAGAGCAAATTTACACGCCATAGTTCATAAAGAATGAATTTCTGCAGCAACGCGACGGGCTTTATTCTGGTGGTATCGATATCTGAATTACTGTTCAGATTGAAGAAAGATTCTCTTCCGCTGCCCAGAATGTTTGGCCTGTCATTAGTGTCGTAGCTCACTTGGAAAAACTGAAGGAGTGATAACGTCTTTGTAACTTTGGTGAATTTTTCCACGTTTATTAACCTATTAGGCCGAAATGAAGAGGGATCTCGAAAATCATGCAATCCTTCTTGTATAGATGTCAAATCTTGTAGAAAAAGGGCAAAGAAAGGAACTAATGGAACGTGGCATTTCGCTGACAAGTTGTCAGAAGGCACAAATCCTGTGGCTAATTTCTGTAGTTTAGCCCGATAGACATTGTAATTTTTGCTTGGGTGAATTATTTTCGACAGATAACGAAATAGTTCAGCATGCTTATCGCTGAGAGAGTCCCAAATCGATGTCAACCTTGCGAGTATATGGCTTTGGAGGGCCGTCATAATTGTAGCGACAGAATTGAAATTTCTGAAATAAAGCGATGAAAGTGCAACGCTAAGCCAAGCGGTCAACCTGTTGACACGCGCCTTCAAAGCAAGCTTCGGTGCTACAATAGACTCTATAACATAGTTGGACAGAAGGTTAGAAAAGTCAATTATGAGTTCAATATCTGGACAGGCCGATGAGTTTTTTTTCCTCACAGCAGGATTTTGGTTCAACAATTCCCCCGGATTCACTGCAACGAACATGGCCGATTCGATGAGTGAGAACTGTTTCGCAACCTCCAAAGGATTCAGCTCAACAAGATTTAAATCATTGTGAACTAAGTTAACCGGTGAAGTTTGAGAGAATGAGTTTTGAACGAGGGTAGACCATTCAGAGAGCCAGGTATCAAGCCCAACTTCACCCCCCGATCCATTGCTATCAAAGTCCGAACCGGATGGGTATAATATCGAACGGTAGTTTTTTGTAAGTCGTTCCATCTCAATAATTTGCTTACGGCCCAAAAGAGATGAAGTTCCAACGTTTAGCATTGGAAGTGGTATCGAAATGGAGCTTGTCCTAGCTGATGGCAGTTTGGTAAGTTCATAGTCCTCCAACACATGTTCGTCAACAGAGATTATGGTCGACCTCTTACTGGATGTTGTAGACTCCAATGATATAATGGAATTCCTACTCGGAATGACTATGTCTCTGGGGGATAATTGACGAACCACTTGTGTAGCTGACTGTCGAACAACTGTCGACCTTAAAACGAGTTTCGCAGCTACCTCTATCAAGTTTCGCGCTTCTAACGGTAAATGGATAGCAACTCCTTCATTAAAGAAGTTGATCATTGTTGTCAAGTGACTAAAGTCCCTTTGATAATTCCAATAGCTTTCCATCCAGGTTTGGAAAATGTGGCAGACCATACGCCGTCTGTTTTTGAGCCTTGAAGATCTGGAAGAGTACTGGCCATTTGTGACGTCTCGCTCATAGGTGGACGATTTGTCCGGTATATCAAATCTTGTGATGAGCTCTGCGATAAAATCCAATGGGCTAGAGAACGAGCGGTAATTAAGTAAGTATGTCGCTGTCAAAAAATCACTAGGACGATTGAGCTCATCTGTCAGGACAAAAACAAGAGCACGATGTGATGCGCCTATCAGCCTATCTTCCTTGTCGAAAACCAATTCATCTCGTATTTTATCTCTGTCGTTGATAGCGTCTCGCTCAGCGGCAGAATCTAGATCACTCTCCGAGAGCTTGAATTTGTCAAAAGACTTGTCATCAATAAAAGGAACGTTGTCGGGTATAACATGCTGGAGCAAATGTGTTCCCGAAAAAGTGATGCCATTTCCACCTCCCCGAACCATTGAGTAACGATATAATTTTTTGGAGTAGGGATGTCTCTGACTGTTCTTTTCACTATAGTCGAATTTTGTATGCACATCTCGTCTTTTCTGAGACATTGCTTTTGCCAGTCCGATCGAACAGCGTCTTATGAACTGATCTGAAGTGATTTTGATCAGTTCAAAGTCAGGATATGACCGCTCGCTCACCAATTGAAAGTTTCCAGCAACATTCAGGTAATGATGACACCCTTGAATAGCGACACCGATAAATCCCGTCATTTTAGCAACGATTACCATCAACTGCCTTCCACTGTCCGTATAAACATACTCTTCACTGTTGATGAAGCTTCCTTTTATAAAGCCAGTTTTGTGTCCATTGTTTTCGTTGATAGAATGCACGACAAAAACTTTGATGCAAGACACGAGCTCAGATACCAGCGACAAAAGGGGATCGAGACTTTGATCCAAAGACGTCTCATTTCGTTGCACTTTAGGAAATTTCGCCTGAACCACAGATGAACAACACTTGCTAATATAAAGAAGCTCGCGAAGCAAAATGATAACCTGATGTATGATAGTTTCCAGTATTTCACACCCGGCCGCATTGTGTTCTATCATATCCATGCGTCCTAGAACCAAAGCGATGTAAGAGAACAGCAGATCATGAACCTCATTTAATCGCTGAACAGCGAAGGGGGGCGTCTTCAGAGTAGGGAGATCTGCTGAGTTAGAGACAACAGATCTCTTGTGCCCTTCCCTTTCATAAGTGTCACTCTCACCACCATTTGCCCGTTCTCTCTGTAAAGGCTGAGCCAGACCTAAATTCTTTTCCTTCTGATAAGCCTGCTTCTCGATGTACCAAACACAGTAAAACGCGTGGCCTCGTCCCAGAACTTGAAATGTTAAATTTGTAAGAGTCTCTATTCTTTTCTCGTCAGTGGTATATTTATAGGAGTCTGCCTTGATCATGAGGTTATACCAGTCTGCAAGAAGCATTTTCCTTGACCGCCTTAGCGTAGCCCTGTTTTTCACGAGCTCGTTAGACCGAGAGACACAGCCTGTACTTTCCAGAAGAAACTTGACGCCATCTCTAATGCCATTAATATACTGGAGGTTGAAGCTTATACCAGAGCCGTTTGCCAGAGGATGATCCTGCGGATGCAGAAGAAATCTAGCGGCAGAAGACAGAAGTTTAGCTAAAGGGGGTGGTGAGTTTAATGCAAAATCACTTGTATCCCCCGAATGTTTGGGGCCCCCAATCATGTCTGAAAAGTAGTTGAATGGCACCCATCCTCTTTTTTGGCTGCTGACAAGAGTCACCTCGCCCCAACCGGATTCATCTACCGTGTGAACAAAGGCAACATCATTCTTTTCAAACGATAAACAGATGGCCACATCATCTTTGTTTCTAAGCGTTTGTGAGTTGAAAGAGTGAATTGCGATAATGAAGAGATATGCTAGATTCGATTCGTCCAGGTCGAGCTCGGAGCTTTTTTTGAAAGTATGCTTTCTTTCCAGTTTTTTGGAGCTCTCGTGTCCTTGATTTAAGCGATTCACGTAGCTGTCATCGTTGGAAAAAGTTGAGTCCTCGCTAAATGTGCTGTTCTCATTGGGCTCTCTGGTCTGCACCACGGTCTCCTGTTCTTTCTCAGAGGCCGTGGGAGTTTCGACAGGCTGTTTGGCGTGAGCTTCGTAAATGCTTTTTCTTGCTAGCGTCTTTGAGGATGACGAATACCGTTTAGAGATCTTGGATGGAGAGGTTGATGTGTTTTGAGCGTTTATCCCAATATCGGTACTCGAATCATGATGTACCTTGGTGCCTTCTATAACGCCGCTTGTGGCGAGTCTTTGCGATGAAAGCTCCAGTGATGGAAGCCCTAATCCAAGATACTCTCTGTTATTTGAGACTTTGGGTGCCGCTTCAACGAAATCAAAGCTATCAGGAGAATGTCTCTCGCCGTTTATTTGAAATTCATGGGCATCGACGTGTGGTGTAGACGTACCAAATTGGGAGCTTGGGATCACAATAGGGGTAGTGTCATGCGCTGATAAAGTTGAGTCTGGGCGTACAACGCCAGTACCAGCGTGATTTGAGTCTTCATCGTCCTGAGCCTCCGACTGGTATGCTGTCTCGAAAGACAGTTCTGATGCAGAATTCAAAAATGACACTGTAGAATGTCTTAGATTTGTCAATTGCTGTCTGTCGTCACGATCAGTGCGTGGAGAATGTTGTGAGCCGTACCCCTCATTGTGATTTACGCCGTCTCGAAGCCACGATGCATCATGTTGATTCAGGTCAAGCGGCTTCGTGGGCGTCACTTCGTAAATAGATGATTTTGCTGATATGGCACGGTCACTAGTGGCGAAAAGCGGCGTGGTGGGGAAGGCCATTCGTCTCGTCCTGTTTTTACTGTTTCAAGCTATGAAAACTTGATTTGACCACACCGTTGGCGAAAGAAAAAAAGGCTTGGCAACACCTGCTGAATAAAGCTTGGAAAGATACCGTATTGCAGCGTTCGCGACTGCCAGGGGTTGCTTTAGCTCTCGAGATGTGAATTACGCGATATCTTGATGTTTGTTTGTTTTCTTGGCTTTTCTCGAGGCGTTTATTGATTTTGGCGAAGCGTGTTTCGTACAAGCGGATAGTGAACAACATCGGGCAATGCTCTCCAGTTACAATGTCCAATTTGTTATGCCAAATTTCGACCTTTATATCATTGGTTTACTGGTTTCTGCGCATATCTTCCATGACTCGTATTCCAATCAGCCTCTCTTCGTATAACGCTGCAAGTTGGCTTACTTTGTTTCCTGCTCTGATGTCTGAATAGCCTTTACTAGGAGAGCTACTGAAGTTTGGATCAGCAGCCTGTTGCTTCTTTTTTCTCAGCTCTTTGTCAAACTTTCTGATTTTCTCATTGTTTTTAAGTAGTAGGTTCATCTTGCTCTGGTCGATCTCAAATTCGTTATTTGGAACTCGTGGGCGAGACCGTACAGCCTCTTCAGAAATGAGCCGTAGTTCAGTGTTTGTACCCGATTCATCGAAATGAATGGAAGATCCACTAGCAATACGTGGGCTGAGCGTAAGTTTTTGATGAAACTCTACAGCTTCCTCAGAGTACAAATCATCATTAGTTGCTGCACTCGACGGCATTGAGTTTTCCGTGTTGAAAGAGTCTGTTGAAGTGACCGATGGTGAATCTGGCCGCAAGATCGGTGTTGAGCTTTGCCGAATCTCTTGCTGAGATTCTTGATCAGCTCTTCTTGGCAGAGGTGGTGCGCGGGTGGGTGCGTCTGCAGACTTGTCAAAATGTGTTACACTAGATGAAGTCGATCGCGTGGGACTCATTGCCCTTGATGAAGTGCTTCTCACAGGGCTGGCTTTTCTGGGTGGTGGAACTTTCGGAGCGTTATTTGCCAGACGCGAAGGTAGATTCGCATTTACGGCCTGGATCGAAGGTGCTGCCAGGTCGCCAGTCAGCTCAATGCGTTGTTTGAGTTCTCTGAAATGCATCAAGACGTTGTTAGTGTATCTATACCCAATGGCCAACCTGTCCGAAGATTTCATGGATACTTTTTCGTGATACAAAGTTGGTGTCAGACACTTGCTCAGTGACTTGTAGTCGTGCAAAGTAGTTTCTGAATTGTCCAGCAGTGCCAGGAATAGCTCGAATATGTATGAAGTCAATTCGTAGTATCCATTGTGCATCATCATGTTGACAAAGGTATTGTAAGTGTAATCCACGCATTCACTTATCGGCAGTGGTATCAAGTCAATAGAAAAAATGGGTTTCGATTTGCCCTTGATGAAATTGAGGAAAATGGTCCCCAATGAGTATATGTCCCATTGCGACAGGTCGACGTAGTTATTTCTGGCAATTACTCCTAACAGGATGTTCACTTTTTGGTAAGAACCGGGTCGTTGAAAAACGAGTTGGTGCCGAGGTGCTTCAATTCGTAGCCTCTTGAAAATCTTATCGAACACCAACTGTCGGTATTGTCGATTTGCCAGTGCTGATTTGGGGTCCCGTGGTGAGTACGAAATATCTGTTGTCTCTGTCAGATGGTAGTCGTACAAGTAGACGTTCAGAGACATTCGAAGCTTTGTGATGTCAACCACGCCGGCAAGCTCTTCTAGGTTCGATAAATGCTGTATTATAATGCTGTCAGACGACGACTGTTTCGCTTTGAAAGGGTTGATATTGAGCGCATTGGAAAGCACCTGATAAACAGTACGCACAAAAAGCGACTCGTGGACGATCATAAATTTCCGTATTTTTGCCCGTGTGGTTTTAGGAATTTTGGAATACATCTTCACGCCGTATATCCAGCTGATGTTATTTTGAGAGAATCCAGAGCTGAACACGACCAGTGAAAACGGCGTGTCTGGCAGTTTTGCCACAAGTTTGTTCATTGTCTCATTAATAAGCAGATCATAGACCTCTCGGTCTTCAATTTGATCTGTAGACGGCAAATACGTCGAGTCAAATACGAATATAGGACATTGACAATTCGGGTCCACCGTGTACGATTTGAAAAAAACGTTATCCAAGTTAACCTCAATATTCGGTTCCATATTGCTTGTTGGCACCTTAAACTTTCCAACGGTGTGTTTACCAATTTTTGAATTGTTTCTCTCTGGCAGTTGACCTGCCTACCTCTTTGATATTTTGAATTGTTTCTCTCTGGCAGTTGACCTGCCTACCTCTTTGATATTTTGAATTGTTAGGTAAATAAACATTGAAATCGTGAGGTTCCAATTATTCCACAAAAAAAATGTGAAGTAAAAAGAGACTCCTCATAGGGGGCTCGAACCCCTGACATTTCGGTTCCTTGCAAGCGGCGCTTAAAAGCCGAACGCTCTACCAACTGAGCTAACAAGGACGAGTCCCTCCAAGAGAGGTTGAACTGGACTACTGAAGGGTAAGGTGACCCCACCACAACCAAGAGTCGCTAACATGGCATCTTCTAAGATGTTGTGATAGAGACGGGATGCTGAGGCACTTATGTTGATTGATTTAGGATGTATATGATATACATATATGGCACGCCAACGAGGTAGTACCAGATGGAGCTTAATTTATTTTATCTTCAATGGTAAAGTGCTTGTATTTCGTCTCAGGTATGCAAAATTACCGCCCTTGCGATATTACATGATTTAAAATTAAAGTCTTCCTGCATGTCAAGAGCTACCGGGAACTTTATTGGTTCTATCTTTTGAGTTATGCAGATCCGCATTTGCTAATACACGGAGAGTGTGAATTTTCGCTTCTGTAAACTACCAAAACCATCAATCGCCATTGAAGTTGCAGCCTTATGAACTAAGCCATTTAGCTCCTCATTAGCAGGTCTCGCATTCTTAGATCAGACCGTCTCTTATAATTTATAACTTCATGCTGTGAGCTTCGACCCACGGTATGACGGGTATGTTAATTTCTAGATTCACGTAGCTCGAAGACTTATATTCAAAAAAATCGCACTCACGTTTTCTGCCTCTTGGCTGGCTGCGAGCTCCTGTTTTGTGAAAGACGTTTGATGTTTTGGTGCACGTTTTCCAGAGTGAGATTTGTGATATTGTTTTTCGCTTCGTATTCCTGGCGTTCCTTTGTGTAGTTTGGATCGCTCAACAGTACTTGAATATGCTTGTCGAAGTTTGCCTCTGGTATCATTTTATGCGTGATGGGACATTCTACCAGCGTCTGTGAGTTCGAGCCGCTATTCTGTTTGAGTCGCGTCTCGCCCGCGGCACGGATCTTCATTTTGTTTTTCTTCTTAGGCTTGGCATCTTTTTCAAGCGGGACGTTCTCCACTTTGGCGAGAGACGATAAAGCCAAAACGCCGCCAAAAGTTGTTTTATGTGAGGATAGCTGTAGCGTTTTTTGACGCAAAGTGTCAAAATCAAGAGGCTCGGCATACTCGTCCTCATTTTTGAACTCTACACTGCCCAAAGTTTGGAAATTTTCCCAAGCATATGAGAAGAACTTCAATTTGAACCGCTCTCGCGTTTTGGCTTCTTCTACCTGAAGTTTCTCCGAAAACTCTGCGTACTTCGCCCTTTCAAAGCATCGGTTTAATAACCCCATTTGCCCCTCCTGTAAGAATCGAGCTCGTACTCCAAATTCTTTGCGTGCCACTTGTTTGTATTGGTTGATGAAATTAGTGAAGACCTCATTGAGCGGATGTCGAGTGTCTAGAAACCCCAAGAGCGGGTGTTCTGCACCCTTGGCCCTGAGAGTGTTGAGATAGTCATTTTTCTCGTTCAAAACACAAAAAAGTGCAGTTTTCTTCACTATCTCCAGGTCTCGCTTCGGTACGTTTCTGTCAGCTGTGCTGAAAACGAACGGGGAAGGGGTCGCAGGTGGCAGGGACTTTGAAGTAGCTGGTGAATTTTCCGCACTGTCTTGTAAGCCCTCGGTCTCGTCTTCCTCTAGAAGAGTGCGATAATACTTGTTATATTGGTTGCTTTCTGCCAAGAAGGGAAACTGCTCTCTATCCAGTTTTTGTTCGAATTCTACCCCATTTCGTCTAACATAGTCCGCGGTTTTTTCGATAGCCGCTATCGTTTCTGAATCCTCTGGCACCGGAAAAGTATGTGGCTCTAATATAACTCCATTCGTTGCTTTAGCTCCTTCCATTTGTCACATTCTTTCATGATTTCGATTTGTTCAATGCGATTGTTCTACCCATCAACTAATATATTTGAGCTTAAATTGCATGGCAGGTTTATTTTCATGGTATAGAAATGTCACGTGAGCGTCAAAATCTCGAAGCCTTAGTGTATCGAGTTAGCTTTCGTCGTCTTAGACTCTGATATACTCGGTATTCGGGTGCTTAAGTGGCTCTAGCATTCTGTTCGTTCGTCTTGGCGAATTGTTTATCCCTTTTTTTGGCCATATAGAATTCTGATCAACTTTTCAAAATTTCAACTTGGTTGATACAAGAATCCTTGACATCAAACTCGGGCTCTAAGCCAAGCCAGAAGCTCTCTTCTCTTTGTCCTGTCGTAATTATGGGCTCTCTGTCCAATGCGTTCGATAAACCTCACTTCGGGTGACAGATAGGGATGAAGTGATATTTGAAGTGCTGACATAAGCATAGTGAAATATGCTAATTAACTACTCAGTATTAAGAGAAACTACTACTCAGAGAGTGTATATAAGAATGTGTAAGGCTTCGACGGTGTCAACCAATTGCTGCTCGAGATGGCGACTACTATGGCAGATTTATTGAAGGTAACGGATATAGTAGTCGGAATAGCTTCTCAGTTGTCTACTAAGGACTATTTGAGTTTTCGCCAGGTTAATAAAGAAGTGTATCACGAGCACCTCTCAGAAACCAACGATGCTCGCATTTGGTCGTCGAAACTCAAGGAGCTAGGCCTTCATGAGACTGAGAATGAGGAAAAAAACACTATTGCTCATCCCAATGCAGCAAATATTTTTGGCGAAATTACTACTTTCACATTACAGTCCTCGAAGACTGTCTATTCGCAGTACTACAAACAATTTCAGATTTTCGTTGAAAAGTTGTACCGCAGCGAGCTCAATGGCTTTTTCCCTGCTCAGTACTCTGACCCATTTTCGCAAGCATGCATTTTAAACAGTCTCGTCAAGTACATTCCTGCAGAGACTAAGGACTTTTCTCAGTGCCGTAAAGCTGCTGAAAATTTAGGCGTTCTTAAAGGCTTATTCGTGAACACTGCAATCAAGGAAATGGATCTGGCTTACGAGAGCGAAGAGTTCGACGCTGTGGCTGATTTCGTCGTCGTTCTGTCAAAGTGCAATGAGGAAAACGTAGCTGCCGACATTTTTAAGTCCAGAAATGAATTCGCAACGGAAGTGGAGCTACCTAGTTCAGTTTTCGATCTTACTTCCAATGAGCTTGATATTCTACAATTCCAGGTCACTTTGAGTCAAATCAGCAATTTCTTCAACTCCAAAATAGAGCTCGCGGATAGAATCTTCGGTGAAAGCTATCCGGTAACGCTTGGCTACATCGAAAACATTATTGCCAACAATCTGACAGAATACTTTGGTTCGCAGCTCAACTCCTCCTTGGATGGATCTCTCGCTCCGATCGAGTCAATGCCCTTAATATACAAGTCCCTTCACAAAGAGGTGGTCGAAAAGTTGGTATCAAGCCGAAACGTTGGTCCTCGTCTTAAAGACATGTTTACTGAACTTTTCGATCTCTATTTGGAGCCTAAAATTTTAAGTTACCTTGATATCTGCGTGCAGAAGTTTGGTATTAAAGTTGAACAAATGTTCTCTAACTTCCAAAAAGAGAATTCCTTGAAAGAACAGCAGCAAAATGCACAAATTTACAAGTCTCTGAGGGATAAAACATCAAATCAGCAATTAATTGACGAAAAGAACAAATTTCTCACCTCCTTTACCAAGATCTTCAAAATTTCCAATAATGCCAAAACTGAAGAGGAGGAGCAATTGCAGATGGCTTACAATTTGAATGTGATGAATCTGAGTCTAAATAACATCCAAGTTCTCGTAAGCTTAGAACTTTGCTACAAGGTCGTGCAATCGTGCAAAAACTGTATCGAAGACATGCGAACTTTCTTACGCATTAGAAACATTGAGGGGGTTGTGAAAGTAAAGTGTCAAGAGATTTTTAAAATTCTCATAGCCTGCTTGTCTAAGGACCATTTCAAACCTGGTTTTGATAAAGCTATAGCAGTGCTTGAACAATACGACCCAAACAAAATGAAAACGCTACAAGTTGAGCTTGAATCTATGGACTCGCAGGTTGAGCCTTTGATAAAGTTTACGGAACTCATCAATACAGGTGATATTGTTTTGCAGATGATATCCATTTTTTACAAAAATGAGCTGGTCCAGATGAATATTGTTGATAAGAACCAGGACTTTTTAAATGACGTTGTCCAAGCTGAGAAGAATTTTGAGACAATGGTTGATGACTATGTGGCAAATGGCCTAAATGTGGGAATAAATAAACTAATGGACGAGGTTCTGTTTGTTTTTGGTACCTTGCAACTCCCAGATGATTTCAATCCTGATCCGAAAACACTTGCGGGAAAAGAGATCAAGCCGTCTAAAGCGGCTGTCAAAAATGTTCAGCTTCTTTCAAATCATTGTTTTCTTCTAACAGGAGCTACTGACAAAGGAACAATTGATATATATCAGCAAGAGATCGGTGAACGGTTCTTTAATGAGATTGTCAAGAACATCAAGAAAAACTTGATTTCCAGTGACGGAGCTATTTTCCTCATCTGCGATCTCAATTACTACTATGATTTCATTGCAAACACTTTGAAGCAGAAAAATATAACACCTTTCTTTGCTGGTTTGAAAACTGTCGGCCAACTGTATCTGGTATCTGGTTCCGACTCAAAAGAGCTCGGCAAGATGATTTGCGACCTTGGCAGGTTCCAAGGCGTTTTCCGGCAGGAGGAGATATACGAGCTTGTTCAACGCAGGACAGACTGGGTGAAGGTTCGGAGAGATGTCGAAAAAGTGATGTACGGCTTAGGAGTCAGCGATTGTACTATTATGTAACGTTACGTTTATTTTGATTAGTTCGAAAAGATCTAGCGTATGTCCCGCAAAAAGCTAGAGTAGAGAATCTTAACATCTTGCACCGCAACGACGTTGGTATGATTCGGACTTTTCGGCCCAGTGGCGCGAATCAATGCTTCATTGTAAACATTTCCAGCAAGTTTCAAGACCTTTAATGATGGCATGGCTCTTATCAGAGTCATTATCTGCACCGATATAGTGAGTCGTAAGTTGTTTTCGTTGTTTACTATCCACAGCTCCTCCAATCTGGTAAAACCAGGGCAAGAGAGAAAGTGCCTGAAGCGCTCGCTAATGATGAAACTGCTGGAGTAGATTAGGTGGAGCACGGTGATCTTGTCCTTGCCAAAGCTCTCTAGGCTGAATGGATAGCTCCATGTGCAGTTAATCAGCGTAACGCTTTTCAGATTAGGGCAAAGATCAGTTGTGGTGCTTTCATAATCTTCAATGCGAAAATTGCTGAGTGCGAGCTCCTGTAGAGCCGGGAAGTTTTGGATGTGTTCCAAGGAGAACTCAGAATCGCTGCGTTCGGCATCAACTCGCAGGCTTAGCAAAAACGGGACTGTGTTGCAATATTTGAAGAAGTTCGTCGATCCAGACGTCGGAAGCTCGAGGCTTTTCAGATTTATCATGCGCGTTACGGGATCAAACAAAACGTGGAACGGGAACGCCCATTCATTTTTCGAGCACGAGGTCGAAATACGCATGGTTTCCACCAGTTGGGGGCACGAAATAGGCGCACAGACGCCGCATGGCGATTTCCAATCGTGAAGCAGGTCGTGCCACGAGCATTTGACCTTATCGAAGATGTAAGGCAGGAGCTGGTTTCTCAGTTGTTTACTTGTAGAGGCTAGCTTTAAAAGATCCTTTCGTTCCAATAATTCTGTAATCTGTAGTACCACTTCATGAGGGGCATTATCCATGAATTGTGCGAATGCACACAGTGTTGTGAGCTTTCCTTGTTTTACACATATATCTGACTCAAGGTTCGTCAGCTCGTAAAATCCATAACTTCTCTTTCTTGAGATCATTAAAGTTTTGCAAACACTATCAGTACCAACTCTCAAACCGTCTTAACAACTCTTTAGGATTCTGACGTGGGTGTGAAGTTGTTGGTGTGTAATAAGGCGTATTTCTCATTTCCACGATATCTTCATATTATGACTGCAAGAAACAGTCTGGGCGCTCACCAGCAACGGCAACGACATCTTCACTGATGCTTTGAGCCAGATCTGTGTTAGAATGCTGTTCTGCGAGGTGAAACCTCGAGGATTTGGTGGTCACATCGACATGGGTCCAGCAATATTGAAACCTGGTGGTAGCCCGAAAAAAGGCTCTTCCTTCGTTGGTAACATCACTGATGGATCAGTTCAGCTAGCTCCAAAAACTCCTGAAATTTCTGCATTTCCTCGTGTAGTCGGTGCTCGTTGCCCTCACGTTCGTAGTTGTATATTTGGGATATTTCACCCGCTTGCTGGTACTCTTTGGAGGAATCACTCTGGGCGAGTTGTTCAACGACCACTATTTTGTGGGTGTCATTCAGAGGCTCCACGGTTTTTCCAACAATTTTACGCCCACGGATGTAGGTGACGGCCTTGTTTTCGGAGCTGCTCGATTCCTTAGCGTCTTTTGCAAAGTTGTTTGAAAGCTCGGTAGTAGATCCTGTTATGCCAATCTTGCACGGCACAAGATGCAGTTCATATGCGGCAGAAGAGCCAGACTTTGATCTGTTGTCAAGCACAAACGTCTCCACAGTCATGAAGGGCGTAAATGTAAAGTATTTTAGTCAGGAGACTGACTTCTTTGTAGGCCGTAGAGCGAATTTCAAACAATGTTCAACTTTTCCATTATTTCTGTAATGATCGTGTTTTTTAGAATTATATCATCTACTGTCTCATCGATCTTCAAACAGGGCATAAAAGGCCACAAGATCCTCTTCAGTGTTGCTTTACTATGGTTCAGCCTAATCCCTATTTACTCGGGAGGTATGTATAGCAAAGAAAGCGAGATCCTGGGGCGCTTGTGACGTTTTTGGTGGGTTAAACAAGAACTTTTGCCCTGCCCCTACCAACATCGAGACTTCCACAAGTGAAATTCAACAAAACACTAACAAAAGCTTATATTCAGGTTTTTGGACCCTGTGTTCGCTTTAGCTGTGGGAACTGTGAGTTACTACGCTCATGAAAGGAAGGTTGGCCGCGCAGAGGGCCATTCGTTGAACGAATTAGTCCGCAAACGGCTCGAACGAGTTCGTGCTGGAAAGCATGTCGGACAGTATTGAAAAAACCCTACGCATTTATACCTAGTTTTCTGATCAGACCAAGAGCATTCTCGCCATTGTGGGCTTGGCTACGTCTTCCAATGACCCAATGACGAAAGTTTCTAATCACTACAAATATGAAATAAGTTAATTAATTTACAGGCTCTCCTATGTGAGTACACAGCACTAACTATAGTGCTTCCCACGGCCCACAAGATGTCGTCGAGGCATATTCCAAATGTGCTGGTACTGTCTGTCGATCAGACTACAGAGAAACTACAACCAAAGCGGTTGCGCGTTCCAAGAGCATGCGATGCATGCCGCGCGAGAAAGGTGCGATGCGATGGACGACAGCCGTGCATTCACTGTACAGTTTACTCCCACGATTGTACTTACAGTCCCATCTCTAGACAGGCTAAAAAGCCACGGGTTTGCTCAGAGACTCTCGAGGCTGGTCCGGAACCATCGATACCGGCGAAAAGGCTATCTCCTAAGGTCCAAAAGCAGGACCTGGGCGACCGAAGCTACAGGCAACTTTTCCATATCTTATTTCCGAACTTGGATGGAAAAGTAGATGCATCGTCTGTTGATCGTCTCATTGAGCTTATTGAACGCAGCAAGTTCCAAGGCTTGCTGAATATCGAGTCAATAGAAGCGGAATTTCTCGAACAAAACAGTGAGGGTGAATCAGGCATTGAGGGCACCAAATCTTACATACCCGATGCAGTTGAACTGGAAGGGAAGGAGGGAAGTCTGGCCATTCGTCCAGTTGAAATGAAAATCGTGCTGCCGCCTCTTGACATGGCTAAAACCTTGATTTTCAAAAGCTGGCGATGTGCGTGCGTTTTGTTTCGTTTTAACCATCGTCCGACTCTCTTGATGGTGTTAGAAAGTCTGTACGAAACAGCTCCGGAGGATTATACTAATGACCAAAATAATGCGCTACCGTTAATTTACTCAATTCTGGCGGTGGGCGCACTTTTCACCAAGGATGACTTCAGCCGGGACAAAGCCATTCAGGACTTCTTCCACCAGGAAGGCTACAAGTACTTCACTGCAGCCCGTAAGCTGATAGACATTACCAACGTGTCAGATGTATGTGCCATTCAAACTATCTTCATGATGACCATTTTTCTGCAGTGCTCCGCCAAATTAACTACCTGTTATTCTCTCATTGGAATTGCGCTACGAGCAGCACTTAGAATTGGTTTGCACAAAAAATCTAGTCTTTTAAACTGCTCGCTCATCGAAGCGGAGGTCAAGAAAAGACTTTTTTGGACAATCTATAAGATGGACGTCTATGTCAATATCATCATGGGTCTTCCCGTCACAATTGCGGACAGTGATATTGATCAGGAACTGCCAGCAAATTTTCATGACGACGACATGACCGAGAACGGAATTGTTCTCAATCCCTGGAGCTATCAAATCAGCAGCTGTGGTTTGAGCAATGAGCACACAAAGCTCATTAGAATCACAAAACGGATATACGATGAGGTCAGGTCTCATAAGAAAAACGAACCATCGAAATCTCCACCAAGCAAAGAAGCGGTTTGTGCTCTAGAGAAAGACTTAATTCAGTGGCAATCATCACTTCCACCGCAATTGAAGGCAGACTATGAATTCGTTGATCAGGATGAAATTAAAGCCTACAGGTTGGCCAATTACTTCCTCAACTTCGACTTTTTGCATGCGTCTATCATGCTATACAGACCTTTCATTGATACAGTGGTTGTGTCCACCGATTTATTGGCGTGCAAAACAGTAGAGCTTGAGCTGGCTATCAAGTGTCTGAGGACTGCACAGCAAGTGATCGCAGTAGCGGGAAAAATGTGTGGTCAAAAAATACTTTGCGGGAGCTACTGGTTTTCCGTACATACTCTTTTCCTCGCAGCGACGTGTTTGATGTATACCGTACACCAAGTACAACTCAAAGAGCATCGTGCTCTTAGCGATACCACTTTGATGGAAGTGCAACGAGATTTAAAAACAGGCATTGTTCTTTTACATGAGCTGAGAAATTGCTCTATTACGAGCGAGAGAACCTTCAATGTATTGAACAAACTATTTGAAAAATTCAACGATCAGAATGTCGACGGATCTGTTGACAAGTTCAGCAATTTGAGTTTAGGTGGCAGGCCCGAAATCAAAACAGCGGATAGGTCCAGCCAACAAAACTCAACGTCTACAGTTTATTCTGGTTCCAGTCACGAAGGAACGGGCCCTGATATGACGTCGAATGGCGAGAATTCAGCGGTTTCTGACAAAGAATCGGTTCTCGATAACGAAAATACAGCGGTGGATCCCACACTCGTTGAACCTTCAAGCCGTGTTCGACTTGCACCCTTTTTCGAGGACTCGTATCTTACTGGCATGCTGGAGGATTGGGATGCTCTTTTTGAGACTGGATGAAGACATCCTCGATGAAGACACACCGGATAAAAATACACTTGATGAAGACACACTTTTCACTGTCTATGTTGAGCGTCTGCAATCCTCGATATAAAGCCAATCTGGCAACGATAGACACCTGCCGTGCTAACATGCCATTTAAGATACCGCGTCATAAAGCATCAACATATAAAAGCTCCGAAACACTCACAGCGGAGGTCTGAAATGTTATTTATGATCCCACTTTTGGCGAGTTAGCTTGAGGCATATCTCTGTCGCTTTATGCCTGGGCGAACGTTTATGAGCATACGGTTGGAGAAAAGCGGAAAATGCGTAGTGCACTTTTCAATGGATTCTCTGACCGGTCTAGCCCCAGTTTCTAGATTCATCTCTAGTTTCTTTCATTGACATTGCTGCAGATTGGCCAAAATGACTTCTTAAGTCCACCAAATTAAAAGTGTGAGCTTTGAGTAACAATTCTGTTGCAACCAGATCTCCCCTCCAGGCCAAATCCACTCCAGTGCTGTCACTTCAATCCCAAGGTTTTATTTCTCAATCGTCGTCATTGTCATCAAGCATCACGATAAGACGTCAAGAAATTTTTGGATGTTCACATCCCGAGTTTAACACAAAACCGGAAAATCGCAGATTTCTCGAAACAAGAACTGTAGACCGTGATGAGCTTGATAACGGGCAGGCATCAATCGTCTTCCACCTGAACGTTTTACGATGACTGCTTGAACTATAGTAAGTGCTATACACATCACGTGCTTTATAAACATGTATATACAGATGGCGAAAATAGACGTATATGCAGAGTATTTATTCATTGACTATCCGACTACTGAACAATCGGCTAAGAAGACTTCGGTGACTTCCTGTCTAACAATGGCCGAGGTTGAGCGAACTGATCTTGTCCAAGCTCTTAGCTCCTCTGATGATAAAGAGCATGTGCTTATGACGTGGACCACGGAAAAACTGAGCAAAACGAACGTTTCGGATAGACAGTTCGCGAACTACATATGCACGCAATTCCAGTGTCTACTGAAGGAACTTATTAAAACTCCAGATTTTACTTTCAGTGTATCTCTCGCTCTATGTCAGCAAGTGTCAGTCTTGTATGCCATGAGCTTGGGAGCTCTACCTGACAATGAAATATACGATGGCGCCCTATTTTTGGCCAGTACGTTGTGTGAGGAAGATTTTTCGCATTCTAAATCTAAGAAGAAGAGTAGAAATAAGACACACGTTTACTCAGCAGAGAGGTTTTTGAGCGTCGTTAGTCTCGCTCAATTGGTCAACAATCAGCCTCAGAAACTCATTTCTCTGCTTCCTTCCCTTTTGCCAGATGTGCTCAAAAGCATAAAAAAAATGCTTGAAAAGGAGAAGCACATGCACGCGGGGTTCTTGACGAATCTAATGGTTTTGGTCTCCTACATTTACAAAGACTGCGATCACATTGATCCTGTGATAACAGCTAAACTCGTCAAAACTTTCAAGATTGTTCTAGAACGGGTAAAGGCGGATGATGAGTCGCTACCGAAGCCCTTTCTGAGCGCTATAATCTGCACGTATGCTCATCTATACAAGAACTGGAAGTTTGTCGAGGCCCAAAGTTCAGGAAGTCCCCTCGAAACTTTCAAAACAAAATTCTTTCACGGAGGGTACGGCTTATACGGACTTTCTTGCGATGAATTGCGCCAAGATGCAGCTTTCTGTCTCGGCGACATACTATACAATTGGTGTTTCGAAAGAGAGGCTATAACGCTGGAGGAGGTTTTAGCCTTTTTCAGCGACGTATTCATCACAGTTCCAAATCGGTCTGTGAGAGCTGGTGTGTTCGAGTGTCTTTCTCATTTTCTGGGGATCGCGATTTCGAGTGGAAGCGAGACTTTAGGGGACGGGAAGTATCTAGAAGTCGTTTCGAAGCTGGCCTTCTCAATTTTCACAAACCCGACGATTAAGGAACAAAAGCTTGATAACATTTCAAGGTATATGAAGTTTTTCGAAATATTGCATCAATCGCTACTTCGCTATATTTCTGAGTCAGGAAAGTTGCTAACGCTCTTTTCCATTTTTGGCTGCGAGAAGGACAGTTCAGACAACTTGCTAAAGGACAAAGAGGGTGAGGTCCTATATTCTACAATTGTTTTTCTACAGCTCGGTACAATATTAATGGAAACTCTGTCTTCAACATTTACAACTAACAGTCGAAACTTGATAACAATGAAATCCAGGTTGATAGAACTGTCAAGTAGTAGCAATTTCCAGATAAGAGTGCATGGAAGCAGAAGTCTACGAACCTTTGCGAGTCACGCCCCACATTTGCTTCCAGAAATTCTTGGATCGTCCCTAGAACTCTTAGCAAACGAGCTTTTCACATCATCTAACTTTTCTTTCTCCAGGTGCCATGGGTATACGTTTCTTCTTGCAAATCTGATCAAAGTGTGCAGTCCAGAGTATGTTCCCACAGAATTGGTAATGAGAATAACGATATTTGCAACCACGATTTTGAAAGATCATCCACCCAGCAATGGGCTCACGTCATATAACAAACAGCTTGTTTCATGGATTCTCCTTTGTGGTCTGATGAACTATAACGATGTCGATTTTCTGCGTATTCAGTCATCCCAATTATTTTTATTTTGGAAAGGCATTTTAACGCATGCATACACTTACGGAGATGAAGATGAGCTCTACAAAAACCTTGAGGTCAGGAATCATGCTCTTGCCTGTCTGCTGTCATATCTTAACAGGATTGATCTGAATGCAGACATTGCTAAGCAAGTCTTTTTTCTTTTAACCAAGTGCTCAACCTTCAACAATTCCATTCAGCTGAAAACAAAAACTATCGATAACATTTTGCTGCAAAATGAGAACAGAATACTTCAAACTTATCTCAAAATTCACGAGTTTATTAAAAATGAGTTCAATAGTGCTGTTCTTATCCTCATTGTCAAAAATTTCGCAGACCCCAATTTGTATTGCGAGCCTCCCCGCCCGTTATTCGATCGGGTTCCTGGAAATGCCGAAAACGCATCTAAAGCAAACTTATCGGACTCCCAGATCTTGAATCTGAGATCTCTCCTGCGCGATGATTCTGGATTTGCTTATGGACTTACGAGTAAAGTTAACTATCTTTACGTTGACGAGCTTAAGATAAAGAAGGGTGGACCAGCGATTTCTAAGGAGCTGAGACCTTGGAAAGGTGAGAGTGGATATTGGTTCGCACGTTATGAATCAGAAATATACTCGCCAGTAACTTCTGTGTTATCTTATGATTGTCTCATTCTTTTATATGGTGGAGATGGATATATGAGCAATGATGAATACTCCCCTCGTGTCACCACCTCTATCATCAATTCCTCTATTGAGGTATTCAGTCTTATATTTCCATTTTTGAATGACAAAATTCAGTTATCTGTTTTGGAGAGCATGAATTCCTGTGTCTTCTCTAAAAAGACTGTTTCTATGAGGTCAATTGCTATTGCAACAAATTGTTGTGTTGCCCTTTTGGGAGCGCTTGAAGTCGTCCAGAGTAACAGTATGAAGCTTGAACAACCAGTCGCCAATCTCATGTTGAAAATTTTGAGGAATATACCTTCTTTCAACGACGAGTTTATGACGAGACTAAAAGCAGAGTGTGTGGGCTTAGTTTTATCTACTGCAAGTCCTTCTTCTGAAATAGAGCTGAGCGTTGGAGTGGAATATGCTAACGAGATCTCAGACGTGATAGTAAAAGATATTTTTGATCATGACGACTCTTTTTCAAGAATCTTCAACATCCTGAGTTTATGTTGTGCTTTCAAGTACAAACGTCGAAATTTTAACTTCTGGACTGCTCTGGGCCTTCTAGAAAATTTGATCAAGGATCCTCACCCGATTGTTCACGCCTGGTCGGTGGAAGCACTTTCTATATTGATTGAAGGTTCACTGGTTCTAGACATGTCCACTGCGAGCCAGATCCTGCATCTACTAGAGTTTCTAATTGTCGATGAGAGATATGGTGGAAATGCGACTATGGCGTGGCGTTCCAATTATAGCTGCCGTTTTGACTCGCGTCGTATGATCGCGAAAATCTTGTTGAGCGTAACACAGCTTTTAGGACCTGAGATCAAATTGCTGCCTCCAGCAACACTTGCGAGGTACAAAACTTTATTATATGTTATGATTGGGTCCACTGATGGTATTGAAAACTTATATGGCATCCGCACACTAACGAATTTGGCTGCCTTCAAGATGCTTGACGATTTTGACCCCGGAGTCATAATACCGGCTACCGCAAAATTCCTACGACAATCATTTACGATAGACCTAACTCCTCATCAATTCTCAGGGATGTTTTCTGAAGCTGTACTTCATTTTGGAGGTGCTTATAATGAATGCATCATAGAGGCGGTCTTTGAGCTAATGGATGAGCTTGTTAGCTTAAAACTGTTTGACAGTTTCTTTGAGAAACTCGAAAACTTGGTATGGCGCTATTTTTCGGTTTTTCCTGACGCCAAATGCGCACAATCTTTTGTCAATGGGTGGTTTGTTCACACAGCTAGTAATGGTCTTTCCTGGTTGAACAAACTCTACAACCTCTTCTTCATAACGAGGCAACAGTTATTCGACCTGGAGTTGAAAAGCAGAGGTATACATGTGGGCCATGAGAAAGACGACGGCAGAGTGGAGGGACATCTTAAAAGCTCGGAGATCATTGATGTGGAGGAAAAGGGCTTCACCTCCGAGTTCACAACATGTACAAAAGTAAATGTGTTGTCTTGGCAGGTTAGGTTGTATGTCTTAAAGCTCCTTGGTGATTTGCTTGCCGTTAACACGAGTGCTGAAGAATTATGGATAAACCTACAAAACAACCTTTCAAAGGTAATCAAATTGTGCTTTAGTGCTTCCGCAATGAAAATATCACAGATAAAAGCTAGGGGGATAGAAATTCTAGGCGAAGTCATTGGAGCATTTACAAAAAACGGAAACTCTGCAGACCTCTTGTCTCTTGAGGAGGAGGAAGCTCACATTGTCAGTGCTTTGATGCCCGCCTTCGACGAAGGAAGCTCCCCGGCCATTTTACCCATCGCTATCAATGTTTGTGCTCAGTATTTGTGCTTATGTTATTCAAGTGCAAAGAAATCTTGTAGAATTGTCGAAGTCTTAGTGAACTCTCTGGCAGACATGATAGAGAAACCCGATTCATTAATCATAGGTGAGGTGAAAGTGTCTACTCCGAAATGTAAGAGTGACGCAGAGGTGGCAATTTTGAACTCTTGGGCCCGTATTACCGTGGGAGCCATTGAAAAACATAATCAGGATTTGCTTGAGCTTTCAAAGCCGTTCTGGAACACATTGACTCCCTTGTGGATAATATCTCTTCGAGAATATGTTAGCATGCAAAATGTGAAAAGTGGCCAGTCATCTGCTGGAGCATTCGGTGATGCGATTAACAACCAACGAGACTCATCAATATATGAAGACGTTTGGATCAACTTCACAGAGGCGATTTGTTTTGTTTACTCAGAGGATGCTACAATTCTCACAACTTGCCTAAAAAGAGAAGATCTCGAAAACTTTGTTTTTGTGATTTACGCCCAGTGTTTGCAGCAGTTGACTTTGAGTTTTGAAGACAAAAACGTCAAGTTGAGGACTCTCGACGGCATTCGCAATGTGCTGAAGATAGACACTCCATGTGAGCTATTTTTCCGTGATGAGAACGTGGAAGAGACGGTTGAAGTATTTGAAAGAATTGTATTGACTGGAAGGAGTGGTGAGCTTTTGAAACTAGTTGATGTAATAGAGGGATTGGCATCGAAGTTTTTCCAGACTTTTAGCGGAGAAGATGAGTTCATTTCCGGTGCCGATAAAGTCTACCTTCTTTTGAGAGTGCTTTTGATGATTATCACCTCCAAACTTACTTTCTTGAAGGAGGGCACGACTGATAGCTTATCAACTGATGAAGAAAAGGAGTCTCTGGGCCATGAGGATTTTACCGTGGTTAAAAAGTGTTTTTCATCAATATCCCACTTGATATGCAAATTTCCGGTAGAGTTTAGAATGGACCTAAATGCTTGCATGTTGTTTATTGTAGGTCAGATTTTCCAGTCTAGTAAGCGTCAAACGCTGGCTCCCGCCATCATGCCCTTGTTAAAGCAGATAATAAGCATTGAAGATCCCAGCGATGAAGAAAAGCGACTAGTTACCATTTTTTTTGAAGCCGAGAAAAACAACATTTTCAAGCAGCTGCCCAAAGAACTGGCCTTGGCTACTTTGCTTATACTCAGCAAGTACAGCGACAGCACGTTTTCTGAGACGGACGTAGAATTGATAGTCCAGACAATGCTGAGCTCGTTGGCTGAAAACTCTTGCCTCAAGGTCACTCAAGGCGTTTTTGAAGGATTCTTGCGTCAAGCATCTCACTCTATTTCATGCAGAGAGCTAGTGCGTCGTTTCGTGACCCGAATCATAAAAAACCTACAAAATCTAAACTCGTTATCTGGATTTGAGAACCCTAACACTTTGATCGAGCTGCTTTTCACTTTCACTGAAAACATGTGTCGAATAAAACCTGAAAGTCAAATTCCTATTTTGACACTTTGTTTGTCTGTGCTTATTTCAATCTATGAACAGGAATCTGTTGAAAATTCTCTGATCATTTCAAAAATAATTGTTTTGTTCGAGCTATTCACCGATTCTTGCAAAGAAGTTTTGAGACATCATCTGAAAGAAGACCAGAAGGAGCTGTTTTCTAAAATCGTCATTGCATCCAACAGCGATACTCATCGCCAGTCTAGGGCCTCAAATCAAATCGAATTAAGGTCATTTATATAGTTCAGGTTTCAATTAGGTAATATCGACGTTTGACTACACAAATGCTCATAATGGTTTGAGCCCGAAAGAGGTGCTTGGCGTCAGCCGCATGTTATTCGTGAAGTTACTATCTTGTAGTGTCAGATTAAAATTATTTTGATTTTTATGTTTGAAATAATTTTTATCTGATTTCATCTGATCTCATCTCATCTCGATCCATCTCCTCTCGAACCAAGTCAATTGATCTCGTTTGAATTGTCTTTAATTGACCTCCAAATCTGTTTAATTCAAGGATATTTGCGATGAGCTATAGATCAATTGTTGGTGGGCTGAGTGGCTTAGGTGCAGGGAGTTTTGTTGTTGCTAGTTTTTGGCGTAATCCTTTCAAAAGTAGTGATCAAAATAGTACTAAAACTTCACCTGATGAAACTGGGAGAGCGGGAGTTCCTGGAAAAAGTAGTGGATCAGAGGGCAATGTTCCTTTACGAAATTTGAATGTGAATCCTAGTGGATTTTTCAGATATGGATTTCCTGGTCCAATTCACGATCTAAAAAACAGAGAAGAATTTGTGTCGTGCTACGATCGTCAGAATCGTATACCGTACTGGGTTGTGGAACATATTACACCGCAATCGCTGAAGAACAAAACTGGAGATCGTAAGAACTCATTTTTTAAGGAGGATGAAGGGGTCCCGGAGACTTTCAGAGCACGTCTTAAGGATTATTTCCGATCAGGATACGATAGAGGCCATTTAGCGCCCGCTGCTAACGCCAAATTTTCTCAACAAGCGATGGATGAAACCTTTTTTCTCAGCAATATTTGTCCCCAGGTTGGTGAAGGTTTCAACAGAGATTACTGGGCTCATCTTGAATATTTTTGTCGTCAACTTACGGAGAAATATGGTAGCGTAAGAATCCTTACAGGGCCCCTCTTTCTGCCAAAAAGGGATCCCGTGGATGGAAAAATAAAAGTTACTTATGAGGTCCTTGGAAATCCCCCTACTGTTGCCGTTCCCACCCATTTTTACAAATTAATTGTTGCTGAGAATCCAGTTAAGAATCCCACCACCGACGTTGTTGCTGTTGGAGCTTTTGTACTTCCAAATGACAGTATTTCTAACGATACAAAATTGACTGACTTTGAAGTCCCTGTTGATGCTATAAGTAGAAGTACAGGGTTGCAGCTGCTTCAAAAATTGCCCGAGAACAAAAAACTAGAACTTTGCAAAGAAGTTGATTGTCACATTGTTGTGAGAGATTTTAAGAAAGCATTGCCAGAGCCTAAAAAATATCCCGCCTTACCACCACCGCGTACGTCCTCGTAATTTGATGATTGCCACGAAATATTCATTAGTTAGTTTGAAGAATATAAATTCACTCTAAGGCTTATTGATAACATTCTTGAAACTACTCAGGCCGTGTTTGCTCACATTTTGTGTCACAGTCTTTTTGTCTGTAAATGCAAATCTTCTAACCTGATGTTTTTCCATCGTGTTCCACTCCAATTCGATTTCTTTCATTGGCATGCCGCATTTTATCATTTCTGAGACTGACCACCGAAATAGGTCAATCCTTTGAGCAAATCTAGCTTCCTTCGCTATTGTCCTTAATATCACCAATTTGTTGAACTTGTTAAGTTTTAGGATAATTTCATTGGGGTTTGGCATATTGAAGGGATCTGTTGACGACTGATCAGCTTTCCTTGTCGAGGATTTGATGAAAAGGTACCTCAGAAACTCAGTAGTTGTGCCTGCCTTTTGTTGAGCTATTCTATAGTCTTCCATATTATTAGGTTTTTTGGAATAATGTTCGTATATCGTCAAACTCTTGACGAAAACTGAAGCCACTATGTCCCACAGTTTGTTCTGATGGGATTTATCTAATGCATTCGCGTAGATCAGAAGGTTTTTTATAATTACTTGGGCCTTCGACTTAAGTTCGTTTTTGTTACCGTTGGTTGCAACGTGGTGTATTATGGTCGCTACTGAAGGCAATGCACTTTTACCCTTCATGCCTTGGGTCATTTTTATAGCTTTTAAAAGGTTTTTTTCGTCATTCTTTTTGATCAAGTGCAACACAATAGCCTGGTAGTCTGCTGGCGACAAACCGCTTGTGGTCCGATTGATTTGGGTCAGCACATTTTGTACGCCTTTGGAATCTTTGAAATTTAAGTGCATTCTCAACAGAGTTGATAACATAAATTTTGATACCAGATTTGTGGACCTTGTTTCTTCATTTGCGTGAGTTGATATATTTGACATTATAGTGCTTGCCATTTTAAAATCGTTGGTTTTGGTGTAAAAACTAATGATCGATGGAAGAAGTAGCGCGTCGTTAACGTAAAATTTGGGTTCCAATTTTGCTATTATTTCTCGGCACCTAAAATGATATGATGTTTGCTTTGTGAAAAGCTTAATAATGCGGTAGAGTATCCTTGAGTCGTGTTTTTCTGAGGATGTATAGTGGTCTTTAATCGTTGTCCATTGGTAGAAAACACCTGCTGCGTTTGATTTCTTATAGTCCTCATTTATTATGCGGTAGGCAGCTATGACTTGAGCGTTTCTCATTGCGTTGCTCTCGGTGTACGGTACTTCGTAAACGTAGTCGAGGACTTTCTTTGTTAATAATGGCTCGTTCACGACCGACATAGCCTTTCCACAAAGTTGAATTGCTTGGGTCTCCTTTATCTCGAAAGTACTGTTTTCGAGTTTTTGGAACTCCATGAGTTGTAAAAACTTTATGAGCATCCGGTCATCATTTTGAGGATTACTAAAAGCCATTGCGTTGAGTATCTGGTCGGCTAAATGAGATGACGGGCCAGAATTGGCGAAGTTCTTGTAAAACCAAATATAAAGGTCTACAGCGTTATCGATATCGCAGGTTTTTAGGCAGTCTGTGATCAAAAGACCAAGCAGATTATCTTTGTTCGGAGATTCATTTTGGGCTACAATTGCGTTGTCTGTTTTATAGGAATTGAAAAGTTTTGTTGTATGCGTAGTATTGTCAATGTTTCGTATTATTTCCCAACGCACAAAGGTTCTGTAGGTCTTTGAGTTTTTGTAGTAACGTTTTTTCGCCGCTGTGGTATCTAGTATTTTTTTCAATTCTTGTCCGGTGGTGGATTCGTTTATAGGAGTTTTTACACTGTTTCTCTTGCTTGTCTTCCAAAACTCTTCGATTGCCTTATTGAGTTTATCCAGGTCGTTAATCGTGGCATTATTGTCAGAGATTGAATGCATGTTGGTTGTTTTTGGGTCGTGTGTAACATATGAGGGAAATGTTGAACTTGTTCGTCGAAGTAATTCATGTTTCAATGTATATCTTGATGAGACTCGGATTACAGGGAGTAGAAATCTCATTTGGTCAGTTGCTATATCCCTATGGTTGTTAAGATTGAATTTGGTGGTGATAAAGATGATGATGAACAATATGTAGATTAGTTTTGAATCTACTGATATTTCGTACATAGCGACATATTCGAGTAAATTGTACAATTTTAGCCGCTGATGTTAATCAACTGGTTAGGACATTGAGCAAACTTGAACTATTTCGATGCACTGACTAAAATTTGGCCTCAGAGAATCGTTTTGAAGCAACTTCGTCTCATGAATTGACGCTATCGTTAATTTCAACATTGTACGTGGTACTACGGACCGATGTTTGTAGATTTTGTAGCTTTATGAAATGATATTAAATGTTTAGTGTGGTTGTAATCCCGTTGAAGAGTTATGGTGTATGTTTTGCTTGTTATGTGTTCTCCTTTAGCTTAGTGACGGAATGATTGTAAAGTGGCTTCCCATGTATGGACGTGGAGTCGCAGAAACTGCAACTTTTGGATTGAATACATTTCAGCATGCAAATGTAGCAGTACTGTGACCCGCAGCAAGTGGCTACATATGGGTTAACTGGAGCGTTTCGGCAATTAGGGCAATTGTCCTTGGACCTAGGTATTGTATTAGGTAATGGTTTCCTTCTTTTTAGAAGGGTGCTAAAGGTTCTTGATTTGAAAATGTGGCTTTTCAGAAGTTGCAAGATTGCATTGTAAAGGAGCTGCGAGTTGTAAAACTGTATGTTGGAGTTGATTGTTGCTGTGTAAAACTCGGACGTGTTGCCTAACTTTGGTTTTATTCGTAGTAGTTTATGGGTGAGCGATAGATATCCGTTGTTTGATGACAGAAATTGGAGGAATGTGTTGAAGCACCAGACATGAGTGACTATGTTGATGAAAGCTGACCACTGTAATCTTGCATCAGTGGTGGAAATTAGTATCTTTTGCAAGTGTCGTAACAATTCTGGCAGTAAAACGTTTGCCAAGAATAGAAATCGTTTGCTTTTCTGAAACAAAACTCCTGTTAGGAATGATCCATAAGTGTACGTATTTCCACCGGGAGCGTTTCTACAAGAGAAGTAAAATATAAGTGCGTTTAAAAGAAGCTTTGATTCCTCAATGAAATGAGTTGGAGGTGCATTTTTCTGGAGTAAGCTCCATAACGTGCTGAAAAGTTCGTTGTCCAAGTTAGTAGAGTCTAACTTGGCTACCAACATGATTGTTTCTCATTAGTTTTGGATACTTTACTTTAAATCAGGTATACAAGATTATTAGAAATATCAGGATGGGGATATCACGTGTATTGTTCAGTTAATTATCTGAAACTGTCCATATGATGGAAGCTCACTAGATGGTCCGAAGCGATGGCAAATTGGTTCCAATGATTATGTATTATGGAAGAAATTGAATAAACCGCTCTTCTACGTATTCGTATTTTATTCTAAATTATGAATTTTTATGTTATAGGTTCGAAAAATGACATTACGTATCGTCCGGCTAAGCTCGGTTGAGCTTATGGTTCGAAATTGATTTCTTCTTGTTAAAAGTTAATGAGGCCAAATGTTTTTCTGGTGTATTTTGGATACTGTAGCATATATGCAATTGTGTATAGGCGTTATAAAAACCTTGTTATATCTGGAATTAAATCAACCTAGGAAGGCACTATTATATTCTTATATTTTGTCTTGGGTGAGTAGTCTTGGGATAAATGATATATTGAGATTATGTGCGTACTGGATATACGCACGAAATGCTGAACTGGTGTGAAATGAGGGTATCAAATCATCAGTGTTAATGCTGTCGTTGTCTTCCAACGGTGTTGCTGATAGACGTGTACAGTGATGTCAAAGTTTGATCTTTAGTTGTGTTCTATAATGCGAATTTGAACGAGATCCGCGATGGGGATGGCGATGAGCTTAGAATTTCGTTCCAGTACTGGTGTTATGGGGTATGCAGATGGGGTGGTCAAAAAAGCACTTAAAACATGTTCAAGATGTCGAAGAAATAAAATTAAGTGTGATTTACACCTCACTCGACCAGGACCCTGTACTGCCTGTGCGAAACGTGGTGTTGAATGTGTAGCTGAGTATGTTGTTCCTCACAAACGGTCTCACGACTTAATGGGTATTATTGACGGTGTCGTTGAAATTGGTATGATAACCCGGGAGATATCATCTGAGTATAGTTATCTAGTGGAAGGGTGCACAGAAAATGTTGTTGATAGTACAAGACATCGATGGTTAAATTCTGTTAGCAAGGTATTGAAAGTAGGTGAAGAAAAATACGTTTTCTTTACGTTAAGCGATGGTACATTGACGATTAACAACTGCAGTCTAAAAGTTGAGGAAATAGAGCTGGCTTTGAAAGAGTTTGGTCAGTTGGTGGGGGATCTGCTTAAATTGTATGCTTTGTGGGAAGTTGACCAGCAAGTCGTGTCCGACACGATTGTTGGGGAGAGAAGTAATCGATACTGTTTGATGACGCTATTTGAGAACGATGAGTTGCCGTTGTTGCTGTGCTTGTTGAACTTTTATTTTGATATTCCGGGTTTGGTATATTGTCGCGTATTTGACCTGATTCTTGATGAATTTTGTGTTATGGCTCTTGAAGATAGATCTGCTGGCAGATGCTACGATAGAGTTACGCTGTCGAAGTTCATAGTTGGTCGCAAAGGGCATGAAGGAGGCACACATTTTAACGGCGAAGTGTTTGTTAAGAAACTTACATTATACTTGTTTTACCACGTTGTATTGTATGGGTTTGATCATTATATGGACTGTTTTTTTGATCGATACATTAGAACATTAGAACAGGTTAGGAAGAAAATCAATATCGAGAAGAACTGGGAGGTCAAGTGGGTCAATTTTTACATCAAGATATTCGATCTCGTGGGAAACACTGTTTCGCCAGTTTGTTTCGATAAGGAAGAATTCGCTTTTTTGAAAGTTGTAGAATATGACATGGAATTAATTTGGGGAGAAGGAAACAAAACTGATGTGGATTTATTAAAAGCTTGTCATAAGAATTACCAAGATATGAAAAGCTTGCTAAAATCGAGTTGCACTCGAGTACCTTTTCTCAAAATATTCAGTGCCCAATTTGTTGCGTTAAATGTGATACTTGCTCACAATGTCGGTGGTGAAATGCTTGAACAGCTTGAAGAATTGACGTATCACGGTTTTAACGTCGACCATGAATATGAAACCCGTAACGGGGATGATCTGTTCAATGCAGGTGATAAAAATGATGTGTTGCGAGAATGCCAAGGTACAGTTGAGGTTCTAAATGTCGTGCATAAAAAAGTGTTTTTGAGGCAAGTAAATTTTGAGGACTTGGATCTGTTACAAGTTGTGGTTGAAGCTTTGAGCCCCGAGGGTTGTGAAACGCTACGCAAACGTTGTTGTTGCAAACTGATAGAGTCTCTGTTTGAGAAAGTTGTCGTAGAAGGAATGAAGGAAGAGGTAGATATAAGTGTTCGTGAATGGTGAGCAAAGAGTTGAAGTTGAATTTAGTATAATGAAAATGTAAACTGTGAAAATATGAAATAGAGGGAAGAGGAAGAGGCAGTGAGGCAAGTAGAGGAGTTGAAGAACGCTTCCCTTCCCTACAGCTTCATAGGACGCTTCGTAGAAAAGGAGCTATAGGTGATGATACCTAGTCGACATTAACCAAAGAAAGAGTATAGTGGTCACTATATACGATGATGAGTGTAGAACAGAACATTGAAGAGACGGGAAAAAAATAAAACTATAGGAGAAAGACGTCTTCAATGTTGGCGGAGCGGAGGGCGAAGGTTTGTATAGGTTTCTTCTTCCTGACCCTACCTGTAGCCTCCTTGAGAGAGAATCTGCCACAGAAGGCCTTGTACGTTTTCTTGCTCTCCATCGCTGTAGTGTCTGCCCCATTGGTCAGCGTTTCGTAACTGTAGGTTGATGGTATACATTGTTTTCCAATAGCTTCCGACAGTTTCCTTACTGAGGGAAAGGACACGGGCTTTTTTGTAACCCTGCGCTCTTCGAATACGGCAAGTACCTCAAAATATGATTGAAAAACACCTCTGTTTTGTCTCCACAGCCATGATGCAATCTTGGAAACCTCCTCGACATTGAACTGGCCTTTTTGGTCAGTATGAGAGCAACTTGCAATTTTCAAAACGGTGCTATGCAATAGGCTTCTCATCAAAATAAATTTATTCTTTGAACGGAAAGTGAGTTGCTTGGAATCTTTATATTTCGACTTTTGAGAAACGAAGTGACAGGTCTTCGGCAGTACATTAACATACCTGGTACATGGAAAATCAAAGTAGGTTAAATGTCTTTCACGGGCATTCACTATCAGAGATTTTTTACCTCGTCTCGGAACTTGACACTCGGAAACTCCTTTTGTCATTTGACAGCCACTAAAGCTTTGATTTTTGTATGTATTGAGCATTTTAAGGAAACTGGATTTGATTGAATATTGACCACGATTGTCTTAACTAAATTTTCAGCATATCCTTTTTATGACTAGTGAACTATACTCACATCTTCATCTTCTCTAAAATACTTCATATCCTTCAATTGATTTTCAAGGC